ACAGAACTAGGACTTTTGTCAGTAAAGTATACGCCACACCTCTGTCTGTAATTCTTGTGGGCAGTTGTTTGTAGAGAACAATTCTGAGATTTCCTCTTAAGATTGCAGGTAGGTCCAATCGGCGTTTCAGCTCACATCGCAGAAACCACCATATTATCTCCCTACGGTATGCTGCGTAGAATTGCTCGATTTATGACCATCAACCCTTAGATTTCTACTTACACTACATTTCGGCTTTCTCAGCGTTTATGACGTTTTTATCGATTCTTGCAAAGGAAATAGGCAGTCCAGATTTGTGTGTCGAGCCTCGAGCATGCAGTTTGGATTTAACGTTGCAGAGGCCTTCGGACTCCGGCGGTCCTCCTTACAAATCAGTCACTAAGAAGTATGCCTCTCAGGCAGTAGAAGAAGATCAAAACCGTCTTGGACAGCGTGTAGGGCGATTTTCATGTAGCACAGGGTCTCCCAGCCTTGTAACTAGCCTGGCATTCATTCGCGATTCCCACCACTTCTTGTTCTTAGCTGTCGATGAGGACCAGTGCCTCGGGATCCTGAAGGGAGGCATCAAGCATCTCTTTATGCTCGACAGCCAGAGCGAGACCCGCGAGATGGACGCGATGTGTTGCCTGGACTTCTACACCCATGAGACGGTGCAGCGCCGAGGGATCGGAACACGGCTCTTCCGCGCCATGGGGCTTCACACGCATATCTCCGCTCAGGGCTGGGTTTTTGATCGACCCTCTCCGAAGTTGCTGGCCTTCCTCTCGAAGGTGTACGACATGCATGACTTCAAGGCCCAACCCAACAACTTCCTCATGCTGGATGCATCCATTCGTCTTTGGGGGGGCTGAGTTCAAGCAGTACAGGCGCAGCAAAAAGCACTATATTCCAGATGCATACCTACTTCCGGAGACCCGGGAAAGCGAGTATCTGGGCGAGGCGGAGCTTACCAAGAGGACGCTCATCAGGAAGTCAACAGCCGTCATTCCCCAAACTAAAACCACTCAATCAGAGGATGCGCCAGCTCGCGCCTTGACGGCAGATGAACTCCTGTCCAAGCGCTCTGTTGTTCTGCCCACAGCAAGCAGGACCCCTTCCCTTCCGAATTAGCCCCAGTCCGTGGCAGTCGCATACATGAATAAACGTAAATGATAATGATTCACTTTACCCCTGGCTATGCCCAGTGCTGTGCTGCTGGAACCTACCTGTGGGCGTACTCAAGGACCTCACAGGTAAATTGTCGCTCAATTTTTGGCGATGTCCGGAGACGAGGGTTGGTCGTTGATGATATAACGAGAGAATCCTCTCCATTGATATATCCAGAGCCTGGTGCGCTCCTCTGCCGTTTCGCGGGCGTGTGCTCAGGCTGAGAGTGTGTGTCGGCCCTTTCGGGGTTCAGCTTACTTACCCATCTGCGTCGTCCACCAGTGGCGCCTCTCCTTGGTCTGCCGTCCTGGTGGGTGAGGCTCTGGTCGCCGTCTTTTTTAGATGCTCCCGTCTGCCAGGGGCTGCCACCGGGCTCTCCGCTGGCTGGGCCCCTCGGTGTCCAGTCAGCTGTGGTCCTGGGCAGTGGTCCCACAGTCGCGGTCGCTTGGGTCCCAGCGGGCCGGCTGGTGGGGATGCGGGGGCTGGAGGGGACCGGGGGGTGTTCGTATGTGCCTCTGGGTCTGGCGGACTGGGGTGATCGCAGCTGTGGTGACTGGGGGCTATCCATCTGTGACTCACCCCTCTGTGAACTCGTGGTCTGTGAGTGCCTCCACCCAGACAACCCTCAGGAGCCGTGCACACCGGGACAGAGAGGGTGACCAAGGGGAGTTAAGCAGCCCCGCTACGAGAGATGAGGGTGCACAGCAACCAGCCTGGGCTGCATGGCCTGCTCGAGCGATGTAGTGGCAGACGGCTCCCTCTGACAGCGACCCTGGTGACTGCACTGGTCTGCTCTCGAGACTGGGTGACAGTGCACACAGATGGACATGAGTGCAGGAGGACCATCCACACACGGACAGACTGTGTGGACCCAGAGAGGACTGGAGTCTACTCGGGACACGCTGACTGTGCCCCATACGAGAGCACCAGGCAACCACCCGAGCACCCGAGAGGCAGCAACAGACACGGGCACCAGAGATCCCCAGCCAGACACCTTGCTATGCTCATCCACAGGGGCATCAGAGGGCCAGGTGGAGTCACCCTCACAATCAGGGCCTGATAGGAAGCCAGAGGACTCAAACACTACAGCACAGCAGGCCCAAGGGAGGCACACTCCAGGCAGGTGAGCAGTGGCAGAGCCCTGATAGCTGCCAGCCCCCCATGACACCCAGGCAGGCACCAGACTCACCGAAGACTCCGCTGGCCTCCACCGATGACCCGAGGGGGCAGCAGCCAGAGGAGCGAGGAGGCCTTCGGATGCCACAAGAGGCCCGGCTGTCCAGCAGGCGATGGAGCATAGGTGACCTCTGAGCACTATACAGGCACAGGGCTGACCATCAGAGTGATGCCCGATCACAGAGACGACCACGAGCACCCTCCACCGCACTCTGGGGCCGTCAATCATCCCACTGCCTCTCATAGCAGACCTCCTTGAGGGCAGTGCAGTGGGTCCCAGCTCATGCAGGAGGGTGCACGCCTCCCCTGGCATAGGACACCCCGGCTCTCCTCGAGGGGTCATCAGAGCCACGAGAGGTGTCAAGGTCCTGGTGGACCACACCGGGAACTCCCGAACGGGCACAGCAGATGTGAGGTATGGGTGACCCTCAGTGTGCTCCTCTCTGCATGGTAGAGCATCCTGAGACCAAGGAGGATCAGCCTGCCTATGAACAACACACAGCACTCCACAACGAGGACCCACCAGGAGCAGCACAGTTGGTCACGGGGACCCTCCAGTCACCAGTGCCCCACCGTGCCAGTCTTCTGGGCCATCACACTAGAGGCATGAGAGAACTCATCCCATCCACAGGATCATCCATGCCCCTGCTGGCCCGAGGTGAACTGCACCCATCGAGGCACTGGACAGGGCATACCAGGGGCCTAGCAGACCCGCACAGAGCATCAGGAGGGGCTGCGATGGCCTGCCTCAACCCTCACGCACCAGCCAGACAGAGAGGCAATACTGCCTGGGACATGCAGAGGCCAAGGGAGGCACTCAGTCAGGGGGACACAACACGATCGTCGGTGTCTGTGTCTCAGGAGTGCAACGAAGGCTGGGGATCAGACACAGCCACCTTGGCAAATAGAGTGGGGATCACCCACCGCCACACTGGCCCATCAGACCCAGAGGCACATACGACACAGCCCACCTCAGCCCCCCACCAGTCCTCACCCACCAACCCCGCCTCACCCACCAGCCGGACCCGCTATGGGACCCAAGCGACCGCGACTGTGGGACCACTGCCCAGGACCACAGCTGACTGGACACCGAGGGGCCCAGCCAGCGGAGAGCCCGGTGGCAGCCCCTGGCAGACGGGGCATCTAAAAAAGGACAGTGACCAGAGCCTCACCCACCAAGGCGGCAGACCAAGGAGAGGCGCCACTGGTGGACGACGCAGATGGGTAAGTAAGCTGAACCCCGAAAGGGCCGACACACACTCTCAGCCTGAGCACACGCCCGCGAAACGGCAGAGGAGCGCACCAGGCTCTGGATATATCAATGGAGAGGATTCTCTCGTTATATCATCAACGACCAACCCTCGTCTCCGGACATCGCCAAAAATTGAGCGACAATTTACCTGTGAGGTCCTTGAGTACGCCCACAGGTAGGTTCCAGCAGCACAGCACTGGGCATAGCCAGGGGTAAAGTGAATCATTATCATTTACGTTTATTCATGTATGCGACTGCCACGGACTGGGGCTAATTCGGAAGGGAAGGGGTCCTGCTTGCTGTGGGCAGAACAACAGAGCGCTTGGACAGGAGTTCATCTGCCGTCAAGGCGCGAGCTGGCGCATCCTCTGATTGAGTGGTTTTAGTTTGGGGAATGACGGCTGTTGACTTCCTGATGAGCGTCCTCTTGGTAAGCTCCGCCTCGCCCAGATACTCGCTTTCCCGGGTCTCCGGAAGTAGGTATGCATCTGGAATATAGTGCTTTTTGCTGCGCCTGTACTGCTTGAACTCAGCCCCCCCAAAGACGAATGGATGCATCCAGCATGAGGAAGTTGTTGGGTTGGGCCTTGAAGTCATGCATGTCGTACACCTTCGAGAGGAAGGCCAGCAACTTCGGAGAGGGTCGATCAAAAACCCAGCCCTGAGCGGAGATATGCGTGTGAAGCCCCATGGCGCGGAAGAGCCGTGTTCCGATCCCTCGGCGCTGCACCGTCTCATGGGTGTAGAAGTCCAGGCAACACATCGCGTCCATCTCGCGGGTCTCGCTCTGGCTGTCGAGCATAAAGAGATGCTTGATGCCTCCCTTCAGGATCCCGAGGCACTGGTCCTCATCGACAGCTAAGAACAAGAAGTGGTGGGAATCGCGAATGAATGCCAGGCTAGTTACAAGGCTGGGAGACCCTGTGCTACATGAAAATCGCCCTACACGCTGTCCAAGACGGTTTTGATCTTCTTCTACTGCCTGAGAGGCATACTTCTTAGTGACTGATTTGTAAGGAGGACCGCCGGAGTCCGAAGGCCTCTGCAACGTTAAATCCAAACTGCATGCTCGAGGCTCGACACACAAATCTGGACTGCCTATTTCCTTTGCAAGAATCGATAAAAACGTCATAAACGCTGAGAAAGCCGAAATGTAGTGTAAGTAGAAATCTAAGGGTTGATGGTCATAAATCGAGCAATTCTACGCAGCATACCGTAGGGAGATAATATGGTGGTTTCTGCGATGTGAGCTGAAACGCCGATTGGACCTACCTGCAATCTTAAGAGGAAATCTCAGAATTGTTCTCTACAAACAACTGCCCACAAGAATTACAGACAGAGGTGTGGCGTATACTTTACTGACAAAAGTCCTAGTTCTGTACTTTTGCAGTATGTAGTTTATTATATTCCGTTGGTTTATATTTAAATGCTTGCGGTCCTTGGTCTGCTGATCGCCTTTCAAGCAGCGAAGTGTACACACTCCAACCAGGTCAGCGATTGCGCAGAGGACCGTTGCGAGGAGATCAACGGCCACGAGCTGTGCACAGAGTGTAGGAATGCTGGCTACATACCCTTCAACGGACACTGCATTAAGTATGATAGCGAGCAACACTCTTCATGCAAGAGTGCAGATGGTACACCCATTGTAAGCGAAAAGAGGTGCGGGATGTGTACAGACTCCATGTATCTATACAAAGGAGGCTGCTACGCGTGCGGTAATCTTTACCCCGGGAACCTTATATGTAGCGAGTGCGATAAAGGAGTTTGCAAGTCTTGTACGTCTGGTTTCTTTAGGAACCCTGCAGCGTCGCAAACAGTCGATTCGTGTGTTCGGTGTGATGACACAACAGGAGTGGCGGACTTTGTAGGAGTTGCCGGTTGCCTGCATTGCCTCTCGCCGTCTAAGTCTAAGGGTCCTGACGTGGCCCTATGTGTCAAGTGTAAGCTCTCGACACACAAGCCTAATCCGAACGGAGACATTTGCTACAGATGCGAGATCCCAGACTGCCCTAGGTGTGCGGCTGATGATTCGTGTGCAGTTTGTGGTCGCGGGTATCTTAAGGGAACAACCAAGCGTGTTTGCGTCTCTCAGTGTGGAGTTGGCTTCTACGTAGCCCCTACTCAGCTGCGACAATGCAAAAAATGCTCTGGTGCGTGTCAAACCTGCGAAGGACCTAATGAAACAGATTGCACCTCTTGCAATGAATCGGAGGGCTATTTTCTGGCAGCAGAGAATGGAACGGGGAGGTGTGTTTCCTGTGGAGACGAGCAGGGACACGCTGGATGGAAAGGAGTAGCAAATTGCAAGGCTTGCACTCGTCCCAGTACCCCCGGGGTGGTTGAGTGCACAGAGTGCGAGTCGAACCGTTTACTTATTGATGGACAATGCAGGAAAGAATGTGATGATCCATCTGAGTATTGTGAGGCAGACGCCTGTGACGTCGTTTGGAGGAATGAGCTTCTCTGCTCTCGCTGCAAAGAAGGACATGCGCCCCTCAACGGTATGTGTTCCGAACTCACGCCCAATAACCGACGCGCCTGCATTGCCAGCAAAGGACGCTGCGAAAAGTGTGGTCCAGGTTTCTTCTTTCACCAAGGAGGATGTTATCAGGTAGAGCTCGAAGAGAAGAACTTTGTTTGCGTAGAAGTCGGGACCAAGCCCGAGGAAATTGGGTTATGTAAGACATGTGCAAGTGGATTTCGGAATGATAAAGGTATTTGCGTACGCTGCCGGGACCCGTACTGTAAGACGTGTGCTCAAGACACAAACACGTGCGAATCCTGCATCGACGGATACTACGATCCGAGGTTTTGCAAACGATGCCACAATGACTGTAAGACATGCGTAGGAGAAAGTCCAGAGCAATGCCTCACATGTCATCCTAAAAAATACTTATCGCCCATACATAAAAACATCGGAGTTTGCGTAGATGCGTGGCAATGTGGCTATGGGATGTATGGACACCCCTTCGCTCTCAAATGCCTTCCTTGTAGCGAGGGGTGCGCTACATGTAGAGGCTCGGAAGAGAATGACTGCACATCTTGTCACCTCCGGACACACTTCTTTGTTCTTACTGGGTATAACCGTGGCCAATGCATCGAATGTGGAGACACAACCAATCCTAAAGGGATTAATGGTTGTAGAGAATGTAGCGCGAAAGGTGACTCGGTTAGATGCATCGCTTGCAAAGCTGGCTATGTATTAGTTGGTGGCAAGTGCCTGTCCCACTGTGAGGACCCCAATTGCGCGGCGGGTTCGTGCGTGGTGGGAATAGGCGAGAAGCTGTACTGTAGCTTGTGCAAAACAGATGAACACGCGCCTGTGGACGGCATTTGCACTAACGTGGCAAGCGCACACCCCAGTGGCTGCGTGACTGGCGTAGGTTTTGACTCAGCGCGGAGCTGTCTTCAGTGTGGTGCGGGGTATTTCCTGTACATGGGCGGCTGCTACCAGGAGAGCAAGGAGCCCGGAAAAAGCATCTGTACCTGGGCAGGTGTTCCTGGTTACGTTAATGGAAACAACTACGGTCTTGGTCTTTGCAATGCATGTGCCGCCGGCTATGAGAACCAAGACGGCGTCTGCCGCCCCTGTACCACGGTGAACTGCGAGCGGTGCAGGATGGATGACCAGGGGGAGGTGTGCACACACTGCATGGTCGGGTACGTTCTGGATCAGGCAGGCACATGCACCACCAAGACCACGGGTTCATGCACGGTCCCAGATTGCGCCGAGTGTACTGAGGGCAAGAAGTGTCGGCGTTGTGGACCCGGGTTCTTCCTCACCAGTGTGGGGACCTGCGTGGACAACTGCAGAAGCATTCCCGGGCACTACGCACTTGATGCCACGGAGAAGAGCCCCGCAAGGTGCGCTCTGTGTGAGATCTCGAACTGCAAAGAGTGTGGAGCCGGTAATTTTTGCGCTGTGTGCTCGGACGGGTACTTCTCCGACAACGGAGTCTGCACTCCTTGCGACAGCACGTGCGCCACCTGCGTAGCTAAGGGCCCCAGTAGCTGCGTGTCTTGCCCGTCGGGCTACGCGGTAACGTCTGAATCGGGGGTCGGGGAGTGCAAGAAACCGTGTACCCCGTCAGCCGACGGCTGCAAGAGGTGCGACGCGAGCATCGACGGGGCAAGCTACTGCTCTGTATGCAGCGTGCAGACCGCGTTCCCTCTGAACGGCAAATGCGTCGGGCTCTCCGCACGGGCAGGGTCTGCGTGCGCCTCTGTGGTCGACGGCGCCTGTACGAGTTGTGCAGACGGATACTTCCTCCTGTCGGGAGGATGCTACCAGGTGGACACATATCCTGGACGCACCGTCTGCCATGCAGAGGAGAGGGGCGTGTGCACCAAGGGCGCGCACGGAAAGATGGTCAGCGAGTCGGGCATCCTTCAAGAGTGCTCGATCGCAAACTGCGCCGAATGCACGGCCGACGCCTGTGTGAGGTGCAAGCTGGGGTATGTGAGCGTGGACGGCCAGTGCCAGAAATGCGCCCAGGGCTGCGTCACCTGCATTGCCCCGGACAATCCGCAGATGTGCACCCTCTGTGACACAGGGTACTACCAGTCGACAACTGGATCGGCGTTCACATGCACAGCGTGCGGTGCGGACAACAACGGCATGAAAGGGGTCAACGGATGCACTTGCTGCATGCCTCCTGAGGGCAAGGTCGGATCCGTCCTCTGCTACTCCTTTGATGCGCTCCCGAGCATCATTCCGACGCCCAAGCCCGGCCCAGATCCAGTCCCAGATCCGGTTCCAGCCCCAGCCCCGAGCTCGGCAAGGAAGACGGCCATGATAGCCGGGGTATCCGTAACAGCAATCCTCCTTGTCACAGGCCTGGTCAGTTTTCTTCTACGGTGGCTCTTATGTAGGCGTACGCAGTCCCATGAGACGAAGCGTGTTACTCTTACTCGGAAACGTGTTCCCATTATTACATCTATCACTGCGCCATTGACTTGAACAATATTGAGGATCCACTCTGTGCCTGGCTCTATAGATTAGCCTGCATCATTAAGAGAAACCTGCGCTCTTGCCCAACTAAAGTAATTTTGATATACCCAAGGACTATTATGGCTAGTCGTTTCCAATTTTCTTTCAGGTGTTCTCGGGCGGCTCTGTAAGTTGTTGAAGGCTTCTTCTAGCAACGTAGATTTTGCAAACTCCTGAGTAGAATTCTTTATGCTTTTCCTAAATAGAGCTAACAAAGCGGCTCTATTTATTCAGCTAAATTTAATCTAAGTATTATGGTAATGCCTCCAGCATTATTCTGCATGCTCTCATTCCTTTAGAGAAGTTTCCTTGAAGTTTTATTGTAACTTTATCTGGCAGCATATAGTCTTACTGCTATGCCTTCTTTACCTTGCTGCCCTTCATATTTTAGGATGAATCTCTGTGCTGATCTAAGATTTCAATTCTTTGCAGCGACTATGGAAAGTGATAACGAGATGCACTTTGATTGCTATGCCAATAGGACATAAATATTCAATACTGAATTGGTGAGTAATTCACTGGGAACTGGCAGAGCTATCTGTCCGTGATCATTACGTATACCAGGCTTGTGGACGCCATCAATTTTGCTGTGTCCAAATGATTATACCCAGCTATCTACATTGGCGAGCATTCTGCATCCTCGCATCGTGCGTTTGAAGAATCATTGCTGTTCCAAGATTATTAAAGTGGCTACAAGTATTAGCGCAGTCTCTTCACTAGTTGTTTAAAGTCGCTTTTAGATTTAGCCAAAGCCTGTACAATATCTAGATGCCTAGATTCTATAACTGTCGTAAGGGAGCTCTTAGTAGACCGCGACTTTAAGATACTGTGCTTGCTTAGCAATTATCTTTCAGTAGATACAGAATTTAAAGTTGAGACAATCACTGGCGCTACTGATCCTTTTTTAGTACAGTCATTGCGCACTCAAAAAGATTCTTTATCTAACGAATGTTACCTTTCTCTACGTAACGAAACCAACTGTTTCATCTGTCTGACTACACCTTGAGATCAGCAGTGAGAAGACTAACAAATGCTCGAAGGCAGCGGTGTGTATGCCTATTGGCCACAAATACTTTCCGTTCTGCACAAATGTGGATTAGTATCGTGTGCTTGGTAGCTAGTATATACTTTCCATTGTGTATGGCTTCTAGGCTCAGAAAAGCCTTGCCACCTCCGACTTCACAAATACGTGCTGAGACAATCAGACATATTTATGAATTGGTTGGTGTATGTTCCAATGCTCGTCCAAAAGACCCTCGAGGGTTCACTGATAGCACCCTCATTAGTCCAGAGGAAAGCGGCGCCAGCGGGATTCGAACCCACGCGTGCTGCGCACAATGATTTATCAGGTCATCGCCTTAACCACTCGGCCATAGCGCCGTCGCCTGCGCGAGAACATATAAATTGTATAGGTAGTATGATTGTATTGGCCGGGTTTACTCGCTGAACGAGGCGCTCTGTGACTGAAGGACGCTCGCCCTACTCGTGTTGTGCGGAAGCAGGAGGCTGCGCCGCCTCCGGAAGCTCTGGCATCAGCCGGAACACCTTCCAGACCCGCCGCGGAGCTAAGGCGCGACCCCTGCCGCCCAGTAGCATGGCCGAGGCCGCGGGGTTGAGCGGACGACAGCACCAGAGCGCCCGGCTCGTCCAGGGCACTGCGAAGCGCCGCCCCTCGCAGGGGACACACTCCGACGCCAGGAGAACGAGGGCCGCGGGTGCAGTGGGCGCCTGATGAGGCGGCGGAAAAGCCGCGCCTCTCGTGCGAGCGCGTGAAGCACTCGTGGACGCGCTTCCGGTGCTTCAGGTCCGGCCCGGGCCTCAGGAGCCTACTGGAGACGGAGCACCCTACGCTGGAGTGGCACCAGGCGAACGTTGAACTAGTAGGAGCGGAAAAGCACGTGCCCGTCCTGCATGAAGACCCCCCGCAGCGAGGCCGTCCAGACGCATGCAGCACAGACACCGGATGCAGGGCGTTACTGAGTGGAACAACGGGGATAGAGAAGGACATCCTCTTCAGCGCCCATTGTGCAAACATCCTCAGGGGAGGGTACCTACCACCCCGCAGAGCCCAGTCGAGGGCCGAGGAGACGTGCCCCCCACACAGCAGGGAAGTGGAGGGGCGGCATTCACCAGCCCACTGCCTCGCCTCGAGGGGGAGCTGCCCCCTAACGGTGCCACCGGCGACCAGCACCTTGCTATCCAGAGGGCCGGATCAGGACGGCCTGGACCTGCGCTGGCGAGTCCATCCGGGTGCAGGCGTTCCGGGGCCCCTAAACAGGCCTTCAGCGAGATTATCAGCGCGACCCATAGAATGGGACGCGTGCTCTGTACGGTTCCGTCTGGTCCTTCCTCAAGAATGAGACAGGGACAAGCACGATCAGCAGACGATCATGATTTGCTCCACAAGACAGTTCCAAGGAGCTGCGTCGAGGCCTTCCTCCGGCTGCGCCACGCTGCACCCCTGGGCTCGGTCCCTCAGGGCCCTGAGCATGCTTCTGTGCTGCGGGGGATAGAACCTGCTCATCGGGAGCTGAAGGAGATACCTCGCTCATTGCCCATGCTGACGGCACACTCGTCTTCCATAGTGACGACAGTGACGTGGCGGGGGTAGTCACAGAGGCGACAGGCCTGGTGAAGCAACATGGCTCGACGGTCAACACTGGGTGTAGGAGCACTGAGGGGCAGGAGGCCTCCTTCCTGGCTGGTCTCAAGGAGCCCCCAGGGCAACGGAGAGCCGAAGCTAGTGATGGCACTAATCACTCGCCACGCTGGTCGAGATGGATTCATCATGCGACCCATATGAATCCCTCGACAAGAAATAGGAGTTGGGGTGTTGGCTGACAGAGGCGGACTGATCCTGCCCGCACCGGAGAGTGGTGGTCTGGGCCACCTGCCGGGCATCTGCCGCAGCAGCTGAGTGATCCCTTGACACCCTCGAGTAGATGGGTGCCGGTTGTAGAGAGACGGCCTAACGGTGAACCGGTCTTAATCGCTCTTGGTGCCTCAGACGACGCCTCTTAGAGAGGTGGCCCTGGACCGACGCCTCGACAGATCGACGCATCATCCCCAAGTGTGCTGTGCAGTGCGAGGATGGATGGAGCCCACATGTCAGCTGAGCCAGACGCACTGCACAGGGTGAGCGTCGATGTGATCTTATGCTGGGTGACGGAGCACCTCTGCGATCCATGAGCAGAGGGGTGGGCCGAGCAGGAAGGCAGACCAGGCCGGGTATCTCCTTCGCACCAACTGAGGGCTAACATAGGGGACCCATGAGGAACTGGGATTGACGCCCTGAAGCTCATGACGCACGCGATCTTCGTCATAGAGCACCAGCACCACAAGGCGGCCCTGGACTGCACGGCCGGGATCACTACGCCCAGGCCAGATCACCGCAACTGATAGCCGGGCCATGAGGGCGGTGTTCACTAGGCGCCGGGCAGCAGCCGATCCCGCGGAGGTTGAGTGAAGGAAGGGAGAAGTCCCTAGAAGGCGCTGCGAAGCACAGCAGCTCTCAAGGGAGAGGTGACATAGAACTTCCTCTTCCCCTCCAAAATAGGACGACATTCGAATCTCGATTTCTGGACTCTGGATTCTGGATTTGGAGTGGTGAGCGAGCTCTGGATCCACTACCCACTTGGCGGGGCTCGTACGGGTGCACGAGCTACTCGGGCAGCGGTTGCCTCGGCGAGACAGAGAGTAAACCCCCCTGTCGACACAGGAGACACCAGCATGGCAGGCATGAGCTGGCGCCCTCGCGGTGCTGCATGGAGGGGTTGAGAGGAGTGCCGCAAGTCCTCTGTGCCATGGGAAGGTAAGGATAGGAGTGAACGCACTGCACTCATGTGTGCCTCTAGGAAGTGTGCCTATGTAAAGGCCCGCCAAGAACAGAAGGAGCAAGGAAAACCCTAATCCGTGTGCATGTGGCGGTCCAGACTGTTCTCTGATATACGCGTAGAGCATCTCCATAGGATATATATTATGATAACTTATTGTATGAACAGGCTGCATTGCACTAGGTCTCTATGTGCGCAGGTGCCTTCACTGCATCCCACAGTAACCATTCACTCGCCTATAACGGCCTTTCTAGGCGCAGTGCTCTGTGCTACTCCCTATCCAAGCATCTGTAGCTTTTTACCACGTAGTGTGAACAAAGCTGTCTAACACTGGCCAGGGGATGCTATATTGCTTCTGCATGAAGCTTACCTAGCACAGAACTTGCAAGACGTACGACCGCCCTTTAATGCTCTAGTGCTATATGGCTCTGACTTTTTCAAAGTGGCATCTACACCTTTATCCAGTGAGGTCTTTGCATTAGACAGGCAGATCAACGGCTTTTTGGCTGCAGCCTCTTTCTGAAGGAGTCAGTGTATGAGGAGGTGCACACTAGTTATTCAAGAATGAAAGCAGTGTCATTGCGGTCTCTCCTTAACGACGCCGAGGGCTCTGATGCTGAACAGAAACTCCGGGTATTCATTAATAGTTTTCACATTCCTCACCCTCTCTATAAGGAGCCCTGCACGCCCTGACTTGGCGTCATGCGCCACCCCATATCAGTGCAGGTCAATACACCAAATAGCGCCACAATAGTTCACTGATGAGGGATATATGAAGCCCATCACTCGTATTCGGACAGAAGATCTGCGATGGAGGAGCGGCCGCAGCTCACGGCTATCATTCGCGCTGTCATATCCTTGTTGTCCTTCATACCCTTCTCGTGCTCCAGTAGAAGCTTCACTATATCTGCGTGTCCATGCATAGCAGAATGCATGAGGGCCGTCCTGCCTTTATTGTCCTTCATGCCCTTCTCATGCTCCAGCAGCAGCTCCGCTACATCTGTATGGCCACCTATAGCAGCACACATGAGGGCCGTCCTACCCATACTATTTGCCACACCCCCCTCGTGTTTCAGCAGCAGCTTCACTATATCTGCGTGGCTACCTATAGCAGCATGCATAAGGGCTGTCATGCCATCCTTCTCCTTCATGCCCCTCTCGTGCTCCAGCAGCAGCTTCACTATATCCGCATGGCCACCTATAGCAGCACACATGAGGGCCGTCCTACCCATACTATTTGCCACACCCTTCTCATGCTCCAGTAGAAGCTCCGCTACATCTGTATGGCCATGCATGGCAGCACACATGAGAGCTGTCATGCCATCATTATCCTTCATACCATTTTCCTCCCTGGCAAGGAGCTTCGCGCACTCTGCGTTGTTACCATATGCTGCATTCATAAGAGCTGTCCACCCTTTATTATTTCGCATGCCGCCTTCCTCCTTCAGTAGGAGCCTAACGCACTCTGGATGGCCATTGCGCGCCGCCCACATGAGGGCAGTCTGATGACCATTATTCTTTATGCCAGTCTCCTGCTCGAGCAGCTCTACGATCGCTTCGTATCCTCGTGCTGCGGCATACATAAGCGCTGTCCATCCACTAGCATCCTGGTTCCCCTTCATATGAAGGTTGTTTCTGACTGCGTCAATATCGCCACGGTAAGCGGCGTATATGAGCTCCGTCCACCCTGAGATATTTCTCTCATACTCCATCAGAAGCTCAACGCACTTAGGATAGTCCACCGGGGGGTCATTGGAACGAATACCAGAGCGGCCGCACTGCGCCGCGAGTATGAGAGCAGGCCAGCCAACTCCTCTCACGCCTCCCTCATGCTTCACTAACAGTTCTACCATTTCTGCGTGTCCATGTGCCGCTGCTCTCATTAAAGCCGTGCCTTGGCGTACTTCCAGCTCACCTACTTTAACAGCTCCCTTTGCCATCCTTGCTTTTTGGAAGGGAATAAGGAGCTCCACCATCTCTACGTCATTCCTATCGGTGGCCCTCATAAGCGCAGTAGTTCCATTCCTACTCACCAGGTCGTCATGCTTCATAATGATCCTTGCGACCTCCAGGTTTCCATTTTTAAGGGCATGATACAAGGCGTCGTGATTCTGCCTGTCCTTCGCTCTCGCTTCGTACTTCACCAGCACTCTCGCTACCTCTGCGTGACCGTGTTTAGCAGCCCACATAAGAGCCGTCATGCCACCGTTGTCCTTGCTTCCTGCTTCGTGTTCCGCCAGCACCTTCACCGCTTCTATATGTCCCCTCTCAGCAGCCCAAATAAGGGCACTTTTACCGTTGTGGTCTTTCTCTCTACACTCGTCAAGGTGCTTCCTGATTTCATCCACGTCATTAAGAGCAGCCGCGCGAATGAGGTTAGTCCAATTAGATGTTTCCCTTATATGCTCCACGACCATCCTCAGTGCGCCCATATGGCCTCCGGCGTCCTGCAGGAGTTCAGCCCCACCACGAGGGAGAGGACCCCTCACAACAGGCCCAACACAAGCCTCGATGTTGCTACGCATGTCATCAAACCTGGCCAACGACATTTTTTGTTTTAATTGCTGTAAACAAAATGCGTGTGACGGCAATTATTTTTTGATTTATGCTGTCCTATCTGTAGTTCATCGCAATTACGTGAGGTACTCTCTTGGATAGCTTGTGCATTTTTTATTTTGTGTAATAATCATCTAATGTATAGTGTTCAGTACACATATGGCTTCAGGCCGTAGCCTCGAGGACACTATGGATTATAGTGCTCTGAGTGACTGGGTATGCTGCACAAGCGGTGTAAAGCAGAGCAGTTAATAAAGTCTGAAGTTTAAGCAAATCTTCCCTCACAAAATTGCGGTGTACATCTATAATCTACCGCACTCTAAATCGTAGGTACTCATGGATCCGTATTCATTCAGCAGAATGTCGTGCTGATGTAAAGTACTCACTCGGTATGTGAGTAAGAGCTTTACTCCCAGTCGTGCCTCCTGTGCTTTGCTGTCATTGTGAGAAGTCTTTGGATCAGCGGTCATATATGCATAGGCCTACCAATATTCGAGAAGAGTCAGATACTTACGTCTTTTCCTACACAATCTTACATTCCAATTCACTTTCCGTTTCATCGAGGCTGGTCTGCTACCTGCCGGCCGAGCAATTCGTACCCCGCGCAAGTCCTCCTCCCCGCGGCAAGTGAACCCCGCCCGTTCGCCGCCCCAAGCCCAGAGTCCGGGACTCGGGCCAGAATATCGGCTGAGTCCGGGGGAGAAGAGCCCGACGGGCAACACCCCGCGGCTGTCCTGGCAGGGAGCCCCTGGTACCATCCGACAGGACGGGCGCATGACGGCAGAGCCCAGTGTCCAGTCCCTGGGAAGCCGCCCGGCCCGACGGACCAAGCAATGAGCGCACGGGCTGGCTGAGCGCCGGAGCCCACTCACGGGGGGCCCTCGGGGACCTCCTACGCCATCCACAAGGCGGAGAGCTACTGCGGCCCCTTCTGCGCCTCCCGCCCGACGCCCTTCGGCTCCCTACGGCGAGCCCGATCGGATATCTCTGCCGCCCAGTAGCATGGCCGAGGCCGCGGGGTTGAGCGGACGACAGCACCAGAGCGCCCGGCTCGTCCAGGGCACTGCGAAGCGCCGCCCCTCGCAGGGGACACACTCCGACGCCAGGAGAACGAGGGCCGCGGGTGCAGTGGGCGCCTGATGAGGCGGCGGAAAAGCCGCGCCTCTCGTGCGAGCGCGTGAAGCACTCGTGGACGCGCTTCCGGTGCTTCAGGTCCGGCCCGGGCCTCAGGAGCCTACTGGAGACGGAGCACCCTACGCTGGAGTGGCACCAGGCGAACGTTGAACTAGTAGGAGCGGAAAAGCACGTGCCCGTCCTGCATGAAGACCCCCCGCAGCGAGGCCGTCCAGACGCATGCAGCACAGACACCGGATGCAGGGCGTTACTGAGTGGAACAACGGGGATAGAGAAGGACATCCTCTTCAGCGCCCATTGTGCAAACATCCTCAGGGGAGGGTACCTACCACCCCGCAGAGCCCAGTCGAGGGCCGAGGAGACGTGCCCCCCACACAGCAGGGAAGTGGAGGGGCGGCATTCACCAGCCCACTGCCTCGCCTCGAGGGGGAGCTGCCCCCTAACGGTGCCACCGGCGACCAGCACCTTGCTATCCAGAGGGCCGGATCAGGACGGCCTGGACCTGCGCTGGCGAGTCCATCCGGGTGCAGGCGTTCCGGGGCCCCTAAACAGGCCTTCAGCGAGATTATCAGCGCGACCCATAGAATGGGACGCGTGCTCTGTACGGTTCCGTCTGGTCCTTCCTCAAGAATGAGACAGGGACAAGCACGATCAGCAGACGATCATGATTTGCTCCACAAGACAGTTCCAAGGAGCTGCGTCGAGGCCTTCCTCCGGCTGCGCCACGCTGCACCCCTGGGCTCGGTCCCTCAGGGCCCTGAGCATGCTTCTGTGCTGCGGGGGATAGAACCTGCTCATCGGGAGCTGAAGGAGATACCTCGCTCATTGCCCATGCTGACGGCACACTCGTCTTCCATAGTGACGACAGTGACGTGGCGGGGGTAGTCACAGAGGCGACAGGCCTGGTGAAGCAACATGGCTCGACGGTCAACACTGGGTGTAGGAGCACTGAGGGGCAGGAGGCCTCCTTCCTGGCTGGTCTCAAGGAGCCCCCAGGGCAACGGAGAGCCGAAGCTAGTGATGGCACTAATCACTCGCCACGCTGGTCGAGATGGATTCATCATGCGACCCATATGAATCCCTCGACAAGAAATAGGAGTTGGGGTGTTGGCTGACAGAGGCGGACTGATCCTGCCCGCACCGGAGAGTGGTGGTCTGGGCCACCTGCCGGGCATCTGCCGCAGCAGCTGAGTGATCCCTTGACACCCTCGAGTAGATGGGTGCCGGTTGTAGAGAGACGGCCTAACGGTGAACCGGTCTTAATCGCTCTTGGTGCCTCAGACGACGCCTCTTAGAGAGGTGGCCCTGGACCGACGCCTCGACAGATCGACGCATCATCCCCAAGTGTGCTGTGCAGTGCGAGGATGGATGGAGCCCACATGTCAGCTGAGCCAGACGCACTGCACAGGGTGAGCGTCGATGTGATCTTATGCTGGGTGACGGACCAGCTGCAAGAGTGCACTGTGATTCATGAATAGGAGGGCAAACCAGAAGCCAGACCTCTCCTCCAACGCCAACGCATGGGAGTACTCCGCCGGCATCCACGAATGCGTACTATGATTCCAAGATAGAGGCGCACAGGGAGCGCACCCCCGACAGCAGGGTCGATGGTCCACGTCATAGGGAGACGAAGAGGCACCTCGAGGAACGGGGTAGACACCCGGGGTCATAGCGTATCCCATCTTCGTCATGGAACACCAGGGTCCCGGGCCACGTGGAGACCAGATCGCCGCGACTGACGCAAGGCCCGAGACAACGGGTGCCCACTAGATATCAGACGATGGTTGACTCCGACGGGCCAGAGGAAGGGAGGAACCCTAGAGGTAACGTGAGGAGCAACGGCTTCCGGGGGACGGGGCACAGAGTCTTCTCCTGTCGGGATCGAGGGCATCTGACTCTCGAACTCTGGATTTGGATCCCAGGCGGCGAGTGGGAGGCCTACCCAAGGCGGCGGTGGCTCGCATGGGAGATCACTCAGACAGCAGGTGACAGCCCCATCTCAGACTTAGACTAACCAACTATTTTAAATTAAATTCTGCTTTTAAAGAGAGCCTGCCTGCGATGCAGTTGATAGTTAGATCTCTTGACCGCACGGTGGCGCTCACAGCAAGTCCCGCAGACAGCCTGACCAGCATTAGACAGCGCCTGCTTGCCGTGTACTCTGGGCATGTCGTCGATAGCCAGCGCTTTGTCTTTGCAGGCCGCACTCTGGATGAGGCGAAGACCCTTGGGGATTATTCTATTGGTGAGTCGTCTGTGCTGGACCTTGTTCCCCGTCTTTTCGGAGGTGTCATGGAGCCCACGCTTATCAACCTAGCCCGCGAGTACAATCAGAACATGATGATCTGCCGCCACTGCTATGCCAGGAACCCGCTCCGCGCAACTAACTGCCGCCGCTGCCGCGGAACGAATCTCCGCAAGAAGAAGCTCTCGAAGTATGCATAAGGCGTTACACCTCTTTTGCTTTCTCTTACACTGTGGCCGCTACAGTATCCCTCTGGATCTCGCCACGTGTGGTTCTGTGGAGTAAATAATCAGGTGCAGCTTCTAGAGCGTTATCATCTCGATTGCAGAATTTCAAAAAAGATTATGGCGGAGGCGACGACGTCTGCACACGAGAGTAAGAGCAGCTCGTCGCACAAATATAAATTTGTGTCAAAGAAGGGTGCCGGAGCATTCTCAGATGTTATCAAAGCACAATGTGTGAAGACAGAAGAGTACGTTGCCATCAAGCGCATGAAGGCGACGTTCAAGTCCATTGAGCAAATCACAAGTTTACGGGAAATTCAATCTCTACGTCGGCTGGCAGACCAACCGTTCATTATACGTCTGATAGAAATTCTCTTTGATAGAACCACCGGACGGCTCGCCCTGGTTTTTGAGCTGATGGAAATGAACCTCTATGAACTTATTAAGAATAGAAAATATCACCTTCCAGAGTCTAGTATTAAGTGGTATATGTGGCAACTTCTTCACGCAGTACGCATTGCACATGCGTCAGGCACTTTTCATCGTGACATCAAGCCAGAGAACATACTTTTGGATGACAAGGACAATCTAAAGCTTTCTGACTTTGGCTCCTGCCGCGGAATTCACACCCAGTTACCCTATACAGAGTACATATCTACCAGGTGGTACCGCTCCCCAGAGTGTTTGCTTACGGACGGTGTCTATGGACCTGAGATGGATCTCTTTGGTGTTGGCTGCGTGATGTTTGAAATAACTGCTCTTTTCCCATTGTTTCCAGGGAAGGATGAGTTGGACCAGATCACTCGTATACACGCCATCCTTGGGACCCCTCCCAAGGAGCTGATTCAGCGAATTCGCAAGGGTGCAAAGAATAACCCAATAAAGGGGGACTTTCCACCACAGAAAGGCTCTGGATTGGCAAAGCTTATCCCGCACGCTAGTTCGACAGCCATCGATTTGATGCTTAAGCTCATGGAGTATGATCCGCAGAAGCGCATCACCGCCGAGGAGGCGCTGCGACACCCGTTTTTTAAAGATATAGGTGAAATAGTAAGGCTCAAGGCACCTACAATGCCCGCTGGATGCTTGGAAAAGCTTGGGTTCACTCTGGATGGCAGGGGGGCAGATGCAGAGGATGGCACAGGTGCTCGGAAAGCCACAAGGGAGAGACACGGAGACACTGTTGAGGGTACGCCCACCCCCGGGGACTTGGCTGTCACCGAAGAGACCCGGTCTCGACAAGTTGCCAAGCGGCCGCAAAAGACGCCACCCGGAGCCAAGCGAATCGGCCCTTCAGGGGTGCTGCAAGCCGGTCAAGGGGGAACCAACGGCTTGCTTGTTAGTATGGGCAGTCTAACTCAGACAAATCATCCACCAAAACTGTCAGACTCTAAATCTACCGATAATGTTCTACCACATAAGCACTTCCAAGCCTCCGAGCAAGAAGGAAGTGTTCCAAAACTTCCCACGCTCACCAGAACGCCTCCAGCCCGAACAAACCACGGATTAACCAACGTAGTTCTCCAAGGAAGCAATAGCGCCCAGACCAAGCTGGGGCCGCAGACCAAACAACAGCTGATCTTTACTAAGCAAACGCACGGAGGAAAGGGTAAGACAAGCACATCCGTATCTCCGGGTTTGGAGCAGAACAACCTCCCCGTTCTGGGGGCAAAGAACTACACTGTCACAACGCAAAGACCATACCAAAATAAGATTGGCGTTAGCTCTCCGTATCGGGATCACGTCAAGCGCAAGTAAATACCAATGTTCCTGCAAGTTCCAGAGGACCCCAGAGCGATCGCGCTTGGAGTACCAGCAATCAAAAAATGAGCGGGAGACCGATTATAGCACTGACTTTGGACATTGAAAAGACGTACCGGGGCATACACGGACTAACAAGCAAGCTACGCACTGGCGTGAACCAACCACAAATGGCTTCCATGAGGCCCCAGACAGACGACAGAGGGTACCTTATCGTCCGGATCAACGACTGCTTTAACGGTAGATACTGTGCTGAACGGCCCCTTGGACAGGGCTCATTTGGTAGAGTGGTGCTGGCAAAAGACACCGTGAATAACGCATATGTTGCCATTAAAATCATGAAAGCCGGGAAGCTGTTCACGCATAAAGGAAGAGAAGAAGCAGAAATAATGAGCCTACTCTCTGATGAAGATCCACCTATCTCGTGCAAGTTCATAGAGTCCTTTATGCAAGGAAATCATTACTGCATAGTTATGGAGGCATTAGGGTCCAATTTATATCATCTCCTCAAGAGCACAAAGATGCAGGGATTCCCTCTCCAGACGATACGTGTCTGGGCGCGGAAGTACTTGACGTCGTTCAAGAAACTCCAGCACGAAAGCATACGGATTATCCACACAGATTGCAAACCAGAAAACACCTTGATACCGTTCAACAATACCTGTGTGGAGGACATTCGCATAGTGGACTTCGGATCCGCTGTCCGGTATCCCGAAGGCCAGATGTTCTTGTACATTCAGTCACGCTACTATCGTGCACCAGAAGTCCTTCTGCTCCAGCCATACGACTACCAAATAGATATATGGAGCATTGCAGCGATACTCTTCGAGATGCACACGGGGAAGGTGCTCTTCCCGGCAAAATCTTCGGAAATTTTGTGTTACATGATGGTAGACATACTGGGCTATCCTCCAAAAGAGATGATCATGGACGAAGAGCAGAAACAGATAAGTAACAGTCTTAAGAGATACTTCAAAATGCGGAAGCAAGAAGACGCGGAGCTGTTCCATCTAAATGAAAACGCCTTCCCGCACCAGGTAGTGCCTGACAGCTACCTTTTAAACAAGAGCGTTATTGAAATGGCAGAAGCCCAGAAAGAACGGATATTTGGGAGACCCCTTCGTGAGCTCATTCGAAATCCCGTTATGACTCAGTATGAAGGACACACCAGTGCAGACTACGAGGAATTTGAAGAGTTTTTGTCGAAGATCTTAGTATATGACCCGAAGAGGCGGTGGACAATAGACGAAGCCCTAAACTCGCGGTTTCTCAGTCACTAAGCCGGGCGGGGGATTATGGAAAGTGTCTTAAAATTCAAAATTTTAAAAAAGTTGATCCGATCTGTAAACTTTATGCCTCCAGCGTTGTTTCAAGCAACGGCCAGGAGCTTGTTTTCAAAACTGAAGATGTATACCTCAGATACCGGGGGTGGGAGTACTGCGTCGATGCAGGGCAGGAATAGAAGATCCTCTGGGCGCCATCTTGCCTCCATGTCCATGGGATCAAGTAGAGTCCGGGACCTAGAGGGAAGTCTGTTTGATGACCAAAGCAAAGATGAAGATGATAGAGCGCAATACCGCGGAGTTCCCGCGTCTCAACTCTCTTGGCACATGCAGAAGAAAATCTTATCAAAGAAGCTCTTCTCCGGTGTAGAGGGCTCCTCAGCTCTCGTCAGCTCTCACTTTGGTGACTCCACTACTCTTTATAACAAGGCGTCGTCATTGGGAGGTAGATTATTATATCTGATGGCTGCGTGTCGCAAGCCTTTGGAGTCTGTCAGTGTAGATGACATGTACCAAGTGTTTGGGGCGGACGCTGAGAACGTAAGCCCGGTATATTTCGATATTCTGGAGTTTGTAGGTCTCTGTTTGGATTCTCGGAGATTGCGGAGTCGTTCTGTCACCTTTGATGAGTCCATTTTCTCTCCTGACATGCCTTTACTGTACGTCACTCGAAAGTTTGAGCAGGTAATTTTGAAGTATGTGCCGGTGGATTCACCCTTGTTTGAAAGGATTGATGGCATGCAGGATCAGTGCGAGGGTAGAGTAAGGTATGACAGGCACTACTGGGATGCCTATCCTGCTATCTCCTACGTTAGCCAGCTGATTATGTATACGCTCCTAGATACTGCGATACGGGAACGAGATTTAGAAGAGATTGATTCAGCAACCCTGTACGGGAGTGGAGTCATGACAGACAATAGCGAGCCCCTTTATCCCATGGTTTATGTTCTGTTCCGCATGGGCCACTATGAGTCGCTGACTTTTTTGCTAGAGCGGTACTCCATTGGAGTCCCGGACATTGTCAGCTCTGTGTGCTCTACATTCTGGAAAATATATCAAGGAAACCAGCGCGGGGATGTAGACGTCGTAGTCCGTGAGACGGCTGCACTAAAGGCACTTCTAAACTCAGGAGGGTATGCCAGTCTGGTGTCGTCAAGCACATCTGCAGAAACAGATCTCTTCTTACTGGACTTTTTGCACTTTTTCAAACCCTATTCCATACAGGCTCTTCTAGACAGCCTCCAGCACGTCAGTGTTGAGCCCAGCAAGGGGTTCGATTGTGTATTTGAATTTTCTAACCTGTTTCACCTGTCTCTCAGCATGTTCCTGTATACAGAGACGCCCGCAGAGCATTTATGTATTACTATGGATGATGTCAATTTTCAGATTACGCAACACAATATGTCTCCCATTCGCTCGCTGATATCGTTCCATAATGTCTTGACGTACAACTTCTACAACGCAATATATGTCCTGGCTGCCGAGGTTGACCTTCTCCCGGAGGCCGTTGGACTTTACTTCCTGTTGGCTATTGTATGCCGTTCATACCATCTCAATGGTGGCAACTTTGACGTTGTTCCTGCCGCTGCTGTCACTGAGATGAATACAGGGTGTGTGGTGTCGGACACGTCTTTGAAAGCGTTTGCTGGTGTTAAAGATGTCTACGACATGCCGCTTTGTGAGTTTGACGAGGCCTCGATGGCATCTTTCGTCAATCCAGAGCGCCTAGACACAACCACAGCCATGGGGATGGGCTCGGTCCTGTTTGCCTTTCTTCTTTGCCACTGCATACATTCGAACCACATGGAGATGATATGGATCTCTAGAGTTCTTCCTATAAACGCGCAGCTTATGCTTCTGGCAACAGTACTCCCATTTTTACCGCCTAACGAGAGCATTGTAAGCCAGACATACTTCTCTCAAGAGATCTACCCTGTTCTTCGATCTAGCATTAATCTAGACGCTCTCAAAGACACTGTTTTAGTGTCAGATTTTGTGGGATACCCCCATAGACTGCACAGATTGCTCATCTTTCTTCTTGGCGGTGCCTACAAGCTAAAGGGAGAAGCAGTCATAGCCTTTGAGTACTATAAAACATCGCTCACACACGGCAATGGTTTGGAGTTGGCTTTTGAGTGCTCTGCGATGATTTTAGAAGCAGGGCCAGTATCCAATCACCAGCGTCTGCTTCCCATGTTAGCGTCTGCGTCTAAGCTGCGAATCTTGTACCAGAGCAACGAGAATATGCGTTCGGTTTCGTTGGAAAGCATGTTTGGGGACACTTTGATATCAGATGCTAATAGCAATGCACATTCCCGCGGTAAGGCTGCAACCGAAATGGCTCTTCACACTCTATCCTCCAGCCTGTATTATGGTTACAGGCATGTGTGGACGATGCTTGTCCTTGTCGAGGCCAAGGCAACATTGGAGGACACAGGCAATATGGAAGAGGTTGTGCGGTTATGCAATAGAGAAAGTGGACTGCAGAATATGGTGATGAGCAATGCTCCAATTAACCCTAGACTGGCAGAGAAGGCCACAGTGATTGCAAACTTTCTTCTGAACACTTACAGTCACTGTCAACTTGGTGGATATGCGGGTTTGGCTACAGAGTTGGCAGTAGTCCGCGAGCTGTGCAGGAAGGCACACGTTGATCAGTACAGTATGGATCTTGCCGTGCAAATGTGTAGAGATGCAGATGTATAGCTTACCACTGTGCCTACAACACTTTCACTCCTTCTTTTGCATTGGTAGAGAAGGGATCCACACAAGTGTGTCAAGCCAAAACACGCATTTACTTTGATATTATTTACTTTGCTATTCGAGAGCCTAAGTAAGCTAAGCGGCTGCACGCACCGGTTCTCGTTCCTGTTTTTCGTATTCATACTCCTCTTCAGTGCTCACCTCACGCTCCTTCTGCATGCGGCCCTCTGACTCCTCATTATCGTGGAACTTGACCGGCTTCTTGCCAGCAGTTTCAGTTACTAGGCTCTTGTATGCCAGCGTAGAGAAATTGTATATTTCATCATACTTTCCTTCCTTGAGCTGTGTGAGGAGCTCTTTTTGGATGGTCTTTTCTATCTGTGCTGCTGCCAAGGCCTTTGCCTGCCTCAACATGTCTCGCCGCTCAGCCTTCTTCTTGATGTGTACTAGTCGTGGCTCTATGGTTTTCTCAAGTCTGTGCATCCGGATATGCATTTCCTTTATCTTCTTGAGGCGCAAACGGCACTTGTCGCGTATGTGCACCGGCCAATATTTGAGATTCTTGTGGAGCTGCTTGACGGCCAATTTGTAGTCCTGCGAGAGTTCCACCATTTCCCATTGTTCGGATGGGAGATGCGCACGCTCGATAACCTTCATATGAAGAACTATGTGTCCGTTAACGTCCAGGACGGTGGCGTATTGACTGTTTGCTAAGGGACAGAACTTTCTCTCACAGATACCTGTAATGTTGTACTTATTGGTGCAAAAGATGGTCCGATCTGTTTTAATCTTAAAAGAACAGAAGCCGCGGTTTATGCATTCCCAGACTATCCCGTCTGCCGACATTTAAATAACAATTTCTTAATTTTAGTTTAAAATTCAAATTACCATGAATCACATTAGAAATTTTAACTTGTAAATCTAGCTTGGGTCTGGCCTTCTAGTCAACTTGTGTTTATGTCTGCGCCCGACACGGCTCTCCTGGACACGCTCTTGGCTGGCCTTTCGGATCGCAATGCAGCAACTTGCATCCTGAGAAGGGCACAGCAGGCCGCACATGCCCCTGAACAGTATGTCAAAAATGTTCGTACCTCCTTATTCCCGGCCCATCTTGACCTTCTTAACACGGTAACACCGACAGCTCTATGGAGGGAATGCGGTCTGCCTGTGACTGATGAGAAGAAAGACTCGTTAGTAGCAGCAGAAACAAACTATCTGGATCTCAAAAAAAGCCTTGTTCAGATCATTGCAACCCAAAAATCGGTAATTGAGCAGACAGGTCCGCCGAGTGATTATGCCTATGCAGGTGCAAGTGATTACTGCCTTTTGCGAAACGCCATGAGCGACCTTCTTACCTTGGTAGATGTAATTGCAGGAAATACTGAGCTTAAAGAGTTAGCATTCGAGCTTACAACGGGAGTGACCGTTCCTCCTCCTTGTCTTGTAGCTTCTCTGCAAGATTTGCGTGGCAAGCTGGAGAGATTGATGAAGTTTAAAGAGGCTCTTAGTCGGTATCGCACGGCTGCGACTGACCTCAAAGCGGTGTTGGAGAACGTTCCTAGGCTGGAACCGCTAACAATACCCCTCCCAGATTCGGGTACTCCATAGCGTCTCACTGTGCTGCACAGGTGATTACAATTAAATGCAAATAAAAATGTCCCCTCGCACGTTCCTTTTCACCTCTGAGCAGGTTTCTGAGGGCCATCCCGACAAAATCTGCGACCAGATATCTGACCGAATCCTGGACACCATTCTGGCCCAGGACAAAATCGCAAGGGTCGCAGCAGATGTTGCAATAAAAGACAACACTGTCTTCCTTCTGGGCGAGATATCCACCACTGCGGTTGTCGATTACAATCAGATTGTGCGAGATGTTCTCAGAGAGATAGGCTATGAAGATGAAAAGACGTCGTGCGACTGGCGCACCGTGGAGATAATAAATCGCATCAGCAGTCAGTCACCAGACATCTATCAGGCAGTGTTTCGTCAGGATGAGCTTTGCGCAGGTGATCAGGGCATCATGATAGGATACGCCTCGCAGGAAACGAAGGCTCTGATGCCCGCAACCCACTTGTTTGCCAATCTTCTTGCCATGCGTCTCAGCCGAGTAAGAAAGACAGGTGTACTGCCGTTTCTGAGGCCAGACAGTAAGACACAAGTCACCATCAAGTACGAAGAAGACCCTTTGACTAAGGAGCTCAGACCGATATTCTTAGACACTCTTATCATTAGCACAATGCACGCTGAAGAAATAGGCAACACGGCATTGCGCACTGCAATTTTCAAGCACGTTGTAATTCCCACGCTGAAGCAGCTGAAGGAGGACGAAGGTCTTAGTCTTCAAGTACTGCTTCCGGGGTGCGAGGATGGAAACCTGGAGAGGTTTGACTATGCGAGTTGGCCAATCGAGGACATCTGTCGCGGCCACTACAACAAGTGTGGTAGCGATCAGCCACAGTACACTAAGCTTCTCATCAATCCATCAGATCGCTTTGTAATTGGAGGGCCCAAGAGTGACTGTGGCCTAACGGGACGTAAGGTCATCGCAGATAGCTATGGAAGTTTTGGGTCCCACGGCGGCGGAGCCTTCAGCGGCAAGGACGCCTCAAAGGTTGACAGGTCTGGAGCCTATTTGGCCAGGAACATCGCCATGAGCCTCTGCTCCCCTATGAATAATATCTGTAAGCGCTGCATGGTGCAGATAGGGTATGCTATAGGTGTTGCCGAGCCGGTATCTATCTTTGTCGAAATGTATGGCTCAGAATTGAAGCCAGAGTATGCCGATCAACAACTGATAGAAAGGGCGATTCGAAGGACCTTTGGTCTTACGCCGGGCAAGATCATACAGGAGTATGCTCTGGACACTCCTATCTTCTTCAACACAAGCAGATATGGGCACTTTGGACGCTCAGAGTTTCCGTGGGAACAGCCCAGGCGTCTCACACTTGACTAGAAAAGCAGTGTACAGTGTAGTAAACTAGTCTGCTGTAGTAGATCATCACATGACAGGCGTGGCAACAGGTCTTTTGTGTCGAGTTCCCCCGTTTTTAGAGGCAATACTACAGAATTTAGAGGAAAATTTCAAAAAACAACTCAACATTCAGTAGATGTCTAACCTGCACAGTTCGTCCGGATGCTGTACACCAGCGTGTCCACTGACTACCGTACAGCGCACAGAACTAGGTCTAATTCCTGCGTCCCCGCGGCGGACCCATAGTCCTATAGACATGAGTTTGAGCCCAGCCCTGTTGGAGCCCCTTGCACGGCTTTCCTCCAAGAGGGCTACGAACTATCAGGAAGAACACCCACAGGACGACGTTTTCAGCACACCCATTCTTAAAATAGACAATACTGGGGGGACTGATGCAGAGACGCTAAGCAACGATCTGCGGGCCTTTGGTCCCATGCGACAGCGGCCAGAGATGGACACCATCCCACTTAGTAATAAATACGGGAGCAAAGACCCCCTATGGGACCTGGATTACTCAGACTCTGACGACCAGCACGATGCTCTAGAGCCCAATCTAAAGCGTCCTATTGTGAGAGAGAGGCAACAGCAGAATCTATTGGCTACCACACCGCGGATACCACTCGGTTTTGACGGCGATATCTCGCAGGCGTCCGATGTCTTAAACAGTGCCGATTTGGACAGACGCCCCATCATGGTCTTCGACTCCCCTCCCAACTCCCCCTTGGCCGACGCAATCGCTAGAATACCATCAGTTTTGAGTCTAAGTCGCCTTCCTCTACTAGATAATGCGAGCTCCTGCTTTGACACAACTGACTTATCCAGGCTTTTCCACGGAGCTGCAGATAATGATATCTCCTGCCCACCACGCCAGCTTGTACATGAAACCAGGTAAGCCGCAGCAAAGCCGTTTATGAGTGATTTACTGCACACCATCCATCACTCTAAAGCACTGCATTTGGCACCCGCTTGCAAAGACAAGGTTTGGTGAAATGCGCAGAGCAAGGGCGTGTTATCCATTTGATTGGTGGACTGATGGAAATAGTTGAAGCCGGTGGTGCCAAATAGCAGGAGAGAGCTCTCTGTAATCTATCTAAGTCGCTTGCACCTCGGCCAAAAACACAATTAGTGAACGACATGTTACTCAGCAAGACCATTTTCTAGGTCTGTCTCTGTGCCTCAGTCGAGCTCCTCGTCGGTGCAAGCTGCGGGGCAGAACTTTAGCTGGATTGTCCCTAGGAGTGTCCGCATGTCTTGAGTAAGCACGTCTCGGCACCGCGTTTTTATCAGCTTGATCCCTTTAAGAGACTGCTTTTGGGCGACCAGCACTGAAAGGCTTGCTACGTCAGCTAGAGACCCACTATCGCCAGAGTAGGCTTCTGTGATCATCTTAGCTAGACGCAAGTTCCCAGCGGCAAGGGAATGAAGAACATAAAGGCAAAATGCCTTCTCTGTTTTCATCAGTAGAGGATTGAGATAGCACCCGCGAGCGGCTGTGGCGTACTGTTGGTCGGGAGGGAGATACGGGCCAATCCACGAGAGAAGGTCGGGTCCCATGGGTACCCCGGTGTTGGAAAACCAGGTTTCTATGGCAGCACCCAACTGGTCCACATCTGTTACCTGAATAACTGCAAGCGCCTCAAAGGCCAGTCGTAATCCATCTATAACAACAACTTGATTCTTTTGCTTTGCAAGACACGTAATTATCTTCACAACAAGGCCCTTGTACTCGTCCGGGTTCGGGCACTTGTATACCGCAAACATGTGCAGAGCGTTTGTGGCAAACGTGAAGGCTTCTTCATACTTCTTTTGGCGCATAAGCTTATCAATGGTGCTGGTTGCTGTGAGGAGAGCCTCATACCAAGAGGATGCATGGAGATGAGCCTCGACCCTATCCATTTATAATTTTAAAGATCCGTCCATGCTTGTCAAAGTAATGTTTGGGGCCACCCACGACCCCAACATTCTATATTTAACAAGAACACAGCTCGATGACAATGTCCTTGTCATTAAATTAGAAGATAACAGAGTCTTACTGATAGTGTCTGAGAACGACTTTAGCCGCGCATGCATCAGGTGTAGCCACGCACACGTGATGCAGCACTTAGATTTCGAGGAAAGATGTTCGTCCGTCTCCCAAATTATTTACACCATCTACAAAAGATATGGCGGTACTTCCATACTGATGCCCTTCACCTTTCCGGTGGGCCTGTTTGTTAAATTGAAAGAACTCTCACCATCTATCCCAATGACCATAGTTAAGAATCAAGCTTTTCTAATAGAACGCTTGCGAAAAACACCCATGGAGTTACAATACATTAAGGATGCTGTCAGAGCTGCCACTGTTGCATTTTCTCTTATTGAGGATGTTCTTCGCAGGTCAGTCATCGAACTGGACCCCGCTGCTGGCTGCATTCCAAAGACCGCAGACAAACCTGGCTCTGTAGCCTTTCCTATTTTCACAGATACCAACTCTACTCGATCCAAACGTCTCTCTGAATACCCTCAAAGCTCCCATGAAGCACAGTTCATCCAAAACGACAAGGTCCCCACAAGTCAATACTCAGGCATTTCTGGCATGGAGCCCGAAGGCCTGGAGACATATGTTAGCATAGACAACTGCAAATACATTTTAAAGGACACAAAGACAAACGAGACAGTGACAGCTACTTATCTCAAGAACATGGTGCGCACGGAGATGGCGAGGTTGGGCTACTTTCTGGAGTCGTGCATAATTGCCTGTGGAAGGCAGGCATGCGACCCGTCTTGCCACGGGTACGGGGTCCTACGTCCCAACGAGTTGATTGTGTGTGACATTTATCCCAGGTGCATAGAATCAGGATACTACGGTGATATGACGCGTACATTCTTGAAGGGCACCCCTAGCCCCGACCAACAAAAACTAATGCAAACTGTGCTACATGCACAGAGCATGGCAATACACGAAATTATACCGGGAAAACCATATAGAGACCTGAACAAAGTGGTTAATGACCTCTTTCTTTCCATGAACTACACAACGAAGAAGGTAGGCTCACACTGGCAAGGGTTCTGCCACGGACTAGGGCACGGGGTCGGCCTAGAGATCCACGAACCGCCATTCATAGACGGTGAGGAGACATCCGATGTCTGCACTGTGGGCACAGTCTTTACCATCGAGCCTGGACTTTACTATCCGAGCATTGGAGGCTGCAGAGTTGAGGATGTGGTGGTTGTAACTGAGGATGGGGCCGAGGTACTAGGGAGCTATAGCTACAATTGGATAATTCCATAAGAGCCTGTGAATGTCTCTAGAAGCAATAAATTTCTTTTGGTCACTTCCTTTGTGAAGTTATTGTTGCGTTACTATGGTAAGTGGTCCCCCTGGGCGAGTGCTGTTGTACGGTTGTTTCTTTCTGAACTGCTGGCCGGTGGAGGATACTGTGTGAGACGGGCATGCTTGATAAGCCCTGGCCAAACTCAAGGATCCATCACTCCACAAGATGCAGATCCCTTCACACTGTCTCTGGCTCTCATTTTGGAAACCACAGTACAGATATCTATAGAATGCGAACGATATGATTTGTGATCCAGGAGACACTTCCGGAGACGTGTACGCCTTGTCGATGCGCATAAGAACAGGCTGGGACTGAGCACCGATGCGTTGGGGGTGCACAGAAAAAGATCGCCGAGGACGTGGTATGGAGAGTGTATAAAAAGCTGTGCTATCCCCGTTGCGGCATAGCATGTGAAAGCTTCGCGTCGAACTAAAATTGGTACTTGATAACTGAAGCATAGCTGGAGGAGCTAACCCTAGCTGTCCTGCAATAGGGCATGGGAGGCTAAACTGGTAGAAAGGTATGCCTCCACCGTGAATATCAGTAGCAATCAGAGAAGAAAATGAAACATCGAAAGCGAGGATCCAAAGTGCGTGCTTGGTTCTTGTTGCAGACGACCAGCACAGAAGCCAGGACCCATCATCACTCAGGGCTAAAGGATCCTTTGCTGGATAGAGTGTGTCCAGAGTAATTCCAGTGCTTCGGTTGATAAATGGTAAATGCCAAATCCTCAAGAAAACCACGTCCTGGTCATCATCAAGCCCCAACGAGTTATCTCGCAAATTAATTAGAAACGTTATGACTAAGATCTCCGGTTGCATTGATTGCATCGGCTGCATCGTTGCTGTGCTAACACAGATCTTGAGAAAGGATGCTTCCTCATACAGTTTTAGTTGGTTGCATGATAAGCTATAGGGCCACACATCAGGATGAGAGGATTGACATTTTGATCCCTGCAAGTGTGCCTCCCGGAAGAAAGAGGGTGCCCCGTGGTCGATTGCAGTTGTAATGGCAAAGATTGGTTGATTCAGCACATATTTATATGCATGGATACTTGACGAAAGCTCCAAAGGCTCACTACTATAATCTAAACTTAAATTAGAGTTGGATGCACTACTGTTCTTAAGCATCATACTAGAAACTTCATAGAGAATAATAAACGAAGGAGATGAGAAATATTCCCCCCTCTCTGGGAGGTACCGTACACCATATCCAGCAGCAATCGTAATCACGTACAGGTTTTCGGTCTTATGAACGGTCAAGCCGTGCAGAGGGCCGGGATCTGCTGACTGCTTTCTAGCCAAGCATACTACCTGTGCGTGGACAGGCCCTATGGCGCCGGTGATTTGAAGTGCGTAGATGGCTGTTGTGGTAGAGTAAAACAGATAGCTATCACAAAAAGCAATCGACGTTACCATGGCATCGGAGAACGTTGGAAGCAACAAACTGTTGTATTGGCTATCCGCTTCCGAATTTCTTTGTGCAATGTTCCGAAAGAGCACCCTGTTTCCGCCGTTCCAGACCAGTACATAATCACCAAATGAATACACAGCCAGGGCTGACTGGTCAACAAAATGAGTGCTCAGTATTAGCCCCTTTTCCTTCTGCGCATGTGCCTGCTGCTGTTGCTGTTGAAAACGAAGCCCGTTGTGGGGTGTGTAAGGAGCTATCTGCTCTTCTTTTTCAGGCCTAGCCTGATGATGCTGAATCATAATATGTAGAGGTTCATGAGTACGAAGATCTTTGTGAAGCTGCCCAGGGCCAAACAGTCGTCTATTGCGCGGAAAGCCCCGCCTTCCATAGCTCATTTTTCATTGTTCAATTATCTTGCTCAATTGTTTTGCTCAACTGCTGGCCAGGGAGGTGGTCTGGCTTAGCTATCCCACGCCATCAGAGGACCCAGTACAACTGACTGTGTGGGCACGTGTCCGCATGTGAAGCTGCAAGGTCGCTTCGTAGGTGAAGAGTGTCCCAAACCATTTACACGTAGCCACTATGCAAGGAGCTGAAATATTTCCTGCACGGGGTAAAAGCTGTATTGCTGTGTGTAAACCAACTGGGCACCAAGGGTTATAGTAGATGAAAAAGGCGTGACCTTATGCCCACTATCGACGGATCCTTGGATTAGAACCTGATAGAATTGCATATTAGGCTCCTTAGCCATTGGAAAAGTGATAGATGAGGTTACTGCATCTACGGAAAATTTAGCGTTTTTAGCGCCGTAAGTCTCTGCTCTGTGCTTGTATGCGCTTTCTAACGTGTTGTACAGTACACCGTTGTCCACGAGAATGTACCCCAGCTGCTTGTTGGGGTGTTTCTGAAAATCTAGCATGTGTGGTAGTCTATGAAGGGTATCGTGGTTTAAATTGGAGAGCCAATTATAATAGGACACGACCCAGTAATATATTAGTGATTCGAGCACGCTTCCATCGTTGACAGAGGCCATAAGGCTTTTTAAAATGCGACAGAAGATTCACTTGCTTCCCTCAAGGATTGACAGCTTAACTTGTAGTACGGCGTTTTCTTTGTACATTCTAAGAAGGTCTTCACCCAATAATCGTGAGTTCTCCATCTCAACCTGCAGTTCGCTGGAAGCGTTTGAGGAAGCACTTAGAGATACAACCGAGGCTCTACTAGTAGCTGCCAATTTCTCCCGCAGCAAAAGGTTTTCCTTTTCTAGTACCGATACTCGTTTGCGAAGCTCCATCAGTTCGGTTACCTCTGCCTTTGGAGTGGAGGACTCTTCATCATCCGCTGCATAAGAACTAAACCGAGACGCGGCCTTAGATGGTTGCTTTTCCTGTGAAGCACCCATTTCCGGGCACAACTCAGCTTTGGGTGTGGGGTATCGTATTCTTCCCTTGGGAGTCTCTGGGATAGTGATGGATAGAGACCCGTTGAAGAGCTTGCGTGCAGACTTCTGTGAGGCCCTGTGTTGTTTCTTCGCCTGTGCGCTGTCATCGCCAATGAACTCTGTACATTCTCTGTGAACTGCCTGTTCTTGCTCTTCTTGCATTTGCGCTTGCTCTTTGCGTATGGCAGCGTCGGCGACAATCTGAAGGTAATTGGAAATGTCGTCATGCCCATTGCGCTGCGCAATGTCTGCAGAAGCCTGCACAACGCTAAGTTCATAGACGCTCTCGTTCAAAAGGTACTCGCAAACGTCTTTGTGCCCACTTGCCGCTGCATAGTGCAGGGCCGTAAACATCATGTAGTCGTCGCGTGCACCAATAGCAGGCAGCAGCACCTTGCATACCTCCAACTTTCCGGCCGAACTGGCCAACATAAGCGCGTCCACGCCTGTGCTAGTGTATACATCCTTTTCTGCGTCAAGAACAACGGAGACAACGTCTAAGTAGCCTAGTTGGGCGGCTATCATAAGTGCAGTATGCTCCTGGCTCTGCTGCTTACCGCCCTCGAACGGGAGTAGAGCCTCGACAATATCTGCACGATTTTGCCGCGCAGCTTGATGGATAGCGTATTCTGAACCATCCAGAGGCTTTCCAGCATATATGCGTGCCAATTGGCGAATAAGCGTCGCGTTCATCACGCGCACAGCATTTAGCCAGGCCTGACTCACAGTCATTTTAAGGGCGATTTCTATTAAATATTTAGACCACTCGGGTCTAGCAGGCTTTTAATATGTTGGTGAGCGTTTTCAATACTTGCCAAGTGATAGAACGTTAGAGTTACGCCATCGTCGTTTGGATATAGCGTGGCGTACTCAATAGCGCCCAAGGGATAAATGATATAGTCACAATCCTCTGGGTTAGATAGCGATTTGGGCTGGGACCGCCTTGTAGCAGCTGTGAATATTTCCCGGGGACGCGGAAACTTGACGCACGGACAGAGGAACATTACGTTGTACCACGGAGTGCTCCGCCCAACTCGACAGCCAGCCAGATTCTGCGGAATAGGGAGGCTGGGCCTTCCTATGCTATTGGCTTCGGTGAGAAACTGGCGGAGCACATCTAAGGTATCTATGTCATGCACTATTGTTATCTGAGGGTACTGCTGCTGACCATTTAGATGTGTATTATCATACTGTATGTACCTCGGAGTCTCGTCTTTCATATACGGGTGCGGAGGCCTGGGATTGCTTGAATATGAGCCGTCGGCACTGACTGCCTTCTGGGGCCCTGCGGTACCCTGTGAGATATAGACGAGAGCTCGAATTCCCTTGCTCGAGAGACTCAAGCGGAGTGCTGCAGACAGCTGATTCCTTCCGCATTGGTAGGGCTTGCAGTGGTAGACCGTTGTTCCAAGAACATGCCAACTTTCGGCACCCTTGCTACCCCGGTCCAAAGACTCTATATAGGACCTTCCTTCTGTGCTGTTGAATGGCAGATCAAATATGTCTATAATATCCAGGCCTATAATTTTGGGCTGTAGGTTAGCAGCAGAACGCGTTTCCATGGATTCGTTTTTTGCGTCACCCTGCCCAAGTATACTTGATTGTTTGGACGGCTCGTTATTGTGGTGAGCTCACGGGTCTTAAAAGTGTCAAGGTCCAGTTCCCACTGTCGAGTACACAGTTGCTAACATGAAACCCTGCCTTTTCTGCGTCTTCAAGGGCTTCGTCTCGGGAATACAAATGGTAATAGCGTTGAACGCTTAGCGTGGGATTCTTAAGCGATGACTGTTTGCCTGCCTCTGGCGTAAATATCTCTGTCATAGTGATCTTGTGATACTGGTTTCCCGTTTGAGAGCGCCAAGGTATCAGTGCTTCAGAGGGAAGCTCCTTCTCTCCTTGCTCCCTTGCCCACAAGGTGACTAGTGCTTTTCCTGCTGGCCGAAGGATGCGATATATCTCTACGAAAGCCTGTTGCCTGCGCTCTTGAGCCGACAAATGGTGTATGACGGCGATGCAGATAACAGCGTCCACGGTCTCAGAAAGTATTGGTATGGAGAGAATGTCTCCCCTGAGGATAGCAGCAGAGTTTCCATGATTCTCAATTGCCTTTTCCAGTAAACCTTGCATGGCTATGGTGCACAAATTGGACGAGTAGTCAATCCCAAACTCGGCAAACCCAGGGCATAAAAGCATATTCCGACCGTTGCCGCAGCCACAATCCACTAATATGGTTCCAGAATTCAGGGATTGACAAAACTTTAAGACCGCAGGCCATGTCCTGGAGCGTGTATGACTGAAATGCCCGGCAGTCGCTTCATAAACTTGGTGCACATATTTATTTTCGTGATCCTGATGGTCTTCTATTACCGGCGCCGGGACGACCTTCCTAAGTGCGCAGGGAAGTGTACTCATCTGCAATTTTAAAAATGTTGAATGAGGAACCATTTACAACGCCCACTAAGCACTCAGTTGTGGCAGCAAGATGCTTGCGAGACAAAATTATCGTTGTCACAGCACGAACCTTTTTCTTTATCTCTGCACACAACAAGATCAAAGCAAGTCGTCATACCCCTTTACCGGTCTCTGATGCAGCCCGTATTCTCAGCTGTATATTCCTAGCAGATATGCTTGTTGCAGCATGCATAGAGGATAAGGGCGCCTGCTTTTTCGGTCTTTTGTGCCTAGACACACAGACCATGATCGCTTCATCCCCAGAATTACCAGGCTCTGTCCATGCTAACCGAACATTCACTGCGTTTGGGATGAACAACATTGTCGTGTTTGCTTTTCTTAGCCGTGCTGGCGTACTCACCATTTGGCCATCAAAAGGGGTTTTTCTTGAGCCTCTTCTTTTCCAGTACAAGTATACTGCTATCACTCACATCTTCTCGTCCATTATAGCACTAGGTACGACTACAGGCCAAACTATCCTTGTTGATGTCAACGGAATGAAAGTTTTACGGACCCTGGAGCCCTATCAGCATGCAGCTGTTCCCTCCAAAGCCGCTGATCTGGGGTTAGTAAGCCGCTTCTCTATGATGTCTATGACCAAGCATCTTCCTCGTCCTTCCCTATCGACTATTGACGACCCTACGGCAGAATCATCTGTAGATAACGACGACATGGATATTAGTACTAACAACCTTACCTATGTTAACGCTTCCAGAGAGCTCTTTCTTCAATCTATCCTGGACCCGTCCAGCTATGTTGAGGAGAGTGATATCTTTGTGGACGAACTTCCATCCAAAGGTGCTAGAAATGTAAGACACATTGTCCACATCTGCTTTAGTGAGGAAATCAATGTGCTGGCAAGTATGTCCTCTGGACGAGTTATCTTTTATTACTGCTTGGAGAGTCGTGCAGCGTTCCCAGTATTATTCTCTACTTATCGTGCTGCATGCATATCTCCTGGAAAGAGTGGCTTTTTAGTCGGCGATGATTATGGGACAGTTTTACATGTAATCTTGGGGAAGAATCGAGTATTCAAGTCTATGTCTAATTCCATAGAGCATTCAGTATTGCGCTTCCCCCCGCTTATCAAACTAGCTGGTTGTGCCCACATGACGACTGCTGCCGTAAGCCTCCTAACTTCATCGGATGCAGTGATTTTAACAGGTTGCGGCCGATCCCTATCTGTTTGTTCATACAAGTTCCTGCAAGATAAAATGAAGGAGGCATCAGCAGATTTCCTCCGACAGTCTTTGTGCCTTGCTTATGGACCTGCCTTTATAAGCAAGTGTTTCATAACGCTTAACGGGTACATCACGGCTTTGACATCAGAGGCGGCAGAGATGCATCTACTTGCACAAATAGAAAAGGATCTAGCAATCGTCTGTGAAGAAAAGGATCCTGAAACAATGGATATGCGCACTGCATTACAAGCGACTACCGAAAGCATTAATTCTAGTCTTACGACGTCTCAGTTTTCTCTTCAGACTAGTAAGTATGAGCCGCAGGAACAGAAAGAATACGGCATGGGCAGTGCCACCATCTTTGGAGAGCAGCTCTTTGAGCGAGCCGTGAAGAATAACCTTAGAGATCTGTATCGTTTACTTGTAGCTTTTGATGTCAAGCAGCCTTTCTTCTCTAACATATTGATAGGTAAGGATGACCGTTTAGAGTTCATCAAGCATATGTTTGCGTTTCAGAACACATTACAGGAAAACCCCATGGACGAAATAGTTCAGTTAAAAGCCCTGACAAATGCTGACTCAGAGCTATTAGCATCTACCATTGTGCGGATCAGGAGTGCAATATGGAAGGCTTATTCAGACATCATAACAATCTCTTACTTCTTCGGTTCGCAGCTTCAGCAAATCCGGAGCATGCTTGTGTCCATGACCAAGACGGTGAAATCTTTAGGTAATTCCATCATTGGTGCTGCATATCAAGCACAACTGCATAATATAGATCCAGATCGGTTCGATCAGATGGTAGAACAAATACAGGGCCATATCAACTAACGTTAAAGCTGGTGCTCGTCTTTGCCATTATCGGTATTGTCACTTTGCCCAGCAATATTGCGATTGGCGCTGTCACTGTAGCGGAGCCCTTTGATAGAGTAGATGACCTGTCGCTTCTGATGCTTCGTTCGGCTCCAATGTATCCTGTCGATGCCCTCATCTGCCTTCCATCTAGCTCTGAACATACTTGCTTCCCGAGCCTTGGACGTGTCCTTCGCTCCTTTGAATCCCTCAAGAGTCACCATCCACTCGGGGATATCCTGGCCGCTATCCCGCACAGCAGTCGCTAAGGATCGAACTAACAACGCGTCGCGCTCTGTAAAAAGCGTCACCGCAGTTCCCTCTGTCTGCCTTCCCGCTCGTCCAATCCGATGAATGTAATGTGTTAGATCAGATGGTATGTCGAAATTAATAACCAGCCCTATGCGTGGGAAGTCCAGCCCGCGCGCTAAAACGTCTGTGCAGACTAAGATCCATAAGTCTGCTGTTCGAAATTTAGTAACAATCTCATGGCGTTGGTTTTTGGTCAAGCCAGCATGAAGATAGCCAGTCGGCCAATCGACATAGCAGATAAGCTCTTTATATATCGTAAAGACTCTATCTGAAGTTGAAGCAAACACAAGCACGGGCGGCTTTCCGTACTCTATAATCGCTTGCTGGAGGGTAAACATTTTGTATCGATCCCTGCCAGCAAACATAAAGTATTGTTTTACAGTATTGGTAGGCATGCCTGCTCCAGCTACTGAAATCTGTACCGGATCCACTAGGAAGGTATTGACAAGTCCAAAGACTTGATCAGTCACACTGGCACTAAACAATGTGAACACGGGCCGATTAGCTGGACAACAGCCTCCAGTGTTTGCATTCGTCTTCAAAATCCACTCTAACACAGCATCTATTTGCTCTATGAATTGTGGGTTCATCAGGCAGTCGACTTCGTCGAGGACGATTGTTTGTAAGTTGGGGAACCGCACAATGCCTTCGGTTAAAAAGTTCAACAAAACAAGAGGTGTCGCCACCATAACGTCATGTCTTTTGGAATTGATGAGGGACTGCGTAACCGTCTCCTTTCGCTGTAATAACATTGTACGGAATGAAGGAGCGAGCTGATTGCAGACACGTGCCACCTGATCTGCTAGTTCTCTTGTGGGAACCAGAACAAGGACACGAAATCCATCGCTGCCTGGTTGACCAAGTGACAGTATTGATGGAATAATGTACGCTCCTGACTTTCCACTGCCAGTTGGAGCCAGGCAAAGACAGTCACGGCGCGACATCAAGGCAGGGATAGCAGCCTGTTGTACCGGGGATGGGACCTCCCATCCTAACTTACTGATGTTCTTCTGCAGCTCTTTTGCAGCAAAACTACCAGATGAAGCATCTTGATCTGACTGCAGCACAAAGCGCGTGGAAAGCTCATCAAACGACTTACATGTTGGACCACAGTCGCCCCAATTTATGCGAGAAATGCGCTGGGCCGTACACCATGCGCGTTCCTGTTCATCAGTTATCTCTGTGTATGGAACTCTTGGTACGTCTTTACTAACTTGTATAGCAACAAACTCGGACGCATGGATCCTTTCTGCACGGCCGTAGAACTGTGGTTCATGTTGTTCCTTGTCCTTCTTACTGAACTTGGCTCCACGAGACAAGAATGAAAACGACATATGCAATTTTTAATTCAATGATGAAGTTGCCTCTTTAACAAGGTACCCTCGCCAACTGTTAATGGTGTAAATAATTGCACATACAGCTGAGCACTTGATGGTCTGGTGCCATGCAATTGTGGTGATGTAGAAATATGGTCATAGTTTAGCTTTGGTGATTCACTCCGCCCACCGGCTGCCCCCGGCGCTAGCTATTGAGCTCCGCGACGGACCCTCCATCCTTGGCCGTGGAGCGGGGCTCCTCAAGGCAGCAGGGGGCCAGCGCGGTCGCCGCTCCCATCCCCAGCCGCCGGGCTAGCACGCCCACTGAGCCGCGACAGGCCCATCAGAGTCTACTTGTTTGCATGTTCTGCGGAGGGCGGCGCGTTTCTACCGTGGGTCAGGGGGCGAGGGATCTCGCCGGAAGCCGTGCAGATGCACCGATCGGGCAGCAGCCCCAGAAGATCGCCAGCCTGGCCTGTGCTGGCAAGTCGGGCAGTGGCGACGAGCGCTCCGGTCCGGGAGAACATGGCCTCGCGGGCTGGCAGACGGCGGTGAAGTGACGCGGCGCCTGAAGGTCAACCAGTGGGTCGAGGGGGCTGCGGCATAGGTGAGCGCGGTATCGTCACTGAATCTACCCACTCAAACAGTCATTGGGCTTTACAGGCTTACAGATATGAGTCGTGCTTTTGATTACCTTTTCCTAGAACTCTAGAGCAGGGTCATACATCTGCCCTCATTGTGTTCCAAATAGCACACGAGTGTGAGACACTATAGTCTTCTTTAGAAAATACGTGACATATACATCTGCTTTACTGACAGTGATAAAATTAGCGAATTAAAATGGGTAAATCTAAATGATTTTTCTTTTGTCTTATCAAAATAACTTATTAAGTGTAACTACACTGGTATCACGTTTATAGCACAGATGACTTCAACGGAAAAGCATGATAATCCCAAATTCCTTGCATGATTCTACTGTTTACTTTCAGTTTCGTTACACTCTATATATTTTCTGTTCATTAGTTTAGCAAAATGAGGATCTTTAGACTTTAGAAAAGTTATGGCTGGATGAATATTCTTCCCACGAGATTGCTTATTGAAAAGTTTAAATCCGTAAAGTGTTGGTATGTACTGTTGGCTTGGCGGGGGCATAATATTTGGGTAGGTGAGGATAAACATTGGCACCAGAGAAGGGCCATAGAAGCAACCATCTATAAAGAACTCAGGATCCGTGTTATAGAGCTTGTATAGCTTATGGCAGGCAGGGCAAAAGCAACGCAGTACATCCTTTCCTGGTTTTTCAACGGCACTGTAGGGAAGTAGCCGCTGTCCACTGCACAGGTAGCGAGGACACTTACCATATTCGCAACGCTCATACTTCTGTCTTACATCCTCAAGCCCTTGAGGCGTCAAAATGTACCTGGCATGGATATGAGCATAGAGAAGCGCTGCAGCCTTTGAAACAGCCATCTCGTCGACATCCGTGGTTTGCGGTTCGTTGCGAATGAGCTTTAGTGCTTCTGAAAAGTGCTTGATCTCCGGCTCTAAACCATAAAGGGCTAGGTTATCTTCCAGATAGTATTCCGGTACTTCTACGAGCAGCCTCCGAAAACCGCCCTGAGAGAGAAAAGCAGTAAGCCAGTCTTCTTGCTCATCAGAATAAGACCCACTGCTCCCCCCTTCTTCCATAAAATTAAAACTTCATTCCAAATGATCTTCATCAATTACACCGAAGTTTACTTCAAGAGGGCACACGTGTAGATAGGTCTATGCGGTATAGACCTATGCGGTAATTCTGCTGATTTTTGACGCACTGTCCTGTAGGCAGCGGTAGTGTTTAGTAATTAGATTGAGATAATAACGCTTTGATGTGTGTACATCGACAACTAGCAGACGCTGCCTGACCATAAAGTCAAGCAAGTCTGAAGAGGTTGCAGGAGCCAAGCCAAATCGTTCTGTTAGTTCATCGGCAGTCACATAAGGGTGGGGCTTGTTTGGTTGTGGGTTTTCGGCCCTCACCTTCGTCCATGCATTGTAGAGCACATTGATTACAATGAAGTGAATTACGTTTGTTAGACGCACCGCCTTTTCCACGAAATACCACGTGTCATTGATGCGCCATGGTACAAACATCGGGAACCGGTGGTATGGGATCTTTTCGCTTGTGCCCTTCTTGCACTCGTCATCCGCTAGTTTTACTGCTTTATAGAATGCGTCCACAGCAACAGGGTACACAGGTCGGGCATGATTTAAGAGGGAAAAGATCTCATCGGCTGGGATTACCTTGAACTTTGCTGCGGAGTGAAAAGGAGACGTAAGACTGTAATTTAGTAGCAGAGATGGAAGGCTCTTAGTAATTGTCTCTATGGTTAGCGAGCATGCGGACAGAGTTAGGGGAATGTTAACGTTCTGCAATCCAGCAATGTACATTTGCAGCGGAAAATTTGGAGCTTCAATTGACGTCATTGAACTGTAGGACGACACGTATCTGTCTATATAGGAGGAGATAATGTATGCTGGGGACTTGCCCTTAAGCTCAACCAGGGCGGTATTTGTAACATGAGGAATACCTATGATCTCCTCCAGTGAATCTTTATAGTCAGCATTGGTGAAGAACTCCTCTGCGGATGGAAGAAGAGTCTGAAGGGAGCTTGCTTCAGTAGATTTTAGGCCATTAACTTCTTTCTCAAGTACAGATGAAACCACAGGCGTGCTCTTGCAATCAATCTCATTAGACGCCTTCAGGAACAAAAGCATAAGCTTATTCGTGGACACAAGAAGGTCATTAGACTCCCTTAGTCGACTGACTGTCAGTGGTTTAGAAAACTCCTTCAGGCAATCTTCTGGAAGAAGAGCAGACAGGAGGGAAGTCTGCTCAGGAACAGAATTATGATCTAGTTGTGCCAGTATCGGATGACTTACAGGCTGAGTAGAGCCAGGAAATTGATTTTCGGACTGGCCTTTTTGTTTGCAGATACTATGCTCACGTGGAGCAAATATAGCCACTGAAAGCATATCGTTACTAGAGCTTGCGAAAGTACCTCCTGTTTGTATCACCGATGAGCCTTCTTGATCATCACAGATGATTTTGGGTGATATATTGTTAGATTCTCCAAGAGTCTCGATGGGCATTTGCTTTGGCTCCTGCACTGGCTTTGGAGGCACAAAATTCATTACTGAAACAGTCATTTGCCGAGCCTCCAAGAGTCCCGTCAAAGACGCCAATAGCAAGTCGTGATCCTCCTTAGCCGTTCGCAGATCGGCCTGGTGCTTCTTTGACGTGTTTGCAAACGTTATCTTAATGACCTGGTCACTAACCGTGGTGACCAGGTTATTGTTTGACCTGTCGTTCTTGTCTGAAGAGGTAGGAGTTATCTCAATGGTTAGAGCGTTCTTTTGCGGAGCTCCCGCATTATATGATTCAATGTCTATAAGGTCCATGTAAAGATTATGCTCAGGTGACTGCTGAGAGAAGAAGTAAATTGCTTTTCTTGTAAGAACAACACGAGGATTGTGGGCCTGCTCGCGGTCGTAATAGACAGTCTTGCTATCACCGATGGTGATCGGGTTGTCTGTGGAAAAGACAATCGCCTCGTCCGAAGGAATAGAAGCGCCATTCCCCTCCTCTTGCACTTTAAACAACGCGTGCATTTTTTAATTAGCCTAGGCGGTTGCAAAATCTGTATGAGCTCCTTGAGCAATCGCCCATCGGCCTTCGGGCGCACGAAGGAAAAACGGGCGGTAAACGACAGCCTCTCCATTTACTTGGAGGACCAGACGCACCCGACGCTCCTTGTTAACCCGCAGAAGAAGGTACAGAAGGTCTCTACAAAGCGGGCAGACATCCCCTCTTACAGAGAAATTCAAACGTATAGGCCGCCAAATGCGCCGAGCCGTGCTTTATCCAAGCCCAAGAAGTCATCTTCTACCCAGAAGTCAAATAGTCCGGCCGCCATCTATTCTAAATCTGCATCTACAGGACGAAGAGGGCCATTTACACGGAGGGCCTCAGGAAGGAGAACTCAGAGTACCAATGGAAATAGATTAGTAATAGGAAGGAGCGACGATAACGGCTTTCAGAGGACAAGGTCCCCAGCTGCCCGTGCAAGTACATCACCGTATTACTTGCGTGACTCTGTAGATACTTTAGCAACGTCCCCAGGGATCGATGGGCCTTTCTCAGTGCAATCTGCTGCTGCCTTGATTCAGAATGATAAGAGTGAAATAGACATAGACCCCAACATTTTTGGATATCATGAGCCGAGACGCGCCAGCAGAAGCACACTCAGAAATGATACTAAAGCAATAAGAACCAATGGGTTATTCCACGTACCGTTGCCATCTCAGCAGCCGCCAAATCGAAGTAACTCCGGGTATGAGAGCACCCTCTCACATCGCATGTACTCTCCCATCGCGCCACATCACCACTCAACTACTGACTCGAGCATGTCACGTTCTGGCTCTCAACTTGGGCATCATCCCAAGTCAACGATCAAGACAGACGATATTAGAGAGCGGGTTAGACTCCAGCAGAATGCAGCCCAGGCACTCCTACGTGACTATGTCTTTCTTGTGGGCTATAACCCGAAGTATCTTAGCAAGTCCATGTTGGCAGACGGCTATCAAGAGGCAAGAGAGATAGGAGAGGGACATCTCCACGGAGAAGAGCTTATTAAGAAGGAGAAGAAACTCCTTGGAAATATCATTGGAGATATCGTGCATTTACGTAGCGGCGGGCACTCTGGGACAGGGCCACACATGATCATGCCAAGCTTGCACGGAGATACATACACAACTATGAGCACTGCAGAACATCTTCCACCTATAGACGAAGAGGATTTGCAAATAGACGATGTTATAGGCGTCAGTAAGGATGATAAGGGATTGCAAGGTGATGCCGCTAATATGGTGGACGCCTCTGTACTGACAGACATTGAGCGTATAAGCTGTGTTCACAATGAGATAGTCCATACGAAAGATGAATCAACACAAAACAATCCGGAAGGATCGGTCTCTCCTCAACCGACACACCATAATTATAAAAGTCCAGGATTCCTTAAACCGTCTCACCCTAGCACGCTTCATATCAAGATAGACAGTCCTGATCATCTAGATGCTAGTGAAAGCCAGGGGCGTACTCAGATATCGGTCATAACAGAGCCAGAAGTGAGTGAGACGCTCTCACAAAATCCTACCCTGTTAATTAGACCAGTGACAGAGAACAACGACCCATCAACAAAGGACCTGCATAATATTCTTGATAAGGCAGTGCACAATGACGCGCTTAAACAGGCACGAAGAGAGTCACGGTCGGCCAAACCTCCCACGACAGCGTCGTTATACACAAAAGATGACACTCCTGGTCGCACACATCGCGTGACAACTAGCGCTCGCACTCCAACGCGAGAGAGATGTGATTTTGCATATCACATTCCAGCTCTATCAGGTGTGCACTGCAGCAGGCCAGATCGCAGTGCGCCCAAGACACCCAATAGGCGTGTAAGCGATAATATCAACGCCTACGTAATAGATAAGCGCCAGGAACCATTAGTGCATGAAATAAGTGACGGAAGCAGTGGTATTTCCGGCATTGACGGGGAGATAAACGGCGAGAAGGCCCACGCATCCATAGAGACTTCAAACCAGCCCAGACGCAATATTTCCTCCGGCAATCGGCCTATCAGAGCCATGCAAACCAATAGTGCAATCAATACTCCCGTTGGAATGGTTAGAACTCATGGGCTGGAATCATCCCCTACGCCTCTTCATCAAAACTGCTCCTTATGCTATGAACCCCTTTGTGTCAAGCCCAATGCTAGGGATAAAACGTCTAAATCGTCTACTGATAGGTTTAAAACCGTAAGAGATAGCGACTTAATGAACACTATTTGCACCACATGCTATCCTAAATTTCTTAATTCTGTCATACACTTGCCATTGAACGATAAAGAATGCAGTACCAACACCCATCTTCCTCCACATTTTGGCCACAGTTTTGGTGATTTAGAAGATTTTCCTGCGGATTTAATAACGACCTGCAGATTTAGTAATAGCACTCCAGGAGCTATTATAAATTTAGAAGCCTGTAAAGCATGCCCTCATTACAAGCAAACAATGGAAAATCCACATTCAAAGGCTACGATGGAAAAATTGGCAGATACCCTTCGTTCAATAGAATTTCATACCAGACTAGATGATGGTAGCAGCATAGCATATTTTAATACCAACGTTCCTAGCACAGAGAGTGATCCTTGTGCCCATGAGGCTTTTGGACGTGGAGCAGTTCCCACATATGACACAGATAATAAGGAAAAGCTTGTCACAAATAATTTTGGTGCACTACAGATAGACGTCGTCGATGATCACACAGCCATGCATGACATTTCTGTGGCTATGCAGAACTGGGGCATCACTGGGACGGTGGACAGTTCGTGTAACAGACCACGCACAGATTTAAGATATGCGTGTCCCTTTTTAACTGTTTCCAATATATTTAGTTTTCGCATGACTCACAAAGAGCCGCATGAACCACCTAAGCCTTATTCCATGGTCAGTTCGTGTCCAGAAAACGTGCTAATAGTCACTCCCATTGAATGGCCACCTGGAGAAGGGTCTCCGGAACCGGAATTACCTAGCGTAGCTCTCCCTCAGACGAATCCTAATTGTTCTTCTGACAAAAGTACAATAGACTTTGGGATGGGTACTTCTCACAGTGCCTATCCAAATAAGTCCACGCGGAAGTCTCAAAAGATCCATACAAATGTAATAGATGTTACACATACCTATGACTACAACGTTATCAGGAACCCCGGAACGGCTCTTACTCAAGACGAGCAGACTGAAGTGGTTTTGAACTGTGTTTCTGAGGCCGTGCAGACAGCAAAGATAGATCAATTGTTAGGTGGTCTGTCTGAGCATAGCCTGGTGGACAAAATAAATAGTAAGGATATTAAGAAGCGAGTGAAAAAGTATCTAGACTTGTTAGACTTAAAGGTACCCGTCTGCACAAGCAAGGACCCTACTAGATGCCTTTGCCGCATATGTGTCACCACTAAGGAAACGGTGAGGGAAGTCAAGATAAAGCATAAATAATCAGATTGTTTAGTCTGTTCTTAGCGCACCTGTGATAAAGTGTGTTAAATTATTTACTGTAGAAAGTGCCTAATGCTATTCTTTTGATAGTGGATACATTCAGTAATGCGATGCTGGCTATAAAGTCATTTTTTAGATCTTTCTTCTGCCTTCTTCAGTTATCATTTTTACAGGAGCATTGTTTTTTTGAGCTTTAATGACCATGTCCGTCGCTGACGCTCACGCCCTCATTAAGACCATCCCCGATTTCCCAACGAAGGGTATCGCGTTCAAAGACCTCAGCGACATTCTTTCCACTCCAGCTGCTCTTGATGCGGTAAGGAAAGAGGTGACGGCGCACTACAAGGACGTTCCGATCACGAAAGTCGTTGGAATCGAGTCTCGAGGCTTTATCCTTGGGGGGATTGTTGCAAACTCCCTTGGCGTCGGGTTTGTAGCTCTGCGAAAGGCGGGCAAGCTCCCTGGAGATGTCTGTAAGTGCACCTTTGATATGGAGTATCAGAAGGGGGTGACCATTGAGGTCCAGAAGCGTCAGCTTGGCCCACATGATGTCGTGCTCCTTCACGACGATGTGCTTGCAACCGGCGGGACGCTTCTCGCCGCCATCGAGCTTTGCGAGACTGCAGGAGTGAAGCCTGAGAACATTTACATCAACGTTCTCTATGAAATCGAGGCCCTTAAGGGTCGTGAAAAGGTGGGGCAGAAGTGCACCCGTCTCTTCTCTGTCATCAGAGAGTAAACGGGCCTAGAGTACTGAGGCAAAGTCTAGGATATTGATGACCAGGGACTCTGTGCATATCCCGATAGCGACAATCAAAATAGAATAGAAGATGCCTCGCCGAAAGGGGGTCATCTTCATTAGCAGACGTTGGCGGGTCTCTTCCGTCTGCTTGGACAGCTCCAGTTCTACTTGATCATCTATAGGTGCCATGCACTCAATTGGTTGAAGCAGCTCGTTGCGCTTCAGCACAGATACCGGCGCCAGGAGTGGGACAGTGTCACTCTCCTCGGTGGTTCCGTCACAGGACGTCTGTTGATGCGTAGCAGAGACAAAGTGGAGCGAGTACTCTTTGTGCCGATGATAGCTTGATGATGAGGCATGAAGTCCCGCAGTATGTACAAAGCTCGGGGCTCGACTTCGGGACCCAGCCTTTTGTTGAGGCGGGGCTACCTCACAGTGTTGCACCCCAAGGAAGGCCGTTGTGGTCACATCTCGAATGTCGTCAACGTCTGTTTGCGGTTGTAACAGGATGTTTAGTCGGTCAATAATCGGAGACCGAGCCTTAAGCTTGGGGAGCTTGTGCCACAAAAGGATAGGAACAACAAAGTATATGAGGACCCCGCATATAGATCCGAAAAGCCCAAATATGGAGGCTATATTATCGTAGAGTGCAGCCAGAGCAAATGCTAAAAGTGCAAATGCAACAGAAAAGCCAGCATAAGCCAGGTAATTCAAGAACTTGCGTTTTGGATTCAGCTGGCAATATGCGATAAGGGAGACTTTGAGGGGGTATTGAATGAGAGGATACGCAATGCAGACCATAAGGCCGTATGCAATCCCGACAATAGTCAAATAAATATCCTTTCCGCAAACCTTAAACGAGTAGAGGATGTTGGTGGAGACGTCGTGTCCGTAGAGTAGAGCGCCAAAGCAGCCCATCAACATGTACATTAAAAAGCAGAAAGCGTAGGCGTAATAAATGGATCTGCGGATAGAGCGTAGCCGCTGATCATTGGACCCATGAAGTTCGTAGAGGATTGGTGGAGCGCCCGCATGAATGCTGAAGCTCCCCATCAGCATAGGAATGTAAGATATGCCAAAGATGGCTCCCATAACCGGTGCAGAGATGTGTGCTGACCCCACCAGCTGTTCCCTAGGCCATAGTGGCGGCTGTGGACGTACTCCTGGTACATACTCAATATTCTGAAATAGGCAGATTTGGCCATGTCGCAAAAACGAAGCAATGTAGTACAAAATAACAGAGAAGACTGTTAGTATAATGAGCCCTAGCCCAGCAGATGCTATTGTCCCTAGGACTTTGACATTTCTTAATAGTGAAAGAGGAAACATGACCCCAAAGGTAAGTCCTGCCTTCAGTACCAAATAAGGATCAAATGAAAGGCCTTCTAAAGAAGATGGAAAGAATGTTGTTAGGAGTGTATGAAAGCTTTGCGCAGAGATGATAATGTAAGAGACTAAGAAGCCATAGTTGTTCAAAATCAGAGCTGCATCAATACATACTGCAAGCCGAGGTCCAAGGACCTTCCGCGTCACTTGCTTGAAGGTTTGCGCATTGGTATAGTAGCAGGCATTGACAACCTGGAGCATCAAGACAAGTGCAATGATAAGGACAAGGGTTATTACAATTGTCGACAAAACCAGGCCTAGACGGACAGAGACATATGGAATAGACAGAAGTGAACCACCAATCATCTGAGTAATAAATGTGAAACCGTTGGTACGGACTGCGCGCCGCGGAGCCTCAACCGCTGGAAGCTCTATGGCAGGAATATCATCAGAGGGATACCCATCATCCAAAACTGTATCTGTAGTACAGGACACAGTACCTTGGTTGAGGCCCTCCGAGCCAATCATTTTAATCGGTTAATTATTTACCTCACCCTATTCAAAGACAGCACTCCCCAAAAGCTCTTTGTACCAGTCGTCACTGAAAACGCGGCAGTTCTCCCCAACACAAAGGAGCTGTTCGCGTTTGAGAAGCTCGGCACAATCCCTATGACCCAGATGGTCTGCCAGATCACAAGCACGCATAGAGCTCTTTGTCATTATACCCATCTCCAGTCGCAGCAGGCTAACACACTCTACATGATTCTCACGCACAGCATACATGAGGGCTGTCCATCCCTTCATTGAAACAACCCCTGCCTCCCTTATGAGCTTCCTCACACATTCAGCGTGACCCATGGAAGCCGCGATCATTAGGGCAGTCATGCCGTGCATCCCATATACGCAATTAGCTTCGGCGTCCAAGTATTCGTCTATATATGCGGGCTTATTCAAAAGGGCTATCTTCATGAGATTGGTATAAGTAGACACACGCCTAATGTGAGGTCGTGGTCCTAGTTGCAAACATGCCCCTACCGTATCCAGGTATTTCACGAGGATTTCAATATATTCCATATTGCCCTTTTGGATTGCAAGATCCAGAGCAGAGTGGTTACACACATCTCGCTCTGTCAGAAGCTCACTAAGGTGTTCATGAATTCCGTCTATCATGTCTGCATTGATGGATGAAATCAAGGTAGGAGACTCGGCCAAAGAAGGCGAGCTCGATGCTATTTCCTCGGTTGTTTTCTCAATAAAAAGAAGTGCGTCTGCAGACGATATCCGAACAGGAGCGTTAATATTCAAACACTGCTCAATAAAGCTCCGTAATCTATCTGTAAAGTCTTTCTCTCCCGAGAAGGATAAATGAGCCAATAAATGGTTATCTACTGATACCTTTTCAGGTCTACCCCTCAGTAAGGCTAGTGCAATGATGCCTAGAGCCCATGTATCTCCTTTGGGATTGAAATCTTTCCCCAGCGCGGCCTCTGGAGCCAGAAAAGCAGATGTGGAGAGAATGGTTTGTTGGTCACGCAGCTGATCAATAAAGGAATTCATGCCATAGTCAAGCAGTACCGCATTGCCGTCACAAAACCCCACATTTTCTAACTTTAGATCCCCGTGGATATAACCATTGAATGGAGCTCTCTTTCTCGCAGCATTGGGAGAGGGTAGCTCGGTAGTCCGTACCTTCGAATGTAAATACAGTAATCCCCTGCAAATGTCATAGAGAACTTTCCAAACCTCTCCCTCGGTGAACGAGGTCCCCGCTCTTCGGTGATCACTGAGTTTGCTTAGCAGCGTGCTTTCACAACGAGGCGTTTCAATGTAGAAGGCTCGGATGTCAGGATTGTATTCATAATGATTAATCGCAATAAGATTGGGGGCTGAGAGCTTTGCAAGCTCTTCAAGCTCTTTCTTCAGCAAACCTATTTTGGCGTCCGTGCAGAAGTGGACGTCGATCTCCTTTATGCACACAGACACTCCATCTCTTTTTCTGATGGCTGTGCTTACCGTTCCAAATGTTCCTGTGCCCAGGTACTGTATTTGCTCATAGCTACTTGCTAGTAACGCTGGAAAGACCTCAGGTGCATAGTCAATGGCGGCGTTCGTGCTAGAATTTGGCATTTTTAAAGAGAGGTTTTTTGAAGAATACAATGGACTTAACGGAGAAGGACGATTGTCCAGAAGGCACCGACTCAATAGTTGAGGAGCTGGACGTCTTTCTCTCCCAGGAGTATGCCAATAATCTTTATATTCTGCAGTATCCACTACGGCCCACGTGGAGGCTCTATAACTGGAGCAGCATGAGTAGCGTCACATTCCATCCGTCCATTAATCACGTAGAGATGCAGCTACCCTTACAGTCTGGTCAAGACGACGCTCCAGACTATTCTAGTATAGATGAACTGGAGGGCAAAGACGCCTATCTGACCCTTAGTGGCGTGCCAGTGAATGAGCACGGGCCCTATGCTGTAGGGGCCATCCAGACATACGAAGGTGCGAGAATTCTGGTGCTCCACCCGGTGGTAGCACACCTAATGGTTGCTGCTCACCAGAAATCGCTGGACGAACCATCGGATATGCACCCACCTCAACCTAATTCTGGAGATGAAATGATGAATCCGAGGGCCATAAATGATGTGGGAACTCTTTCATACACACAGGGTGTCACGCTGCGGCACTTTGACCAGACGAGCATCTCATCCAGGGAGCTATTTGCAAAGCTTCATGACACTGAGCATCTGTATATCCAAAACTCTAATCACTCTATCACAAACCCAGTTTACAGTAAAGCTCCCCGTTTGGTCTCCTACACCGTCGATAGAAATAAATACATCAACTCATTCTCAATTGTAGAAATTCAGGAGCGGGAACGAGCAATCCAGTTGGTAGATAAGCTCAAGACCATCCTCGACCCTAAGAGGCGCATGGACTACTGCATCCGCGAATTTCGTATTGTCAGCTTCAAGAGCCTGCGTCAGGTTGCCCAGATACCGGGAAGAGAACCTCCTTCTCATGAGCTTATCTATAACACATTAGTCTCTAGGACTGTTTTTATCCACGGCTGGTTTGCAATCAAAAGCGAATTTGTGGTCACAGGCTCTCTCGTACCGTTTCTTGACTACTTGCTGTTACTTCTAGGGCTCAATACAACGGGTCTATCTGATGAAAACTCCCTTTTACATGTGATCATGCAACTAAAGAAGACGATTTCTGACATGCAAGAGCAGAACAAAGCATACCTGGGCCTTTTAAGCAGCATAGAGAAGCAGCAGGAACAGATTGGACGCCAGGTTCTCCAAGCATGTATGAAAGATGAAGTCAAGATGTGTAAGATTTCCCGGAAGGCATTTACTAAAGAGACAGGCCTCCCAGCGAACAATATCCTCCTTATGTTTCGAGAGACAGGACTCTTGATCCCTGACAAGGAAAGCTCCGACAACGATACATGGACGTTCAAGAAGGAGAAGCAAAAGGATTTGGGCGATCTCCCTGTTTCTGATGCAGAGCGCGAGGTTGCCAAATGGATTGATGCTACCCCTACGATTATCAATGCAATGAACTGTGCACGAAAAATGAATAAGCTGCGAAAAATGCAAGATCAGGGGCTCGTGCGGGACACGTTGACAGATGTGAGCGAGCTTCCCAAGGATGTACTGGAGCAGCTTTACCAGAAGTACCACATAGAATAAGCTTAGCTGTTTGTAAATTCTTGAATGAAACAATGGAAATTTAAAATATGGACCTTCCTGAAACGGCAAGAAGCGCCATTGACAGAGATGCAACACAAGGTGCTCGCCAGCTAGCAGAGCACACTGAAAAGATCACTAGGTCCGCACGGGCTGATAATAAATTAGCCTTTTCCAAGCACTATGTTCCTCAGTCAAAACGTCCGATTGTGAAGCCACGACAGGCATCTGGAACGACTCTTAAAGTTCCTATGCTGCTAAGTGGGCTGAGCGCTAGCCATCAAGAGCACGACGTTTCCCAAAAGTCCAGTCGCTTGATAACGACTGATCGACTTCACCCTACATCAGAGCTAGCAAAGATTTACCAAGATGGCACCGTTGGTGGAACAGATGCTAAGTGGCGTGATGTGGAGCTCAAGGGCTACGAGCCGGGACCACCAGTACGCTATATGTCTGCAGCTCAGCGCACCTCTGCGACTCTTAGACTGGGTTCAAGCGGGCGCCCACCCTCTGGTTCAAAGCGCAATGATATTAGAGCCGTTGGGCAGCTTACCTATGAAGAGACAGAAGCAGGCATTACCATGGACCCAGCCAAAAGCTTTCTAAGTGGCTTTGATGATAGTCAAATGGTAGATGAAATTCTCACTGAGCGAAATCTGGCCGGAACCCCTGGTTCAGCAACCCCACGCTCTAATAGGTCTGGCTCCCGACCTTCCTCTGGTGCACCGACAATGTCAGAGAAGATTGGGCGCTTGATGAGGCCGCGAACAGCAGTACTTGATCTTGACCTCCCGAGAATGGAGCACTTTCGGCCAGATGCACGTGTGGACGCCGTTGTTCAGGCCCTTTCTGATTTCTCAAAAGATTATCCAGTGTACCAGACTGAGGAAAGCTACAACATCATTCTTAAGAGCATTAGTCGAGACTTGTATAGCTACAAGCTTCTAGCGAGAGGTATCATTCCTCCGGATATCAGAGAAGAAGGAAGCACAGAGAAGGAACTCATTCAGTCTATCCAGTCTTTCAGGAGTATGCTTTTGAAGGATGAAAACGATGGCTTCCTTCCACTAGAGTTTTTCGACGCAGAAGAGATCTATGATAACCATTCTCCGACTGAGTGGCTCACGATGCATCAGCGTACATTTAAGCTACCTGACGAACAGCGGCTCAAGGGAACACCGGCACGATCTCGCTATGTAACCACGGTTGGCGGGCAGACTGTTTTTCTATTAGAGCCCGTGGTCGTGCAGAATTACGATGAAGAGACTAGATGCTTCGGCGTTCAATGGTTACCTAAAGGGTCAGTAATGCTTCCTAGAGAAGAAGATGACTTGTTGTGTAGACACATCTTTTGCCTTAGAACTATAGATGCAAATAATATCCACAGACTTGACTACACAAAAGATTCAGTAACCTTTACCGATTGTCACACGGTGACTGTCGGGGTGACCAAGAATGTCAAGCGGCTGAACCTGCTTTTCGACGACGAAGATGAGAGAATTTGGTGGCAACGAAGATGGGCTGCCCACATGCTTCGCCGGAAAATTGAAGCAGTGTCTAAGCTTGGGCTTTTTCTTAAGATCTACATGGAGAGGGCTCTGAAGTTTAAGACTATGCGCACCGAGCTCAGCTGTTATGCGCCCACTCATATTCCTCCCGATTTTGAAGCAACTCCGCTTCTCGAGATACTCTCAGACGTTTCGGGTCCAACTTCTGAAATAATAGACAACATATTTCATAAGTACTGCTTAAGCAATCCCTTATTTGTGAGCTTCTTCCTCAGTCATTTATCAAAGGCGGATTACTCTAAGGCACTGACTCGTGCAGAGCAGTTGGTGCCAGACGTCACAGCCAATATTATCGAGTCCAACATGTTAGCAAGCATCGACTACCTTCGCCGCTCTGCACGGTTTGATTCTAGTATCCAAACAATCGGATTATGCGCGCCATTCTTCATAACTGAAGGCGATAAGTTCAAGCTCCTTACACAGAAGCGCTTCATAGCCACCCTTTCGGGCGAGTTTCTCCCTTCCCAGCCAGTAACAAGTATTCTGCGCTATCTGAAACGTCGTTGCCGTCAGGAACGCCGCCTTTTCTCGGTATGTGCTGGCTATAACAAGGCCTACAGACTCCTTCAAGAGGAGTGTCTCTCACTTCAGTGTATGGAAGGGCTCCTGCTTTTCAATGTTGCTGGGGTTGCTCCGTTTATTGCCCAGGATCAGATTTGCGTTATCAAGTCGGGCATAGGAGGTGGAATCCAAGCAGATAAGGAGTCTTATCGAATAAAGCTCATAGTAGAAGATGATGAGACAAAGCCCAAGCCAAAGCAATCTGGAAAACAGAAGGTATCATCTGGAAAACGAAAACTAGCTGTAGCAACAGATCAAGATGAGATAGCCAGTGATGTAGAGAATGCAGACAAAAATGCCGAAGAAAAAAGTGACGACAGTACAGATGACATGACAAACATCCCATTCTATGCCGCACCTCTTTCAGTGGCCAAAAATACGTTGGATCTGGGTGTCGTCTCTCCAGGCTGTCCATTTCTTCTTGATCGTTTCGTACTTATGTCCAGGTGTCATAGAGCACGCATGATTAGCTATCTTCGTGATACTTTGCACGTTGATCTTTCAGCGTCAATTCTTTTGGCGTTGAACGAGGTTGGGATAGATGTTTATATTCCAAATAGGTTGCTGAAAGAATACATTGACTACGAGTCGCAGATTCATGGCTACGAGCTTTATATGGAGTTATACGGAGATCGCTACCTGTTTGACAACGCCATGGAGCCTGTTCAGATGCTTATGCTAACAGGAACTGATCGCAATGATCTACAAGGATCGGCAGCTATGCTGCGGAGTGCTACTGCCAATGCCTCGCTCTTGGATGTTAAAACTCCTGACGAGGACAAAGCCGTCACAGACCTTTTGCACGTTAATGAAATAGATGAGCTAAGACGCTCCATTATAGGATTTGATAGTAAAAGCCTTGCAATCACGATTACAGATCGTTTGAACAAGCTAAGAACTACGAATACACTTGTGGATGACCCTGCTATGTCCGTGGGTGCCACAACTAAAGATAAGACTACCAAATTAAATCAAAGAATGACGGAGGACAGCGACACATCAAACTTCTCCATGTTTAGCGACATGCGTCCATCCAATACTGTTAATAACGAATCAATGAGTCTCAGAAAGGCTTGTCAGAAACACCGGCCTCAACCGCGCTCAGGAACACCGACCGAATATGATAATAGCGTAGCCTTGAGCTCAAATTTAGAGAACGACATTTTAGATGGCTCTACTCTGGAGCAGCGAGCCTCTGTGTTGGTCACTGACACCCATAATAATAGTGCGAAATACTTGCTCAACGGAAACCTTTCGGCAAGAGGCCGTGTGCGGGATTCAGCCGATCTCCTGGCGTTTTCGCGGCTCGTTAACATGATGAGATATGATAGTATTATGGAGGTCAGTAAGAACAGCATTTTCCGCTATATGGATATGTTGCACTTATTCAAAGGATCCAATAGAATCAGCTATAACTCTGTCAAGGAGCATATTACCTCCATGTTTAGCAACTTCTCCAAAAAACGCTTCTCTGTTCAAGAGGCCAAAGATATCATAGACAAGGCTGCGCAGCCTATATTTGAGTACGTGCCATCCACTATGGTAACTAGCTCCCTCATTCAGCTCTTTATTGACTTTGATGCTGTTGTGCGCGACATTGCACCCCTCGATAAGATGACCACTGGAACGATTCAAACGTTCACCTCCTTTAGCCTCACAGATTCAAAGCTAGACTCACTGAGCCCATCCAAGACATATCCTGCCTCTGCTATCTCTCAAGGCCTTGACATACCTTTGATTGATGCAGACTTTGATAACATGCCGACAAGACCTGTTGTGACTATTGATGAATTCATGCAAAACTTGGATATGGCTCCCCAGGCATCCATGACCTCTACATCCATGATAACGGAGCAGCAGGAGCATGTGTACTCGAGGCACACCCAGTTTAATGCATACTCTAACTATGTAGAGAATTTGAAGGTTCACTTTAAACGTGCGCAGTACCCGACGCTTGTTGGCCTAGAATTCTCCATCTTTCCCTCTATCTCCGCAATAGAATCTGCAGTGTATGACAATTATGCTCAAATCATTCAGACAACATGTGAGATACCACTGATAGAAACATCCATGCCCTGCTTTGAGGGCGATCCATACTACGCTAAAACTGGCACCCTGCTCGGGCCTGATCCCGTGCATAGTCCCTGGCTTAAGGAGAAGCACGAGGAGCTGCTTCAGTATCTCCACGAATCGTCCGTCGGGCCGCAGTGCGTCTTGGAGGTGCTTCGGGCCATATATCGCCAGCTGTTCCTCGTGGACCATACTGATTATATAGATAGAGAAAGCTTTCAGTCATTCTTACAGCAGAACAGTACGTTTAGCGAGATAGACTATTTCGTTAAGCTAATGCCTCCGTTAGATGAGTTCCATAACGTTGCACTGGTGGAAGAGGACGTTAACAACGAAGAGGATCTCTTCCTTGTTGGCTTTGACGGGTGGGACTATGACTTTGTCGATAGCGAGCAGCAGAAGCGTAACTTGAAGGAGGCCGAAAATAAGGAGCGGGCACAGGCTGCAAAAGAAAAGCATCACGATCATGAGTCTAGCGAGGCAGATGACGCAGATGACGAGAACGATGATCAACACGACGACGCACTGAAGGCACCTACCACTACCGAACATGGAGGGACCGGAGATGCAAGGGAACAGGCCGTCACCGTTAAGATAAATAACACCTGCTTGTCACTGAGGGACTTACGGAGCTTTCTGCTCAAATACACAGCACTAAAGGAGCTCTTGCGGAAGTTCCCACCCAAGATAAACTGCGGGCTTTATCAGGTGGATTGCACAAAGATACTCGATATTTTTGTAAAGCGTTGTCAGATGCTGCGTGCCCAGGTGGCGAGGGTCATTCACTTCCGTGCCATTGGCTACTCCAATCGCTTGATTCAAGAGTGGGACGAGCTGAGGGACAAAATGACCACAGATACTACCACCTCCACAGCCATATATGCAGAAATACGCGCATATGTCAATAATATAGAAGCAACAGTCGCTGCCATGCAAAAGCGCCATCAAATTCTAGATAGGTACATGGGTGTTTTGGACGAATTTAGCATCTCAACATCAGACTTTTATAAGTGTCTTAATCATTATGAGGAGACACTTGTCAAGTTTGCGCTGGAGAAGTCTCAGGGACAATACAGCAAGCTGGTTGACAAGTACAAGACACGCGTGGCTTACCTTTATAATACACCAGATAAATATGGGGACAAGGACCTTGCCACATTGTACTGGACAGTCCGGGCAAAACCAGTGGGAGTCATTAACAGCAAGGAGGGTGCTGAGCGGAGACTCCAGGAAGCATTTGCTATCCTGGCGAAGGTGAAGGACGCAGAGCGCGCAGATCTAGCAGAGCTCATGGCAAAATATAAGGCAATGACTGTCAGCTTTGCTCAGCGCGCAAATCTCAACGAAGCACCACAGTTTGCCGATGAGCTAGTCAGCATACAGAACTACCGTGAGAAAATAGACCAGAAGGTGGAGGTTTTCTTACTCGAGGAATCTCAGTTGGGCTTCCAGCCCAGTGAGTTTAAGAACTATGAGCTCACAAACGAGGACTTCCAGATCTTTAAAGACCTCTGGACCATAGTATCCTCATTTACACACAATTATCCCATGTGGTTCAGTGGAACGTTTATCGACTTGGACCCTCGTCAGATTTCCACCAGTATCAATGAATGGGCAGGGAATCTCCTACGTCTGCAGAAAACGTTAGCCAAGATAGGGCGAACGGCAGGAACCTACACAAAGATAAAGGACAAGGACAGAGCAGCATGCTGCCAAGATAGCATCTCCATCACCGTCGAGATTATTGCGAAGCTAGACGAATTTCGAGGCATTATGCCCCTGATCGAGTCTCTCCGTAACCCTGGTCTTAAGCCACATCACTGGAAAGAAGTTAGTGCTTTAAGCAAGTCTGGAGTAGCTATCCAGCCAACAGCTAGTCTTACATTAGTTCAACTCATTGCCGACGGCTTTTTGGAGCCAAAAACTCTTGAGCGTGTGGTATACATTTCAACCTCAGCAACTAAGGAGTTCGCAATAGAAAAGAGCCTGGACAAGATGACCCAGGATTGGAAGAGCGTTAATCTGGACATGAAGTATTATGGAAAACACGAGGTTATAGAAGCGTCAAACAGCAAAGGTGATGAGCAAAAAGTCAGAGTCTACAAGTATTACATTGTGAAGACGTTCGATGAAATTCTCCTGCTGTTAGACGAGCAGTTCTCTACCCTTCAAGGTATGCGCGCATCCGCTCATGCAGCCAAGTTTGAAGCACGACTTCTTGGGATGGAGAAGAAGCTCGTCTATCTTCAAGATATCGTGGAGGAATGGACTCGTTTCCAGCGTCTCTGGATGTACCTGGAGCCCATATTTACATCGGATGATATTAAACGGCAGCTGCCAGAGGAGTCAGTGATGTTTGCCGATACATGCGTGTTCTGGGCTGACCAGTCTTCGGATGCATACAGATCTCCCGCTGCAATGGCCTTAGCCGGGCGCGACTATGCGGTAGAAAAATTTAGACATAATTTCAAGCAGCTAGAGATCGTTAATAAGCACTTGTCCAGCTATCTTGAGAACAAAAGAAGGTCATTTGCAAGATTCTTCTTCCTGTCAGACGAGGAGCTACTGCAAATTCTTGCGCAAACACGTGATCCAGAGGCGGTTCAGCCGCATATCTCGAAGTGCTTTGAAGGGATCAAGTCTCTCGGCTTTAGGCTTGATGCAGAAGGGAAGAAGGAGATATTTAGTATGATCTCAGCAGAAGGTGAGGAGATTACGTTCGATGGAGCTATTGTTCCGCAGGGAGACGCAGACGTGTGGCTCGGAGAGATAGAGAAAATGATGAAGACAGTTCTCAAGCTTCTAATTAAGCAGGCTTTTAATGACTATAAGCAGAATGTCTCCGATTTTGAGTCTCTTGAAGAGCTCAACAAGATGCAAATAGCTCTTCAAAACACGCTTCCTCCAGCCATAGACGAACCTAGGGGTAGAAAGAAAAAGGCAAAAGCAGACGCTGCAGAAGCTGCTGCAGAGGAGGCAAAGCTAGAGGAACCGCTCGTTCAAACCTACTCCGACATCATCATGGCGCCGCGCGAACAGTGGATAACTAGGTGGCCTGCACAGGTGATCATTGTTCTTGGACAGGTTATTTGGACGCATGAAACAACCGTTGCAATCAAAAAGCAGGAAGATCTATACAAGCGCAGTTTGGAGGAGTACATGTTAAAGCTTAACTACGATATAGATAAGATTGTGCGATGGGTAGGATTTATTCCGGGAAGCACAGAAGAAAAGGTCCCCATTTCAAAGAATATCCGAGCATTGCTAGTCATCCTTTTGACCCTACATGTCCATAATCGCGATGTTGTCGCGAAAATACAGAAGGCATTCTTTAATAAAAACGCTTCTATCGACTATAGCTTTATTTGGGAGGCAGAGCTCAAGTTTAAGTACAAGCTTTTAGAGAATGAACGAGCCCCCGCAGACGATTACGCTCTCTACACAAAACAGGTGAATGCAGAAATCCCATATGCATACGAGTATATGGGCATTGGTACCCGGCTTACTATTACGCCTCTTACGGAGCGATGCTACCTGACCCTGACATCAGCGATTGTCAGCTTCTACGGCGGTGCTCCACAAGGTCCTGCTGGCACAGGAAAAACAGAGTCAACCAAGGATTTGGCAAAAGCCATCGGCATACAGTGTGTTGTTTTCAACTGCTCAGAAGGCCTAAACACAGCCTCCATGGGCCGCATGTTCAAAGGCTTGGCGATGTCTGGAGCTTGGAGCTGCTTCGATGAATTCAACCGCATTGATGTGGAGGTTCTTTCTGTTATCGCTCAGCAGATTTTGACGATTCAACGTGCCATTAGCATGCGACAGAGGCGCTTTATTTTCGAGGGAGCCGATATTAGCCTCAACTCCAACTGCGCTGTGTTCATCACAATGAATCCGGGCTATGCTGGTCGTGCCGAGTTGCCAGACAATCTGAAGGCCCTGTTTCGGCCTATCTCCATGACGGTCCCAGACTACTCCTTGATAGCCGAGGTCATGCTATTTGCATGTGGATATCGCGATGCAAGCAAGTTAGCTGTTAAGCTGTGCATGAGCCTGAAGCTCAGCTCTGAGCAGTTGTCGAAGCAGGATCACTATGACTTTGGCATGCGTGCACTGAAGAGCATACTGTCCGCTGCTTCCCTTCTTAAGCGGCTTTACTATTTAGAGCGTGAGGACAAGCTTTGTCTTCGAGCGCTCAACTCCGTCAATGTACCGAAGTTCCTCCAGCAAGATGTAGTGCTATTTGAGAACATAGTCAGCGATCTCTTTCCAGAGTGCTTTGCCGATAAAGTACGAGATAGTGGCAAGAAAAAATCACGGCTTACGAGCGCAAAACCAGAGTCCCCTCAGACCAAGGCGAAGGACGAAACTTTGGAGAATGAGGCTTTACTAAGTAACCTTATAGAACAAGCAGGGTTACCCGAGGTCATCGATCTCCACGAAGATGAATTAGATGGTCAAGAATTCGACATCGGATATGTTTCAAAAGACATAGATGCAGAGGACTTGCTTCGTCTGTTTATTGGAGCTGTACTGAGAGAAAAGCACCTCCACGATTCTGTAGATTTTATCGAGAAAACAATGCAACTTTACACAACACTATCCGTTCGTCACGGGCTGATGAATGTTGGCAGAACAATGTCAGGCAAGTCAACGATCACAGACGTTCTCTCCGTGGCCCTCGGTAATGTGCGTAAGTTCTTCACTAAATACCCGGAGTTCGCGTCCCGCTTTTCACATGAGGCATATCCACTTTTCTACCCTGTCCAGGTGTACAAGCTTAACGCAAAGTCGATCACTATGTCAGAGCTCTACGGAAGCTTCTCAGACGTTAGCAACGAGTGGTCTGACGGGATAGTGAGCTCCATAATGCGTGAGTGCATCAAGGAAGAGGCTGAGTATCGTCTAAAGTGGATATTATTTGACTCTCCCGTTGACGCTCTTTGGATCGAGACCATGAACACTGTTTTAGATGACAACAAGAAGCTGTGTCTTACGTCTGGTGAGATAATTACAATGACTGCTAACATGACTATCTTCTTTGAGGTTATGGACCTAAGTCAGGCCTCACCCGCTACCGTTAGTCGGACAGGCATGATTTACTGTGACCGCACGCTTATTCCACTTTTCAATCTCTTTGTAGCTTTAATGCATCGCTATCTTCCCCAGTGGTTCTTGGCTCTGGAGATAAACACTGCAGCTACTTGGCCGTACTTCAAAGTAGTAGAAAACCCAAATTACCAGCCAGCAGAAGGAACCCAACCTATCCCGCCCGAAGAGCTTTTGATGTTCCGTGCTATGAGCGACATCCAATTGGCTGGCAGTTCTAACCCATCGGCACGTGCTATTTTAGAAGGGTATCCCAATCCAATCATGACTTGCAAGGAGAGGTTAGAGAATTTGTTCCGTTGGCTCTTCATTCCGCTTGCCACCACGCTAATAAAGATTCGCAAGCCGACTATCTATGCAACCACTCATACAATGGTGCTCACACTTATCAAGATAATGGCGTCGCTTCTATCGCACTATACCGCGCCAGCTTCTGATGTCGTTCTAAATGAAGAGGAGATAGATGAATATAAAAAGCGCCTGCCGCCACTAAAGGACCCTGGTGTGCTAATAGACGCTCTATTTGTCTTCTCTCTGACGTGGTCTGTCGGGTCCTTTGGGGACCTAGAAACGCGTGCCCTCTTTGGAAAGCTGTTCCGGCATCTTGCATATGACGTCCCGGCTGTTGCTTTGGCCAACGCAGTTTCAGCAGGTGCGACTCTTCCACCACCTAAAGATCCCGATTTAGAGCAAAAGATAATGTATGGTACAAAGCAGCCGACGATAAGTGGGTTCAAACTGGGCAAGCAGGAGCATGAGGCAATTTCTGCGAGAGCTTCATCGGTGGAACAGTTCTATCCATCACTAATGCCAGATTTCATGCAGTACGACATATATATTTGGCCAATGAGTACGCCCATCCCTTACACAGACGATGAACGTGAAGCAGACCGTCCTGGATATGTCTGTCTTCCGCATGACGTTTTCATTATTTCTAAGACTGCAAAGCAATCTTTGGTGCCCGGAGAATCCAAAGATGCAGGTGATACATCTATTACTCCTGTCGTGCTTGCGCAATCACTTGAACTGCAGTGGGTGCCATGGTGCAATAGCGTTCACTTTATCCCTACACCAGAGATTACGTGCACCACAAACTACATTGATACGGTTGTCCCCCACAACGACTTCACCAGCCTTACAGCTATTCTCAACATCCTCAGCTCCTCGGGCTTCCCTACTCTGCTAGCAGGTCCGGGCGGGTCTGGGAAGTCGACTATTGTCAAGAAGTTAGTTGACCTACGGTCAAATGACATTCTTCTTAAGTGCTGTCTTACAGCAAACACAACCTCTGGGCAGCTTCGTTCTATTGTTGATTCAAAGTTAGAAAAGCGTAGGCGAGGCGTGTACTCATTTACGCGTGGAAAAAAGGCTGTTTTCTTCGTCGATGACGCACACATGCCCGAAAAAGAAAAGTATGGAGCACGCCCTCCGCTTGAGGTCATCCGCCAGCTCTTGGAAGACTATGGGTGGTACGACATCGAGGGAGGCTTCTTTAAGAAAATCATTAACATGACGTCGATTATTGGCTGCACCACAAACGGCGAGAATATAGACGACATACTTCCGGAACGTCTGGTACATCACTGCTGCACCATTTCCGTTCCGGAGTCTGCTGACGAATCCTTTAAGACAATATTTACGACTCTTATAAAGCCGCTCTTTTCAGTGATTTCCAATCCTGCTTCAGGGTACATGGAACCCATCATATCTGCTTCAATTCAGTTGTACAGGAATATCTGCAAAGAATTTAGACCCACACCTGTACACCCGCACTACATTTTCTCTCCTCGAGACTTGAGTAAGGTGTTTCAAGGAATTATGTTAGCGGTTAAGAATGCAGCTGTTACGTCCCAGAACTTCAACGCCTACTATTCTCAAGAAATTCCCATTGTATCCCTTTGGGTGCACGAGTGCACCAGAGTCTTTGCAGACAGGCTCGTGGACACCGATGATGAGAGTAAGTTCTTTACTCTACTTTCTACCGCCTGGCGCACGTGTCCTGTCACAGGAAGTCATCCCCCTGAAATTAAAACGATCATTCCGGCTGCAATGCAATCTGGTACTGGAATAGAGGTATATTTTGGTGGCTGCCATGCTCAGGCAGACGAAATACCGTACATGCAGCTTAACATAGAAGCTCCAGAGGAGAGGGAGAAAATTGAAGCATATTACTACGATAGCCTTGAGTCATTCAATCGGTCGGTAGGTGCCGTTGGCAAAATGAAATTGGTGCTTTTCAAATATGCCCTTGTACACCTCATACGTATCGCCCGAGTGCTTTCGATGGATAGGGGTCATGCCCTCTTGATTGGAATGCCGTCCTCTGGAAAGCGCTCTCTAACTCGGTTGGCAGCCGCCAGTCTAGCCAACTACTATAACAGTATGGAGCAGATCACAGGCCCGAGCTATGTTTACACTAGACCATCTAGCATCAAAATCTTAGAGCCCTCTGGCAAAAGTGACTTTATAGATTGCATCAAGGATGCAATTCGTTTTGCAGGCGTGGATGCTAATCCAACCCTTCTGATTGTTCAGGAAGCCCTTGCAGATAACTACGGACTAGAATGCATCAACTTTCTTGTTAACCTGGGAGAAATACCGAATCTCTGGGCCGCAGATGAGATTAATAACATATGTGAGGTAATGATTGCGGATTTGCAGAAGAATAAGAAAGAGGGAGAAGGAGGAGAGGATATAAGCAAAGCACGAGTGTTTGAAGTGATTGCTGACCGCGTTGTGCGAAATATGCACATAGTGATTGTGACGACCCCAGAGTCTCCGTCGCTTGATAGACTAGTCACCTCTTTCCCCTCTCTCATCGGTTCCCTCTCTGTCAACTGGTTCCACCCATGGGAAACGGATACATTGCGAAATATCTCTAACTTCTATCTCTCGGAGCATGCGCAATCCAAAGCAATCACAGAGCTTCTTGTTACCATGCACAGGGATGTTGAGACTCTAATACATCGTAGCTATCCATCTTTGTCCGCATCTCCAGCCACATTTCTGGGGATACTAAACACATTTCAATCCTTACTTACCCAGCTCACAGGAAAGCTGGACAGCGGAAATGTACGCTATTCAAATGGCATTGCGCGTTTAGCAGAGACAGAAGAAGCTGTGGGAGCTCTGAAGGAAGAGCAGACAGCAAAGCAGCCTATTCTAGCAGCAGCACAAAAGGAGGTCAACACAATGGCTCGAAACATAGATGCCCGAAAGATCGACGTCGGAAAGGTTAAGGAGGTGGTATCTGCTGAGGAGGCTGTTGTTAGCAAGGCTTCTGCGGAAGCTGACGCTCTTGCCGAAGACTGTGCAGAAGAGTTGCGTAAAGCAGAGCCGCTTGTTTACAGAGCGACAAAGGCGCTAAACGCACTCAAGCCATCTGATGTTAATGAAGTTCGTTCCTTAGCCACGCCTCCTAAGCTTGTGCGTTTCGTAATGGATGCAATCTGCATCGTTAAAGGGATTAAGATATCCAGCGCACCAGATGCAGACAATTGGCCTATAGCTCAGAAAATGCTCCGTGCCAACGGCTTCCTCCAATCGCTAAAAAGCTATGACGCTGAGAAAATGCCAGATGCAATAGCGGCAACCCTGCAGAAGACATATCTTTCCTCATCAGACTTTGACCCGGTAGCTGTGCAGAAGTCTTCCATTGCTGCAGCAGGACTGTGTGAGTGGGTCCATGCCATTATAGCATATTATAATGTCATGAAGGATGTCAACCCTAAGCGGCAAAAGCTGGCTTTGGCTAATGCTGAGGCAAAGAAGCTCCAGGATGAGCTTGCTGTTAAACAAAAGCAGCTTAAAGACGCAGAAGATGAGCTTTCCGGACTGGAGGCAGAGGCAGCAAAGGCACAGAAGGAGCTACAACGTCTCTCGTCAGAGTTTGAGCTTTGTACAAATAGATTGACCCGTGCAGAGGGCCTAATTTCAGGCCTCTCGGGAGAAAAAGTACGGTGGAGCGCGGAGATAGATAAGCTAGAAAAGCAGAAAACCAACATCTTGCCAACTGCGGTCTCAGCCACCTCATTTTGCGCATGTCTCGGAGGAATAGATTTTGCTGATAGAGACTCTCTCTACAAGAAGTGGTCAGCAGAGATCTCTGCAACATTCCCGGGAGTCGAGGATTCCATTAAGAATTTCAAGCTGCATGAAACGTTAGCAGAGCAGGCCTTTATAAGTCGGTGGGTTAGTAATGGCCTTCCTCGTGATTCATTTAGCTTAACAAGCGCCTGCATCGCAATGTCTAGCAAGAAGGTGCCTTTGCTTATTGATCCGCAAAATCAGGCGCGTAAGTGGGCTGCAACTTGCTTGGGTCAGGACATGCGTCAGCAGCCATCCGTGACTTCTCAGGTCATCCGCATAGCCGACCCCAATCTCCACAAAGTTATAGAGCAGTGTCTCCGAACAGGTACAATGCTCATTATTGAGGGCATTAGCAACAACTCGTTCATCCGTAATGATGCCCGCATTAAGGCAGCTATTGTGGCCCATAATCTTATTATGTCTCTGACATTGCAATCTGAAGAGCTTAGAGCAGTGGAAGTACGGTTTGGGGATTCTACCATAGAAGTTCCCCCGACGTTTGGTCTCATTCTGGTCAGCATGTGCGACATCCACATCCCTCCGGACTCCTTCGGCGACTTCACAGTTGTGACCTTCAAGGCGACAAAGGAGGCACTGGAGGACCTTCTTCTATCTGTTGCGGTGGAGTGCGAAAAACCAGAACTGGAGAATCAGCGAAAGCATCTACAAGCAGCAGCGGCAGAGGATGCGACCACGCTTTTGACTCTAGAGACACAGCTGTTGAATCTATTGTCGGAATCGCAAAACAGCGAGGAGGGCCAAACCCTTTTGGACAATGCTGTCCTTGTTAACGCACTGAATGAGACCCAGCAGCGCGCGCTCGATATCTCTCGGCGCATGATCAAGGCAGCCAAGACATCTGCCGACATAGATGCGGCGCGAGTGGGATACAGATCTCTGGCGAATGACGCCAGTGCCCTCTACTTTGCCTTCCAGAGACTCGTGCAACTTGACTCGATGTATGAAAACTCCCTGCAGAACTTCATAGCTCTATTCCGCAGTGTTGTTACTGCTGGAAAGAGTATTGAATCTGCAGACAGGCTCCACATCATATCCCGTAACTTTGCAGAGAAGCTCTACACGTACGTTTCTCGCGGCTTGTTTGTGCGCCACAAGCTAGCATTTGCATTTGATATATGTCTCAGCCTCCAGAGAACCAGCGGCGAGATTAGCAATGAGCAGTTCAATCTGCTATTGGGCGCCCTGGGCGGGACCATTCCAGCCAAGGAAGCTCCCTCGTCCAAGCTCCTTAGCTCTGTAACCGACGACGAGTGGACTCTCTTTTCTGCGGCATGCAGTAGTAGGGCCTTTGATGCCCTTGCACTGGATGCGGATAGCATCGAAAGGTACTCCAAGCTTCTTGGGTCTTCCCCGTCCTCCACCTCCACTACCGTTGTAGATCGCACTTCGGACTTAAGACAGACGGACCCGTTGGCATATGTCATCTTCTGTGCATGCCTGGACCGAAAGAATCTTCTTGAAGCCGTCAAGGCGTACATTCGCGCTGCCCTGGGACCAGAGTTCGTCAATACTGAAGCGGCGAACATCGTAGACATCTGTGCAGAGGCTACGAACACAACACCGGTTATAGTGCTCCTCAGTCCAGGCTCCGATCCGTCAAATACAATCATGGGTCTTGCGGATGCAAAGTCCATTAGGGTGCACAGCGTGTCGCTGGGCCGGGGCCAGGGGATTATTGCAGAGAAGGCAATTGCGGAGGCCAGCATCAACGGAGAGTGGGTCCTTTTAGGAAACACACACCTCGCCGGTTCGTGGCTCCAGAGGCTGGAATCCATCTGTGACGCCATCAGCGACAGGAGCTACAACCCTCGTGGAGCTGAGCAGAGTCGTTCAGACCCGACCGTTAAGTCCGATAAGAAGCAGAAAACACCAGCCTTTGAAATTCATAAGGACTTCAGGCTTTACCTCACAACCATACCGTTCCCGCAATTCCCCTCTTCTATCACACGCAACAGTACGAAGGTCTCAACAGAGCCTCCTCTTGGGCTCAAGAACAGCGTCCTGCGGCTCTTTAACAGCTACGAAGAGGCTGAGCTTTCGGTAGCCACCACAATCTTCAAGAAGGCAGAGCAGGATGGTTTTGCTGGAAACTTCGATGCGCTCCGGGCAACGGACCCCCTGAAGATCGCATATGTGGCCGACAGAAAGTACAAGATGCTCCTCTGGAACCTCTCCCTGTTCTTTTCGGTTGTTTTGGAGCGCCGGCGATTCGGCACCATCGGTTTCAACTCGCCTTATGACTGGTCCGACCCAGACCTGCACATATCCAAGACGCAGCTGCTTACTAAGTTCCAGGAGATTGCAATCTGCGATCCAGCCAGCTTCCATACAAAGGTTAACGCCGCTATGGCAGCCCTCAGGTTCCTGACCGCAGAGATCAACGTCGGTGGCCGCGTATCGGATGGAAAGGATAGGCTCTGTGTCAATTCATTGATGTCTGCCTTTTATGCCGACGATTTGAAGTCTCTAGGAAAGACTGTTAACGACACATACGGATTCCCCTCCCATCTGTCGATCACCCGCGAGAACATTATCGAGCACGTCACAGAAAAGTGGCCAGATAACGACCTGCCCGAAATATACGGGCTAGACAGCAACGCTACCATCTTTCTGGCGCAAAACTCCGGAAAGGAGCTTTCTGACATTATGCTGAAGATGCACAGCCACTCAGAAGGCGGATCTGCCACGCGCTCGCCCAGCTGCTCCACTGGAGGCGAGCTGGCACAGATCAACGCCATTCTTAACGGTCTGCCGGCCCTGTTTGACGAGGAGGCGGTGAACGAGAAGTACCCCACCAACTACTACCAGTCCATGAACACAGTCCTTGTGCAGGAGTGCGCTCGCTATAACAAGCTGCTGCGGATAATGAGGAGCACCCTGGTCAACGCAGAGCGGGTGATCAAGGGGCTCATTATCATGACGAAGGAGACAGAGGGAGTCCTGGACGCGATGCAGCTGAACCAGGTGCCGAGCGTCTGGGAGGCGACCGCGTGGCCATCAGTCATACCCTTGTCGCGGTGGATTGTGGATCTGCAGGAGCGCGTGAGCTTTATCAGAAGCTGGACCGTAGAAGGGGTTCCCAAGGTTGTCTGGTTCTCCGGCTTCAGCTATCCGCAGGCATTTCTGACGGGCATTCTACAAAACTACGCCAGGCGTGCTAAGATAGCAATCGACGAGCTGGTCTTCGACTTCCAGGTAACCAGCGAGCCCGTGGAACTGGAGCATGCCATGACAATATCCGGGCTCTTTCTCCAGTGCGCCTCCTGGTCGGAAGCGGGTCTCGCCGATGCTCGGCCAAATGTCCTCTTCGAGGAGATGCCGAACATCGTGCTAATCCCAACCAGAAATACAGACCTTGAAGTCAGCAATCGTTACCCATGCCCAGTCTACCGTACAAGCCTCCGCCGGGGAGTTCTGACGACCACCGGGCACAGTAGCAACTACATATTGGACGTTCTTCTGCCAAGCAACGAGCATGTGAACAAGTGGATACGCCTTGGTGTGGCGCTGTTCCAGCAGAAGGATTAGGGAGCAGTAAATGCAGTCCTATTTCTTAAGGGGAGGCTCGGTGAGCTTCGCCTCCAACGGCGCGTCTCCATCCCTGTGGAGGACGGGGGCATCTGCATCCAGACCCCCATAGTAGTAGCGACGGAGGCGGGAGTCGTCTGTCCACATCGACCCCAGCAGACTTGTGACGCCTATGGGAATGAGCTCGTTTGCCGGGGAGCGGTGGATGATGACGCTTGCGTCGCTGGATTGGACCCCCAGCAGTATCTGCAGCCCCGTCAGCTTCAGATGATACTTGTGCAGAACGTCCACCAGAAACTGCACTAAGCAGCCGGACGGCGTGTCGCTGATAGACACCTGCGCTGTGCCCGGGACGGCCGACGTAGAGGCCACGGGCTCCGTTAGCGAAATCACGTCATCCAGGGTGAACTCTGCGCTAGTGTCCAGTCGAGTAAACTGCGTGCCCTCCTTTTTGTATGCCTGCTCCAAGGAAAGAAGGAACGGAGGGGCTGCGTTTGCCAGGACAGCCAGCAGGGCCTTCTGGATTGCTTTCAGATGCAGCTGCTCCACGCTCTTGTCTGGCTCCGCCCTGATGTGATCCAGAATGGCGTACAGCCACCTGATGCAAAGGTCGAACTGCTGCGGATTTGTGAGCTTGCCCGACTGGTGCATCACCATGTTGACGATGCAGTAGTGTGATAGCACCGCATCAGAAAACAGTCGTGCGAAGAGCGGGGAGACGATGCTGCTCCGAAAGCTCTCGGCAAGGCCTCCCTCTATGGCCCCGACCAGAAACCGTCTGAACTCCGTGCGGTCCCCTGACTCCCCGAAAACGTCGGCCGGACTGAGCCTGTTCCTGTATATGACGCGGACCACGGCACCAGGAAGGCCCGTCAGGCAATTTGCAGCGATGAGCCTGTCCACAAACTCAGAAGGATGGAGCTGGTTCGGAGACACGAAAAACCCTTGCAGCTCTTGGACGCACCTGCTCACGGCGTTCTCGTGCGTCTCGTTTAGAAGCGGCTCCCAGTAGTTGTGGCGCAGCCAGTGAAGCAGGAGCGCCGCGCTCTGCCGCAGCGCCGGAAGAGGCGGGAGCTGCTGGTGCGTCGCCTCGTGGCGGACATCGATGAGTGCGTAAGGAAGGCTGATGCGCCCCGCGAGGGTCTTCATGGAGGTCATATAGTTGCCGACCTGCTGGCGGTCTGTGAGCCCGTTGACGGTCCGGATTAGCGCCACAGAATAGCTAGACTGCAGGGCGTGCTCGTCGGCGGCCTCGTTGTCGGAAAGCCGGGCCGCAACCAGGGCTGCCGTTCCGTCCAATCCCACCTCCACAGCGCCCCTCAGACGAATGACGTTCACCATTGCCAGTCCTTCTTCCTGCTTCCTGACATCGTCGGAGTAAAGCAAGTCGAAGAGCGCCGCCTGGTCGCTGAGACAGAGAGTGCTTATTGATTTCATAAGTTTTTGGCGTGCAGGGTCTAGTTCAACCAGCAGGGGCTCTGCAAGTGGCGCATATCCACGCATGCACGTGCTGGGCTGGCAGGTGGTTGTACGAGCTATGGCTTGCAAAATGGCATAGATGCCCACTTGAGTGGCAGAAGCCTTACTCGTGTATTCAGCCGCAATGGTGAAAAAGTCATGCGTCCCACTGCATTCGTGCATCTTCTGTCCGCGCTTCCATGGCTGAGTTGCAACGGACAAGGTGCAGACAGTTCGGGCTTCTGGGGGTCACCCACAAGGCACTACGTCTGAGATATGCATATCCAGAAGATACCGTGGACCAGCGTTTTGCATCTCGTTGTCCGCGCCACGACCCAAGCATATTTAGGACTTCTTTCTACCTCATCATTGTCAGTTCTATTGCCGAAAGATTTACTCGCATGGAGGATTAATAATTAGAAATGAAAATTCAACACAGACCAATATTATAGAATCAATCTGCCAGCAAACAGCACAAAGGTAGCTACAGAACTATCGCTAGATTATTTTATACTGGTATCAATCAGATCCATACCTTGACTATGAATAGGGGAGAGGGCCCGTACCGCATGCCATTGGTCCTGCTTCACAATGCAAAGGCCTGTTATGCGCGGGGTGCAAGGGCGCCCACTACTTTCAAATGATACTTCATCAGATTCTTCGTAAATAGTGGACAGAAAAACAGCACTATCCACAAGGTAATCATCAATAGAGCCACTGAGATCCTCTGATGTTAGATAAGAAGAAAAATAATCAAAGTGTAGGAGCTCTGGAGTTAGCAAAGTAGTTTTAGCAGCTCCATTCTTAAACGATTGTGGGGCAGTCATATATGTAGGTGGAGATCCTATAGACACGTCAACTGGTGACATGAGTTCTCCAAGACTCAAAGAAAGCGAAGATTGGGAACAAGTAAAATCCGGTTGCATACAAACTGAATTCGTTTTGACCAAAGCTTGCTTTTGATTGCCAATGGCTGTCGATTCGGGTGAGAATATAGCTAATTCTGATACGGGTACGTTGCGGCAAAGTTGTTGGGGATAAACTGGTGAGAGTGGAATGGCTTGTTTCTGAAGATTGGCTAAGACCCCAGTAAATATTCCATGTACACTAGGAGATCGTTTCAAGGAAGGTGGACTTCTGATCAGCTTATCTAAGCCAGGGACTTTGGGGCTGGCTTTATTTGCTATTCGCCTAATGTCACGTGAATGAAGCTCGTTTTGTAGCCTTTTAGCTCTATGCTTAATACGCTCTTCTAAACACTTGCGAGTTGCTTGTTCGAGTGCAGGGTTCTCCGGCTTCCGGATCCGTTGGCCAGAGATGCACGCTGCAAGACTGTATGTTTCAGGTCTTGTGATATTCTTGCGTATAATTGTCAACTAGAGGATCAGCCAGAGCGTCTAAATAATTTATTGGCCTGGCACTTGTTACGAATCGATGAGAGCCATTACGAATACAAGACTAGTATCCTTCCATAACTGTCGCGAAATAGTATTATCTAGTTCGACCCCAGGTATTGTCAAAGTGAGCAAATTGTCTGATGAGATAGAGAATGGGAACTCAGATGTCAAAAAGTAGCTATTGAGACGCAGCGATCCCAGGCTTTGCTTGCTGTTTCGCTTGGTCAGTTCCACGACTATTTCATCTTGAAGTATCACCGGATCACTTAGCGGAAGCACAGCATCCAAGGATACAAACAGAATTGCATTAGTATATATGTCTACCGTGTTAGAGCATGCCCGTTGACACTTTGAAGGTATCGAAAGGCCGGAACGTGATCTGGCTCGCTTCCGTTCCCCCTTTGAAGAAGAAGATAGTAGATTGGAAGCTGCGCTACTTACAGCATCTGTACTTTTGCTATCATCATTTGATTCCATCTGTACACCTTGTACTGGAATGTGTTGCTCCGCTATAGACTCTAAAGAGCATGTGTAATCATAATATCTTAAGGGCGTCGTCACCTCTTCAGTGTCATATAGTTCATTAAGCGCCTTAAACATTTGCGAAGCACTGTCATGCGACTCATGTGCTGACTCTGTAGAATGTTCTATAGCGAGATCTACACCAGGGAGTCTATCACAAACAGAACCATCGGGTAAAATACTATATTTAATGTTGCACAGTTCCAAATGGTTGGTTACATCGTCTGTTGGAATCTCCTTCGAGCCAGAAAAGCACACTATGCGAAGACACAGATCATCATTCTTCCCTGCCTTCTTTCGCATAGAAGCGGGGAAATTAATTATGCCAACTTTTTTGAGCAACAATCTAGGATAGTAGGAGATCCGGGAAAGTCGCTTGCAGGGAAGCTGCCGCCGCATCAGTGAATTAAAATATTGAAGGTATCGTAATTGAGATGGGATTGTGATAGCCTTTCCATCGTAAGTTTTGGTCCTGGCGTAATCAGCAAGGGTATCGGCCAATAAACAATCGTTGGATGAATCATTAATTTCCCTGGCAGAGTCTTGCATATAAGCCATAGCAAGAAGAATACAAATGGCTACTGTGCCTGCCCGTCCTTTGCCAGCTTTACAATGGATGGCCAGTGTAACGTCTGGACATGTAGAATAAAGGTTCATGGCCTGATTGACAGCGTCGATAAGTAGGTTAATAGGAGGAGGGCAGTGGTCTTCAAATCCATAGTAGGAAACCCGGTTGTTGAAAAGAGATGGATGATAGCGTCTCTTGACCTCCGAACACAAATTGAACACCCAGTACTTCTCTGCATGAACAGAATTAAAGAGCCGTAGAACATGCTTGACTGGATTTCGGAAGGATGCTTCAATGGATGTTGCGGGATAGCCCATTGTGATGAGGCCCGGTCTTACATACACCAGATCAAGATCAAAGCCATGCTCGTTATACCTGCGCTTGTTCTTACTGACAAGGTGGCGTAGGGACATCACGGGAGGGTGGCCAGATCTAAAATTCCTTGTTGCGACACAATTTACATTAAGATGATATCTAGCAAATCTCATTCTAACCGTTGTATGCGAGGAGGTAAAGATAATTGGCATCGAATGCATTCATCATATCGAAAGAAAGGCTATCCTCAATAGCTTGCGCCTCAGCAGATGCCTTGTAAGAGAGGCTCGGAGTTTCCTCGCTGTCTAGTGCATCGTCGCTCCTGGATTTGTGCTTGTCCTTACTTCTCCTTTTCTTCTTGCTATCTGTGCTCAGCTGATGTTTAGCGGATTGGCCCTTGGCAGACAAAGATTGAGTGGTTGGAAAAGCGCCTCCCTGCAAGGACCTCTTGAATTCAGCATCAGACGCCCTCTTGCTTAGCGCTAGGAACTCTGCATCACCGTGAGTAGCCAAGAGGGCCTTGAGATTGGCCAAGCGGTCACTAAGGTTCTGATTTTCTGCCAAGCGCTTCTTCAGCTTCGCAATGAGCACATCACGCTGGTTCTCTGTTTCTGCGAGCCTTATCTGATGAAGCATAAGAAGCTTTTCAATAAGCTCGATGAGATAAGACAAGTCTTGATTGGCCTTCTCAAAACGCCTCGTCAGATCATTGATCAGATAGTCTCTATCCGTCTCCACGCTCTTCAGATGCTTACGATAATCATGGAGGGCCTTCTCCTTAGACTTTTCTATCTCCTTAATCTTCTCATCCATGGCCTCCTGAGAGTACAGCTTCTCCATGTCTTCGAGCTCCTTGCACTTCGCACGAAAGTTATCAAGGATACTATCTCTGTCCTTCTCAACATCCGCAAGTTGACCTTTTAATTTATCAACGACGTCAGTGCGGTTCTTTTCAACAGACTCAATGCGCTCCTGAAACTTCTTCATGAGTAGATACTTCTCTGCCTCAAGGTCCTCAATCTTCTCACGGAGCTCTGTTATAAGCGTAAGATGCTTTGCCTCAATGTCGTTGCAGCGACTAACCAGGAGCGTGCTGATAATATCGCGCTCATCTTCCGCCTTGATTGCGCGCAGCTCCAGCAATTTGGTCCTTTCTAGAAGGCTCTTGGAGGCCTCGTTAACTTCCTGGAGCTCCTCTACCTGGTCTGCGGCCAGGGCAGCGACCTCGTCAGTCATTTATTTATTTTGAGATGAGTTAAAGACCTATAGATATGCTTTTTATGGACGTAGAGGGAGTTAGATAAATCCCTCGTCAATGGGCATGTCTCCACTGTCATTCTCAAAATAGTCAGCTAGCCTTTCATTGTCCTGGTCCTCCAGGTCGTATGTGCAGTCCCTACTAAAGGCCTTCCGGGGGAGCTGATTATCCTGGCTTCCAGTCAGATAGACCCCCGGGCCAATATCGTCCAACTCACGGACCCCGTCCGCTCCCAACTCACTTTCTCCACATGTGGTCACTGCTGATGCATGCGGCGGCTCGCTCACCTGTGGTCTGTTCAATATGCCAGACAACAAGTAGATTGCATCCGGATCTCTGACTAAGCCCATGGTTATGGTGCGCACGTCCTGATCTGTAATTAGCAGAGCCCTTCTTGTTTGATTGAGCAACCTTGCAAGGAAATGATTGGTCAATTGCTCCAGATTGGAAAACTGTAACTCAAACTTAGATAGCCCAAGAGTCCAATCTTCTGTGTACAGATTGGGGAGGAGAAGTGTGCGGAGTTCATAGATGATAGAGGGCAGCATACCTGGACCCCTACTATACAGGACTTGTAGAGCGTTTAGAGGCATGCTAGAGATCCATTGCAATATCCTTCCAGATATATTAATTGTGTACTGAAGCGCCTTACTGGCCACAGCACGATGGGTACCAGAAGACATAGGTGAGGTAACAAAGGCCAAGGTGGCGTGGATGGCGCTAGCGTGAAGATATAGTAGTGATGCTAGAGAGTGTACGGTCAGGCCTTGAAGACCGCTGGGCTGTTGGTGTATGCCCTGGGCTTTCAGCTCTTCAAGGTATTCTGTCTGAACGGATCTCTCTTCGTCTGTTTGGGGCAAAAACTTACTAATAGCATGTATTGCCACGGTATTATCTCTGGTTACCTTATGATAAGTCTTTGGTCCGTGCTGTGAGAGATTACCGACATAGCCAGGATCGTGATCGCTTTTAAGGCCGGATGGCTTAGTGATAATAGTACTAGACATTTTAATTAGGTCCACTAGGACAGCATTTAGAGCTTGGGTGGTATAGGGAAGCAGGACAAATCCAAACGAATAGTTAAGCCTACACAGAACAGCTAAGGAAACGTGAAGCATAGTTGACGTATTGACTTGCGTGAAAGTTAGTCTATCGACCAATAGCCGCCCCGTAAAGTCAGCTAGTTGGCCCATGAATTGCCCTGTGAAGAAGGCATCCTTTATCCCAGGTCCAACTAAACATAGAACGGAGGCCGCATGCACCAAAAATGCGAATGTTCGCGGCCGCTTCGAGGCAACCGTTAATTCCAGAAGCTCTGTCGTCGGCTCTATTGATAGATTTGCCAGAAGCTGCAGTCGATTCAGTATGGTGTACGCAGGCGAAAGGTATCTGGTAAGCGCGCTGTTTGCCGAACTATGCACTTCTTTACGTTGGCTAGTGAGGATCTGCTGTTCTATAACTGTCTTCCCACAGGTGTATGACATGCTTTCTGCCAACAACTGTTTAATAGTACCAATCAAGTTTTTGCTGATCATAGTAGCTACCGTTCTAATTGAGACATCAGCGTCCGTTTTAAGGTTCTCCGCACTCTCCGTTGGGTCACAGAGTGTATTATCTTCTTGGATTGCTAGGAGGCAAGTGTCTATTAAAGAAACCAAACACTCTGGTAGCGTCCCAGATGTGACAGAAGCAGTTGCTAGCCCATCAATTATTCTTGTAGCGGCAACTAACGCTGCTGTTTGCTTAGCACTAGACTTCTGGATATTTATAGTGATGTTGTCCGTTAGCTTCGAAAGATGCGGAGATGGCCTTCTAGACGGACTACCAATATACCGTCCATTCGCGCTGCCGCGTTGCTGTATCTGCATAGACGATGTCCATGGAGAGATTGGTATATATGCATTAGTGCTCTTAGACTGCACTGACAAGTAATCGGTACAGTCTTCCACGCCTGGACAGTTTCTAATGGGCAAGACATCGTACAATCTCAAGTACGCAATGTTTCTTAGGGCAGAGGCGCGCTGAAGACTGTCAGAAAATGCAGATTGAGGTTCCTCTGTGATAAAATAAAGAATGGTTGACGCTGGAAATAACGGTATTATCTCTAGCAGCGATGGAAATTGAAACGTAATCCTTTGCTGCTGTATTGGCCCAAGTGGTCTTGGTTCATTCTTTTTTCTAAGGCTTGATTGCCGCGCTTGATGAGCATATGGGCGTGCAATTGGAGATTTACCTCGTGTGGTGGTTCTCTCCATTCGACTCTGTTGTTTATGATTGGATCCGTGGGCTTGGGTAGCATCTGACTGCACTTTCTGTGAGCTCACTGCCATGACCTCCGGGCTCTGAGAAGCTTGAGAGCCATCCTTTCTATTTGCCAAAGCACTTACTAATTTGTCTGGGCGAAATCCAGAAGCAATCAGTGCCTCTGTGCTGGAGGAAAAGGAGGGCTTTTCTCTTTTTTCTACAGGGACACCTAAATCTATGACCAATGGCCGTTGTACCGTTCTTCTTGTAGAGTGTGTTGTTTCTGCGTCTACTTGAAGATGGTTGGTGCTACTTTGCAGCTGATTAGACGCTAGGATATAGTTTGTCAACGCCTTGAATTTCTCTACGGATCTAGCAGACGGTGACACAACTCTTCTTGACGGTGATATAGGTTTATGAGTATGGATCTTTTCTAAGTGAGTAGTATCAAGGTAGTATCCATGCTGGGGGTTGATACCCTTTATCACCTCAGGGTTCCAAATCCCTCTAGTCAAGGAGACCTTGTGCTGCGGTGAAGCACTGGTTAAGTCGGTTACTACCGAGACTGCACTAGAACTCCGGTAGCGTTGAACGGCCGGTTTATCATTGTCCATTCTATCGAAATTGAAACTGAAAGACAAATTCCATATGCTAAGCGCAGAAGAGGCAGTTCTTTACGATCGCCAGTTGCGTGCATTTGGTGCATCTACCCAGCAGCTTCTTAGTCGATCAGTCGTCGTCATTGAGTTAAGGGACCAGTTATTTGAGGAGCTCGCAAAGACATGCGCCATTCTGGGATTCCACACTCTGATTTGCCTTGGCCGGCAAAAGAGCAATGCATTTGATCTGCGCAACTTGAATCGATACTGTACTGTTGAAGTTGTAGATACGAGCTCTTCTGTCTCCACGGCCCTGACGGAAGCGGTTAGATATCGTGCAACAGACGCTGTATATTTCTTATTAGCATCATCTTCGTTGTATGACGATCTGCATGAGTGTATTTCATCTTTAAGCACTGCTCATTCGCGCCCTCAGCCCTACTTTCTAAACTTTACTCAAGAAGACCCGTCCATGCTCCAAGTCTCTATTGACAAAAGGCCTGATGACTCTTACACACTAAGTGAGCACTGTGAGATAGAAGATATGTGCTTTCTTGCTGATATGCTTGGATATTTTCTCTTTAATCTCCTTCGTAGTCGTGCAGACACTGATGCGGAGCACACCGGGCAGCCTCCTCCGTGCTCCTGTACATTGAGACGAGATGGGCTATTCTGGAAAATAACTAACGGTTAGAATACTTCATTGGCGTTTACCCTGGTCACTTGCGTTTGCGTCTAGAATTCTTTCCAGTGTTAGCGTAGAAAATGTTCTCCTTGGGAACCCCAGCTGCAACGAAGATGGCTGCAACCTCCTTCGTATACTTTCCCTGAATGGTTATAATGTCCCCGCCCAATTGGTCCAAGACTGTTTCAGAAACAGCACACGCAAGGGCTTTGCGCAACGTTATCATTATGTTTTTCGGCTCAATGCTAAAGTCTTCATAGTTGAATACCTGTGTCACACCCTTCTTGTTTCCCCGTTTAGCGAACCGTATTTGCAAAACTGGGACGTATCCCTCCTGCCTCTTTACGTGAGGCTTTATCGGGACACCGAAGGGAGGAACTTTTGCCTTATCGTATGCAAAGCAGGTGATGCCATTATCTCTTGCGGCATCTTCCTCTTCCTCACCTTCCTCCTCACTTTCTTCGGCCTCCTCTTCAGTCTTTTCATGCTGTTCTGGCCCTTCACTTTCAACTTTGTCCGGAGCATTGTCGTTCACATCATCTCTATTAAGGTGCGGATAGACAAGTGCCCATAGAGCCTCGTCCTCTCGCTTGAGCACGGCCTCGCACCCCAGCTCTGCTTGCTTTGACGGCTTTCGATACTTGCAATAATGCACCGGCCAGCCGCAGCACGAGCAGTAGCGGACATCGACGGCCTCCATCCAAAAATTTAATTAAAATGCCGAGACCGTATGATCCGGATCTTTTAAACGCTATCTTGAACTCTCTCCCAGCTGGGACAAAAATTTCGAAGATATATTACCTGCCTAGTATTTCTTCCGGAGATAACTACGATCAGATCCCCGTACTGCTGCCCAAATGGAAGGCCAACGAAATTCTTAGGTGGATTGAGAGCGAGGCGAACAAACTGACTACTAAGGCTGATGCCAGATTTGGAAAACCTCTGGTGCGCGAGACCAAACGAACCCGGCCGACCTTCATCGACCCAACCGATCTCCACACAGGCACAGACGTGGTTGGCATAAGGACAGGATCATTACCACGGAATACATTTACTGCTCCCGATAGCCTAGATTAATCCCTTCTGGTGCGCACCGAAGAAGGCAATGGATGGGGTGATGGGGTTCTCCTTTTTCCAAGAATTCTCTGCAAGCGGCCGATCACACATTGACCGTTGCACGGAAGCTATCTGCGTCTGTTTTAAAGTAGCGTCCTTTGAAGAATTGTGATGTGAGCTTATAGCTCTCGTCGTACGCGTCCAGGACGTAATTTGGCTCAATCTGGCGGCATATTGAATAAATGGACTGTATACATTCAAAAAAGATCAAGTTCTTCTGGGGGAGGGAGGGGAGAGCGCGCTCCAGAAGCTTGCGCATGGCATCCTCCTCTTCGTCGTTCTTCACGTAGAACATCAAAAGGACTATGCACCCTTTGTCAACCAGCTTTGAGACGTGGGCGACGTTGGCGGCATTCAAATTCCCGGTGGAGTCGACGAGGTTTATGTTGCCCGTAATCAAAAGTGTATTTCCAGACTTGGGTGCTATGGTCATCTTATTTTCACGGATGGTTTTATGCAATTTCATTTTAAATTCATTTAGAATTGCAATGGTGCAGGGAAATGGCGAAAATTAAAATTTAGCTAAGGAATAGGGTCTGTGACTGCTTACATTCTCATTGCATTCCCTGCTGTGCTTGGCCGGTAGAGCTAGAGGGCGAGGCTAAATAACACTGTAATTTATGCTAGATTAAAACAAAAATTCATTCATACAAACGCCTGGAGGGATGGACCAAATAAACGGGGGGCTTTTTCCTAAGGCACTTGCACTGACGCGGTATGCGTCAAGGGGGCTCATACTAGGCATTATCTCTGCGGCAGGGGCGGAGCTTGAGAATCAACTTGCAGGGTTTCTGACACGGAGGTACCCCAGATCCCTATTCCTACCAAATGCTCAGAACTCTGTGTCTCGCTTTCTAATGCCAGTGTGTGCTCCCTTGGCAACCGTTTCTCGCGGCCTTGAAAGGACGTCTGACCTAAACGCTACCCTGGCGCAGAGCGAATCCATCAAGCAGGAGCTCAAGATGTTTATTCTTCCGCAGATCCGAGAGCTTCTGGCAGAGAACCCCGTCGTTTTGTTCATGAAGGGAACCCCGGACTCACCAGAGTGCGGGTTCTCCAAGTTTGCTAGTATGCTCTTGAAGTACAACAACATAAGCTTTGTCGGCGTGGACGTGCTTGATGATCCTGCGCTGAGGCAGGGAATTAAACTCTATGGGAACTGGCCGACCATACCTCAGCTGTACGTCAAAGGGGAGCTCATTGGCGGTTCAGACATAATCCAACAGCTACACGAGTCGGGAGAGCTGCGGAAGGTGTGTGGCCTACCAGACTAAAGTTTACTGTGGCTTCTGCGTGTAAAAGCTAGTTGGAAGACTTGTGCAAGCTGTGGTATAGATTTTCGAAGCACCAGTTCTCGTTCATGTTATAAGTCATGTCTTCGAAGAGTGTCTCTGGAGTCGTATACACAAATTCTATTATGAACTCGTCAAGACTGAAGAGATCGTTAATCGATTCGCCGTCTGGACCCGTTATGGCATCCGCAGAAAATATCGTATTGCTCTCGGCCAAGAACTGCTTGTGCTTCTCGTTGATTGCTCCCAGCTGTTCTAGAGCGTCTCCAACAATGGAATTGATAAAGAATCCCGAGTTATCAATCTGTAAATTTCCGGAGTACATTTGCCAACCTTCTAGAGAGTTTTGGTCAAGCGGGGTGTGAGGCTCAATCTTGAGGTCCTTCTGCGGTACACCAGAGAGCTTGATATCTGTGTAGCTTACGTTCTGTGCGGCTAACACTATCCGCCTGAGAAATGCATATGTTGGCAATTCAAAGAACAGCTTAATAAGGATTTGCGAGGGGATTGCAGAAAGGTCTGTGCCAGGAATGGTGACATCGCTTTCACCCGGGCCTATTAGCTGAGTGATGGTGGCGCACTTCAAGATGGCTGCAGTTGTGGTATTAACAACGGTAAACAAAGAAATTCCAGAATCCGAGTCTCCTTCGGGGAGGGTTGGAAGCACTGCCACATGCCAACTGTTGGACTGAAGGGAGATATCTTCTTCGTATAGCAGCACGGCGCAGTGGCCTAAAAGAGTCGGTGCAGGCACTTGGCCTGCTGCCCGTAGCTTGTCGGCCTTTCGCTTGAGGGCCAATGTGATGGGGTGGTGGGGCTCCAAACCCGGCCACCGAAGAACATGGGGCTGAAGAGTCTTGAAGAACTCTATCAAGGTATCATGATCCCCCTCGAGATGTATGATGACAAAGGACCCCAAAACAAAAGTATTTCCATAGAGATATGGCTGCTTTGTTGACGACGGCTGCCCTCTATAAACTAGACTGGAAATCAAGTCTATCACGTTGATCGGGACCCCCGCGTTTATAGTGCTCACCAATATTGCGCGTGCTGAATAGCGCGGATATGAAAGGATGCCGGTGCTCTCGTTCCGCGCCAGAAGCGACGAAAAGGCGGTACGGAGCTGGGGAAGACTACCTTTCATGCAATTTTGTAAAATTAGGCATATTTATTTTTTAGTTCTCTCTCAAAACATCAGCAAACATCTCTGCGCACTTGAATAGCAGAGAAAAGACAACTTAAGTATTGACCATAAAGTTGTCTGGGATTTTTTTCTTTTTTATAAAAAGTCAAACTAGTTAAATGCTCCTGCTTGCAGGTCTGCTGGCTTTTGCTCTAGGATCTGACGAGTGTCCTTACTACACCACTAAGGTAGGCCTCAAGTGCGTGCATAATGGGTGCGTGGTTTTCGACTACCGTGGCATTCCTTCCGAATGTGGGGGCCTGGGATACTGTTCCGAAACACCTGCTAACTCTTGGGGCTGTGTTTGCATGTATGGGTCTATTGCCGTAGGGAGCAACTGCGTTTCACAATCCTGCGTTAAGCCAGGCACAGACCTTGAGTGTTCCGGCAACGGAATGTGCATTAGAGAGAAGTGCATCTGCTCTCTCAGGCACAGCGGACTCTACTGTGAGAAACCTATCGACGACCTTTGTCCAAGTAACATGGTGAGCGCGGAGGGATATTGTGTTGTTGAACGATGCCGAAGTGACAACGGATTGATATGCGGAGGCCGTGGTTACTGTTTCAACAACCCCAAGTACGCTGTCCCGTGTTCCTGCGATGAGAACTTTGAGTATATTAAGTCCGGGTGTCACCCAACTAACTGTCTCGGAGTGGTAAGCGAGACCAGTGAAGTCCTTGTTTGTAATGGACACGGTGAGTGTGAGTTTGATGCAGAGAACAGCAAGTGGGGCTGCGATTGTGACGCTGGCTATGTGCGCGCGGGCCACACGTGCGTGCCTCCTACTTGCGCTAGCTCTGGCGCTGAGCATATCTGTAGTTCTCATGGATATTGCACGCTTAACTCTGAGACAAACAGCTATTCTTGTCTTTGTCTTCACGGATATGCAGGAGACTATTGTGAGATGTGTGCAGAGGACGCCATTCCCATCTGGAGCGGTCTCTGTCTTGCCGGTGCATGTGCCAGCTATGATGACAGTGGTAACTTGCTAATATGTAACAACTTGGGAGGTTGCGACGAAGACGCCTCTCTTCCTGCTCCTAGATGCACCTGCTCTGAGGGCGCATTCTTTAAAGACGGCAATTGCTACCCACTGTACTGCAGGACTGGGCCCCATGAGATATGCTCTAATCACGGGACATGCAGCTATGATGGTTGCAGGTGTGAAGAAGGATATTGCGGTGGCTATTGTGAGAACAAGGTCATCACTTGTCCTGATGGAGAAACCTTCCTGGACGGGTCTTGCTATCCGTCTGCGTGTGTCATCAACAATACTGTTTGCAGCTACTTTGGCCAGTGCGTCAGAGACGAGGCGACGGGAACAGCTCGCTGTGTTTGCCCGAAGAATCTTCTCCAAGCAAACGACGGTTCGTGCATCCCAATGGCATGCATTTTCAATGGAGAGGTGTGTCCAAATATGGGCCCCTGCCAGATTGTCGGCGAGGACGAATATGAGTGCTTCTGTAACTTCATCACCAGCACAATCGTTGACGGACAATGTGTGCCATATAAATATCTCAGCAAGAATCTTTTTGGCGAGTATGTCATATGTAATGGCCGTGGGAAGTATGATGTGGGTTCCGACAGCTGTATCTGCCACTCACTATACAAGGGGCCTTCCTGTGAGTTCTGCGCGGAGAATGCTGTGGTGATCAATGGAGAGTGCTACCCCATGTCCTGTGTGAACATACACCACGACGGGACTGCAGCTGTCTGCGGAAATTATGGTCAGTGTATGCTATCGCACGAGACCCACAATCCTGCCCGTGAAATATACAGCTGCATATGCCGCGGATACAGCCATGAGAGCAACCTCTGCGTCTCCAATGTCTGCATGCCCTTCGTCGACGGTCCTGTGTGCAGCGGCCACGGATACTGCGATGGTGGCGCCTGTATATGCGATAGCGGATATCGTGGTGTGCAGTGCGAATATTAGAAACTTTATTTTGAGATGTAAGTGAATACCTTGAGGTTTTTCACCTAGTCCTTTTTCTCCAAAAAAAAAGTCCATGCCTATAACACGAGAGCAGCGATCGGCCCTGATAAAAGCAGCCATAGAGGGGAGTGAGCATGCGTATATACCGTACTCTAAGTACAAGGTCGGCGCCGCCATCTTGACTGAGAGCGGGGAGATTTTTAAGGGCTGCAACGTCGAGAACGCGGCGTATCCTATCGGTGTATGTGCTGAGCGCACTGCTGTTGTCAAAGCTATCAGCGAGGGCAAGAAGGACATGGTCGCGTGCGCCGTGGTTACTCGTGATGGGGGCTCGCCGTGCGGTATGTGCCGACAGACCTTGAACGAATTCAACCCCAAGATGCACATGATATTGGCCAAGTTAGACGGGGAGGTCATAACTGAAATGCCGTTGGACGAGCTCCTCCCCCTGGGCTTCGGGCCTGCAAACCTGCTCTGATTAGTCGGGCATTTGCACTGGGCGCCTAACACGGATAACCCGCGGAATAAATCTTAGTTAACGTTAGTGGAGACTCACTGCATCAGTTCAAACGATTGAATGTATGTCAGGAAGGTCTGGGCCTTCATCGCCAGGGCTGTTCGTGCGTGCCCGTCTGTGCCATTCTCAGTAGCCGGCCGTTCATAAGACAGAACAATCATCAGTTTTCTAATATTATATCTGGTGATGAGCTGCCGTGGGTGAGACGAATGCAGATAGATATGCTCAAATATATCCATACACCCCTTCCGCGTCGTGTTCTGCTTGCTTGCGCGGAGATTGACGAATAGTCTCTGGAGGAACTGCTGATCTGACGACAAAAATTGTGGAATGCTTTCGTGCTGCTTAATAAACCGCGTCAAGTCGCCTATCACCTCGGATGCGATCTTTTCAGTACTCAGCAGAACAGAGAGCTTGGCCAGATTAGCGGGGGAGACGATTACGTTGATAATTCTCCGCCAGGACTGTTGTATGTGGCTATATTTAGAGCAATCAAAGAACCAGCTAAGTAGACAGAGCACTTTGTTGGGATATGTTGCAGCAAGATTGAATATTTTTGACAGCCATTGCTCCCTTCCATCTTCAACGGTAGAGAACTCCTTGAAGATCTTTTCCAAAAGACTCTGGTAGGGGACCATCAACCGGTTTTGCCGTTTTTGTTGATTTGGGAAGCGCTTTGTCGGCCGCAGCGCAGACGTTCTAAGTATTATCTCCATCGCCAGCTCAACTACGTTACCAGAGAACTCTGTTATGGGCGACGGGGAGTAGGATGACGATGCCTCCGGTGCTTGAGATGTCATCTTCTTGGATGGCTTCCGTGGAGAAGATCGTTGAGAATGTGGTCTGCTAGCATCTCCTTCGATGACTGGCGTCAGGCTGCCGTAGATAATCCTATAGCACACAGGTATGAGGCCCTTATTGAGTGCAATGGCGTGTATCTCCGGAAACTGGATGATGCTGTGGCAGAGATAGGTGGCCGAGTCCAAGATGTCGTCTGTTCGGTAGTTCTGAATGTTTATTAACAAATCTACCAGTATGTCAATTGTCTGTGATGTAAGAGATTGCACAAAATCCGGTGTGAGAACAAATTTTCGCAGTGAAGCAAAGAACGTGGTAACAATCGTGTGTATGCGATAGGGCAAAGAGGTAGAAGAGTAGTTGCTTAGGGGAGAGGCTGTGTAAGAAGCTGGTAGACAACTCATCAAGACGCAGCTTATAAAGTTGATGTAGGTTTTCAAAACGTCCTTGGAGAAGATGATGTGTGCATAGTCCAGGTCTACCAGCTTAGTGTATACCTCGATACCCTGCTCTAGAGCCTGGATCCTCTTCTCATTCATTGCTAATATGCTCAAATAGTACTTTAATTTGGTTTCGTTATAGTCCTTGCCCTTATCAGCAAAGAATATTGACCGGAGTCTATCGCTAGTCTCCCCAGAAAGGTCCAAGTCAAAGGGATTGTTCCAGTCGACTCGCTGGCCAATGACCTGGACTTCACAGGTGGGGTAATTGTAGGGCGAACCCTCTAAGATTGGGGGCAGGAGCTTCCAGAACAGAAGAATGTTAAGCGATTTTGCAATGTACTCGTATGCATTTTCAGTTATTAATATCGTTGCATAGGATTGTGTTGAGATTGTCGGTATTTCCATTATGGACTTTGCTGGCTGAATGGCAGACGTGGAGCCTACCCGGCTATTTTTGGTGGATACGGCCTTTTCAGATGGGAGGACAGAGTCTAGTTGATACAGTTTTACCACGTGATCAAGGACCTCTCTCTCATCGGTCAAGAACTTGGAGTTGAGAATACCTACCTTCCGTGCTTTAGATGTCTTGTCTTTAAACACCAGCTTATAAATTATGCCAATGACTTGAATAACAAAGCGTGCATCCTTGGTAGACAGGAGGCAGTCGCACAGCTGCAAAATCTGAGAGTGTAGGATGAGACAGTAATCTATGGAAATGAACTCTGCAGATGCAAAGTTTCCGTCAATAAACACCTGCAGAAGATCAGAGACCACGGTCCGCGTCTCACCCTGGAGCACATTGATCAGTGCATCTTTGTCACAGGGGTACGAAACTAGTTTCTGTGACGAGTCTGCCGCAGAGGGGTCTATTTGGAAGCCTACGCATGAATCTTCACCATAGATTGACGAATTCGTATGACCCGTATCTTTATCAACAATAGGCACAACGGTAGGGATATTAGTGGGCACAATGCTCGGGGTTTCGCGACCGGTTAGCATAGATGGGTAGTGAGACAAGCCAGCATGGTCATTTTCTAGTGTCTTTGAGGTACATGAAAATCTGGGAACGTTGGGGAGCTGCAGAAGGTGAGCGTAAGATCTCGCCGGTACTGTGGTACTGTGGATTATTTCATAATAGTCTTTAGTCCCCTTCCTAGCTGAGTATTTTGGGCGTTCCTTGTCCTTTTCACTTACTCTATCTGCCCCAACGTTGATTGGCAGAGATGAGTACGTAAAGCTACGAAATGCTAGAAGCGTCCGATCAGCTGTTGCTTTAAATTCTCCCAGGAAACTCTTCAGTGCATACTTGTCGTCAGTGTTTTGATTCTTCAGCGTGGTGTATGTTAGAAATAAATGCGTCGTGAGATGGCAGTCAAGAGATCTGATTGTATCGTGCTGTATTTGGGATTTTTGATTGGTGGTTGTACCTGAATCGAATTGGCCGTTAACACGACCGGATCTGGCTGTGCTGATAGTATCATTCTGTAGCGTGGTCTGGGCGTCTTGGCTGTGCCGCATGAACTTGAAGCCCCGTGATTCGGAATTAACTGCCTCACATGTTTGACTTTTTATCGCTCTAAAAAAATCAGAGATTGATTCTACAAAAGTAATAGAATTGGAGATTTTAAAATCTATTAACCTTTTCATCAACGGAGGAAGGCCCAGGGCGGTTAGGTTCATTATCAACCGCGGTGAATACTGACACAGCACATACAAAATCTTGCACAACTCTATACAGTACTCATACATGTACAGGGTCAATGCCGCATTCCAAAAGATGGCTCTGCGGGTTGCAAGCGACATAGCAGCTTTAGGATCTCCTCTTTTACTTTTGTTGTTTCTATCCCGCAGATCTGCATTTAAATAGTATTTCTCATCAAATTCCTTTCCGAAAAACTCCTGAGCCGCACCCAGAAACGGAACATTAGTGGATTTGGAGGGGAGTGCTTCATCGAGCAAGGAGTGGTTGGATTCCGGAAACGATCCCAGCTCACCAAATTTCTTCAAGACCAGAGGCTCTAGCGACGATGAGTGCAAGTTACTCTGAAGAGTATTTGTGAGAGAATGATACTGGGGGCGAACCATAGATGTTTTTTGCATGCCAGCTGCATAGGAACTTGGCATGTGTCTGCCCCTTGATGATGGTTTTGCCGGAGAATGCAAGCTTGCTGTGTTGTGCACTTTGAGCGTACTAAAGGACATTTGGATCGAGTCATAGCCACTAGCAGTTGAGGATTGGTTAGAGTCTGCGTCAGGATTGCTGGAGTACAAGGCCTTGGTTCTATGTGTCGACTCCTGGTCTCTTGGAGTAGTAAGCGGTAACCCCTGATAGTTCTGCTGTCTCTCGCGAAGAGCCTTGAGCTTGTTCTTTAGAACGCTGGTCTCTATTGGGTGAGTGTTATACAAGTTATTTAGATTAACGCAAACCTCATTGAAGTGATCCATGGACGAAGCCAATGAAGAGTTCTCTATATTGATTAGAATGTTATCAATGTGTTGTATCACAGACAAGAAGCCACGCTTTTCCATTATGTTTGAGATTAGGACCCCCGCTGTCTCCGTTGGCTGCAGACTCTCTAGGTCCAATTCATATGGCAAGAAGGGTGAGGGATCCTCTTCCCCGTTGGTAGGGTTTTGGTGCCCTCCGCTACCATCAGCAATAGCCTCTTGCTGTTTCTGGGGAAACATATGACCTCTAAAGATGCAGGAGAGCTTCTTACGCTTCTGCGAAGTTGAGATTGCTTTTAGTAACTTGTGTGCGTCTATTATGGAATATGATGCAAAGACGTTCTTCTCTAGTATGCGGAGATGCTGCTTTATTGCTTTCTTGTTAATCTTGGGAGTCATAAGGATATTGCTCATAAAGGTGTGTCGCATAACTCCGTCAATAATTACAGAGTCTTGGCCCGGGGGTTCCTTGCAAGAAACGTCTAAGATATCATTGCTCATAGTCCCGATCAGGGAATTGTATTTGTTGTCGTCGCTGAGGTCCTGGATGTCTGGAAAGAGAGTTAGGTCATCACTGTCAGAGTTGATGCTTAAAATGGAATCTGTCTGGATATTTATGAGCGGATCTGCTCCGAAAAGAGATTCTGAGCGCTCAAAGTCCCGTTCCAGACGCCTTGTCCTCACAGTTTCAAGTCGTGTGGCCAAGGTGTCATGTGTAAGGCTGGAAAACTGTGGAGCCGAGGAGCCTGCGTTGTGTCTGACAGAGGACTTTGAGAGGGGCTTTTCCGAGACCTTTGGGCTTGTTGATTTTGGATAGCTTGGATTCTGTAATGTGTGCATGTCTAAAGTGCTGGAATTGGGCTCCTTGGTGGGCGGGAGTGCTTGAACATCTTTCCCTGTGCTCGATTCTCTGCTTGATCTTCTGCTCGACTCCTTGGGTGATCCTGGTAGCGAAAAGCCTTTCGGTGGTGGGAGCATGTTATTGGTCAATGTAAGCTTTGCTGACTCTCTTGGGCCAACAAGCTGCTTTTGCCTCATAAGGCTGTTTGCATTTTTGATGAGCCACGGGTGATTCAGAAGCTCAGCACAACTGTGCCGCTCATGCGGATCAATTTTGAAGCAGCACGAAAGGAAATCTGCGCACTCGGGGGAGATGTTGGGGGGAAGCGGCATCTCCGTGAGCGTTGCAATGTTATACATTGCTGCAAACCCCGTAAGGTTGTGAAAGGGCGGCTTCTTAGTTAGTAGCTCAATCATCGTGGCACCTAAGGACCAGACATCAGACTTAGTGGATACACCCTCTTCGTTGATCACCTCTGGGGCAAGCCAATAAGGAGACCCCTCGACGACGGTCGGATCCACATCTTGAAGCCGTTGAGAGAGGCCAAAGTCAGTCAGTTTGCAAAGTCCAGAAGAGGTCATCAAAATGTTTGCCGCCTTAATATCTTTGTGGATTATGCCCTGCTCGTGTAGATATTTAAGTCCCAACAATATTTGGTAAATATAGCATGCTACCACATTTTCTCCCAAATCATCATATTGCTTAATTAACGTCTGCAAAGAGCCAAAATCTACTAATTCTAGAATAATATAAAGGTAATTCTGCTCTAAGAAGCACCCCCGGTACTTCACTATGTTGGAGTGGTTCAGTTTAGACAAAAGGTTTATCTCAGACATCACTTCCTTGATAAATCCCTGGTCAACAGCTTTCTTTTTGCCCTTAGGCTCCAACTGCTTGAGTGCCACAAAACCACCTGTTACTTCATCTGCTGCTTTCCACACCTTCGCGAAGGCCCCTTTTCCTATGAGGCAATGTAAAGTGTAGCGGCCACGTATGGTGAGGGGATTGTCTGTCTGCATTTTTTTATGCTAATAAAAGGATGGAGGGGAGGAACGCCACCTTTGTCATTGTCAACGAGGACCACACGCTAGGGAATTGCATTCGCTACTGTCTTACTTGTAACCCAGCCGTCTCTTTTGCTGGCTACTCTGTCCCTCACCCCGCAGAGCCGAAGCTAAACCTTCGCATTCAATCTGACACTCAGTCCGCCACTGACTGCCTTTTGCAGGCGGCTGACCTCATGTACGCTATAGCAAGTGTCTTGAGGCAGCGACTTGCAGAGGCCTGTGGGGTTAGTCCTCCTCCTTCCTCCAGAACCAGCGAAAACCGGTCTATCACCCAGTAAACCAAGAATGGAAAAGGCTGGTAGCTTGTGCTGGTGCCAAACTTGGTGCCCAACTTGTGTCTCCAATACACAGGCTCAACCTCTACCCACCCTACTAGCTAGATCGTTATGTTTACTTTACCCCAAGCTATGATGTGCAGAGCAGAGCAGAGCAACGCCCACAAGAATAAAAGGTTAGAACAGTAGCAAAAAGGACAGCAACAGAAGCAGCGAAACCGGATTACTTGTTAGAGATCGTGTTGACATCACCAGAGCCAGGGACCCACTGTGCACACTCAGCCATGTACGAGTCCATGTCTAACAACTTCTGCTTCTGGAGGAGGTCGAACTCGCTCATCACCATGTCAACCTCCTTGCTGGCCTGAGAGCTCTCGTTGTCGATTCGGATCGCAGAGTCCAAGCTGTCCTCCATATAGCTTTGCCTAATTTGAAGGTTTTGCATTTCGCGCGAAAACTTTGCCAACTGCTGCTGCATCTCCTTATTATTAACGTTCTTATTTAAACTGGCCATGATTGCGGCGGACTTAGAGATGATTCCGCCCACAACTTCGAAGGACTTGGCCAACTGCATGTTCATTTGGAGAGATAGGATTTGAGCCTTCGAGACACTCAAGCGCTTGATATTGTCCTTAATTCTAACCAAGCACTTTGCGTGGATTTCGGCAGAGGAGCGATCACCGTCCTGCGCAGCCTTTCGAATTTGCTGTTCAACTTTTTTTCTTTCGAACTCCAGCTGCATCCTCTCTCGTTCAATGCTCCTTATAGTTTCTCTGGCTTTCTCTTTGTATGCCTCGAGACTAGCTGCGATAGTACGCTCCTTCATTTCTTTTTTGTCCCACAATCAAGTAAATTTTTTTCGTACCCTTTTTAGCCCGCAAAAAGACTTTAGAAATTGAGCTTAGTTTATGTGGATGGTTTGCAAGGTTGCCCACTCACATACAGATAGCCTGCACTCTGGTCATCAAAAGCCTTTTCTGATATTGTTTACTTCTTTACTTATAAGAATTACGGCGCTGCCCTGCGTCATTAAGGTTTGAATGCTCATGTAGTAAGTGGTAAGATTGTATGTCCCGGGTCAATTAGCTTTCAGGGCAAAGTATTTTTTGAAGTTGCTACAATTAAAGTTATTTTAATAGAGCCCAATAGAAGCATGAAATCGTGGATAGGTGGTGAGGAAGCCTCTTGATGATGTTTACAGACTGACATCAACTAAACCCCAAAGCAGATCTTAGAAACTCAAGCTGCGTGGCGCGCAAGCTGTCATTGATCGACCACGATGTGTACAGATCTGTGCAGTGCGACCCATTCGGTATGTACGATGTGGTCGAGCCATTATGGAGATGATGCCCTGTGGACCAGGTCTCCCCTTCACGATAACTGAGCTCGCTCCACGGGTCCACGTGACCATTCGTAATGTAGATGTTAGACATCTTGATGTTTCTGGCACCATAGTACACGTTAGTGAACCGGACAGCCTTGTTGACGAGGTCATCGCTCTGGGAACGTGTGAAGCTAGGGGCACCCGGCGGTGTAGCGCCCGGGGCAAAGTACGCTTTGTAGCACATCTCGAGGAAGTAGTCTAGGGTGATCATGGTGCCAAAGCCCGCAGCAGGGCTCGACGTCTGATAATAACCAAACTCCACACACGTCTGCCACAGCCACGATCGATCTACTGCAAACTCTGAATCTATGCTGGTATCCTGTATGGCCTTAATATACCCATCGAATGAAAGGTCAATCTCTTCCATTGAACCCCCGTAGTAGTCTAGTAGCCATGAAGCATATGCTTTAAGGTCCTGGTAGCTCTCTCCAGTGTCGTAGCTATCATAGGATGCCTCAATAGCCTTGCACATCTGCTTGATATCACCATCCTTCGTGGTGTTGTAATACCCATCGTGCTTAGCGTACTGCACAACACCAGAGGGAGCGCCCATAGCAGACATGAAGCTGGCCTTATCATACCCTGTGCTATTGTAAATGCTTTCCTCTTTGAGCTTAAAGATTGTAGCCAAGGTCGCCTTGTCGTGACTTAGCAGGTATTCCGCATCCTTGTGGGCGGCAGAAATGATGTCCATGCAGCGGTCCCCTCCATACTTCCGTACCTGAGAATCAATGTGCTGAAGGTATTCTGGATAGTCTGTCTGTGCCAGATATGGGCCGCTGGAAGAGATTGCAGCGTCAATAATGAACGGAAACTGAATGCGGGCCCACGCAGCCAGATTGCCCGAATAGGATCCGCCGACTGCCACAATCTTTGTACCCTCTGGAAGATTATACTCTCGCTTCAAATATGCAAGAAACGTAGCTATATCGGCCAGTGCTTGGTCTGAACGGAGGAGGCTCAGGTTAGCTGAATTCGTGCTTGGAAACGAAGCTCCGTAGAAGCGATGCTCAAGTGCAACCTTGAGGCCGTTCATGTTCTTTGCAAAGTAGTCAATGCTGAAGTAGTCTCCGACATCTCTTGGAGTAGCCGGTCCCTCCCCGCCTATCATGAGAAAGACGGGCCCCCCTGCCTTGTAGTAGGTGTCATTGTAGTAGTACCTTTGCGACCACTTCTTGGTATTCGTAGAGTCAAAGTGATCCACGTGCTGTTCACGGAACCAGAGTTCCCCGGGGTAGTGTTGGACCCTCACTGGTTTTGGTGCCTTTAAAGGGACAGGAGAGCCATCTGGAGACAGGTCGGTGTCCAGGCTGCGGGTGAAGATAGAGGAGACGCGGGAGAGGGGCTTCTTTGAAATGCTTCCGAGAAGGAAGATAAAGAGAAGCGAAATCATTTATCGCTGAATTTTATTTTTTGAAAGGAGAAGGAAGAAGAATTAAGCAGAAGACAGCAGATTTCCATGTCTGGCCCAGGTCGCCGTGGTGTAAAGAACCGCTGCAATGCACTATTCATTAACATGGCTACCATTTGGAATACCTATGGGTTTGACGTAATGATGTATCATCTTCTATGTAACGAAATTCTTGTCTACACCTTCTTTCTGATGAGCATCTACTCTGCTATCTATACCATCTATGGTATAATTGATTTCTCCTCCTCTCAGGCCCTTCTAACCTCAAACCTCTTCACGGTTATGCAAGGATATGGATATGATTGGATTTCCTTTGCCGTACAGATGTCTGCCATACTTGCTTTTGTTCTCTATACCAAGTTCCTGCTCATTTATAGACGCGACTTACTGAGAATCCAGGAATTGACACATCTAGACGTGAGTTTATATACACTTTTCCTTTACAACGTTAGGGCTAAGACGCGCGATGAAGACATAATTGCGCGCATCGACAAGGACTTAACATATCTAAAAGGTACATTTGCTGTTCCCAAAGAGGTACAGCGACCAGTAACCAAGGAGCAAGACCCTAGGGGCGATAGAGGCGAAGCGTTCCATGTCTCAATGCATGAGAAGGTCATCAAGTGCGGGCAGAAGAGGTGGGGAAGAAAGGGTGATTGCGAAAGAGAGCATCACATAGATCACATCTTCTCATTGGAGAGGATTCGCGACTTAAATGTCTATCATGCTAAGAGACGTCTTGCAGAACTTGAGACGCAATACTATAATCAGATTAAGGCAAATCCCCAGAAGCTTGTACCAAAGCGTGGTCGTGGAGCATCCTGCCTAAAGGCGCTTGGGATTATCAAGTGCATGCAAAAATATGGGCTTCTGCGGGATGCTATTTGGTATAATGAGGCTATTAAATGGGAGAAAATGAAAGTACAAAAGATGGAGGCCATGAGTTCAGAGACAAGCAAAGGAATGGCTATTGTCATTTTCAAGTTGGCCTCAGCAAAAACGGCTTTCTACAATCATCGGCAGTCTTACTTGGGAGACAGATATGTCGCGGTTAAAGGAAACATCATACGTGTCACCAAAGCACCATCACCCAGCGATGTGAATTGGGATAATGTGCACAGAGGGAGAGCTATTTTCCTTGTGATGTTCCTCTGTTGTCTTCTCCTTTCATTACTGCTTACATCCGTTGTTTATTTGATCACCGCAGTGATCAGAGCTTATCAGCGAATCATTGCGTCTCAGACAACCTCTGTCATTACGTCGCTCGCGCTAAGTGGAAGTATGTACCTTGTTATATTACTTTCCGATTATCTGGGGAGGGTCTTGATGACCAAGATCGTCCAACTAGAGCGCCATCACACAACCTCTGCGTATGAAACATCGTATCTGCTCCGTTACTTTATCTATATCTTTATCAATAGACTGACACCTCTATATTCCCGAACAATCTTGGAATATTTAACCAATCTATTCACCAATCTATTCAAGCCATTGAACCTGAACAATTATTATTTTTTTAAAATAATAGACTTCACGAAAGATTGGCGGTGGGGAAAAGATACTCCGGGGCGCGACATATTAATGTATGTGATACTAGCAACTGTCCTTGATAACACACTTGATGTTATCCTGCACTATTTGCAACCCGCTGCATGGGGTGAATGCTGTCATAAACGTCACACAAGTAGCCCTGAACATCTCATAGAACGTGGTGATAGCGTTGTTGAGGAGAACACAGAAACAATAAGCTTGGTGACTACCAAGGCAAAGTACTACTGTGGCTGTCACTGTGAGTTCTGCAGAGTGCGGTCACATGACGAAGAAGCTTTGCGGCTAAAGCTAGAGTACAGCATGCTCTATTGCAGACTGGCATCTATATTCACTTACAGTCTATCATTCGGATATACTCAGCCCGTAATACTCCCTATCGCATGTGTGTATTTTCTTTTGCAGAACATTGTGGGCAAATGCAAGCTCGTCTACTTGTCTAAACCGGGAAGGAAATTCTCAACCTCTCTGTCATCATATTTTTGTAACGTATTGCTGACCTTTAGCTATCTATTTGCAACAGCTACATTAGCTCAAGGGTATCTGTCCAGCGCGGTTGTGCCAGCTGGAATAGCTCTCTCTATTGGCTTCCCAATCGTCATTCTCTTCTCAGCTATCTTCAATACTGCAACTATATGTGCTCTTATTAAAATCTGCCGCTGCAGAAGGAAAATTGAAAAGGAGACGTCCCTTCGCAAGAGCATCATAAGCCATAGTTATGGAATGCTCAGCAAAGAGATAGAAGAGGAAAGGCGGTTCAACAAGATGCCCATCTATGATCCTGACCTGCATGGAGAATATATATTTCAGCCAACAACGGGCTATTCTGAAAAAGAATGTGCAAAGCTAAAGACTCTCTTATCTAGTGCAATCTCAGGAAAGGCAGATGACTCCAGCGCCACGCCTGAGGTAACAGAGGCGATGGCCGTATCGAAGTTAAGAGCCTCTCCTACATCGTCACAGATAGACTAGTGTACTCTGTCTAGTTACCCTTTCCCTGCGCCTATACAAAGTTATGCTGTCTCTGAAGGGCGCCAGTAATCTCTTGTCTCAGAATGTTTCAAAATGATTAAAATGAACTCGCAAGATGACCAGAGTGAAGAGCTCTTTATGCCAGAGGCGGAGTTCTCTGATGTTCAGCTTAACCTAGAGTTCGCTGACTCGTCAGAAGACTTTAAACCGGAGATTGAGACGCTAGCTGGTGCATTTTGGGCACAGACGCCACACAGTGAGCTTGCCTTTGAATTGGCCAAAATAGTTTCAGCCCAGCCTGAAATTGGTACAGTTGCTTGTGGCGACGACTCGGCTGTCCTAGGATACCATAGTATAATTAACTTAGGACAGCACATGCATATCTCAGCCATAGAGGCCCTCTTTGACTTGCTATTAAATGCCTTAGAAGAATACAAAGACACGTTGCCGCCTGCTAAGCTTTTCTGGCAACGCCTTAAGGCTGGGACTGTTTGCCTAGGGTTTCTGACTACAGGCCGCTACACAAATTTGCCTATGAGTGCAATTGCAGCCTTCTATCAGGTTGTCAAGGACGACATAGAGTGGGCCTCTAGTGCAAAATACAATAGCAGCACTCCGTCACATCTCTTTAAGTTCACTCACATCCTTTACATCACCAAGGCCGTGCTGAAGGATACTGAGCCTTCCATGAACCAAACAACTGGGTGCACAACTAATCCATTAAACCGCCTCAAGAAACGAAGCCTGGCTCGGCCAGAGGACACAACCATTATTGAATGTTCTCTATTTACTCTTCTTGTACCAGCTTCCTTGGGCTCATTTACCTGCTGGGTGATCTCTGTTCTAGATTTGGCCGGGTACCTTCGTGTCTCGAAAGCATTAGCTGATGAGGACTTCGATTGAGTCAATATAGGTGTTGCATACGTGCCATCCGCCGGAAGTTGTTTGCATAACAGGTGATTGTCATGTCAGCGTGGTCCCTTCAGTAGTTCCCGAATGCGGTTATCGTTAGCCCAGTACAGCGCGTTCTTCTTGTCTGGCTGGGTGATGTCCAGCTCCTCATCTAATAGTAAACGAACACATGCTTCATGCCCATTTGTTGCAGCAGCCATGAGCGCAGTGAAGCCTTCACCAAGCTCATAAGCTGCGGTAGTCGTCATTCTGACCTCCATATCCTTCAACAATTTGACACAGTCAGTGTACCCATTCCAAGCGGCAAACATGAGCGCCGTGCGGCCCTCCTTATTCTGCATACGTCCCTCTACGGGAAGAAGCATGCGGCAGGCCTCCAAATTCCCCTTACTTGCGGCAAGCATTAACGAAGTTGTTCCATTGTTCCAGCCGCGGCCAGTCATCTGCATTTTCGCCTCATAAGGTATGAGCAAACGCATTATTCCGAGATACCCCCGTTCTGCAGCAATCATGAGACCCGTGCGGCCATTTCTATCTGTGAGCTTAGCCTGCTTGGCCAGTAATGAATATACCTGAACAATGTCATTAAGTTCAGCCGCTTGCATGAGTTCTGTGCAACTCTTTCCGTCGTGCGGAAGAATATCATCTGTGCTGGGTGTCTCCCGACGAGCTAGTATTTCCGCTGTCTGTAAATTGCCAGCCTCCAAGGCGAAAGCCAGCGCTGTCTGCCCATCTTTTGTCATTATTCCAGCTTCAGCGTTCAAAAGGCAATAAACTGCATCAGTGTAGTCGAGCTTTGCAGCTATCATTAGGGCTGTTTCCCCATTACTATTTTTCTTCCCAGCCTCCACAGGAGCAAGAAGTTTGACGAAGTCCAACTTTCGCCGAGTTACGGCTATCATAAGTGCCGTGTAAAGTGGATAGGGAGGAATGTCTCTAGTCTGCATGCCCGCCTCTCTATTTATTAAGCGCCGCGCAATATCAAGTCTATCATGTTCTACTGAATACATCAGTGCGGTCCTGCCGTTAATATCCATCAATCCAGCTGAGAGATCTATCAGCAACAAGGCTGCATCGGTAAACCCAACTTGGATGGCATACATCAACGGCGAAATACCTTGTTGATCTTGCCTTCTTGAAAGGCTATCCATAGCTTGTTGCACAGCCGTGATATCCTTATTAGTTATGGCACGGAAAAGAACGTTGTCATCGTGCTGTCTTTGCATGGTTGTGCGTACAATATTTGTATTAATAGTTGGGGACACTGCTTCGGAGACAGTCACTGTTTCCACCATAGGGCTTATGGTAGTGTTGACGACGCTGACTCGCCGATCTATAGGTTTGGGTACATTTGCCAGAGCCGTGGACGCTGAGGAGGGACGATAAATTACATCCTGCAAAAGACCATGTGAAGCATTTGCATTAGGCTCCAAGAGCGGCTGTTCCTTATGTGACTGGTGGGCATTAGGGGCATGGCCTCCCGGTAAGTAATCATCGTTTCCGGTATGTGCTTGCTGAATCGTAGCAAATCCAGGAGTGAACAGAGACGGGGTTGCTGTTGTCACAGAGTCCTCAATTGGTGCTGATGTTATGCTGCCGCGCCTATTCTCAATAGCGTGCTGCAACGCGGAGAGGATGTCGTCTTCGGAGATACGTGCTGGCGTTTCGTGCATCCGTCGAGGATCCAGTGAGCTCATTTCATGCATATCGGGGATACCTCGCAATGCAGAATTGGGGCCGGCTGCAGACGCAGAGCCTGGGCGTGATGATCCCTGCTGCTTGGCATGTCCAGAACTCTGAAAAGTGTATGTACCTGAACCTGCAGGATAAGACTGTCCCGAAACAAGCCTTATGGCCTCTAACTCAGCGACCCGTTGCTTCAGTTCTGAGCATTCCCTGATGTACTTTTGAATATTTGCCTCTTTGTTTTGACGTAGAGGCTGCAAAATACTGATGAAATCTTGCCGTAACTTGTCTTGGGCTATAGCCAGAGCAGAATCTATATCACGTAACTCAAACATGATGCTTTTGCTCAAAAGGGCAGACAATGCAACTGTGGATCCACCCATCACGGCATAATAAAGAGCCGTGTTACCTGCTGCATCCCTCTCTGTGCATAGTTTTTCCAGAAGTATGTTTATGGATTGCACGCTTCCACTGTGTGCTGCAAGCATCAAAGCAGTGCAACCAGCCGGCCATGTGGAAAGTTGTGTTGTGGAGAAGTAGGCCTCATAGTCTAATAGTAGCTTGACGATGAGATAGTGTCCAGAGATCACAGCATGCATGAGAGCTGTAAATCCATCAGATTGCTGAATCCCTGCTTCATGCTCTGCTAAGACAAAAGCTATGTCAATAAAGCCATTGCATGCAGCATGCATGAGTGCTGTCTTGTTATCTCTATCTCTTACCCTCGCCATTATACCTACATGAGCCTTTACATATGCGACATTATTTTGCTGGACGGCAGAGAACCAGGCATCGCCGAGATCTGTCTGGGTTCCAATAGAGTTACTGGCCATAATTTGAGATATATTGAGCCTGCTACTAGAGAGACTCGGCGGAAGGGCATAGGCTGGGCCCTTTTGAGAGTCTTTGGCATCTGGAAATTCAAGGCCGTGCTGCTGCTTGAGCTGTGCCAGTTCAGTAGTCAGAGCTTCTATTATTCCTGCTTGAGAGGTGATTTCGAACTTCTGTAGCATGTAATCGTTTCGAAGCTTTTCAAGCTCTTTGTTATCAGCATTCTCAGAAAAATTTAATTGCGATGATTCCATAATACAAACATTAGAGTACAGTTTAGATACAAAGTCTGTTACTTTCTCTTTTTTAGTTTCAGGTAAATCTAAAAGAATTTCATGAAACGTACAATCCATATCTTTGTCGGGAAAATGAAGTGTGCGGAGCGGTGTCTTAAGCTTTTCTGCAAGGCGGGAAGCTGGAGACATTCGTATGGATGTAATTGCATCTAGCGCCGACAGAATAGTCTTATCTTCATACACCTTGCTGCCATCTAGGTTCAGCATTGGAGAGGTAAGCCTGTTATGACTCAGCGGAGGGGTAGCAGCAATTTTACTTTTAACCAACGTGTGCCCTTCTAATGCAGTTATATATTTTTGAACATCCTTCCAACTTTCTATTGCATCTAAAGGAGAAATACCGTTAGGCATATTCGATAAGTCTTCTGCAGTGGTTACCATGGCCAGCTTTCCTGGAGTGTTTGACGATTGATGATTAATTAGGTTGACCATTGGTGCCATCGCACTAATAAGCTGCTTGGTGGTCTTGACTGCAGGACTATTAACGACCTCAAGCACGCTTTGATATGTCCGCGCAGATGGCGGGGTATTCGTTCCATTTGCTACTGTTCCTATATGTGACAACGCTAAGCGCAGATTTCGCTCAATTTCGCTAAAGGAGCTAAAAGAACGGTCAGTCTGCACAACGGGAGCAGGAGCAGACGATGCACCGGCGAATGGCTGCATGTTCAATGTTGGCAGAGTCGACTCCGTATTGATAAATGTGTGCAAAGTAGAAGGGTTAGAAGACGTGATCCCCGTGGGGATATGCTGTGATAACGTGCTCACATCCGAAAGAGTGCTAAAATCGTAAGGCACATAAGGTTTGTACGTGGATGATGTATTGGTGCTTATCTTTGGGGCTGTAAAGTTGGCTAACGGTGAAAGAGATCCATGAGTAGCTGTGGTAGAGTCGATCACGTTGGAGTCTGGTAACACAGAGAAGCCGTCAACTGACGTCTTTGTATCAGCCTGCTTCTGTTGCTGTGCACCAAAGTGGTAACTTCGTTGCATAGGTTGCTGAGTCTGTTTCCCGGGGGTGAGTGACTCTACTCCCATTGACTTCGATAGGGAGGGTCTTAAATTGTCAATGAATCCATCAGGACGAGGGATCTTAGACGTGACATTCATAGAGGACGCCTGTGAAGCGTCGCTATCTGCTGTAAGGATATTATTTGCCGAGGCTGCTGGCTTGAAGCCATCTTTGACATCTGTCTTGAGTGATTTAACATTTATTTGGGAACTTGCAAAGGAATGATGATGCTCAAGAGCCTCCTTCAACGCTGTCTCAATTGCACCAAGGTCCTTAGCCCGTGCTAAAGAAAGAGAGAGCTCAAGCACCTCCTCTTGGAAGACCATTCTTTGTAGCAAGAGGCGAACACAAACAAGGCTCTCCGCTAGAACCGCATAGTCCAGAGCACAGAGATCGTGACTGTCCCGCCTGTACGACACATATTTTAGGAGCACAGAAAGAGACTCCACAGAGACCGATTTGGCGGCAATCATAAGGCAGTCTCGCCCTCGGTCACAATAGATATTGGCCTCGTACGGAGCTAAAAGTTCGCAAACGTCAGGGTAATCCCTCGAGGCAGCAATCATTAACGCTGTCCTGCCATCTCTTGTCATTCGCCCATGTTCGTGGGCAGCCAGGATGCGAACAATGCCTATTTTGTTCAAACGGGCAGCCAAAATAAGAGCTGTATCTCCAGCATCATTCACGGTGAGCTTATACTGTGGCAGAAGCTGTTGAATAAGGCTCGTGTCACCTGCCTCCACGGCACCAAACCAGTCTGCGCTTCCTGGCATCAGAATTTTAATGAAATATTTACTTAACTTCATGTCCAGGAAAGCGCCTCTAGAACATCATTCTTCGACTCGCCCAACGTAACATCATGATTGTGCCCAGGGTAGATTCTGAAATCGTCAGACAGTTCTTTGTAAATTCGTTTCACAGATGCTTTTAATTGCTTTGAAGATCCACCGGGGAAATCTGTTCGTCCGACGGAGTTAGCAAATATGGTATCACCCGTGAAAACGACCTTGGCCTTATTACAGTACAACAGAGAGGAGCCCGGCGTATGGCCTGGGGTGTGCATAATCCTGAAGATGTTATCGTTGCCTAGATCAAAGGTCGACTCCTCACTGAATGTTTCATCCGGTTCAGCTGGAAAGTCAGCTGGAACGGACTCCCCAAAGAGAGGAGCAAACATTCTGTTTGCCTTCCAATGGGTAACATCATCTGCGTGGGAATATATCTTAGGGGAGCCAAATCTGTCACCCTCCTTTTTCAACTCATTCACCACATAACCAGTCCCAAAGACGTGATCGAAGTGCGTGTGAGTAAGGAGGATGAAGAGGACCTTGAGTTTTTGCTTCTTCACATAGTCTAAAACATCGGGACAGCTCGCACCAGGATCGACAATCAGTGCGTTGCAGCTTTTCGGATCAAACGCAACATAGCAGTTTGCTTGCAGGGGGCCCGTAGGGAATGTAGCAACGGTCAGAGACATCACAGGCTGTTTTTGACCTTAGTTTTCAAAACTGCGCCAAGCTGAATTAAAACGGCGAAACAATGCCGATACCGGAGGTGCGTCGACAATTGGCGGCACTCATCAAAGCTGTTCAGCGTGGGGAATGGCCGGCCATACTGCCGCCTGAAATTACCGCAAAAGATTACAGCATTCTTGTGCAGTACATATCTAACCCAGACCAGCGCGTTGAGGCAACACGAAAGCTGGCAGGACTGATAGTGGACCTGAAGACCAACGCACGCTTGCTTCTGGACTCCAATCCGTTTGCTACAGAGAAGGAGCAGCTGCGGCAGATCTTCCGGGAGCAGGAGCAGCTTATTCCGAACGCGTCGATCGGGTGCTCCTTCAGCCGGCGCAGCCTCCTGCTTTCGCACAACACGAGTAGGGCGAGCGTCCTTCAGTCACAGAGCGCCTCGTTCAGCGAGTAAACCCAACCAATACAACCATACTACCTATACAATTTATATGTTCTCGCGCAGGCGACGGCGCTATGGCCGAGTGGTTAAGGCGACAGACTTGAAATCTGTTGTGCGTCGCACGCGTGGGTTCGAACCCCACTGGCGCCGCTTTCGTCTGGGCTTCCGCCGGGATAACGCTTCATGCTATGCGCTCACTTCTCCGTCGAGCACTGCATCCACCTCCAACTCTGGTGCTACCAGCGGACCCCAAGACCTTTTGGACGAGCGTCGATATGTTATGGCTGTCCTAGCGCACACTAATAAAGCTGGAGATGGCAGAGCAATTTTGAGCCTAGAAGCCACACATAATGGAAAGTACATATTAACTGCAAACGTGTGATGATGATTCACTCCGCCCACCGGCTGCCCCCGGCGCTAGCTATTGAGCTCCGCGACGGACCCTCCATCCTTGGCCGTGGAGCGGGGCTCCTCAAGGCAGCAGGGGGCCAGCGCGGTCGCCGCTCCCATCCCCAGCCGCCGGGCTAGCACGCCCACTGAGCCGCGACAGGCCCATCAGAGTCTACTTGTTTGCATGTTCTGCGGAGGGCGGCGCGTTTCTACCGTGGGTCAGGGGGCGAGGGATCTCGTCGGAAGCCGTGCAGATGCACCGATCGGGCAGCAGCCCCAGAAGATCGCCAGCCTGGCCTGTGCTGGCAAGTCGGGCAGTGGCGACGAGCGCTCCGGTCCGGGAGAACATGGTCTGCCCGTGTCTTCGCGCTGTCCACCGGCGGCCCCTCGCCTCCCGATCTGCTGCCCACGGGTGAGGACGGGGGCGACAATCGTTGCGGCCCTTGATGGCCCGCTGGGGGCCGGGCTCCTGCCATGTCAGAGGCAGATGCGCAGCCCGGCCCTAGAGCCAGCCCTGGATGAGTCCCTGCACCGCGCCCCGGGCGGCCTCGCTGGCGGCGGCGGCGGCCCTGACCCCGTGTGCCTTCGCCTCGTAGGGGGCCAGGGCTCCGACGCACTCGATACGGCCATGCTTTGCGGCATAGGTGAGTGCAGTATCACCTGCCGGTGTCACTATGTTGGCCTCAAGTTTAGCCAAGATTTGCACGCATTCTACATGTCCATACGTAGAAGCAAACATAAGTGCAGTTAGGTCGAAGTTGTCTTGAGATCCAGCTTCATATGGAGCAAGCACTTTACACGCGTCCGCGTGTCCATAAATAGCTGCTAACATTAATGCAGTCCTTCCCTTAGAATCAGTGAGAGTAGCTTCAGTTGCAACTAGCTCTTTGATGGAGTTACAGTCGTCTACCATGGCCGCTATCATAAGGGCCGTTGGCTCAACCACTGGGAAAATCCCTCTTGTGTTGAAGCTGCCCTGAAGTCTTGTCCCGCTCTCCACACTCTTTAAGACGCTAACACACTCATGATGACGGTTAAGCACAGATAAGTGTAGCGCGTTATACCCCCTCTTGTTATAGTTGCCGTGCATATACAAAAACGCTTTTACATATCCTACCTCTCCAGAGATAGCCTTCTGCATGAGCTGCGTATTTCCATCATCATCTAGCAAAACATCTACCCTTAATGAGTTGACTAATTCATTAGTAAAGCAGTCCTTGCGTGCGAAAGAAGTAGCAATAGCGTATGCGGTAACACCGTTTGTCATGCAAAGATCGCGCTCTTCTAGGAGCAGTGGGATAAGTGTAAGTCTAGCGAGCAACACAGCTATCATAAGAGCTGTTTGACCTGCTGTAGTTTGTTGACGCAGTAAGCCTTCCTTAATATACCTTTTTACGGCATGAATATCATCTGCTAGAACCGCAAACATAAGCTGCGTATATCCTGCGCTCATCAAGAGAGCCCTTTCGACAGACGCTAAAATTGCTATGGAAGTTAAGTCTCCTGAGATCATAGCTAACTCTGCAGCAAAGTGACCATCTGCATCGACCATGTTTGCTTCGTAATGCACGAGAACTTCAACAATTGCTGAGTGTCCCTGAGATGCTGCAAACATAAGCGCCGTTTGGTGCATGTTGTTGGTGGTTTTTGCTAAGTATATACTTGCATGCACTCCGGCTAGATCTCCATGTAATGCAGCACGATGCAGCGTAGTATTTCCATTACTATCTGCGGACGGAGAAGGACCAATAATCCGTTGTAGAGCTAAATGGTTGTGCCTCATTTGCTTCTCCCAGCGGCTCAGCATTTCTGGATCAAGATGTAGCGATGAAATCATGCTCGTGACCATGTCACCTTTAGCTAGGTTTGCGCTTGAAGTTTGCAGATCATCAGTTATAGTCTCTGTTGTACTAGCCTCAGAGCCGTGTTCAGACGTGTTAGAATATATGGACACTGGTGGGACAAAACCCAGTTCGAGAGGAACGATAAGATTACAAAGCTCCTTGTTACCGGATTGAATGGCAAGTTGGGACGCTTTTATTCCCTGCTTAGTTTGAAGTCCCACTTCGCTTCCTAGTAATATCCTCGCTACATCAACATGCCCAGCTGCACATGCCAGCATCAACGCTGTTGTTCCATCGTTTGCCTGAAGACCATAGAGTGTTGTCTTGGAAGTGACCTGGTCCATACGACCATAGAAGGCATCGATCATGAGATCTGTGTAGCCATCTTCAACTAAAAAATCTCGCTCTACTGGCAATAATACATCAACCATATCTTTGTTACCGGCCAAGAGCGCGCACTTTAGAGCATAGGATTGCCCATCTGTTGACCGCATTCCTGATTCTGCCTCTAAAAGTGACTGATCGACGCACCTGCATCCACGCGTACCTGCTCTCAACATCAGTGCAGTTAATCCGGCGCCATTGTATAATTTATACTGATAGGAATATTGCTTAGTAATTATAGGACCTTTCGTAATGGCTATTCGATGCAGATCATAGTTTCCTTGCTCATCAACTATGCTGTCAGGCTCGAGCATGGACAATAAGTGCTTGTGACTATTACGTTGCGCAATTTGCCAAGCTGTCTCCCCATCTGCAGAGACGATACTCTTTGTATCAAGTAGAAGCTCACAACAATCTGCATGACCTTTGGCTGCTGCATACATTAGTGCTGTCCATCCCTTGCTATCAACAAGGTTTTTCTGAGACTGAAGACACCATGTGTAATTAAAATTGCCTGCATCTGCTGCCTTCATGAGAGGTGTCATCACATGCTCAGAGCCTTGCTCGCAGAATGTGACATCGGTAGCAGGTGGCCCTTCATAGTCCTTCAAGATAGCGCACGCCTCTTGATAGCCCATGCGAATAGCTATAGTAAGTGCGGTAGCATCTGTAAAACTTCGTATATTATTCTCTAGTGGCGCCAAAAGATCGATGATATCCGTATGATTCATTATGGTGGCTTTCATGAGAGCCGTTTCACCGGCCTTATCTACCAGCCCTGCCTCTACACTTGCTAGTCTTGCAACAGCAGAAAGAGATCCTGCTTCTGCCGCAAACATAAGTGCGGTCTTTCCAATAAGACTGGTCGAATCTGGATCAGCTATCCAATCTTGCTGATCAACCTGCATGCCACCTTCGACATCAATTAAGTATTCGATAGCCTGCTGATTTCCGTACTTGGCCGCCAACATCAATGCAGTCATGCCAAAGACATTCCTTAATCGTGCCTGTCGTAAGTAACAAAATGTGCTAAAGGGATCCTTATTAACTACGGCTAGCATTAGGTCAGTGTTGAAATCACTTTCTGCCGTGGGGACGGTGTCGCTGGGACCTTCATACTGAACGAGCTCCCGTGCCAACTCCAAGAATCCGTTGGTATATGCTATTTGAAGTGCTGTAAGGCCATCAGGAGTGCGGCTACCTTGCTCATATGGAGCTAATATCCGCGCTGCATCAATATAATTCTTCTCTGCACAATAGTGAAGTGCAACCCTTCCGTCCCTGTCTGCAATGCCATGTCCATGTTGTGCAAGAATCCGAATCGCAGGGAGATAGTCTTTCTGCGTTGCTTTGTGTAGTGCAGTAAATCCGTCTTCGTCTGGTATGGCTGATTGTTTCTCACGCCAATACCATACTGAATCAATGTCTTCTGCCTCAACGGCAAACAAAAGGTTCGTCATGTTGTGGTTTGAAACCACCAATGAATGATCTTGTCTTTCTAAATCGTGCAGAGCCAGTGCTATGTCAAGATGTCCGCTTTTTAGTGCATAGTGGAGTGCTGTGTGTCCCTCAGATGATATGCGCATTGCTTCTGTGTTTAGTAACACTTGGACAATTTCATAATATCCCAAGCTCGCAGCCTCCATGAGAGCTGTCTTTGGACACAATGGAGGCGAAGTCAGACCGCGTCCAAGAAGTGCTGTAACACGGTCGAGATTCTTCTGCCTAACAGCATCTACTAAGGCGTCATACGGTGGCATAGTAAAGGCCAATCCAGTGCGTGATAGATCCTGCACGGATATGCGAGGATCAAACGTTCGTGCGGTTGAAGTTACCTTCGTCGCGCTCAGCTCAACTTGCGGGGCATTTGTGCTCCCAGGGGACATAGCGACTTGATGGTGTTGTGACAGCGTAGATAATAGTAGCTGGTTTTGAGTAGTAGCTCCATATTCTTCAAGATCAAAAACACCTACCCCTGCTGATCCCTTAGCACAGCTTATTGTAGATGGAAAGTCATCACCCATCTCTAGTGCTTGAATTAATAAGTCCAATTCCTTAGTGTATGCCTTTGATTCTTGAGTTGGAAGATTGATCCCTACAATCTTGGTCAAGAGTCTTGCAACGCTCCTAATATCGGTAACTAGGTTAGCACTCGCATCCAGACCATATCCTAATAAGGCAATGCGTGATGTGTCTGTAAGAATAACAGTCTCAGCTGAGATGGCCCCATGAGATGAAAAGAGACCATTGTATCCCGGGGTATTAGAAAGAAATGTAACTGCATCACGCAGCTGACTATAGATATCATAAATTTCTGCCTCTGTGAATGGTTCATTCCCCGTGCTCTTCACATTAATAACTTCCGCGAGAGAGGGCTTATCGGAAAACAAAGAGACAAGGTATCCTCTGTGTGCGGAGTCGCTTATATAATCGATATATGGAACCAGGGTCCGCGGTGCACGACTAATAAGCCCCACAGCGTACTGAAAAACACCTTCTATTGTATCAGCGCAAATACCGGGTACTTGGAAGAGTAAGCACTGTTTCCCATCAGATTCTCGCTGGGCATGTTGCACACGCGCATTGTTTAACGGCTCCAGTAAAATGTAGCTGTCAAACTTCCCTCTCAGCATCTCCTTTCTTTGCCAAAATTGAAGCTCAGTTAAAAACAAGGCCTGCTCACGGTCTCAAAATTCAATATCTGGATTTCAATGGAAACACCATGCTTTTCTATACCAACATCTACAACGGTAATCCAGCCCGAGCAGCCGATCGTTAGCACAGTCAATGAGTCTACTCCTTGTGCGGAGTACTCTATTCCAACCCAGATTTGGCTCGCTGACCAGCTTACAAAATTGAGCCCTGCACGTTTGGCTCCATTTGACGATTTACTGGAACCAATAGAGGTCCCTACAAAAACAAAAGTCCCGTTCTTGCAAGATGAGGAGCTAAAGGCTCGGGTTATCCAAGAGGCAGTACAAGCAGAGAAGGATCGGAGGGACTCAATGATGCTCAAGGCAAGAGGGCGGTTTGCACAGCTGGTGCATGAAAGCGCAACAGAAGGTAGGCCAAAGTCTGCAATCTTTCTGGCTCCGGAGCGAGCAGCCACTCAGTATTCAAAGTTAACCATTAATGAACCCGTCAATAATAGCGAGTTACACCGACCTCCGAGCATAGATTATGTAAAAAGTAGAACCGTGAGCTCAAAACTGGACAAACACATATCCGAGTACCCCGAATACAAAGAAGCAATGACAAATCAGCGGCAACAACGTAAAACAAGTAGAAAAGCTGCCTCTCCATCTTGGAGAAGTGTCCGTGCAAAATCTCCAGAGTCCGTTGATGGCATTCTTGCTAAAACTGCCCCACAACTGTTAGATAATAAGAGATTCAAGCCTCAATACCACCTCGTCGAGACATACGTTGATAACCTCAGTACAACGCCGTTACAGAACTACAAAAGCATCGGGACAAAAGATACACGGCCTTCGTCGTGTTTTCTTTCATCAGAGAGAGATAAATATGTGCCATCTCTGGCGTACAGACAAAACAAAACAGAATCGGAGCTAAAAGCGCCTCGCCTTATGGCAGAAAAGGCTTCAGATCCTAAGCGTGCAAGGTGTACTGTTAGGTGCTCTTCTGCTAACGTAGAAGCACGAGAGAGACAGAACGAAGATAGCAATGGTCTAAACCCAGTACCTTCGGAGCCCGCAGGAAAGCCTTCTCGTGAAAGAACATTGGCGCGAGAAACATTAGATAATAGAGATTTTTGCGTAGAGCGCTCCGCCCCGGATAGACTTATGCGAGAGACAGATAAAACCAAGCCAAGCAAGGAGCAGGTCACTAGAGCATTGGGAACACGATCTATAGCGTCTCGCTCTGTAACCAATCATACATATAAGCGCAACGAACGGTCAGTCAGCCCATGGAAGGATTGGCGTATAAAGAATAGTCTTTCCGTGCGTCAGCCAGAGGTGGTAACAGATCTACTTGTGACTGACGATAAGGGGAATGATCCACAGAAGCAGAAGGATTCTCTCATGGCTATAGCTAAACAAAAGGGCAAGGTTGATGAACGCCTTCGTGACCAGGGTGTGAAAGCTAAGAGGAACATGAGTGGCGCACAAGAGAACCTACCGAACGATCCTGCTAGCGTTGATGCCCAGTATGAGACAAAAGATATAGATGCTAAAGCAATCAAGGCAAAATTAGATGAGAAATATGGGCAAAAACGCTTTAGGAATAATGTGTCAATGGAAAATAGCAGAATAGATATAATAAAAGAGAATACAAACGCTATACAAGGTACTCAGCCAATCGACCGTAGGCTGGTGGCACAGTTGAGACAAGAGCACGTCAGGAAACTTGGCGCAGGGAGAAATTCTTCAGAACTTAGGTATAGCCCAAATAGGCGGGCACAGAGCATCATTGCAAAGGCCAAACAGTCTGCATTTTGTTTGGAGGACGAAGAATCAAGTACGGTATATGCCGACGGAAATGCACGCTCCCCAAGCTCTCGCAGAGGAGCCTCACTTCCACCGGATGAGCCCCACAGGATATCTGGTTGTTCAAGCACGACAGCTCGATTAACGAATCGAATCCCGGTACATGATAGAATTAAGTACAAGACCAGTGCATATATTCCCGACTATTCTAAAACGTCTGGTAGAGACCAGAGCCCTGGACACAGGCACCTTTGTAATGTAAGTCCTATGGAGGCCCCGCAGTCAGCCCCAGCAAGAGCACGAGGAACCTCGTGTGGGAAAAGAGGTGCCCCTACTAGTCCGAGATATCATGATATGCAAGGTCTGCTATATACGCCAGCAGGCTTACCGGTTCCGAAATCTCTTGTATCTATGTTATCTGATAATATTCTCGGAAATATCAAGGAGATTCCCGCGTCCACCATTACTGCAGATGTAGAAGGAGCACAAACATTTCTCGTAGCCAGAGAACATACAGACTATACTGGGGTCAGGAGGTTTTCTGCGCAACGACCGATCTCAGTCAATGATTTGCACTCAAGTCCAGGGCGCAACCATGTCCCCATGTCCCAGCAATCTCCTCGCTCCAGGCCAATCACTCAATCTGGTATGCGATACGATTCCAAGAGAGCCGCAGAGCCATTCCAGCCTGTTGTAGACAACTTTGACTTCATGCCAAATGCGGAAGCGACCATAGAAGAAGCGAACTTGGAACGGAAGCGCTATAACATGACACATCCGACCCTTACACTGGCAAGTAAGATGCCTAAAACGGGGAGGGAGGTTGTCCCAGGAAAGATGGCGGCTTACACGCTGACAAACCTGAATGTGCCTATGTCGACTATGATCACAAAAGCGAACGAGACTCAAGCAGGAGCAGAACTTCATAGACCCATAATCTCGACAAGTCACTTTGACTATATAGAACAGCTAGACGTGCGCAGCGCTGGAGCATACGTGAAGCCAAGAGTCAAGGTCCCACGTATAATGCCAAACAAGTTTGAGGGAAGCAACATGGAAGCCAGCCGGTTGGGCCTAGACCTAAAGATTGGTCTTCTAGACGATGAATATATGCAAGGCAGTAAGTTTTATGACAAGACGCACATAGATGACTGCTTTAAGAGTGTTGCCAGTTCTCCCTGCTTTTCCCTACAAACCACTAGACCAGAATTCGTTAAGAAAGGACATGATATCACGTATAAAGTTAACTACAGTGCAGTTGAGCCTAGAATTGCAACAAGTCCGTCTATGGCGCGGCAAAGACGCCGTTTCAAGTAGATGAAGATGGGAATAGATACATTTAGCTCCTCTCTTCATATTTATCTAAGCACAGAAGACAATCTGTGGCCTGAAACTCTTCACACCACTGTCTCACGGTTTTCCCATGGGGGAATTGTGAAGATGGAGGTTGCGATAGGTGGTATTCTTTAGGAAGAAGCAGCTCAAATGCTGCCTTTGCATTTGCCTGGCCGGCAGCCATCAGGGCGGTGAATCCTGATCCGCACCTATGATGTCCACGTGTTATCAGTGAGCACTCCTTGGCCATCAGGAGTTGCACAGCAAAGACCCAATTATTTGCTGCTGCGATCATCAGCGCTGTCTCGCCAAAGTAATCGGATTGACCTGCCTCAGCCGGTGCCAGGATTGGAATTGCTTCCATAAAGCCTTCTTTGCATGCAATGATAAGTGCCGTTTCCCCACAAGCCATTTGCTCACCACCCTCAGCGGAGGCAAGAATATGTAGGGGTTCGATGTGATGATGAATTACAGCTGTTGCTAGGGCGGTATACCCAAGAAAATTCTTCTGTTTGCGCTGCGCTAAGTTTCTTTGAATCATGGGCAAGTCATTGACGGCGGCGGCTACAATGAGCGGAGTCGAGCCTACTGCGTCAAGAATACGATACTCTCCGTGAAGCACCTCAAAGGCCTGGAGAATATATGGAGAAGTGTTAAACTCGTGAGAGGTAATTCTATTCGATGGAGACGGGGCAACAAAGCGGGTTAAAAGAGCTACCAACGACGAAGATGCCAGACTATAGGCTTCAGTACAGTGTCTGCGGTGTATTTGCGTATTGATGGCATATAGCTCCAACATCAGAATACCAATACTATAAAGTGCAGAGCTAAAACTGGTTCTAGTAGGCTTGTGGTCTTTTTGGAGCAAAAGTGGATCAGCTGCTGGAAGTTTTGTAAAGAGAGACGGGTTTAGTGAAAAATAAATAGAGTCACAAAGAGAAAAGGCCAAAGAGCCGTTGTTTTCAAAGTACAAGGATGTTGGGAGAAAAGTAATGGTAAGAGGATAGCGTTGAAGCCAACCACCAAGCTTATAGTGCTCTAAGAAGAGCATCACTTGAAGGAGTATTTTGTAGAGATAGCTAACGTCTATGGTGTCTTCATGAAACAGACACGCAGCAGCAAAAGATTCTAGATTAATACCACTAGTACTAGGCTCTATGATGGCTGTAATCTGATTATCAGTACTTTCCACCTCCAAGATGCGACCTCTTGGCAAGGCCCCGGGTCTAATTTCTCCAGCGGACGTCACAATCATCCTCTGAAGGGCTCTAGCGTTGATACCTGTTACTGGAGGAATGGTCGTGCAAACTCCCAAGCGCCCGCACTTCATCCGTGTCAGATGCCTTTCAAATGTACACATCGACCAATTTTAAAAATGTCCATAGCAGATGCTGAAAAGCTGATCAAGTCTGCTGAAAAGAGTGCCAAGAAAGGTCTCTTTTCGAAGCCAAATCCAGATGCTGCACTATCTGACTATAGAGAGGCAGGAAAGATATTCAAGCAGTTGGGTGCCATGGACCGGGCACAGATTGCTTTCACCCGAGCAGCAGAGTCTGCCGTCAGTGCTAAAATGGAGCAGCCTGCTGCCGTGCTATATAGAGAGGCTGCAGAGTGTGCGAGACAACAGCTTGGAGTGGGAAGTGTTAAAAAGGCTGACGTGGCATCTTTGCATCGGAGATGTGCGGAATACATGTGTCTCGCTGGCAAGTTTCTAGAGGCGGCGCGAGAGTACGTCAATATGTGCAAATATCTTGACAGTACTAAGGATGTCGACTCGACAATGAAGCAAGCCCTTGCGTTGTTTGAACAGGAAAAAAGACCGATGCAGGCATGTAGCACAATAATGGAGCTTATAGATGCCATCTGTTTGGATAAGACACAACTAGGCAATGTACTCCAGCTTGTTGAGAAGGCCACGGAAATGTACCGTTCCATGGCCGGCTATGGATTTAAAGTAGACATGCTCACGCTCTTCCACATAGTACTTCTTCTTACTGCTGATGACCCCGAAAGAGCAAGAGAACAATTGCTAAGATTTGACAGTTTCAAAGATTCGGCAGCCATGGCGGAGGACATTATAAATGCGTATGAGAGTGGAGACAAGGAGGCCATGGACACCGCGAGAAGCAACAATGGTGCCCGCATCACCTTGACCAACAACATGCTCCGCGTCCTCGACCAGCTAGTGCCATCTGAAAAGACAGATGCCGAGAAGTACCTTTGAGCAGTGAATTTACCCTTTGACTTTGCTTTTGGCTACACGCCCAAGTCCTGGAATGACAAACGAGGGCTTTGTGGGCTTTGTAGGGGCGGACTTGTGTGCAGATTCCGTTATCGTAGGCCTTTGGGGTGGCGCAGGCTTTACTCTTTGGGTTGCGCTTGATGTGGAGGGCTTCACAGGGATAACATCCTTATCCTGTGTAAAGAATGCCACCTCCTCGCCCCGAAGAACAACCAAGCCAAGGCTGCGGGCACTTTCTTTAACGCGGCAGCAACAAGACGAAATAACCATGTTCATATGCCTATCAATGGCTAGCAGCGTCCCTGTGTAAACGTAACCATTCAATGCATGCACCGTCAACGGAGAACCCACGTAGTTCACTAACTTTGGGGCCCTTACCATTTAATCACGCCTCTTTTAGAAATTGCGGGCCTCAAAGTCCTCTACAATGCGTGTCACGACAGCCAGTGCCGTGTCACGGTCCTTTGCGCCCCCAAGGAAACCGCTCTTATGAACAAAAGACATGCCCTGGTACCCGCTGACATTCTGAAGCGCTTCGTCCCTCAGCCCGCGCCAGGCCTCCGGGAGTCCCAGCCTGAATGCAAATGAGCCCTTCTGTGTCGAAACGGTCCTAATACGGTAGCCAGCTTGGTAGTCGTCTGGATGTATGAGAAACAGGATAGTGTCACCGCCAGGCCCGTCTTTGCATAGAGATAGATCATGTTCCACCGAATGAATAAATTGTTGATATGGCCCCGGGCTAGAGAGCTCAATGATGCGACCACTGGGGTGAAGCTTATGTGCTTGCTCAATAGCTCTAACAAGCTCTCTGCGCGCGGGCAAGTAAGTTATTACTACGGTCTGTATCCACTCCATGAAGTCCTGTCCAGCCATCTTGTAAGCTGTTCCAAAACCCTCATCACCGGCAATCTCATAAATGCGAGTGATTCGTGCACTCATAGATGTGGGGTCAGTCCATCGGCAAATAGGCTCAGACCCATCAGTGTTATAGTGACTCTCTACCCCGTTGTCCACAGCGTCAACCACGCGGATATAGTTGTCATACACATAGTGATAGAGAAACTCAAGCTCTGTGGGCCCGTCTAAACGCGGGAAGAGCTGCTTTAGAATACTTCTTCCATAGTGCACATATATTAGTCCTGCAGAACTTAAACATATGTCTTTGTACGCATCTGAAAAGAACACCTGGAAGCCCTTCATGTGATGATCGAAGCACAGCTTCTCGCTATCGTAAACATCCCCCACATCCACTGTGATGGTAGCAAACTCTAGCTCTTCAGGGTCGCGCGTACGCATGATGCGTGCGTCAATATAATCTGGAAGCTGCTTAATGAACCAAACCGCAAGACATTCGTCCCAGTGAAATTTACCGTCATGGGTGGCAATAATTTTAAATGGTGTGCCTGAACCCTGCTTAGGGGAGTCAGATGAAACTATGCTTGACGTGGAGGCCACGAATTTGAGCTTCGAGGTGTCAATCATTTTTTAAGTCGGTGTATCTTTTTACTCTATCATATAAATTCGTCCGTTCTCATGCATGTCTGCCGGTGGCATTTGCACAGCCGGATACCCTATGGCTAAAGCACAGAGTACTCTTCTGTTTGGCGAGTTGAGTAACCGTAAAACATCCAGGACAATCCTTTCCGAATCTTCTCCGTAAACGTTCTTGCGGCCATAGAATTGCTCCCAGGAACAGGCGAGGCCAAAGTCTGAGCATGCTAGCTGGATCATGGCGGCGGCTATCGACATGTCCGTCGCGATGCTTGTTACCCCGTCATTTTGTATTCCCATAACGACAATCAGCAGCTTTGCATGCTGCATATATTCTGCTTTTTCGCCCTTGGCCTGCGAAATCGTCTTTATTATGCGCGGATTAGTCACAAACGCGAACTCCGTGTGTCGCGTGTTATGCCCCGTGGGGATAGCGACGGCAACTTTGCGTAAATATTCGATGGCCTCTATTGAAACGGATTCCTTCGTGTACTGCTTGATTGCGCGCCTCCGTAAGATAGCGTCACAAATGGGAGGCATAGACCTTTGAAATTTCCAGTTTTTCACGTCTTTTTACATTTCTCACAAGGACTGAGGATTTGCATCTATATCTATATCTGTATCTGCATCTGCATCCATAACTTCACCCTTGCCTTTATGGCTTCCAACATAGATCTGGTACAGGTCGTCTTCCCCACTGCAGTAGTTCATAACGTCTGGAACTGGATAGATACTACCGAGCAGAGGTCAAAGGTCGCTGTCTTCCTTGTTGACTTCTTGGATCTGCACGACTCCGTCATCTCTGAGCGATGTGACCATCTATTTACCTGTTCGTTCAATAATAAGCGCCCCCAAAAGCTCGGCCACAGAGCCGCATACGCCGGTGCAGGTGTCTGCGAAGTATCTTCTCTTTTGCCCAGCACGTGGACCAGCAAAAGTCTATTGATAGGCGTGCTTTGGTCGGCAGGCGAGTTGGCTGACACAACCAAGATCTGCACTGAGATGGCAGAGGTAGTGTTTGCCAAAGGATCTGAGAGGCGCAAATTTCTTATCCAGATACCTGTATATAGCGAACCACTATCCTTTCTTACGATGTTTACCATAGTCATTGTTCTCTTTCTTTTCTGTATTGCATTAGGGTTTACAATCTTGGCCTGTTTCCTCATCCAAAGAAGTTACACACAGAAATTTATCGTTCTCACATCACTGAATCGCGCTGCAACCAATTATGCTTACTTTGATTACATTACCAAGCAGATAATCGCTAAGTGTAAAGACATGCATTCAGTAACCGAGCAGCTTAGGCCATTGGGCCCAAAGCACAAGGAGTTACCGGATTATGCATCCACTAAGGAACCGAAAAGATCAGCATCCAGGAAGATTGGTATACTTGAGGCTGACCCATACGCTGGAAAGGGCAAAGAACGCAAGCAGGACAACGCTGGCACAGCTCTTACATTGTTGTCTTCACTTCCTCATATGCCCAACGACGCAGCCGATAACTCAGCGCAACACAGAAGAAAGACACGTCAGCTACGGCATCGGCACAACTTAGGTCCACGATTGGCCCCTACTAGACAACTCAGTAGTTTATCCCTTGAAAAGCTGAGAGAACGAGCACTTCCACATTCTAACAATTACGCCGTTGATAACATGACTTCCGAAGACCAACGTAAGGTCTGCTCATTCCTTCCGAAGCAACCTAATATCATCCAAACTCTTGACGACAATCTTCGCTACTTATCAAGCTATCCCATTGAGCACATCTCCAATCTTGACACGAATTATTCATATGAAGTTCATAAATATAACAATGCAAATGTGCTTTTTTCACAAATCGTTATGCCAATCTGGGCCAGCGCCCTAATATTTTCCAAAACAATGAAGCTACAGGCCATGTCGGACAATAGAAAGGCCGATGTTGCAGCTATCAAAGGGGTCTTCATTTTAGTCGTAGATAAAATCTACGATAATAGGTACGTGCTTCCTAGAGAGCTTGTGGGCATCTGTGCCTTCAATAAAAATAGTAAGTTTCACTTCTGCATGATCACTGATTTGAATAATTATATGCCTTTGCCGGACTTCCTCCAAGGTGTAAGAGCTAGCGTCAGCAGGCATGGACTTACCTCTGAAAGCTTCTGTTACAATATTAATCTAATCCACGAGCTCCTTAGGCTATGCAGACAACGAATGCGAGACAGGAAAGAACCAACTAACATATCGAAAGACGATCAGGCCCACCAAGATTCAAGCACCGACTTGGAGCCGGACTTGTTGAACACATCTGGCACTAAGCACTTTGTATCACCGGCTTCATCTTTTGTTACGGCACATCCGTCTAAGAGTCCATCCACTGTCTCTACTAAAGAATCATCTATTTCTGTCCCTTCCCTCAAAGAACTTAAGAGGATGAACTCTCAAGAGCTGATAGATCTCCTCAGACCAGATGTTTTTACCATCTTGAATAGGCCTGCCACGAGATTCATTACGATAATCCATGCACTGAATGCTCAGCATATTCGTCGGTCATCGGGTGCAGCCTTTCTGCAGCTAAGGTCTGGCCAATCCCTGGAAGCCGCGGGAAAGTGTCAGCAACGGCAGACGGATAGCGCTGTAGACGATAAACCTGATAGAACTAGCTCTTTTTCGGGCTCCCGACGAAACAAGACTCTACTTTATAAACTTCCGCCTTCCCATCTTCAGAGCAAGCTGCGAAACTCTAAAAACATATCAGAGACATCTGAAGTAACAGAGTCGTCAAATGATGATAGATACAGTGACAACTTACCGTTAACTCCTTTGTTTGACGGGTTGCAAGGCACAAGAGACAGCACTGACAGTTCAGACCCTGATAATTGTGACATAGTTGCGTGCTTGTGCCACAAGCTAGAGCAAACAGCAGACGTCAAATCTGGCGACACTCAGCTTCGGGCAGTGCCGTTGGACACTGTAGCGACGCAGAGCGTTTCGCAATGTATTTCACAGAGCATTTCGCGGTCATCCTATACTATGCTCCCACCACTTCCATTGAAGTATAGCACTAGCCCTACACCTAGCTCTACATTCACGCCATGCACAGATACCCAAGTCTATATGGAAGCCCACAGCAGCTTTATGTTCGGTAGCTGCTTAGTTGAGGACTGTGCTCTGCAAGAAATTTATGACGCTTTGGCATACTTGGGATCATCTGCCAGGGAGCGTATGGCTCGACTTTTAATAAAAGAGATTGCTACACGCAGGCACAGCCTTAAGGACATACAATATTTTGACAAGGATTGCATACTAATTAGCATGGATCGTGTATTAACTGATTCTGAGATGGAAGTCGAGATTGACATTAAGCTGGAGCCATTCTCTATGTTGCTGCGAAACATCAATATGATACCCCGACCAGTTACCGCGAAGACAGACTGTGGGAATACGTCAAGTGTCGACATGTATGTGCGGATTCTGCTTATCTATTTAGAGCTTATCACTCTCCTGGATTGTACGCAGAGCGATTTGGAGGAACTTTCTATCTTCTTACCTGAGCTCAGAGGCGACGCAGACTACGGGACTGCAATTCAGCGTCTGCTGCTATTGATCAAGGACTTCTCCACAATAGTATCGGGGGAAAGAAACGACACAAGCGGCGGAGCTAGCGGAGCCGGTGCTAGTTTAACGAAAGCAGACTTGTGGAGAGGATATTTACTCCCTATATTCACATGATTTATGTACTAGCTTTTATATATGAGCTCCCTCCTTCCCTCTAAGTTGCTAATTGACATCTGAGCATGAGGTCAAGAGTTTAGTACAGATCATGTTCATTTATAGAGTCAGAGAATGCAATATCTCTGAGTAGGGATTTACAATGACTGCTATATTAAGACTACTACATTAAATACAACTCGTGAATAACTTACCGGTCTATCATCACAAGAATCCTATAATTCAGAAGGATTGAAACTTTTTAACGTTTCGAGCGCATGATCTGCTGTATCTTTACCCCTATTGTCATTAAGATCTTGGCCTGAACTGACAAGTGCTCACCAATTTGCTTTACTATGGACGGATCTTTAAGAGCAGGGTATCTGGCCATAAAGTCCTTTTCCACTTTGTCCTTATCCCCGTCTAGAACCTCCTTCAGTAACAGAAAGCGGCTACGCAGTGTATCTCCGTATTGTGATTCTAGGGATTGGTTAATTTTCTTACATGCAAGCTCGTGCGTTATTGGTATCCCCGTTTGCTCCTCTAATCTGGACCCTATGGAGAAAATTAACAGCGTTGACTTCTTAGACAGCTCTTTGAGCTTCTTACTATTATCTAGCACTTTATCTGTTTCTTGGTAAATAGATTCCATATCTTTCTTTATCTCTTGTAGCGTCGTGGTGTGTGCAGCTGCCCGTGCAGCCAGCTGTTCAAACCCGTACACGAGGACGGGGGAGTATCGCGTGCAGTCAGGGCAGCACCGCCTTGCCTCCAGCCAGAGCTTTTCATCGTTATACGGTGGAACGTTGGGGTCGGCAGAGGGAGGTTGCGGGGCCGGTGGAGCCCCAAAACCGGGTTTGGAGAAGCTTCCGAAGCCAGAACCAAACCCGCTAAGGCCTGTCGTGAGAGGCGCAGGTGGAGGATCCTTTTTAGAGGCAAGCTCATCGTAAAAGAAGCCGGAGAGAGGGGTCTGGTAAGATGAGGCGTAGATATTAAGAAGAGAGCTGAAAACGTCGACAAGCCTGCCCTTCTGTGCCATAAGATGAAGAGATTGAGGAATGTCTATCTGCTGTTGATGGCTGCACGGCCCCTGCACCTCCCGTTTTGCATTGTCGTTTGTAGGAGCATTAAGGCCAAAAATACCCTTATCTGCAGACAAAGAAACACCGATGGATGAAGACGTTAGCGGGGCAGACGGTTTTGATACTCCAGAGAAGGCTGCAATAGACATGGGCTGAGCGTTGAAGGACCGCATGACTCAATGAAATTTATTCTTAGAAACATCAGGTTAAATGGCTAATGCTCAGGTTATCCGATGGCGCTGCGTCCGATTCTGCCCGTTTGTGGACAAGCTTGACACGCAGCTGCTCCAAAAACTCCAGCTCTTGGGCAATGAAAGCTCTTAAATCTGCAGTGGTCCGGGAGTCAAGGGTCATCCAAAGAGTGTTGAAATCTCCAAACCCGCTACGCATCGATGAGAGGGTTACAAGCTCTCTTGTCGTCCCTTCAACCATATCACCTAGCTGAGTCGCTGCACTGAGTATTGCTTTCCGCTGAGCCGGATTGGAACACCCATACTCCCGCTCTTCAATAATCTTCATGAGTTTAAAAGAAATAGCTCCGTAAAGGGAGGTGCATTGAGATAAAAGAGATGAAATGACATTCGAGTGATTGACCAAGTCGTTTAGACGCTCGTCAAAGTTATAAGCAGACGGCGAAGACAATCCATCCTTGAGCTCGCTAAGTTTAGCAGTGTGGGTATTTGCGCGTGTAACCAGCCCCTCTATCCCGACAACTTCATTTGCATCTGACTTACCTTGAGCAGGCTTTTGTTGGAAGCCAAGGCCGAAACCAAAACCAGATCCTCCACTTTGCCCCAAAACGCCTCCTCCTCCGAAGCCGCCAAACCCTCCTGGCTTTGTCCCAAACCCTAAAGTGCCCGAGGACCCTAGCGTACCAGATGTGGCTGTGGTAGTTGGTAACGGCTTGTCTAACTTTAGTCCTGCTGATTTAAAGTTCGCCTTGAAGAGGCAAGTATCTGATTCGGTTGGCAGATAGGCCTTTTCCAGTACTGTGGCAAACACTCCAGCTCCTATTGTGTTGATAACCCGTGCCATCTCACTTTGCTGAGTCGTGTTTTGGGCTTGCCCGGCTAGGCTTCCAAACTCCATGCTGGGCTTGGCCCCAAAGCCCCCGCCAAACGTCGTGCCTCCTGCTGAAGTAGACCCAGAACCGAAGGTACCGAAGGTACCAAAGCCCGTGGGCTTGGCCCCAAAGCTGAAGCCCGACGTGGGAGCGCCTGCAGAAAATGCACCGGCCTGCATTTCCAACTTGATTTTTCCACTTTACCAAAATTTAAAACAAAAACTAAAATTGCAGGATGAGCAGGAACACCTTCATGAAGAAATTGGCCGACAAGATAAACTACAAGGCCGACGACAATGAGATTTATGAGAAACGATTGGCCTTGGCACAGTTGCTGGAGGAGTTTGGTTCGCTGCCAATGCTTGTTGTAAGTGGATTTTTGCAAAAGAGTATCGGTGGGATGTTTTTCAATGGAACGGTCGCCTTTGTCGGCATCGTTATGGCGTGGATCTTGCCGGCCAACGCCTTGTTTGATGCTTTTCTTTTTCTTTCAATATTCACGCTTTTGAAGATCGTGTTTTCGGCGGCTGCAGTTGATAAAGCGATCGATGACATGCTAAAGAATGTCAAGAATAGAGAGATTATTTACGAAAAACTCCTGAAGAGTATGGCCAAGCACGCAGTCTGTACCCGTACCGCCTTCGAGACCCTCGGAGCTCAGAACCAACTTATGCTTATGATAGTACTAACCTTTTTCGCCTTCTTTATCCCCCTGCCCGTCTTCGCCACCATCGGCCTTCTGCTCGTCGCATTATTCCCCGTTTATAACATAATCTCGAAACAGGAGGCAGAACGATTCCTGGCCTCACCACCGGTCTCTCCACGTGTGCGAACAAACCACCCTATTCGCGGTGGGGTTCCCGACTCTCTTGTCAATTCCCTGCGTAATGATCAAGCAGCTAATGATGCAGGGTCTCAACTGGTCACATCTCTCATCCCGCCGCCACCACCACCACCGCCAGCTAAGCTTGGTGAATAAGAAGCGTCGACACTTTCAGTAAACATCATTCCCTGCGCGATCGACTTTTCTGTAATTTAAAACTAAAGATTGCGGCATGGACAGCCGCCCAGAAGAACCTGCAGACCCGACGGAGGTTGTGGATAATCCGTTGCCGCCCAGTGTCCCATATGCCTCTGTGCCTCTTCTTGTCGGGGAGGAGTATGCTGCTCCTCTTAGCTGTGCAATAAACCCAGCAAAAGATCTTATCGCATGCGGAACGGAGACAGGAGTGCTTCTCATTTATCACTCCTTTTCGATGCAGCTTGTCCGTTCACTGAAAGTGGATGAAAATGCCATCTATAAACTTATTTGGGCCCCAGATAGCCAATCTATATTGGCCATCACTATGGGCTCAATCCTATGGGTCTCCCTTGCCAGAGATACTAGCATAACTAGGATGGTGAGCGGAGACTCGATCTACGTTCCCGGGCAGGCAGCCAAGGGAGGTTCGAACGAATACTTAACTACGCAGGGAACTGGCAGGGAAGATCCACTCAGGGAACCCCAGGGAGACATTATAGAGGCGTGGAGTCTAGAGGATCAAGAGCTCTCCCTATTGTCATATTCTATTTCAGCATGGTTAATAGAAGTCGATCCTTCTGCTCTCCATTATACAAAGTTCGGTGCTGAAAATTTCCGCTATAGATCTTGCTTCCGGGTCATAGGAGTAGAGCTACTCATTACCGTAGCACTAAACTACTATGAAGCCACTGGGCTGAAGTCTATAATCTTTCTTGCAAATAAGTGCAACGATCCATCGTCAGACATGCACTCCTGGGCAGCTATCAACGAAGTCGACTACACAGCTGCCCTTGCCGATGCCTTTGGTGTGACCAGCATTCCGGCCACATCTGATGTCCTGGCGATCACGGGGCACGTCTTTGTAGTCTCAACTGGTCTTAAGTATGTCATTTTTCGTCGCAATACACTATTTACGCCTTACAATCTCGCTGGAAAGGTGGATTATGCATCTCAGTTGCTAATCCAGGGTATAGGGTACACAGGGTCTGTTAATGAGCGGCGATTTGAAGCCCATAAGCAAACCCTTCATACCAATGAAGAGCCAACAATTGCCGTCACGTTTGTAACAACTAAGCAAACGATGGCGGTTACCAATTTCAGCACTGGTATCGATACTAAGAACACAGGTGTCAGTAGAGGGACAAGTGCAGATGCATACGAAGTTCTGAGGGCTTTGATGTCTATTCCTCGGCAAGGAGAGGGCAATCAATCTTATGTTGCGGAGTTTCGGTCATTCCACCATTTTTTTCTGTTCATTTATGCATATCACGCGTCTCTTTGTAGAGCAAGCATTACTTATGGACGCTCTCGCTTCTATCAAGCGCTAACAGACCTCACCTTTCAATCCCTATTCACTTCGGCAGCCAACGCAGCACGGGAAGGAGATGCCTTTACAAAACTAATGACAATCCTATCATTTACCTTTTCTGCTGACATATGTGACTTCAGTTCGGTAATATACGATGAGCTAATAGCATCTTTCACTCTTGTAGAGGTCAGCGACGGTTGTAAGAGTACAGAGAAAACGGCAACAATAGATATGTACATGACAGGTGTGTTCAACTTGGCAGACATATTTAAAGCACTCGGAGATGATGTTCTGAAGCAGGCACCGGACCTATGTCTTCTTTATCCCAATCCCAGCCTTGCAGAGCTGCTCCTCAACTATCGCATCATCTCCTTCAAAACGAGTATTGACAAGCAGTGGTTGTATGTGGCCAATCCTCGATTCATACTGACTCTTTCTACCAAGCATAATGTGTGTGAGATATATGAATATGGGGAGAACTTCCTCATCAGCGACCTAGTTTTTGATATGAGGCCCTTCCCGGCCATTCACGTTGAATTTGGCTATGCTCCCTACGAGCTAGTGATGGCATCAGTAGGGTATTCTCCCCCATACACTCCAGAGAACATACGGTTACTGTCTGCCAATTGTAGCAAAACTACTATAAAGCAGACAAACGTGCTGTACGCAAATCTGGCCTCGCTGTCACAAGCAAGCAGGGTCACCAGTAGAAACGCAAGTCGGAGGCTAAGGCTAGTTCCACAGAGGAAGTCAAGGAGAAGGATAGACAAACGGAAACGAGATGCCCCTAGCCCAATCAGCACCCTGTCAGAAAACAGGGGTTTCAGAGGAAAGAAGGTGAATCAGCAGAGAACACAGGCTAACCCAGAATCTAGTGCAACAGGTCCATTAACCAGTGATGACCTTTCAAGCATAACAACCAGCTCTATGGTCAATCCAAATGAAGCAGGAGCCCAGGAGGAGAACCTAGCTATTACTACTTCAGACATAGACTCACTGCAGCGCCTCCTTCTGCAAGTAGAGCCACAGCTGGTGTTTTGGGCGTGCAGAGAAGTGCAGGACTTCAACAGCTGTTTCCCAGGCTTTGAAACTGTTAGCACCAATGTACTATATATAGAACGCGAGGACGAACTAGACATAGATCAGTCAGATCTATATCCCCCGACTGCGCTACCCCGGGCTGTTGACGTGGATTACAGAGAACTCCAATATCCGACGAAGACCGTGCAGGATGACGAGTTAGATATATTATCACTGGAAGACAGCATCCCAGCATACCATTACTTGCGATCTTATGCAGAGGTTCATGAGCTTCCCATAAAACTGACCATAGAAATAATATAATGATTAAAAAATTAATTTAAGGTTTCGGTAGTTAAAAAAGGATGCCGAGCAAGTGCCCCCTCCGTGATCACATTGAGAAGCTCAAGACTGGAATCGCGCCAGACGACCTTGCTAGATGCAAGACAGAAGTCGCCGAGTGCGTGTCAAAGTTCAAGACACCAGTCAAGATCTTCCTGGGTGGTGTGACCTATGAGCACCTCTACGCAGTCGTGTTCAACGCCGTCATTTCTGTCATCATCCTGGTTATCGCATGGAGCCTTCCGCAGAATGCTCTCTTCAACGTTTGTTTGATCATTACCTTGCTCATGGGGGCGAAATTTGTATTCCAGCATCCGATCGTCGAGAGCAAGCTCGGGCTCATTTCTGGGAAGCTCGGTCCAGGGGACGCCAAGCTCGACATGCTAGTCGACACCCTCGCTGCCCTTCGTGCCCGACGCATTCAGCTCAAGGACACATTCTTCAACGACAATAAGAAAGTGCTCGCCCTCCTTGCCGGCCTCGCCTTTCTCTCCTTCTTCATCTCGACCCCTGTCATCGTCACAGTCGTTCTTGTTGTCCTTAATCTAGTGCCTTTCTATGTCAGATACGTTGTGGCGTCTCACAAGCAACCGGAGAACTGAGTTTAGTCAAAGTAAATGCGCACTGGCGGTGTCTGGTCAGTGGAGTACCTTGACCAGATGTATGTCGTAGATCAAGTCTGTGTTGGGTGGGACTATCTCGAAAAGTCCTCTGGGCCCATACCCGAATTCTGCTGGGACCTGGAGGATGGCGTGCTCTCCCTCAGACATTGTCGGGATAGCTATGTCCCATGCCCGGATTGTTTGGTTTATCCCAACTTTGAAGCTGATTGGCTTGTTGGTGAAGCGCGTCGAGTCGAATACCTTCCCGTTTTTAAAGGCTGCAGTATAGTGTACCAGCACAGAACTGCCCTTTTGCGGATACGTGCGTCTGTCCCCGTGGCGTAGAATGTGTTTGTAGAGCGCTAATGACATTGCTGAGAGTTTTTAAACCTTGCTACCTCGCTTATCGGGAAGCATCGCATCGACACGCTTGGCAAGCTCCTCTAGAGATTCTATTAGTTCCTGGCTCATAGCGGGACTGCACATGGCGGCATGCTCGGACCTGGCCCGCCTAGGGCACAGATTGTGATGTTGCATCATGTCTTGCTTCCCAATAACGGCCTCAGCATACTTGGTTTGCTCTGATTTATGTCTAGCAAGTTGCCGCACTTGGTGCTGAAGCTTTAATATTCGTTCCTCATATACGTCGTGTTCTCCCGCTTCATCTTTGCCCTTTAGCAGTCTGTATTTCTTTTCTCCTTGTCTCAACGCTTCGGCGCCATGTGTGCGCAGTGACATGAGCTTGGTTACGTAGACAATAGCTTTTCTGAGATTCTGCTTGTATGCGTCGCGCTGCTGCAGTGCTTTATTCAGATCTAACAACAGCTTTGTTTTTTCTACATTAACATTATCAATCTCAATTGTCGACGAGACCCGAGGGGAAGAGGATCTGATTCTCTGCCGTGACAGCTCCGCGTTAAGCCTTGTGCACTCAGCAACTAGCTTCTGGTTGCAATCGTTGAGCTTCTGATGCTTTTGTAGAAGAGCTTTAAGTTCAGTTTCTCGAGCGGCACACTCCGCTTTCAGCTCACTGCACTGCTGCTTTGTTTCTCGCAAAGCCTCCTCAAATCGGGGCGCTTGAAGCACGCTACTTATGAGCTCGGCAGGCCCCATCTCCGGGCATACGTCCGTTTGAACCGCACAGCTGGTGGTGTGGATGGGGCTTTGGAGCGAGTAGCACTGTAGGGATACAGGCTCAGAGTCGTCGCCGCTTGCTTGACATGCAACCGACTTCGTGACGAGTGTCACTGTTGATATAAGCATCGTGTGTGTGGCTTTGTTAGAAGTTGCCATAATATGCTGACATGCAGTGGATACACTATTAGTGGCCTTGTCTGTCTGAGTTGCTGCGCAAGAGGCGGCGTGGATACCCTCCCCTGGTGGACTTGATACGCCAAACCGCGTGAGAGACGCTAGCATGCATTTCTTGCAGTAACCTTCCTCTATCACAGCAAGCTCTGCCTCCTGCAGTTTAATTTGATCTGTCATGCTGACGATATTATCCTCCAGCAAGCGAATGTGGGCGTTAGCCTCCATCATCTTGCCGGTAATGGTCATCTCTGCTTCTGCCATTGTTGATTCTCGAATAGCAGCTAGCTCAGCTCGATGATTTTCAATTGTGGAGGCTAATTCCTTCTCCACTCGGGAAAGATTGGAGGCTAAATCGTCGCGTTCGGCAGTCATTTCTTGCAAATTCTCCTGCGTAGTTCCTACGGCGTTCCGCAGCTGCTCTATCTCCTCTGTAAGATTAGAAATGGCTCTTCGCGCCTTTGCTAGTTCTGCTTTGTCATGGTAGCTCGACTGCTCCTCTTCGTTGTGAACCTGCACAAGGGCATCTACAAGGATTTTAATTTCATCATTCTTCTGCCGTATCTTCTGATTGAACTGGCTATACAAGTCCTCGGTTACCATTCCGATTCTGTTGCATTGTACCTCAGCCCTTGCCAGAGCTATGCTTTCAGACAGCAATCTGAAGGTGCTTGAGACTTCATCGATGGAGTGCTCTGGACGCTTATCGAGGAGATGCAGAGGATAATTCTCTTGAAGAGGGTCCTGGCACGGAAGCATTGGTCGAGAAGGTTGTGCTGCAACAGCCCGACTGACAGATGGTACCAACAGCCCAGGGTCCGTCTGAGTTTCTGCCACTGCCGATGAACAGAGTTGTTGTTGTTGCTGTAATGATAAGGATAATGATGGTGATGAGTCTGTTAGTTTTAGAGGAGCAGCAGTCCCAGAAAGTTCAGGTTGATGCGTGCTGCAGAATGTCTGTGCACTAGCACCAAGATAGTCTAGAAGATCATTGCTTTGAGATAGTCTGAGATTGCTGGACCTCAGTGTGGCACACGTGGCAGACAGCGAAAGTACCTCCTCTTCTAGATGCTCCTTCTCATGCTTAGTCTCAGCTAGCGCATCCTTCAGACTCTTGATTGTCTCCCCTCGCTTGTTGAGCTGCATAATCGTTTCTTCGAGAAGGCCCTTCGCATCTTGTAGCCGAGCTCTCATAGAAAGAAGGAGCTCAGATGCCCGGCTTCGTGATAGGCTCTGCAGTTGGTCCGTTATCTGGACTGTGTTATACGTTTGCAAGTTTGGAAAAGCAACCAGTAGGCCGACAATGTGTGCAAGATCGGTGTGCGTTGTATCGGAACTGTTGGCTTGAGATTGGAGGTCTAGCTGAAGCTCGCACAGAGTAAGTGCATTGAGTGCAACAGAGGCCATGGTAATAAATGTTTGGACTGGCGTTTTTCCCGGAATGAAGACTCCGGATATGGCTAATTTGCGGACATGGCTATAGCGCCGCCGAACAGAGGCGCTAAGAGAAGGGTGCTCCTTTAAAAGCGTCTGCTCTTCCTCCCTTGCTTGAAAAACAACATTATCAATGCTGATCTCCTTGACCATTGGAAATTTGTCTGCATCTCCTAAGAAGATCAGCAGCTCTGAAAGGCTAGTGTCAAGCCGCAGGTGAGCCAGACTTATGGTACGAATATGCTTATAGTTTGCTAGAAGACCAATATCGCGAATTGAGTGGTTGTTTATCAATACCGATTCAATCCGAGGATTGATGCGCACAGTAGACAAAGCACGAATAGGCTCCTGTTGGACGCGAGGATAATCTAGATTAAGGAAGAGATCAGCCATTGCGCTCATCCCTACAAATCTGCCGATGCGACGAGCTGTTGGCGGAATTGTTAGATTGAAATGGATTTTGGACAAAAAGCATGAAAGTAAATTTAACACAAAAGCAAATGGCTTCGGCTGCACTGGCACTCTTGCATGCCCCGGGATTCTCGACCAATGAAGAGGCCATCAAGCTTGTGCAAGAGCAGATTGAAACAATCCACTATCAAGTCGACACGGGAACTATCGTTGATCTTTGCCGTGTGGCTCTTCAGACCAAGGCTCCATCTCTCTGCTTACTTCTTTCACGCTTCTACCACGCAGAATCGAGGATAGGACTCGCTGCCTTTTTCGCCCTTCTTCCTGACCCGGCAGTGCTTTCCCTCACAGAGTCTGACCTCTACAGCCAGGAGATCATGACATCTATCGTCGATTTTTATATAGCCTACCGTTCTGGGTTGGTCGCTGGCTCGCTAGCGTCTGTAAGGTATACAGAGGACAGCACAACAGGGAATCTGCGCCAAGTCAGCCAGCCCCATGGGTCCTCCAGTGTCAATTGTAGTGCACATGGTAGCTCTGTGATCTTTGGCAAGCAGTCTGCCACCGATTTACTTGCGTCCAGGCAAAGTGTGCATTTTGCCAATAAGAACGCCACACTCTTTGGACTCGATCAAAGTGGGTCTGTGCTTCTAGACGACCAGTCCAGAGCTGGTGCCGCGGGGTGCTCTTCTTCCACACTTATTGGGAAGAGCGTCGTGGGCCATTCCTCGCAAGCAGATCGCAACCGTACACGCATGTTGACCGACGACGAGTTTGTAAAAATGTACATCACTTCTAGGCCGACCACGACGTACCAAGAGCTTTGCACTATCGGTAATCCAGACAGCATTGTTTTTAGTGAGCTTTTGCATGCTGATCTGAACAAGATAACCGCGGTTATCGATGCAATCATCGAAGGATCCAAGATGCACTCTAAACTTAGCTTCCTATTGCAGACACAGCACATTGAGCCTACGCGAAAAGCCGAAAATGTGACTATTGATTTGTCCTATTTGCAGATACCAGGGATGCCTGACCTACAACCAACAGACATTCAAACCAATGCCGACAATGACTTTGTTATTCCGCGGCTCTCTGAATTGACCAGCGTCACTGCAACTCCTTTTATCCGGCAACTACCCCTTGACACCTTGCGGACGATGGAGAAGGATGCTCACTTTATAACTGATTTTGCCTTTTGCTCTAGTATTTTGTGTGCTGTTGGAGACGAATACAAAAGAAGATGCTTGTTCGAAGACGCAGCCCGCTGCTATGCACAGAACAGCAATCTTGAGCCATTGGCAACGCTGTTTTTGGATATGATAAAGCTTATATCTGAGCCATCTGGCGCCGCCTCTACTGTTTCTGTTCCTGCACCAGAAAACAAGGTGCGCAACATAATCATCTCTCATACCATACAGCTGGCGTTCCAAGTATTTCAGGACTTGCCCGGCGCTATGCTAGACAATCTCATTTCGATGCTGAAGGAGGAAAGCATCCCAACGCCCTTCGGCTCTGCATTTCTCGGCTCTCTCAAAAACCATATCTTAACAGGAAAATGCCAGAGCTCTCTTTACAAAACCGTTTTTGCTGAAAAGACTAATACGCGGATCGACCGCAACATCCTCCTCAAAATCCAGCAAAACATCCACAGGTCCTCTTCGGACTCGTTTATAATCACTACCGCCTTCTTTATGGCCAGTCTTATGCATGCGCAGCTAGGGCACTCGCTACAATCAACAAAGGACCCCTCTGTCAATCTTTCGACATGGGATAAATTTGGGCGTATATCTTACGAGGGGATAATCTTCCGGGGTGTAACAATGCCTGGTGACGTGGGTGTCTACAATAAATACTACTCTGTCATGAAGGCTGGAAACCTCACTGCCGACATTGATGGGTATGCCTGCGGCGGTATGCTCCTTGGCCTAGGCATCATGACCTCAGAGATGCCTTCAGTTGACGGATTTTCCTCGTACACCCTTTTGAACGCAGCTGAGCCGATCCTCTCCAATCCTGGAAGGTACATGCTGCTTTTTGATGAGAACGGGATGCTCGCCCCCCGCCCTTCAATGTCGGTTCAGGGCTATGAGGCCTTTGTTTTCGGATATGCCGTCTCAGCAGGGCTCATGTGCTTGGGGACTAGCAACGAGAAGCTCACTACCCGCCTGAAGTCACTCTTGACTTCTCCAGCTGCGTCTCACCCTGACGCAATCTATGGTATATTGTTTGGCTTGGGCCTAATTCACTTAGGTGATCCTCTATTTCTCAAAGCATTCAATTTCAATGAGTTCTACATTTCCAAGTTTGGAATGGGCATGACAACGTCAAAGACAACGATCACAGTAACGGATGAGCCTCCTAAACTTTATACAGACCTTGCGGCGACCGTTCTTGAGTTTCTTGTGTCCAAACATGAAAAGGTGCGGACAGGTGCCGCAATGTGCATTGCTCTTTGCTGCTACTGTATTGACGCTCAGGCCAACCAAGCCATAGAGTTTCTTCTGGACTTTGAGCCGCGGATTCAGACTTCGCATCTCACGTCGAACAAGCTTTGTGATGGCATTCAGAAAGCGGGGCCAATCGCCCTGGGCCTGGCATATGCTCATACTAACTCCCTCGAGGTGGCGACCCAGCTTGTCAGCATAGCTTCTCGCTCCACGGTGGATGAGGTGAGCTATCACGGACTGGTAATGATAGCCTTTGTGCTCTCCTCCCAGCGTAGCTTTGCTAATGAGCTCCTCATCCTCGCTGCCAAGTCTCACCGGGTTGCATGCAGACAGGGTGCAGCTCTGGCATTGGGGTATATTAACGCGGGAACATGGGACCCAGTTGTCGTTAAGGAGTTGCGCGATTTGATGAGCGACCAAGTTGAGGCCGTGCGCACGCACGCCATTATTGCACAGGCGTTGGTCTTGCAGACGTGCAGCGCCCCGACGCTTCCTGAGAAGATTAAAATTGAGTCGGATGCTCCATTAGGAGATAGGCAGAAGAATGTTATCTATAAACAGGACCATGATCCCACGTTCATTAGAAAGGTCGCGGCTTTAAACAAGCTTCGACATATTCCAGGAAGAGTCCAAGACCGATCCCGCGAATTTGCTGCTTTTGAAACCTCACTGGCTGCCAAGCCAGAGAATATATCTTCTCAAGAAAACGCTGATTCAGAACAGGACACGGCAAAGAAGGAAAAGCGATCGGAGAAACACACCAACGAGGCAAACGAGGCTGCAAGGAAGCTCTTCAACGACAAAACTAATACAGATGCTGGCATAGTGCAGAGTCGAGAGTTTGCCAAGAAGGTTGAGGAGCAGTTGGAGAGAGGCTTCACCCTTGAAGATTACTGCTCCCAGTTTCGCGCTGACCTTCTGGGATCTTTCACAGAGCATAACTTTATCGATCTGTTTGCAACGGATCTTGGTCTACGCGCGTGCGCGATTGCACTGGGCCTCTTGAACTGTGGGGGAATGAATTCGAGCTTCTCCATTCTTACCCCAGCAGGCCTCCCGAAGACCACTGCCACAATAGGAGCGCTCTTATTTGCAGAATCACACATGTGGCATCCGTTTTCTCCCTGTATTGCCATGTGCCTCGCACGCGACATCTGTATAACGGTCACTCCATCCGTCGATGAAGCAGGACAGCTGACCATGGAGATAGCCGAGGGCATTCTCTTGATAGATAAGGCGCACGACTATCCTTATCCGGACCTGTCAGTGGAGAGGACAGCCACAATGTGGGACAAGTACGTTAAAAATGCCAAGCTTTCTCTGGGTACAGCGAGACGACATGTCAGCGAGATTGACACAGAAGGTACAGAGATATCGAACTTCTCTTATGTGAGGAAGGCGAGTCGAACGGCTACTCAGCGCTTTTTGCACGAGGCTATGAATGCAAATCTAGGGGATGTCGTGGTAGACGATACTGTTAAAAAAGAGAGTGAGCAGAAGCTTCACTCTAACGAAGGAGCTTACAGCATCTTGCAAACGCCGTGTCGTATACTTAAGAGACAGGTGGAGCATGTGATAATCCCAGAGAATAGCGATTTAGTACCCATATCCTCAATGTCCCAAGGAATCGTTGTTATGTGTGAAATCGTCGATCTCTGAGTTTGTAGCCGTGTAAACCCCCACAAGAAGTTTTAATAATTAATTGCAAAGCTGCATTTTTAGTTAGATCATGTCTGACAAACGCAAGCTTGCCATTGCCTACACAACTGCGTCGGAGCCCCTTGCACGGCGCATTATTAAACTCATCCAGCCACTATATGAGTATTCTGTAGTTATCACCCTCAACATAAAGCAGTTCAGTGATGGAGAGATTAACCTTCAGTACGAGTCCAATATCCGCGGCTGCGACCTTTTCATAGTCGGAGCTATCTGCCCTCCCCGCTGCAACGACAATCTCATGGAATTGCTGCTCGCCATCGATGCGGCAAAGCGTGCGTCGGCCGCCCACGTTACTGCCATTATTCCATACTTTGGATATGCACGCCAGGACCGTAAGGCTGCCTCGCGCACGCCCATCTCAGCAAAGCTGGTAACGGACCTTTTAATTGCATCTGGTGTGGATCGTGTCGTGGTCCAGGATATTCACGCCGCCCAGATCCAAGGCTTCTTCCCGTCGTCCATACCCTTTGATCACATTGACGGCTACCTCGTGTTCATCCAGGCGATAATTGACAGATTTGAAGAAGATATTAAGAACCTGATTGTTGTGTCTCCCGATGCCGGAGGGGCTACCCGGTGCCGTAACCTGGCAACCCAGCTGCATGCCGACATCGCGATTATAGATAAGCGCAGGGTTGTCGCCAACATGTGCGACGTGATGAACGTTGTTGGGGACGTCAACGGCAAGATCTGCCTTCTCTATGATGACATTGTGGACACTGCCCGGAGCCTTACCAAGGCCGCCCAAGCCCTCAAGGAAAAGGGTGCAGAGCAGGTCTTTGCGTGTGCGTCACATGCAGTGCTCTCTGGAGAAGCCACGAGGAAGATAAAGGAAAGTTGCATCGACTACATTCTTTTCTCTGACTCCATTCCTCTGTCTCCTAAGCAGATTGAGGAGCTTGGCGAGAAGCTCCAGATTGTCAGTGGGGACTTCATGTTCGCCAACTGCATCAATTGCATCCACACAGACACCTCCTTTGGCGAGAGCATCAAGTCTGTAAAGGTGCTGGCCGAGCAGAAGCTCTCAAAGATCACAAAGGGGTACAGTAGCAGCGATGGGGTTGTCGTTAGCCGGGAACAATCAGTCGATCTTCGTCGCTTTGATGTCGGTACAAAGCAGTAGTTTCTGTACTGTTATTGGCTTCCAGGAAGCATAATATTAGAGTGTAAATGGCACGGACGCCTGCTCATTGATTTTCTTGTGGGCGGTAGGTCCCCGAGAAAGAATTAATTAAATGTCATCCCTCCAGCAGCAGCTCAGTCGGCTGTCCTCTGAGACCATAGTCTTCAGCTCGACCGGGGCTCGTAAGAATGTCCCGTCTCTACTGTATGGAGACAATGCAAAGTCAATTTCCGTGGAGACAATTCATGAAATAGCGCTCGCCGCCCTTACAGAACTGCAGGGTATCGACCCCAGTTTCGCCGCCTTCAGAGCCAATATCTTCCATCCCAGTGCCCCACAATATGACCGGGAAGCCCACACAGAGGAACACAATCTGACATTTATAGACAAGCCGATGTCTCTCTTCCTGGACCAAGTAATCCCATATCTTCATCTTCCTGCGGCTCACAGGGCCATCGAGTTCCTTATTCGTCGCTTCCGTGCAGATATTAAGTGCGTTGAGCAGCTTGTAATGGCCTTTCTACCTTATCATGAAACGGTAATCTTCAGTTATCTGGTTACCTGTCTTTTCAGCATGAATGATCCTGAAAAACTCCCTAGCTCTCATATTTTGCTTTTGCTGGGCCGGGATGGGTGGCCAGGTCCTCGATCTATACTTCTGAAGCAGCTCCGGAGAAATTCATACAGTCTTTATGCTAAGCTGATCTCTAAGGTCGTTGACCTCGAAAGGGTTTCGCCAGAGTCGTGCCTCTTCTACATGCGGTTCTGCTTTGCCGTCACGTATGACCTTCTGGGATTCCCTTCCCTGGGCCAGGATCAGGTGCTTCTTCGAGAAACGCTTCGGCTTGTCTCCTGGGCTCTGGGTCCCAAGGCTCACTCAGAGTGCCGAGATGCGGCGTGTCTTCTGCTCCTGAGGGCCCCTCCTGTACTCTTGCATGGCCTTGCAGAGTCGAAGCAAGGCAGAAATGTCATGAAGCTTTTCCTCTTGCATCCTGTTAGCGGGGATCGTCGGAGGGCTCTCAAGGTTCTTTTAGGACTTACACACAACGCTCTGGAGAATAATGTCCCCACTGTACTGACCCTGACTGACATGCTTTACAGCCTGTGCCAAGGAGATTGGGTACTAGAGCTCACGGGGAGCGCGTTTTCTGACCTTGTCAACACAGCAGCTAAGAGGAAGACAGACGATAAATGCCGCACTCTGCTGGTATCCTTCACATATATCTTCTCTGACTCACTCTTCCGCTTCACAGTTGTTCCCTGGAAGTCCACAAGTGTGCCAGACAAAGATCGGCCAAGTCTGCTGGCAGCTTTTAGAAACGGGCTTCGGAGCATCACTGCTGCACTCCGGGCCATTGTTGAGGGGGATAAGCAGAAGGAGAAGACTCTTCGTGTTGGACTCTCTAAGCTGATCAGGCACGTAGCGTTTCTCATTGCAAAGTACACCCTTGTCGATCCAGACCCGTCGTCAAACTTAGAGCTCCAGGAACTTGCACGGTTAGCAGCTGACATCGATGTGCGTAGCTTCGCCAGTGGGGCTATGCAATCGGTAGAGGAAACATCGGCGGAACCCCGTGACTCTGGTGCAGACGTCCCAAATCGTGTATTGGCACTTTTGTTTGGAGAGAATAGAGAGGAATACTGGATGTTAGCCCCAGTGGCGGCGCCTTCAGGCGTGCCCTGTATATTGGCCCTTGATAGTAGCTCAACGGAGCTGAGGACAATGGGCTACAGCCAGGTTCAGGTTCTGATAGAAAAATTCGTGAACCAGAAGCCGGTAAACATTAACGGATTGCTGAAAACTCTTCCTCTATTATGCACTCGCCTACTTTCGGAGGGAGACACAAAGCTCCTCGAGACTCTGTGCGGCTGTATATCCCATCTCATATCGTCCTTACCCCGAAGGCTATCTACCTCGCTTCCATCGGATGAGCTAATGACGCTTCTTTCTGAGACAGTCTTTTTCTACAAGCGTCTGATATCTAACGGGATGCTGACTGATACCTATTTGTCCACGCTTGCACAGCTGCGGGAGTGTCTCTTTTGCCTTACAAAAGAGGAGATCGGCCAGGAGTATGCCTATCTTGGGGCACACTTAGAGTTGCTGCAGTCCCCTGATGCATCGCATAGAGTGCTTTCCGTCGAGGAGCTCATCTTTCCATTTGGTAGTATAGCAGGAATGCTTGAAGCTGTGATGCTCTCTATAAAGAATGGTTATGCGTCTAAGCATTCAGATATAATTATAACGCACGTTTTGCAGATTGATGCCGCCGTCTCAGAAGGCTCTAAGGAGGGTGCCGTGTTTGAGGCATTTATATCACAGGTCCTTGCGTCTCCGGGCTACTCACATTTATTTGTTGATGTCCTTTGCCAGCATATTGCGGGATGCTCTGCATTTTTGCTAAACACAGCGATAAAGCACAGTACCAGCCCTGACGTTTTGACGAGAATAGGGACAGCTTATGTAGCAGACAAGGACTTGTCTGCGTGGTCCACTCCCTTATTTAGCGGGTCGTTCGATAAGTTACTTGCAAGCTGCATATTGCACAACATTTTCACGGACCAAACCTGGGTCTCTAGGGCAGTGGAGCATTTTCAAAGCGCGTCTTCGAAAAAGGCATCTAAGCGCTCTTCCGCTAAAGCCTCAAGAGGATCGTCGAAGCGTGAGTCAACTGTTATTCAGTCTCCCAATGTAGAGGGGAATAGCACATGCGACCCTGACTTTCTTATTGCCTGTGCATTTTATGTCTTGGACAATAAGGATGAGCAAGGCACAGAGCTTCTTAGGACTGCAAGCCAGGGGTTACATCTTCTTGGCAGCAAGATCAGTAAGGACATCTATGGCCCTATTTGCGAGGCTTTGCAAAGCGCCCTGGGTACAGGAGAGCCATTTGACTTGTCCGGTTCCATCACCGAGCTCCTGACTTTGATAGCAGGCTCGACGCGTATGTGCCATGTGTTCATAGCACAGTTCATTAGCAAGGCTCTGATATGCTGCATAGATCAATGCGAGGAAGGTAGCAACCCTGTAGAAATGCTCACAGACATAGCCATGTTCATTAATAACGCCTCCTCTGAATCATCGCCTACCACGATGGTGTTGTTTGGGCACGCCCTAGAAAAGTCCGTCCTTACATTGCTGGGGAGGCTCTCATACACAGATCGCATAGGGATGCTGCTACTGCCTGATCATGGCGATTGCGCTGATCCTATGATTTCCACCTTCTGTGAACAGTCGTCTCTGAGTCCCAACTTCCTTCAAACGTCTCTTTCCAGCTCACGCATGACAAATCCAGTTAAGAGTTCACTGATTAACCTTGCAGAATCCTGCTATGTTTGTATGGTTTCCATTGCAGACTCCATTACAGACAAGGAGGTCTCTGCGTGTGAGATCCCTCTTCAGCAGGCACGACTCTACGCTGTCTTAGCTGTACTCGGAACCATTCCAGAGCTTGTCTCCCTGTCACATGACATATCGTCACTGGCTTTTATTCTGCTAGGAGGCTGCGACTGTGCATCTGTTCCTGAGGAGCTAGCCACTATCTACAAGGATCTGGCAGTAAGCAGCTTTGAATATTTGCTTCCCATACCACTTTCAGTGGCTACTGAGCTAAGGCGTCTGGCATCTGACTACGTTTCTCGTGCTCCTCTGGCAGTGGCGTATGTTAACGATTATATTTCAACATTCCCCATAGAATTTCTCGAATCCTTGACGCGCAGAAGACATCTAATAGATGACCCTGGTGCTCTTCTGAGCATTCTTATTGCACAGATTGCAGGCGGAGACATTCAGATTAATCCTGAAAGCCGACGTGAGGTTCTTATCCTGCGGCTGGTGCTGCGGATGATGTCCTTTAGCTCCTCTGATAGATCGATAGATAGCTATCAGGAGAAAAATGTCTATGGGGAGTTTGCCGACAAAGACCAGAAGACGCCAGAAGACGACGATAACTCTAAGACCCTGTCTCTTTTGAGATCTTTGGAGGCCTTTGACCAGATGTCTTGCATTGTGCCGTCGCAAACAGACGCAGAAAGCCTCTCGGGCCTTTGCTTTTATCATCCCGAGCTTCTGGCATGCGCACAAACAGTCGCTCCCGATCGCTTTCAGACGTTATTCATTGCCCGTATGGTCAATAGATTGACGGCAGAGCCGTATCCCTCACCACTGCCCCCAGAGAAGATAAGTCAGGTCATTATTAATCTCTTCCAACTCGCAACTAAAATTTACCCGGATACCTCTTTGTTCTGGAGCACGGCAGTCACGCTAATCAGGACCAGTGTAGACCTGACCTCACGTGAGCTAATCTCAGCTCTTGATCAGCAAAGAATCTTCCTGGCTATTCTTTCTCTGACGGAACAGGTGCACCACAGCATTTACCTCCTGATCTTCATCCTTTCTAACATATACTCCAAAGCCAATGACACAGAAACTAAGAAGGCCCCAAAGGTCTTGCAGGATCAGTTGATAGGACACTTTGTTACACGAGTGGATATGGAACGTCAACTGCAGGCGCTTTATCTTCTCTGCCACGGGGTTGTCTGGAACTTTCTAAAGACAGGAGTACATGAGCAGAATCTTGAAGATGCCATCAATGTACTGTCTAAGACGGCACACTGCATAGATCCTGACAGGAAGATGCTTGAATCATCAGCGACCATGCGGTCTCTGGGGTTCTCTCTACTATTCGATGATCTTAGCTCCAGTTTGAATTTTCTCAATAGAAACGTTTCTGAAGAAGAGGATGTTAATTCCGTATTCGAAGATAATCCCGTAGGAGGAGAGAGGGGCAACAGTGAGCAGGATGACGAGGCAGTTGCATGTGAGGATAACTTCCTTTCGACTCTCTTAATCCATGTTATGCGTGAAATTTGGAAGATACGGTCAATTGATGGTACGGAGAAGTCGTTGAAGAAAAAGGCACAATCCGACCCTGCACTTATGGGAGCGTTGAAGGCCGTGCAAATGAGCATCGACACTATGATAGTCTACTTGGACACATACGCATTCTATGTTACTACCCAGACAGAGCAATCTGTTGTCCGCTATGCCATGTCATCCATTATTGGAGCCTCCATTCTGCGGGTTAACGATAAGGAGCGGGGAAGCAAGCTACTGGAAAAGCTCGTCGCTAATCTTAGCGTCACATCATTGTCCATGGCGTGCGTGAAGCTGTATCAAAATATCTTAGACGGTATAAATCTACAACAGCCATGCGTGACTCTCTTCCTGCTTCTTCGGCAAAAGATATCAGGCACACTTGAAGGCCGTAGAGTGGACGTAGAAGACGTGAAGCAGGCTTTTCTCGTACTATATAATGTTTTTGTCGATGTTATTGCCGAAGACGTTGACAGAGATTTGAAGAAGTTGATTTTAGATGTTTTGGTAGAATTCTGTACTGGATTTCCTACTGTCTTAGACCCTGCAGCCGCGGTGGCAATAACGAAGGCTATTTCCTCCGCAGAGTTCTATGTGTCACTTTCATCATTGACTGACGGGGCGTCTAACATCCTACATGGTAGCTTGTACGCTCTTGGACACTTAGTTGAGGCGTGCGACTGCTCCATCATTCCCGTGCTCAAGGAACTTGTTCCGCCTTTACTCGGCTATCTTAACGCCCAGGTGGTCAGGGAGGGGATATCAGCCCGCATGGAATCCTTCGATGTCTCTTTCTATTCAGAAACAACTCTTGCTGTTGTCACTGTACTCTCTAGCTTGATGATCTCCCAGGGGCGCTTCATGACTCCTTATCTCTCTGAGGTTATCACCCTGCTCTGTATCTTATGTCCACTTGGTCCCTGTGTTGGCGAGGTTTTCGCCATAGATAATGACAGTGCATCTCCTCAGGATATCGACGTCAAGCTTGATGTTGTCAGGAGAGTCTTTAAAGCTCTTCTTCCGGAGTTACCAATGGAGACCCGGCACGGAATAACGGATTATGCTCTAAAGATTCTGACCACGGCAGTAGCCGGCCTTAGTGCTATATCGAGGGTGGTCGCCCTGCGTCTTCTCCTTCCAGCCATGCACGTTGTTCTAGACAAATATGTGGTGCTGGTACGGAAGTACGCATTGCAGTATGTTGAGCCACTTGTCCACGCTATTACTCTTGTCTTGTACCCCACACTTTCAGAAGCAGTTCTAACTAATGAGCTTCGCGTGGATGTTGTCAAGTTTGTCCTCTCCGTGGTCGCCATGCGTGCAGATAACTCTTGCTATCCCCTGTTATTTTCACAGTATGATCGACTTGAGACATGCGCCATCTATCTCTTGGCCGAGCTGGATCTGAAGATGCAAGAGAAGTCTCTCGGAGGCGTCATCGAGCAATGCTGGTCTTGGTGCATGGAGTGCACCAGTAACTCCTTAACTGAGGACAACACCGGTGATGCACGCGCTACCAAATTCAATCTTTCGCTATTTGGTTCATTGTTTGAAAAGACATACACAGAAGCTGTCACAAGTATCCAGCTCACTTCTCCCCCTTCTGTCCCGCGGATGACAGCCTGCGCACATATCTTGGCTGTGCTTGGCGGTCAGGATCCTCAGCGCCTTGTTACAGGCGTCGGGAAGCTCTTGTATGAGGTCATCGGCACGTATCTTTTTGCCATCACGAGCCCACTGGGCTGCGTGCCGTATAGCTTAGATACTAAGACAATCGCGCAGTTGCTCGATACTAGGCAACGAGCGGTGGAGCTTTCTAGTGCGCCCATGGGGATGTTCATAACATGTGGTCTCGAGTCCTCGGCGTCTATCAGTGGAATCGCAGAGGATAGCTTTTACGAAGTGTACTCTATGGGCCGCTACTTTAATCTCTTTCTCTTTGCATGCGGGCATGTTGTAGGAGCCCTGAGGGATGACGTGTACATTGCAGCGATAAGCTTTATGGTGGCAATTGTCTGCTCTGCCGTAGCACCTTGCAATGAGCTTAAGGACGTCGTTTACCCCTCCCTCAAAGTAGCACTACAGGCAGTGGAGGGGAACAACAATACCCCCATGCTTTGGGAATATCTCCATGACATGTCTATAACCCTGACGAAGAACTCTAACGATGCTTTTCGCCTCCGAGGGATTGAACTTTTGGAGGTATTTCTTTGTGTAGTACTTCCCCACGACACACATTGGTTGACGAGAGCTGCTGGTGTGATTGACGAGGCCATTGAAGACTTGCATGAAGGGGTCAGCGCAGCCGCCCAACATCTAATTCGGTCTGTTGAGAGCGTAACGGGCAAATTGTATAGAGACCTGGTCAGTGCTGGGGTGTAAATTGACATAAAAACGTGACTACCTCGACATCTCTGCAGCCCGAAGGGGCTTCGGCCGTGAGTGTTCCTGTGCTCAAAGAGATAGCTTCAAAGCTGGAGACGCTAAGGAGGACGTTGGAGAGGGTCACTGGTCCCTCAGACGTCAAGAAGAGGATGAAGGACATTATCACGGAGACGCTGAATCTCGTCGACATATCCATTCGTGATAGTGATAATCATCCTGAAGGAGGAGTAGAAACAGCAGGCGCCTACCGCGTAGAAAGCGCTATCCAGGATGTTTTAGATAAAACCCTTGATCGGCTGATGCACGTTGAAAAACGAGCTAGTATAGCAGAAGCAGAGAATAACCTTATGAGGCAGGAGCATGAACGCCTTGCTGCGCACCAAAGGCAACAAGATAATCTTTTAGAAAACATTCAAAGGCTCTACCGGGAGGCACGCGACTGCTCAGACAGAAACGCTGCTTCAGCCAAGGAGTGGCGTGCCCGAGCCCATGAACTCGAGGCAGAGCTTGCTACGAAGAAAAGCATTTCTGGTGATCAGGAAAAAATCATGCAGAGACTCCGGGCTTTATACATTAGATATACAGAGCTAGCGGCTCGCATGAAAGAGCGGGACACTGAGCTCCGAACACAAGATGAACTCCACAAGGCTGAACTAATGACTCAGAAGAGCCTGGCAGCCGAACGGATCAAAACCCTGGAGCAGGAAATCTCAGCACTTAAGCGGCAAATAGAACTGCTAAAGAAGCTGGAGAGATCACCGGGAGGCTCGGTGTTGGACCGCCACGGTAATCATCTTCAGAGGCCTCAGACTCCACCGCTCTCGTTGGCTCGGGACCGTTCTCTTCGCGAGGACTCAGATCAGGGCGTCGGCACTATTTTTGTACGCAAACCTCTCCTGCAAGCAGAACAGCCGCAGCAATCAGATAGGACCATAGGAAGCGGAAGCGTGGGGAGCAGCAGCGTTGTGGATGATATTGACTTACAAACTATACAGAAGATTCAAGAGACCATGGACAAACACTATCCTCACAGCTATTCTCGCAAAAATACAGTCCATTCAGGGATACCATCATCATCTCAGCGGCTTAGACCGCATTCATCAGACCTATCTACACGACCCAAGATAAAGCCCAGTGGTTATCAAGCACAAGAGGATGGAGTGGCATACAGACCTAAGAAACACGCACGGAGCCTTCAAGAACAGTATGAGCGGCCAAAACACATTCAATCTTTATTAAAAAGCACATCTGTGTATGACCTGGTTGAGCCGAGCACCAATACCACTCGGGTATTTCCGTCGGAATCAAGCGTCCAGGAACAGGATTTAGGATACACGAGAACATACGATAAATCCCCTGATATTCAGGAGAGTAGACTAGAGGATGAGACAGACCTGCAAAAAAGTAAGGCGCATTCTATTCTGACTGGCTTATTTCAGTATTTGAAGCAAACAGAAGAGCAAATGATGGCAACTGATACCAAGCAGGCATAAGGGCCTATCTTTCACACATTTGCCATCTTGAATACTAGCTTCGTGCATTGATGCAGAGTGGAACTGGGTTTGAGGCTAGTTAATGCTATCTTTAACAGCTGTACATGAATCATCGGTAATGAGACATGGCCCAGAGTCCGTGCTCATCTTCATGTTATCCTGATTAGGTCCTTCAGATGGTTTGAAATCTAACCTTGCGATTGGCGATGTTTTATGCATAGGTCGTGCGAGGGCATGCTACACTTAGTCGGGTGTTAGCCAACACTCCTATGGTACTATTTAGAAAACTAATTCATTACAGGATAAGCCTTCCATATGATGCCGCGGTAGTCATGATGGTAGGCGTAACTGAGGCGTACTGCATCGTTTTAAAAAGTACCAGTTGTGGGGCTGCTGAGTTGATGTATTTATTGTCTAGGTCATGCCCTCTATTGCCCCACCGTGCCTTGTGGCTGGCTCGTGTGGCCCTCGGCATGTCCCTGCTGTGGAACGCACTTTTGGAGCCGACCACGCGCAGAGGACAGACCCCCCTACTCAGGCCCACGGTCTCCTGTCTTTGGCACTGAGCCCCAGCGCCACAGGGTTGCGGCGGGCTTCAGAAGCAAGGGTGACACCCGTAGCCGACGCAGAGCCTATGCGGTACATACCGTGAGCAGAGGAGAAAATGCAAAATGAGACTATGTTTGCTTGAACATATGAATATATAAATGAATCATATGCTCAATTATCAACTTAAACCTATTCAATCTATAAGATATCTATCAATCTAACAAATGCAATGACTAGAAGAGTAGTAACTAACGGCTTTAGCGATAGTTTCACCGGAATCCTGAAAGACATGGTGCTGGTGCTTCATTATAGCTCTTACTGGGTCACCTATGCACTCAAGAGTTTTCCTGATGAAGAACTCAGGGAAGTCGCATTGCAATGCACATCCAGACAAGAACTGATGATCGTAGAAGAAAGAATCCGCAGCTTGATGGCCCTTCATCATCCAAACATTGTGAAGTGCATGCGAGCCTTTGTATGCAATTCCTTACTGTACTGCAGGACAAAACGCTATAATAGACCTTTCGAGCACAAAAGGAAGCAGAATCTTCGCGAAAGCTGTCGTATGTCTGAAGGACGAATGCTCTATGTTGTCTGTCAAATAGCATAAGGACTGGCACACCTACACGACCCGAAGAAGAGAAGTAGAGCAGGGCACCCTCTTCCTGTGATTCCACATGGTGACGTTTGTCCGGCAAACACCCTCGTCAGTGAGTGCTTGGCCAGCTCCTAATGCTTACCCAGCAGAGCGAGCCACGGCAAAGGAGCTCGGCGCCATAATTACTGGGCTTAGGCAACCTGTCAGGAATCAGACCAACGAACACTCATGCTCCTTAGTGGACATGCGACAAGATAAGAACGACTTCACGAATCAGAAACCTGAGGCCGTCACGTTGTGTGTGCTACTCAGTGGCGGATCTAAAGTTCTTGTAAGCGCAGTTTGTGAGAGCAGCATGGATACTGCCGGTCTAGATACCAGCTGATCTTACAGAAATGGCAGAGCGGCCTCAGCACGTGTCATGAAGTGGGGAGGGATATCGGGTTCAAAAAATGTAATGCAATGGAGTTGGCCTACTTCACCCGCCTCTGCTACAACGATAGGGAGTTTGCTATTACGCACGCGGACGCTTTCCAGTTCGCAATAGAGCGACGGCCCTCGACGCGTGAGATCCTCGCCTTCGACACACAGATCCAGACGCTTCCCCAGACCTTGACTCGGTACTCAGAAAGCGGGCTAGAACTTTTCGGAGAAGAGACTGTGCGCCACAATTTCGCGGGCCCCATCATCAATGGCGCGACGCCCCTCATCTACGCCTGCTACCACGGCCATCACGTCATCGCCCAGCATCTCTCAGACCACACAGCTCAGCCATGTAGCAGGGACGCACTGGGACGCACGGCGCTCATGTGGGCTTGCTGCAATATTACCACTCCAGAGGCGTTAGACTGTGCACTTCTGCTCGTAGATAAGGAGGCGGGCATGGCAGATTCCTGTGGCAACACTGCCTTGATGTATCTATTAGAAAACATGTACTTGCGGAAGTATGATAAGTACCTAGAATTATTCCGCAGACTCGTTCGCGTTGAGGCTAGACGCTTCAACCAGGCCAACAACACAGCGCTCATGCTGCTGGTTAACTCCGACACGTCATTTGATAACATCTTATCTGCCGATCAAATACGTTTGCGCAAGCATGTCCTTAAGGAGCTCTGTGAGGTTGAAGGACCGCTGGTAGCAATAACAAATACGACCGCAATGGCAATCTTTCTACACAACACAGAGCGGATTTCTCCTCTAAAGCACAATGACTACTTGGAAATTATTGACTGTCTGCTTCCATATGAGGGGCTTCTCATGGATGTCAAGGCCATTGATAAGAACATGTTCAAACACCTCTGTAAAACAGATGATGGTAGGAAACGTATACAAGAGTTGACAACATATAGACCGTTTAAGTTTAGAGCAGATTTTGTCTGCGGAGAATACGGAGTGCATCAACTTCAGGATCGGCTACACGCCATAGCTCTGAGTTACATCAATACAACAAAGCAGCGCCTTTCGGAACTGTATGGCGAACACCTTGGCATGGACTCTCTTCTAGCTCTTACCATACCGGATAGCTCCGATGACCCAATTTTGAGGATAACTCCGGAGCATATAACATCGACTCTACTCTGTAGTCTGGATGAGACTAGCCTTGACCTTCTGCAGAATAATACAACGATTGGGTTGCCTTGTTTCAAAGACTCTCTTCATCTGAGTGAAATGAGCACTATAGTCATGGATGATCAAGAGGAGCCTCTGGCCCCTAGTGAGCATATTTCTAGTATTATTCAAAGCCCAAACAAGTCCATCAGTATCTTGTTAGGGCACACCGAAGACCAGTTGCCATCTAAGACTGAGGCTAAGCTGGCAGTGCCTGGTATGAGAGACAGCGACAGCATTGTTGCATCTCTGCCCGGTGTAGGCTCTAAACTAGCGGTTACATCTACTCTTCTGCAACCTGAAGGTAGCCATTTGCTTGAAACCACAGCGAGCGTGGCACCCACTGCCTCTACGTATAATCAAGATCTAGGCCAAGCAGAAGGGCTCCTCTTCACAACATACATCGCTAAGAACATGTACCACGTTGTCTTCTACTATCTTACCAGCAAGAGATTCTTGCAACGTAGGGCCTTGTTATACAACACGCATATGCTCCCAGGCTCTACTTCCCACCTCATTCAGCTGACGAGAAATAAGCTGCTGATGGCATTGGAGCTGGGCCATGTTGAGGTACTTGTTGTGCTCCTTATGATGTACTACCATGACCACGTTACCATCCCTTTTGCTCCTCTTCTCAAACGTGGGAGCGCTCTTCTTGATCAGATGGCCGATACTGTGCCCAAGAACGTTAGTCGCGGTGGTGGCACAGACCCCGTTGTGAGCGCACGTACTGGCCTAGCCGAGTGTGTGGATGTCCTGAGAGCCTTGGATCTCCGCATAGACGAAATATTCAACAAGATACGGCTTCATCTTGGAGGCCGCTTCGTCACTGCGCTGGAGATCATGCGGCCGTCCCTGAAGCTCCACCAGCAGAGGGGCGCGGCCTCGGACACGATTGAGTAAAGGATATCAGAGCGACAACTAACATCAAGGGTCAGTACAGGTCTGTGGTTCTGTCTTCATTTATTTTTTCGTCTGCTTTTGTTCTCATTTGCTTCGGAGCTTTTTAAAACCGTTTTTGAAACGATCTCGGTTCCCAGACTTGAACTTGCTGCCTAGTAACTTGCAGTAAAAGCACCGGTCCGGCCTCTGCGTTACCGTATCTCATAAATCTCTGTAATCTGTTTTGGATTTTTTAGAAAGCGAGGTTGAGTTGGCTGGATGCAGACTGCTCCCTTCGATATTGGCTCAGACTTCTCGAAAGAGCTTATGAAGAAGTACAAGCGGCTTTTGCGGGAAGAAACGCGCAGCCCAATTCACCAGCACCTTCTAGAAGATGATGCGGCACCTGACGGCATTCCGCGTCCTTCATCCAATAGTCGTCGCCCTTCAAATGACCTGACACAAGAACTACAAAGTTTTGTAACAAGCGAGGTTGGTGCTCAGCCAGTAGCTCGGGACGTGGAGCGTCTCGGAACACCTGTTCTCCAATTGAATAGCCCGCTTAGAGACCGTCCCAAGGTTTCTTTTAGTTCACTACACACTGAAAAGAGATCAGAAAAACCAGACAATAGTCACAGAGTGGTTTTCGACAGAACAGAGCGAGACCTTGGCTCCCAAGCAGAGCTCTATCCGATGGAAAACAGCACAACAGACATCCTTAAGGCAGAGCATGCTTCAATAGTCCGTGCACTGAAGCAGCGGGCACAAGAGCAAATCATGCAAGCCCACAAGGAGCGGGACATGGCAATTAACGAAGCTAGGGAATCAAGTTTAACATACATGCAAAAGATTGATCAATTAGAGTCGCTTCTCATGGCCAAGGACAATGCTATTAAGAATCTGCAGGGTGACATGGGTCAGCTCAAAGACCTTTACGACGCGCGGCAGCAGTCAATGATCGACAGACAGGTTGTTCTGGAGCAGGAAAATGCTCGTCTCAAAGATGAGGTACGTTCTCTTAATACTCGCGTTGATCAAATAAGGGACCACGAGCGAGCAACACTAGAGGAGAGGGTGAAACTGGCAACAGACGCCAATCTGGCCAGAGTGGAGAGCCTGGAGAACAAGTTGCGGTTAGCAGAGCGCACGATATCTTCTTTGGAGAGGGACAAGCTCGCGATACTCCAAGAGACAGCAAAAGATGTGACAGAAATGAATAAGTGTCATGAGGAGCTCAAGGACCGCTACTCTGAACTCGTATTAGCATGTAAAAAGCTCAAGCAAAGAGTGGTCATTGCTACCAGTGAACGGAATGCACTAAAAGAGGAAAACGAAGCACTGCTGGACGAGCTTTCTGGGCTGAGAGAACGGAACGAAAATCTCTCACGAGAACTTATCCGAGCAGACAGGCTTGTCTTTGGAAAACCGCGCAACTCATCTGGAGTGCGTATTTGACTTACTGTTGCTATCGCCAGGGGAAGTGAAATTCGTATTTTTTATTTCTCTCCCCTGAAGAGCTTTCTATGAGCTATTCCCGCGCATTTGAGCGGACGATGCTGAAGCGTGAACTGGATGGGGAAAAGGGGCGGACAATTGCCCCTCCAAACGGGGCTCAGGGAGAGAGAAACAATTACATAGGCTTTCTGGAAGGCCAGCTCGACAAGATAGCAGCGACAAGCGAATTCACTAAGCTTCTCTCTGATAAGATTGAAAACTTGCATACGACATTGACCATTCACGAGGAGAGGCTACTGAATCAGGCCCGACTATTGAACCTGACGCAAGAAGCCATAGATCAAGGGAATCAGCAGCACGGAAAGACTATAACCTTACTAAAGGACCAGCTCAGTATGCTGGACGCTCAATTGAAGAACTTGCAGGATCAGGTCTGCGCGACATCCTTGTCCATTGCAAAGTGTGCTTCAAACTCGGCTACGGCCCCCGTTCACGAGGGTGTTAGTGAAGAAACATATAAGGGAGTCCTAGCAAAAATGCATGAGATTCAGGATGTGCAGAAGCAACACGCTAGACAGCTCAGCCTACTATGCGCTGAGAATGAGGATGGCCTCACCCTTGCGAAAGTCAAGGGTCAACTAGATTCACTTGACACATATGTCCAGAAGTCCATTGCGGACTTGAAGGCGACAACTGTAAAGCCTTCCCAAATAGAAAGCACAGTTTTGGGAATGATTCCTGAGTTGAAAGCATCTATCCTCGCCGCATGTGAAGCAGAACTGACGAGCAAGCTCACACACGAGATTTCAGCCCAGATCTCGAAGTCTGCAAAATCCTTGACAGACAATCTTCTGTTGGCAATCCTTCCTGAGGTGAAAACACACGTCAAAGATTCCATTAAGCACATACAAGCTGAAGTTCGGCAAGAAACGATGGCGCTAAGCTCCGCACTCAACAACTTGAACGAGGACATGAATCAGAACCGAAGGCGAGTGAGCTCTACGCAGGGAGAGGTTGAGACGCTGGTCACGGTCATGGAGGAAATTCGGAAGCAGATCCGTCTGATGGAGCGGGGAGAGATAACAGAGCGAGCGCGGGCAATTCTGCAGTCCAATTCACCTAGACGCACGGGAGAGTCATCCCCGCGGATACGACGGTCCACGACCGGCGAACCAGGCGAAGACTGTACACTTCGCAACGGAATCTGGACAGACCAAAAGCGCATTTACACAACTTTCCGTCCTCTAGATGATAGGCAATACGTACCGATTGCAGTGCCCACACGAGGCTCTCCCAGTCCACCCCGTGATCTAGCTAATCGGTTCGACCCAGAGAAAATGCAGAGGAGAATCAAGTATCTGCTCACAAACAGTCCACAAAGTCACGCTGGAGACCTGAGCATTGGATCTGCCTCTAGTTCTGACCATGAGTCTAATAGGCAACCCCAACACCAAAAGCGAGAGAGGAGTGGAGGAGAGGGGAATGGAGACCACACATCACATGATATTGCACGTAAAGTGTCCAGAAATGCACGCTCTTCGAGTGCAGACGGTAGCCTCAGAGAAGGTGTGGGCCTGAACGTAATGACCAAAGAGCTTCGTAACTCTGGTAAGCTGTATAGTTCTAGCTCAGCCGTGGATGGAGTTGGGAAGCGTGTGTCCACAGCCACGAGTGCTCACACAAAGGGGACATCTTCCAAGAGCCGAGGCTCGTGCGACGGTCAGAGGGTTTTCACTAAGTCATCAGCAGGACAGATAACCGCCAGGTCCAAGCGGTAATAGTATGTTGTGGCGCGATCTGTATCACTCCAGTAAAGACTTGGTTTGTAATTAAAAAACCCCGTTTCGCATTAGAATGGGCAGCTCTAATCGCATCAGAAAGATGAAGCTTCGCCATATGGGGATAAAACGTACAGACGAACGCGTCCGCTTCCACCGAAAAGAGAAGCCCACTGAAGAGAAGGAGATAATGCGAAATGAAGAGCGAGTGTCTGCAGACCGCTTCTTTGAATATAACCCTAACCTAGGCCCGCCGTATCATGTGCTTGTTGACACATCTTTTCTAAATTACACAGTGAAGATGAAGCTCGACCTCGTCAATGCGATGATAGACTGCCTTTACGCCAAAGCAATTCCATATGTCACTGATTGCGTTATACAGGAGCTTGAACGACATGGTCAGCGCTTTGGAATCGCCCTCAGGCTTGTCAAGGACCCGCGGGTCAAAAGGCTCAAGTGCGATCATGACAACATAGGCTATGCAGACGACTGTCTCTACAACAGAGCCAAGGCAGCTCAGTGCTACATTGTGGCAACAAACGATGTGGAACTGAAACACAGGATCCGTAAGCTTCCGGGGATACCACTTATGAGCGTTCTTAGGGGTCGCTATGGTATAGAGCGGTTGGCAGACGCTGCCATAGCGTAGTTACGTAGTTACGTAGTCACATCGCTCGTGGATTTTAGTATCTAATGTGTATATGCTAAGGGTCCGTGCTGGCGGCGATCTGCACCCTTCTATCACGGCCACTGAGAATGTGCTAAAATGTGCTAAATAGACACTTTGAGACGCTTTTTTGTGTAAATTTTGATAATTTATCAGAAGGATATGGGTTCAAATTCAGAATTATCCATGACGCTGAACTTCGAGGATCTGGAGGGCGTGCCCGACATGAGCTATGTTTCTTTTATAGGCTTCTCCGGACACCTAATGAGGGGTCTGTTCTTAATGCCCGATGGCGAGGAATTTATCTACGCTGCAGGGAGTCACGTTGTCTTTAACAAAATACAAGAAAAGCAGGCCGTATCTTGCGGCAACACTAAGACCAACGCCCCCACAACTCGTCGCACGGGAGGCGGCTACGTGGCACCTCGGGCACGCGCACTTGGAGGCCACACCAACGACTATCTTGGGACAACCGTCGAGGGGTCTACCGGGTACATACCAAACAAAAAGCATGGACCCCCAGTGGGCGCATCCGGGTCTTCTGCGGCAGGTGGAGCTTCCTACCGAGATGTACAGGTAACAGACACAAACGCCATTCTTCCTGGCAATTTTGTCCGTCCCATTCTAGTAGCAGGACATACACAAAACATTTCATGCATGGCACTCGCCAATTCGGGAAAGTATCTTATCACCGGCACAGTCACCAATTACGGGTTTTCGCCAGAGATCATAGTCTGGGATACCAGCACCCGTAAGGCGCTCACACTGATAACCCAGCACAAGTCCTCAATCATAGATATTGCCATCTCCATGGATGAGACGTGGTTCATCACCATCGGGGAGGACAACTGGATTATTGCACACTCTTTGGATGAGGCCTGTGGGTATGAGCAGTTCAAGGCATTTGCTGGTCGCCGTATTCAAGCTAATAGACCTCCCACAACACTCATTGTTCTTTCTAGCAATGTCATAGTAGCTGGCGGCGAGGACTTTCTCTGCTTCTACGAATTGGACATACAGGGTCGTGTGTTTAGGGAGAACCCTGTACGCCTACCCCTGCGCCGGAAGATAAACTGCTTTAGAGAGGTTGACTCGCTTCTCTATGCGGGCACAGAATCCGGTGATGTCATAAAGATAGACCCGGTCCGACAGGTTGCAATGCAGGTTGTCCCGTCCAAGAAGCCATTTCCGGGAGCGATCACCAGTATTGTGCCGAACGACAACGGGAATCTCCTCGTGGCCACCAGTGCATCTAAGGTCTATTTGGTTAGAGCTGACACCATGGTGCCGGTTTCTGTCAACGACCTTCCGGCTGACACTCAGTTGGTGAGCTCAAGTGCGGCATTTACAAGCGCAGCTACGTCTGCTGTTTCTAGTGCCAAGACCGCCGCTGTAGCTGCTGCAGCATCGGACAAGGAATCGGCTATGGGAAACGGTCACTTGGCCGTTGTCAATGCGATAGCCAATGGCATAGCTTCATTGGCGGTGGCGTCTTCAGGTGCCTCAGAGTATGCCCTTGCCTACGGCCCCAACTGTTTCTGTAGAATAAATAAGGTTAGCCTAGAATCTCGGCTACTACAGACTGCTCCCCCTGCCATTACTACGCCACTCGGCACCGGATGTGTTGCTTTCCCGTATGACTGTGCACGCATCTGTGTGTCTGCGTGTGGTAGCTTCGTCTCTGTCTGGTCTCTCATCACAGGGCGAGAACTAGTTAGAATTTCTGTTCCAGGTGTGCGTGCTCTATCTGTGCTCATCTCGGAGGATGGATGTCAAATTATTTCTGGATGGTCGGATGGGGCAGTTCGATCTCATGCACCACAAAGCGGAAAGTCCTTATGGATAGCTGAGCAGGCTCACGATAACGGTGTTACTGCCTTGTCTCAATGCAGAGGAGGCGCGTATTTGGTTACTGGTGGCGGTGATGGCCGTCTGTGTCTCTGGGAAATTAGGGACTCATTCCAGCGCCTGGTACAAGTTCAGAAAGGCCACAAAGGAGCTATTACCTCCATAAATGTCAAGGTATTGGATAATGGAGACGAGGAAATGGTGAGTACTTGTTCAAGTGGGATGATACAGCTATTCCGCTTTACACATGGCCAGCTCTTCAACAAGCAAGATGCATTGCAGCACGAACCTGTCAAAATAGAACTCTCGTGGGCAAGCCGCTCGGAGGGAGGGTTGGCTGGCGCTTGGGAACTTTCAGATGGGTCGCAGGTCTTTTGTTGTGGATCCTCTGGAATGTTGTGGCTACAATGTGGTCGCGCAAATGGCAGTATTCTCAGAGCGCTGCCTCTCCCTATACCAGCCACGGCGTGCTACCTCTACGAAAGAAAAGATATAACGAAGATTTTAGTGGGTCTCCGCAACGGCCAGATCTTGCTGATTGACTACGACAGTGCTGAGATTGAAAAGAAAATCCACGTGCTCTTCGGCGAGGTCAAGTGTATAACTATGTCCAATGAAGATAACCTTGCTCTGGCTTCTGGAAACGATGGGAACATCGTTGCCTTCTGCCCCTTTTAGCAAGCTCATGTTCTGTTTTGTGAACTGGATGTAAAGGACAGGTACCGAGACAGTATGTAGTTTGCGCTTTCTATTGATCCTGTGGTCAAGTAAATAAGGACAAGTGCATGGGCTGCGGTCTGTACTATGGATTGTTCGTCGTCCGGTGTATATGACTGTCGTGGAGGAGGCCGCTGTGTCATGTGCTGTTCAAAGAGGAATTTCGTATTGGGGGCAACACTATCAGTGACATCTAAGAGGGAGTTTGAAGATGCTCGGGGGAGAATTAATAGGTGTAGTGGCCGGTCAAAGAAATTGCTGGAGAGTGAGGGGCCGTATTTGGATCGAAGGATCTTCTGAAGGATAAGCTCTGCTATGTCGAGTCTATGGCAATAGTACATGAGAGCCAGAGCAACCGCAAGGTGAGTCAGCTTTAGGTTCTGTCCGGAACATATGGTAAAGAGCTGGAGATAACGGAGACCCATCGCAATATGCTGTGTCTTGGTGTGGATCCTCTTGTTCCCACTAGTTTGCAAATAGGCAACTCCCAGAGTGTAGCACACTGAGGCCTGTATTGATCGCTTTATCATCTCTCGCTGTTCAAAAGGGCGATTGGTAAATCGCATCTCATCCTGCTCAAGTGCCCGAAGGATGTCGTCACTGAAGCATAAGGGGCAGAGCTTTTCATAGATGGTAATGGCCTCTTTAAAATAAGATGATTGGAAGAATGTGGCGGCCATTGCAAACGTTGCTGGAACGGAGTCAGGATACTTCCTAAGGATGCGCTTAAGAAACTTTCCAATTGGAAGGCTGGGTTCTGTCTGCTGATATTGCCGTATCAGGATAGTGTAGTCTTGCATATTATATGGGCTAGACAGACACCGGCCTCGCTGATATGAATACTGCATGGAAACTATTCCTGTCTTATGGATGAGATCCTTGGCAAGAAGGTGCATATAATCCAGGTGTTTCGAATGGGCCACCATGCCACCAACCTTCGGACTCCGCTCTGTAATGAAGAAGAGAAGGGACAAAAGAGTACTGCTTCTGCACGAAATGCCTTGATAGGTTCCTTCGGCCTCAACAATCTTCCCTATAATCTGCTGCAATTCTATCAAGAATAAATAAAAATCAATGCGGGAGACAACCTCCCCTGACACAAGGTGTGAATGCATCTTCTCGTCAGACAATCCCCTGAGGAGCAAATCTAGCTCCCAGCGACAGCTCTCTATGTCCTCGGGCAAGCTCAACAATATGGAGTTCCGAAAAATATGTAACGGATGGGCTGAGAAGAACTGATCGGCGATCTTTTGAAACTTGGTCGCAAAACTGTGCTTACTATTAAATTTGTAATTATTACGCAAACTAGAAAAAAGTTTGTATGCGTAGCGAGGGCGTGGATAGTTGGCTGGTAGCAGATAGGCATCTGTAAAAATAAGGCCAAAGCCAACGAAAAATGCGGTACATGCAAGCAATTCTAAGCCTCCAAATCCTTGATCTGGATAATGCTTTCTCAGAAAAGCTTCGATTGACAACTTCGCCTTAGACCCTGATTTGGCGCTTCGTAAAGCGACATAACTAGAGAAGAGCGAGAAGAGTGCATATAGCTGCAAGTTTGTAGAAGAGTACGCCTCCACAATACCGATTGTGTCTTGTTCAAACTCAATCCATTCTCGCAGCACTAAATCTTTTCGAAGGGGTATTGTTAGATGCTCAGTAAACGCAATTCCATAATCTTCAGGATATGATATTAGAGGAACTTCTAATGTAACCGTCGGAGGAGCGTCATCTATATCAATTGCTTCTGAAAGCGCGGGTCTTGGATGGACAATGTCTAATATCATTTTCAAGTTCCGGGTGATCTCCAGTTCGCTTGCTGATTCAGCATCTGCGGTTTGTGCTGTCAAAAGAGCAGCATATCCATCTGTTTGCTGTGCGTAAAGAAATCGTGCCAGCTCCTTACGAGGACCGACACCCTTGTAATACTTAAACGCCATGCCAAGCTGCTTGGCTACTTCGGCTTTCTGGACCCCTTGAAGGGCTTGAATTCTTGAGCTCACTATGAATAGACGGGAGATTGATCGCTTATGAAGTGGAGACGGTGTTTCCTGTGCCAAGAGCAGGTTAAGGTAAGACGTGGTCATGTCTGGCACCAGCTTTAAAAAGTTGAGGTCAAGTTGCTCAGCAAGCTTGTCAAGCGACATTTGTATTGCGGGGTCTAGAGCAGTGCCCCCATTAGACACAGGCTCATGAATTCGTGAGCCCGATCGGCTGAATAACTTCTTTGGGATACGGGTGTCTGCGTCTATGTTGACAATAAGATCGTTGATAAGTGCCATATTCCGTGTTTTTGTCAACCAAATGGCATCTGCTAGTCCTTCTAGTAAAAAGGTTGAGACATCTTCAAGCTCTTCGTCATATTGTGGGTGATATGCATGAGTGTAAAAGGTGCTTAAGACATTCTTAATGTGGAGAATAGATACCTTAGTCATCTGCCGCACCAGCATCGTATTCAGACCAGTACCAACACTGACGTTGCTGTTGTCATCGAGACAGGCGTTGGCATTACCGCTCGAAGCCTTCAAAGCCGAGATAACACTTTGCAAAGTGATAATGATATCAACTGCTGCCTTGTGCAGTGAAAACAGACAAATATATCTCTTGTACTCTGCCCGCTCCTGTCCTCTCTTACTTCCAACACTTTTCAGAGCGAATTCTAAAAGAGTATTGAGTAGTTCAATAATACTTTCATAGCGTTTTGTTTTGTAAAGCAACTTCAACAGACGATTGATAATCCCTGGAAGAAGACCACTGACCTCTAACATACGCACTTGCTGGCCGATGAGAAACGCGATCTGCTCACTAGCACAACGCATCTTGTGCACATTACCCACCTTTAGGTCGTTAATTTTGTCTATAAACTGGAGAGTATGATTCTCAACATACGGTGCGTGCATAAGGTGGGTGCAAACCTTTCTATTAAAGCTCAAAAGGACCCCGCGGTCGCGTGCAGTAACGTCTCCATGATTTTCCAGCATAAAGCGATTGAAAATATTACACATGTCTCGCTCAAAAACAAGAAGCTGTGAGTCTCTCTCAAATATGTTATTACAATACATATCATCGAGCCCAGCTATGAAAAGAGGCAGAAGTCGGTGAAGACAGTATAAAGCCTTAGGCAATCTTCTAACCTTTAAATAATCGGTGATCAACACGAGAAACTTCTCTGCTTTTGGCTGAAGAATGGCAGCGGCAAGTTGAAACTCCAGAGAAGCAATAAGGAGAGTACTTTCTGCAAGAGATTGTGGCTTATTATACACTCGCAACACTTTTGCTAATTTAACGTGCTTTAAGAATAGCTGCTCACGGATAATCGTTTCGTAGAATGATGCAAGCATCTCAAAGGCGTGGTATGCACGGGCGTCATCTGCAATGCATTGCTTAAGCAGGTTTATGGATTCAACGTAGTCCTTCTCTTGAAAAGCCTGCATAGCGAGAGACACACTATTCCGGGTGCTTTCTTTTACGATCCTAGTGGGTTTCTCTTGCTGAATAATGGTGTGGAGAAGGGCCAGCGAGGGATACTCTCGAAGCAAGGCCATCTCCGTGTCAGTCTGCTGAAAGAGAACCTCGTCTGTGAAGGCAAGCTCCCCCTGCTCATCTGATTGCTGCTCCGTCTGCTCTTCATCAAGCAGCTCTTTATCAAATCTCTTAGCCCTAGAAGATTTAGCTGTCCCATTAGTTGATACGGTTCGGGCAGACACCTTCTGCTCTCGTGGCGAGGCGAGGCCGTCAGTACTAATATCAGTTGGAGCATCGCTTGGTGTACTGAAGGACTCTTCGTGTGAGGACTTAAAGCTTTCTGCATAGGTATCCGACGAGCTTGGATAGTAGTCTTCGTCTATGTTCTTGCGCTTTGGTTGTCTCTGGGGCCGAGAGATGAACCCAGTGACGTAGCGGGCGTCTGGATGATCCTGCATTGAAGGCAAGACCGAAAGCCAAAAACTAAAAAGAAGGCCATGTCATCACGGCCGGGCTCCTCGCGAGCGGATGCCATATCTGCACTGATGACTATGAGCCAATCGGTTACACGAGTGGGATACGTTCCAGCGGAGCTTCAAAACACATTGAGCAAAGGACTTCAACGACCCGTATATGCATCTCCTCCACACTTCTTTTCTCAGAAAAATCTCCGGTTAAACCAGCAGCAACAGAGATCACCAATCCGTACCATTTATCAGAGACCAAAAAGATTTTCCTCCGAGGGCCCCCAGCCATCTGTCTATGTACGCAATCTGGCCAACGAGATTAGAACAACGTCATCACCAGAACACTTTCGTCGATATCCCAAGCAATCGTTCCACACAAGTCAATCTGCAACCATTACCTATAAAATTGCGTTATCGAACCATCAGACAAAGCTTATGCATATTCCTTCAGATACCAGAGATGCTAAGGCGTCTAAAGAGACGGATAGTTGCAGCGTTGGAGGGTTTCGCCCTATAGACCCATCTGCTGCTGCGTTAGTCAATACAAAGGCCTCCGGTCCTGATTTGCGAAAGCATGAACAATCACAGGAAGACATCCAAGAAACATTTCTCACAGAACCGCCCGTTGATTCCATTCATATAAACGAGGCTCCAAGGTCACCGTCACCGCTTGCGCAACAGCTCTTGGATGATGAGGCGCTCACCGAAGAGGCCAGGTACTTGTACCCAAAAGTGCTTACTCCAGATCGTCGCCGTCTTGATCGCTATATTCAGGCGTCCCATGGATATGTGGGGAAAGAGTTTATAGAGGTCACCGAGAAACATAGTGTTGGGCAAAAGAGACTTGTTGCAGAAAAATACAACAGTGAATATATCAATAAGCTCCCATCATCTCACCACAAGATAGAGAAGTCAAGTATATCAAAGCGCAACAGCAACAGGGGCTCATCTCTACCTTATGACCCTTCATCATCTAAGCAGCGAGGTCATTCTGAATATTCCCAAGCATCCATATCTACCGTGCAGAAACAGCGGGATAATAGAGCAAATGTTCAGGTCGAACTCAGCAAGCTCGCGTGGGAGGACGCTTTTATAAGGAAAATCGATCTCATGACTGGCGCTCAATTAGAGAAGCCCGAATCTTCTACAAAGCCACAGGAGAAAGTCTCTGACTCACCACACCAGTCCCAAAAGCGCTCCACTCCATATCCCCACTTGGCAAGCATGTATACTGCAAGCGCTGAACGTAAGCAGAGGCCCCGTACAGCTAGGACAAGCAACCTTAATGAAGTGCGTGAGTTGATGGTAACGTCTGTGGCGAGACAAGGTCTAGTAAGGAAAAGACCAGTATCAGCAACCATCCCACAGACTTCTACACTGCCATCTACTTCTTCTCTTGATAACTTATCAAGCGATGGCATTAAGAAGATGATTTCTGCAACAAGATTCATATCTAGTGTAACTGCTGCTGCCCCTTCGAAGGCAGAGATACGAGATATGTGCGAATTCCACAAGAGGACCGCCCGGGACGCCCAGACAGAAAGAAATGTTTCTCTTCTTAATCCAAATGTTGCAGACTTATTCACACGTCTTGGGGAACAGCGCGCATGCACATTTTGCGACCATTACAACAAGAACAGAGCAGTGGCTTGTAGACTCGTTCTTACACAGATCTTACACCTATGCCGACAGCACATGTGCATGCAGTACTTTAACTGCATTTCAGCTGTACACAATCCCTTCCAATCTACACAGCTCTTCTTAGAATGGGAGAATCACTGCATAGTAATTAGAGCGTGTCTGCAGGCGCTCCATCGCCTTCGGTTTTTCCATGTTATCATGGATCAGCTCCTGTACCATCTACCAGAGTCTTTTTTCAATGAAATTTCTAAGGCTCCGCTCAATCAGCTGGGTCTTTCGGCGGAACTCATACGCTCCTACTTTACCCTCAAGCGAACCACTAGTGATAGATACGACGATAACACGTCGAATAAACTACTGACCTCATTGTCGCCCAGACAAGATAACCCGCAAGTTTCGCTAGACCAAAAACGATCGGTGGAACCTGAAGCAAGCATTTCTGCGGGATTTTTTCCTGACCACAAACATGTGATAGACTTATCGCTTATAGAGCTAAGCACTGCTGTTTCAGAAAGTGGACAGCAAGGAGGTATTGCAAACAATAACATTACAAACACCAACGCCCGTCTTGCAAATGTCAATATTGGCGCTTTCGATGCACCAGCTCATTCATCTCCCTTACCTGACCAGACAAAACCCCAATCTATAGCTACAGACCGACGGTATCTTGCACCACTTTCCCTAGAAGTAGCAGTTGCCATTACTAGCATTCTAGCTGAGAGATTGAACATCTTCACCAGAAAGACACAGCGGAAGTCAGGGATAGACGGCGCTCTTCTCTGTGGAGTCATTGCTTTTATTGGGGCATGCAACTATGACTGTTACTATGAGCTCATAAGCCCAGTACCATTAGAAGAGCGTTTGAGTACATTTGCCGGTCCGAGTGTACCGAAGATTAGAGCAAGAAGCTCTAATAACCACGGAGAGGCATCAATAACGCGTATCCTGGACTACCTGTGTGTTGAGATCTTAAGCATGCTCGTCAATAGTTATAATGATTCCCTACCCAGTAATTTAACATATACCAATAAGTCAGCAAAGACACCGTCAACGGCCCCGCGATTTGAGGTAGTTTCCTCACTCAATAGGGCGCACCCAATCAACGCAACAAGCGTAGACTGGCTCCAGCTCAGTCTGTACGATGGCTTCATCGCGGCAGTCTCGTCATTTCGAGCAGCATGCAACAAAAATAGATTCGTCGCCGAGCATACCTTCTTACTGGAATTTAATCCTCAATTGTCGCACAGAGTGTTTGAGGCGGCCGCAATAGTCCTGAAAAACATGCCAGTACATGTCGCAGCCCAGCATTTTGACCGTGTGTGCCTAGTCACCTTTTGCACCATTACCTTTATCAAAGGGGCCATAGTCTCGGCCTCTACACGGAAGGTCATAACGACAATATTTCAAGGCGTCATTCTGAATGACCCCTACACGATAGCAAACGGATACTACTTGTTATCCACGTGCATAAGCATTCTTCTGGATATGAGGATAATGTGTAGAGAGAGCCAGAGCAATAACCAGAACAATGCAGAGAATAATCTCAGATATCTGTCGTACTTATTTTCAGAGCTGTGCCTCCTCAGTGGGATAATAGTAGAGACACATTGCTTGAGCCTAGCATCCGGTATAGCCTTGGGGAATATTCACATGATGTTTTCTAATTATCCATCTAATATAAACGGTGCACTGCCCCCCTTTATTTTCTTTTTCAGCGGAGCTGAGGATGCCAATCAGACAGATATAAATATTAATCATGAAAAAGCAGGGATATATTTGAAGTACTACGTAGCCTCATTCGTCATGAGACTGGGAATCTCATATGCTCGGTGCGCGGGTCGCCTGGACATGTCCATTGCAGAAATCATCTCCAGTTCTAGCGTTTTTAGGCACTTATACCAGGAATACTCTGCGTATCGTGAAAAGTATGTCCTCGTAGATGAGTTTTGCAGGGTTCTGTTCGAGGAGAACAAGGGCCTGATGCTAATCGGCTAGACACGACCAAAGTTCTCAACGGTGTGGGGGCTTCTGTTGCAATCTCCTACTTCTTCTGTTAATATGGAGGATGTGCTCGTCGGAGATTCTTCTGGTTCCATGGGTGAGTCCTTGGGCTTCAGCCGCCGCATAGCAGAGCGCTTGCTTAGCTCCCTGCTATGTGCACTCACCGGTTTGCTGTGCTGTGCACTGGACGTCCGCGACATATTACTGGGAGTCTCGCTGACAAGATTTCCGCCTGGCGTTATGCAGCTGTACCTGTCCTTGCACCCTTGTTGAATGGACAGGTCGTCCCCGACTATGCTGCGAAGAGTTGCACAGCCAACCGAACTGACTTGGTCTATGAATGCGTCAAAGATGCGCCTGTGTGTTTCTAGCACAGGAAACTCATCTATCTCGTTGAGATCGAAATCAAGAACATTACTAAACAGGTCTGCATTGCGCATGTTGAGGATTTCCTCTTCTATCAATAGGACCATGTTCGCACATTCGGACATTATTTGTTCTGTGTCCACAATTAAGTTATGCATACCGTTCAATACTATGTGCTCGTTTGTTCCCTTCTCCAAGACCTTGAGTAAATCTTCAACTGTGTTGATGTTCAGTGTGCTAGCGTATATGCCGTTCATGCTGCGTATAGCCGCCATGTCCACAGCACCTGCCGAGGTATCGCGAGCTGACAATGCAGAAATGGGCTTTCCTTTCTTGGGTGTTCCTATCGGAGGCATAGACCTGTTGAGGATTGGCTTAGCGGTTGCAATTGATGATCTTGCGGTCGCGTTGGCATAATCAGAGTCGCCGCGAGATATGTAAATTTGAATGCACATGTCAACAAGCACGCTAATCACCTTATACGTTTCTGTGAGGGTTGTGGCCAGCGATCGTACAAAGGAACGGATGACAAAGATGCTTTCGTGCTTGACGAAATTGTTGATTATTTTACGCAGTCCTAGAGAGATATGGGTGGCAAGAGGCGCTAATTTAGAGTCCCTATGGGGAGGAGCTGCATTCGTTGCACGAAAGATTGAAAGACTGGATGTAGCCCCAGCAGCTCTCTGAACCCCGGGGTCATTGAGTAGTAATCGCTCAGATGCAGAGCGTTTGCCAGAAGGAGTTGAACCCCTGACAGAGCTAGTCGTGGCAGAAATCTTTCCAGAAAGCTTTTTAATCTGCTTTGTGGACAGCCCCGTCAGCATGCGTTGCATATTCTGAACGCTCCTCACCAAAACAGATAAAATGCTCCTGGGTCCCTCGTCGCAGTTCGTAATGAGGGCTTCAAAAGTGGTTGTTTTGAGGTCACTGTACTGGTTGAGAAAAGACGCCAACAGCACACACGTTTCACTCCAGATTTGCGTGCAAAGGCCAATGCAATCCCGAGTGGCTGCACAGGTGCGTGTGATTGCAAAACTGTTTGCTCGCGTGTTATTCGTTGTGCACATAAATGTTTTGTTTGCAAAAAAGGCAAAATATTCCAACAATTTGATAAAGTCTTCAAACGGCACATTCGAGGAGGAGATTGGCAGCTTCCCGAGAGATCTCAGGGTCGCTAGGAGAAAGGCAAGTTTCTGCTGCGACAAGAAAGATATAGGTTGACCGGCAGCCGGACGCGCCTTGACCAAATTGTATTCCTCTGTAACGTTCTCCAGCTGTGTTGACAAATAGTCTTTGCTGCTATAGCTCGGGGGCTCGAAAGTGGAATACTCAGCACTCGAAAAAAGATAGTTATTAAGCATTATAACTCCAGTGCGTGGGAACATGCTGATGATAATGGCCATGCAGTGGGCAACAAATTCTATTGGACCTATTTGCTTTGCAGTATTGTAAGACGGCAAAGGGTAGACAAGGCTGTGGGAGGAAATAGGAGAGCTAATATACCCTGGTGAGAGGCCCAAGGAGAAGAAGTTCCGCGAAGTAGAGGGGTCGATGTCTTTGCCATAAATATCGTTAACGCTCATTGCTAATGTGACAGGATCGTATATATTACGGTAAGACACTGGCTCTGTGGCAAAGAACGAGGTCGGCAAGTAGCTGAATAGGCTATGCACTATGAAGTCCAGGTACCTAGTGGATTGAAGATTTTCTTCGCTAAGCTTACGAAGTACTGACATCAGCAGAACTGTGAGAAAACGCTGTAGGGCCCCAAATATCACCGTGGAGAGGGTTAGTGAGTAAGTAGAACAGAATGCAAAAATGGTGAACATTTCCGACTCTAATGAAAACGAAACTGCTTCGGTGATGACGTCTACTTTGTGCTCAAGCAGGCGTAAAAATTCTAAATGGAACACGGACCTTACAGACTCGTTGGCAAGTTCTGCGTCGTTTATGATGTCATCTAAGGAGATGTCCGGCATGAATGACGCCTCCTCGGCCACCTGGATATATTTTTTCCGCATGTATACATTGTTCAATGCGTAATCATGTATTTCATATGCGACTCCGGAGAGTTCCTGCAGATTAAAGTTCTGCTCAATCATTGCAATATAGGCTCGATTATCCATGTCTAGGAAGCTCTTCTGGAGAAGGACAAGGGTGGCCTGGGCAATCTCCGCAAAGGTAACCACTCTAGTGACAAACTGGGCATTGTAGAGCTTGTCTCGTTCTTTGCTGGTAACAACAGGATTGGCCACCGCAGGCGCCTTGATGACTATTGGGATATCTCTGCCAATCCGAGATGTTGTCTGCTTACTGCCTCGCGTAGATGGGCGTGTGGTCTCAGGCTTATCACAACACGTAGGATGTCTTGCAATCTTTTTCGTTGTAAATTCATACAGGTACGTTAGAATGGCGCACGCGCCCATCTGCACCGCTCCAGACTCTCCACACACAGCATCAACCCGCCTATCCCAGTCTTCTGGAAACGGAAAGTGCACCGCCGCCAGACAACGCCTGATATAGGACCAATTTTCTCTCCTGTCGGCCAGTATATTGCCCTCATTGAGGTCCAGAATGGTGCAGCTGTCGCGAAAATATCGCGAAATGATCTCTGCAACAACGTGGCCGGAGGAGACATCATGCTTAAGATTTCGTGGAACCTTCTTAAGCTCTAGTGTGTTCAACCACCGAAGAACGTCAAAGCTGAGGCTAGCCATGGTGTCTGTGAATTTTCCCAATTTTTTGAAAATCTAGGGCTGAAACGGTAGTTGGATTTGAGGAGAAATATCTAACTAAAAAAGGACGGAGCGTTAGATGTTAAGGCTCTGGCAAGAATACGTACAAGAAGATGATGTCCTTGCATGCCTTTCTGTCCTCGATGAAGACTGTCAGCGAGCGGTACAGGTCATTGAACGGTTAGATGTTGAAGGAGGAACACCCGAGATGCAGACCCACGAAAGAGTATGCACTAGTTTCTCCCATGGTCTAATTCGGACTGCGCTGCGCCGCTTCCCTCTTGCCTTATCGAAGAATCTGGGCCGTGTCCAAAGTATGCTCAATGCCTTCAACCATGCGCTTCAGGAGACATCAACCGAATCCTTTTCACATGCCATCTCGTCCTCTTGTGGGTCGCTAGTTTCAAGTCTCTGTAATAATCCATCTGCGGGAGCCGCCATGGGTGCTCTTCCCAACCTTAGAAAGTCACCGGGGGCTGCTCTATCTGCCCTTCTTATGGGGCCCACTATTGCTCACCTGGTGGGCTCCGTCTATTCGCTGGGCCTAAACGCATACCATATCTGCAAGCTAGAACTCCGTGACCTCCGTCTCCACCGAGCAGAGATGGACAAGAAGGCGTAGGTTTACTTCTGCTGCATGTGTGCTTATCCCTAGACAGCGAGAAGCTCTACCTCAAAGACCAGCGTGGCCTTAGGTGGAATCACGGGGGGATAGCCGCGCTCCCCATATGCAAGCTGGTAGGGAATTGTAAAAAGAGCCTTCTCCCCCAGAGTCATGGTAGCAACACCTTGATCCCATCCCTTGATAACCTCCCCGGCCCCAAGAGTAAATTGAAAGGGTTTCCCACGGCTGCGCGAAGAGTCAAACTGCTTGCCGTCGGGAAAACGGCCATCGTAATGAACTGTGACCTTCTTCCCCGCCTGGGGCTTTGTGACGCCGTCGCCAGGGGTAAGAACCTTCTTCTCCAGCTGAGCCGACATCTCAAATTTTGAAACTGGGGTTTACCAAATTCGTGGGCATTAGATGCGGGAGATTACGGGCTAATGATAATTCAATCCCACCCGCCAGTCAGTGAGCTCATGTAAGAGTCGGGTGGAAGCTCCCTCTGGTCCGCGGGAACAGCCTCGAAAATCTTGAATTCTTCTTCTGCAGACTTAACAACCATAATGCTCGCACTGTTCTTAGTGCGATAGGAGTAATTCGGCGCGCTCCAGATTGTAACCACCGTGCCATTGAAGTACTTCTGATACCCGGCAATGGCGAGCTGGTGCGCGCGGGCAATCATCTTGAGGTCGTTGATTCTAAGGAACTGGTCAACCGCTCTGGGCCCAAAGAGGTATCCTGCTCCGCGGTACGAGTGCTCCCACGTCTCAAGGGCCGTCGACGGATCAGACCACTGCAGATCTGCAAAGGGCCCCTCGCTGGGGATCTCCGACGACCGGTTCAGGATGCGAATATCGTCAATGGTGGGCAGAGACGGGCTGATACCGCCATGGACGCAGAATATGCGCTCATCGATGATCGCTACAAGAGGTAGCTGGTCGAAAAGCTCCATGTACATCTTCCAGACACCGGCGTGGCCGTACTTCCTGTACGCTTCATCATAGAATCCATACGTCTGCGTGACTGCCCTGCACTCATGGTTGCCCCGCAGTAAATATATTCTTGCGGGATAATTGACTTTCAAGCAAAGAAGGAGGGTGATCGTCTCCAGACTGTAGTACCCCCTGTCAACGTAATCTCCGAGAAAAAGGTAGCGAGCCCCATCGACGATCTTCCCCCCGAATTCAAACATATATCGTACATCATAAAACTGGCCGTGGACGTCCCCGCAAACGTTTAGAGATGGAGCAGACGAGATAGGAATAACGGTCGGCTCTTCTGAAAGAAGCTCCATGGCGCGCCATAAAAGGGCCAGTACATCGGCCTCGGGGAGAATTTCTCGGTTCAGGCATCGCTCAAGGTACGAGGCAAAGTCAGGCATCAAACCGCCAGAGACTCTCAGAAACGCTTTAAAGGATTCATGAATAATTTTAATTTCGCGTATAATTTTAACATAAGAGATACGTGGCAGTAGTCGCAGTGGCTCGAAGGACTGGAAGGGTTTACTTTGGCATAGAAAGACAGATTACTTTAAACCCTTGATAGCCTCCAATAGCTCGTTGGGAAGGTCGGCCTCAGTATATTTATATGCATCAAATATGAGGTAGTCCTTCGCCTCGCCGTTGCTGACTGGCATGATGCAGGCCTTGTTCTTGGTACGATAGGAGTAATTCGGGGCACTCCAGACTGTTACCAGCTTCTTATCGAAGTATTCTTGGTAGCCCTCCGTGGCAAGCTGGTGCGCGCGGGCAATCATCTTCAGGTCATTCATGGACAAAAACTGTTCAACAGCCTTTTTGCCAAAGAGGTACCCTGCTCCGCGATATGAATGCTCCCAGTTGTCAAGGTTTGTGCACGGATCGGACCAATTGAGATCTGCAAACGGTCCCTCACTGGGGATCTCTATGGTTCTGTTAAGTAGGGTAATGTCATCGAGCGTCGGAAGAGCAGGGCTAAGCCCTCCATGGACACAGAAGATTGAATTGTCAACTATGGCAGCAATAGGCAGATGGTCAAAGAGCTCCATGAACAACTTCCAAACGCCGGCATGGGCGTACTTCTTCGTGGTCTCCTCGTAGAATCCATACGTCTGCGTGACTGACCTGCACTCGTGATTGCCTCGAATTAGGAAGATATCGTTAGGGTAGTTGATCTTATAACAAAGGAGAAGGGTGATTGTCTCCAGACTATAGTATCCTCTGTCAACGTAATCTCCAAGGAAGAGGTAGCGATTTGTCCCGGATACCTCCCCACCGACCTCGTTTATCATTTTTATAACGTCTTGAAACTGGCCGTGGACGTCTCCACATACATTGATCTTGTCGCCGGTGGACTTGACTTGCAAAACATTCGGCTCCATGATGAATATCTCTATTGCCTTCCATATAACACGGCGCAGCTCCTCCTCATCAAAGAACTCCCTCTTCTTGGCCTTCTCCAACCACCTGTCCATGACTTTTTATTTTGATTTTTGCACTGCATCGTGGTGTAACAAGGTTTGCAGTGGTGAAGTGCAAGAAGCATCTGCAGTCTGGCAACTGCTTGCTGGGCAGGTTCTGGGTTCTAAATAGACAGCGTTGCAAGACGAGGTCGCTTTGCATAATCCTTTTTGTTTCCAAAAAATCGTGTCTATGAGGGCTATAGAAAACCTTGTCGTTGTCCACCTCGGAGACCCTCACTACAACAGACGCTTCGAGACTCTGATGCAGATCTTCCTCGATAACTGTCTTCACGTCGATTATCTAACGTTTTACAAGGCGACCCTGCCCCAGTGGCTCCGCGCCTCTCCTCTCGTATCGTACATGTACATGGACGCAGCATTCATACATACTGCACCGAATAACATATTCTTTTGGCTTATTTACCCAATTCAGATCCTCTTTGATACTATATATGTATTCCTTCACATTCTTGTGCTCTGCAAGGCCAATCTGCGTGCGATTGCTGTGTTTTCTTCTCCCTTCCGTCCGGGCTGTGTTATTGGAGCGCGTGCAGCTGCCAAGTACTTCCGAATACCGTTCTGGGTAGACGTATGTCGTGAGTCCCACAGCCTGGAATACACTGGTCTTCGGAGGGCGCTTGTTCAGAGACTTGAAAGAAAGCTGCTGCAGAGCAATTATAAAAACGAAACAGTCCTCCTGGACTCCTCAAGTCTGATCAAACACTTCAGTCTGACTCGGAATTACGTCCTCACCCTCAACACGCCAATTTCTTTCAACATGGGCCTGCCTATTCCCATGCACCATATGCTCTTATCGACCTTGCGCTTTGCTCAGCCGGAGCAGACGTCGATTGGAATTAGAACCCTGTTCCATTATGCCCAACTTGTCCGCAGCATGGATTCAACAAGTGATCGCTCCCAACTAGAAATAAATAGCCATCGTCCGGCCCTAATTCTGTGTCCTTGCAACTTTCGTGGAGCCGATGACTTTGTTGGCATCTACCAGCTTGCGGCTGCTCTCGAAAGAATATTCGCGACACAGTCATCAGCTACCGCTAAGGGTGGACGTGTCAGGTTTACTAGCGCCATTATCGTAGTCACGGGGCGTGCAGACCCTTATGTATGCTCGCAAACACGAGAGTATCACAAGCAACTAAAGGGGATAGCTGATGCATTCAACAATCACTACACATGGGAAGAGGGTGCAAAGGCACTGTGTCAGCTGGATGAGCAGAATAAGGCACGTACAGAGGATGCTGCAGAGGATGCTACAAACGATAACTTGGGTAAGGATAATGTCAGAGATGACGAAGAGCCCAAAGATGAAGATAAAACCGAACACAGAATTGAAGGTGCCGCAAGCCACGAGGAGGGGAAGCATTCTATTAAGGGTAGAAGCATCGAGGCCCGTGCAGCCCGCGAGGCCAAGTTGGCTAAGAACAGGATGCTGCTGAAGGCAGCCATGAAGGCCCACGCAGCGAACACAAACGGGATCTCTGGAGCAAAGCACGTCAGAGTATCAAAATGCTACCTATACAACCGCGATTATCATACTCTTTTAGATTGTGTTGATATGGTGTACATCGCCAAGAACAGCGAGCAGATCTATGGTGTCCCTGCAGCACTAACTGACGCACTCATATATGAGAAGATAGTGTTACGGAACTTTCCCATAGATGGGACAGACGAGCTATCGGAACTCGTTGCAGATGCTACCATAGAAGTTACCACCCAGTCAATCCTGTGTTCCAACTTGATCCTGGCTTTGAATCAGGAGGAGGCACGAGCCAACGAAGCAAGAGAATACCATATGGAGCGGAAGTCTAAAATCATGAAAGCCAAACAATATATTTTGAGCAGATCGTATTCGACGATCTTCAAGGAGACACTGCTTCCCCAGATTCTCCTAGATAATACATCAGTGGAAGAGTTCATGAAGATGGTGCAAGAACAGAAGGAAGAATTGGAAAGAGAAAAGGCGGAACAAAAGGCAGCAGAGGGAAGCAAATGCTGTTCATGTGGAAGCTGCGGGTGCGGCTCGTAGGATGTGCGCTAATTCTGCATTGAACTGAAGCAGCTTGCGGACCGTGCGTCTCTCTGACGGCTTGAATATGAAGACGAAATACAGCAGAATTGAGTTGGGTGACTCATACCAAGGTAGACCGACGCGGTCGCTTCTTTCCTTCAGGACATTGAGGGTGTGAATTAGAATAACATTCTTTAAATCAAAACCGGAGCTCTTCTGCATATCGCGTAGAGCAGTCTCGCAGATATAATAGGGAATGAACTCATTGACTGTCCTCTGGAAGACAGAGATGGACGACATTGTGGCAAGGCCTAACCAGAGCGAGAGAAGCATGTCTTTGATAGTTCCTAAGTAAGGGCACATGCTGAGATGCTCCGTTGAGCTCACGAGAAACTTACAAAAGGCGTCCACGGGGACCACGGCAGAATAAAACTTCTCGGCCAAGCAGAGAGCCTGCTGGCTACCTACCAGCTTCAGCTGTTGAAGTCGCTTATCCTTGACGTTTAGCAGTGTGTAGAAGGCGATTTTCTGGTAGGAGTAGTCATCTTTCCGTCTTTCAGCCAAAAGGATTTGCTCAGAGACCGCATCACCATTTCGGGCTTTCGGCTCGAGAGGTGTTTTTATCGTAGACAATGGCGTGCTTGGAGTTTCAGAAATCAGCTGGGAAAGAGGGGTTTCTTGGGGAGCCATGATTGATTCTTTTTTTGCCCGTGACATCTCTCAAAGAAAGACCTTTACCTTGGTGAATAGCAATGATATGATTTGGCAGAAGAATCACTGATAGGTCACTGATAGATCACTGATAGTATCCGTGAATGCTTAGATAACATCCCTTTGTTGCCTGCAGAACGCTGAATGCAGCGCATACGTTGAACTTTTCAAATTACCACTGTTTCGTTACCTCTTTTGCTCTCGTCGTTCTCATTCTTCTACCGCCCATCAGTCGAAACCCAGAAGCACGTACATCTTGTCAGGGAGGGAGCAACATAAAATTAGGTGTTTTTCCTTTCGGCAAGCGTATGTTTGCTCTTGTCATATGCTTGCTCCATGTCCTGACGAAGAGCACCAAAGTACAGCTAGCCCCAAAGAACTTCCCCGCTGCAGTGGAAAAGATTTGCGCCACCAGCGACATCGAGCATGTAAGTCTGACTGTGGACAATTATTTCGCAGTCTACTTCAAGGAGACTTGCGATCTCTCCTTTGTAACTAGATTAGTAGTACTCAACTACGGAACTAACCAAACGATCCAGCTGACGCACACTGCCACATATCCTAGACTGTACTATTCTCAGTTCACCAGCCCTATCGCCGCGTCACCTATGTTTCTACAGATCATCTATCCACATTGCTCCTTTAGTGGACTTATTCCCGTCAGTTTGCACCGCACCCCGTGTCTTATAACTGGTAACATAGTCGCTGGGATCTATGAGCAGTCACTCTACATCTACCCGGGAAATTTCAGCGTGCTCATGGGAACTGGCAAAGTATACTGTGATACTTATCTCAACCCGCATCTAACGATAACCGTGAGTGGAACTGCATTGGACTGTATCTTTTACGAGTACTATTATTCCTGCCCTCTTTCCAGTGGTACTCTTTCCAGTGACATAACCATATTCTCCATCTATAACACATCACCAATTGTTATTACATCAAGCAGTGTGAAGCAGTTTACTAAGCATTGCTTCACTGAAAGTCCAGACACGAACAGTGACTCTACCTATTCCTTCTACGCATCCGTCTATTCCAAGAGCAACCAAACAGTTCTTGTTGTGCGCCATCCGTATCTCTCTACGGTTACGCCACCACCATCACCATCACCAGCGCCAGCGCCAGCCAACACTGACTGCTTGCCGGTGATGCACAAGTGTACTTACAATGGCGTATTAATGAATCGTTTCAACTATCACCTGACGGCTAACTATACCGGTAAGAAGCCAACTCAAAGTGCTGCAGAGGCTGTCACCATAGTGTGCAACATTAATTCAACTAAAACAATGGAGAGAAAAATAGCGAGCCCACCAGTTGAGGATAAGTATGTATGCTTCCATTCTTTCGTGGTCGCAGAGAAGCCAATGAACAACAGCGTCACATCCCTTAATGACATGTTTATAATCTCTAATATGAAGATCGAGCTGACACCCTTCCTACTAAACATTCAGGACAACGAGACAACGTGCACGCTACTCCCCAATACCTATCTAAAAATAAACACCACTATCTTTCAGAAAAACTATACCAATTATGCATTTAACTACCAGATGGATGTAACGGGCCAGGATAACGTTAGCCTTATAGCACTGACCAACATAGACCCAGGCGTCTCTAATATCTACATGCTTCTCCCACAGTACATGTCCGATAGAGATGCTGGTGACATCACCCTGGACACATATCAAGGGGTTCCTATCTTTGATTTCTTGTCCTACACCACGAAAAATTGCTACGCTATTGACCAAATCCGTTATTACTGTGTTAATAATGTGTTCTACGTATCAACTCAGAAATTCTGCAACCCACCAAGTCCTCCTGATAGCCTTACTATCTCTTTATATGATGCATCAGGTCCCAGTCACACCCTCAAACTGGATAAGTACAGCAGTGTGTCGGGCCAGAATTATATCCACAATTATACTGCCGCTGGTAATAATGAAATCTGCACTGCAAAGCCCTACTTTTCCGTAGACAAGTACCAGTATGGAGGGATATACCTCTTCATCAACCCACAGTTCCCCGTCAACCTTGCAATAGAGCTTACAGCCACCTACTGCTCCCTCATGGACCCTGCGTTTGACTATCAAGTACAGCTCTTTGAAACAACCCTGTACTTTCAAGGGCTCTGCAAGCTCGATGGATACTGCTTTGAGGATATCTATTCTTACACACCTAAGCCTCTGCAGCTCATACCTAACAACGCAACCCCGGTCTCTCCTATTGAAACCCCGAGATACAAGTACTTCGTCTCATCTATTATAGGTTCAGATATGCCTTATCTCATAAGTCTGCGCACGTGCTCCAGGTCTGACGAGATAAAAACAAGCATTCTTGGAGCGCCAGCTGTTGGGATGTCAACTGTTCATGACTACTTTTACTCATATTTTCAGTCGCCCATGGCTCATGAGATCAACTGGAACAACCAGACACGGCATATGATACTCAACTACACGCGCTCATGCATAGAGGCTCCAACTTACTCCAACGCCACTTGGTATGTGCAGTTGATCGAGGCCTCCAACTGGGGCATTCTTGTTCTGGGAATTACTGGCGGTCTGTGCAGTAGTAATGGCATTGATGTGACCGTCACCTTCTTCGCTGTGTATACAGACTCGAACACACAGAACATGATTGAGCAGCCTATTCTTACCGAGCCCATGACTCTAACAGACACTTTATCTGCTTCCCACAAGTACCACATAAAGAATACTGATATCTGGCAATCATATTTGAATCTTAAGAATAAAGACGGCGTTACATTTTACGCCAATCTGACATTCAAGTACACATTCTTTTCTACAGAGAAACACTACATCCCCATCTCCGCCGTCACAGAGCCGTGCATAGTCAGAACCCTGACTACTAAACTACTTGAGATTGACTACTCAACGAGCATACTAGAAACGTACGATCAGGAGGGATGCTATATGCTATCTGATTACGTTTACCTTGTCCTTCCATTGACGTCATCAAAACAGCAAGCTGCACTATTAGAAGAAAATCTGAAGGAACTGGTTGTCTTGGAAGAGCTTTTGCTGAACAACTTCTACTCTTTGGAGGATGTTTGGGCATTTATTGACAGCACAAACGTTATGGACATAGCAGCAGCTATTGAGTGGAGCAAGAGCTCCATTCCACATCTCCAGCTGAAAGCTAACCGTGCCCGCACATCAGAGACTTGGGAGCGATACTCTTCGGGAGAGTATCCCACAGGAAATACAGCAGCCTTTGAGGCTGAGATCATTACCATGTTCAACATGCGCAATAGTAGTCTAGACATGCGTGTGCTAGCACCTTCGCTCTACAAGTATTGGCGCCTTGCCACTACCACTCTTCCATTGATAAATACCAGCCTCGGTGAAAGAACTATCAAAAGCAATGCCATGCCAGCGATTCCGTTACCCTTGTCGTTTCGGCTCTCTACTATCCGGAATTTTATCCCAGATTACAGTGTATTTCCAACGCTTGCAGAGCAACTGAAAAAAGACTTAAATACAGATCTATCCACCGATATCATCACTAATCAGGCTAAGTATAACGTCAGCGGTCTACTAGGTTCCAAAGTGATCAACTTCACAATCGGTAAGACCATCCTTTACAACGCAACACCCCTCTCGTTTTATCAGTACAACAACTTCATCATGCTCGTGCTGACACTCGGCAACAGCACTAACAAACAATCGAATGTAGATACCAATATATTAATTATGCAATCACCAATTTACACGCCTTTCCTGCTATTATCAGATGCTTCCGAGACTCAAGTGGAGACCATTGACGACTACCTCACTATTTACTGTCCATCGTGCATTTTGTATGATCAAGTTCTCTACGTCACTGACCTTCACCTCATTGAGTTCATTTCCCGCTCGAACGTACAGTCGTTACCTGTCTACCTGTCCACACGCGCCCCAGTGAACGCAGTACGGTACAACTACAGCTACACCATCCGCATCGGTGTACAGATAAACCAATCAAATGTGTCCTTCCGCTTTCCTATCTATAATAAGGATATATCTCTCTCTACCCAGTTTATCCCCAATGTCTGCTTCATTAACGGGTACATGAAAGCTTGTCTTAAGTCGAACAAACTATTTATTTTGCTTGAGTTGGTGAACTGCATTGATATGCGGCCGAGTTCCATTGTCTTCACGTTGGCGGCAAAAGAGGATCTAGAGCCAGCTGTCGCGATGCAGCTAGGGGTACGTAACAAGGCACTCACTACTGTCAATGAGAACGAAAACTGGGTCTCGTATGCACATGTATTTGATGATGATAAGGACGTCAATGCTAGTCTTATCATGATGCTGGCAACAAACAACACCTTAGACGTCGTGCTCAGGGCCTCAATAGGCAATACACTTGTCACCAGGCTCGTACCAATAGATGTCACTTTATTCTCCATTGAGGAGCAGTACTGGGTGGTGTATCTAATTATCTGGATTGCCATGATAAGCGGTTTGAGCATGTGCACCTGGGTGATCATAAAAACTCATAGGCTACGGAGCCTCAAAAGGAAGATCATCACTTTAGCAAACTATGAGCTTACCAGGAACCCTACCCTGTATAGATCTATCGAAAACTCGTTCCAAAAGCATATAAATGAGAATGGTATAAGCCACTCATTGCTGGCTCTACACGTTCTACTGAAAAGGGACTGGTCGATCGATGAGATAGCACAAGAGTGCCAGACGACTCCAAGGGTCATTAGCGGATGGAAGGAGAACCTTAAGGGCTTCCTAGATGGACATGATAGGGCTGATAAAAGGAGAGCAAGCGCGCTTGAGAAGATGAAGCACAAGCTAATGGTGGCAGAACGGCGGAAGAATATGCAGAGGAAGACATCCATCCAATTCTTGAAGAAGAGCAGAAGGAAAGGTATGCCTTCACAAACACACAGCACAGACAATCTCCTGTCCACTGATTCAGAAATGACGCACGCCAATAGCTGACTGTAAAGTTTAACCACAATCCGTCTAGAGGTTGCAGAGATTTTTCTTTTATCAATCTACTAGTATTTGCCAAGACTACAATTAATTGTATCCCCCTGCATGCTGTGACACCTGGACATGAAAAATTAAATTTAAATATTAAGAAAATTGCCAGCATAAAATGTCCAGCGGCGGACACCATTATATCTTCAAGTACATCATCGTAGGCGACTCTGCGGTCGGAAAGTCCTGCCTCTTGTTGAGGTTCGTTGAACAGAAGTTTATCCCTCTGCATGATGTAACAGTGGGAGTGGAGTTTTGCAACAAGACCCTTCAGGTGCCCTCGAAAGATGGCTCTGAAAAGACCGTCAAGGTGCAGATTTGGGACACTGCAGGCCAGGAGCAGTTTCGTTCCATAACAAGAAGCTATTACAGAGGAGCGGCCGGCGCTCTTCTCGTTTATGACGTCACGAACAGGAGTAGCTTTGAAGCCCTTGAGGGTTGGCTTAAGGACATGCTCGCCGGGGTGGGCATGGAAGCCAGTCCGAACGGCGTTAGCGGCATGGTTATTATGTTAGTGGGAAACAAGACAGATCTCGAGCACAAGAGGAAAGTCTCGAAGGAAGAGGGCGAGCAGTTTGCCCGTGACCACGGCCTTCTCTTCATCGAAACCTCAGCAAAAGACGACCTGAACGTCTCGGAGAGCTTTAACGAGACGGCGCGGACCATTCTTGAGAAAGTGGAAACAGGGGAGATCGACTGCGTCTCTAAGGATAGTGGGGTGAAGGCAGGGGCTCTCAATATGAGCGCTGCAGCGACCACTGCCTCGTCCACTGACAGCACATTTGGAAATTGCTCCTGTTGATCTCTCCCTGCCCCGCTCCCGTTATGAATGTGTTCCCAGTAAACTTGATTGCCTTATATGCTGTACGTGGCTACCAATCTATCTATGCAGCAGAGGGCCCGCATTCGTCCCATTGTATAAAATGGGAGACTTGTTATATGCACCGTTCTATGCACGACTACCGTCTCTGCCAGCTCTGTCTCCATCCAAACATTTACATTATGTGCCCCTCCGCACGGAGGTTGTTCCAAAAGCAGACTCCACTAACACGACAACCTCCAACGCACCCTCTTCTCTGGCCAACAGGAAGGCGTCCATACGCCCGCCATCTGCAAACATGATACAGCCTCATCCTCACAGACGTGCTGCACAGTTTTACGACGGCCATACAGTCATCGTCCCGCCCGTTCAGGAGACAGTCAAGATTCCTACCCGGACACAACACATTAAAGCTCAAGATGCCTTTCTGAAACAGGTAGAGCATATAAACTGTGAGTACTCCCCATCAAAGATACGAACCTCCCGCGGTATTAAAGCAGAGCTACTTCCCTCTGTGCTGCTGGAGTGCTGCAAAGATGAACCCTGCTATGCATACTTGCTCTCCGAGTTGGCTAAGGCTGTGGAAAGGCATAAGAGCAGGCTCAAACCTGCTGCAGAGGTCGAGGGCTGTGAAGCAAACCTAGAATCCAAGGAGTCACGAGTTACTGATAGAGCTCAAACAGAGAGTCCTAACGCAAAGGAAGGACCTGACGATGAGATAGAGAGGCTTGGAGAGACATCTGGAAACATAGTGTCATTGGCGAAGCTAGTTGCAAAGAAGGAGATCGAGGCAAGTACGTATCGCAAACGCATGGATCATATGAAGACAACCCTCACAAAGCTGAATAAAGAAATTCAAATAGCCAAGACAACAATAGGTGCGCTGAATGCAGAGATTGCACGTCTTGAATCAATATACCAAATTTCAATGGAGTCCAGAGCGCCTGGTACACTGAAAGAGCGAATGATGAACTTAGATAAGACTGCCCATATGATACTCGCCGGCGAGTAGCTAACGCTTTTGACGCTGAAACATCGATCCACGTTGGCTCCTTTGGGACTGGGAGGGCTGTCCTGGTTGCACAGACCCAGTACTTCCCAATGGAGGAAGCGCTGGTGTTATAGAGCTGCCTCGCCTTGCCGACAATTCAGCATTCTGTGCCTTAAGACTTGATAGCGTGTAAAGTAAATCTGAACGTTCTTGGCACTCCTTGAAGACTGTCTGCTGCAGGCACTGGATCTTCTTCTCCAGGTCAGAGATGTACTTCCGTGCTTCTTCTAATAATTTGGTTGACGTGGTCTCACCTCGGAGACTTTCTGCCTCTCGTGTCTTCTCTGCTAGTTTAGTCTCTAGATCTACAATGTGAGACCTCATATCCTGGATTTTCAGATCCATGTCACAGATAAGCTTCTCTTTCTGTTCCTTCTCACTACGCAGCTGTGCAGCTTTCTTCTCCACATCGAGGGCTTGGTTCTCAAGGAGCTCATTATCGCGCTGCAACTCGCGCAACCTCTTTCGTAGTGCTTCTTCAGCTGCTGAGCTTGTCTTGCCGGATTCTTGTAAAGCATAACGGAGATCTTCGAGCTCTGTGCTTAGCTTTTTGTTACGCTGGAGAAGAGCCTCTTGCTCTCCTTGTAACTTAGAATACCTTTGATTTGCTGCATCTGATTCAGTCGTTTCCATAGTCAGAGCCTTGTGTAGGTCTGCTAGCTCTTGTTCTAATGCCTTATATTTGGATGTAGTTTCAGTCTCAAGCCTTTTCAGCTGAAGTAGTGCATCTGCGAGTCTGTTTGACAGTGCGGTGAGTGTTGATTGGTGGGACTCTATGTCCGCTTGGTGGAGCTTACGGAACTCAGACAGCTCCTTCAGGAACACTTGTAGGTTGCTCTGCAAAGCCTCTGCATTTTCCTTGCTGCTTTGTAGCTGTTTCAAAAGATCTGCAAGTTCATCATTCCTTGTTTGGAGCTCACATGTAAGCAAGTTTATTCGTTGTAAGCTTTCTTTCTCACTTGTATTCAGAGTATTGCATTGATTGATTCGTGTTTGCAGTTCGGCTCGAAGCTGATCTATCTCTGTTGTCATAACAGAAACCTGCTTCTCCAGTGTCTCATTTGTCGTAGTAAGTAAAGAAATAGCCTCCTTCAGCTCCTGAACCTCCACCCCGAGTATCTTGTTGTGAGAGTTAACCTCGTTTAGTGTGGACTGCAGAGCTGCTATTTCCTCCTCTAACGTAAGCCTCACTAATCTAAGGTCCTCCTGGGCGGCAGATAGGCACGTCTGTAAACGCTTTCCCTCGAGCTCGGAGGCTTCCAGCTGCTCACTATAACTGTTCTGTAGGCTCAGTACTAATCTGTGGAGAGCATCCATCATTCCAGGAATGATTGTTGGGTCAGTAGCCTTAAGGCATTGGAGTGCTTCTCGGAGAGACACTATTTCTTCACGCAGGCTGCCGAGACCTGTTTGGAGCCGCTGAATACACGAGAGCAGAGCCTTATTCCGTTCCTCCATCTCTTTCGTCTTTATCATTGCACGATCCCTCTCCGCAGAGGCCTCGTCTGCCCGGGCTTTGAAGGCTTCGGTTAGATTTGTCAGAGCATCCATCGAAGTGAGCGTATTCATCTGAGATGACTGGGCGTTACTCTTCATTCGCATAAGACTTGCATTTTCTGTTTCTAGCTCGGCAATCCGCCGCTTCAAGCGCTCCACCTCATGGAGAATAAGGTAGCTAACACCACAGAAAGAACAACTATTCTCGTCCTTTCCTGTGTCCGCTAAGTCATCTGGCAGGGGCTTCAAAGGCTCCATCTGATCCGCTTGGAACCGTGCAGTGAGCCCAATCGGCCTAACAAAATAGTTAACTAACAAAACACTTAAAAATGTTCAAGAAGAAGAACAAGAAGAATGCGTTTAACGAACAGATCGAAAGCAGCTCCATCTCCCAGCCCTTTGATCTTAAGCGCGGGATAAGTGTGCGGTACGATCCCCAGACGGGGAAGTTCACTGGCTTACCGGAGGAGTGGCAAAAGCTGGGGCTTATCCCAGAGTCTATGATAAGTACTATCACAGATATGGCCAACGCAGCTCCTAGCTTAGAGGACGGTGGGAACGGTGACAAACCTCTCATTAAATTATCTAGCCAGTCTATTGACAAGCAGATAGACTTTCACACGGGTAACATAGCTCCTTCCTTCTTGGCCACAAACGCTACTCTAGACTCTCTCTACCATATAGATCAGATGGACATTCTTACAGACGCCGTGAAACCGACGCTTCCTAGCAAGAAGCTGCTGCGCAGCCTCCAAACGCAAAACATCTTCATCAGTAGACCCACCGGCTTTACACACAAGAATCACGTGACCGTAGATCCTACTAATGCAACAAGGTACATTGGTCTGCCGAAGGAGTGGGAGGCGAAGCTGGAGGCCGTGGGGTTGGATATCCAGAAAATAGGGCAGAACAAGGACGATCTGGACGCTCTCTGCGCAATCATGGATAACTTTTATGATGATAAGATACCCATAAAACCAGATGATCAGGATTTCATGATCCAGGCATTTGATGGAACGGACAAGTATGCAGTCCCCAAGTTCCACAGCCTCCCCACAGCAGACACATATAATGACATTCTCGAGAAGCTCCACGACAACTTCACAGAAGTTAATACAATTGCAGATGTCTATAGCAATCCACAGGAGGTCGGGCACGGGTCGTCCGGGCATGTCTATCGCGCCACAGAGATAAAGACTGGCAATGTCGTTGCCATAAAATCTATATCTGCAATAAATTTCCTTACAGACGATGGAAAGAAGGTCCGTGACATAAAATCTGCGGAAGCTGCGACACTCATGGCTCTGAAGAATGAAGTAGCCCTCATGTATCTTTCAAAAGAGTGCGAGTACATAGTAAAGCTCCACAAAGTATACTTTTCCAAGGCAGCCAAGGAGTTTTATATGATTATGGATTACTGCAACGCTAACTGTCTGACCAACATCTTGTCCAGGCACGGATACATAAAGAACGAGCGTGTCTCCTGTATGATTATTCGTGACATTCTAAAAGCCCTGAACCATTTACACGAGAACCATAGAATTTACCGGGATCTGAAGTCTGACAATGTCCTTCTAAACGCTGAGCTCATCAACAGCTTAGCCCAGGACGGGGCCATAACAAAGAAGAAGAAGTTTTCGCTAAAGCTGTCTGACTTTGGCTTTGCAGTCCAGCTGAATACGAAGCAGCCTACGCGCAAGTCTGTGGTAGGCACTCCATTTTGGATGGCTCCCGAGCTCATACGCGGCACAGAATACAACACAAAGGTAGATTGCTGGTCACTGGGAATTGTTGTGCTGGAGCTTTGCGAGTCTCTTCCCCCGCACATGGAGATGCAGCCACTCAAGGCTGTTTTCAAAATTGTCACCAGCCCTGCTCCCAGCTTCAAGAAGCCATCGCAGTGGACACCAGAGCTCAACGACTTTTTGGCCAGGTGCCTCGATAAGGACCCTGATAGTAGATGGAGCTGTGCCCAGCTCCTTGAGCATCCATGGATTAAGAGTGTGGACAACGCCCCCTTGGATTTAAGTGATTACTTCTAGCTGACTACCTTATTTACCTTCATGCTTTGCCGCGTGGATCCTAGAATAAATTCCCATCCTTATATTTCATATTATGACTTCATGACTTATTTAACTAGAAAGAAAACTCTGTTGAAGGCTGTGGATTATTTTCAAAAGATAAAATAAGTGGGATAATATGAGGTGTAACATGAAGTGTGGTAGTGCTAGGTTTAAGAATTCGATAGAAGGATAGTGTGTATATCAATATCTCCGTGCACCAATATCTCTAGTCCAGAGTAGACAAATACATGGAAAGAAAAAGTAGACTAACTGCAGCCCTAATGCTCTGAAAGATTTGGAGGAGTAGACATTCCTAACTCGATATATATCGCCTCATCAGATCCGTCTCCATAAAGGCTATAGCCCTGGGTGATGAAAAGGTCGTTCCTAGTGTCTTCGAGGAGAGAGTCCGCAGGCCGATGTTTTTTATCACTGGTTTGGACTCGCTGTTTCGCCTCTGAAATAGGATCCAAACACGGCTCCTCTTGCAAACATGTGTTCGCCCCTCTCTCTTTGGCACCAGGCTTTTGCCCAGAATCACAAAGTGTAGGTGTGGAGTGGAGCTTAAGCACTCGTCTTGCTCGCTTTACTGTGCCATGTGTGGCAGTATCAATGGCAAGCTTGGGGACAGTCTTCGGACTATTATCCTTGCAGGAGGTCTTGGAGTCTAGTAGTTGTTCTATCACAGAAGGCTTCAGTCCGTGCAAATTACTCTCTCGCAGCGTCATATCTGGATCTAGATCGTTGATTGTCAAAATGGATGATCGGAGGGTATTGAGTACATTCTCGACGAGCTTGTCTTTAAGATCAGGATATTCTCTGCTCAAATTGTTTGTTGTAAGGCTGGGACGAGGATCTAGTGTCTGTGGAGCAGCAATTGCTGAACATATTGAGTCTCGCGAAAGCTTAGAATTGTGCAAGGCCAATGTACTACTACGAATAGGTTCGAACATATTCTTTACGATGTTATTCGCGCTGCCAATCCCTGATGACCTACTGTGTGAACTTCCAATGTAGAGTGGTGTGTATGCAGAGGCCTCCTCAGTGGAGAGAGGAATACCAGTCAGCGTGGTGTCCAAAAGACTCTTCGTGCCAGTGCTCTGGCTTCGAGATAAGATCAGCGCACTTGTCCCAAAGGTCTTGCACTGGGGAAGAATGATTCTTTCTACTGGAACCAGGGGTTCTTGCGTCTTTATCTGGTTGGAGTGAGACAATTTCGGGTCCACTCTTCCAGGCTTAACACATAAGCACTTGGAGATTGCAAGGGAGTCACTGAGTGCCAGTGGATTTGGTATCAGTTCTGAGCTCTGTTTATAGTCTGGCTTTTGTTTTGACTTTTGTCTTAACTTTTCTTTGAAGCCTCGCTGTCCAAGAATGCTTTCTGACCGCTTTGGGTTCGTTACCGCCCGTCCCGTTACTGCATCCGATGGGTCTGGCCTTTTCTTTTTAGTGTGAGCAATCACCCTCCTTACTTCGCCAAGGGTGCTTAGGGATGAGGACCGCGCCCGTTGATAATAGATTTCTTCGAGAGTCTCCTGCTGATGCTTAGTTCTGTTGGACGGGTTAATGTATTGAAACGTAAGCTCACCCATTGAGGTACGATCCTCGCTGGCTGCTAATTTGGTTGTAATTCGCTGCTGGATTTCTTTAGAGTCAAGTGCATATGCTATTGTTCCGGGGAAAAATACTGTGTTGTCCGATGTTCCTTTGTCATTCAATGGCTGGCACTCCAGTGCCTTGTGAAAGGCCTCTGGTGGAGGACAAATGTTTTTCGCAAGCGACAATCTCTGCTGCTCAGTCTTTAAAATAACTTCATCCGATCGACGATTCTTCTGCTGCCAGGCCTTCTTCTTCGCCATTGCAGGCTTATAAAAGTAGTCATCATAGATGTCGTCTGCCAATCGAAGACAGTGGGACTCTGCCCGAACTACCTCAGCTGGTATGTACCGCACCTCGTACTCGTAGAGCAGCGTATTGTCTGTCTTCTTAGCTGTGGGCACTTTGTGCAGAGAATACACCGGGCTCAAGGCCGGTCTAATCATTTTTTGGCGGTAGTTGAAGGGCCTCGGCGTCCCAGAGAAATAGAGAGCAATTATCCAGGCCTATGCGCCAAATAATGGGAGGATTTCTGCAATGAACCCAAGTGCGGGTCGGGCTGGATAGTGCCGCTTGCATCACAATCTTTCATATGCCATTTCTTCTAAAACAATGTATGGACCATGAATAAATATCAACTACAACAAATAATGCTCGACTCGGCGGTCGTTAACGCTATCCTGGAGATCCTCAAGGCTATCAACGACAAGGCTGGAGTCGTAGAGCAAAAGGATGTTACACGCGCAAGCGCCCTAGTCGCACGTCAATACAGTCTGCCACAGGCACCCTCTGTTGCGGACATTGCGTCCTCTCTTCCAGCAGCTCAGAAGCTAGAGTTATCTAGCTATCTTGTGCGAAAGCCTATCAGGTCCGCCTCGGGAGTTCAAGTAATTGCAGTTATGTGTAAGCCCCATCGCTGCCCGCACCAGGTCCGTACAGGTGCATCGTGCACATACTGTGGCGGCGGGCCAGATTCCGATTTTGCCTACTCGACTCAATCATACACCGGCTTTGAGCCGACTTCGATGAGAGCTATTCGGGCGAGGTATGATCCCACGGAGCAGGTTCGAGTCCGGATGGAGCAGCTTAGGCAGCTTGGTCACACCACGAACAAGATAGAAGTTGTCCTCATGGGAGGAACATTTCTTTCGACGCCACGCTCTTATCGCGACTCGTTCATATCTGGCATCTACACAGGGCTGACGGGGCATATCCCAGCGGGTCCCAAGCGAAACATAGTCCCAGAATCAATTTCCTATGCTGCTCGCTCGTCTATTAAGTGTGTTGCACTGACCATTGAAACACGTCCAGACTATTGCGAGCCGCGGCATCTAGCTGACATGCTGCGGTACGGAACGACACGTCTTGAGATTGGTGTTCAGTCTGTCTACGATGATGTCTGTGGAGACATCAACCGTGGTCATACAGTGCGGAGCGTAATTCGCTGCTTTGGACAGAGTAAGGACGCCGGATTCAAAATGATTGCACACATGATGCCCAATCTTCCTTTTACAAGTACCTTTAGAGACATCTTTGGATTCCAGGAGCTGTTTCAGTCAACAAACTACCGTCCTGACGGTCTGAAGATCTATCCCACGCTGATAATACGTGGCACAGAGCTCTATGAGCGCTGGCGTTTGAACAAGTACCTGCGTAACTTACCGACGCACAAGCTCATTTATTTATTAACCATCATCTATGTTTTAGCGCCCCCATGGGTAAGGATCTATCGAATAATGCGAGATATACCTCTGCCACTTATCTCTGCTGGCGTGGACTCGTCGAACTTACGCGAGCTTGCTCTGGCGTCCCTAGCACGCTCTGAAACACAGTCACTGGAAATCAGACAACGGGAGTCAGGAATTGTCGAAGCGGCTTCCAATGAAATGACTAAGAAGTCTCTATACACACAGGACGGAGGAAACGCCCGTGAGTCTTCTACTGATATTACCCCAGAGATCTGTAGGAGAGACTACTGGGCAAACGGAGGTTGGGAGACCTTTCTCAGCATTGAGGCGCCAATAGACTTGGACACCACTCCTACCTCAAAGGCTCGAACGTCTCCGCCTGTCCTCTACGCCCTGTGCAGATTGAGAAGACTTCCGCGAGGTGGCGGAGGGCGTTTTCTGGGCATTCGTCCAGAGCTACAGGGGAAGACGTCTCTGATCCGAGAGGTGCATGTATATGGTAATGCAGTGGGCTTGAGTGAGCGAGGAGTCAGTGTCCAACACAGAGGCTATGGGCGTATACTCGTCAGGGAGGCGGAGCGCATAGCCAGAAATGAGCACAAAAGCGTCAAACTTGCCATCATAGCGGGCGTTGGAACTAGGGAATACTACTCTAAATTGGGCTACGCCCTTGATGGCCCATATATGTCACGGACACTCTAGCCCCCAGCCAGTGTAGTCAAGAACAAGCAAGGTACTATTTACTGATACAAAATTAGAGTTAAGACAGAACACATACAAGCACATAGACACCTGTACACATAGATTTAGACGAATTTGGTAGGGTTTGTGCAATTACTCATCGACCTGAGAGGACCTGAGAATGCGGGACAGCGTGGACACAGAGATGACCCTAGTTAGGGTCCCACTGGTTATGAGCTCATCGAGCATCCGTGTCAATGACTTATTCTTATTTTTACACATCTCGCGGATCATTGCTGTTTCTTCATCGCTTAGACCCTTTGGTCTCCCCAGCCTCTTGTTCTCATCGCGATTATTTGGTTTGATGCCTTTTAGTCTGATTATCCTGTAAACCTGGGAGCGCGAGACTCCAAATGTATTCATAATGGTTCTAATCGGCGTATCTTCCTTGTGCATATCCATGATTTTGCGCCAATCAGAGGCAGAGAGGCGTTTGTGTGTGTCAACTCTGGTGATGGGTTCAGTCTCAGCGGTAGAAGGGTCAGAGACAGCGGATTGTGGATAACCATATCTACTTCCAACCAAGGTTGTCCGAGGTGAGCCAGAAAATTGTCCGGGAAACACATTGTTAGGCAAGTAAGGATAACAGGAGATTCCCGGCTGTAGAGAGGGAATGGTGTGCGGCGCTCCTTGACAGATGCCTGTCGGCCAAATCCCAGGCAGATTGGACACATTAGGGAAGGCCCCTAGCCTAGCTATGCTGTTAGTCCCAAAGCTAGCAGGAGGTATTTGTTGGAGAGACTGCAGTGGAATGGTGGAAATGGCTGGCGATTGTGTAGCCCCGTTCAGATTCGGCAGCCCCTGGATGGCCGAAAGGGATGTTGTTCCAGGGTATGACACGCCTCCCAGCTGTATAACCGAAGAGGATGCTGGGTCGTCGCCTTGAACTGATCCTGTAACAGTGGGGAAAAGCTGCATATAGGCTTCTCCTTGCGATTGCTGAGTAGTGGCTGGATCTGGAAAGGTTGTTTGAGAGATAACTCCATAGAAGGACCCCTGCATAACCCAACCGCTTTATTATTTCAATTTAAATTAGACCAAGCAAAGCTGTTATTTCTCTGCTCTGAATTTTGGCGTTTAACATTCTTTTTCTAAATCCGACCTATATGAATGTTTACAGGATAGTATACGTTTTCATCGTATAAAAACGCCAACGAGTTTTTTTTAATCGGACTATGGTATGATCATCCAACACCCGGATTCCTGCGCCCTAGGCCTATCAAGTCCTGTGTGCAGCACAGTGCTGTGCATCCGTGAGATAATCGATATCATTGCAAATGCATGTTTACAGGATAAACATTTAGGCAAGAAAACACACACTCTCACGCTTTCTGACGCGAGTATTTTTTCTGAACCGCTATCTAAACGCTATCCTGCTAGAGACGCTTCCGTGGCTACAGACACCAGAGTTCGACACTGCCAGGAGCGTCCTAGCATCAGAGGTTGCACCACAGGAGGCATGGTAGCTGTGAACTGTAAGCTCGATGGCGGCAGGTTCATTACATTAACAATAGCAATCTCCGGCCTTCCTATCTCATGTGAAGAAGGTCAAAGACTGGCCAATCTTATCTTTTTGGACAACCACAAGGAGTGTGAAAGTAACGATAAGTTGTCACTACTTGAACGTTTTGTCCTGGATCTAAGGAGTGTGATTATATCTGCAAACAGATCTACCGGAAAGCCTGCCATCATTGAAATCCTTGATGCTGCAAGCAGGCTTCGATTTACGCTCCACATTCCTCAGAAGGACCTGCGCTACTGCGCACACTATACTCTGGAGGAGCCGGGCATGCTCCTTGAACTGGCACTTCCAATGGAGACAAGTCTCGGCAAAACCCTTAGGTCCTATCTTGATGCCCTGGCTCTAGGGTTCTTTTTCATTCTTCATCCCAGGATAGTGTTCTATGCTCCCGTGCTGGGGTTAAGCGAAGACTTTCTTCCTCGGTATCAACTGACAGCCGATGAGGATTATCTACGTACTACACTGGCTAGGCTATATAAAAAGGACCTTGTCGTTGCTACCAGTGACACTTCCAAGAATGACTACTCTCTAGCTGTTTCCATTTGCATGTCGCCATCTTCAGAGCGCTTAGATCACTTTTCGGTGGAGTACTTGGTAGTAGTTAATAGCACACCATTGACAGGACTACGCTCTCCCTTATGTCCCACAGCATTGGAGAGTCTAGACTTCCTTGCGGAGTATGATATAACTCTCAATAGATTTGCTCTGGCTGATGAGCTTACTTTGGAGAGACCCTTTAGTTCATTTTACAGAGCAGCTCCTCAAGGTGGTGCACTAATAGAATCCTGTGTTATCGTTGTAGCCATTTACTCTAACAATTGTGCAGGGTTTACAACTCCAGACAAAACGTCTCTGGTTGCTCATCCTGTCCTCTCCTCTGATGTACTGAATAACCTTATATCTGCCTTTTCGGAGTGCACGTCTAGATTTCCGTCTGGTTTGAAGAAAATAAGTGATCAGAAGCAGCAGCTGCAGCAGATGTCCATTAAGCATATCCTCGCCGACATAGGAGTACTCTCGTCACTTCTTTTAACTGAAGAGGAATCAAATGCATTCACTCGCAAACACCATGCCATGTCCCTTGAGGAGGCTATCTTTAAAGCTTTTTCGCCCATCTTAGGTGAGTGAAAAGCAACCTATAGAGTGGTTGGAAGTGCTCTGGTAGCCTCAGTCAGCTATCTCGTCGTGTCCCATGGTGATCGTGCACAGGTTTGGCACGTCTTCACGTTTATACTGGTTGAGGACAGACTTGCACTGACAAAGAACCTCTGGTTTTTCCAGATCGGTTGGAGATGGCTTGAATGTATCGCCTGTACCAATGCAGTGCCCAGTAGAGCAGTGCCGTATAACGACTGGCTGATCTACTAGCACTGGGTGGCCCTCCATCTCCAGTCTGACACTGGTGTGGTATGGTTCAATAACGAACTCTGCATCCTTGTGGAGACAGTTAATGTCTCCTATGACAGTGTGAATAGTAGAAGTATTTGCTGTCCTAACGCACCCTAGAACAACCTGGCCGCAGCCCTTGTAACGATCAGACTCGTCTATCATGTCTTGGTTGCACGTTATGTAGACGCGCTCTCCGTAACGAACAGGGGCATCCTCCCCAATCATATTATTAGCAGACATAGTGGACATCTTTGTTTCATAATTAGCAAGCTCCTCGTCCTTGAAAAGGTACTTGAGGCGCTTGCCATATTTAAGGATGCCCTGGTCACTGACTGCGCTGTCTTGTGCCCGTGTGACAGTAAATACGGATCTTCGAATGGGGGCAATGTCCGATGTGAAGGAAACGCGACTTCCTCGATCATACTCTTTAACCGCATATCTAGGGTCGCAGGCCAACATAAAAGGCTTTGTATTGTGATTGATAATCATAACACGATCGTTTGGGAAAAGAACCTTACCCTCAGCTAGCTCTACAGGCTTCAAGATGTTTTCCAGTTGCTTGATGACCTGGACCGACTTTAAGTCCCCTCTGGAGGCAGTATCAAGATACTTTGCAAGCACCTCATCACGATAGGCCCGTTCCTCAACCCAGTTATTTATCATTGTTCTACATGAATAGATGTTCTGCACGACTCCTCCGAGATGCTGCATTCTATAGTTTTAGGTCTGAGTTTTTAAATTTTGGTCCAGAGTTCCCCTCCACCATATGCCAAAGCTTCTCACGCGCACGCATGTGCCTTTAGGCTCGTGCACCTCCATGACGCCTATACAACCCTTTTATTCAGGAGTGTTAATAGGCACAAGTACTGGCCACTTATTTCTGATTACCTACGTTAAAGGAAGAGCGAGAGTAAGCACTCCGAAAGGGACTGTAGAAAGGAAGAGTCCAGTTGTTGAGCTTACCATTTGCAAAAACCAACTGGCGGTTATGCGCAACTCTGGGCTTCTACAGATTTATGAACTACGGCTGGATGAATCTAGTGCTTCACCATGCTGTTTGCAGCTTATCTGCGAACACTTTGTTGACGAATGCCCAAGGTTTAGGCCGCTGTTTCTAGACACGGAAACACTGCTTGTTGTTCGCAATAGTGCCTTACACAACCTCTTAAACAAGGAGGAGCAGGTACTGCTGGGCTCTGGTACACTCCTTGGTATAGAACAGCTGAGCACACATAGTACTCAGTTTGTTCTCTACGGGGATGGGCTTACATTATGGAAGTGGACGAGAACATGTCCTACTATTCAGTTACAAAGTTATCTACTAGACCTACACAGATATGCTGCAATTGAGACAGAAGTTACTCCATGTATAATGGATTTCTCTATCCATCAGGGGTTTGCCTTCTGTGCTACTAACATGGGTCTATTACTATACTTTCCAGAACCGCAAATTTCAGAGCCCCTTACGGTAGATGGAAAAATTTATCCGATGGTTTATCCGACAATCTGCTTAACAACACGAAGGCTTCTCTTTTGGGACAATCTAATAGTACCGTGTGGGGGACATGGTCTAGAACTTCTTTCACTTAAGGTATCTGAAAACACAACCCCCGATATAACTGGGATAACCGTCATGACATTTGAAGATAGCTCTACATGTGGCGCTGTTTCTAGTGGACTGCTTTGGATATGCACTGGTGGAGCAGGGATATGCCTGCTAACAGATTAAAAGTTGGTGACCAACTTGGAGAGGGCTGCTCTATTCATCACATTGAAATCTGTAGCCAGCTTTATAGCATATAGTGCCCACTCCCGAGCACCCGGGCAACCAAAATCTCCCGAGCAGTGTATCACAATAGAAGGCAGGCCATCTAGAATTCGAAGCGTCTCCTGGCTTGCTGGACATGATGCTAACAGTTGTGCAATTATAGTAAGCAAGCCGCTCCTATAGCCCGGCCAAAATATTCCGTGTGAAACTATATCATCGCAACTAACGGAAATATTAAATCGTGCACCTTCGTTCAGTAATTCTTCAATGTGTTTTTCTTGATCCTTTATTATAAACCCTGTGAATCCGAATTGGCCCGACCTATTCGGCTGCATTCTGATTGCATGTTGAAGAAGGAAAATGCAAACACCCATACATCCAGCCTCTGTATACTCTTTTCGAGATATTGCATCGGTGAGATGTTCTGTAGAGAGGCGTATTATGTCTAAAAGCGACAGAAGTGTCTGAAAGCTATCATAAGAAGCTAGACCTAAACATCCACTACTCTGGCGAACAACTTGCTCCAGAAAGTCTCTGCATTCGAGTAAATAATCTACGGCTTCAGTATCTATCAAAGGGCCGGCCTCCATGGTAGAGTTGACATTCAGGCGTCCATTGAGTAGGGAGACAAGTGAATCGGTACCGGCTGCTCCTAGATGATTGATGTCCTCCTTCCCTTGCATATCAAACCCTGGAACATATGGTATTCCGATTTCCTTTCCAGCCGGAAACGATACTCTTGAGTAGAGTGTCGAGACACCAAGGATGGTGCAACAACTTTCAACTAACCGGCGTATGACAGAGCTTGAAAGGGCAGACGTGGAGGCAACTGTTGACAAAAGATCCATGGTCACCTGGTCGATGGGGAGATCTGAGACATCGCAGAAGCATGCATGGCTGGTCACCAGACGTTCGACAACAAGAAGGGCAACCCGGCCACAGCGCGACTCCTGGTCGGCGGCTGCCAACAGATACCTGTGTGCCTCTGCAAATAGCATAGATAGCATCTTACCAGATGCAGGAACAGGAATGGGCGAGGAGACTGGAGCCGCGGGGGTGGGGGTGGCCACCTGCAGCAGAAGGCCGAGCACGAAGACGAGGGCCTCACGTCCATCGGCGTTGAGCCGCGGGAAGGCCTGGTCCAGGGCGGCGAGGAGGGAGGGGCACGCGCGGACACTCGCGCAAGCGGGGGGCGGCCCGCCCTCCAGGACGCGGCCCAGACGGCGCAGCCCGCGGGTCAGGTCCTCGGGGGCGGCGAGCCCGCGGACAAACGCGGCGGGGTCGTCGAGGCCCCCGCAGCCGACCGGCTTGGTCATTGGGTCGGAAACGTGCAACCTGTGGGGCTCGAACCCACGCGGGATGACTCCCATTACGGCCTTAACGTAACGCCTTAACCACTCGGCCAAAGTTGCGCGCCAGCGGCAGTCCATGATAGACCCGTTTTCAAGGGTCTTTGGTATTGGTTCCACAAATCAATGTTAGACTGCATCGCCCGCCACAGAGGATGCGCGCGTAGGAGTCGCATACTTCACTTACAAGCAGCATAGGGCTGGCTAGCGTGCGACACACGGTTTGCTCGTCGAAGCGGACTGGACTCCTAGCTGAGCGCTGTGCTGGCGAAAGAAACACAGAGTTTCATGTCGTAAAACAAGGGTGGTTGTGAGGTAGTTACCTCTACCGAACGCTGGCCAGAGCCGTTGCTAGCGTTTTCACCAAAGGCCGCAATAACGCGCCGATCCGGCCGTTAGGCAGCGGGAGGAACCACGGTCCCCAGGGATATGCTAGCAGCACAAGAACCGTGCAAGAATTGAGCGTGGACATGCACGAGTTCTTTTACTGCGGAAGTGGACTGTATGCCGAGGCTTGTGCGATCATCAGCCTTTTGGTGCCAAGCCCTACTAAGTAGAAATGAGCTGCTGTATCAGGATAACAGGGTTCACTACAAGATAGGTAGGTGGCCAGACAGCGCAGCCCCTAAGCCCTTGCAAAGCTGGTTCTACAGGTCGATCTGGAGCTAAGGTTGCGCAACGACCGCAGTCTTGCGGGTCACGGCGAACTGGCACGTGAGCCCTCGAGATCCGCGAGCCATACGTCGTGTAGCTCCGCCAGCCCTCTTCTTCTAGAATAAGTAGGAGTTCCTGAGAAGCTTCGCTCCATGGGCAATAATAGAAGGCCTGCTTCCTAAGGATCGCGGTCCATATATCTCCGCATAGAAGACCTGAACAAGCCGAGTGGCGTCCTGTAGCGTCAAGGATAGCCTCAGCGTGGGACTTGGCCCAGGACTTTGCAGGCGCGTACTCTATGCAGCCACGTGCCGCTTTAGCGAGGTTCTGTCTTACTCGTCCGATTTCGGGCCTCCCCAGATGAAACCCCAGGAAGCAGTGGCGCATGCGCCGCGCCGGCGGGGCTCTGGTCACGGTGTGCTGTCAGTTTGACGCAGGTTGCACGGTCCACTTTCCGAAAAATGGAGCGTTATGAGCTGTTGTTTATTGCATAACTATAGCGTAAAATTGAACGGGTTATCTAGAGCCCGAGGTAGCTCTCTGGTCGCATAACTAGAAAGCTTCATATCTGGACGGATCCAGCCCTTGAGAGCATTGTAGGACAGGGCCGATTTGAATGGATAAGAAGCTGTGAGGCAATTTCTCGTTTAGTGAAGTCACAATCAGACTGTTTAAAGAGCAATATTATACTACGCTTGACTGCAATTTTATGAGGGACTCAAGCTCTTAGATGTCCCTATCTTCACTTGCATGGCAATAGGCAGACCACTAGCCCATTTTTACATAGTTCTACTAATAAGGTCCCACATCATCATACGCACATGCGGTGGAGTATTCGTTCTAAGAGCCACGGTAACAGTTCACTGCTATTTTTATATACTAAGATTGTTACATTTACTTCCCGCTCAGCGAGACTATAGCATCGAAGCTTGGTATATCGAACCACTTTGCATTTTTCAACATAATAACAATATCTGATCAAAAGCACCACAATCAACAAGATACTGGCTTCATATATGAATAGCGCAGGGATGTAACACTGATGTGCACTAACGGGCAAAACTAACATTGATAGTGAATTATTGCCTATTAAAACGAAAATCCATTAGATTTTTGTGCCTTTACCTCGTGGACTTTGATAGATGGTATCACTGGACTGTCGTATCTTATAAATTCAGATGCCAGAATCCTAGTAAGTTAAAATACGTCCATTTACTAATAGTATTCTATCTCATAAAAATTACAATTCTTCTTATATGTGTGTTATCAAATGAGATATCAATTTCGCTAAATGCTGATTTCTATAGTGCTCTCCATAGCATCAGCATGCAGCATGGAAACGCCTTTCACTGAGGAGCCCAGTCATGGGATGGGTGTACGCTTCACTCAGCGTGGATTGGAAAAATTTTGCCAGAAAGGTTATGCCCTTATTCCTGATATCATCTCTGCAATGCCTTCACTTCAGGTCCCAGAAGTAACTGTTGGACCTCTCAAGTTTACTTTGTCAAATGTCAAACCTCGCGCAGCGCGCGTCTCGACTATGAAGGTTCATTTGCAGGACAACAACTTTGTCAAGATGGAGGCCCGGGACGGACTCATGCAGATCTCGATGCGGCTCAAGGCAGTCATCACCGGGATCACCGGGACCGTCGACTGCATCTTCACCCTCAAGGATTTCGGGGCAGACATCTCCCTGAGGCTCGGGGATGACTCCACCTGTCCCTACCACTTTGGGCTCTCCGAGATATCAAATGTCGTGTACTCGTCTGGGTTTGACATCGATGCCATCGGACTTGACACGGGGGGATCTGTCCTTGCAACTGCCATCCAGGGCATGGCGCCCACGTTGGAGGATTTGATGAAGAACACTGTGCTGCAGTCCCTCCTGGACACAATCTTCAATTCAGTAAAACAGTCAATGCTTAACCTGCTCACAGTTGTCCAGATCGACGACTATCTGACTGACCAGCGCTACATCAACGGCATCAATGTCGTCGATAACAAGATAGTGGCAGACCAGGGTGGCTTTTCAATGATCATCACTGTCCCAGATTGGTCGGTTAGAGCTCTCTATCCAAACAAGATCACCTCTCCCCCTCCGAAGACGGTCTACACCGACCGAGACTATGAGTTCTATGTAGACAGGGAATCAGTTAACTCCTACCTGTATGCCTGGCATGTGGCGTATGACAAGTTCAAGGCAGATAGTCTCACTGTCCCGTACAGCACCATCAGGGGGCAGAACATACCCGGCCTTGCAGAGGCCCTTGTGAAGGCCGGACTACTAAGCACTGTTAACGACCTTGGACTCGGAGTCACTCTGACTCTATCGATCAGTCCCTCCAAGGATGCCGCACCCCACATACCGTGGATCGGGGCGGCTGCGCTACCGGTCAACCTCACGGGGGCACTTTCTGTAACGGCCAGTAAGGCTTCCACCTCTGCTTCTAAACTGTTGGTTAGTGCAGAAGGCAATGTGCTCTTTGTTTCTGCGCTTAAGCTTAGAAAGTTCGTTTATGGGTTTGGTCTTGACCAAGTCTATGCACATATAGAGTTTCTTGATGTGTACGAAATTGCTATCATCAAGAATAACGTTGGATCTATACATGACTTCATCCCTCTGTTAAAATTTCTGCTTCTAAATAAGTACCTCCCATTTGCCAATCCAATCCTCACTGAAACAGGGATATGGCGTATGAATGGGAACTTTATTAGTTATGATGCCATCAGTACCATTTATTTATGCAACGAAGATAGAGTGCTTTTTGCTACTGATGTAGAAAAGAACCAATACTTCGCTTGAACGTTCATTCTACGACTTATTAGTATGCACATGGGTTGATATCATGTCACTCGAGTAACTTTACTTGGCGAACAATCTGCTACCTTTAGTCACAACATAGAATAGTAAATGTTAGTATCTCTCAATCCAGATGTAATTTGTAGCAACAGTATTTAAAGATCAGTGATGCGTTATCCAACTTTGTAATTGAATGCAGAGCAACCCTGTTGTTCAAATAACAAGTGTAAAGTTAGTCTGAAAAACAGATGCAAGTTCTTTTAATAAAGTATTTGCTTTCACTACTCATCGTTCAACTAGTGTCTTAACAACAGAAGCAGTTTTTTAGTTAGATATCTTTATTGAATACTATTTAAATTCTAAAATCCTTTTAGCATCGATAAGATAAGGGCGAGACCGTGCTAAGATATGTAGTCTTTATTTTGTATAGTGAGTAATCCGCCGCAATCAGCTATTTCTTCGTTGAGTGCAGCAGAATCTATCTGATAACAAAGCAAACAAACACCTTTATACAGTAAGACTACAGCGGCAGCGCAAACAGCACACCGTGACCAGAGCCCCGCCGGCGCGGCGCATGCGCCACTGCTTCCTGGGGTTTCATCTGGGGAGGCCCGAAATCGGACGAGTAAGACAGAACCTCGCTAAAGCGGCACGTGGCTGCATAGAGTACGCGCCTGCAAAGTCCTGGGCCAAGTCCCACGCTGAGGCTATCCTTGACGCTACAGGACGCCACTCGGCTTGTTCAGGTCTTCTATGCGGAGATATATGGACCGCGATCCTTAGGAAGCAGGCCTTCTATTATTGCCCATGGAGCGAAGCTTCTCAGGAACTCCTACTTATTCTAGAAGAAGAGGGCTGGCGGAGCTACACGACGTATGGCTCGCGGATCTCGAGGGCTCACGTGCCAGTTCGCCGTGACCCGCAAGACTGCGGTCGTTGCGCAACCTTAGCTCCAGATCGACCTGTAGAACCAGCTTTGCAAGGGCTTAGGGGCTGCGCTGTCTGGCCACCTACCTATCTTGTAGTGAACCCTGTTATCCTGATACAGCAGCTCATTTCTACTTAGTAGGGCTTGGCACCAAAAGGCTGATGATCGCACAAGCCTCGGCATACAGTCCACTTCCGCAGTAAAAGAACTCGTGCATGTCCACGCTCAATTCTTGCACGGTTCTTGTGCTGCTAGCATATCCCTGGGGACCGTGGTTCCTCCCGCTGCCTAACGGCCGGATCGGCGCGTTATTGCGGCCTTTGGTGAAAACGCTAGCAACGGCTCTGGCCAGCGTTCGGTAGAGGTAACTACCTCACAACCACCCTTGTTTTACGACATGAAACTCTGTGTTTCTTTCGCCAGCACAGCGCTCAGCTAGGAGTCCAGTCCGCTTCGACGAGCAAACCGTGTGTCGCACGCTAGCCAGCCCTATGCTGCTTGTAAGTGAAGTATGCGACTCCTACGCGCGCATCCTCTGTGGCGGGCGATGCAGTCTAACATTGATTTGTGGAACCAATACCAAAGACCCTTGAAAACGGGTCTATCATGGACTGCCGCTGGCGCGCAACTTTGGCCGAGTGGTTAAGGCGTTACGTTAAGGCCGTAATGGGAGTCATCCCGCGTGGGTTCGAGCCCCACAGGTTGCACGTTTCCGACCCAATGACCAAGCCGGTCGGCTGCGGGGGCCTCGACGACCCCGCCGCGTTTGTCCGCGGGCTCGCCGCCCCCGAGGACCTGACCCGCGGGCTGCGCCGTCTGGGCCGCGTCCTGGAGGGCGGGCCGCCCCCCGCTTGCGCGAGTGTCCGCGCGTGCCCCTCCCTCCTCGCCGCCCTGGACCAGGCCTTCTACTGCTCTGCCTGCGTGGTGGGTGTCCCCAGGCAACTGTCCTCCCCGTCTCCGTCGCTGACACTGCCTGCCCCTCTCTGCGCTACGATCCGGCCTCCTCCCTCCTCTATGTCCTGGCCCCCACGACTGATGTAGGAGTCGTTCTGTGCTGCGTCTGCTTCCAGGAGCCCGCAACTCTGGACCCGGCGCTACGGGGGTTCGAGTGGTTCACTCAGACCGGCACGGAGTTTTACATGTCCCGGGTTGTTGTCTCGAGTCCCGAGGAGCATCTCTCGTACCGCTGCAAAGAGGGTCCTGAGCTTGCAGAGGCGCAGGTCGGGGCCGTCTGCATGTGTGGCACCTCGGCTGTCGTCGCCGTGTCGGCCGTTTCCGAGACCGGCGAGCGCTCCGATCTGCCGGTCCTCCTGGTCGTCTCCGGCCTGCTGTCGCATCTCTCGTTCTCCACGATAGAACTCGATGACTTCGGGGCCCAGAACCTACCCCCGGAGTCAGAGTCGTTCCGCATCTTCTCTCTGTCCCCATCCTCGGCTGCCCCGGGAAGCCTCTGTCTGGCCTTCTGCAAGGGAAGCCTCCTCCACTTCCACAGGATGCCCGTGGAGAGCGGCACAGACAGCCCCCGCTCTGTCGGCACATGCGAGCTGGCCCCTTCGACACACACGTTCTGCGCCCTGTACGAGACAGAAGGGGCCCTGCGGTGCGTCTTCACGGCCGTGGATGGAGCGCGCCTGTTCCTCTGCATGGCGAGTACGTAGGTGAGTTCCGGCCGTCGCGCTGGGGTCGGGGGGAGGTCGCAGAAGGACCAGGAGGGGAGGCAGAGGAAGCACAAGGCACGGGTCAGCGATGCGTAGGGCTGTCCTTCCGCTGCCCAGTGCATACAAGGGTGCGCACAGCCACGACCGTCGCGCAGACGAGCCAATGGCAGGAGCGGGCCCGCACCTCTTCCTGCGCCGTGGAGTCTGAGGATCCGAGCTGGGGTCCCGGGGATGACACACAGGGGCACAGACACGCAGGCGCACCTCTTCAGTGCCCCACAAACGGATGCTCTCGTGCAGAGGCCACGGGAGTCTATGAATGAGGCCCACGAGAGCCCAGAGATCGGGCACCCACTGCTCACCCACGCCAGAGCACCGCCCACATGTCCATACAGCATTTACTACCTAAGTGGATGCCACTTACGCCTTCCCGCGGCAGATGAACCACCAGCAAAGGAAGCCCACGAGGCCTCCGACGACGACGATGACAGCAACAGAGATGCCGGCTATGGCCCCAGTGGAGAGACCACTCTTGTTTGTACTACCACCGGCGTTGTTATCGTTACCACCATCGTTAGTGCCATCTGTCTTGACGTAGCAGGTGACAGGACCACTATTACCAGTTGGAGGGGCACAGCTTATACAATTTGGGACACCAACAATATGGCTACCATCATTGGGATCATTGGTGTCGCACTTCACACATTTTGCTCCGGCAAGATAGTATCCCGGAAGGCACGTTTTGCATGCCTCCTTGTTTGCTACCTCACATGTTTTACAACCAGATGCACATGCTGGACAAGATCCAGTGCTAGCTTCTGGTTGTTGTCCATTAGCACAATTCGTACATTTTCCATTCTGAGCATTGCTACATAGGTTGCTGCCTGGGTATGCAGCCGACTGATAGCATCCGCCAGATTGCAAGAAGTATGTGGTTGTACACGCTTTGCATGTTCCATCATTGTTATCATTTGGCGTGCATCCAGTTACTGCCCTTGTCGTTGTCGACACACAGACGCCGTCCACTGGGACGTATCCGGCCTTGCACTTGCTGCAGTACTTCGAGCCCCCAACGACGGCCGTGCACTGGCCAGCCTCGCAGTTCTCTGCGTACCTTCCCGTGCACTCTGGGATGCATGTGCCGGTGGCTCCAGTATTGCTTTTACTCAATACAAGCCCAGGATAACAAGCTGTACAGGAGGCTTCACTATCACCATCACATTCTGCACAAGAATTATGGCAATTAGTACATATCCCGCTGACATCACGAGTTCCTGCAGGACAGCCCTCCATACACATGTTCTTTAAGGGGTTTAGGCTTTTACCTCCAGTACACTCTTCACACATATTCTCTTCATTACACTTTATACAATCCTGTATATCACATAGTACACACTTCGTTCCGTCGGCGTTGGGTTGATTAGTACCTGCTATACAAGCAGAGCACGTGATGAGAATTGTACCTTCAGGATTATCCTTCAGAGCACACGTTTTGCAGTCTGCTATCCCTTCTGAGCATTTCTTACACATTTTTCCATTAGTAGGATCGTCAGCATCATCAGTGAAGTGGGAGTTATCATTACATCCACTTTTATCAATACATGTATTAGAGTCCTCGGTTTCGCCCTTTTTTAGATATGGCTTGTTAGCGGTTGCCTTGCACTTCGTGCATTTTCCTGCTCCACCATCGCATTTAGCACAGTTATCCCTATCAGTACACGCTGTACACGTACTTCCAGCATTACCAAGATTTGTACCGAAAAATCCCTCTAGACACGTTTTGCATATAGCAACATCTGAGCTAGGAGGATCACATGTCGCACAGCCCTCCAAGCCTTTCTTGCCTCCAACTCCAGTTGCATCATTGCATGCAATACAAGAGTCCTTATTGTTAGCTGCACTTGGGTTTTTAAAATAGCCAACTACGCAACCCTCACAAACGCCAGGAGTTGTTGATGACACACGACTAGCAGCTGCGGCATCAGCGCAAATAAAGCGTCCAACGTCCCCGCCAATTGCATAGCATCCGTTCTTATGGAGGAAGTATCCTTGAGCGCATTGGGTGCACGTTCCGTCAGCTGCTCGGGCTTTGAGCTGGCATCCACTGGCGCCTGCCTCTGCCTTACACCCTCCATCAACGAGGTACTCGTCAGTCTTAGCGCACTGCGAGCAATACTTCTTGCCGTTGATCCACACGTCGCATTTGCTTGTCAAGCACTTTCCTGCTTGGCCTTCCCCTGCCTCCGTGCACGTCTCTGCCTCCGGCGCTGCCCAAGCCAATTGCAAAACAAATCCCGCAACGATCAATCTACAGAACATTAAGATTGCAGATATGTTACATGTAATCTATCAAAGATTGACATGGGCTAACATACGATCGGATACTACGATTGTCTTGTTGGAAGTATACACTGGGCGCCTTCTCAACACAGTGTTCTCTGTAAATAGTCTATGCGCAAACTCTAGCCCCCACCAGATTCGTAACGCCAATCCTCAAACACTTCGTTTGCAACGAAGCAGCTAGTGCACATCTATCAACATGCAAAGCCATTCCTACTTTAAAAGGAACCTTTCTCTCACGTTAGGCCTGCTATGGCACGAGGCTTCCGACTGTCTCAATTTCCAGAGAGCCTAAGAATAGCGCCTTCCATACAGTAGCTCTCATTTTAGCGAAGGTATAACTATGATCCTGAAGGATCGTCTGAATACTCGTTGGAGCAAAAAATTTTAAATCTCGAGAGTCAATGGACTTTGATCAGGCACAACAGATACCGTCAGCAGTGGGGCCTGTTGGCATTCTGTCAGTCGAGCAGTACACAAGCCTCATTGAGTCTTATACATCAGTCTTAAACCCCCATGACGGAACACTTGTGTCAACGTGTCCGTCCATTAAAGTCCTTTCTCTACGGATCGAGGATACGAAGGTTCCAAACCCAAGGCTTTATTTCTGCATAGACAGCGATGTGGAGGGCGTTCGCCAGACGACACTGGCTTTGCATTTAGAAACGCTGCAGAACCTCTGGAGGGCATTAAAAACGGTCTTCCACAAGACAATGGTGGCCGTACCGATTCTTCCACCCGAGATATCATCGAAGTCCTACTTAAGCTCTCGGTTTATGCGGGGCATTGTCCTTTACCTCGCAGCTCTCCTTCGGCGCTTACTATCGCACTCTATCATCAAGCGCCACGAAGTAATGGTGCAGCTATTCACCCGCCACGAAAGCGATGTCTTGCCGATGCTCCAGAAGCTTGCAAATCCAGATTTTACACAAGGGCATGCACCAGGGGACGACATCATTAGAAATATAGTAAGTCGGGCACACGGGCATCTCCATAGTAATTTGCACGAGTCTGGCTTAATGCTTGCCCTCAATCTATCATTACTCTACAACTTTTCCTTGGACGACGCCGCGTTCCTCAAGACAGCCTACTACGGACCCAATTTTGCAAAGCTGATAACAGACCGCACAATCACCAAGAGCGCTCTAGCAACCTTTAGAGGGAAAACACGGATTAATGCTGCGTATCTTCAGTCTATTGACCAAGTCTTAGATATGCCAAGGGGCCAATTCCTCAATACGTTTCTTTATGGACTAATTGATCTAGAGGATTTTCTGTCGCCGAATTTCGGTAAAAAGATCCGCGGGATTTTCCTCAAGCGTCATCTTATCATAGAGGAGAACCTCAAATCAGCTTATGACAGCGTCAAGCGTCTCTCTGCTTCGGTTGCCGAAATAATAACTGCTGAAACAAGTATTTCATCCTCAATGTCAGGACTTGCAGATTCTCTTACCTTTTTATTTGTGTCAGAGACGAAATTTGATGGCGTCCTGGCCGGCCCCGCAACAAACTCAGTGGCGGCATGTGTCAATCCACCAACCCAGTCAGACTTCCTCCATACTCAGATAGCTAACCAGTTGCGTGCAGACGTCTATCCACGCTTGGCTGCTTCGTTGGATATCATCTCTGCAATGGCTAAGATGGCTACAATGCGCTATGACTACATAATAGTTGGAGAATTTCTCGCTTCTATCCTGAAAAAGAAGGCCAGCGATATTATTTACCTAAAGGTCCAGCAGGAGACTATCGGCGATGTTGTACTAATTAACAAAGATGCTGTAAAGAGACAAATAGATGCCATACGCGCATCCGATCTGCATACCTTTTCATATGGGATATATAAAGACACCGAAAGAGAGTCTCCCCTGTCCTTGAGTCTTGCTTATGAAAGTGACAAGTCAGAGCTAGAGGGTATTTTAAATGCAATAGACGATGAAGCAACGGTTTCCTTTAACAGCTTATGCTCGAGGCTGTCCTTGTCTAGAGCCCAAATAGACTTGTTAGATTCTTTCAGACGCGTTCATGCAGCATTTATTGAGCATATCATGTATTCAATTGTTATGGAGTCAAGATTCGTGTATGAGTATCTCTTTTACAAGTGTATGGTATCAGAGTTAATCGTGCACTCTATGGGCCGCTTATCAGCGATTTTCGGCAGAACGATCCATTTAGAGTCTAACCTGTGGGAGTATTCCGATGAATGGATCAGAAAGACTCGCGGGCAAGAGACACCATGGCACAAGATAAATGAACTAGACAACGAGCGCTACGAGTTGGAGGTTGACCTGCACAAAGAGCAGGGTCAGTGATCTCCGCCAGTGATCTCTAGCACTTCCTGCTATGAGATGTCTTTTCCAAAGACTTCTTGTACAAGTGTGTGCATAAGATTATAGTCTGACATGTGTACTATGTGTGCATCTCGCCCGGTTCTCCTATCCATTTTTGTGGACCCTTGTAGCATAGGATCCATAACTGATAAATCATACAGAAGCCTCTTTGTGGGCACCTTAGCTACCTTGTCTAGAAATATGTGATGCTTCTCTTTCTCAGGCCCCTTGCTCTTACCGTCAGGAAGAAGCAGTGCGCTTCTAAAATCAACGTATCCATCTTGGAGAGATGAAATCATATAAATAGATTTAAATCGACCGAGATTGCTGTGCTTTGCAAGAATCTCCAGCAGGGGTACGCTGGTCAATTCCTTCAATAGATTGGCATCATGGGGGACATCCTTCATAAATGGATAGCTATAATACATGCACTCAAGCTGCTTTTTCGTAAGCTTGCCTCCCATAAGCTCTCGTAAGGAGATTTCTTTGCTGTTGGATGACATCAAGGTCATCCCAAATCTGACAAGCCCGTTACCTCCTTTAGCACCAGCCAGGGGTCCGTTCAGAAAAACGGCTTTATTCAGAAGGTCGAGAAATCCAGAAAACGCAGATGATAGGATGCACGCTTCTATGACCAAGCATCCCATACTGTGCCCCACCATATTTATGCGACCTACGTTAGTCTTCCGGGTCTGGATGTAATCCCTTATCTCTTCAGCTAGCTTAATCCCCAATTCGAGAATGCTACTCTGTGTATGCTCCTGATATGATCTGCTCAGGAGGACATGTGGTTGTTTGGGAAACCACTGCTTCTGCATCGTGCCGTGAACTATTGCATACTGCATGAGGCAATTAGACATTAGTCGCAAGTCACAGTACGTGCCCCGATAACCGTGCGCGAACACATAGAGATCCCTGCTCTGTCTCTTCTGTCTAACCAAGTCGGTTATAGATGGTTGCTCCTCTATATTCATAGGCACTGACCGAATGTCCTTATGCACATTTTTTGTAAGAGATAGGATAGGAGGAAATGTAAACACACGGGAAGGAGAGTCTGAGCCCCATATTAATTCAATTGGAAAGAGATCATCTCTGTATCGCTCCACTAACAAGAGTAGACCCTTAGTGGAATTGGTATCTGAAATAGACAAAAGAGAAGGTGGTAGCGATGGAGTCTGGTGCTCTTGGGATACATCGTTGAACTTAGCGTTCGATGAAGCCATCGAGTCCTTTATTGTTTTCATCATGGCTAACTCTATATCCGTTCCTTTTCGTTTGGAGTCATCTTTGGGCTCTAAGACACAAGGAGGAAAGTTGGCAGGACTGGATCCTCTTTTTGCTCTAAAAGCCCTACTCGATGCCTTCTGTCGCTTCTTTTCAGGACCTGAATCTCGCTCAGCAGAGCTATAAGCGTCCGGTTGTAGGGTATGACTTAGTAAGTGCTTGGCTTTATTTTGTATGGCTTTAAGCTTGATGGTTTCTCGTTCTAGAAGTGCTTTCATGTAATCCGATGTGTAAAGGTCCACCTTGTCGGGAGAGCAGTTGTGTGTAGATGTATTCAGGGCAGTGGATACAGAGTTAACGCTTTTCTGTTTAATGATTGGTGCCCGGCGTTCTTGCGGGTCTTCGATGGTAGAGCTGGGCTCGGCAAAGCTTTTACTCTTTGGGGAGTCTTCCAACGATGAGATAGGCAGTTTTGATTCAAAGTAGTGTGTTAGAGTATCGTAAGCTACCGCTGCAATGGACGCTTCAGAAGATTCTAGAATCAATCTAGTATACTTCTTACACTCCAAAAAGTATATTGAATCCAACCTTTCTTCAGGTAAAGTGGTATATCTTTGCACATAGGTGTCAAGCAAATTGGAAGTGCCGATATTAGCAATCTTGTTAAGATAGTAAAGCTTAAAGAAAATAAGAGTCACACGCTTCAATGTTGCAAAGTCAAAACTGTCTGGTGTGGAATTGCACTGAGATAGTATTTTTCTAAGATGCGCAGGGGTCTCAAGGAACATATGTTCTCTCCCCGAGAGGTTGACTAGGGGGTCTGTTGACATAGGAGGTCCAAGCTCATCTCCTGAGAACCTCAGTGTTACATGCACAGGCGTTGAAGATTCCTGAGAAAAAGCTAGATCAATAGTCCTCTGACTAGAATTGAAGATGGCGGAGTTGAGTACCTGGACAGTGTCTGTGACTGTAGGGACTGGCGCGGACAGCAGGTCATCAAAATCATTTGTTAGTTTCTCCGGAGAAAGGTACTTTCTTGGTTGAGCCTCAGGTATGCTCACCAAATCATCATATTGAAGGGTTGTCTCGGTGGAGAACATGAGTTTAAGAAAGGCTGTCAAGCACTCAGGCTTATGAAGCCAAAGGGCTGTGATCTTATCATCTGGGAGAGCCAGCACCTCTACGGGGTACCAACTAATTATTGTACTCACATGTGAAAAGAAGGTATAGCTTATGTGTTCCGAGAAGCATGTAATGCACGGAAGCAGGAGAGAATTAAGGCGGTATCTTTTCCTGACAAGCCTCTTGAACGAGGAAAGGGGCAGGTCCGCCTTAGGCGGCATGGTCACCGATTTCCTGGCTTTTCCATAGAGAGATACCGATATGATGGAAGATGAGTCTATGTTGTAGACGTGGAACAGGGAGAAGCAGAGCTGAACGTTTAAATCTATCAACTGATCTGCATAGCGTATTGCAAAAACGGCAGTGCGCATACCGTTCTCATGGTTAGCGGGTGGATACTCTGGATGAAGATATGTATTCGATGTGTTCATAGAAATATACTTATTTGTCCTAATGGCCAACAAGCCAGGTGGTTGTGGATGTTCAAAAGTTACGGCCAGGAACATGAAACCTTCCGTTACGATATCGATATTTCGTAGTGAATGAAAGCAGATACTCAAATCCGTCTTAAGGATCTTCATTTGGAGTTATAGACGCTTACTTAGGAGATTGGATTTTCAAGCAATGTAAATCTTTTATTAAATTTTGTACCAAATGCTGTTCTCATGATCATTCTATCGTGACAAAATCCTTAGATTCTGGGCTACACTGAACTGCCTCTTGTCGTCTACTGTCCACACAAGATGACATACTCTTGAGTATTCTTGAATTAACACTAAAACGAGCCTCCGACAGTTAGAGATAAGATATCACTGATTGGATTCACTGATTTAGCTTGTTCCACTGCCTATTTGCTTAGCTATAACAAGGAAGAGAAATATACACGAGAATGTGGTCGTGCTCTGCTTACAGTTGACACTCTCTATAGAGCCAGAAACAGAGGGCCTCTTCACAGCTCAAGCCCACCTGGTTACACTCCCGCTTGCCCTTATTCCTCTGAAAGCCACGCCTGGATCGCTTCAGAGTCTTGAATCTGCTTCTTGATGTCCGTAAATGAAGGAATAGACTTTATGTACCCTGTCACTGCAGCCTTGCTACAAAGCTTGGAGTGTATCAGCAGAGTCCATATAAGAATGAAATTCTTGGAGCAGTACACCGTCTCCTTCCAGCGCCGAAAGACGTGCCCCGCTAGCGTACTGAGCGGAATTCCCTGGGATGCAAATCTTTCTCCCAGCTCAGAGAAGATATTGGACAGCTCTGTTGATGAAGCGGAAGGCACGAAGCTCAGCGCTATCCCACAGACAATGTCGAATGTATTGTGAATGCAATCTCCCCTGAAGAGGAACTCATTCTGCTCAAGGTACTGGGAGAAGATGACTGATACTGGGAGTTTCTTCTTATGCATGCTATTTTCGCAGACAACAACGTTGTAAATAGAGAAGACATCTGCCAACGCTTTGTTTTCTCTGAGAACATCATAGATCTCCTCCAACTCTTGTGCTGACGATGGTTTTCTAGTGTATATGGCCCCTATTACATTGACAAGCTCATAGACTGCCATCTTCTCTCCCACCCTGGAGGCTGCAGACGCATGGCTTTGCTTGGCTACTGCCAGGATCTTCTGAGACGGAGAGTCGTCATCCTCGTTGCTGGCGACCAAAAACCCTGAAACTATGGCCTTCCCCAGCTTATGTGCGCATTCCTCCTTCCGGGCACGAGAGGCCAAGTCTCTAGCAATCGAGAAGAAACTAAAGACCTGTTTGTGTATCAATGTAATGATCATATACGCGATACCGTTCATTAGGGTGTTCTTCCGTTCAATTGACTGCTCATTATCTAAAGACAATAGTGCTCCGTCAAGAAGCAACTCCCACAGACTGTCAGGGATCACGTCTGCAACTTCGCGGCTAATGCATGAGAGGAGGTCTGGAATGCAAGTAGCTACCGCGGAAATGGTACTGGTGTGTGTCCCCGCCTCCAGAACGGTGTCAATGAGAAGTTCCGAAAGAATGTCGCTCCATGTATCCAGTTGTGTGACAAACAGACCGGTTTCTTGATCATACTCCAAATTCAAAACACACTGTAGCGCAGAAGTAAGCGATGCTTCCAGGGTCTCTGTCCGCAGAGCCGCAAGTAGCTCCTTCCGTGCATCACTGTTAGTCGGCAAAGCCAGTATCGGCTTCCTCGCAGGAGCTCGATGAGGTTTAGTCTCGATATCAAGAGTATTCTCTGGTACACTTGTGTCGTTAGCTGGGACTGAGATAAGTGGCGGTCTGTTTGTAGTCAAAATTTTATGCTTCTTACAAGTGTTCATGAGGGAGTGAAGCTTCTTCTTCAGTTGTGTTAAGAAGGAGACCCTGCACATCCTATCGTCAGAGAGGTTCTTATCGAATAAACTTTCTAACTCTTCATTTAGCTCCAGAATGAGAAAGCGGAAGTGAGATACATGCACTGTATCTGTTTGCATGGGCGCCAAATAGTGAGTGTACAAGTTAGAAATCTCTGAAAAGAGCCTTATCACATCCAGTGCTGGTGCATCTACCCCAATCTTCTCGGCAAGTGCATGCATAATTGCACCAGGAGCTCGCTTTACATGCTTAAGCAATCTCTCGTGGTCGTCATTGGACCCCTGTGTCACTCTCGCACGATGTCCAGCCATTTCTGGCGTAGTCCAAAGCAAGTCCTCTAAGTTCCCATCCGAAATCACCTGGTAAAGCGGAGCGTCTCCATTGGTAAAGACTTTCTTAGCGAAAGGAAATGTTACGTGCACAAGCTCGGTGTTGGCAAACAAATACTTTATGAGTATGCCATAGTTCTGGCTGGACTGAGCCGCACTAGTTGCAGCCACAAGCTCCCCGTCGTTAAGATACTGTCTCAGGGAATCGAGCGACTTGAAAATTGTTCGCTTTGAACTATCCTTTGATCGTGTAATGGTAGATGGTCCCAAGAGCCCATCGAGTTCAGTTTTAAGATGAGTTGAATATTTATCAACTAGATAATAACGAATGCATGTGCCCACGATCTTTAGCATGGCAATCGCAGCCTCATAGAGTGTGTAGTTGGGCATGTATCCATCTGGAGAAAACTTCATGACATCGATACGCTGCCTATATCTCTTTTCAGCGTGCAGCCTGTTGATTTCTAAGTTAACTGACGGAAGATATAACTTGCTGAAGTACTGTTGGCGTATGTACTTCGCCCAAGTATCTGTTTGAAAAATATAGTTATACGAAGTGTTGTAGCAGACTAGATTAAGGAAGATGCGCTGCAGGCAGGCAGAGGTAATGAACGCACTGGCTCTAATAACGTAGAGTTGAGCCGCAAAGACGGCCAGGTTCACAGTATACAAATTCTGGAGGCCCCTTATATAATCTCTAATGCATTGCTGGTCTTGCTCACTGTGCTGAATGATGGTACCGTTTGTAGTTTTATCTAATATGGCTTGTTGGAGCTCTATTTTCTTAAAGAATGGGACCTCCAGATCAATGTTGTATACCATATCTTCCAGCTTTAACTCCATGATTTCCCTAAAGACTATGCACATGAAATTTCCATATGCTCTTTCAGATGTATTAATTATATTCTTTTCCTCACACTTTTTCCGGAAAAGCTTGCTAAAATTGGGATAGGAATTGATAAGCTGTTTTGCCAGAGAGGTTGATGAGATGAGGTCGCTGAAGATCGACGCATACACAGGAACAAAGACACGCTCTAGTGCGGCCTTCTCAAGGATGCAGTTACAAAAGACAAGCAGTGAGATAGCAAGAAACCGCAGGCTCTGTGGGACAAGGTAGGTGCTCAGTATGGAAAGGATTTTGGAGACTGTGGCCTTGCTGTTAGATTCCGTAACTTGATTCAGCACATACCCCAGCTCTGCTATCATGCTAGAGCATGTAGCTTTGAAACAGAGGAACTCTTCTGGATCTACGCCTGCGAGCTCCTCCAGCTCAGTCAACAAGAGTATTGACGGTACTGTGGAAGGATAATAGTTGTGCAGCTGCAGAGATTGCAAGTCGGGGCGAGTAATGTCTGGCTGCTCTATTGTGCCTGCAGTGACTATAGTCCTCGTGATAACATCTGCTAGTTTAAACGTTGCCATGCGATTCCCATAAATTGTTTTCTTTAGGCTTTGCTTCGCCTCAGAACCCATCATCTTGTTGAGTGCATGGCGATCATGCCTGATGGTTCTACGTACTAATATGAGCCTTTCCTGGCTAATCGAGGTGGGCTCCACTCCGTGATCCATTTGATGATAGATCTTGCGCAGTGCGGTGGGCTGGTAGACACGCGCACCCATGTCCGTTCCCAAGAATGCCAGATCAGCCTTTTCAATCGACAGACATGCCTGCAGAAGTGCCTTATTTCTTCTCATTCTAAATTCCCTGTGCGTCATCTTAATACTAGACTCCTCAGATGTGTCTAGCATACTGATCTTTGATGACTTCTCTTCCAACGCGAGCAATGAACGGTGGAGGTCAACCAACTTTCCATACAGTGCAGAAGATGGAGCTAGGCTTTTTCCATCAGCAAAGAACGAGCCGATCTCCGAGGGAGAAGCCCCTGTAATCGACGAATGCCTGTCTAAAGGGACGCTTTCTTGCTCCGCTTGCTCTTGCATAGTTTGATGAGCATCGTGTTCTGTCTGATTTTCAATAGGTGCAACTGTGCACGGGCCTGGCTTATCAAGGATATTGCCTTCGGAGCTGGTTTTAGCTTTGTTGTCAGACTCCTGCTTCTGCTCAAGCTCTGGCTCCGGCTTGAGGTCGGCCTTAACTTTATGCTTTGTAGAAATATGCAAACTAATAGTGTGCTGTGAACTGTTCACAGGCTTTTTGGTGCTGTCTTGATGGGGCTTTTCGCAAGAATCAGCGGAGGCAGGAGTCGAAGAGGTGTCGAGAATAGTCGCAGAAGACGAGCCACCGCAACTATTATTCCACATTTCCCTAGTCAGCCCCGATACAGCACTGCTTCTGGACTTAGTAGACTGATGTTCAGTGTGGCCATTGCCCTTTTGATCGTGAGGCTTGGCATGATGATGGAAGTGATCGCTTCTCTTTTTAGAGTGGTGGTGTTCAGACGTATGCTTGCCATCTGCAGCGCGTTTCCCTTCGCTGATGCTCAAAGAAGCATGTTCCTCAAAGGTAAGCGCTGCTGGGTTTTCTGTGAAAGAAAGAGTGAACGTAGGCTCAGTGTCATTCTTAGTAACTATGACCTTAATTCCTTGATCAGTATACCGTGTGGCCTTCGTAGCACCGTCAGACATTCCTTAGAGTGTAATTATTCTTCCTTTTATTTGTATGCAATTTTAAATTAAAACTCATATTAATATTCCAGATGTGTCAAGTTTCGTTGAAAAATTAATGGTATCTCTGACTGCTATCGTGGACAAGCTTACGGCTGTCTGCAAGGCGTGTTCTGAGGTGTGGGCAGACACGGGCATGAATGCTGACGAAGTAGAGGCGCAACGGCAAGCGTTCTTGACATCGGTAATAGATTTTGCTGATCAATTTTGCGACAAGCAAAAGCAACTTATCACAGAGCTCAACACACAATTAGAAGAATATGCTTTTAAAATCTTAGATCTTGGCCGCCAATTAGGCCAGAGCATTGCAATTCCAGATGCTCCTACTAAAACTGTATCTTTACAAATACTCAAGGAGATATACGAGCGCTACTCCGTGACGCTTTTAGAAAGGAAAGAAAAGCACACAATGCTAGTCCAGAAGCTAATTTACCTCCTGGAAGGGCTGGGAGACGAGGAGTCGCTTGCTTCGGCAGCAAAGCTAAGTCACAAGGTGGACGTCTATGACAATAAGCTACTTATCGATTTGGAACATCAGATAGCGAAAATAGAGGAGCGCTCAGAGCCATCTCTTCAACGGATCAGACGATACTTAGATGCTATGGCTTCTATCAATAAGCTGTTGCAGCGGGATTTAGCACAGTATGCAAGAAGCTCCAACGATGGTGTCATGATGGATGTTTTTGAAGGCCACTTGAGACCAAAGTATGAAGAGCATGTTAAGGCAGCGCTACGCGCGCTGGAGCAAGAAGCAAGGGCCAGGGCCAAGGAGGTGTCGCGTTTGAAAGTGGAAATCAGTGACGTTTTATCCCTCCTCCACAGCAGCGGGTTGACCGTATCGTCTGATCCGCTATCAGTAGTTTCTCCAGAAGCACAGCACTGTCTAGGTACAGAGGGGGTTATTTCAGACTACGCTTTATCCATTCTAATGAAGGAATTGTCTAGGTTAAAGGAGATGCGTCTTGCCCAACTTCCAAAGATTATAGCATCGCTACAACAAGAAATTAACAACAGTAGGAGAGAGGTTTTTGGGGCTCTAGGGCAGGCCTATGGCGAAGATAGCCGGGCAGACAACAATAAAAGTGCGTTGGACGAGCCTCCGAGTGAAAGTCTGCTACTCCGATTGGAAGAAGAACTAAAGCAGATCCGCGCAATAGAAGAGCACTGCGAGCCTATCTGCATAGCCATACGCAGATACAATGAGGTCGTAGCGCTGCAGGAAGAGCTCAGGGTCATAATGTCAGACAAGACCAGGCTTACTAGTAAAAGCAGGGAGGCTGCACGCATACGTCACCATGAAGAGGACCTTAAAAAGCAAATTCAGAACTTGCTACCGAAGACCCTGGCTGCTCTCAGACTTAAGCTCACCGAAATGGCCACAACTCTTCCACCAGAGCTACTTGACCAACTTCGCGGTGGAGATCCAACCAAGCCCATTCTGTTTTTTGGAAGGAACTATGAAGAGGAGCTAGCAATGCAACTTGCAACAAAAGACCAGAAGATTGTACGAAAGTATCAGATGTATTTAGTTGCGTACCGTCGTAATTCAAGCAACATAGAGATTCTAAAGCTGCGGGATGGTGAAGATAAGCCGGTTAAGCGTCAAGTTACAGTGTCGTTCCAGCCGGTTGAGCTTCCTGTCATATCTGGCAGTGCATTAGGTAGTGCCTGTGGATCATGTGATGCATCGGCGCTATCTGCGACAGCTGACAGTGCAGATGATCATATGGACGCTGCGCATGATCTCACACTTGATGCATTGAAGAGCGACCCACAGGATGCCCCAGAGGAGAGGCGACGACCTGTTCTTAAGAAGTCTGTTCAGCTAGCCAAATCCAGGGGTGTTGAGGCCAGTTTAGGGCCAGAACGAGTGCGGATGAAGTCAGTGGCACCGCGTGCGGCGGTTTCATCGAGTTCTGCTGGAAAAGGCAATGTAACTGGCGTTGGAATTAAATCCAAGCGTATTCCAAAGCCATAGAGATCAGATCTCTCCTGGAGGTCTGCAGGGATACCTGTTGAGGAAAGGATCAGGGGAATGGACAGAGGAATCATCAGAAGTGAGCCTTCTGACAAATGCGCATTGTCATCATTTTATTTATTTCCGGTTCCCGTGGAGATCAACCGCTGTCGGTGTACCCCCTCGTCATTCTACTGGTGGATTAGTTTTGTCTGTGTACCCCAACCTACTTATTCACTTTACCTGACTGGTTCGGCCCAGGGTCAGACAGCTGCTGACGGTGTGTACGGAGACTCTCTAGAAGTATGTCCGTCGGGGTCTGAAGCTTCTGAGAAACCAGGTTAGCATAGTCCTGCTCCTCCTTTCGAGCTCGATGCTCTTCATTGATGGTGGCAGATAAGGAAGCCGACATAGTGTCTTCGATGCCCATGTGCGTTAGCTCGTTCTGGGCCCGGAGCATGGCTTCTGAGGGAGCCCTCTTAGTACGCAAAGACAGGCTTCTATCGTCTTCACTGGCCATACGCTCCACCTCGTGGATAGAACACATCTGACTTGGCCGTGAATACAGACTACTTTCTTGGTCTAAGTTAACCTGCTGAAGAACCCGCCGCTTGTGATCTGCGAGCACCTTATCATATGGTTGAAACTTGGCTAACGGAGGGATTGTTGTAACGCTAACAGGCAGCGGTGCTTCAGTGATGATCTGTTCAGCTGGCACCTTATACCGAAGCACACAGGAATAGAGAGATGTGAATGACAACGTAGACATGCTCAGGAAGTCGCGAAGTAGCCCAATCACCCCTTCGGGCAACCCAGGAAAACCTGTACAGATGGAGTGCAGAGTCCTTGAAATGAGCTCTGGGTGGTCTATCTGCTCTTCACTGGCGAGATCAATTAGGAGCTTCCTCCAACCGCGAAGAAGCACGCACGTCAGTGGCAAGCTTATTACATTTGGGAAGCAAAAGTGGAAGAGGGGGTACGCACAGAGCTCTGCAGCCACAGAGACAGACTCGATTCCTTGACCACCCTCTGGCACTAGAAGGGCGGCGATGGCATCAATAAGTTGTTGGTACGATCGTATGTTATAAAGAGCGGCCACATCCGTTGAACGCAGCCTGAGCTGTCGAAGAAGCTGGAGAACTGACACGTTATATTCAACATCTCTTTTAGCAACTTCTTTACCACTAGCTTGGATAAGTGCATTCATCAATGCCCTAAAGAGACAAGTGAATAAGTGTCCTTAAGGACGCAGCAAGCGATATTTATTTCTAAATTTTAAAAAAATGTTCAAGACACCCCTGTTGTACCTGCCCGGACCAACGGCTGTTCCAGATAGTATCCTCAGAGCAAGGATGGGGCCATTGATGGATGACCAGGCCCTATATAAGGAGATTTCTGGGGCAGTCCAGCGTATATTAAAGACCAAGTCTAGCGTTCACATCTTGGCGGGGGAGGGGATGCTTGCTCTGGACTCTGTTTCCTGTTCTCTGATTGAGCAGGGAGACAGCGTCTTAATTATTTCCAATGGTGTTTTTGGAGATTGGTTTTTGGATCTAGTTGGCAAATACACTAGCTCATACACTATTTTCCAATGCGGTCCCACATCCGGTGTTTCTGCTTCAGCATTGGGAGAGTTTCTTATAGCTCAAGAGCAGAAGGGCGTCTCTTTTAAGCTGGCTACTTTGGTGCACTGCGACACGCCCTCTGGCGTTCTCAATGATATAGCATCTCTGGTTCCAGTGCTCTCCCGCCACTCGATCCTCTCCGTGGTTGACGTAGTGGCCTCTTCCTTCGGAATCTCTATAGATCTTGACCTTTGCGGAGTCGACGTGGCCTTGATGGGCTCTCAAAAGGCCCTCTCATGTCCCAGTGGACTGAGCATGTTGGCGATTTCAGAAAGAGCCTGGCGTGCCATGGAGACACGAAGGACTCCCATACCAAGCTACTACTGCAATTTACTTCTGTTCAAGAACGCACCTGCTACCTTTCCATACACTGTCTCATCTTACGATCTCCTGGGTCTCCGAGAGGCATTGCGCTTGCTAGAAGAGGAGGGTCTAGACAATGTTTATCGTAGGCACATGCGTATTGCCGAGGCTGTGCGGTATGCTGTGCAGAAGTCAGGGCTCACTCTTTACTTAGTGAGTGACTACTCGCCAACGATCACTGCCTTTCACGTTCCTCAGGGAACAACATCCGATGCAATCTTGCAAACGATGTTGAATGACTATGGTATCAGATTTTCGAGCAGTCTTGGCTCACTGGACAAAAAGGTGATGAGAATAGGCCACATGGGCTTCAATTCTAATGTTCCAGTAGTGCTCTATGTTCTCAAGTGTCTAACCCGAACATTGCGGTCCCACGGTGTCTGTTTAAGGGATGACATGGGAGAGAGTTTCTTTGAGAGATACCATAGTATGGTAGAAGTAGAATAGTTTAGAAATTTACAATCATGGAATCCTCCACACGGAAGAAGGCAGTTTGATGCGTGCTGAGCGAAAGTCTGAATAGATCGGTTCCTCATTTGGCAGAACCACTATTATCTGCTTGATACTCTTCGTGCTTGCATGTGACTCGGGTGAGGGTCCCTCTTGATGGTCAGTTTTATTATTACCTTTGTCAAGGGAGCAACTCCTAGCATCAATTTTGATGCTAATCTTGGCAGTCACGGACTTTGGATCCTCATCATTTGGATTTAGCTTCGATTTATTACTGCCTCTATTGCTGCTTCGTGTTGGTCTTACGGGGGCATTTTTTGAGTCTTTGCTGGCCTCAACTGATGGCTGGGGTTTAGCATCGCTCTGTTTATCGTAGCTGTTGTCTTTTTGCAACGACGTTCCATCGGCAAAAACGACGGATATACGAGAACCAGTTACTGATCCTCGCCCCAGTTGTTGTTTGACAGGCGATCCACGATCGTGGTCATCAGTTGTTATAGACGAAATAGAGACGTTGTGTGAATCAATTGTGTTCAAGTGGCTAGAGCCCCTAAAGTCTGTACTCTTGTGTTCAGGTCTGTGGTCTGGCCCCTTTTGCTTTATGACTACAGCCTTGCCTCCAGCAGCGCCAGGCTCCTTCGGCGTACTACTTGCTAGTGCCTCCATCGGTGAGACCATATCTGTGATATCTAAATTATTACTGACAACTGAGACCGGGATCGGGACTGGCTCCTCATTGGGACAAGGCTTCGCTGGAACAGAAGATGTTGGACACGGTAGATCCATAATAATATCTGTGCTTTGGTCCAATGCACCGGCATCGGTGTGTGGTCTAGGCAGCTCTGAGGATGCTCGAGGAACTACCCGAGCGTCGTTCGAAGAGGATCCATGTGAAAAAGTAGCTGGAATATTGACTGTTTTGCCATCCTGTATGCGTATGTCCTTAAGGGACGGCGTTTGATATAAGTCTTGGCCTTGTCTAGAGAACACCTGCCTATTCCGTGTGAGAATGACAGAGGAGCTCACAATATCGTCTAAATGCTGCTTTTGCTCATTGAAAGCGCTCTTATTTTGTTTTGCATGCCGATTGGTTTGGCGAACAGGCGACTCCACTGTGTCATGGAAAGATCTCCTGTTCTTGCGGTTACCATGGGATTCGTATCTATCCTCACGATGCTGCCTGTCTCTTGAAACAAAGGCACCACTGTCTTGTCGCTCTTTGATCGAATAGTTGTGCATACTGTGTTCGTTCTGTCCTTCTCTTTGCTGTCTTCGTCTGTGCGTGTTCTTGAAGGTCTGTAGGGTATTATCAGAGATGTGGCTATGAGACTTAGCAATGGGTTGATCTAATCTATCGGCCTGTACCAATGGACCGGATTGATCCGTGGGGTAATTGTTATTTGTCTTTGAAGCATTAACCGACAAAGTAATCTTCTTTGTATGAACATGATGCTTCCTTCCTTCGTCTAAAGAGACGTCCAACTCACTATTGTAGGATTCCTCCCAATCGAAGCTACTATACTGATCATTCCAATCGGCCATTATTTTTTAAATATAAAATCATTGGGCTCATGAACGTGGTATACAGGCGTATTTCCCACGAGCTAAAGCTCATCAGTATGGCTGGGGAAACATATTTCAGGGTATACCTTGACCCCAGCAATATGCTGAATGTTCACTTTACCTTTCTCGGGCCCTCTGACAGCCCATTTTCCAAGGGGTTATACCACGGGATCATTCATCTTCCACAAGACTACCCCCACAAGCCTCCTGAAATTGTCTTCTTGACAAGCAGCGGTCGTTTTGAAACAAATAGGTATATCTGCACTAGCTTTACCTCCTTCCACCCGGAGTCTTGGAATCCGACCTGGGGGATTCGAAATATTATAATAGGTCTCAGGTCTCTCTTTGATGAGGAGACTCCTGGCAGCATCGGAAGTATCACTGCTTCTCCGGAGGTCAGAGAGAAGTATGCATTGGATAGCCACTCCTTTACGTGTCGTGTTTGCGGCTGCTCCCATGCCGACCTTGTCTCAGTCCTACACGAGTCTCCAGTATCTACCCAAGAGCCTGCAGATCATAACTCAAGTCAGACACCTCCAACAACGGATACAGTAGTACCCGGTGATGTTGCTGTAGAGGCATGTACCGATATGTCAGTGAGTAATGAACCTAGTCAAGATCAGGAACAGGAACAAGAGCAGATAACAGAAGCACACTCACAAGATGTACTAGATGAGAAGCCAGAGAAGCTGCCAACAGAACCCTTCAGTGTGGATGACCCCAGCCATGCTCCTCAAATGCCTTCAGACTATAATACTCTCAGCTTCTCTAGTCTAGCACTTGCTGCCATATCGCGGGGCTTGCTCCGTGCAACGCAAAGTATGAGCCCGGAAGATCACCAACCCGAAGAGACCCAGGGCCTAGACCTGTTGGCTCATCTTGTTGCAGGGGCGTCTATTCCGTCATCTGTTTTTAAACTTGTCTCACACTTACGAGAGAATGCAGAAGCTATTTGTGCTGGAGTGCAACCCCATAGTAATTAGTGGAACAACTAAATCTCTTGCTGCATTTCATTCTAGTTTAATTCCGGCCGCCCACTTGTGTCCAAGGTGAGTAAATTTGGCCTTTCTTTTCGAAATAAAATGACTACTGAAGTTAAGCCAACCAAGCCTTTAACTAGTTTCTTTCTGTTCAAAAGGGACAATCAGGCTAAAGTCGCTGAATTTCCTCGAGGTGAGCAAGCAAAAGAACTGGGCAGGCTTTGGCAGGAGCTTTCTGACGACGAAAAAAATGCATACAGCAAACGGCACAAAGATGCTATGGAGCAGTATACTTATGACTTAGAGCAGTGGTACCTAGCTCATCCGGAAGAGCGGATCAAAGACAAAGAAGAGGCAGAGCGTCAGCGGCAGAAGAATAGAGAGAAAAAGGAGAAGGAGAAAGAAAAGCGCCCTGGTCAGCAATCTGCAAAGGTCGCCCAGAAAAGAAGCAAGGCAGCTGACGCGGACAATTTACTAATGTGCTTTACAGTGGCACAGCTCAAAAAGCGCCGCCTAGAATTCAGTGATGTTCCAATATATCCTACAAACACCGTCAAGCGGACCATAAAGACGGCTCTTAACGAGATGAGTGATGCAGATAAAGAGTTGTGGCTCAATTTCTGGTACGACCTTGACGAGGAGAACAAAAATAAAGTCAAACAATTCTACCTAGAATGGAAGGAGCTCAAAGCTAAGGACTAAGAGGAAAGACAAATAGCAACGTGCATGAGTAAACCAGATGGCCGTTATACCTCTGCGTTAGCTAGTATATGGCAATTTGTGGACTCGACGTGTACGAAGCACCGCTCTACAAAGTCAAGTCTTTGAATGTGATCCTGGAGACCGTGCACTATGTCATGGCAGCTACACACATACATCTGGTCAGGAAGACAGATCGTCACCTCTACCGTAGACTCCTTCCCGCACTGATAGGCGAGCACTTCGTTGATGCGTTCAATGGACGGATCAAAGTGCATGGCATGAAGAACTAGTCGGGCCTGGTCTTCCACACCTAAAGAGCGCCCAATCATCGAGCGTATCTGCGTCCGTGCGGCAAGGGTCCAGTTAATCAGTATATAAATGCACAAAATAAGGGAGCCCACGGGATCAATGTAAGAAAGATTAACAGTCCCGTCATGCCCATTGAACTTGGACCCGACGAAGGCAGCTACAAACCCGAGGGAATTGGAAAGGACATCGTTTCGGTGATCGTCACGATAGGCTAAACACGCATCAGATAAGATCTTAGCCTCCCTCCCCACAAAGTGACAAAAGAGACACAAGAATAGCTTTAGTACAATGGTGAAACCTATTATAACAATTTGCAAGGTGTCAAAACGAGCTGGGTTGTCGGGAACGCCCTTAGCCAGCTGTATGATCTGCTGAATGGATTCATAAGCAAGAGTTGCAGCGAATGTCCCCATGATGCATGCAAAGGATAGCACACCAAGGGTCTCATAACGCCTCTTTCCGATGGGATAAGTGATACTTTGCTTCTGGAGCTTCAGTGAGTCCTGGTGTCCCGTCTTCTCAGCCCCCGAGCGAGCCAAGCGTGCGCATATGAAGAGAACCAGTCCCGAGAGGATATCAAGGCACGAGTCCACCATGGATGCCAAGACAGACATAGATAGCGAAAGCGAGTAGGCAATTATCTTGAGAATGACCAACAATATATTACTACCGAAAGAAAGATTGACACAAAGCTTACCAGCACTGCAAGTGCGTAACAAAGAAAGGTCCTCGGCGGGAGAAGGTACCGCCATGTCATCAAGGTCCTTGCAGAAGCTCAACAGGTATTGTCTAAAGTGGCAATCGTCTTTGCCACAATCGGTCTTTTGCAAGATTGTGCGTATACGCTCGTACAAGGTGGTCCTCAGAATAGGAATATCATCTGCGAAAGGGTTAGACTTAGAGCCAGCAGCCTTCTTTTCGAGAATCTCAAGATGTTCTAACCGCGCCTTAACGCTCCGAAGAAAGGCTATGTTATTGTGTTCCTGTAAATGTGGACATTGTTCAATTGGTCCGTTGTCTCCTGCCACACAATTGCAAGAGTTATATCCATCCATGACAAGTGACAAGTCCTCTATGCCTAGAGAATTACCAGAGGCTTTCGCAAGACTCTCTTGGAGTGTTTCAAATTCAGTAAGCCGGAGAGCTTCAGCAAACAAGGAGGGCACACCTGGAAGAGGTGGAACGGTCATCCATTGCAGAGCCTGCGGCTCTTCTACAATGAGATCTTGCTGCTCGAGATGTGCGCTGCTATGGTGTGTCAATGTGTCATTGTCGAGACCAGTCTCTACACGGAGGTTCATCACCTTTGCCATTTTATTCTACTCACTTTTCACCCATAACCCTTTTCTGGCTTCTAATTTTCTGGCTGAAAATTACCTAGATAAGAACACATACAAGGAGCACGCCGAGTATGACATCAGCTGTGTCTACAATCTGTATCTACAGCAACGATATAAAATGCGAAAGACATCTGTTTGGATTCTCGCACTCCTTATTAGATGCGTGCTAATTTGGCTAGGGACTTACATAAGTGATCCACCGGCGTTATCGATGACAGATATCGACTATCTCGTTGTTTGGGATGGAGTATGCCTGGCACCAGTTCCCAGTGAGCGGCCAACATATCGCTACTCTCCAATCTTTAAGGTAATATGTTGGCCTATGTGCAGGTGGCCCACATATGGCAAAGTTCTTTACTCACTATCAGACCTTATATTTGCCTTACTCGCGTACAGAATTACACGGCATAGTCAAAGAGTACATCACCTCTGGCTGATGAACCCGTTCGTCATTGCCTTGTCTGTGCGGGGAAGCTTCGACAGCATTGTCCAAACGCTGGTGGCATGGATGCTATTGACTATTAAGCAGCATAAGTATTTGATGTCAGGCCTTCTGCTTGGTCTATGTATTCACTTGCGCATATATCCCATAATCTTTACCCCTTTCCTTCTGCTCTATGCCTTATTAGATAGGAAGGCTGATCAAAGGGAGCCGCTGGATGGAATTTTTCGGGCAGGATTGCTTTTATGTTGCACGCTGATATCATTCTTTGCAACCACCCTGATATCGATGTTGATAGATGATGGATACTTGTCATCAGGATTGCTTTATCATGTCTCTGGACGTGTTGATCACAGGCACAACTTGAGCATTTTGTGGGCCGTCCAGCTCGCATGCTCGAAGGGCAAAGAAGTTTACTGCTGGCCATTTGCAAAGCTATTTCAAACAGTGATCTTAGCCGCTCTCATTATCCAACGCGTTCTAGCGTTAAGAACGTTAGAACCAATTGAGAATGAAGAGGCTCAATCTGTGCTCAAGCGAAGATACTTCTATCATCAACTTCTCAGTGATCTAGACCAGGCCTGCCGGGCATTCGTGGCATTTAATTCAGTTGTTACAGCCCAGTATTTTTCGTGGACATTTGCCACTTTCACGCTCTCGCCCAACGCTGTTCTCAACAAAACAAGTTATGGCAAACTGGCCACTTTTGTTGGTAGTCTTGGTCTTTCCTTATGCATTTCCGGAGCACTAGAGTTCTCCGGAAAAACGAAATATTTATCATTGATTACCCTGGCAAACACTGCCGCGATGGGCTCTCTTCTATTCTTGTAACATTTGGAATAGCCGTAGCACAGTCCTGAAGCCAGAATATTGGGGTGAGGCTGTTGCCTGTTATTTGAATGATCTTCCCATGTGACCCACCGCCGCCCTGGGCAAGTCCCTCGCTCGTTCACCAACCGAGATCCAGATCCAGAGTTCGATCTCAGGTGTCAGGCGACTCCGACGGGAGAAGAACTTTTGTTCTTCCCTCTTCCCAAGGACGAGGCAGGGCAACCACGATCAGGGGACGATCATGATGCGCTCCACAAGGCAGTCCCGAGCCTCCTGGAGACCCAGACACTGGTCTTCTTCGAGACCGAGCAGACTGCGTTCCACCGATTGCACATGGGTGGTGTCCGCATGGCATACATGGAGATGCAGACTGATGGGCACAGCGGTTTCGCTCGACATAACGAGCACCCTAACAGTAGACGGCCTCTGCCAGGCGAGTGTGCCCCGTCCCGAGGAGTTGCGTCGAGGCCTTCCTCTAATTGCGCCACGCTGCACCCCTGGACTCGGTCCCTCAGGACCCTGAGCATGCTTCTGTGCTGCGTGGGATAGAACCTGCTCACCAGGAACTGAAGGAGATACCTCGCTCACTGCCTTGCCGACGACACATCCATCTTCCATAGTAGCAACAGTGACGCGACGGGGATAGCCACAGAGGCGACAGGCCTGGCGAAGCAACATGGCTCGACGGTCAACACTGGGTGTAGGAGCACGGAGGGGCAGGAGGCCTTCTTCCTGGCCGGTCTTAAGGAGCTTCCAAGGCAACGAAGAGCTTGAAGCTAGTGATGGCACCAATCACTCGCCCCGCCTGTCCAGACGGACCCACACGCGGCCCATATGAATCCCTCGACAGGCAAGTCGGGATCCTTGGAGTGTCTGGCTGACAGAAGTGGACTGATCCTGCCCACACCGGAGAGCGGTGACCTGGGCCACCCGCCAGGCGTCTGCCGCAGCAGCTGGCAGTGCTTGACACCCTCGAGTAGACGGGTGCCGATTGTAGAGCGAGACAACCAAGCGGTGAACCGGTCCCGATCGCTCGTGATGCTTTGGATGACGCCTCGGTGGACCGAAGCATCACCTCCAAGCGCACCATATGATGCGAGGATGGATGGAGCCCACAGGTCAGCTGAGCCAGACGCACTGCACAGGGTGAGCGTCGACATGATCTCGTCCTGGGTGACGGAGCATCTGCAAAAGTGCACTGCGATCCATAAGCAGAGGGCCGGGCCTCCTCCTCGACACCACCGCATGGGAGCTGTCCGCCGGCATCCACGAACGCGTACTCTAACTCCAAGATAGAGGTGCACGGGGAGCGCACCCTCCCGGTCATACTCGGGACTGATGGTGCAATCCACGAGGAGACAAGGAGGCACCCCGAGGAACGGGGTAGGCACCCGGGGCCGTGGGGTGGGATCTTTGTCGTAGAGCACCGGCACCACAAAGCGATCCTGGAGTATATGACCAGAGTCAAGCTCCCAAGACCAGATCGCCGCGACTGACGCAAGGCCCGAGACAACGGGCGCCCACCGGTGCCAGGTGGTGGTTGCCCCAAGCCAGCCAGAGGATGGGAGAGATCCTAGAGGTAACGTGAGGAGCAGCGGCTTCCGGGGGAGGCGGGCATAGGAGTTCTTCCGCTGGGATCGAGGGCATCTAACTCTCGGAGTTCTGATCTCAGCTACTGCAGGAGTGAGAGGCTTGCCTAGGGTGGTGGTGGCTCACATGGGAGATTACTCTGATAATAGGTGACAACCTCATCTCAGTGAAACGAAGAGTAAACTGGGCTGAGAGTAAATGGGGGTGTACATTTTTGAAAAGCTGACGAACCAGCCAAATCTATGTCTGGACTTAGCGACCGTGTTTCTAAGATACTCACAGACTCTACACACATAGCGGATGCCATGAGCCAGAGCGTGGTTGATGGAGCTGTTACAGGAGTCGCCTGTCGGAGCATAAGCGAAAGTACGCGACCAATAGTTACCCAACAGGTCGCTCTCAACGAAACTGCTGCGCAGAGGCTTGGAGATCTCCTCCAGCAATCGTTTGAGAGTGAACGGATAGATAGCATCCACAGCTATGACGGCACGACCTATTGCGAGATCTCGTGCTGGGGCGCATTCTGAAAACGCAGAATAAATTGCAGCAGCTCTCTTGATAAATTACAATCCAACTAAATGAAAAGTATAAACCTTGATGATATCAAGGATTTACTGAAGAAGGCGCCTGCCGAAAGACTAATTTTGTTTTTCAAGCGCCAGTCAGAGTGGGCCGACTCGAGGGCCCCGCCACCACTTAAGCGTGACACACCTCAATGCCAGGTAGATCCATCCACAAGTTTAGAACTGGTCAAGGCTGCCCTTCCGCATTACAGAGCTGCCATGCGCGAACTTGGCATTGATGAAGTCGATATTATGGCATACCTAGCTCGCTATGACGGAGCGTCTTCTATACCTCCGATGGAAGAAGTGCTAGAAGGCTTCTACAACGAAAACAGATTGATCCGCTCCGAATACAAGCCACTGGATTTACAAGCAATAACGCCCGTGGATGCTCTTTTTCAATGTTATAACGGCTTGCCCACACCGAACGGACTCCAGAGAGCTATTTTATCGCATATAGTAGATAACATCTCTACACGCGTGCGACATGGATACCCTCTCAAGGGGTTGATTGTGCTGGCTACGGGACTGGGTAAAACGTACCTATCTATATTTCTGCTCGATAGATTCCTTTGCAGTATATACGGTTCATTTCGTCACTTTCTAACCACAGAGCAGGGTGTTGTGCTATTTGTGGTTAACAGCACCGTTATCAAAGACCAAGCGTTTATGAGATACAAGGCATACTTCTCACGACTTGCGGACCCCGGTACAGACGTGGAGAGCCTGTTCCTAAAGATAGAGCCAGGTACCGATAGTGTCAGACTGGAGCAGGCTCTGCTCCGTGCAAGGCTTGTTTTTGTCTTGTTCCAATCCTTGCACACCCTGCAAAAGTATCCACATATATTCAATAGGATTTACTACATAATTGTGGACGAAGTCCATCACATAATAGCGCCTAAGTATTGCAGTAGCATTTCTCTGCTGACCAGCCACCCGAAGCTTCGACTCCTAGTGGGCCTAACTGCTACTCTGGTGCACAGAGACGATCCTACGGCAGATAGAATAAAGCAGATCTTTGACAACAATCTTTTTGTAGACTTGCCGTGGACAACTGCCAAGAGTCTACAATTCTTCCCACAGGTCGAATATTATGAGTATGGACACGGATCATATCAGACTCTGGTTGCTGGCCTGAGGAACAAAACGGCTTCAGTTCAGAACTTCCTCACTGCTATACGTAAGAGTTTAGAGCGTGGTGTCACTACAGCGGGAGAGGCTGTTGTTGATGATATAATTCGTTTCATCGCTCATAAAAAGTGCAAACGATCTATTATATTTTTCGGATCAATAACAGACCTAAATAGCTTCTACTCACTTTCTAAGAACGCTACAGACAAGCTGTGCAGACAAAGCGAGCAAGGGGATATTGAGTTCTTCCCAATACACTACCAGATCAAAAAGCAGGTGCTTGCAGATAGATTTGCTCGCTTCTGTTCACCGCCATCTGAAACAGACAGGTTTGTGCTGCTCACAGTTGGCATGGCAACAGAAGGCTTTGACTTCCAGTTCATAGACATGGTTGTTATGCTCCGGAGAACAGAGTCTGAAAGGATCTTTGTTCAGCAACTCGGGCGTGGTCTGCGGAAGTACCCTGGAAAGGACGTCGTGTACGTGCTGGACTATGTGTACGGTCTGCGTAACCGATGGGCTCGCTGTGCCGCTGCCGCCACTGCAGACCTCGATGCCTTGCGGGAGGACATTCTGTCCTTTTGGCCGGTGACAACACTGGCACCCCCGTATCTTCCCCTTCAAGGGGTGCACACCTCCCAAGACACCGACTCCATTAGCGTACTGGATTGAGGAATACCGCATTCTCCTTTGCCTTCTTTCCGGGCATCCACTGACTTACTTGTACAGTCTATATGAACCACAGGAAGACACGCAGAAACTGTAGGTGCAGCAAGTAGGCGCAAGAAGAAGCAGACTTGGACGAGCAACTCACAAACCGCTGGCGTTTACTCACCGGCGTTTCTTAATAACATATCGGGTACCATCAATTATAAAGGATCTTGAGCTAGGAGCCCCTCCACGGTATAGTGACCACCCTTTGCACATAATTTCTTTGACCGCTATAGTTTGCTAAAATTTCCTTGGTTCAAATCTCCAACAGAAGCATCCTTTCAAAGTGAGCTCCATACTGCCTTTACTCCAGACACACGACTGTCTACGATTCAATCTCCCAACTGATCAAGGTCAACGTAAAAAATTAAAGTCACCAGCTGACACGACGTTACTTTTAATAATTAATAAATAAAATGTCGGCTATAAAACACTATACTGCACTTCAGAAGTCCATTCTCAGAGCCCTTGCAGAGCAAGTATGCGCAACGATCACTCCCCAGCAATCCGTGGAGCAACTGACAGAAAACCCCGTCATGTTACATGGGTACGTCTCCAAGATACGTATCAATTGGCTAGATATTGCACAAAGACTGGGGCAGGCGCGTGCAAGCGTCTACCATTGGTACAACGAAACACATTTGCGGCACATATCGGGGGTCAAAATGTCCAGCGAAGACAAGGATTTGGTAAAGGCCGCCATATCTAGCGCCATAGACTCGGGAGACATCTATAAGAAGGGGTTCTACATGCGCATCAGAAACATGTTTGCCGAGAAGTACTCCAGACAAGAAATAATGATGCAATATAACAACCTCTTGAGGAGCAAAGAAATACGAAAAATTCTGCACTCAAAACGCATCGACTTTACCGAAGTGCGAAGCAAAGCGTGGCGGGAGCAGAAGCACCTGAAGACTGTTCCGAGCGTAACAACAGAGCCGTACAAGGAGAGTGTGTCCTTTGGCAACGCACCAGCAGTTCACGTTTGCCTTCCGTCCAGTCAGAGTAATGTGCGGGCACCCGCAACACCAGCTATATCTTTGAGTGTGGATGCTGCACATGCACTATGCGAGGCGCCACAATACTTTTACGTGCCACCCATGACAACAGTCAGGTGCATGTCGGCTTCTTCACTGGCCAGAAACGGAGGTTGGGGCTTCCGTGTGCCATCAGCACCGATCGTGTTCAACATTCCTGACTCGTCCTGGATGCCGATCCAGTCCACAATTCCTCAATGGAGTGCACAGTATCTTCCCAATATGGCGTGGATACGGAGTGCTACAGACGCAGATGCTAAGAATGACAGCAGGGATGATTTTATCAAGCCAGCTAATAGGGCGTAGCAGCATCACACGAACTGGGAATGCAAGTAAGCCCTCAGCGGACTCCTGCGTCACTCAAAGTAGAGCGCCAACTTGTTGAGTATTCTCTGGTGAGTCTCCTCTATGTTATTTGTTGCCTCGACATTTATCCTCATCCCCTTACGGTCGAGCTCTCTGTAAATCTCCTGAGTCTCACTATTATAAATGGCTATTCTCTTCATGAGGGTCTCCTCGTTGTCATCGATACGCGTGCTTTTCGACAAGATGCGCTGGCGAATGCGGTTTCGAAGTGTCTCCTCGGAGCAGCTGAGCGTCAACATAATGTGGGGTGTTTCGCCGAAAATCTTAAGGAAACAATTATAATTATTAACAGAACGGGGAAATCCATCAATAATGATTACCTCCTTGTTAGAAGTTACACAGAAGTCATGTAAAAGAGCTGCAGTTATCATCCCATCAACAATAACGCCGTTCGCTATGCACTCCTTTATATATGCAGCATGCTCCGAGCCCGCCCTATTCATCTCAGCTCGGAGGCAATCGCCTGCACCAACACATGCCACCTTGGGGTGCTTTGCAAGGAGATCTGCCTGGGTACTCTTACCTGCCCCAGGTCCTCCAAGAAGAAAGACTATCACCTTCATATAATTTTTTTGACCTTCCCCGCTCTGACAAACAATTAATTCGGCACACAGTTACTATGGCAAATTGACCTGAGACTTAGCTGGCGTTGTCACGCCACACTCTTTACAGAACTCGGAGAAATCCCGGAAGCCTGCATCAGGGTCTTCTACACTAGCGTAAATGAATAGATGCCCTATTGTGGCAACTGCCAATACGTTATCGCACGGGTGATAGGCTAGGTGCCGAACACCCAGTATTCTATTCAAATTGGTCGCGGGAACGAAGGAGTTAAGGTCATAACAGCCATTGTTCAGCAGGGGCCGTGCGGCCACAGAGTATCCAGGGTACCTAACCTTCGGCCTCTTTTGCTTAATTGCGTCTCGGGTGACCTTAAAGCTCATTGCGGTTCCGTGTAGGTTGTAAATTTGAATGGAGGAGTTGTAGCTCCCCGTGGCGATAAACTGGCTCTTCCGGTCAATAGCCATGTTGAAACTGTCATACAGTGTCAAGGGATCACAGTATAAGCTTTGCACAAGCTCTGAAGGAAAGTTGACATTTATGGCATAGATGGAGAGGGGTTGGCCGGGATTCCGTATGTCATAGATGCACAAGTCTAATAGGTCGCGGGCGGCAACAGTGGTCGGAGAGATGAACTTGACGCTTTCTATTTGGAGGGGGTTTGGCTTGGCCATGACAAGCCTGAAAGTATCGCAGATTGCATTCATACGGGGGTCAATAAGTTTGACCTTTCCATAATTGGTTCCGAATGCTATTAGCGAGCTCGTGGTAGGATCTAAGTCTGCTGAGCATATGGTCTCCACTATGTCTGAAAGGTTATGCGGCCGTAAATCGACCAGCATATGAGCAACAGTGTTGTCCTCTACCCACCACTGAGTTATTGTGAGGTCGTCGGAGGAAATAAACTGCTCCGAACCGGGTCCCATGCAGACACTATTGATGTGGTAATTCGAAGCATGGGTGAAGTTCTTTCTTACCGCGATGGAGACCGTCGACGTTACAGGCTCCGTTGGACTGGCAGCAATATTATCTGGGTACCTGTCCAGAAAGAGGTCATCTGCATGTGCACCTGTCCGGGTTTCTAAACCTGGTATTGGCTTTGTAGGGGCTCTAGACACAGACTCTTCTTCAACAGGGCGATCTATGTACCTGGCTGGCGGTCGCTCTGGCACACTTTCTGAGACAGAACTGGATGGTGAGCCGCCTGCTAGTGCCGGAGGGTGTGCCAAGTGAGTCTTGGGCACTTTAGTAGGGAACACCAAATCATCTACGCTGGTAATGTCCTTGTCCTTGTTAAAGCTTCCCCATGTATAGGTGTCACTTCCTAGACTGGCTGTTCCAACAGTATCTCTAATTCGCCACAACTTAATGTCCTTGTCGTTAGCGGAGAGGAAGTACATGTGCTGAGATAGGGGAGTTAAGAAGTTTATAGATGTTATCCTAGCCTGCACGTCCAGACTGCGCATATAATCGTATTCTGCCACGTGAGACTGGAACTCTAACATAAAATCATATTCGATAGACGGGTGGAGGGTCCCAGTTCGCGTCCGCTTAGGAGGTGCACCTGGATTTACGCACCGAAAAATAACGATTCTTCCACCGCAATCACCGACGGCTATGTGGTCTCCAGAGTTGCTAAATGCTAAGGACGATATGTAATCCGTTCTAGGAATAGAGAGAGGATCACAACAGTCACCGAATACCTGGCAATATCGATAATCGAGGTGATCCAGCAGGTACGGAGCGTGAGTCATTTTGCTGGATGTTATTATTTTAAAAGCATCATGATTGAATGCATATTGAACCGCGCTGCGAGCCACGCTGTAAGCAAGTCAGAGTTTGCTCACCAGCATGGCAGTGAGGGAGCTGGCACACAGGTGCCATTGTCACAGCACATGCACATCCTAACAGATTTCATTGTTGTTTTTTGGGCAAAAAAATCAAAAAAGATGGGCTCCATGTGTTCAACTGCGGGGTCTGACCCGCGCTTCAACGAGCTTAACATAAGGTTAGTTGGCTCCTTCGAAGATTCGTGGCCCTTGTCTCCGGAGCTGTTGGAGAAATACAGATGCCTTATTTCAGAGGGTAGGGAAATAGATGACTTTTTCCAGACAGCCGATTCTGGGCTTAAACTCTACCAAATAGCTACTCGGGAGAAGACAGAACAGGCAATGAATGCTTGCTTGGAGCAGATCGTCAAGGTGTCCGAGACAATTGCCCGCTATTTAGTGTTTCAGGAGTCGTTTGTACCGGCTTTAATTTATCTATTAGACTGTATTAACAAGAGTGCTGATTCTCCGTTTATCACAGATGCCGACGACCTTTGGATGAATATTACGAAGATGAATAATCCAAAGATATCTTCCTTACTAATCTTATTGACACAGCTGTTCGACATCTGCTCTTCCATAGACAAGAAGTTCCTCAACAAAAACTTCGACAGCTCAGTTGGAATCTTCCGGCGTCTGGCCCATGACAGGCATCTCGACATCAATCACTCCCTCAGTAGGCTTGCCACGTCTCAGACGGTCTCCATGTCGCTGTCAGGCCCCGGCCCCACCCTTCGGCAGTTCATTCAGTCATGCGCATGCATGCCCACGCTCGAGCCAAGACACGTGCAGTGTCAGCGATCTTGTACTTGTGGCTGTGGCGTCATTCAGTGTGCGTGTGGGTGCCCTGAGTGCTGCTCTTGTCATGACTATACGCCCCCGCCTTTTCTTTTCGAGATGACAGACGCCAAAGCGCCCATGGATGTCATGGAAGGAAGGATTGGTTTTCTGCTGACGGTCTTGAATGGGATTCTGGGAACTCTAGACAAAAACCCATCTCTTCGCACGGGTCTAGATAGCGTTTACTACAGGCGGGTTCTCCTCTGCGGAACTACGTGTTTGAATAATCTCTACACAGATTATCTTCAGCGCTTCAAGAACCTTGACGCGTGCTCGGCCACGGGGATATTCCATGGTAGCTGCCCGCTTAGTGTTCTGCGCGTATGCAGCGCGATTACGTCGGGGGAGGACGAGAGCCTGTTTTTGCGCCACAATCTTGCGGACAACGCGCGAAAACCTAATGATAAGCCCGCCGATAGTAACGCTATCCTTACCTTTGCGTCTTAGACAGCGTAATTATGGTAGTTTGTAAATTATGTTATCTGTCCGCAGTCCATGCATCCACTCACTAGCTTCCCACAAGAACGCGGTGGTGCTACTGCGCATCATTGTAGAAGAAGAGACAGAAGAGAAGGTAAATCAAAAATATCTCAAAGCTCTAGATGGAGCTTTATGTCGTGTACTCGACAAAACTGGTGGAGGCCAGGGCATGGCTTCCTTTCTCAACGGTCTCCATGGAGTGCTCGTCCGTTCTGTCTGTGGCAGAGGCGGATTTAGAAAGGTTTTGCATCGATATGGTGCAATGGCTCAAAGATGTGCCAGAGAATGCTTTATTGTCATGTTTATCGCAACAGTCCCAAGAAGACGCCAGTAAGCTAGGGAATACCGTTAACATTTACCGAATAACCTGTCATGTTAGCTTTAGAGACGCCGATATGTCCCAGAACAAGTATTTGGCGCGTCTGAAAGCACTGTTGCATCGCTGTGCAACAGGGTGTACTATAGTATTTCAGGTGGAGACATATCGGCCAGTATACCGTCAAACTATCGTGGATTTTTGTATAACGTCCGCATTTTTGGCACAGCGCCTGGATTTCTACCAGTATTTAGAGTTTCTTGAGGTTAGCCAGTCGAAAGCTCAAGTTTCAGCAGCCAATCCCGCGTCTCCAGATGAGAGTGCTAAAGAATTCATTAAAAACAGCTTCCACAGACTAGTTGCACCAGTAATGAGCTTTAGAACCATTGACACATTGAGGAGTAGCTACTCAGGTGCACAAACAGAGGAGTCCAGAGAAAAGTTCAGGCTTGATCTTTCGCGCAGACTGTTTAATGAAACGGTATTTGAAGAGGTTGAGGAGGCACTTTCCAAGGAGCTTACAATTCCCTTGTCCAAACTGTCGGTAATTGTCCTCAATGCTTGTGAGAAGGCTCCTTTTCACAACGATTATTGTAATCTGCTTTTTTCTCTCTATGGCCTGTCAAACATAAAGTCTAGTCAGTACATACGTGGCCGTCATACGTCACTAACCTTAGAGAACGAGCTATATAGGTGCACGTTTCTTTACATGTGCATGTATGAATACATCTGGCTGGTGCTTCAGAACTCTCTGCTGGACTCTGTTGAAGAGCCTCAGGAACAAGGGAAAACAACGAAGATGATAAGAGGGAGCTTTACAGAGTCCTTCCACCAGGTGATCACCAGTGTCTATCGTCGGAAGCTGCAAGGATCACAGGACATAAATTCAGCATACATGGCATATGGTTCTAGCAAGCCTCTTGTGGTGCCAACAGGTCGCCTGGCCATACCATTTTCGCCATTTCAGCATACACAAGGGAAAGTGAAGGATCTGACGTCCATGCTGAAGCGACTTGGGTTCACACTCATAACTGCTACCCCTGTCACTCGGCAATCTCCCGTATCCACACTATCAAAAGAGACATCCATCCCAACGCGGCCTTCGTCCAGTCCTCAGATCGCTCCCAGCAAAACTCCTGACCCAGATTTACCTGTCTGTGGCACACCCCAAAACATTCAAGCTCAATACAAGCTTGTTGAATGCAATAGCTTTGTTCTCAAGAACGGCCACCCACTTGACCAATTTGAGCAAATAGAGACGGGTAGGTTTAAAGCAGAAAGCAACAGACGATCAATGGATCAATTTACCATATTATCAATCAAGCAGCGCAACACTATGTTCTGGAACGCTTGATCAATCCGTCAGCATATTCAGGAAGTTCTCCTTCTCAATGGCATTATTTGCAATTCTAAGTTTATAGTAGGACCCATCTCCGCAGACCACAATCATGCAGTCGTTGGTGATGAACCTGCAGAGAGACACAGGGTCATCCAGGGCTATCTTCGCAAACGACCACTCGGAGTCGAAGTACTTGTTAATAGTGGACATAAACTGCATCTTGTGCTTCTTGTTGTCGGCCATCTGGGGCTGCATTCCATAGGCCATCTGGGTAGGCTGCATCACGTAAAACGTATGAAGCGTCTTGCGAGACGACGTTACAGCGATGATGGACGAGTCCGGCGAAAAGCCGATCGACTGGATGTCTGCCTTTTCACTCCCTCGTCGGACCTCCTTGATCTTTTGGAAGGAGTCTGTGGTCCAAACGCGAATGAGAGTTCCCTTGGAGCTAGCCGTGGCAATGAAGCGTCCATCGAGAGAGAAGTTGAGGCAACGAATATCATTCTCGTGGCAGATGTTGACCAGATACGTAGCGCTCATGTTGGCTGAGTAGCGCTTGATAAGCACCTCGCCCATGCGAAGCCCAAGGGTGGCGATCATGACGTCTGTGTCCCCAACCACGGAAAAGATCCCGTGAGGATTGGGATAAGTGTCAAATGAATCCAGAAGCCTCATGTCTGATAAGTTATAAACGAATACCTTGTTCTCGAAGACGATGAAGATCTTCTCTCTGGTCATGCAGGCGTTGAGCACGGGGGTTCTAAAGTGGACCTCTCCGATTGTCCTTCCACTCTGGTCGTCATAGACGGTGACCGCGTCCTTCGGGTAGCGCGAGTTCATGCCTGTTCCGACGATAGCAAGGATGGACGAACGAAAGAGCATGGCAACAACAGAGCACCCGTCAGGGAAGTCACGGCCGTAGAGAGGGCGGAACGGAACGGTGTTAAACACACGGAAGCCCCTATTTGTCCCTACAGTGATGCAGGATCCGTCCTGATTGAAAGATAAATAGAGTGCGCTGTTCTTGCCTGACGTAACCTGCATTAACCTTTTTTAGTTTCCTCGGTGCTTTTTTTAATATAAAGAAAATTAAACACTTGCTGGTTTAATTACCATTTGTCCCCGGGCTTCTTTTTAGCGTTCCCGCGGTGCCGCATCTCATCCCGCTTCTCCGCCTTTTTAGAGCGTGTTTTTATATGGCTTCCAGAGTACTTTTTGTTGTCTTTCCGCGACATGGAGACTCTATCTCGACACCCAGAGCCTCCTTCCCAGTGTGCAGTCCTCTTATGCGTAAGGTCTCTCTTGCAATATGGGCACGTTGGTTGCACGCCCGAATCTTTTCCGCAGAACCCACAGACTTGCATGCTTGCCACTGAATTTCCGCATGCACATGCTTTACTGTGGCACGTATCGCAAGGATATGCAAGTCCACATGCAAAACGGAACCAGCGGTAGCTGTGGGACGCGTGCTTGCAGGATCCGTTGTTTGGTAGGGGGCCTGGTTGAATCTGCTGCTTCTTCTGCTGAATAGATGCTGTCTTAGGAAGGTGTATAGTCATGCCATTTTGCAGTGCAAAGATTGCCGTGCTGTAGCATAGACGTATCTTGTCAAAGCATATTGGGCAGAAGCTCTGGACAAAGCTCACCTTGTGGCCACCTTGAATCAGTCTCCATCCGTTGTGTTCACTGGTACTATGGCAAGACGTGCACTGGCATATGATTCCACACTTATTGATATTGGCTAGATTGATAGGTAGACAGGAGGTATGTGATTCAACGAGTAAAGCCTCCGCACCATGGGGACCGCCTGAGAAACCGTTAAAGATCAATGACTCTGCTATGATCTGCATGGTGTGACCACAGCCAGTACAGTTTGTTGAACCAAAAAGTGTTGCACCCTCTCCCTCCCTGGGAGTTAGGACGAGAACTGCTATGCGTAGGCACTTTGAGCAAACAGTCGTGATATGCGGTGTCTTAAATTGGAGTAGGATGGCTCCAGTCAGAGATAGGTTCTTAATGTAGAGGCGTAGGCCACTCAGCCTTTTTCGCTGCCTCTCGTGCTGCTTCTTTTCGTTGTCTAACTCGTCTAGTATATCGTGTTTGCTGTCAGCATCATCAGCAGCAGCAGCAGCGAACGCGTCCTTATTGAGCAGAAAGTTCTCACACACTGATGCCGGAATACCGCTAAAGTCATAGTTGCCAATGCATGATTCTGTGCTCTCTTCGCTACTATTGTCTGTGTCATCGGCGCTATTTGATCCACTGCTGTCTGAAGACGTGGTATCTTCTTCGTCAAATGGAGTGTATCCATCCGCCTTAATCTTCCCCAGAGCCCGCGCTACTTTCAAGGCACTGGCCTTCTCCGCACTGGCATTCAGAAGGTCCGCGAGAATGTCTGGAAGAAAGATAGTAAAGAATGCATGTATGTCCGTAAAAGTAGTCAATCTATCGTCAACTGGTATTTTCGATAGAGTCCCAGGCAGGGCGGCAATTAGATCCGACACCTGCTTATGGATGACTTGCTCATATATTTCTAATTCGTTAGCTGGGCAGGTGTCTTCCAAGAAGGGATCTTTTGTGATAGACGGGGCCATGTGTAGCATTAGATTAATTCCTTTGGTCAAATAGTACAACACATCATAGTCGTACTTATCAGCTGAATACTCTATGGCTATATCTCTTTTTGCGATGGACTGTACTATTTGTAGGAGTGTGTGCTTAGGATCTGGATTTACGAGCGGGGTCTTGGCCCTCTCGCCGAGCATAACGTTTATTATTAGAGGAAGATGCATGTCGGGGAACTCAGAAATCCCTTTGCAAAGAGACGGAAAGTTTGGTCGCAGCTTCTCTATAGATTCTTCAGACAAAAGAGAAAATGGGAAATTGAACTGGAGAAGAATGGTATCAGATGTGGAAGAGAGAACAGTGAATCCGTTCTCAAAGAAATATCGCCCCAGCTTTAATAATTGAATCGTTGAGATGCATCGGGGAGCAATCGTCAATCCGTCGCTCATTACCGGATTGTAAATCCCACGTATCTCACTGATCTGCTGTCCATTCTGATTGGTGACTGTGACCTTTGTATCAACTGGTTTAACTGTCGTTTCGCCCCCGAGGAGTGCCTCAAATATTTGCGAATATGTTGCACTATTTTCTTCAGTCCATGAAGGATTGCTATTGATGGGGATTACATTAATGGAGCGAGTGCTAGGGACATAGGGAGTAGCTTGAAGTTCAGATTCCTTAGAACACATAGAGGACTTGGCAAAATAGGCGAGCTTATGCTTCACAGCATGCTTTAGCTCTTCGGGAATCTCACCAGCTGAGCGTGCGTAGAGATCCGCATAGTATTCTCCAAGGGTTTTGAAGTCAGAGAGAGATCTGAATTTCAGGTCCTTGGGTGCTGAAACCTCCCAAGTAATTACATCGCCGGTCGATGTGGCTAAAGTATTCTCCAAGTCCTTGACAGCCTTAGTGTCGGCTGCTGGAATGGTGACTAACGCAGTACATCTTTCCACTGGATTAATGACCGACTCGACTGAGGCTTTCTTTGATGACGATATGGTTGACTCTGGTGCAGAGGCTGAGCAGCGAGGTGATGGTGGTAGCTGAAGAGTGAGATCCTTGGTATCTGCGGATTTAATAGGAGGTGGTTCTGATCGAAGTTGGTAGCGCATAATGGTCGTTGTGCCTTCATAATGTTGATACCTTTCAAAGTAGGTCCAGAGCTTTAAAAGCGATGCGTCATAATCCTCGGCTAGCCTTCTCACAGTCTCCTCTACTCCAAGCTCTCCAATCATGTCGGTGACATGCTTGGCTAATGCCTCTTTAAAGAAAGGTGGAAGGTCTTTTCCAGCAATCGCTACCTTGACTTTCGAAGGCTTATATGTCTTTGTGGAGAAGGCCAATATAACTGTGTACCCGGGTACATCAATTCTACTTGCATCCAGGGCCTGTAGTCTAAGCTTGCACGTGAAATAGTTCTCACGATATAACGGTCCTTTCTCAATAATGGTCACAGCATCTGCCCCGAGAATGTCTTCAAGAGCAGAATGCTCTTTCCTATATAGATTGCTCATGACGACTGCTACAAACAACTATAGAAAGTTTAGGAAATTTCGTTTTTACTCTTAAATCTTTGCGCTAGACCATGACAAGAGTTATTGAGCTGGGGGAGTATTCAGACCATGCATACGCTGCCATCTTTCCTGGACTGGGCCTCCTTCTCACTGATCCTGAAGGTGTTATCACTCTCTATAGAGACGATGATAAAGGTCCAGGGTTCATTGTTCACAAGGCGAATTCACCAATCACAGCTTTGGCATGCACCCATAATATTATACTAATCTCATGCGGAGAAACTCTTAGGGTGAGCAGGTATCGTCCTGACCTAGGAAAATTTGATGAGCTCAGTGATACTACAAATGAGTGTACTTTGCCGCATGCTGTATCGGTTCTTTACATTCTAGATAGCCACGGCTTCCTTGCTGGAACAGATGTCGGCGAGTGTTATCTTTTCCCGGTCAATCTTGATGACGAAGTAGAGATTGCTACCCCTTTACCAGAGCCGGTACTTCTTGGCAGACTAAATGACGCGATTACCTCACTTACTAGCTCGGAGACAATGATACTTATAACCTCTCAAAGTGGCCAGGTGCTCCTCCTAGACATTTCTTCATACTTTCAGCCAGAAAAGAAGCCAGCAGAAACAGCAACTGTTTTCTCGACTAGACTCCTTTGCGCAGAGCTGCTACAGCCGGGATCCATATCTTACGTTACTCGCCTGGGTTCTGCACTTTGTGGGAGCGACTTTCTCCTTCCGGGGGTTGAATTGGCACTTCGATCTGTGTCACGGCCACAAGCGCCCATCATGTCATCGGCTCTTCCAGATAACGACACTGTTATCAACTTGCAATATGTCGTTTACGAAGGAGAAGCGACACCAGCACTCTTCTCATGTGTGTCAATGTCCCAGGATCAAGTATGTTCGGTGCACCTTGTGCGCTTTACTGGAAAGAAGCAAACGCCCTTTCTTATTTGTTGCATGCAAAAGTTTCCCAATAAGGCATTCATTGTTTCCCATTATATCCAAACTCGAGATGGGCATATCTGTAGATTAATTGTACTCACTGCCTCTCCTAACGAGGGGAGGGCTCTACACATATATGACAACTTCTATACGCTGACACATGCAGATAAACAGGCGCTGAAGGGATCCGCAGCTACAATCAACGACCAAATCCAAGAATTAACAGCACAACTCCTCACAGAAGCTATGACAGAACCTTTCACAAAGAAACAATTAGCCCATCAGGTTAAGACTTCTAAACCTAGTGAGCTCAACGAAGAACAGTCTGCTGAAAGCAGTAGCGAGTCTGAGAGTGATCAAGATACTGTCATTCCACTTGGAAAAGATACAGTAGAGCACGAAACAAAGATCTCATCAGGATCCATCGTGGATAAGATTCCAGAAGGATATAGTCTTCTGGTTGAACGGTTTGCTGATCAAGTCCTTCAAAAGGTTATTCTACACACGGGCTCCTCTCACACGACCTCTCCTGCCCTACTAGTCAACTTCTTTGTTAAGCTAGGTAGCACCACTCTCCGCTCTTGGGACTTTACCTCACTATTAACGAGAATTGAGGCACTCGGTCGCTCGTCCCGCACGTTCCTTTGTTATACTTCCAAAGGATCGGTGCAGATGTCTGCCTTTGATAACGGCACATCCTTTATCATCTATTGTAAGCCTCATACCTTAGGGGCACGGGAGCAAACATACACCCTACCACAGCCCGCTATTCATGCGTCTATCTCGGATTACGGAACTGCTATCCTCAGAGAAACATCTCTATCTGTCTATCCTTATCAGGACTCTCCAACGGCTCCTGAGTTCAAGCGGGAGTGGAAGGTTGTTTTCCCTCCAACACTTATACCTGTTGCTTGTGCTTTTGGTGACGCCCGCTTTGCGGCTGTCTCCTTCACAAATAGAACGTTGATAGCATACTGTGGTGGCCTTGTTTGCTATTCTAACGTGTATGCCTGCTCCATTACCTTACTGCTCATGGAAGGGTCAATTCTTTTTGTATTGTCAGAAAACACCTTCTACCTTATAGATTTAGAAGCCAGAAAGACAATTGTAACAGGTACATCACCGGTCCCTCCTACCCATCTAATTTGGGGCTCCATAGATGAGTTCTGTGTGCTTTTGTACAGCCAAACAGGCACACTATTTGCGTTAAACATACAATCTATCTTCAGTTCTGTTACTTACACGTGGGTTCCCATTCTATCGGTAGTCGAACAAGAACGGAAACGGATATCTACCATCCACAATAAGATACATCGGTTCTACACATCATCTGACGTTCCATCGATATCCCTCAACGATATGTCAGCACTGAGGCCTCTGTTTTACTTTCCTGTGGATGTTAGTCTTGCTGATCTGTCCATGTATGCTATTTCAGCCTATGCACTGGATATCAAAGGCAGCTCTGATAAGATTATGACAGTAAGGCATATTTCCACCTCGCTACGAGGGGGAAAACTATCAAAAACCAAAAGTTCCACATTTCTCGAAGAACTGCGGAATGCATTCAACTGCGATCTTCAAAGGCTGAATGAATATCCGCTTCAGGCCCGTGTAAGCCTCCCAGCCATGGGCGAATTTGACGTCACACCCTGTGCATTATCTCCCGTTATTAATGCTAATGATGACGACATTGATCGTGCTGAGCGTGTGCTAGTCTTGCGAGAGATTGCACTAAATGCTCTCCTAGCGTGTTCCACCGATGAAGGAGCGCTGCGAACAGCAGAGAAACAATATGATAAAGAGGCAATCCAGTATATCAACCTCTGTCTGCGAGCAGGCTTGATTCCAAGGGCGTGTGCTGCTCTGCAATTGCTTAGAACCAGAGGGGCAATAGAAATGGGCTTACAGCTATTCAGCATCGTTGGAGAAACACAATTTGTTGATGCTATCTCGATGAAGCTGGACGACGTGTTTGGACAGGCTCAGGGTAACGAGGAAACGCAACTTGTACGAAACACAGAGATCCTGCCATCTGGGGTTAGTCCATTTTCAACCAGCTCCCTATGGGCCATAAAAAGTGATTGCTTGAGCGCAGGGACTCTATTTGCCCAGGTAAAGAGAGATACCCTGGAGAAGCAGTACAAGCTCATGATTGCTGAGATGAATGAGCAGCTCGCTATTCTAAAGACGCGCACCAGAACAGTTGAGGTAGATAAACTTACAGGGAATGGGCTAACCGTTCTGGATGAACATCCCGATAAGCATGCTATACTAGCAGACGTTAAAGAATCTCAAGAAGCAACCTTACAGGTAAAGGAGTCGTCATCCTATGCACCAAAGTCACGATCCATTATGGCAACAACCACTTCCCCAACAAAAAGCCTTGCATCTATCTTTCAAAAAAATAAATAATGGAGCTGCGACTGGGCGTGGAGCATGAGCATCTTGTAGACGGTCAGGACGATTTAGAGAACTTGGTGATAGATGACGTCCTCAGCTCAGCTTCATCTGGCTTACAGTCCGCTCGTTCTGAACGTCCATACTCTTTTATCAGAAACAATCCTGGGGACTCTCAGGAAAAGCATGGTATAGGTGTCTTCTTAACTTCAAGTGACGAAGTAACCAGAACAATGGACGATGTCTTACAAAAGGACAATCGGCTATCTGCATCTAGATACACCCAAAAGACTCTAGTCTCTCCTGAATTAGTGACAATACCTAGCACTTGTGGAGATGCATATCATCTCTCTGACGACGAGCAGAAGAGTTTCGATGGCATTGGGAGTAAGATTGGGCTGGTTGAATCAAAGACTATAGATTCCCCACCGATAGAGAACCAGATGCTATCGGAGTCTGCATTGGATCCCAAACAGCTAGATTATTGCCCCGAACAGTCTCGCAAAAATATAGCAAATCTTCAAGAAAGACTGGCAGACTTTAAAGAGAAGCACCCGGAAGCTGCGGAGTTGGCACAGGAGGCTCGGGATAGCGAGCGTGTCCTTGAGCTTCTGACCAATGCTACCACTGACGAGCCATCGTTTCTAGCCGAGCTTTCTGCGCTACAAGAAGTGCAAGAACTGTGGCGCACAACGCGGCCAGAACTATATCGGCTCGTTTTGAAGTACGGTGCTGTGCGAGAACAGATAAGACTCCTTATGAAGGCCGATAGAAACAAGGACTACCAGGACACCCTCATGAGTGATTTACTTGATGCTAAGAAGACTCTTGCCGACCTTAAAGCCACGCATCCCGATGTTTATGAATTAATTGCTGACACAGCCCTAGTGCAATCGCAAATTGCATCTATTAGTAGAGCAATGTCTCATAAGGGGCACTTGAGCGATAGACTGACGTGTCTCAGAGCCAGCCTCCATAAGCTGCAAGCAGATAATCAGGAGATTTTTGCCCAGCAGGCAGAGCTTCGACAATTAGAGGACGATATTAGAGACCTGCAAGAATTCTCAGACAATCGTGCTAAGTTCAATGCTTATAAATCTAGCGTTCTGGCTGCATATGAAGCTCTTCAGTTGGAGCACCCTGACCTTGTGGCGTCATTCTTAGACCTAAAGCAACTAAAGCATGAACTAGATACTATTAAGAGAGTCAAAGATGGCCTTATTAATATTGAGGGTGAGGTCCACGATGCACGGCAGCAGCTGAAGCAATTTAGGGAATCCAATTTGGAATTAGTTTCCCTTCTCGAAGAAAAGAAGCGCATAGAGGAAGACATAACAGAGATCCGAAATGGCATACAGAATATAACGCAGATTGCAGATGTGCTGCGCTCTTTGCAGGATATCTATGAGAACATCAAGGCAGAAAACCCAGAGCTTGTTGAGCTGCTAGACAGACGAAGAGCACTGAAGGATAAAGTTGTGCAGCTTCGAACCTCTATCAAGAACCAGAAGTACCTAGAGGACGAGGTCGCTGACATGCAGCATCTTTTAGACGAGCTAAGTCGCAAGCATCCTGATGTTCTACTATTACTCGATAGAAAGAAAGAGCTGCAGGCAGCTTTAGAGTCTTTGAAATTATATGCTACCAACGTCTCTGTTTTGGAGCGAGATATTGAGACGAAAACACGCACATATGTTGAGTTATGCAGCATCTTTCCAGATATCAAAGAAAGGATACTGAAACGCAAGTACATAGAAGAAGACATTGCTCTTTTTAAGAGCTTTTCTAAAGACCCTGCACGCCTGGCCAGAGACACCCTCGCCCTCAGTAATGCATACGAGCAGTGCAGAGCCATGTCTCCTGTCATAACATCCATGTTAGACACCCGGACCTCTCTCGTTGACTTGGTATCTGAAAGCGCTCAATGCAATGAATTGGGGCTGCGCAACTTGCGAGAAGCGCACTCTGATGAGTTGTACGATTCTATCTCAGCACCCCCTCCAGAACCGCTGCCTTCAGAACGGGGTAGGAGGGCGCCGGAGTCCAGACAGCAGCAGCAGCAGCCCAGGCCTCCTGAGTATGGACAGGAGTTTACAGAAAGCGGCATAGCGGACCGCATTTTAAACGTCGATTTGCCCAACATGATGTGTAACTTCTTCGGGATATCAACGCCACAAACAAAGAAGGGGCAAAAATTGAAGACAGTTAGCTCTCCATTAAGAAGAACTATTTCTTAGACAAAGTGCTATGTGGATGGTCACAATATTAAGGGGACTTTGACGAAGCACGTGCACATTTCACCGTTTGAACCTGCCATGCTTCCCGCACTGCCTCATAAATCTCCTTCACATTACACACATAGTCACAACCAAACACAATGTCGTGCCCGCACATATCATGCCGTATTAGGATGCTTATCAGCCTGCAAGTAGCAGCCCCTGGAAGACAGGTCAAGTGGACATTGGCAACGGCTTGCTTCGAAGAATCGGCCTTGCATATCCCCTCGTACAGAGTTTGTATTCGCATCAGTGCTAGTGAATTAAAGGGGGCATGGTTAGCTATACGTTTGTAGAGTTGCTCTTGGTCCTGAAACAGATCTGCTGTGCTCGTTCGATAGTAGAAATGCTGAAGTACGAGGTTGTCTTTTCTATGCAGCTGTGCATGCCTCTGTGCACGCTGATAGGAGTTTATGGTACTCTCATCTATCCAATCAGGAAGGCCAGGCTGGTTGAACGTTTCATTTACGAAAGTCTCGATAGCATCCTTGTCTAGTATGCAGCCTCTCGCTGAGGGATCCATTTTCATACTCCACAGCTCCTCTGTGTCGCGTGTCGGGGCTGCTACCATTCTATAGGAGAGGTGCGGATGCATTTGGTGAGTCCCCAGCTGGCTAACCGTGGCTACATACTCAACACTGGAATTAGTCGTCATAGATATCCCACTCTCCATCGTGTATAGCATGTTCCTACCGTCTATTGTCAGATTAATCATTAGTTCGTTAAGGTAAGATTGTAGTGCCCCTGTTTGCAATAGGTGTCTGTGACTAAATGTTTCACGAGTATCATTATACAGCGGGACATATACACATTCTAGCACCGAGCCGTCGAGATCCTCTAGGTGTACGTGAGGAGCTGTATCGGGTATGGCCAGGAGCTCTTGCAATTCAACAATGGAGTATTCTGGGCCTGGCTTCAAGCAGCTAAGTGTTACATAGAGTAACAATACATGTAGAATCCCACAGACCATGGCGAGGCGGCCACAAGAAGCAAGAATAGAAGCAAGGATAGAAGTAAGGATTTAGGATGGAAATCAGTCAATGATCTGTGGCAAACGCAATTGTATTTTCACTTTTCATGACTAATTACACATGTTATTTCAAAACTGAAATACAAGAGTGCAGCGAGGTAAAAATATTATGGCGGCGGCATCCACGGCCAAGATAGTGATCATTGGTAGCTACAATCGGGACCTGGTATGGTATGTCAAAGACTTTCCTATTGGAGGTCAGACGATCAATGGGAGCTTTGCGTCTTCCCACGGAGGTAAAGGGTCCAACCAGGCCATAGCCTGCGGAAAGGTTCTTCGTGATCCATCCAGGGCCTTCTTTGTGGGTGCGGTTGGCAAGGACACTTTTGGGGACGAGATTCTGGCTCATTATAGGGAGCTTGGCATCCCCAACTGCATCAAGCAGGTGTCCGGGGCACCCACCGGTAATGCAGGGATCTATGTTGCGGAGTCAGGAGAAAACATGATAGTCATCTCTGAGGGTGCTAATGGGATGCTAAAGCCAAGCCTGGTGCCGGATTTGATGGCTGTGTTGGTGAAAGCCACACTTGTAGTCATGCAGTGCGAAATTTCTCCAGACAATACACTCTTGTTTGTCGAGGTCATCAAGCAGGCTAAGGCACAGAATAGTAGTCTTCGATTTGTGTTCAACCCAGCACCGTATAGAGCTGACTATGACTTCAGCAAGATCCTTTCCATCACGGACATCTTCTGTCCTAATGAGCTGGAGGCGCTTGAGATATCTGGTACAGGCAGACTTGAAGGGATTTGCGACGATTCTATGATGAAGGCTCTTGTGGAGAAGATGTCTAGTCTTTCGCCTTCTCTCAAGTTCGTTCTTTTCACGCTGGGTAGCAGGGGGTCTCGCATAGTGCAGACAAAAAGCTATGAGTCTCGGACTGTTGGGATATACTCCCACGGGAGGGCGATTGACACATCAGGAGCTGGAGACTGCTTTATTGGCAGCTTTTGTGTGCGTCTTATGGAACTGGCCGAGGAGTCTACTCGTGGACCATCTGCACTTAATGACATCGACACTATTGCAGAGGCTGCGCGCTTTGCAAGTGTTGCGGCAGGCATCTCTGTAACCCGCAAGGGTACCTCTGCGTCGGTTCCCAGGCGTCAAGAAGTGGATGATGCCCTGTCTAAATTTTCTGGTAAATAAAAGATTGATTTAAGCAAAATGACTGTGTGTGTTGCTCAGGCGGAGCGTGGTGCGTCAGAGCTGGAGTCTAAGGCAATGGTGAAGAAAAGCAACGATGCTGCGTTACTAGTTGCCCACCGTATCGCGGAAGTTGTCCGCAGCAAGCCGAATTGCGTTCTGGGCCTGGCGACCGGATCGACCCCCATCCCCGTCTACCAGGAGCTCGCCCGTCTCCACCGCGAGGAGGGCCTGGACTTCTCGCAGGTCAGGACGTTCAACCTGGACGAGTATGCAGGGCTTCCTCCCACGCACGACCAGAGCTACCGCTTCTTCATGGAGGAGCACCTCTTCAGCAAGGTCAATATAAAGCCGGAGAATGTACACTTCTTGAGCGGACTGGCAATACGGGCTGAGGATGAATGCATAAGATATGAAAATGCGCTCCAAACAATTGGCCCCTGCGACGTCTGGCTTCTGGGGATCGGGCACAACGGTCACATCGCCTTCAACGAGCCGGGGTCCCCGAGAGACAGCAGGACGCGCGTCGTCTGCCTGACCCAGAGCACGATCGACGCCAACGCGCGCTTCTTCGGAAACGACAAGTCGAAGGTCCCGACCAAGGCCCTCTCTGTGGGGATAGCAACCATCATGGAGAGCCGCGAGATCCTTCTTCTCGCCACCGGTGAGAGCAAGTGTGAGGCTGTGACAAAGGCCATAGTTGGGGAGCCAACAAATGCTGTTCCTGCCTCGCTGCTTCAAAGACATCCTCGCTGTTGCTTTTATGTCGATGAGGCCGCAGGTGCGGAAGTCGCCGAGACCGTTACAGAATAAATTGTAAAGTAAAAAACACCTGGGGCTGAACCATGCGGTGCTCCTGCGACGTCCGGGTTGTCTTTGCCGTAATTGGTTTCCTTCTCTTCGGCGGGATCACCACAATCGCGCAGAATGACTACCTCACTTACACAACGACAAATTTCCCGGGAAAGGAGGGAGTAGTCACTGAGTTCGCTTATCCCTGGTTCGGGAACTTTCTGATGTTTTTTGCAATGAGCCTGGTAGGCATTGGGTGGGCATACCAAGCGGCAAAGGCGCGGAAGGACAAGCGCCTGTATGGAGGCGTTCCCGATCACAATAACGAGTACTCTACGGAGAATGCACGTGATTTAGATTCTTCTACTGATGATGCATCAGATGTTCTAGAGAGCTTCCGCCCGTCAAAGCCCGTGCAGCGCCTTTCCTGTCGTCAGCGCTTTATGCAAAACGCTTGGGGAGTCCTCATAATTAGTTCAGTGTTTGATCTCCTAGCAAGCGGGCTAGGTTCTGTTGGGCTTAGCTCTATCTGTAACGTACCACCCTCCGTCTATCAAATGCTCCAGGGCGCCATCATTATATTCACTGCCCTCCTTTCGCGCTGCTTCCTCAAACGCAAAACGACTGCTCAACAAAATCTTGCCATCTTCATATGTATTTTGGGGCTAGTGATTATAGCAGTGGCTTCATACCTAGCAGACCTTTACTTCCCAGACATCCAACCGCCAGCTCCGCAGGATCCGCAGGTCCAGAATTATATGCATCTTTATGATATACGCGCCATAGAGTACAAGCGAACACTTGCTAGTGCTGCTCTGCGCTTTGTTATGAAGCCACACGAGCGTAGGCAGCACGGGATCCACACATATTTAGCTACGGCAGAATACAGGGATGGACAGGTACTCACCACCAGTCTGCCCAAGTTCCTGGACTGCGTTCTAGCTGCTGCTCCTCTCACTACCGAGACTGAGAGTGACAAGACTAACAGCACCATGCTGGTCGTTGGAATAGTACTAATCTTAATCAGCCAACTTATCTACGCCGGCCAATTTGTCGTTGAAGAATATACCATGTCAAGAATAGATGCCTTTCCATCCCAAGTCGTGTGCATAGAAGGCATATACGGATTTATTATCAGTATTGGGCTTGTATTTCCCGTTCTTATGGCACTCAAGATTGAAAATGACTTCGATGCCTTTCTATTCATTAAATCAGAGCCTAACATTTTAGTTCCCATGAGCATATTCTTTATTACAGTGGCGTTGTACAACGGATTTGGGCAGACGATAACCAAATTGATATCAGCGAATCATCGGACAATCCTCGAGGGTTTGCGTGGACTGGTGGTATGGATTTTTGCCCTTATTGAGCGCGGCATATTTGGGGCCCCATGGGGAGAGGGCATCTACGGCTGGACAAGTGCGATAGAGGCAGTTGGCTTTGTTGTTCTCCTCGTCGGATCAATGGTTTATTATTCTATTATAAAGTGCAATTGCTTTAAGGGTTCACGGACGGAAACAACCAACAAGTTTGCTGCCATAATGGAGGAGACGTCAGCTGCGCCCTATGAGGTGTTCTGCTCTGAAACCGTTTCTTCGTCTGCATGAGCAGATGTTAGCATTGTAGTCTATTCTGTCTGTAAGTCTATGCGAGGTAATCTGTGTCCGGAGTCCGCGCTTATATTGTAGTAAACAATGTTGTGCCGCAATTCGTTCAGTTGCAGTGTTTGTTCCTTGACGATGAGCTGCCACTGCTCCCGGAAGGTCTTCAACTGGGCAGAAATTGCTGCGTGCTGTTCGAGTAGATGCTGTCTCCGACACCTGTTTGTATCGGGGATAGCTAATAGTGCCTGTTCTGCCTGAATAAGCTCGGTCTCTGCAACGCCGATCTTATGCTGAAGAAGCCTCAGCTCTCCAGCAATCAGGTTGACCCTCTTCATAGGCAAGGTGTGCATGGCAGACCCATCATCCATCAGCTGTGTTGGTTTAGGGATCAGAGGGTAGGATGTGGGTGCCGGTGGCTCACTTTCAGGAATGGGTGGGGATGATGAGGCCAATGCCAAACTACGATCAATCGAGTGGAGCAACTTAGAAGCCTCGACAACAGAGCTAGTGACATGTTTGTCAAACGTTTCCTGGGCCAGGGAGGAGGTGTCTGGGGTGCACTTTGTGAGAGATGTCAGTTGACTAAGAGCTTGGGAAATGAGTTCTAGTTGAGCTTCGTCCGAAGTGCTAGTCGAACTATCATCAGCATAGATCGGTGGTTCAAGAGACGCTAGCCGAAGGTCTGGCGGAGATGAGGACTTCTGCACAGGGGACGGATCGATCTGTGAAAAGGCTCCAGAAGGCTGTAGTTTGTCTTTTGCAAAATCAAAGGAAGCATCAAGATCGCAATCAAACCCCTGCGCTCTGAACCAGGACAATGACCACGGGGTCTTGTCCTCTGTCATGAAGCGTTATAGATTTTGAAGATGTCAAAACGCGCCTGAGCTTTGGCTTGTTAAGCGAGGATTATAGGCTAAATCGATATCTAATACTCATCATCACAGTACACCTAACCATTCTTTAAGAACCTTTGAGAGTCGAACATCAATCCAATTTACATCTGTAGGGAAACCTCGCTATAGAGGACATGCATCATAAGATGTCATGCTTCAGTGACAACCTCCTTAGCGTTCTCCCTATGACTGGCACAATTGGCGCAGATTTGACAAGGCGCTATACTGCTTATGTCTTGGTATGGGAAAAAGTATGCGTCTGTTGACATACACAAGGGGCAAAAATGACCGGTGCAGGCGTGACAGTAATGCTCTGGCCGTTTTCCGCCACACCTTGCACAGCGGTTACTAGGAAGTGCCGGTGCGCAGTCAATGTACCGAGGGAGTCGCATGATCATGGTCGATAAAGAAGCTACAACCCGGTCATTGATTGATAAACTCATATGCGAGCAATCCGTTGCAATCTTCCAGATGGGAGACCTACTACTGGTTACGATCTCTGCACACAGTTTGGGGACTAGAACGGTCACAGTGCGGTCTTTGAAGTACTCTACATGCTTTATTGCAAGGGGATGGGATGGTCTATGTGCCGGAGCTGTGCAAAGAAGATTTATGCGTGTGGGCTCAGAATCTGTCGTAACCTTGGTCTTGATCTTTATTCTCACCGTCTCTGTGAGAAGTGACGGTAGGAGTACGTAAACTCTGAGAACACCCTTCTTATCTCCCGTTAAGAGCAGGTTATCTGCAATGGCGAGAAAGGCTGTGGTCTCATAGGAGGGTAGAAGAGCATAGAGAAGTGCAAGGCTTGTGCTCCAACAAGAGAGGATCCCTTCTTGAAGCACCCAAATTCTGCCGGCAATATCAGCTATCTGAGTCTGGACGACAGACGATGGATGCTCCACCGGGCGCATTGGCTCAATGGCGTGAAGCTCCACAATGGCAGCGCCGGTGATGAGATTGTACAGAATATGCCTCTGACCTACAGAGACTAGAATAAGTCTATGGGGATGTGAAACTGTTACGGCCGAAAATGGCGGAGTGGCCAGAAGCCGAACATGCCCGGTGACACTCAGCAGGCCAGCTTTCAGAGCATCAGGAGCAAATAGGACTAAATGAGTAGTTGCATCGGTGAGTGTAATGATGATACAGCTGTACTGAACAAAGCACTGTCTGATATAGATGTTCATGTGGCCTCTTCCATACAGAAGGAAAGGAAGATTTAGTGTGTGACAAGTATGGTGGGCCTGGTTAATTACGGCTATGGTGCGCATGTCTCTCATCAAGATAAGTAGAGAGTCAGGTGCTAAGGAGTAAATGTTTGCCAACATGATCATGTTTTGTAATTGGGTGTGTGAAACGCGTGGTTGCTTTGTCAGTAGCAAATTGTAAAACCATGGAATAGCTTGCTGTGGGCTAAATATATCTGCAGTTGCCGTGGAAATATGTTCCCCTTCGGAAGTGCGGACCAGTGACACTTCAGTCGGGTAGAGCACCTTCAGGAGGTCGTCAATGTGGAGAAGGTAGTCATATATGCGAATTTTCGTTTCGTTCTTTCCCCTAGATCCTAATACAGACTGGTAGATGCACTGTAGCACAGGTCGCTCTTCCACAGACATGCAGATAACGTCTCTAGAGCAAACACCAAAGTTCTTAAGTTGAGAGTATGTGCTTATCCTCGTCGAGAAGTTAGAAATACAATCCAGCGCAACAGAATCAGGATATGTTAGCCAGTAGTATATATTGAAGTGAGCTAAGCTGTTCTGCTTGTCACCAAACAGAAGACGGCACCATTGATAAAGGCTTGGAAAGGTGGTATACTGAGCCAACCGTTCTCTATTTATTAACGTGTAAAGAACCGTGTGCAGATAGGTGTCTAAAATGTCCTTGCAAGCAGTGCAGCCAGTCGCGTTCATAGAGTCACAGACCAAGTCATGGACTGCCTCGCCTGTGCTTCGTATACCAAAGTCATGAGCAGACTCATTAAGGAACATATTTGGCGCATAGAATAGCTCTGGTATGAGTTCTCGGCACTCGCTGAGATTTGTATCCTTCACGGAGCTCCACAAATCCGACACATTGCTGAAAATCCTATCTGGGTTATCATATTTTCCATCATGTAGAAGGAGAGCTGCTGCCGAGAAGGGCTGAGATCTGAGGAGCATTCCAGCAACAAACCCAGAGGTAGAGTAATGGCTCCCAGCAAGGAACGGAGCCGTTGTGAGGCTGTTATATCTATCCATATACTTTGCACGCTTGGACTCCGTCTGCTCCATGACTGTTTTGGCCAAGTTGCGGTCATCTGCAAGCCATGGAAATACAGGATACATAGAAGTGTCGCTGGAGCAGCGTCCAGCTACCATATTCAGCGCAATAACAGCCTCAATATGGCTTAGCTTTCCTGAGAACAAAAGTATTGGAATACTGAGGGTAGAGGGAAGCTTAGACCAGGGCATGGACTCCGAAATGCGGTTGATGCTGGGACCTAAACCAAGGGAAGGCCTTTCTGCAGCGTGATAAGAGGATAAGAGAGAGGTATAGAGGGCCGTGCTATCAATGATTTCGCCGAAGTGTTGCTGGGCCTTTGTGATGAGGATTAGAGCTTCCTCGAGCAGAGTGGCAAGTTGCTTGTTTAGTGCTTGCAAGACAGTCTTGAAAATATCACTATATTGCGCTGTGATAGCCGATATCTGCTGAGGAAATGGCAGCTCATAAGGGTGCTCGTATAAACTTGCTTCAGATGGAGTGTCAGCATAGTTGATCTGTGGGATTTGAGAGCAGCATGAGTCCAAATGCATGCGCCATTTAGAGATATATTTCTTCAGCGATGCAACATTCGGTAACACAATTTCAAACCGTGCAGTGCCAAGATCACAGTCCCAGGATCCTTGTAGAGAGGTCTTCATCAAAGAGAAGATGAGAGCTATTGCAGACAGAAGGGAGTTGTTCTGTAGCATTAGTTGGCAGCTCGTGAATCTGTCAGATACCGGTGTTTTTGTTAGAACTGAGCGTGAACACTCCTGTTGAACGCGCAACATAAAGGCATGATCGTTGACGTAATGATTTAGCCGCAATCGCCTAGATGAAATACTATCAAGTATCTCGTAAGTGTAAACCTCGCCTTGCTGAAGGAGAACCTCTATTTGCGTGCACCTGTGCGCCGACTCCTTCCACAGAACGCTAGATATGTCTGACAATTTAATTGTTGTCATAAAAGGCAACAACTGAGCGGACCCTGTGCTGAGTTTTGCAGTTTGTTCTAGTAGAAGCCGCACATCTGTAAGGCACCGTTTTTCAAGGGCAGATTGTTCTGTGTGAGAGTCCGAGAGGTTCATTACTGGCGCTATAGAGTACTCGGAAACTGGCCTTCCTGGGGGATAGTTGCATCGCTTGACCAGAGAGGTCAAAAAGTGCTTGAGGTCTTTGAGAATCTCTCTTTGGGGCCCATGCTGCTCAGAAACGAGTTCTAGCTTTTGCTCAGGAAGTCTGGTCGATATAAGCAGTGTTTGTAGCATCTCTTGCATAGACGAAACGATCTTTTTAACAATCGAAGGCTGATGCACTGCAGTTGGCAGCTCCTCCTCTTTCTCAGCAGAGATCTCTTGCGGTGAAATACTAAACGCATGCTCCCTCAACCCATAAATAATCTCCTCAGAGACCAACCTCCACCCTGGAATGAAGTATATTGCCAAATCGGTAAGGATAAGAATGCCCTCATTTGGTGAAACCAGCTCTGTCTCATAACTGGCATATGCAATGAACTGCACTAATTCTGTGGCTGGTAAGATGTCTGCAAGACTGATAACGGAGTTGGCCTGCAATATATCATGAACTTTCCGCTCCAACTGTATCAGTAGAGACTCAAGCACTTGGGATGCTTTGTACTCTGGCGTGAATGCGCATGTTGCTCCAATGAGATTCTTTGTCCTCAATGAAAACTCATGAGATGTTCGATGGTAGCCTGCTACGCAAGCGAGAGGACCGCCCAAGTGGTAATAGCGACTTACGGCAGCGATAGTGGACAAAAGATAGTATACACTCCCTGAGCGAATGGGACTTAGGTGAATGTATGGAGCAGGAGTAACCACTCGACGAATGGCTTTAACCGGCGCGTTGGCAAAAGAGCTTGAAGACTTGGCTACTAGGTGTATGCTGCCGCTCAGCCCCATCGCCGTCAATCTAAAGCAATGTCGTCCAAATAGATATGACTCTACAATAACAAGTGTTTTGAACCTAGACGACTGCAGGGTACTGGGATTCGCTCTATTAGGATCCGTGTATTGCCTCACAAAGTCTAGAAGTGACGTAGTCGTGCCTTGGACCTTGACTTTTCCTTCCACAGATAGGTCTTCCCCATATATGGTCTGAATAAGATCAATAATGCACGTTATATTTCCAAGCTTGAAAGTGCTGGCAACAAAATAGAAGAATATGACAGACGAAAAAGGTATCATAGTTCTTACTACTTTAGAGATTGCATGGGCCAATTCTACATTTGATGTATGAAGTATTGAGAGCAGAATAGCATTAATGACACCCTGTACAATCTTGAACTTTGTGAAATTAAATCCCTGAAGCAGCTCACTGAATTTTATAGGTGTACGGCCTGGTTTCCCAGCAACATCAGAGGATACAGCTATTGCATCATCATCGCTTTCCGACACAACAGATTTAGACGTGACGAACTCTAACATCTTGTTGTAGTGCTTGTATAGTTGCAGCTTCAACTTTGGACTCTCTGCTTTACCCAAGTAAATGTTACAGAGCTTTGTCACTGTAAGATCATTCTGCAGGATTTGCTTGATAAGTGTAAATGGATATCCATGTGTTGCAACGTTTCCAAGAGAATTATGAAACGAAAGAGGAAGAATCTCCAATGCGAGAATTTGCATAATTAATTCCTCATATTTAGAGCATAGGTCATTTGCAGATGGCTCCAGTGTTCGATGTTCCATAGCAAGAGAATAGTACTCAAAGACACAGGTGACGTATTCAATGAATAGGTCAGGAGAATTTAAGGTCTTTACCTGTGAGGTGAGAGTGCGTACAAACAAAAGATACATGGCTTGCATGTATTGTAACGTGTCTTGTAGAACGGTAAGTGAATACTCTCCCAAGTCCAGATATCTCGCCAAGAGACGTAGCACAGAGGAAAAGACCAAGTCCACAAAGGGACCTATACTCAGGAGGTCTGTCTGAGTGTTTTCCACAAGCTCTTTGTGGAGCTTCACAATCCGGCGCTCCTTGGGCACAGAGTTCTTCGAAGAAACAATAACTGTCTGCGTGAGAGGAGAGAGGTGTAGTGGCGTATGGTGTGTGTATGAAGCCCCGGCTAACGACTCACAGATAAACTTCAAAAGGTCAAGGCACTTTTGCAGTGATGATACCTCTGTTGTAGCTACATATCCTGAGAGGGAGACAGCAAGACTCTCCGAAAGCAGCAAAGCTAGCAGTGATGAGAGGGATGCACAGGCCTTGTCGATCGCACAGAGCCGAAGGTTCTTAAACAAAAACCGGGTAATCATCTCTTGTGCTACAAGAGCCTTGCTGCTAAGAGGACTTGTATCTGCGAGCTCCACAGAATCTCCGAGTGCAGAACTGGTCGCTACTTCGACAATGTCATCAGAAGCTGTGTGTACTGATGCAGCTGCGTAAACCAAAGACACCAGTAGCAGGAGATGGCTTGAGTATCCATAGATGGCTTCTAGAGGATCACTGCTGGATGCACACTTTTGAATATGCTCCAGCTCAATTGGGAAAGCCTTCTGAAGCTCACGAGGCGCAATCACTCGGTAAAACACCTGCAGCGTGCAGTCAAAATTCTGAACATTATGATAAATGATAAACTCATTCGGATTCGCGGGCTCCAATAAGCTTCTTGGTCCTGACAATGTGCGTCTATCCTCTGGCCCTACTATATCACCTGTTCCAAGCGGTGCTGTAAAAAAGAATTGAGCAGCATTAAGAGTCATGCTTAAATCTGAAAGATAGTGTTTGAATAGCTCTCCTGGCGTATTGTTAACCATAACTGCTTCAAACATTGATAGAAGATACCTTAGTGTATGATTGAAGGTCTGAGGTGTTTTTAGTTGCAAGCAGTAAAATATGCGCAGCCCGCTGATGAAGGGCATGAAATACTCCATGTTGCAAATGCTTCCGTTGAGTGCATATGTGGAGGTGGACAATCGGAACCACGTCAATGGATCAAGGTGCTCAGTAACCGCGGCCGTCGATACTGAAAGGAATGACGCTAGAAGTGAGAATGCAGTCGCTAAAAATGCGTCGATAAGTGGACTCAATACCTGCGTTTGCCGAAGAGCGTCAAAGCACAGCTCAATAACAGTTCTGTATGCACCGCAGATAAGGTATAGTTGTGGAAGAGACTTGTGTTCGTCTGTGTAACGGATTACATAGCATGCAGAGTAGAGTTGCTGTATGATGGCCTTAAGGGATAGCGAAGTCAACTGCTCGATTACCAAGCAGTGATCGCTTCCGTCCGGGACTTCAGAAGACTCATTAACATCCTGGGCTATATGTGGATATAAAGCGAAAGAAGCTTGAAGAGAGGTGTAAGAGATCTGCAACTGATCAAAAATAACATCGGAGTTAAGAACCGTAAGCATGTCAACATGCACACTTGACGGCGTCCCCGAGGAAGAGTTACTTCGTATATTGGCCAGGCGATTGATTATTAGCGTAACATATCCAGTCATGCCGTGAAGTATGGCGTGTTTGGCAAGAGACACATATGGAGAGGTGCTGCTGTGCTGTTGTATGCAGTTTGCATGGTCACTAATAGTACCCGCCACAGAAAGCGAGTGCGTGTGAAGGGATGCCGTTATAAAAACCGTAGCACGAGATAGTGTCTTTATGAAAGCAAGCCCTACCGCAGAGTGAGCTACATCCTCTGCAGCAATCAGGGTATACATAATTCCAAAGGACTCAGTGGCTATGTATGTAAACTTTTGTGATATCTCCAAAAGAGACTGAAGAGGATTGGCAGAGGTCACGAGAATAGAACCAGCATAGATGAGAAATGCATCCATCATGCCGTGTATATACTGAAGCCAAAAGTCAGGAGTGAGTAGCTGTGCAAATAACTTGATATTTTTAGACGATTGCAAAAGGAGGCCTCTCAGCAGGTAAAGCATAAGCGGAACCGAGTCACTGGACAGTGCAATAGTGGCCGGCCATAAACACATAAATGAACTAACAGAATCTGCCACAAGTAGCTCCTCAACTAGGTAGTCAGCAAGCTCAGTTGGTATGCTAGATATTCCTGACTCCGTAATGGTTTCCAAAGTGAAGGAGATGGCATTCAAAAGAGCACCACAACGCTGCGAGTAAGCAAAAAGAGCGAAAAGAGCGTCACTCGCAGCAGAGCTTAGGCTTCCCTGAGATGCTATAATTAACGCTCTACACGCGGGTAAGAGTAGATTGCAATCGATGTTAACTGGTAAACTCCTTGAGTAGGCTAATGGGAAAAGAAACCTTTCCAGTGGAGGATTGGCAGAGACCACTGCACCAGATAGGGGCTTGGCTGTTACGGACAGAAATAGCTTGGTATTATCATCAGTTTGTGAGTGTATAAAGCACGAACTAGTTTGCGTGTGTTGTAACAGATTGACGCTGGAGTCAAAGACGAGCAACCCCTTACCAATGTACCACTTATCTATTCTTTCTAATTCACCAATCCGGGGGACTTTCACGATAAAACGCTTGAGAAGAGTAATGCTGGATAAAATTATAGACACTTTTGACCCCATATCAAGATACTTACGCAGTAATAGATTGGGATCTCCTCCCGTGATGCGTGCCAGTATGCCCATATATGTATGTAGTTCGCCTAACATGAGCACAAGCGACTGCCGCGACATTCCGAAGAGAGCAGACGTAGTGAACAGACTTGGAATAAAATTCTGATCAAAAAGGGAAAGCTGCTCGTGAAACGAGATAAAGTGGTGCACCGTGCCCAAGACTCCTGTTCGCTTAGCCTCGGAGAAGAAATCTCCTGACGAGCCTTGCTGATGAAATAGCTTGAAAAATGCACGTTGATACCTGGTGAGAAACGCAGAAACACACTCTCCGCTCCATGGCACAGGGTCTGGGGTGGTCTTCTCTGAGATTTGAGAGGAGATGAATGAGGATAACTCTAAAGAAGAAACGATTGGTACCTTGGTGAGAGTCTGGATCAAAAGCATAAGAAGGGAGATTCCACTGTAGAAAGGAACAGATGTAACAGGTTCCAGATAACCCAGGCGGAATAGTAGATCATCCAAAAGAAGCGTACCATCAACCGATGTTATTGCCTTTAGAAACTCGTTGTAGATAATTAGTGACGTAAGGGGTACAACTGACGCTAAATGGTTGACAACAGGTTGCATGTTTTCATTCAGCTCTACGGAATTAGGTTCTGCAGTCTTTAAAAAGGAAAATACAAGAGAGTCAGGCTGAAGAGACGTAGTATTGAACATCAGTGATTGCTGAGAAGAATGCGTTCGGATATCATAAAGTGTCGAAAGGGCAGAACTTTTATCACCTTGAAGTAGACGGCGAGACGGGGGTTCAGATGGCTGCGCACAATATGGGCAAGATACCGTGTACTCTTTGGGATGAGCCACTAGCTCACCAGTCCTGTTAACAGAAGCTTGTAGATCTGCGCATAATAGGTCGAAAAGTAGGTAGTCTGAGGTGGAGACCATATTACACTGAGGGCAAAAGAAGCCTCTACGTTGTAACGAGTGACAGCCCTCAGTAAAATTTTTGCAGTCAGAATAGATGTGCAGATACAAAGATTCAAAATCGGTGGCAAACGCATCCAGATACCTGCTGGATAAGTGCTCAACTGAGACCTCGTGCTGTTCTAAATATTGGGGAAACGCGCACAAGCAATCCTCAACAATGAGGGGCTCGGTTTTGCCTGGTGTGCTACTAATTATCTTGATGGCTGAAAGAGGATGTGTTTGACCTAATAGAGAGGTATGTGGGGTATCCAGTGGATCGTAAAAGCTGAGTCCGCATGGCATACGCGACTGGGATCTAAGATCATGTGCTAGCCCGAGTATGCTACCGAAGCTGGCGGGATCGTTGAATAGCTTCGAAATAGGCATACTCTTGTCAGTCAGCAGAGATACTTGAAATGGAGTAAGAATAAATGGTGAGACAAGAACCTGATCATACAGTAGTGATCCCTCTGTTGTTATCTCAATCTTCAAGGGGAGGCAGAGCCTAGGAAGCTGCTCTAAGCGAAGGGACGCAGAAGATCCATTAACCGTGACGGTTAAACCACAGATGGGTGTAAAAGAAGTGCCGAGGATAAATGAACTATGCTTCGAAACGCTTGACATTCCAAACCCAGAAACCGCTACACCAATAGTAAGCTCTCCATCTTCCACTGCGCTGGAGGGAAAGGCGTAATCGAGGGAATAAGTCCAAGCAACTGATGTAGCAACCAATCTTCGTAAGGACAAGTCCAGCGACAAGGTAAGAATAATCTCCGCGGAGTCAATTGAGAATATAGTTAAAACTAGGGAGCTGCTGTAACTATGGGTGTGAGAGCCATGTAGTATAACATGCAAGGCCTGCAATTTCTTGCTGCCATCAGTACTAGCATTAAGCTTATCACCCAATGTGTACATAGAGGAGTTCTTGGTCCTTCTATAGCCTAGCATGCTCTCGTGATATAATGCAAAGGATTGTGTGGTCGCCTTAAAGTACTGATCTGGCAAGCAAGAAGCTTCGGTTCGATGCCTTGAAAAGTGGTACAAAAGTGATAATATCGATTGTGTGCAACTGTCATGTGGCGCTTTCAAAAGTACTTTTTCTAACCAGTGAATTGTCAATCCATTGGAATGCAGCAAGAGGACAGGTAAAAATCTTGTAATGCTTTTATTCTCATTCCCATCTAAAGTGGTAAAAAGTAAAGTCAAGAAGTTAGTGTTCCCCACAACAACTGAGCCAAGACGCGCTCGATGACGAACCGCCAGCTCAATCGGTACACCTGTCTCCATAAGCTCCCTGTGCTTCTCAAAGACAGTTTTATCAAACGGAGTGTCCCTGGTTTCCAAGCAGCTAAGGTAGAATAACAAAACTGAAGGGTCTTCCAAGTAGTGGGCACGGATTGGTATCACCAGTTGCTCGCCATATGGGCATGCTAGTATAACAAGGGAGTAGTAACGTTCTGGAATCTGCTGCGCATACCCCTTGAGCTTTCCTGACAGGCCAGTTATAAGGTTGCCCAGGCCAGAATCTGTATGAGGTGTGCCAGGTACACACTCTGCTCGAGAAAGCTTCATCTTAGAACAGAGCACATCGCATATAACAGGAAGATAATTATTTTCAGCAGATGCTAAGAAAACAGTCGCAAGAGTAAGATTGGCCGCAATGGTACTTTCCCATCGCTCCTCTAATTTGAACTCCACGCACACCAGAGAAAGGAGTTTTTCTTGCAATAAGGGAGTTGTGGAATAGTAAAAAAGATATGCCAACAGAATAACCTCAAAAAGCTCAAGCGGCTTAGCAATATTACAACCCAACCCAGCCCAAAGTGAACCATCGCCTTGTGAGGATATCCATCCTTGGGAAATGCAGGCGCAGAGACAGCACATGTTGTAGATAATAGGAAATTCATTTAATTCCTGAATCGGTGCGTAGCCTAACAGAACGTCTTTGGAAATAGTTAGTCCGGGTTTTGTAAGGAATTCTGTGCGAGCATACTGTATCAATAAATCCAATCTGATACAACTGGCGGAGCGACCCCTGAAAAATAATAGCACAGAGGAAGCATAAGCATGGAAGTTACATGTCAATAGCGTATGCAATGCCTCAAGCAGGCCTGACGCCTGGAGTAGCGCTTCAGATGTGTCATAGTTTTCTTGCAAACGTAAGAGTATATTCAACAAATCCATGTTGGACCAGCGAGGTGTGTCGGAAGCACACCCTGATAAGCTACCCTTGGAAAGTAGGCCAGCAAAGAAAGCATAGACATCAAAGAATCTATTCAAAGAGTTATCCGTTGATTTGAGCACTCTTGTAGAGTGTTGTACCAAAGAATCCAAAAGGGCATAGAACGGCTCAGATGCAGACAGCGAGTCTTGGTCCAATGTTATTAAATATGGGATGATCCATTCTAGTAAATTCGTAATAGTCGAGGAGCCGCTGTCTAGAAATGGATAAGGCTGTCTGGTGTGCAAATTAATGAGTCTGGTGAGAACTTGCACAAACAGTGTACATGTTGAATTACGAAGCAGAACGGAGTGCTGAATGTCATATTTGTCACACGAGGTATTGCCCTCATTCGATTGTGGATAGATATCTAAATCTATTAGGGGAAGAGTAAGCAGATCTGCCACAAAGTTAGTAATCCAGTTGGTACCCCGAACACTAATGCACGATGCATTTAGTAGAGCTGCTGTCAAGGAATCACTAGGAGGTTCCTGAAACGCTTTCAGGATAGATTGCTGTTCCTCTATGGAGATAGGTTGGAAAATAGTAACCAGTAAGAGCAAGCGAAATAATGCTGGGAACATTTGACGATCATATCTAAACGACTTGATCAGGAGTTCCTTAAGAAGTTGCAACTGCTCTGAATCAAGCACGAAGATGCCTTGTGTGTAATAACAACACAAGAGCGTATTCTCGATGATAACCGAAATATATTTATCATAGTGGTCTCCTGTATCGAGCAACTTTCGACCAGCCTCGCGAAGTAGAGTCTTTGATAGTTGAATTATGCTCTCGATATCTTTTGATGACATCCTGCTGTCTATAATGTGGTAGAGAAGCAGGGTGGATGAGTCCTTTGGCCGTGCAAGAGAGCACCTACTACATCCGTTGCTATTAGTGTCTATGGCTGGCTGAGTTTCTGTGTCATCCAGGGCGGAGAACACATCTTTAGGTGAGAAGAGTAAGAGTGGAGAGAGACCATCAGGGGCGGACATTTGAAGTACACATGAATCTTCACATCCAACAAGGCTAGCTAGATCTTTAATATAAATAAGTTCGAGAGCAGAGAGGGAGTCCATCCAGGAAATAATGGATGGCATTGTCGCCGTCGTATACTGAGCCATTGAGATGCCATCAGACAAAAGCTGCTCTACTCTCAACGAATTAATGCAGAGGATGGCTGGATCCCTTTGTGCAAGAACCCGCAATCGATATAATACTCCAATATCCTGGTGACCATGGTACCTCATCTGCAACGCCCTGAAAAACTCACTCATGGTCGATGCCAAAAACTGGGCATAGAGGTTCAGTAAAGAGTCAGGGCCTCCACTAGATGAGCTGCTCTTGTTACTTATCAATAGATCTAGGTCGTCTCCGAGATAGTTGGAAGCAATGCTATTGAGTCTATCGAAAAAGCCTTGTGATAGTGGGGCATGTAGCTCTTTGAAAAGAACAGAATAGATTGCTATAAGAGCATCTTGTGTAGAGGAAATTGTAGTAGCTACCGTGAGAGAGTCAAGAAGGAAGGACGAAAGAGATAGCCCGTGTACGAAGTACGACGCAAAGAGGGGGGATTTGGAGCATAGGCCCATGTGTACATATTGTAAAGCCTTCTGGGGGTCTGCTTTTGGGTGCAGTAGGGTAGAGCCTAACAGGTATCCCATAGCAGCAGCATACTTCTGGTCCACGAGTTTGTCGAGAATAACATTGCATCGTAGGCCATAGAGCTCACTCAACACGTTGTCGACACCATGCAGTTGGCTCTTAGCTAACTGTGTCGAGTAGTTTTTAAGTGCCGAAATAAATCCTGCTGCTTGGCTCCTGCCCCACATCTAGTTTTATTAATAGCTTAAGTTGCTGTACATTTACCTTCACGAGGTTGGCCATCTACAATTCGAATGAGGCTATTCTCTCGGCCATTCTCATAAAACCGAAGCACCTCCGCGTCTTCCAAAATTCTAAAACAGATGAATGCGGCCGTTGCTGACGTCGTCAGATTTTTTATGCTACAATCTACGTCTCTTTCGCACGAGCTCCAAGAGGTTTTCGCCGAACAGGTTTCAGATGTTGAGTTCTCTGGGAATACTGTCATGACAGCGGAAGAAATCAAGTCTCTACTCCATAGGGCCGAGCTTAGAGCATTGGCAGCGGTCTCTACCGAGTTAAGGCACATAGCAACTCTTGCAGGCTCGCTGGCTTCCCAATTAGTTGAGCAAGCAAGCGCTCACGGGATTGCAATAGAACCAAAAGTTACCGAGTTAGAGGAGGAAACACGCATGCAATTGGTCTCTCAATTACATAGCCAGGATGCCGGGCTCAAACCGGTGCAGGGAAAGCTAGAGCTTAAGCAAATGCAAGACCCTCAGTCAGCGAAGCAGATAGCAGATTTACAGGCCCAGATATCTACTCTCGAAAAGGAGCTCACGGATAAAATACAGAATACATCACAGTACAAAACCCTACAGAAGATGCTTCAGACAAAAACAGCTGAAATTGAGGAGCTCGAATTGCGGGTGAAGGAGCTGATGGAGGCAAAGAAATAACCCATCCTCTCCATTCCTCGTTGCAAGGCATAAGACACACAATACAAAATATATTTCAGTAAGTCAATCAACCATCATATCTGTTATTTTTAGAAGATTCGTCAAGCTTTTTAGCGATCTGGTCGATCAAGCTACTTACATTGTCAAACGGGACTATTTTTTCAGACACGCTATAGTACGATCGTTCGGAGTACTTCTTGTAAATCTGAGTAGTATGCAATCCTTTGTATGAATCCTTCCAGGCATTTAGGAGGTCATCCCTGCATGCCAGCTGCCGCGAAGCAGACCTTGATGAGCGTGAGGTACTCATGGGCCCAGTAGTGTATTGTGAAGAGCTTGTTAGGCTGAAGAACATCCGGCCCAGTGCATTGGAAAGATCCTGGTTGGGCCGTAAGAACCTACTGACCTGCAGGGGATTCGAGTACTCGCTGAGAACGGCCAGCTCAACGCTTGCCATTGCTATTTCAAAATTGCGGTAGCGCAGGAATCGCGGATCCAAGAGCGTGAGCTCAGAAAGATAACTAGCTAGAAGACAAACGACAGGGGTGAGACCAAGGTCTCTGAAGATGGGCCGTAAGTATGCACGCGGATTCAGTGAGCTAACACCTATTTTCCAATCTATGAGTTCTAAAAAGCGCAGTTCTGCTGCACGCAGCTCCGCTATAGTGAACGTATTTGCAAAATACGCACAAATAGCCGTGCTGCCAAGAGCCTCGCCATAGTTCTCTTCAAATTTAGTTGCTATAAATATACACACGCCAGATAGCAGGCGTATCTCTGTTTTCTTGATCTGACATATAGATAGGAAGCGGTGAAATAGAGAGCAGGCAAGGTACTGTGTTTCGAGAGAGTATGTTTCTTTGGATATTATCTGACATATGTAATCTATTCCCTTCATTACGTCCTTCAAACGTACAAGGTCTGTTTCATTATTGTAGCTTTGAAAAGACTGAACTGCGTTGCCAGACGCAGTGGAACCTCTGGAAGATGCTCTAGAACTTGTGCGCATAGATGCCGACTGCGCTTGGAGGATATTAAGACCGACGGGATAAGAGGTACCGAATCGCCGGCTCCCCATCGACGACCCCAGGCTAGAGCCGTTTAAACTAATTCCCGAGACCATAGAGTTCCGCAGAGAGCCACCTGCATTCGTGTGTTGAGCCTGAACAACCGTAAGATAGTCAGGCCGGCCCATATCCCCTCTTGCGTGGTACATATCGTCCTGATCGGCCATATCTGTCACAATGTTTTCCCCATAATCCACCATCATCTTCAGAGAGGAGGACGACGTGTCTAGGACATTGGTGACAATGGAGGACTTGAGTAACGAATCCCCCATGTTGATGAGGCCGTCTGTACCCCCCTTTCCCCTAACGTTACCAACCCGAGGCCAGTAATGAGGAAGCACGCCTTTCTTTCCATACTGCACAGTTCCTACGGGCGTTTTATAGATGGTGCTATTCACCGGAGCGGTGTACCCTAGTCTATCATTGATTTGGTTGATGAAAGCGCCTGCCACCCCAGTAAACGCCAAAGGCCTGTTGTCGTTATTCTCTGCATGCGAGATTGCCAATGATGAGATGGTCATGTCCGTTTCGGTGGTGTAGGGCGTTTTGCAGCGAGTCTGGTTACTCCGCGCTCGCTCATACTTTCGGTCTCTTCTGGTATTGTTCATACTGCCGTATGCACTTCTTTCAACCTCGCTTGTCTTTTCTGCCTCATCGGAGTCTAGTTTTTGCATAGTGTCGCCAGGTTTTTGTTTCTGAATTCAACCCGACTCTAGAAGAGTCCGGGTTCCAATCCTGGCAAAGTAACGTAAGGGTAGTAAGCATTTACATCAGACAACCAGCTGGAGTACTTTGACTCCCAAGATTTCTTGAATTTTCTCTCGTCCGTCATGGCATTGTTAATTTTACCAAATCCTCTAGGCTTCAGTCCCAAACAAACACATCTCCATGTCTTGCTTCCATGTGCTGACCGCTTTCTCAAGAAGAAACCCCTGCAGCAGATCAGCTGGCTAGGAGTTCGGGATACATATTCCTAAAATCCCGCTAGCGCAGCCAAGGTCGAGCGAGTGGTTTTCAAGGCCTAAAGTGTCTCGTAGGGAAGGATGAAGATGCGGATGACTCACAGCTATATTCGTACTCGGTAATGCATACATGAAAGCCCCAAAGTGATTTCCAACAACCATAACCACAACACAACCTGGCCATTTCCCCCACGTCGCTGAGCACTCATCTAACCACAGAAAGAACCAAATCTTCGTCAAGGCAACAAGTACTAACATTGAGTAAAGGAGTCAGATCTCATAAGTAAGCTCATAGTCGTGCTTGCTCGGAGACAGATAATCATTCTGCGAGGAACCAAGGAGTAGTCTGAATCGGGTTAGGCGTCCTACCGTCAGCCTGGGCGCATCGAACTGAATAACCCGCGTCGCAGCCTCTTTCAGCGAGCACTCTCAGTCGGGCAAGGCCCTCCTCCTGGCATAAGCACAGAGGCTCTTGGTTTCTGGTGCGACTGCTGCACGCGTTGGCGCGCCTCCCTCACGGAAAATGACCTCAGACCTTCCCCCGACCGCGGTCGGTGGCGCCCCTCCTAATTCCTGTCTTTCCAGGCTATCTTTTCGGTGATGTGAATTTAAACTGGTTGCATTTGGACAATTTAAGTACAATGGCTAAGAAGGCGGTTTGCAGGCATTCCTCCCAATGTTTCGGCCCGCCCCAGCATCCATTCCATTGGATTTGGCGATAGAGCTTTCTGCGCTTTACGCCGTTAGGCGAGCGAAACGCGAGGAAATATCTGGCCCAGTTCTTACCGTGATCCCCACACTACGAGAACTCGCTGTTGCTACAATGCTCGACAATCTGCTAGAAGCAGGGTCCGGGATGCTCACCCTCCCGGAACGCTATAAGGAGGATATGATCAGCATGCTCCCACTTGACGTACCATTGTCGCGGGTGTTTTGTATTACGGATGACTCCTATTGGATTCGGCGCTATCGCTATGAGTTTGGATGCAGCGACTGTCTGCCACGGATTTCCGATCCGCGGGCATTTTACTTGGAGGCCCTTCTATCTAAGCTCTTGCTTGCTTCTTCCTTTAATGCAGCCGACTCTTTCGATGCAAACAAACAAGCAACTGAGGTGTTAGAACTAGGTGGACCAATTATTAAGCGGCTGATTCTGCATATCCAAGCCTGTGGGGTGGACCTTGGGGCTGTGTTTGCAAAACTCCCAAGCTTAGCACACATTCAAGTGATCTATGATATGCCCAACATTCAACCCTCATCGTTATTGGGGAGCATAGACATGCATAAGCCGTCCACCTCTAATCTCCTTGCAACATCTGACACTCTGGTCATTAAGGGCAGGGCACTACCCGAACTATCTCTTGATATTAAGGATCCAGCAGCACCCTTTCATAGGCTACCGGATTACAACCACTTGGGGATGCTACTGCATCGTGATGTCTGTGGAACCACGATTCCTACGGGGTGCTTGCATGAAGCTAACAAGGCTATAGGCGGCACACCTGAAAGACTTGTCGAGCTTCTAGATACCTTCAGATACATCCAGTATCCCCTACAGTCGATATCCATGGTCAGCTCAGCTCTGAATAGCGAAGCAGCATGCGTCTTGGCCAAGGGCCTCCAAGATATGTCCTTCAAATTGGCGTCAACAAGAGTAGGTCATCATCTGTCCATTGATTGCCTTGATTTATCTTATAACAACATAGGAGACGGTGCTATCCATGCTTTATCCAAGCTCTTCGTTGATTCTGAAAAGCATAGCTTGCCTGCTATTCTTACATCTTTACGCCTCACGGCTAACCTGGTGACGAAAGCGGGATGCGTTTTTCTTGCCAAGGCAATCGGTCAGCCAAAGTCACGGCTACGAGCGCTTACCTTGAACGGAAATAGCATAGAGACGGATGGATATACATTGCTGGCCAACGGAATCCTGAAAGCGGCAATCAAATACTCTAACAACCACTTGACTGATTTGGGCCTAGCCGCCTGCGGTATAGTACTGGACGCCTCTGCATTTAAGATAATTACCAAGTTTATTCAGCGCACCGCGCTTGAGTGCATTGATCTAGGAGGGAACGTGCTTATTGGATCGAGTGTGCAGCCTGCATACCCTGCCCGTTCTGAATCACCGATCTCTGCAAGTACCGAGACTAAGACGAGAACGGGCGATGTTAATCTTGAAGATACTGGCTCAGACACAATACTGGAGAATCTTTCCTCATCATCGAAGAAAGAGGAGAATCTCTTAATTGCAGAGTTCAAGGCTATTTTAGAGGCCCTGAGAGCACGCTATGATGCCTGCAAGTTTGAGAATGGCGTGTTCCAGGGCTGTGGAACCCCTTGTATATTGACGCTTCCCGAGGACTTTGATATCATTCCGGAGAACCTGTACAGATCGCTTCATGAGATCAATCATCAAAGCAGCCTAGCTTTAAAGTGCATTGTACGCACTCGAGAGGCCGCCTGTGAACCCGAGGATCTTCACAAGCCAGCAGTCGATATCCTTTAAAAAATCTTTGGGACAAATGAAGTGTTCTGCTCGTCAGCGAGGCAAATCAGCGAAGACATCGACGCTTTCCTCCACCAGTAGCAACATTGCTAGGCCAGATACACATTTTGAAAACCTCGACTCCGTGTCCGGCTCCTCCGCCATTGATGCACTCGTCCATGACATGGCGGCCTTACAAACAACCCTTGCAGTTACAACAAGTCAGCTCAATATTTCCTCTAGTCAGCTACAGTCTAAGGAGCGCGAATTGGAACGAGTGCGCGGAAAGTTGCGCGACATGGAGAATAGCATATTAAACAACTCATATGCTCCCTCGACTGCTTGCAGCCATGAGGCTTCGACCACTTGTGAGGTGCTTATTGAGAAGATAGACAGCATATGCAATGCTTTAGGTGTGAAACCCATCTCCACGGCTTATGAGGAGAGTAAAGTCAGTACTGATCACCACTTATCGGACTCGATTGCCAGCCAAGCTGAGCCCCTCCTCGTTCCACAATCTGTGCCGGCGAGTGGATCAGATGCGTATATCGATGATACGATATCGACAATTCTCAAGGTGATAGAGGATAAATCCATGCAGATAAACTTTCTGGTCAACTCTCTTGATATTATTAACGCACAGCTCATCGAGGAGCGGCAAATATCGCGTAAGCTTGCAGACACTGTTTCTCAGCTGCAGAAAGACAATTCCGTGCCACCTGAAGGCCTTATCGAGTCTCAAGTTATTAGTGACTCAGACAGTTCTTCTTTCCCAGCAATCTTAAATGGTTACCTCAAGATGACCAAGGACGAACTGCTCAGAGAGTTGCAAGATAAAGATGCACAGATCTCTAAGCTCCAGGAGACTCTTCACGGAAATGACCATCATTCTCCAATGACAGGAGGCGATGTAGATGCACCCTTGAGTCAAGAGCAATGCAGTGAGGAGTTCGGATCTATCGCCTGTGGTACTCTCGATGAAGCTGAGCTCACCAGCACTATCAAAAAGTTTGTTGCAGAGTACCGAGCCATATCTGCATCAGCTTCTGTTACTATTCCGCATACTAACAGACTGTTAGATATGCTTTTAGATGCCATAAAACTGCGGACAATGTCGAGACACAAGCTCTCACCCAAAGAATTGGACAATGACATAGCAACGATAGAGTCCAGCTTTGTTTTAAGACAGATGCGCATGAAGGACGAAGAGATAGCTCGGCTGAAGGAGCTCCTTCAGCAAAAGGAGTTCCAGCTCGACCAAGCCCTGCAGCAATCAGTCAAGTCACACAATGCTTCCAAAGAAAGCGGACTCGCTGAACACGTGAATATAGAACCAACTCCTAGATCGACTCAGGTCCAGAGGGGTACCTTTATTGGCGACAATTGCGACTTAATGCTAACGAATCCTCAAGAATCCTCTTCAAAAGGAATGGATAACTTGGGAACTGTTGTCCTTCCAGACCCGTCCTCTGCCAACGAAGCCGTTCTTATTAGCTTCTCAGCGCGGTTGAAGAAGGTGCCCATTCAAGACGTTAAGCATTATGGTGATCCCATATACAAGAGTAATGGGCTTACGATCGCATCTCGTGTCACTTTAGGGTCTCCACACAAGTCTCAACATAAGTCTGCACACCAAGCTGCAAATCTATACACCTCTGCTGGAGACCTTGCGCCTCAAGATCTAGAGATCTAGAGCTGTGAATATTAATTTGTCCTTTACTTACCCGCCAATCAGTCTGCGTTCTCCTGATGATCGTCCAAGATAGTCAGGATTCGATCTGATTCCGTTTCTTGGAACGCGGTGGGTTGAACTCTACTCAGGATAAGATTGTCCTCAATCCCGTGGATTCTGTGTATGTACACATCTCCGTTTTCGTAGCACACTGCAAACACTGGCACATGTTTGTTGCATGAGATAGCGCGGACGGAGATGGTCCTGGCTGCATTGGGGTCCGCGTCACCCACTGCGCTGTTATCTGAATCCAGTTCTGTCGATTCCTCCTCAAGGTTGCTCCGCTGCTGTGTGTCTAGTGCAACGATTGGATCCAACACTAAAACAGGGGCAACTGAGGTGTCTGCGATATCCCAAATTTCCACTGAGCCTGCACGTGTACCACTTATTAAGCACGTAGATTTGAAGGGGCACCAGACGGCGGTATACACATGGTCGCCGGCCGTTGATTTAAGCGTCAAAAGAGCCGTAGGGGAGTCTACGTGCCAAATTTTGATTGACCTATCTGCCGATGCAGATAAGAAGATGGTGGGGGCAGTAGGGTTTGCCTGAACCTTATAGATAGATGACAGATGGCCCGAGTAATTCATGAGGGTTTGCTCTGTGTATGCTCTGGATGCCTTGCGGATCACGCCGTCGTCGCCTGAGACAAGGTAGTTTGTTCCATCACTTAAGAAACAGCTGCTGAGCGCAGAGCTTATCTTTCTTACAATGGTCATCCGCGTGTCGGCCTTAGACTTCTGGTCCACCTTCGTGGCCACTGGATGGTGCCCAACAGAGGTAAGCGTTAAGATATCTCGATGCTCAAAACTCCTCTTAAGACTGCGCTCCACAATCCGACCATCTGCAGCTGCGGATAGCAAGATATCATAGTCTGGAAGTCCTGATCCCTTTTCACCATCGTCTCCATCCACTTCTCTATTCAGGGACATCCCTGCACCTCCACCACCATTTGTGCTGGCCCAGATAACATCCCACACTCGCGATGTGTGCTTTCCGTTCGCGCTAGTAGACGTCAAAAGAGGCATAACAAACCCTGCACTGTCGAGCTGGACCACCTCTTCCCTAAGGTCGAAGAGGCTGACGGCTCCATCAGTGAAGCCTACAGCGATAATTGATTTACCGAGGGGATACCAGGAGACGGCTGTCGGCTCACTTCTAGTATAAAGTATACGATTTGGATAAAAGGGGTTCTCTGGAATCCAAAGAACTATCGCGCCATAGTTCTCATCAAGGCCAGAACCAGCGTAGCCAACTATTAGCAGCCGCTCGTCTGCCGGGCAAAACTCGCAACAAACTGCACTCATCCCTCGAAGGACATCAGCGCGGTATGTCCACAGATGCTCTGTCCGGAGCCGTGACTCTGGTGATACAGCATTGGGCTTTTTCTCATCTCTGTCTTCCTCATCATCAATGCTATCGTCTCGCTTTAGCTGCTTTTTCTCCCATCCCTGGGAACTCTCCGCACTAGTGGAGGCCTCTGAACCTTCAGACAACTCATTGCTATTGTCCTGGTCAATACCCTCCACAGAAAACTCTGCACGAAGGCGATTCTGATAGTTAATTGTGGGGTTATAAACGACATCTGCCGCTCTGTACAGGCTTACCCATGGGAATAATGGGTTTTGTAAGCAGAGAAGCTCAGCCAGATGTATCGCTCTCTTGAAGCCAGCATCGTTGAAGACCTTGTCTGCAATCTGGGCTATCTTCTTCTGACGGAGACGGTCGTCCATTCCCCGGTCTGTTTGGATGGAGGAGTGCATTGAGTTGGTTGCGGTTTCTTGAGTTGCGGCGGTGTATGCCGTTCCTGCATCTGAGACGGTGTCATCGTTAGTGTAGACAGTCCCCGCATCTGATAACTTATCATCTTCCTGCATATTTCCTGTGCGCCTTTCTGTTCGACGAGCAGATTCTGCGGTAAAGTCGTCAGCACGTTCATCACCCAAATTGAGGGTTGACTGCTGCAGATTGTTCAGGTCTTCGTCTACACCTTGAACGATGGTATCATAAATGTCTGTGAAAGCCGCCTCCACCGCACAATCTGTGTGGGTTACAAGAGCGGTTGTAGTGAGCTTGGATTTGAGGAAAGGGGGAACCGTTTGGACCCCTGCTTCACACGTTGTGGTAGAATCCTCGTATCGTGCACAAGCAGATGCATATTCATTGTTACGGCGTTTAATAATGACTGCCTCGTTTGAATCTTGCGAGAAGACTCGGGGCTTTTGGGAGAAGACAATATTTGTGGCTGTGGGTGTAAGCAGAACCGTCTCTGCGGCGTCCGGATTGGGGATAAAAAGTTGCCCTCTATAGACAGAAACCTGTATGACTCGGGCATCAGATAGCCTTTCCTTCGCCTTTGCTGCCTCATCGAGGTCATCAAGGTCTGAAAAAGAACGGCTGAAAGACTCTGCCATTTTGGAGCAGCGGGCTTCGACAAATCACAAGGTTTTTTGGGATAAGTTGCACACCTCTAGGCTCAGCACCAAAATACGCGCCTCAGAAGGCGGCAAGCCGATCACGTAGGCGATTAAAAGGCTCTAGTATTTACTTGGATCTGAAAATCCCTGAATTAAAAGAGGCTGCTGAGGTCCTCGGGAAGGTTTTCAGTCGTGACGTTGAACTTATCAGTGATTGCCTGCATGCTCTGCTTATCCTTGTCTGTTACAAAATTGATAGCAACACCCTTTCTTCCGAAGCGCCCAGACCTGCCGATACGGTGCAGGTACGTCTCGGGCTCTCTTGGTATGTCATAGTTGATTACCAGGGAGACGTTCTGAACATCAATACCACGTGCAATGATATTAGTAGCGATGAGGATGCGCGTCTGGCCAGAGCGGAACTCTCCCATAATCTTATTGCGCTCGGCCTGGTCAAGCTCGGAGTGAATACAGGAGAGCGTGTGACCAGCACTCTTCAGCTTCTCTGCGAGCTCCTTCACGCGCCCAATGGAATTACAAAAGATAACGCCCTGCTGTACGCTCAGAACTTTGTATATGTCCTCGACAACCTCTGTCTTCCAGGCGTCCTGCAGCTCGACCACATACTGCCTGATCCCGTCGAGGGTGAGCTCAGCCTCCTTGACGAGGATGCTCACGGGATCCCTCATGAATTGCCTGGTCAGCTCGAGGATCTCGGGGGGAAGCGTGGCCGAGACAAGCACGATCTGAATGTCGGCATTCATGAACTTCATGATCGAGACTATCTGCTCAGTGAACCCCCTGGATAGCATCTCGTCGGCCTCATCAAGGACCACCATCTTCACATTGGAGGTAGTCACGTATTTTTTCTGTAGGAGAGAAAGAAGTCGGCCTGGTGTCGCGACAATCAGATGGCACGACTGCGCAGCCGCAATGTCATCGTCGACCTGTGTGCCTCCAATGCACTGGGCAACCTGGACCTTGAGGCGAGACCCAATTCCGTCGACAACCTTCAACGTCTGAAGCGCAAGCTCACGAGTGGGGGAGAGAATAATGGCCTGAGGCGACTTGAGCCCGATGTCAATTCGCTGGAGCATGCCAATTGTGAATGCTGCCGTTTTGCCCGTCCCAGACTGCGCTTGGGCGATTGTATCCTTTCCAGAGATGATGGGAACAATCGCCTGGGACTGAATAGCAGACGGTATCTTATAGCCATAGGTAAAAATGCCGAACAGGAGATCCGGATGAAGGTTCATGTCGTCAAACTTTTCATAGCTCTTCAAGTCCGGTGTCTGTGCTATCTCTGCTCTGTTGGTGCTGTCCTCCATAAAGGTTGATTTATTTGATCATTAACTGAAAAAAACACAATTCAAATTTAAATTAGTTAGGTAAACAATCGGAGCCTCCGAAGCCCATGAACTGCGCTGAGCTGCACAAACTGGACCCTCTTTTATAGTCCACACAGATCACAGCCATTTAAATCACAGCCACTTAACTTTGGTTTCAATCCGCTGATAGCCACAACAATTAAAATGTCTTTTGAGAAGCGTGTTAACGACTTGTTGGAGGAGAACAGCATACTACGCACGTATATTGCAGAAATAGAGCTGGAGCGAGAACACTGGACAGAAGAGAGCCTCCGAGCCCTTAACGAGAAGCTTGACCGGTACATTCTAAGGTTGCGTGGTGTTCCTCCTGAAGAGCTGGCGGTTGAAAAGCAGCGCATCCTGGCATCACAGGAAACGGTCGAAGAGCTACGCAATCATGTACATATGCTCGCAGAGACGGTGTCCCAGTTAAAAGCACTTAGATTTGAGTATCTGACAAAGGAGCAATTACGCAAGCTCTTGGTTGTTAGGGATACGTCACTTCAAGCGGAGAATAAGATCCTAAAGACCCAACTGCGGGAAGCCCTTCTACGGATTTCTCAATTAGAGGCAGAAGAATCGAAGTACAAGGTGCTCCAGAGTAGGGTGGGCCTTTCCTCAACTAACTTTCTCTTCCCAGACCAGACCGATGCCACGGGCAACCTGGTGTCGGACTCTGAGCTTCGCACAGAAACAGAAAGTCTTACATTAAAGACCATACAGAGTAGTGCCGGAAGCAGCCTAGATGGTGCTGTTCATTAATAAGCGGCTGTGAAAGCAAGCACAGACTTGTTACTATTTACTGCTACCAGTGTCAGATTGCCGGCCTATATTCGGTGGGGTCCTTGCGCGTGCCTTCGTCAACTGGTCCTCTAAGTCTACGATGGTGGCCTGTTGTTGCTGTACTCTTGATGCCAACGTTTTGCTTTCCGTGAATAGCCGGTGCATGGAATCGTCGGTACGACTTATCTGTCTCCTAAGGTCATCGTTTTCGGCCCGTGCTTCTTGAAGGCTGCTCTCCAGAGTCGTTGCTAACTCCCTTACCGCACTGGACTCTTGGCTAATCCTTGCGATCTCCTCATTTAAAGCCTGTATAGTGTTCTTATCTGCTTGTTGCATTTCTTGGAGATTAGCCAGCTCGGTCCTGAGTCTCTCGTTTTCTTGAGTTGTAGCACCACCCTTCTGTGCAGTGGATGAGTCAACCGCTGAAACTGAGGAGAGGATGCTCTGAGTATTCATCGATTGACGCAGCTGCTCATTTTTGTATAGCAGCTTTTCAATCTGTCGCGTTCCATTGTGTGCGGTTTCTGTCAGAAGATTTAGATCTTGTCGCAAGTTCCTGTTCTCCTCGTTGAGCTTCTCTATCATGGACAAGGCATCCATATGTGCAGATGAAAGGTCTTTAAGCTGATCCTGCAGCAGGGTGTTTTCTGATCGGAGATCCACCTCTAGAGATCCTAGTTTGTGTTCCAGGTTCCTTGCTTCCTTGATTTTTTCCCTAGCTGCAGTTAACTCGTCTGTAGATTGCTGGGACTGTCGCTGCTGATTTTCACGCAGATACTCGGTTTCTTCTTGCAACCTTTTAAGAGATGCGTTAGCTACTTCCAACTGTTGTAGTAAATCAGTCCTGGTATTGGTAAGCTCGAAGATTTCCTTCTTCAGATCAGACAGTGTGACGTTCAAAATGTCTATTTGTGTCCTTTTCTCAGTTAATTGAGCAGTTAGATCAGCAGTCTCAGATGCACTGTTAGCGAGAAGGCGTTCAAGATTGAGAATTTTGACTTTGAGCTGCGCATTTTCTCTGCCCAGCTCTTCCTTACAAGCCACACCTGTCTCCGCGTCTTCTTCCCTCTTTGCCAACATTGCCTGCTGGGCCGTCATTATTTGCCGGAGCTGCTTTTGGAGAGCAGCCGTCTCAGCAGATGAATGAGCTAAGGAGTCCTGAGTCTCCTTTAATCGCGCTTCTAGGTCAGCCTTTTCGGCCACGTGCTGCTGCCGCTCAGTCTGTAATTGAAGGAGTTTTGCAGATAGCTCATTATTCTGTTTGATCAATTCCATGCTTTCCCTAGACGGCTCACTAGAGAGAACGCCAAGTTGAGGAGACACAGAATGTGTGGGGGATTGTGAGGCAGAGTGCTTGTTACTGGCAGAGCGCATACTGGTTTTTATCTCCAGGAGCGTCGTTTGAGCCAATTGCAGCTCGCCCCGCAGCTGCGTGTTTTCTAGTGTAAGCCGCTTAGCAAGAGATTCGTCTGTGGATGCTTTTGCTTCTATTTCACCCAATCTGTTCTTTAGAATGCTGTTTGTCTCTGTCAGCTCCTTACATTTTTCGTCAGCTTCTGTCAGTCTTTTTTGCGTCAATGAAAGTGAGGCAATTGTCTCCGAATAGTTTTTCTTCTCTGTTTCAAACAATGACTTAAGAGACGTGTGTTCCTGAAGTAACCCTTCATAACGTGCCTGCACCTGCATGAGTTCCTTTTCTCGGCCCTGTGATGTGGTTTCGTTTACGGCCAAATCTGTTTGAAGGCTTGTGATCAATCCGCTACTCTTTATTATTGATGCATTTTGAGTGGTAAGCTTATTCTGCAAGAGGCTGATCTCCTCCTGCTTCGATGTCAGAGTCTCCGTTAACAGCTTGTTTTCAGCTTCGTAGTTTTTCAGCGTACGCTCCAGAGCCTCTTTCAGTTCAGCCTGAAGGGCTGTTTCATGTTTCGAGGAGCCTAGTTTTATGTTCATTTCACTCAGCTGAGCTTCGTAGCTCACTAGTTGATCTTTATAGGCCTCTAACCTGCTTTCGAGATCCTTTATTAGGCGCTTTTGCCTAGCCAGATCTTCCTCAGTGGTAGTATGCTTTTCCTGCAAAGATCGTGTCTGCTCAAGGTTGTCCCGTTTCTCTCTATGCAAGGCTTCGTTAAGCTCCTTCATAGAGCTATACTGAGAAGACAACTCCTCACAAGTCATTTCCTTTTCCTTATACTTTCGAGAAATCTCTGCAGTAGTGGCCTCCAACTCTTGTAGCTGACTCTTAAGTCTTGCATTTTCTTCGCGCAAAATTGCATCCGGCATGGATGCTTTACCCTGGCGAATGGTCTTCTCTGTTATTTGTGAAAGAAGATCGTCAATATCTTCTGGGGATCTACTCCTAGCGTCAACCTTGAAGGATTTCAGCCTTTTCAAAGTTCCTTCAATCATGAGTATGAATTGATCATACAATATCTGCTGCTGGGTACGGTTTCTCTCCAATACTAACTCTGCTGTGCATTTATCTAGCCATGATTGAGCAGTGTCAAGTGTGCTGTCTTGGCTCTCCTGTTCCTGCTCATCGTTCAACCTTTGATGCGCAGGAACAGAGGGCTGATTACTGGAGTATTGAAAATGAAGACTCTGGGGAGTGTAGATTGCCGGAGATTTCGATCTTGATGGACACCTTTGGGCGGAGATGGAGCCAGTACCAGGGCGGAGAGCTGGTTTGGTGGATACAAGATGGCTGACGCTGAGTTTGCTACTTGACGTGTCGCCAGAGGTACCAGATGCAAACCGAACACCAGGGGATGTCCGGGAGCGACTGTGGCTATGACTGCCTGGCCTGGAGATATGTGCACCATACACTGGATCAGTAGGCGTATAGTTTGGTGTAAGGTCTTGTGTCGATTGATGCCACTCTGTAGGACCGCTTGTCTGCTGGCCAAGATGTGTCTTGCACTGAGTAGATAGTGAAAGATAATCTGGTACGTCCAGAGCGCCTCTCGCACCCGGATATTGGCGTGGAACAGAAAATCCAAAGCGGCGCTCCACAAATGTGGTTATTGTGGTTGTTAAAATTCTATCTTGAATGGCCCAATCTTCCGTGAAGATGTCTCCGTTGAAGTACAAATTGGGGTCGTACTGGCCCAAAAGATCGCAATACAGGCCAATAATAGCTTTATAGATGGCTAGCAGAGTTGTCAGTGGCTGAAAGCGCAAAATTCTAGCGACAAAATCCGCTACAATCCTCAGCCCCTCCTGAAAGAAAGACGAGGTCATGGACGGACGAAGACACTGCATGAGGTTATCATAAGAAATGCTAAAGATCATTAAGTTGTGAAGCATCTGCCCGATCTTGTCTGGCAGCTGTCCTGTTCGTACAGACTGCTCCGAAATAATGTGACTAAAGTCATGATACTCGATGAGTCTTGCACCCACTAGAAATGCTATTCCATTGGAAATAGCTATACTTTGCGCTAGATCATTTATCAGTGCTTCTCGATTTCGTGCTTCCATGTCCGCAATCTATGAAATCAAGAGAAGATTTTAAAAACTCAAAAGTGTGGGCTGCATGAGTGACCTGCTTTATAAAGACATCTCTATGGCCATTGGGATTCTTCTAAATCTGTTACGGATCCTAGAAGGTGGCGAAAACAAGCTCTATGACTTTTGTGACGAACGCTTTGATGCGACGGAATTTAAGCGACTAACAGACTCTGTTTTAAGGAACCTAACCGCACAGGCAGATGGCTCTTCGCCACACAAATATTCTGAAACGTTTTATATTACGTCCAAAACACTTCCAGCTGCCGCTCTCAGTGGCATTATCTACCAACACCCCAAGACGGCTAAGTTTATCTGCAAATCACACTATAAAATTGACAACCCAGATGAGATACGGCTACTGTACTCTTTCAATTGCAACATGCTCAGTAGAAATTTAGCCTTGTTTCTTTCCCGGGACTTCCTCGGAGAAATCATTTGTGCGTATTACAATCTTGGCTCATCTACCCCCGTCGATGTCGATGGCTATCCATCGAAGAAGTTCTTCGTAACCAATGGAATGCTGGCACTTGTTTATGACCGTATCATTTACTGCATGGTCAGATGGACCAACTTCACTCATTCTGCAGGAACTGCATGTACCGTGGACAGCATCCCCCAGGCCGAGCACGCCGCAGTCTATGAAATCGTCTCTCAAGCGCTGCATCATCTTCAGCGTGCGCACAGCATTTCCCACTACTTAGCCAGGTATCCAATTCACTCTAGCACAGAAGTAATAGACTATTTGAAACTTAAGAAGGAGGAATTAGAGTACTACGAGAAGACGCATCCCCTTTGGGCCGACAATTCAGATAGTCTCAATGTCGGTGCTTTCAACATGCTCTCTGCACGGGTCATAGACAGTCCAGAAGCCATGCAAAAGTTCGGAAAGGTCATCGGCAGAGCAGAGGATGCTATGCAGCGAAGACGTAAGTAGGCGACTCAGTGTTCTTTCGGTGTTTCCTCAGTAACCTTGCACTTCCAACTATCTTCACTGGATGCATATACTCACTTCCGCTTCCCCATGTTCTTGAATGCATCCCCGATTTTCTCCATTGCAGGCTTCATCTTGTGCGACATGTCTTGAAAGAACTTGCATGATGCTTGGTTTGTCTTGCTGAAGAAGGCCTTAATCTTCTCGGCATCTGTACGTAAACGGTCATTGTGTGTCCTTTCCTTTGCCTGTGCACACCCCTTCAAGTTTGAGAAAGGGTCTGAATCGCATTCAGAGTCTGGCATGCGAGAAGTCACGCTCAAGACAGTCACTGCAACCGGAGTGTTATGCAGCATGCATCCAGAAAGCCTAGAAACAGCGGACTGGGTCCCTTGAACAGTAGCAAGGCAAAATCCCTTTGGGCAAGTACTGACCGTATGATCTGGAAAGCTGTCTCTACTCGACTTTAGACCAGAAACATCTAAACGGAGTACTTGAAGGTCGTCTTCTGCTTGTTTTAAAAATTGAATGATGTCTTCCATTTGCGTGTCTGGGTGGAGACCAGTAATCTTCACGGTGATGATCATCCTGAACCCCGTCTTCTTTTGCCAAAAGGATTTTTTTATGTAGAGAAAAATGTCACATAAAGGACCTCTCGTTTTTGACCTTCGTCCGGATACATCGTATAACTTGACCACGTACATAGATGTCTACGGGGATCAAGGTAAAGGTGGGCGACAAGAGGATGACGACACCCAGACTCTAGACACGGGCACGATCCAGTGTGGTGTCTTCCACCACCACTACCAAGATCTCTATGCGTGCGCCACAACGGGTAACATTTTTCTGATTAATATGGCCACAGGAACCTTGATGCGTTCATATTCACTTCAAAACATAGGGGTAGTAAAGCAGATGCTCTTCGTTAGTCCCATTCGCAGAGTAGTGCGGCGTGTCCCCAAAAAAGGAGATGACACAGTTATCTTCGACCAGCCGTGCTTCTATAACCCGTGTCTGGACGACCTGTACATAGCCTTCATTGTTCAGTATCCTTTGGCTCAGTCGACAATTCTCTATCTGCTTGACCTTATGTCCCCCACTCCGGAGCTCTATCAGTATGTCCAGTCGGATGTTATCCTCTCCATTGCTACTCCTGTCTCCGGGGTTCAACTGAACGTTACCACTGCTCCAACCGTCAGTGAAGTAGAGAGCAAGCCATTTGGTGATTACTACAGCGTTTCTGAAAACGGACGCGTCCCTTACATGGTCATTGCGCTGTCGATGAAGTACCAAGTTTGCATCCTGTCGTTTCTGGCACCCATGAACTTGATCTGCTCCCAAGATGCTCAGCGATCTCCACTAGAATTCTGCACCCTTCAGATAGCCTCACCCATACAGCTCGCCAACGCTATCTTCATTGCGTTTGGTAGTAAACCATGGAGTCTCTTCATCTGCAAGGGATCGTCCGTGTTCATGTACAACTTAGAGCTGGCCAAGCAAGAGGGCAACAGAGATGCGGCGACAAATAGTGCCTTGAAATGGGTTGAGGAGCAGCGCATGAATCTCTTTCAACATTTCCACAGCCGTCGGGCCACCATGGACGCCTATTTTCTAGACAACTTTGCCGCATACACGGCCATATCTGAGTCCATGAGGTTGCCCTTTAACAACTGCAAACTTGCACTCCACTGGACACTCGACCAGTCACTAAGTAAGATTGAGCAACTGCTGCTACGTCAAGGAAATCCTGTTGTTGTGGCGCGGAGCAAACTATTGAAAGGCCATGTGCTTGAGATAAAGGCAATCTCTGTGGCTCCGGCTAGGGATTATCTCGCTCTAGCGACGGAGGCGTTTGTTCTCCTGTTTTCTATTTCTCTGCAGAAAATTTTGGCAGTGCTCACATATCCAGCGCCTGAGAATATTGGTTTTGTTAACGTAACTCTTAATTTTATTAGCGGTGTCGATGAGGAAGGCGACGGAGCCGATTGCCGTTCCATTGCAAGTCACGAACTGGAGAATGCAAACGAGCAAGACCATGCAAATGATGTGGCCAATCTAGATGACTTTGACCTCTTCGCTGATGAGGCCGTTTCAATAGACAACGGTGATTCCCCTAATTCTGAGCCCACTCTGAAAAAGATAACGAACGAACCAGCCCTAAGCCCCTTAACACGAGATGCCATTCAACGCTTGATGTCTATGCCCTGCATCCTGGATACAGCAGTTCTTTCAGATATTAGCACTAGCACCACTGGCAAAACAACCAAGAACATCGTCAGCGCCGAGCTTGTCTCCCGGGATCCGTACCTTTACTTCATGAACGAAAGTAACGTTGAGGTGCAACGAAGCGAAACAGTTAAGCAGCATTACAAGTTAGTAGACTTCATTTCTCGTCATAAGCACATGTACCCCGTTTTTCTATCTCTTTACAACAAACACATAGATTCTATCAATCAATTCAGAATGGATCGTATCCTTTCAAGGCAATTAGGAGCCGCTCAGCAGAAGCAAGCCCATCCCCTAGCAAATGTGCCATCTATAGCATGTAAATCAGTGGCCTTCACCCCACAGCTGCATGTAGACCTTTCTCTCCACCAGAGTTTTGAATTCCTGTGCAACGGCTCAAGGCTTGTTCTGGCCTCAATGTGCGGTATTGGAAGACCTGTTGTCTGGAACCTGTCAGGTTTGGACGCATTTGCAGAGAAATGTAAGTCTAGGGAAAACAGCACACTGATTCTTCCGGGATACTTGTGGAGCCTTGCTGTCCTTGAGGAGAAGGACCTTAGCTCCGCCAATGTTTGCCAGTTTAACCCTATCAGTGGGTTTATGATCAAGAACGTAGGCTCTCAACTGCGCATTTACATGCCAAAGTAGCGTTTGCTGAAGGCAATCTATCGGCAAAATTCCCTCAAGTAAATCATGCTGTCTCAAGAGCTAGCCTCAGCAAGCTCTCCAGCCATCTTGGAAGACATACTTACCCTGTACTCTGGTACAAGCAAGGAACAAGTGCGTGCAGCACTTCGGGATGGCAATACAAAGCGCCTTGAGAAATTGCTTCTAGTTGAGCCTCTAAAGAATCTGTGTCGGATATTTTCATGGATCTTTGCACTCGATCTCCCCAAAACTATGCTTAAGCAACAAGCTGCTGAGCTGCTGGCCACCAACTGGAGAAGGTGCATGTCCTCCGCATCACGATGGAGTGTCCCAAGCAGCAATGATACAGCTCTGATGAATGCATATTTGGAGCTAGCGAAGAAGTACAATGTGTCATGGCTCAATTACGTCGTGGAGAAAACAAAAACCAACTTCATTCCATATCGCGAAATGGCGTTCCACAGCACTTTAGCCACTGGCTTCTCGCCGTACTATAAAGTTATTGCAAACATAGCCATCTTTAGCTTGCTTGGAAAGCCCGATGCAGATAAAACTATCGTCCTTGAGATCCCCAAGGAGGTCTGTGATTGCATAGTCAATGATACCGCAGCCAGGATTATTATGTACTCGTTCTACGAGGTGCTTAAAGACTCCAAATTTCCTGCATTGCAGATCATGCGCTGGGAAGATGTTAAAGCTTCAACGGCAGATCTATCCATTTACGTCAACGGTCAGAAGGTAGTATTAACCTCCTTTAAAGCCAAGAACCAAATAGCAATGCTCAAGGCCAAAGATCCTCAAGTCGTTCCCACCTCAACAGACCTGACGGCGCCTATAAAGTACGTCTTAGAGCAATCCTCATGCGGATATGCATACATAGACTTCAGTATAGCCACATTTCCTGCCCACCCAGACGCAGGGTCAGAGACCTATAAGTACCAAGCCCCCTACGTAGCACTGTATCTTGCAAAAGCTCTGAGCACAGCCGAAATATACCATCTATTAATGGCTCGGCCTATGCTGACAACCACTAAGCTGAAGCAACTCATTCAGGAGAAAGAAACCCTATACGCAAAAGAGTTCTCTACGCTAATCTCCACTTGCACCACTGCCAACATTGAGACTTCAGTGGACACAGCAAAGCCCTCCGCAACTCCGCCTCTTTTCCTCAATTATGTATCCTTTGTAGACCAAGTGCGCACAGTCTCCAACAATGTCGCACAGACGGACGAGTATGAGAGTGATATTGAAATTGCTGATGAGCTCATCTACCTTGAGTCACATCTTACTCGAAAGAAAATCAAGATTCCTGTGCGCTCCTCAAACTGTCGCCATTTTAATCGAGTGATGGATCTGGAGGAATATATTCAAGGGTGTAAAGAAACCAACTTGTGGAATTGCACTGTTTGTGGAGAGCCTGCTACCTTTGTGCAATTACATATTGATGCCTTCTATTGGTTCCTTCTTAACATAGTCCGTGTTACCCAAGATGTGATCCATCTGGACACGAACACAGGAGAGATTCAACTGGGAAGCGGGTGTGACGACAACTCTGTGTCTTCTCCCAGTGGCTGGTCCTTTGGAGGTGATTAGAGCCACCTCGCAGGTTCTTGCTCAAATTAAAATAACGTGCACCCAGAGACCTACATGCAGGGTGGTCCTCATGCGCAGCCTGATGAACCCTTGTCGCTGAGCCCCACCGCAGACGATATAATTAACATGTATTGCCAGCAGATGAACCTCATGAAAGAGGAATACGGTAAAAGACTGTCAGAGCTCTATGCGACTGTTAGCAGCTCATTGGAATATGTACAGACTCTTCAAGACATTGTTCCGTATAACAATACACAACTATCTAGTTCACGTGCGCCTTCTGGGCCTTCAACCGAGAAGTCTGATGGAGGCGTCACTCCCCAGGGTCACATAGGTTCCAGTATTAGTCAACATCTACTCAATGTCTTTAGGGAGTCACTCGAATCCGAAAAAGAGCTAAAGATTCAGGTGCTGATGGACGACCTGGCGCGCACAAAGGGCATTGTTAATGTTATGGAAAGTAAGCTCTGTGAAAGCATGGGTACTTCCCAGAAGCTAACCAGAGAGCTGGATGAGCACAAGAAGCAGCTGCAGAATACCTCAACCTACACACATAGTATCAAAAAGCGTGCCGCAAGCCTGGAGGCGGAGCTCAATTCACTACAACCACAGATCAACTCACTCACTCACCTCCAGGATAAGCTTATAGGTTTAGAAAAGCGCTCCAAGGCAAAGCAGGACGATTACAAGCGGCAACTTTCAACCCTTAAAGCCGACGTAAGCAAATTGGAATCGGAGAATGCCCTTTTAAAGCACGATCAGGTCAATGTTTTTCAATTAAGGAACGAGTTAAATGATCTCCGGCTTAAGTACAATGTCCTGTATAAAGAGTATCAGGAGCTACAGAGCACTCACTCCATTGCTCAGTATGATCTGCAGGCAAAGACAAAAACCCTTAGTGCAATGAAGTCAGCTAACACTCATCACATTTTAAAGGAGAAAGCAGCGTCGGATTCAATAAAATTAGCCGTGGATGCAGAGCTGAAGGACCAGCGCCGGTTGCTGTCAGAACTTGTTGAACAGGTTCGTCAGCAAGGCTCAGATCTCAAGAAATTGTCGAGCACCTCACCAGAGGAAATGGGAGTGGCTCTGGCAAACATTTTGTCAAAGCACCAGACCAACATTGACCGCCTATCAGTAGCAGCACTGGGCTCTGGTCAGGTATACTCCGGAGGAACCCCCTTTCATGGGGATCCAAACTATTTATATGATTATACTGGAACACCAGTGACTCAGCAGACCCACATTTCTATTGCACGACATACAGAGGCCATGAGGGCCCTTGAAGATGAGATTTGGCATAGAGCAGAGTCAAAGTACAAAACCTTGTTATTCAATGCAGAGTCGGACCTTCAAAGAAGACTCTCAGAAGCCAGGGACGAGTTCTATCAAAAGGAGATACAGCTCAAGAGACAAGTTCAAGAAGCTTTATCCAAAGGGACTGATAAGGTGCAGGATGAGCTAAGCAAGCTTCGCGAAGAATGTGCAAGTCTCAAGACGCTCTGCAGCCATAAGGACCTAGAAATGGACCGATTGACCCATATGCTAAACGCTGCACAGGAAGATATCGCCCGTTTCCAAACAGCCAACAGAGATTTACTTCAGTCTGCTGAAAGCTATCGCAATAGTCTGGAGTATTATGAAAACCTTAGTAAGCAAAGCATTTCTGCAAGAGGATTAATCAAGCTGTGCCATGATGAATTGAAGGAGATCAAGCGCCGCGTTCTAGATCTCAAAAAGACCCAGTTTTCTCCTTCAGACTGGCGAGAAGAGCAACGAGTTGGTGACGCTGAACTACTCTTCTCAGCCATAGCTGGAGATCTAAAGCTGACTTTCTCAGATGGCGGTTTGGCCCAGGTCCTTACGCCCATTGGAAACATGATAAAGACCAGTGTGGAGCACATAAAACAGCAGACAATCCGGATTAATGATGAGAAGTGGATGGCACAGATCCACCAGATGGAGCGCGACTACGGGGATCAGATTGCATACATTATGAATGACAACGAAAAGCTGAAACAAACAATCATTGCGCTGCGCGAGAGAATGCAGGTCGAGATGGTTAAGCTTTTGGGAGTAGAGCTCACAGACATGCACGACAGATGCGCTACTCAATTGGATAATTTAAAATATGAAGCCGAAAGCATGAAGACCGCACTCGATGAATTTCTCAAGAATCGTCCTCATCAGCTTGCTGAGGCACGTTTGATGAGCTCCCCTATCGCACCTGGCCCTGCCTCCAAGGGAACTCCACTGACTTACAAGACACAGGCCGTCACACCGGGTCTTCTCATAGATGCGACACTCCCCACATTCGTGACTCCAGGAACTGTTCTGGAGCCAGCCACAGAGGGAAATGGCGGGACGCGGTAGTTTACATGGTACACCAAAGCAATTCCAACACAGCAATTAAAGCTATACCTCTGTGGTATCCTTAGTCGACGAAGTCAGCCCCTCTCCTTCTACTTTTGAGGTAGAATGCCCGTTGCTATGTGCTTTCTTCATCCGTCTGCGGTTTGCGAACTCTCGCAAGCGCTCTATAACGCTTGGAACTCTCTGCCACGTACCTTCGGCTTTACATTTCTTGACATGCTGGCTGTATTTCACACACCGGAAGATAAAGTATCCTGTCAGCGAACCAATGAGCAGAGCTAGGATAATTGCCAAGCTAGTGTAAACTCCTGTCTCTAAAGCAGATACAGGCTGGTCCCATTTTTCGGGCTGTCTGACGCAGACCCCTGTTTCTGTAAGCATATAGCCATCTATGCAGGAATAGAAGCTGCAAAGGTCTTCGTTATACCTGTCCTTTTGGGTATCACATGGATTAGCATAAATCCCCCCTCCCATGGAGGTGCAATACTTGCTGATTTTCATTTGAAATGGGTAGCACGTTGAGGACGCCTTTTTATAAGCCTCCACGGCCAACGTTAGATATGTGGTATGGTCCATATAACGTGACCCACCTGGTGGCCAATAATTAATATAATCATCCACCGGATTGTTGACGTACTCCAGCGGCGTCTTGACAGCATCGAAGGGCTGGCTCCAATTCCATGAGAAGACCTGCTCGAATGCCCACCGATGTAGAGCTGTTGTGGGAAGCTTTTTGAGTCCAATGTGTGTTTCGTATTGGGGAGCGAAGGAGTCATCGAAGATATATTGCGAGTCCATGACGGATCCTCCAGCAAAGCTCGCTACATCCATGTCCACAAAGCGATTCTCAGCATCCGTTTGGTTTCTGATCCTTCGGAGCGCCGGGTTGCCGCCCATTCCCATCCACACTCCCATGTGGGCCTCTCGCGCCCTCTTCGCAAAACACGCGCATGTCGATCCACAGGTGCCATCGGTAACAAAAACGAGGCGCGAATTTCCAGACTCCTGTAGAAACTTTGGCGTCTTGATGTTCACAAGGCGTTCAAAGTCCTCCCGGAAGTCCACCTCATCATAGGCTAGGTCAAACGTGTAGATTCCGGAGAGGGCTTCCTCGTGCCCCGTCATATAAAGAAGATGCTCTGTCTCGCCTGTGTACCACGCGTTGTTCTTGTAACGCATCCAATTACTAAGCCTGTACCTATCTTGCATTGAGAAATTGCCTCGAGAAGAGTAGAACTCCGCGTAGGGCGACTTGCGAACGGTATAGTTACCATACAGTGGATTGATGTAGGGCGCAAGAACATGAAGAGTGCGGTATCCCAACGTCACATATCCTCCGCCGTTACGAGCAACATTAACTATCAGGAATGGATCAGCGATATGCGTGTTATCAAGAATAGACATGGCAGCTTCGAAATCGTCTACATATTGCTTAGGGCTTTCAGGGGCAAAGGTCGGAATATTAAGGAGGTACCCAACGTGCTTGGTGTTTTTATAGAGGGAGTAGAGTGTGACATCCACTCCTGAGTGACTTACATCAATATAATACTCGTCTCCGTTATCAGTTAGTATCGGAGAAGCTTGAGTATGCTGAGTAGGACTTCTCGTACGTTCTTCCATGGTATCACTTAAAAATCTAGCAAGTGGAGTTCCCTGCTTCCCGGTTATCTCCAGAGAACCAGAGTCAGCGTCAGTGTGCGTATTCATAATGTATGCCTTAAGGTCAGCCACACCCCTGATTTCAGTAGTCACGTAGCCAAAGAAGGGAAGCTCGATGATGGAATTGTCAGAGAGCTCAATGGAAAGAACCTCTGTATCCAGTGGACTGCCAGTTCTCCCCGGCCATCCGAACGACCGGAGACTCCTAACATAGAAGTCGGTGTTCAAGGCAGCATTAAATCTAGCATGTGGGTTTTTAGAGATATAAACCACATCATCTGCAAATCTCTGCATGGCCTCTGCCACAGGTATGCCATTAATAGACAAAATGCGCTGGTCGATGAACTGGTCGATGTTGATGCCTTGTTCTCTAAGCTTTTTCCTGTACTCCCAAGTAACAAACTGGTACTCCGGAGGGAGCTCTGTTAGCGTATACTCCAGGACACGGTTGCGGTATATTGCCGTGACAGTGAGCGGCAAGACAATGCGAATAAAGGAGTATCCCTGTGGCTTGTCATACCGTGTATGCGGGTCCTTGAGTCTAAGGTAAATGGCTGACACTGCATCATGGAAGTCGAAGTCCGTTGTGTACTCCTCTATGTTATCACGAATGGATTGAAGCTCTCTTTTGACATCTGTGTGAGGGAGCTTGTACGCGTTTGTAGGGACGTCATATGGGGCAATGGGCTCCTTAGCCATCTCACCAAAGACGTACATTTCACTTAGTTTGAGAAGTGTGTCGATGGTGGGGTACCCCACGCCGTTCTTGTCCAATGGTATTGAATCGAAGCAGGCACGTAACTGACTGAGCTCAAGAACTTCATTCGTGTGAGGGAAGTAGCACGGATCTGTCGTTAAGGCCACAACATACACGAGAAGAAGGCAGCCCAGTCCCATGTGTGACAGACTTTTTTATTTAACTGGCTGAGCCTGGCGCTGGATGTCACCAAATTCCGGGGACACAGTGCTGAGACTAGTACAGTTTACTTTGACATCTTTGCCTTCTGAATCTGCTGGAGTTTTTTAAGTTGCCCAGCAGACATGTTGCCCATCCCTGTGGCCATCTGCTGAATCTGCTGCATACTCAAGTTGCCTGGCATCTTCATGCCCATGCTTTTTGCGATATCTGCCATCTCAGACATATTCTGGAGAGATCCCAAGCCGTTCATCATCTGCTGCATCATTTGTGGGTTCATCTTCATGCTCGAGAAGAGCTCCTGCAGCGCAGCTGGAGACTTCATCTTTCGTCCCATTTTCCCAAATATCTCACTGAACTCTGTAGCCTTGTCAAAGAACTCTAAGACTTCTTCTATGGTGTGTCCAGACCCTATTGCGATACGTCTGACGCGCGACCGGAACTTGTCTTCTCCCTCTTTCTTAAGGAGCTCTGTGTTAGAGTCTAGCTCCTTTGCTGCCATAGAGTCCATGATGGTGTTAAAGATCTGCAAGTGCTTTACCTCTGAATCCATGTCTATGTCCCCAGAGGCGGCCATCTGGGAGAAGCCGGGCACCATAGACGCAATCTTCTGCAGGGGCCCCATTTTGTTAAGATTCTTAAGCTGCTCCTTGAAATCACGGAAGGAAAAATGGTTATGGAGCATACGGACAACCGTTTGTATGTGAGCTTTATGGTCAATGTTTCCTCCCTGCATGGCTTCATGTAACCCCACGATATCACCGTATCCTAACATAACTGACACAAAACGTGACGGATCAAAGAACTCGAGGTCTTCAATCTTCTCACCTGTGCCGAGAAAGACTATCGGAGCCTTAGTAGCACTGACAGCAGCCAGTGCTCCTCCCCCGCGACTGTGGCCATCAAGCTTTGTTAAGATTACTGATCCTATTTCAACTGCATTGCTAAAGGCGTCTGCTTGCTCATATGCGGCCTGGCCAATGGATGAGTCTAGGACAAAGACATGGTCATGGGGCTGCACAGCACTGTCAATTAGTTTCATTTCAGTAAATAACGCCTCCTCTTGCCTGTGACGCCCAGAGGTGTCCAAGATTATGAGCTCAAAGTTCAAACTTACAAAGTGCTTGACTCCGTCTTGAGCGATCTGAACAGGGTCCTTTTCGGAATAACTGCCGTAAAAGGGAAGCTTTACCGCTGTGCAGTTCTGCTTCAGCTGGTCAAATGCTCCAGTACGGAAGGTATCGCAGCAAACAAGCCCGACGCGCCACCCCTTCCGCTTGTAATATGCCCCAAACTTGACACACGTCGTGGTTTTGCCAGCTCCTTGCAACCCTACAAACATAATCACATTAGCCCGATTCCGGACAGGCCTAAAGGGCGGCCGCTCAGGGGAAAGCATAGAAACAAGCTCCTGGACAACGATGCGCTGAACAACCTGGTGTGTGTTGGCACGTCCTTCCATGATCGCTGGGTCACTCAAGATCTTCGTGGTCATCGATTTTCGCATAGGCTCGAGTGTACGGGCAGGTACATCTGCTGCCTCCAGCACTCCGATGAATTCGTCTACCAGCGCATTTACCGCCTCATTTGTCGTCAGCCTTGTCTTAGCAAACTTGGTTATGACGTTTAGCACATTAGACCCCAATTCGTTGAGGACCATCGGACACTACAGTAAAAGATTTTAAGGACCTGATATCGATTTAAGGCAATTTACTCATTGTCAGTTCAGCGGCGCCATAAGACACCACAAGGGACACCTAGCGTGATATGTTATGTTATGCTAGGCTATGCGGACGACAGAAGCCATGATCTGCGCTCTGACTCGCCAAAAGCGTACACTTGAAATTGTATCGTTGCCAAAAAATGCGTATGCTCATAGCTCGGCTTTCAGCGTTCAAAAGGCAATTTCATGATGTAGTGGGTGTTGGGATGCTTCACTTCTTAGCCAAGTATGCTGGTGCAACAAGTGCGAGTTCGATAGTGCGGCAGGAATATGAAGACATGCAACTAGGAAGGGAGCCCCTTCGCATGAGTGATGTGGAGGACGCTATGGTTCTCTTTCGAGCAGTACAGGCATTCAACTCCAACTACATTCGAAGGGCTATGTATGGAGGGCTGCCTTTCATATTACGTATAGCATGTGCTGTTTCAGCACTGGCACCGGATTACAACCAACGCTTCAGTCGGAATGTGACCCTGTACGAACATCGGCTCCTTCGTCGCCTGTGTTCTGCTGTGGGGCTAGGCCCCGATAGTATCTTGTTGCATAACGTAAAGTGCTACCATGAAGAACTTTTGGCATGGGCTCTCTTGCATGATCAACCCAACAATCGCTTGCTGGTTATTATTCAGGGAATTTCTCAGCTGCACAACGCGTCTCTTCTTCTGTATATGAATCCGACACAACTGCCATCAGGCTCCACGGTGCACACTGGCGTATACCGCGCAGCAAGCCCACTGTATGAGATTCTCTCTCCCTATATACATATGAACTTCGAGCATAACTTTCTCCGTGACTACTCCATTGTGTTGTGCGGTCACGGATTTGGCGGATCTGTAGCAGCCCTTGTGGGTGCTATGCTTCTGCGGCATCCCACTGGCACCTTTACACCTAGCAATACTAAGGTTGTTACCTTTGGCCCCTTCCCCTTCGCTGGTCCAGACTTTGCATACAGGGAACATATACATGTAACGTCATTTATCTATCGGTTCGATGCCATTGCACGTCTCAGCTTACACGCTGCTGGAGTACTAAAGACTCGAAAAGCCACCAGAGAAGAGCAATCAACATCTGCCCTATCCCAAAAGGTTTTGCTTAACTCTTTGAGCAAAGACTGCGCGTACTTCATCCCTGGGACAATATACCTATTGCACCCAGGAGTACGACCAGTTACTTGCACACCCGAAGCTTCCGACGTCAGCATTGACGTCTTGGTGAACGAAGAAAAGCTGAAGGCATGTACGTGTTACCGAGCAATCGATTCTCACGACCTAGCAGAGGTTATACTCTCCGAGCAGGCGATTAACGACCACTTCATGTATGAAGATGCCCTCAAATCCTTGTGCATTGACTGAGAAATACTTTCTATCGTCACCAGACTGATTAATCTTTAGATGTTTGCAAGACCGGGGTCGACGACCGTGACTTGTTTGTTGGAGTATACGCTCTCAAAGCTCTTGAGAAGTCGTCTAGTTGTGTTTGACGGTAAGGAGAAGACGCCATCTCTTGTGCCCACCTTTTACGATTTCGTGCCGCTGCGGCCCTTTCTGCACGTTCATAGAGCTCCCGTTCCGCTAACATAGCTTCCTTCACCCGTTCTTTTTCTGCATCTCTGCGTACTTTGTATCTATGGTATTCGTCTATCGTTTTCTTGATGTGTTCCTCAGAGCTACCACGTTTGGAGCTAGACAAAGTAAACGGTTTAACCTTGGTGGGGTTGTTCAAGGTGGATTTGGCTCGGTAAGTGACGAGCATCCCGGAATGCTCAACTGCCGGTCTCGGTGTTGAGACGCTGTTAGCAGGAATTAATAAGGACTGCATGGGGGTATTGAGGTTAGACGATCTGACGGTTTTAGACCCATCAACTTCAGGTGTGACCGGGGCACCTGGAATTCTGAAGTGATGTGAGCCTCTGGGAGTCGACACCTTGGGCAGCTGATAAAAAAGCCCCCCTACTTGTGTATAGCTTGTCGCCGGCGTGGCGGTGGATCGAGAGCGATTCATTTTTTGGCTAGAGAAATTGAGTAAGAAAAGCCATCAAAAGATAAGAGTTTGCTTTAGGCTTTTATCCGCGGATATCAAAGTACTGTGCAGCTTCGGGATCCGGCCTGACAACTTATTTTATGAAACTCACTTAAAGACTGCTTCCTAATCTCAGAAGTAAGTAGATGTAACCAGGCTGCGCGTGCTCATGCTGGTACTCCTCAAGGCACAGGTTTTCTAGTAAGAAGTGGCAGCCTAAGTCTCGGTGCAAGCTTAAAGCCTTCAGTGTAAATGTGACTGGAAGGCAGACGGCGGACTGCCCTGGTCATCACCTCACAGTACGCACCCATTATGCCCCTGGCGGTAGCAGCTCATCACTGGACTCTGTCAGCAGACAGTTCTCCTCTGCTGCTACTCCCTCACCACTAAGGCCACAAAGACGCTGAGCTTCTGCCTCACACAGGCCTCGGTAGCGCAAGGCCTTCTGGCCAAGGCTGGAGGAGCAGAGCTGCTCCAGGACCCTTTGTCCGTTCAAGCTCTCTGTTTTATAGCTACTGTACAAGGCAATCCACGGGGCATTCTGCAATATGCTTTGCACAGTCTCGCCCAATTGAGGGACAGGGATGTCCATTCCAGAAAGTGAGGCATGATGTACGAGCTGGCGCTGCTTAAGGCTATTGTCAGTAATCCCCGGGTTCTTAATGATCTCTAGAATGATACGCATGGCTAGTACACGGCCCAGCAGAGAGGGTCCGCCGATGCGGATGTGCGGGATATCGTCGTCCCCTAAGCTCACCCCACCGTCGGCTCTCTTTGTAATGACAACAGTACCCTTACGTCCGAGTAAAGCCCCGCCACCACGCAGCTGCAGTTCTGTTCCTGTCAGTGTCTGAAGTTCTCTCTGGGTGCTAGCCTGCGGTCCAAGTAAAAGCCCACTGTAGTTAACTGTATTTGTCCCCCCTACAGATTGCGGAAAATAGATGCAGATGGGCGGCAACTGGGTAGACCTTAAGTTTAATGATGGAATGAAGAATGGGTTTCCACGTTGAAAAGAGCTCTCTGTAGCGACATACTGTTGCAAAGATAGGTAGTGTAAAGATAAAAGACGGAGGCGATCCGGGGAGAGAGCGGTTGAAGAAGACAAGTATCCGGAAAGGCCGTCGACTGAAGAGGTAAGAATTGAAGTAAAGCCAGCTGCTATGTTAGGGTGTGCCGGATTAGCTAGGAATGCTCCATAAGGGGCATCTTCCTGCAAAATTGCTCTGTGTCTCATTCGTAAAAAAGCCTCAGTAATACGTAGATGGCTTTGAACAGCAGTAAGCTGAGCCTCCGTAAGGTAGTTTGGAATTCCCTGTGGCATGTGCTCAGAATAGACTGACTTGTTATTTGCGGGGGCAATGACCGGCGTTGGCTGTCCGAACGGACGCTTTGGACAAGAAACATACTTTTTGTAACTGAAGCGAGCTGCTGAGGGCTTGTGTGAAGAGGCTGCGAACTCTTTGGGTTTGGCTACCACTAGATGAGCAGATAAGTTGTAAGAGTCCATTACTAATCCTAAATCAGTTTTTTGATGACATACATGTTGTCTCAACATAGTGGTGACGCGCGCAGTAGACCTTAGTGGTTACATGACTCAGCAGTCTTCTGTGAACAAGAGCTTAGCACTGCTGGGTTCACTTTATCTTGGCAGACGGCTTCATGACGAGCCGCAGCATCGACTCCATGGCTTGTTGCAAGAACACCGCTGGCCAAGAGCACTGTACAAGAGAATTGGCACCACGAGCACATTAATATAGAAGTGGCTGATGGACAAGACTAGGGAGACTCTCTGGCCACTGACACTGTTCGTTGTTATTGCAATCCACATTACAATATTATTAAACCCCTGTTCGTGTTGAGTACGCTCGCGGCGAACCGCCAGCTAGATCGATAAGTGCGAAATAGTCGGTGACGCAGAGATCTGCACCCAGTGCAACGGAGATGGGTCTCAATCTGCCCCGACGGACGGAGTGTGCTCAGCAGACAATAACGAGTGTACCCGGAAGCAAGATGGGAAGTGCACACAGTGCGCTAATAGGTCCTTCATGTACAAGGGCGGATGCTACAAGGATAGCCAGGCACCTGGCAACACGATGTGTGAAGCAGCAAATGCTGGAGTATGCACACAGGCTAAGGAAGGGTACTTCCTGCTACCAGACGCAGACGACTCTCACCAGTCGGTCATACCGTGCGGAGATGACACAGTAGTAACAGTTAGCGGCGATAAGAAGTACAAGGGCGTGCTGCACTGTACTTAGTGTAATACACCTGACGCAGCACAGGATACTACTACTCCCAAGGCTGCCACTTGCACGACCTGTGAGGATGGTTTCTTTGTAGATAGTAGTAATAGATGCACTGCTTGTCCGGAGAACTGCCTGACCTGCACTGGTAAAATAGTCAAGGAAGAAGCCGACGGGGCAACTGCTTACATTGCTACTAATGACTGTATTCAACTTTCTAGTGAAGGCCCAATCTTTTTAATCCCCGTCTCTGAGGGGTTTGTCGTCTCCTGTTTCTATCTGCAGCCGCGCCGGGGACAGAGCGGCTCTCGCGGGGCCAGGCACCTGGTGTCCTGGGCGGCGCCGGGTCTGAGTGGGTATGCGCCTTCAGCACTGTGGGCGTCCCCCGTCCCTCTCCTGTACAAGGGATCGGTGATGCGTACCCCCTCGGTCTGCGTGCGGTTGTCAGTGCCCGTGCCTCGTGGTACCCCGGCTCTTTCAGCCCCAGCTGTCGTGGCGCCCTGCTCCGGCCATATCCCCACGAGGCCGCGTATTCTTCCATGGGACGGTCCTGGTTCCGTAGAGGCACGCCTGGGCCCACGATTCTCCCTGCGGAGGCCCCGTTGTCTGTGCTACTGGGGTCTGGGCCATCCGTCTGTACCGCTGCTTCAGGAGTCACATGAGTAAACTGCCTTTCACGTGGCTTTTTATAGAAGTAGACACTGATTGTAATCAACAGGGTCTAAAGATCTCTCGCCAATTGTACATGTCAGATCCTGTGGATTTTGGAATCCTTGGGTAGCATCCGTGCCCGGCTGATACGCGCGCCTCGGGCTCAGCAAGCCTGCCGCCCTCCTCCTCTTGCCCCCTGCGAGGACGCCGCCACTGGCTAGGCGCGTGCACAGCTTGTCCATCCGGCCCTTGAGAAGAGCCACATCACACGAGGAAGGGCGTCGTTTACTCGAGGAGAGAGGCGATTGCGTCGTGGCCATGCCTCCTTGCGATGTCGAGGGCGGTGGTGCCGGGCGGGAAGCCGAACCACTCACGGGTGGTCTGCATGCCCTTCTCCTTGTCCATCAGGAGCCTCGCACACTCCAGGCGGCCACTCTGCGCTGCATGCATGAGCGCTGTCCATCCATTGTTAGTCTTCATGCCGTCTTCTTTGTCTATTAGAAGCCTCACGCAGTCCGAGCAACCGTTGTCGGCTGCGTGCATGAGGGCAGTCCACCCACTGTTGGCCCTCATTCCGCATTCCTTGTCCAGTAGAGCCTCCGCACACTCACAGCGCCCATACTGTGCTGCATACATTAGGGCGGTCTTCCCATCATCCGTTTTCATGCCACCCTCCCTCTCCAGGAGGAGCTGCACGAACTCCAGTTTGCCGCGCTGTGCTGCGTACATAAGGGCAGTGGTGCCGTTGTTCCTCCTTTTGCTGCCTTCCCTCTCCAGCAGGAACTTCGCGCATTCCGGGTGGCCCCCGTACGCCGCCCGCATGAGCGCGGTCTCTCCAAGCTTATTCTGTGTGCTACCTTTCATCTTCAGCAGAACCTTCACGGCTCTCAGGTTTCCATACTCTGCTGCTGACATGATGTCGGTCTCGACGAAGCCGTATTTCAGCAACAAAAAAGACGAGAGACTCAGCCCGCTCCTCCCTTGTTGGTGGTAAAACTCTGCGGCTTCATCGATGCTCCTATCAGAAGCAGACCCCTCGGTGTCCTGAGAGCGACGACTCATTTCCGAAGCCCCAAGCACGTCGCTCGACATTTTTAACTTCGTCTGCTTGCAGGAAGACACTGCCACGGAAACACACACTTTGCTCTCTACTTCATTGAGAACGGTTTGCCAACTGCTGTCCGAGCATCTCCGTGGGAGCCGCCGCGCTGGGTGGGTCTCCGCTCGCCGTCCGGGGTCCAAATCCAGAGTCCGAGGTCGGATGCCCTCGATCCCGGCGGAAGAAGAACTCCTATGTCTGCCTCCCCTGGAAGCTGCCGCTCCTCGCGGTGCCCCCTAGGACTTTCCTTCCTTTGGCTAGCTTGGGTCAGCTCCGTCTGATATCTAGTGAGCACCTGCTATCTCGGATCTTGCGTCAGTCGCGACGATCTGGCCTCCACAGAATCCAAGGCCCTGGTGCTCCATGACGAAGATCCCACGCCACGACCCCGGGTGTCCACCCCGTTCCTCGGGGTGCCTCTTCGTCTCCTCGTGGAGGGCACCATCTGTTCCATTCTCAAGGGTGCGCTCCCCATGCGCCTCTATCTTGAGGTTGTGGTACGCGTTTGTGGATGCCGGCGGAGCACTCCCATGCGTTGTGTCGGGGGAGAGGCCCACCTCTCTGCTCATGGATCGCAGAGGTGGTCTGTCACCCAGCACGAGATCATGTCGACGCCCACCCTGTGCAGTGCGTCTGGCTCGGCTGACAGTGTGAGCTGCGTCCATCTGACAGCACACTTGGAGATGATGCTTCGGTCTGTCGAGGCAGTCAGTCCAGGGCCACCCCTCTGAAGGGTGTCATATGAAGTATCAAGAGCGATCAGGACAGGTTCACCGAAGTCGTCTCGCTTGGCGCTCATCTACTCGAGGGTGTCAGGCACTGCCAGCTGCTGCGGCAGACCCTAGGTAGGTGACCCAGACCACCACTCTCGGTGCGGGCAGGATCAGTCCGCCTCTGCCAGCCAAGCACCCCAACTCCCATCTCTTGTCGAGGGATTCACATGGGTCACGTGTGGATCCATCTCGACCAGCGTGACAAGTGATTAGTGCCATCACTGGCTTCAGGCTCTCCGTTGCCTTGGGCGTTCCTTGAGACCAGCCAGGAAGGAGGCCTCCTGCTTCTCAGTGTTCCTATACTTGTCAGTGTTGACCGTCGAGCCATGTCGCTTCATCAGGCCTGCCGCCTCTGTGGCTACCCCCGTTGCGTCACTGTCGTCACTGTAAAAGATGAGTGTGTCGTCAGTGTAGGCAATGAGCTTGAAGCGGCTCACTAGACAGCGGCTGATTCAGAGAAGATTAAATAAAGAGAAGGTAAGATTCTTGGAAAGTTAAGACGAGAAGTAAGATATTGGCTCTCAGCGTATAGAAACACAAAGTTCCTTCTTTCTTGCCGGAGCTGGATCGCATCCAAATGCTAAATCCTGAATTCCAAATTCTGGACTTTTAAACAAACGAAGATGCTATCTGGAATGACAATTCAACTGGGCAGCAACTGGAAAGCCCGTCATAATGAAGCAGAGTAATTCAGTAGTGCAATTTATTAAGCAAAATACCGATTCTTCTCGATGTCAGCAACAAAGAGCACTCTGTCCTCGCTGCACAGATAAACAGTGTCGATGGTAGGGTAGTCGATGAAGTTCCCGTTCATGAGGGCCACCCCTGTCTCGGCCAGAATCGGGTTAACAAGGGGGAGGTACTTATCTAGAAGAAGACGCTTCAGTAGGGGAACAGGGTCGTCCATCCCTTCGCTGTGCTTCTTGGTGGCGATATCGTACACATCAAGGAACTCTACATATGCACGAACTTGGTCATTGGCAAACCCGTAGGTAAACTTCTTAAGCTTGACCGCAGAAGAGAAGAGCACGTCGCCCTCAAGGTTGGCCAGAGTTACAGAAGTTTGGTCTGAACTCTTGCTGGCTGTCACAGAGAGGGCCCCCGTGAGGTTGACCGGTAGTGTAGCCGCCCCGATCCACGGTATGTGGGGTGCGGCATCCTTGGAGGGACTGATCGATAGAGTCAAGGTGACCCCGAGTCCAAGGTCGCTAACACTGCTTAGTAGTCCGGCCTTCACAAGGGCCTCTGCAAGACCGGGTATGTTCTGCCCCCTGATGGTGCTGTACGGGACAGTGAGACTATCTGCCTTGAACTTGTCATACGCCACATGCCAGGCATACAGGTAGGAGTTAACTGATTCCCTGTCTACATAGAACTCATAGTCTCGGTCGGTGTAGACCGTCTTCGGAGGGGGAGAGGTGATCTTGTTTGGATAGAGAGCTCTAACCGACCAATCTGGGACAGTGATGATCATTGAAAAGCCACCCTGGTCTGCCACTATCTTGTTATCGACGACATTGATGCCGTTGATGTAGCGCTGGTCAGTCAGATAGTCGTCGATCTGGACAACTAAGGGCAGGTTGAGCATTGACTGCTTTATTGAATTGAAGATTGTGTTAAAGAGGAGCTGCAGCACAGTGTCCTTTATTAGGGTCTCCAACGTGGGGGCCATGCCTTGGATGGCAGTTGCAAGGACAGAGCCCCCTGTGTCGAGTCCGATGGCATCGATGTCAAGCCCAGACGAGTACACGACGTTCGATATCTCGGAGAGCCCGAAGTGGTACGGGCAGGTGGGGTCGTCTCCGAGCCTCAGAGAGATGTCTGCCCCGAAGTCCTTGAGGGTGAATATGCAGTCGACGGTCCCGGTGATCCCGGTGATGACTGCCTTGAGTCGCATCGAGATCTGCATGAGTCCGTCCCGGGCCTCCATCTTGACAAAGTTGTTATCTTGCAAATAAACCTTCATGGTTGAAACACGCACTGCACGGGGTCTGATATTGGAGAGAGTAATCTGCAAAGTCCCGACAGTTATGGGTATCTCTGGAAACGCTGGAAGACCAGAAATAATGTCAGGAATGATAGAGTAGCCCTTCTGGCAGAACTTCTCCAGCCCACGTCTGGTGAAGCGCATTCCCATTCCATGTTCAGGTTCGTTAGTAAAAGGTGTACCCAGGGCACATCCCAAAGTAATAGAAAATAGTAGTAGTATTAGCATATCGATGTGTCAGTGGAGTTATCTAGCAAACTTAATTTTTAATAAATTTAACTATGCAGCACAGAATGCACTGGTTCGCATACCTCTTACGCTCATTCTGTTTTTAGGAAACATCATGGTCACTTTCAGGAAGACAAAGTAATTGTCTGCATGCTACGGGTTGAACACTAAGCATTCTTATGTTCGACATACAAAAGATTAGTATCAATAGTATGATCATTATTCACCACACGCATGGCTACTTACCCTAAGACCTTATCAGCTTGGATTGTGCTTTTCTGGTAATTACTTAGCGCCATCGAGTGCACCTATTTACGAAGGCAGACTAAATCGTACAAGGCATTAGCTTTGAGCTTATAAGCGCTATAACTTCTGATGGATGATTTCATACAGTATGCCCTGTTGTTCTGATGGAGCACTCAATATACCAGACAGATGATTTAGCATGGTATCTCTGCAAACCATATTTACTATTATACTTACGCACGCGCCCATGCATAAGATAGTATCGTGCTGCGTAGTACAATAAAAGCAGACATATCTTACTTATTCCTGTATTGCAGGAACGTATCACCTGACAATCAATGTCACTGGACAAAGAGTTTGTGTGAAGGTATATGTACTTGTATATGAACCTATTAGAAGCAAACACTCGTGGCTCGTAGAGATATTTACAAATAAATTAGCTTAATGATTCATTATATTATTAAATTCTTGTTAGTAGGCTGTCTAGTGGGAGTGTAGTCGAGTTCACCAACTGCTGGATTGTTCTCACTTGAAAGACACGCCAGGGAGTCCTGCAATGTGTGGTTGGAGTCACTATGTGCTTATTTTGAGGACTGCTTAGAAAGAATAGAAAGTACTTCTCTATAGCCTTTCCTCCTGGCTATGTCTGAGGCTGTTGATTCAGATGGATAGGCCTGATCGTCATCTTCCCAATAGACATTATGAGTAGTTTTTATGTCCCCTTCTTTGCTTGCAAGAAGTCTCACGCATTCTAGATTGTTATTGCACGTTGCTCTCATAAGAGCGGTTATGCCATTCTTATCTTTCATACAGGCCTCCTTTTTCAGTAAGAGTTTAACTGAATTCTGGTTGTTAGATTGAGCTGCATACATGAGGGCAGTACGATCCTCGCTGTTTTGTGCCCCTTCTTCCACGTTCATTAAAAGCCCTACAAGCTCAGTGTGGTTAGTGAGTGCAGCGTACATAAGAGCAGTCCAACCAGTGTTGTCTTTCATGCCTCCCTCATGCTCCATGAGTAGCTTTACAGCATCGGTATGTCCATATATTGTTGCGCCCATAAGCGCTGTTCGATTGCATAATGTATACCCATTGATATAGGCTTTCCCTGGAGCCTGACATCTTTTCTGAAGAGGAATCAAGAGCTTTACGACCTCCACATCCCCTCTATCTGCGGCCCGCATGAGTGCCGTGACTCCATCCTTGTCAGTTGGATCTATGAGCTCCACAATATCCTTATGTCCCATTCTCGCTGCAAGTGTCAACGCTGTATCTCCGTCTTTATTCATCTTATTTCTGTTATTGTCGATATACTTCTTAGCCGCTCTCGCATCTCCGACAACCACAGCATGCATAAGCGGGGTCCAAGAGGAATCACACATGGGAATGAGGTTATTTAGCCTAAAACCCCGAGAAACCTGCATCCTGAGTTCTTCCGTGGCTTTAGAGAACTGTTGCTGTTGCTGCTGACTATTCTTTTGAAGTGCCTGCAGCTGGGAAATGCAACCCTTACACTGGGTTTCAAGGCCATCAATTCTGCTTGATCTGGCCCTAACCTCTTTTTGGAGGGAAATTATGTCAGCTGACTGCTTCTCGATAATGCTCTTTAGAGAGCTAATTTCAGTAGATTTGCTGTTGAGCTTCTCCTTGAGAGAAGTCAGCTCTGCTCTGTGGTTCTCGTTGGAACTATCAAGTGTCTGCTTGAGGATCTCACACTCACGCTGAAGAGATACCACCTGTGTCCTGAGCTCTTTACTGATCAGTAGTTCTATTAGCGTTTGATCTCTCGCCAGACTAACGAGCTCCTTGGCAGACAGACGGGCCTCGGGATCTAGAACAAGGATATATCTGAGGAGTTCCCTAAGGAGAGGACTCTGGACAGAGGTTAGATTCGGCTTCCAGTCATTTGTGAATGCTGATTGTGAATCGTCACTATTTGCAAAGCTTGGTCTGCTCAATGTGGCAAGCTCATAGATGATGCAGCCAAGAGCCCAAACGTCTGACGCAGGACTGTGTTTGCTATAAATAACTTCTTCTGGAGCAGAATAGGAAAAGATACTTGCACTGACCCCATTTTGTAAGAGCTCTCTGGGAAGCCCGTAGTCTGTGAGGACAAAGTGCTTGCCATTATCACTAGCAAGGATACTGGTAGGTGTGAGACCTCCGTGGATGATGACTGGGAGGGGCTTTCCGTTGGCAGCTATCTTCCCCGAGTCGTAGAGGTATGCAAGACCAGAGGCTACTTGCTCAAGTATGAGAAAAATGTCTTGTTCGGAGACAGGCTGCCTCGCTCTTTTATGCCTATTGATCATGCTCTCAATGGTTTCCCTGTAGCAATCTACAACAACGTAGATGAACTCTCCATCGCAGAGTACCTGGTAACACCTGAGGACATGTGGGTGGGAAAGCCTGGTATGAACAAGCAGGTTGCATTGTATATCCTTTATAATGTCCTCTGTGAAACTATCAAGTTGAATCTCTCTGACAGCTAAGGCTGGGTATCCCTCAAGAGCATAAAGGATTCCGGATGCCCCCCTTCCAAGTATTTCGCTTAGACAATGCAGAAGGCTTTCAAGCGTAAACTTAGGAATCGAACAGGTATCTTTGGCAGTGGATAGCATGCAGCTGGATGCAGAGGCCATGTGGGTTTTTATTGACTGTGAATTATAGATCCGATTGGGCAATCAATTGAGTTCACCATAGAATTTCAAAGGAATGATGTGTAGTAATGTAAGTCTCAGTCCATCTAACTAGGAGATATTCCGTATCTGACGATAGAGGGATCTGTTGCAATTGGCGCAACTGATGCCAATCAGCCCTCTCACACGGATCGGATATGTTTTATCATACTGTAAATCTGACTATATGTCCACTTAGAATCCATATTAATACTCCTAGGCTCGTCATTGTTCAAGAATAAATATGACACTGTAATAGACAGTTGCACTCAGAATAATCTTCTTGCAGACTGGGACACAGATCAGTTGTTCTCTTCAAGGCTATATTGAACCAAAACCATCTATAGGCTTTATATGCTGATGATTCACTCCACTCACTGGTTGTTTCCGGTGCTTTGCTGATGGGACCCTCGTCTGGGTGTGGTCCAGAGGTCTCACGAGTGACCCTCGCTCAATTCCTGGCCAGTCCGGAGACAAAGGTCGACTTTGGATAATATAACGAGAGAGTCCTCTCCAATGATATGTCCAGAGCCTGGTGCGCTCCTCGGTCGTTCCACAAGCGTGTGCTCAGACCGAATGCGTACATCGGTCCTTTAGGGGTTCAGCTTACTTACCCATCTGCGTCGTCCACCAGTGGCGCCTCTCCTTGGTCTTCCTTCACGGTGGGTGAAGCTCTGGTCGCCGTCTTTTTTAGATGCTCCCGTCTGACTCGGTGATTGCTGTCGGGGCTCTCCACTGGCCGCCCCTCGGTGTCCATCCGGCTGTGGTTCTGGGCAGTGGTCCCACAGTCGCGGTTACCTGGGTCCCAGTGGGCCAGCTGGTGGGGAGGCTGGGGTTGCTGGGGCGGTGAGGCCGGAGGGGACTGGTGGGACCGGGGGCGGTGTTCATATGTGCCCCTGGGTCTGGTGGGCCATTGGGGTGGTGGGGTGATCGCAGCTGTGGTGACTGGGGGCTGTCCATCTGTGACTCACCCCTCTGTGTGCTCGTGGTCTGTGAGTGCCTCCACCCAGACAACACTCAGGAGCCGTGCACACCGGGACAGAGAGGGTGACCAAGGGGAGTCAAGCAGCCCTGCCATGAGAGTGCACAGCAACCAGCCTGAGCTGTAGAGTCTGCTCGAGCGATGGTAGTGGCAGACGACTCCCTCTGACAGCAACCCTGGTGACTGCACTGGTCTGCTCTCGAGGCTGAGTGACAGTGTGCACAGATGGACATGAGTGCAGGAGGACCATCCACACACGAACAGACTGTGTGGACCCAGAGAGGACTGGAGTCTGCTCGGGACACGCTGACTGTGCCCCGTACGAGAGTGTCAGGCAACCACCCGAGCACCCGAGAGGCAGCAACAGACACGGGCACTAGAGATCCCCAGCCAGACACATTGCTATGCCCATCCACAGGGGCATCAGAAGGCCAGGTGGGGTCACCCTCACAACCAGGACCTGATAGGAAGCCAGAGGACTCAAACACTACAGCAGAGCAGGCCCAAGGGAGGCACACTCCAGGCAGGCGAGCAGTGGCAGAGCCTTGATAGCTGCCATCCACCCCCATGACACCTATAGCAGGCACCAGACTCACCGAAGGCTCCGCTGGCCTCCACCGATGACCCGAGGGGACAGCGACCAGAGGAGTGAGGAGACCTTCGGATGACACAAGAGGCCGGCTGTCCAGCAAGCGATGGAACACAGGTGACCTCTGAGCACCATAAGGCACAGAGCCAACCATCAGAGTGATGCCCGATCACAGAGACGACCACGAGCACCCTCCACCGCACTCTGAGGGGCTGTCAATCATCCCACTGCCTCTCATAGCAGACCTCCTTAAGGGCAGTGCAGTGGGGCCCAGCTCATGCAGGGAGGTGCACACCCCTCAGTATAGGACACCCCGGCTCTCCCCGAGGGGTCATCAGAGCCACGAGGAGGTGTCAAGGTCCTGGTAGACCACACCGAGAACTCCCGAACAGGCACAGCAGGTGATGTTGGGTGATCCTCAGCGTGCTCCTCTCTGATGGTAGAGCATCCTGAGACCAAGGGGGCTCACCTCTGCCTATGAACAACACACAGCACTCCACAACGAGGATCCACCAGGAGCAGCACAGCTGACCACGGGGACAGTGCAGCCACCCGGTACCCCACCGTGCCAGTCTTCTGGGCCATCACACTAGAGGCCTGAGAGAACCCCATCCCATCCACAGGGTCATCCATGCCCCTGCTAGCCCGAGGTGAACTACCCCCGTCGAGGCACTGGACAGGGCATGCCAGGGGCCCAGCAGACCCGCACAGAGCAACAGGAGAGGCTACGATAGCCTGCCTCACCCTTCACGTACTAGTCAAACAGAGAGGTAGTACTGCCTGAGGCATGCAGAGGCCAAGGGAGGCGCTCAGTCAGGGGGACACGACACGATCGTCGGTGTCTGTGTCTCGGGAGTGCAACGAAGGCTGGGGATCAGACACAACCACCTTGGCAAACAGAGCGGGGATCACCCACCACCCCAATGGCCCATCAGACCCAGGGGCACATACAGACATCACTCCCAGTCCCCTCCAGCCCTCACCGCCCCATACCCCGCCTCACCCATCATCCGAACCCGCTGGGACCCAAGCGACCGCGACTGTAGAGCACTGACTCGAGCCACAGCCGGATGGACACCGAGGGGCGGCCAGTGGAGAGCCCCGACAGCAATCACCGAGTCAGACGGGAGCATCTAAAAAAGACGGCGACCAGAGCTTCACCCACCGTGAAGGAAGACCAAGGAGAGGCGCCACTGGTGGACGACGCAGATGGGTAAGTAAGCTGAACCCCTAAAGGACCGATGTACGCATTCGGTCTGAGCACACGCTTGTGGAACGACCGAGGAGCGCACCAGGCTCTGGATGTATCACTGGAGAGGATTCTCTCGTTATATTATTCACAACCAGCCATCGTCTCTGGACTGGTCAGGAAGGAGCGATGATTACCCACACGATCTCTGGACCGCGCTCAGATAGCCCCAGCAGCACATCTACATAGGCTACATAAAGTAACGCGTTTACTACCTAAGTTACGCCTTCCCTCTACATATGAACCACCAACACAAGAAGCCTATGAGACCACCTACAACAACAATCACAGCAACGGAGATCCCTGCTATGGCCCCTGTGGAGAGGCCACTCTTGTTTGTACTACCACCGGTGTTATCATCACCACCACTAGTGCCGTCTGTTTTGACATAGCAAGTAACAGAGCCACTACCACCAGCCGGAGGAGCGCAGCTTATGCAATTAGGCACACCAACTATTCCGTTGGCACTAGCATCACACTTCACGCAGCTACTTCCGGACTTATAGTATCCGGGGAGGCATTCTGAGCATGCTTTGGGACTACCACTAGTCGCGCACTTTGAGCACCCATCCGGACACGCCGGGCAGGAACCCGAAGTGGTATCTGCTGCTTGCCCATTGGCACATGTCTGGCACTTTCCATCGCTAGCCGTTGTGCACAGCGTATTACCCGGAAAGGCTCCGGCGCTGTAGCACCCACCCGATTGCAGGAAGTATGAGCCTGTACACGCAGTACATACTCCGTCACCCGGCGTGCATCCAGTCGGCGCCCTTGTCGTTGTCGACACACAGACGCCGTCCACTGGGACGTATCCGGCCTTGCACCTGCTGCAGTACTTGGAGCCACCTACGACGGCCTTGCACTGGTCAGCCTCGCAGTTCTCTGCGTACCTTCCCGTGCACTCTTTTATGCACGCTCCTGTGTCACCAGACGACCGATTCAGCACAGACCCCGGATAGCAGGCCGTGCACGACGCTTCTGCGTCATTGCTACAGCTTGCGCACGACTCGTGGCAGGGGGTGCACACCTTGCTGTTGGCATACATCCCGGCAGGGCAGGCTGTTAGACACGCGTCCTTCAGGGGGCTCAGGTTGTGAGTGGTGCACTCAGAGCACGTGATTAGTGGGCCTGCGCTTGCAGGAGTTGCCTTGAGAGAGCACTTTGCACAATCCTCTATGCCACCATTGACAGTATCGCTGCACTTAGCACACACCTTCTTGCCCTGTGCATCGGCTGTGGGGAAGAATCCATCCTTACACTCCTCTGCGCTAACACAAGAGGTTGTCCCCGATTCTGTCTTCAGATATTTGTCTTGATCACATTTTTCACAGACAACCTTAGTATCATATGTGCATTTGACACAATTTGGCACCCCTGTCGCGGCTGGAATTAAGCTTGCTTCAGGCGAACTACACGACTGGCAAGTCTTTAGCTGCTTTCCACTTGTTGCTGTGTGCCCGAAGTATCCTTCCGGGCATTCAGTCAGACATGCAGTTCCACCTTCGATTGGGGCGTGTAGAAAGTCAGTCGTACACTTAGTACAGGTCGCGGTGGTAGCTAAGTTATCTAGTGTGCATTCAGCACATCCTTCCACGCCCTTATAAATCTTGTCGCTTTTCCCGTTCGCTCCCTCACTGTCACTGCACGACACGACAGATTGATGAGAGGCGTCTGCATCTGTTGTTGGAATGATGAAGTATCCAGCTGCAGGAGTGCTACATTTTCCTTCAGGTGCACTAGTACACATTTCGTTCCCTGGAGAACCTCCCGAATTATAGCATCCGCTTTTGTACATGAAGTATCCATCTTTACAAGATCCGCACTTTCCTTCAACTGGATCAATGCACTTCGTATTTGCTTGATCCGTTGCACTCACTACACACGTTCCGTCAACAAGGTGTTCGTTATCCACGGAACATTTTGAGCAATAAGGCTGTTCTCCTATGGATACATCACAGTGACCCTTTTTACACTTAGTAGTGTCATGAGTCCCCGGATTTCCATCATCTTCCAGGCACGCTGCCCAAGCCAATTGCAATATGCAGTTTGCGAAGAGAATTTTTTCGAACATTAGCTAATAGCAGTAAGGAGTGTCCGAAAGATAGTCTCATCCTGCGCTTGCTCCTCTGCTCAGGCCCACGGTCTCCTGTCTCTGGCACTGAACCCTGAACTATGTGCTGGGCGGGCTTCAGAAGCGAAGAGCGGCGCACACTGTGAACGAAGAAAAACTGCAAGGTGAGACCACAATTCTGCCATACAAGATCCCCTATAGCCACACGCTCATCATCAAAGTTCGATTTATTCCATCTAGATGAGCAAATGATACTTCGTACCTGTATCGAATCTTAAACGTCTCGCCCACGCATTACTTACGTCGCTAAACCACCGTTCTGAGGGCGAGATATCTTTCAGCATTTATAACCAAAAAATTAAGCTCACCCAAAGTCAACGGAGCGCCAGCTACGTGTTATGGGCAGCGAAAGTACCAGAGCCAAAGAGTTCCTCTGATCGCCTGGCCGGAGCACATTTGTGATCTCCTATACCTTCATTTAATTAGCGTCCTCTGGGAGGATGCATTCACCAGCCAGCCTGCTATAGTGCGGGGCGCAGACCACAAGTCACAGGGTGCTCCATGATATACTTCTGTAGTGGTGTCTGAGAGTTCGACTTGCAGGGCCTCGGCAACCCTAGTAAGGACCTCCACACGTTCTTCATCAGATCCAAATAGATCACACTCTATCGTTGACGGACCCCTTGTGCAATCATACGCAGAGATAATTAGAAGAGAGAAAGTAGTATTTGGCAGAGAGAGACCGTTTGAGACGAACTCATCCAATTTGATGGCTTGGGAGTTGTGCGCTGCAGCCTGAGAAATTGACGCCATATACCCCTCTGAAAAGGTGCACAGAGATGTTCGTCTACGAAACTGGCCAGCTTTAGATATTTCAACATCGGGGACCATGTCTGAAAGATGCATCACGTAGTCGTGTATCTCTGTGTACTTTCCTGTGTCATATACGTAACTAGCCAAGCTAAAGGAGGCGATTACCGACTTTACAGGTTCTAACTTTCCTTCCTCATTCTGCAAGATAGCTGCTGAGGCATTAACACCAAATAACGCTTCTAAAACAAGATGTTGTGGGAAGTAGTCTATTCCAACTACCTCATCCACTGGTACTACAAGAGTTTGTAAGGCTCTGGCTGCCAGCTTAGCCCAAGTGAGACACACCGAGGTCCCGCTACCATGGCCCACGCAGGTAAATCTCACCCTCTGTGAAATTAATTCTGTGGAAATATTTTGCTTGGCAAAGCAAGCCTCGATATGTCGAGCATCAGTCAACTCATATTGTTTCGAGTCAGGATTGTATCTTGCAGGCAGCTGGCAACGCTCGCGAAGGTCAAATATCAACTCAGCTGCGAGCAGAAGAGCTATATTATTCACCATCTTGGCCTCTGTGACAAGCTCCAGAGGATACTTCCCTACACTGGATGACCCATATCCGGGTCTATCTACGAGGACATAAAGGCACCCATATGGGTCCAGTGCCGATGCATTGCGAGCCAGAGGTAGAAGGGTGGTGCTGTCCTGCCCTTGATCATGAAGCATAATAGTTATGCAACTGTAAGTGCCTGAATCTTCTTGAGTAGACCTAGCGATGTCGAGACTCGCCGAAGATATGTATCTTCCTGTTTGCATCTCATCATCAACATAACTATACAGGATAACTGAGCGGCTTGTCAGGGATTTTGAGGAGGACGTGGCCAATAAGTAAGTCTGTGAGCAAAGAAAAATGTGGATACAAAGGGATAAAATTAATAGGATTGCTACTATTGCTAATCGTGCCGTTACTGGGATATTAGATAGTCTGGATGTCTTTGGTTGCTCGACAGTACTAAGAACGTCCTCAACCTCAGGCTGGTCGAAGAGTAGCGCGTTATCACCTTCACATTGAGCCCCATTATAACCGCCATCAGATACTTTTGAGGGGTCAAAGCAGGCCACCTCCGCCCTGGTGGATTGGCTTGGGGTTAAACTCTCGATTGGTGTTTCCGAAAGCAGAGATGCGGTAGTAGATGGAGCAGTCTGAGTGTTGCGAAGTTTGTGCGATAAATGACTTTGTGCAGAAATCCAGAGAACACTTATGTGTAGAAGGATGGCTGTACTTAAATAGACCACTGCTGCGGAGACATACCTAAGAGCATATGTCATAAATATATCCACTCCTATCTTCAATACGGCTATGACACTGATAAAGATTAACTCAAGAGAAGACTTACGGTTTCTGAAAAATATCACGGCAATAAGTTCAAAGAGCACAGAAAATGCATCAAGAGCATTGGCAACAGCCATCCAGAGAATCATCCACGGGCCTATTGGTGAACTATAGTCCATGACACCCACAAGTGGAAGTGATTGCGCAATAATTCCAATAACAGATTGGAGGGTTCCTATTACTGCGATACACGTAAGGCAGAGCTCAACGATGAACAGAGAGCCCTCCCTGGTGCAGGCCCCGGGGCGCCTAAAGGCAGCCGGCATCTGAAAATAATTTACTTGGCTGTGGCTGCTCCGGGTTTTGAGACACTTATGTGTGCATGCCCTGGTTTATCAGGCGACGTCTCACCGTCCCGACACAGGAGAGACTCTGCCTCTACGTACGTATCTGAAAACCTAATGCTGCACCCAGGACCTTCCTTGATCTGGTGAGCTATGACGACACGGCTCGAAGGCTCGTCCTGTCGAGACTCCCGCAGGAATTTGTTGTATGCAGCAATAACAGATTGGTCTATGTGAGAGGGTTCGCTAAAGAGTGTGGGCTGCGTGGTGTCGCAAACTAGCCCATCCGGGGATTGATGCAGGAAATTGCAGCGTCGACCATACGGGCAGTATCCATGCGTGATGAAATCTGTGCACAATTTCATATCCTTCACATTGCTTCTGCGCCTATGCTGAAACTCCTCCATGGAGTGGGCAAATTGGCAACGGTCCCCATAATCACATCTACCAAACTCTGCAAAGCAATTACAAAATTCAGTCTTGTATTTTGCTCCTGTGGATGAGCTCGTCTGGCCTACCGCTAGGGACTCCGCGTTCCGAAGGGAAGACTCCATATTGCGCATCACTATGCTCATCCTTTATTTTTTGAAAAATTATTTAAATGGAAAAGAAAGCTATTCCGTCTTCCCTCCCAAAGGCAGCTCTACCCAGTCTGCTTGCATGATGAGCTCGTCTATATTCAAGTCTTCCCAGCGCATGCCATCTATTGGATCAGGATCCACGACCTTGGCAAGATATTGGTCCTGAATCCCCTCTTCACTAGAGTTCAATTTATGCAGAAAATCCTCAAGGTTCTGTAAGTACAACATGTTGATATGCTCGAAGATCATCTCTACATGACCACGCCTAGAATCCTCTACACCCCCTTCCCCTCGCTGGAAGCCACAATCGCTGAGATACAACGTGGTAATCTGCGCTGTGAGATCACTATCAATGGGTACGCCGTACCTCAGCTCTTGGAACTTTGGACTGCATAGAACAGCCTGCAAGATCGCATCTCCTTCTTCCTCATCCACCCCTAAACTTTGAAGCGCCTTCATGGCACAATCAGTGAATGACACTTCCGAACTCATGTTTCTTAGTATACACACGGTGCCCGTGAGAGCCCGGCCATCGATGCCTTGCTGTGTAAGATGGTTGATAAAATGCGACAGAGACAGACAGCCCCGCCTGCATTTCATCTTGGAGAGCTCTCTGGCTGCCATCCGTATCAGGTTCTCTGCTGAATCTGCCTCCTGCGGCTTCAGTATCGAAAGAAGGAGCAGCACTATCTCGTCTTGGGTGATAAAGAGCCTCTGCACTCTTCCAGACGGATAGAGTCCAAGCACAAGTAGCAGGTCAGAGAAGGCATCCTTCCACGGCTGTGGGTCGTCGACTAGGCGATCCACAGTAGCAGACCATAATGCGGTTACAAGGCGCAGCAGAATCTCGTCGTCAACGGCTTCGAGCATAGAGGCAAGATCTGAAAGCCGCAGATCCTGTCCACTCTGCTTGTGGAGCTCTGCTGATGCGTCGCTAAACAGTTGCTGCGTGGCCTCAGCAAACTGCAAAACGTCATTGTTACCGGTTTCTGTCATTAGAAATAGCTGGATCAAGCGCTCGAAGTCCTCAGGTGTTGAGACACCAAGGTACCTTGCTTCGAGGTACACAGAAAAGACAAGGGGCCTCTGGACCATTTTTTCTTTGAGACGATTTGTGACAAGGACCCTAAAACTCTAGGCTGTTACAAGGGTACGTAGATTTAACTTCTGCGGGTGTAGGTGTACGTGGACCAAGAAATTCCGTGGCGTGTACTGAGGGGTTCCGAACTGAGATTGTTTGAACAGTATAGCACCAGAAGCAAGACTTATTAAACTTTTTCACCGGAGAAAGTTGCAGAGAAGAAGTCGTGGGGGATGCTGGGGATTCTATAGTCTCGAGCTGGAGAGCGTCAACTCCGTTCATAAATAGTTCTCTGGTAAACTTGAGACTCAGGCGAGCATCACTGGCGACAACTGGGATAGAACCTGTTGTGACACCATTCATTATAGAACGCGCCCATCTCTGGGCGCTGGAAAACTCCTCCACTTTTAAGATTTGTCGCGCATACACAAACAGCCTACTATGGAGCATAAGAAGAGCGATAGTGGGAACGATATACGGTCCCATATAATCGGGGGACTTGAAGCTAAATTTCTCCGACGGTACAACACATTGCAGTAAGCAAGTAAGAATATCAGTTGAAGAGATGATAGAGCTTATTGATTCAGGGATGAATAGATAAACCACGTTATTGTGCCCTATCCAAGGGAGTTTTAAGGGATGGATGCGACCAACCTTGGGTCCGAGTACCCTCTCTTTAGTGACACTCTTTACGAGTGAATTTGCCTCTGCTGATACGCCTGACTTCTGCTCGTTGTAAACAAAGTGCACCATGTAAAAGTAGATCTCAGACTGAGAGAATAAGGACGGCTGTATTTCTAAGGCTGGCCTAGGCAAGTATATGAGCGTTGCACGATTGGACGACAGATAACGCCCGTAGCGCACGAAGAAGGACTCCTCTGGCTCTATGCCTCGGCACTTGCGGGATTCGATATACCGGTATCTGCCTTTGAATGTGTCAGTGACAAATGATATGTTATCAACGGCCCAGCAAGAGAGTCTTCGAGAGTTCCCCTCTAGCATATCAGGAGGTGTGGCTTGGTCGATTACATAGACATGCGTGCCATTTGGGAGCACATTAAATTCATACAGCTCACTGTTCTTGGTCTCGTCAGCATCCAAGATGTCATTAAGAAGTCCGCACGGGGAAGAGTAAAGGCTATCGGATATATCCATCACCTTGTGATATGCTCCCTCCTTCAAGGTGTAGCGCAACAGCATCCCAACCTCAAGCCGATCTGCCACTAACTTTGGTAAAATAAGGCGAAAGAAGCTGCAATCCACGTGAGTATTCTGGTAGTACTCTGTTATGATAAAGCCCATGACAAGTGTCATTTTAGATAGCTTTCCTGGGGTCTCAATAGTAGGAGATACTATTTTGGTTCGAAAGCTGCTGTTCATCAGGTCCAGAACGTGCTGACCTAGCTGCTCGCACTCCTTGCCCCTAAGAAGGAGCACTACACGACCTATTAACCAATGTTGCTGAATGGGTGGTCGCAAAAGAGATCCATGCAATTCGCACGTATTCCTGTGGGTCTTATTATGTGAAGTAAGCGTTATAGTCACCAGGTGGCCCAGATAATTCGTTGGAGTGTTGGTAGAGAAATGGCGCTCGTAGCCATTACACAATCGGACAAAGCCAAATGAGGTGTGCGTCTCCGCTCTTTTGGTACTCTCCTGCCAATACACACTTGCGTGGATAACCCGAGCAGACGTCGCTGCTCCTTCCACAGCTTGCCTTTTCCCCCTTTTCATCTTGCCCCAAAGATCCTTTGTTGCCAGAACTCCGTCACATGGATTGTAGTAGTCCAAAAAGCGGACGTCCAACGCTATATAGACTGCACTTGTCCCATTAAATGGCACAACTGTGCAGCGGACACGTGCCCTAGCGAAAAACGGACGCTTAAATTCCGGCGTATCATCATGTACGTTTTTCCCTTGCTTGCTCTGAGCGGACGGGGTCTTTCTATAGCATATCCTACTGTTTTGCATGGAAGCCGGAACAGTCCAAATAGCGAGGGAATGAACCCAGCCGTCTACCCGGAGAGGATCCTCAAATGAAATGACGGCCAAGTTAAAGCTAGGAAAATGATAGCGGACATACCCCACAACAGAACGCAGACCCTCTAGTGAGATGTTACTCATACCTTGAGAAAAGAACAAGTGGCGTGAACAATCAAGCGTAGCAAGTAGGTCTACAGACTCGTGGAAGCTACCAGTTGTGGAGTGGTTTTCGTCGTAGCAGGAAAGGCCGTTTGTACGGGTCGTATCACTAGCTGTCTGCGGATTCAAGTAGCTGTGCGTACGCACATCAGATGATAACTCTGACACATCAGTGATATTTGTAATGACAGGAAAGAAGGTCCTCTTTGGGGTGGAGACTGCGCTAGAGGTAATAAAGGGGTTGTTCGAAACGGGGGCCGGGGCATCAATTGCCGGAAACAACAGCATGCTATTGCTATTACTGTTTGTCAATGGAAATAGTAACCCCGAGTCGACACGATGGTACACACCGGAAGGTCCTTGTTCCACAGAGGTCTTAAATTGCGGGACGGAGAAGGACTGCTGCTGAGATAGGCAAATAGAAGTAGAAGGCGAAGGTGGATTCGATGCCTCCTCCAGAAACGTGGGATCGAATAGACTCTCTGGGCTCTGATCAAAGTAATACTTCGGAGTACTCAGATTGATACCGTTACTTATGAGAAACGGATTAGCAGGAGAGCCAGGGACATCTATAAGCAAATCGGGGACAGATGAAATCGCAGGCAAAACGGGCTTCGCCGGAGTCTGTTCATCACGAAGCAAGGGCGTGAAACTGGTGTCGAAAGAAATGAAGCCAGTTCCTTTACAGCGCAGAGAGATAACTTCTATTTCAGTAAGGCATATGCTCTTGCCGTTAAAGAATAACTCAGCACAAGTGCACTGTCCTAACAAAGAATCACCTTCTTCTAGAATTGGAAAATCACTGGAGTCTGCTAAGTGCGAAGATCCTGCTCTCTCAGACAAGGAAATGTATCGTAGAATAGCACACATGAGCGTGTTGGTATGGACAAAAACACAGGGAGCCGAAGAATTGCTTCTATTGATCCCATGAGAAAGCATGGCCTCAAGCACCCTTTCGCGGACAGCATTAGAATTTCCTGGGCTAAGCTCTCCACCTAGAGGGGTGTTACTGGATAAGAAGACCAAGGGCGCGTTAGCATACCAAATAACTTCGAAAGGTACGGGAATAGTAAAGCGGGCTACGTGTGCACAGACAACGGCAGTCCAAGTACTGAGACCTCCGCACAGACTGCAGGACACCTCCCCAGTGCGAAGAAGCAGTTCGTGCTCTTCCACGGATGAACAACTCTGACAAGACACACCGGGAAGACAAGATAAGTGCGAATATATTCCTGCAAAGGATTGCGAGTAAAGCAGCGGGGATTTGCTAATATTGCTAGCGGCAAGGCTATTGCTAGTGATATGCTGATTAGTGGCGGAGAATTGAGCTACACGTACATCAGACCACAGTGAGGTTATGGTCTTGACGTCCAAGTCAATGGAAACGGGTGCAGTTCTGGTAATGAAACCGATCAGGCTTTTATACTGTGCAGCTGATATGTTGAAAAGTTGATGCTCACGGCCCGTAGTTGCTATTTCTAATAACAAGTCAGAGGTATCATTGTCAACTTTTCCATAGAATCGAATAGGCAGCTGAATATCAACTATAAGTAAGCCAGTGTGAAGCAAAGAGGATGCTCGAATGCTCCACGACGGTAGCAGAGACGGGGTCTCGCTAGAGACATATAAATCCATAACGCATAGGTTAGAGGCTGTCCACAGACAATACAAAGGTGATCCTATTTGTACAAGAACCTCGTACAATAGCCGCGATAGCCTGCTAATGGCCAGAATAATAAAGCTATAGCCCGCAACGGTAACACGGAGGGCAACTGCAGCCCAAAATGTGTCTCTCAGAGCCTTTGACGGCTCAACTTTCTCAGCCTTGGTGGAGCTGGCGTGGGCGGTGAAAGCAGGCGACTGATTGATAGACAATGGCTGATCCTCTAGCTTTTTAGTATGAGCAGAAGCTCCGCTGGAAGGAACACATGGCTCTATAGACAGAATCTCCACAAACTCGCTCAAGTAGGTGGGATAAAGGCGAACAGATGTAACAACACGTTGGGTACCCGAGGACGCTTGTTGTACCACCGGTTCAGTAGTAAGGAGCACACCCTGCAGCAAAACTGAAAAAGGGTCAACAGAGGCTATGCCTGAATTACAATTATATGGAAGAAGATCCAAGGCGAGGTTAGCATAAATGCAGGAGGTTGTAGTAACTGAAAACGATGTAGAAGTTACACGAGTTATGAGACCAAATTCCTTGACTTGACTTGTAGAAGGAGCAGAACTAAAAGCCTGATCTGGTTGCAAATTGGCCTCAACGTAGAAGGGTGGCAACGTCAGTTTGACCATCCTCCTTCTGGTTGACGGAGAGGCCACAAGGCGAACACGCTGCAGAGCTGAAGGAGGCATGGCCAGGTCCTCGAGGATTTCACGTCCACCTTTCACCACAAGCAAAACATTACCAGAGCCAAAGATACTGTGAGACCCAAGAGTAAGTAAATGCGTTGCACAATAGTAAGCTCTTCCAGATAGACCGAGGAGGCCTGTGCTATAGAACAGCTCCAGAAGAACGTCTAACGAGACCGCCTCGGAAAGCAAGGTGCTATGGTCAAGGGCAGCTAAGGTAATAAGGTCGATGCTGCTCTTAAGAACAAAAGTAACGAGGCTATACCAAGCAGCTGGTGTTTTCAAACAGAGCGCACCCAAGACGTGGACCAGATCTGTACTAGTCAAATTCACAGCCTCTCCATTTTGAAGAATAATCGGGGCTACGCCAAAAAGCTGGAACATGGCCGATTGGTTGAATTGCGCCACTTGCGCCAATGAAATGCATCGCTCTTCGCGGACATCACAATCCTTTCGGATTGTAATAAGTGCTTGATCGTCTTGCTGTGTCGCATTCGATTGCAAAGATGAGGGATCGGAAATAGGCCTCATATCCACCCTCCTTACATTGAGTTTTTTAGTCATATTACGGTCGCAATTAAGGAATTTTACTCTGACTTTTCTTTTCGGCTAGTCTTTCTGAGCTCTGTGAGCCGATAGAGGAAGTCCGACGCAACAAGAAGGAAGAGGAGGAGTAAAACATTTACGACCCCTACCGCGAAGAGTCCACCTCGCACCGTCGCAGTCAGGGAGTCCATCCCATGCTGAGTCATGTAGTAAGCTCGCACTGCGTACATGACCCCCATTGGAGCAGCAATAATGACTACCATCCATGGCCATCCGTGAACAGCAAGACGTGAAAACGCCGGGCAATGATCAAATATCTTCATTTTTGTCTTCCCCTCTTATTTTTATCACCTAATCTTCTCTCATCACCAGATACAAATAAGCGAAAAGGCGGAGACATCAAATTCATATGGAAATGCGCATCACAAACGTCATAAAAAGGTCGTGTAAATCGCGCAGAGCTTGTAGCGAGCATCAGTTATTAAACAACACAACGGGCTCCACAGCACTGAGCCTTGTAATTTCGTCTGCAGGGAGGGCAATGTGGTAAATCTGATGACTGCTATCGAGAATGCAGGCTCTCAGAACAGCCTGAACGTCTAGACGCTGCATAAAGGCAGAGTATTCCGAAAAGGAAACCAAGGTATCCCAATCTATGTTCTGCAAGTACTCCTGCTCAAATACAGCAAGCATATCGGGTCCGTAGTGTGAAAGTGACAACTCGTTCCATTGCTCGAGTGTAGGTGGATTATCAATCAGGAGGCGGGAGCTAATAATAACGCTGGTCAGCATAATACGGTATACATTATTGATTGTAAGGGGATAGAAGCGATTGCGACTCATGAACCGCCGGAGTAATATTATTGCATATACGTAGCATTGCCGGGGTGCAACAGATCTGCTGAGTAGCGCGTCAATAAAGACAGCTAGCTTGCATTGCGGCTCTCCACTGTGAGGCCTTGGAAGTTGAGTTGCATTTTCAATGTGAGCCATCAGAAGATCTGATACGAATCCCACAAATTGTCGTCCTGTTAATCCATAGACGTCCACTGATACCCGTGGGGTTCTGTACCGCTTCTTCACTGTATCTGTGTGCATATAAGGAAAGACCGATCTCAAACGAGGGACGGAGTTTTTTTTCATGTGTACGTGGGAAAATTAACGATCAAATCAGGCTTTTATTACTCTATTTTGTCTTGAATGAGGAGGTCCCTTTTAACGATATGTGCGCTAAGCCTGTTGACAGCTCCTTAAGGGACTTGCAGACAAATTTATATTGTTGAGCTCCTACTGTAGCGGTGTAAAAACACGACTGTTCATCCAGTATGAAGCTCTCAGGATCAATAGTAAGTGCATAGTCAGTCACGCATACAGCTATGCATGCCTTGGCGTGGCTCAGAGGCAGTTCTACGGAGATGTTGACCTTCTGGGGTAAGTGCACTCCCATGAACTCCTCCAGTTGTCGAATTACATGAGCAGCTTGAGCAGAGGCAGGCTGCTGGGTTACGCGGTAGTGCAGGTCATTTTTCATGGCGAACTCTATCAAGGTTCGAGGGTATGCAGCCCCCGTGGCAGGGTTTGTTAATCTCAGGGCCACAATAGAGGCTATCTCAGTGAACTTTCTCTCCTGTTCGACAGTGCGTTCCAATTCTGAAAGATGTACACGTCCGTTGAGGATGATCTGGTTGCAAATTGACAGAGTGTTCTGGGTCCCAAAAGCCTTCTGCAAATTCTCCGCGCTTTGCAACTCCCCCTTAACTGCGTCTGAGAAGATAGCATGAGCCTGGATGACTTCGTTGATGTCCTTTTCAACCCCATTTCTGTAAGATGCCACTTTGCTGGAATAACAAGCCACCTCGAACCTCTGATCGTTGACCACATATTGTACTATGGCTACGTTCGTAAACCACTTCTGGGTCACTGGCTGGACGATATAACTCATTTACTCACGGGAGCGGAGTATGAAGACAATTCTATGACTCTAAAATTATTAAACTTCTTACACAGTTACAAGTTGTGGGGAAACTCCTAGCCTCCTTCAGGTTACACTATGAATACCCTACTGCAAGAAGTATCCATCGAAAGGTATGACGCTCCGCCCGAGGAACCGGTGCCCGAAGAAGGCGAGATCTACACCGACTTCCTCGACAGAGAAGGGGCCGCTATCGGTTCCTTTCGTCAGCTTGCATCCAAGCACTACAATAAGCTCTCCCAGTATATCTTCGAGCTTGAGCATCTGGCCGCATACGGTGAGCTGCAATTGAGTAGAGGTTTTCTCATTGATGGCGTGCATCTTTCGCAAATTCTGTGCCATGCTCGTAACGAATCCCTGACGCATTTCAGCGGACTCATGACAAACTATTTTAAAATGATCAAGGTGAAGGAGATATTCCAGGGTAACGAGCCTCGTGAAGCCCAAGAGATTAGCGCAGCGCTGAGGCACAGAAAGTTTTCGTGGCACAGTTTTATTTATCACCCAATTGATTGCAGCCCCACGCTCGTTGAGCTCAACAAGGAACAAGAAGAGTAATCTTTCATGCTTGACACGGCTGTGCACAGGAGCAGGAGCAGGAGCTTTCTTTACTATCTCTCCCTGCATGTTCTTCTTCACACAAGCTCTTACCTTATTCTAGAATTTGCAAAAATGCACCACAAAATTATAGGAAGTTTATGGATGGCGACTCCTCGAAAGTTCCAGAGCAATCTATCCACGTTCCACTAAAGTGCTCCCTTCCATGTGATTCTCGAAGCCAAATACACAAATCCAGATTAGAAAACCAAGACACACGATCATTCTTTCAGCAGGTAGATTATGCCGAACGGGACCTTGATCTTCTTCTCTGTCGTAGCAAAAGACACATAGACAAGACTATTTCTGTGGTGCATCATCAAACCGAGCGGCTGCGACAGCTGATGTTTGGGCAGATGGTGACGGCAATCAACCAAAAGGTGGAGTTGTCTCGCTTACGGGCACAGCAGGCAAAGAAGTTGGGCGGGCGGAAACGTGCTACCGACATGACCGCCGCTGACTGCCAGCAACATGCACAAACCCAGGTAGACCTCCTTAAAATGCAGACTAGTCCGGAAGAGTTCTTGCAGCGGATCACCAAGAGGAGCTCTGCTTACATGTACCAACAAGATAGCGACATAGATAGAACAACCCGAGCTCTTGCGAGTTGCCGCACTAGGCTCGACAAGCTGGACTTTCAGTTCATGGGACCATGTCCACGGAACGGTTTATCGGATAAAGAGGTCAAAGAAGAGCTGCGCGGCCTATTTGACTCTCTATAAAAAAGGCTTTGCATGGGCGCCGTGCTTTCTGGTCGGCCCCATGTGTCTGCCCCGACCGATCCCTCTTCACTTCTACCACCGTCACATGTAAACGCAATTGATGCGTCGTTCCACAATCAAGACGATTCCTTCCCTTACGTGGTACTCTTCAATGGAAGCCACTACGACCTCTTCATTGCTTCAGTAGATGGTCAGCCCATGGATGCCGTCCTTTCCCAATCACTTCTTTATCTAAATTTCTGCATTGAAGATGACCCTCCCGCTGTAGACTCTCTCTTGCTCCCTTCGCGACGAGGTTCCTTTGAAGGCCGCCTCTTCCGGGGCCAGCTTACCGCCTTTATAACGGTCGGGCATGTCATCCGTGCCGTTCTTTATAGTGAGGATATCATCAGCAATCTAACCCTCGTATTGATTGATAAATACCCAGCAACCGGAAAAAGAGCTAGGAATGGACGGCCCTCTTGTGAGCGGCTTTCCCCTACATATATCGTGACCCCCTTCTATTGTCCGCCCCTGCCTGGGCGCGGATCTCCCACGCTCTTTCACGATGTGCGGAGCATTTTCCGCGAGGGGCTTGTTGTGCCTCAACTGACAATAGGCGGCTTCGGAAAAGCTATCACTTACCGCTCTGTTCGTGTCTTTACAAGCCCTCATCGGCTCAGCGTCTATGCGACACAGAGCCCTCACGGAAAGGACTCCGGCGCCCACGAAGCTTCGTGGCTGACAGGCCAGGAGTCCATCTTTCGAGACACTCTGACGGTCATGCCTCTGATCTGGCGTCGCCCCGATGCCGTTATTTCTCAGATAGCGCCTCACTACCCAGACGTTTCCAAATACGATGTCCCTGTCATCAGGTGGCAGCACGTAGTGGGAATGGATAACCCTTCGACGACCTTACTTTGCAGTGTTGATGGGTCTCAGTTGGAAGATCTCATGGCTAGACGGGAGCGGCACGGATCCATTGAAGACCCGGCCCTCATCATTGTGTTCTTTGCTGGAACCCCGTACAGGATGTACTGGGATCTTAAGTTTCATCATATGACTACGGCCTTTGTGCGACGGATAATAGAGTATTTTGAGGCTATTATCCATGATGCTGCTCGTAGCTTTCGGCCTGCTACGCCTCGTGAAAGTTCAAGGAATATGCAAGCACACCTTACTCCAAATAGAGCTACAGCTCGGTACCGGGTGACAGTGCGTCGGAGTGAGATGTTTGGCGGGATACTCTCTCGGTTCCTACGAATTCCTGTGACTCTTCAGTACTTCATCCCACAAGTTAAACGGATTGCAGACGCACCGTATACACGCGTCCCACAGGTTACATTTGATGGAGAGCAAGGAGTGGATGCAGGCGGTCTTCTAAAAGAGTTGCTTGTGGGCATCGCAGCAGATGTACATGAATCAGGGCTTCTGGCGTGCATCAACAAGGTAGACAAACTCTGGAGTATTGCCCCAGAGTGTGGAGTAGCAGATCTTTCTATTTGTCAGGATCTTCCGTCGATGACACGCATTACCATGTATAGAGTGATAGGCCATTTGTTAGCAGTCTCCTTAATTAAGGACTTCAAGTTCCCCATTGCCTTATCACCGGCGCTATTGTTTTTACTCCTGCACTGCACAGTCTCCCCAGTGGGAGCCCACTACTATGGTGAGATACAATATAGCAGTACACTAATGGCTTTAAAGGAGACTGCCGCCCAGATTTTCCATGAAAAGATCACAGGAAGAAAGCATCTTTCACCACAGCGATACCAGTCATATCTTACGTTAAGGGGGTGCTCTCTCATTGCAGCTGCCATTACTCAAGGCAAAACGCTGGATGCATTTCCTGATGTGCAATTCGGTCCATGGGGCGTAGGAGTCGCTGCTCTTTCTTTACACCCGTATGACGCACTTACACTTTATTGCTTGGACATGGATACTGGAAGCTCAAATATGAGTCCAGCATATCTTCTCTTCCCGGATTTGAAGGCCATTGGGATGGACGGCTGTATCTCAACCACACTTCAATCGACGAATATACGAACCGACACCAATCTGATTGCTTTTGATAGATTGATAAAATTCTATCGAAAGAGCGGACATATGTTTAGAAACTTGAGCAGGAGAAAGGTATATACGCCTATTTCTCTCGTTAGCGCTCATATGACTGGGCCCTCCAGCGTTGGCAAAGAGAACCAGATGTCTACTGTTCTTTGCAGTGACTCCTCCGAAGAAAGCGAAGAGCATAAGACGAATGTGGAAGCGTCTGCGATAGAGACAGATGCAGATGGTACTCTTCCGAGGAACAAAGGGGCTGTCTATGCATCCCATTTGGCATATTCCCATATCCTCGGTCTAATTTACTATGAGGCATGTGCCTTAGCGGACGGATTCTGTACCTTACTACGCATGGCGGGTGTTAATTTGACCAATGAGCAGATCCCTGTGACCTATATCCTAAAACGCTTCTATGCTACACTAGATCCTGTCCATCTCACGAGGGAACTCATCCTTCGCCACTTTCGCTTTGACAATACATCAACAGAAGAAGCGCGTCAATTTGTGCGAGTCTGCCTAGCTCTTACCGTGGCAGAGCAGGCATCTCTTCTACGCTTTTGCACGGGAATACCCTATCTGGAGTCTAATGTCCTGGTGACTGTGTGCTTTTCCCTTCCAAAGGGATTTCTTCCTCAAGGGCGTACGTGCGCCAACTTGCTGGAGCTTCCAAAGAAATCAACCGACAGCGAGCTTCTGCAGCTCCTCCGAGACGCTATGGAACACATGTATTATGGGTTTCTCTAGTTTAGGCGTTCAAAGCATGTTCTAAAAACCAAAAAATAACAGATAGACATGAGCTTTGAAGACAACCAAGCAGAGCTGCGCGATTTTTACGCAGAGGGCCTAGCAGAGCAGCAGAAGCTCGAGGAGGAGAACTTCCTCTTGCAGCAGGAGGCCAAGCGCCTCATTAAGCTTCCTTCTCTTCAAGCGAAGCTCCACCCCTTCAAGGACCATGGCCAGCGAACGGAAGCAGAGCTCATAGTGAAATATCACCAGAGCCTTTCAGACATAGACCAGTGCAGGGTTGACTTGGATACGCTGCAATCCAGTATTGATCAGGATACAGTTGTGCTCCGAACAAACCTGGAAAAGCTCGAGAGTGAGGCGACAGAATTAACTACAGCATTTACTGCTTTGCGGCGCGCCTCCTTCGGACACCTGGAGCGGTCCCATGGGGTGATGCTCACTCAGGCGGAGGCAGAGAGTTTGGAGGACAAATTCCAGGCCCTTGTGAAAGAGCATGATGCTCTGCGCCTACAAGGTATTACTCAAAAAGAAAAGATCGCTGCTCTCACGTCCAAGATAAAGAAGACTAATGAGTTTGGAGATAGAATGAAACGTATAGACTTCGAACAGATTAAAATAGAAAATCAGACACTTGCTGAAAAGATAGAGGAGCGCTCAGAGGAACTCTTAAAGCTCCGCCGGAGAACAGTGTCCACGCTCCAAATTCTTGCTCACATCCGAGAAAAGCGGCACTTCATCACTGCACAGGTACAGATGATGAAAAGGGATCTATTGAATTTAGACGAGCAGCTAGGCAAACTCCGGGACCGGCTCTCTCAGCTTAAGAATGCTAGGACGCATGTCCGGAAGCAGGCCGACGACTCTAGGGACATGACAGGACTAAGCGGCAATCCTATACTACTGGCAGACTATAAGCAGAGAGAGCAGAATGTGTCACAACTTCACGAGGATGTGGCGAGGATAAAGGAGCGATACGATGAACTTACTAGTAAAGTACAAAGTTTAGAAAAAACAAAACGAAAGATTCAAAAGGCACTTCTAAACCATTAATGAACAGATTAGAGTGTGCTCTGAGTACTGTAAATCCTCCGGCCTCATGCCTTTTCACGCTTATCCGCGGGGAAGTTCATCAGGACCATTCCAGCAGTGTTCATTTGGGCGGCTAAAGAGCTCTTTGGCCCCTTTCCTATAGTGATAGTGTTTAGATCCTCCTGGATCTCCTCCATTTGGTTGGAAAAGTTGACACTCTTCTTGGGCTGAGGTTCGGCCCCCGCTGCAAATCTAGAGGTCTGCTTTACCGCAGATTTAACATGTATTGGAGACTGAAACATCCAATTGTGCGGCTGATTAGGAGGCACTGGGCTTACTTTTGTATCGACAGGGGTGGAAGCGCGAGGTTTTTGCCAAGGAGGGGGATTTTGCAGCTGTACTGGATGTGTCCGAGCGTTATTCTGTATGGTGTTTGCTGCATTGTACGAGTTGACTGGCTGAGGCCGTTGTCTAGCCACAGACGCAACAGAGACTCCTCTCTGTGCGGATTTAAAGGGCGGTCTCTTGATCGGGATCCCAACAGCCTTATTGTATTGCTTAGCCGGAACCTGGGCCTGCGGCAGTGCTACAGGCTGCTCGGTAAATAGGTATCCCAAAGGCTCAGAACCATGGATGGGTGCGTGACCCTGGGGCTGATCAGATTGTAGCTGCATATTGTACCCGTCCCCAAATTGTCGCGTCTGGATAGGCCCCATGCTTCTGCCAGCCCTCTTCAGCAAGAAAAGAGGCTGTGTTGCGTCCAGAGGCTGCTTCTCGATTTCTTCGTACTTTGGTATGTACAAAACGTCTGCGGCTCCCAGACCACACTCATCTTCGTCTGGGTCGTGACTTTCCAGGCGGGTGTAAGTAAGAAATGATCTGTTCATCGGATTCTTAGTGCTGTAGAGCTCGTTTGCAGCAATAGCCTCCTCGGTTAGATTGTAAGGCAAGTGAGCCTGCGGATCCAGGCTAAACTGGCAAGCTGCAAGCAGCGTCCCCGACCTCATGCTTAGAGAGAGACCGGTCGTTCGCGAGAGGACTTCCTCGTTGTTCACGTTTATTGGGCGGAGACAAAAAGGAATCTTGGCCTCCAACTCAGTAATTCTATACACAAGCCCGTCAAGGTTCTTCTTGTTATCAGTGTCGATTACGGTCAGTGTTTGTAAGAACCGCAACGCCTTTTTAGTATCATGGGATATAAGAAATGCCAGGAGATAGGGGTAGAACTCATCGTGATGTAGACAGAAGGCGGTTATGGCCGAGACTTCTGCTTTGGTGATGGGAGAGTAATTGATCAGCTTGCAATAAATTGGCACTGTTCCGTGAGTAGCCTTCCTTTTGTCCGTAGTTTCTTCGAGCTCATTGAGACACCGTAATGACTGCCCAAGACTGGTATTTGCAGCTGACTCCCTATCTACTGTCAATTCCTCCAGATCAAGAGTGTTAGAGGGCATGTTATCAAACCTGCGTCGGCAGTTGGACCTCCCCACGATGCGCATTGTCTCTTGAAGCACTGATCTGGCCATATCTGGCTCCACATCACTCCCTAAGGAAGAGACAAGATGAAGCTCATCATAAAACTCTTCAATCCGGTAATTATTTGTTGCTAACTCTGAAAATATGTAGGCAAGCCGCAGACCTAGACAGCGATCACTACAGAAGCTGGTGTCATTAGAAACAATTCCGTTAAAGTCTCTACGCAACTGATAAATCGCTCGTGACATCTGCTGGTTAATAGAGGTCTCGACAATGCGCTTGTGCTCCGCACTATGAATCCCAGGAGAGGGCTCTGTGAGGCTAATAAACACAGAGGACATGATACACGAACGCATGATTAGCTCAGTCCTGGCTACTCCTGGATGCACGGGCCAAAGCAGAGTATTGTGGAGCCCATCGGAGTACTCCATGGATGAGAAGGCCAGTGGCCGTGCAAGAGAGATCAACCCTTTGAGGAGCGACAGATGGCAGAGCCTTCCTGCCCACTGCTTAGAGCTCTTTTCCACGTCATCCCTGCTTATTGTATAGAACCCAGCATCTGTACTAATCGCTCCAGCGTAGGGCAGGTAGCTCAATGCATGGAAGAGCAGAAGCCTGAGACTCCGCCGCGTTGTGTCGCTCAAGGCCATGCTCGAGGAGAGCAACTGGATACCTATGAAGTCCCCCTCGCCAGGCACCTGCATCAGTTGGTTAAGATAGATTGTGTCTTCAGACAAAGAAACGTCTTCGATTTCCCGGTCAATAGGGCCGCAGTATCCCATATCGACAGCAAACAAAATGCGGGCTGATAGATAGATGCAGCGAGCATAGTATTCCACCGCCTTGGAGTGCTTTTCGTCTGTGTATCCAAGCACGCCGTCATCCCCACCGCAACTTATTTTTGCAGCCTGGAGAATAAAGGGCCTGAGATCTGTCCCCATGAAGCAAAGCGACATGCAGGCATCCATACATGCCTTTGGCGTTTCCCCATTCACAAGTAGGGCGTACACAATGAAGATCCTGCACCCGTGGATCCCAGCCTCCTTCAGCAAAGCAGTTCTAGGGTCTATTGTCTCAAAGGAGAAGCTGTTGCTGTGAGAGGTCGACGAGTTAATATCTTCTTGTAGAAGAGCCTTTAACGCGTCCACTATTGTCATGCGCGTAAAGCCGGGCCTCCGCTTTCTATAATCTACCCCTGGCCTCTCCCCAGACAAGACGAGCTGAGTATAGAACTGCACAAGAGACCAGATTGCTGTGTTGCCCACCATATTATGTGCTGCGTAAACAGACGAAAAATCCTGTATATCCCTGTACGGGTTTCCTTCTATGCTCTTCATTGTCTCATCGACAGTATAATAACCAAACTCATGTGTGTATAGCATGTTGGGGCTCTTGCTCTCGTCTGCCACGCTCTTCCTAAGGCTACGAAGCATCATGGAGTAGGCGTGGACGGTGCAATTAAAAAATACTTCATTATCGTCATCACGAGCTGCAGTTGGAATTATGGCCGTACTGTCCACGCCCCCATATACAGTAGAGGCATCCGCACAGGTGGCGAGGTGCTTTGTCTTCGTATAATTCAAGATTGTTGCTATCCTGGAGAACTTCTGGGAGTGGTTTCTGGATAGGGGGAACGGCACGTTGATGAACGACCGGATGCTTGTTAGATAGTGCATCATGCCCAGCGCACTGCTTGCTGTCTCAGCGATAATTCTGATGGTAGATGCCTCCGCTCCCAGACTAACGTCTAGTTTCCGGACTCTAAGAAGCGTGTCCACAATTCGCGCAGACGCGTATGTGATTGGCTGTAAAAACTTACTCAAGTATGCGAGTGCCTCATACTCAGTATCAGCGTTACTGTCCAACTTTTTAGCAAGACAATTCAGCAGATATAAAGAGTTTTTGATGATGATAATGCACACATGAATAAGTACACGTATGTTGTTGAATACAAATACGTAGTCTGGATCCGTGCCAAGAATAGCTCCTATTGCTCCGTGAGCCAGCTTGGCATTGGTGATGTGTTCTCTATGCTCCTTGCGCATGATGGCGCGCTCCAGAACAATGTACAGCTGGCTATAGCGCAGACAGGAAAAGACGGCAGCGATAGAGTAGAACTCACTATTCTCATATATGTTCGTCGATGGCTTGGCTTCTTCAGGAGCCTTGAGGCATTGCGCTCCTATGAGAATTGCATGAGAATTTTCCACGCTCATCGCCCCGGGATAGTTCAGAGATGCTAGCTTGCTCGCGGCATGGGCACTTTTTGTGCAAAACAATGTATTCTCTATGCTATCACATAGTACTAACACCGCAGATATCCGAATGACCCGCTGGTCATCTTTCAGTGCAGCCATGGAGGTATTGGTGTGGGCTTGGGTCGCTGAGCCACTGGGGCCATCTGTGCAGTTTAGCATGTCAAGGAATATGGGATCAAAGATAGCGACGGATGATGCCAATTCGCTTACTGCCTTAGGGGCCTGTGCAAGCTCTGTGAGAGAAATGTGCGCAGATAGCACAAGCTTGTCGCACTTGACATTTGGATCCATTCTGGAAGGGTCATCATAAAAGATTGGGAGGATGCCAGGTGTCTCCTGTGCCCCGTGGAGGAACACAGTGGGGACAGAGACAGCAAACGGATTTGTATTTGATCCTGTGAAAAGGATATTTAAAAATTGACCATCTCTGGTGTACGTGTAAGAAAGCAGTTGAAAATCCACTGAATACTTATTGGTCTTAAGGGGAAACGAAAACATTCCTACCACAAAATGATACGAATCTCCTTGTCGTAGCCGCTTCACCACGTATAGTAGACACGTGTAGGCACCTGGTGTTCGAGAGTTTCCGAGAATTGACATGAGAAGGAATGCTCCGTGTTCCACTCGATCAATCAGAGTGAACGCTGCAGCAACATCGTGCAGCTGGCCTTCTGTGTTAATTCGCTTGAGAATAGATAGTGTTCTCGTGCTCAAAATAACAGAAGAGCTGTTGTCAAGGGACAGCATCAGAGTAGTTCCCATCACAGCCAGCCCTGTGGCCGTTACCTTCTGCTTTGAGTCTGAAGGCAAGATCTGACTGACCTCTTTTAGACCGAAGTCGTAAGTATCGTGAGCCAAAGTCGCAATGACCAAGAGTGTAGACGATATTCCGAAAAACGCAGATGTCCCACTCTGGGCACGGATGGTGATCAGCCCGCCAGCTATGTTGTAGGAGCACACATACCGACTCGGTGCACCGTCAGAGATATTAAAGATGAGGATCTGCGAATGGCTATCATTATGTGACTTGGCCACTACAGCCAGATACTTCTCGCACGAGGAGAGGCACGGCGGGAGAAAGAGAAAGTTCTTCTGTGTTCCTGAAAAAAGACCAGATAAAAAGCTCTTATTTGCAGAAATAAGCCCCTTGGTAAAATGAGGCTCCATGTCCTCAGTCCATAAAAAAGTTGGTGACTTTGATTTGAGAGAGACTGCAACAAGGGACAGCCCTGAAACAATGTATGCTGTATCCCCAGTCTCCGATATCTTTGCAGCTGTTGCCTGGCCGCCTATTCCGAACTCACTCAGGGAAAACATGGGCCAGATTTTAATTTTTATTCTTTAGAAGACTGCTTTGTAGAGGCGAATGTAAAGGTATGGCTAGCATTGTTCAACACGTTTATGAACGAGAGAGACGTATCAGTGTCCTCCTGGGTCACTAATGAAGTGTCGTCCTCTTCGGACTTCTGAGCAGAGCGGCGTTTCTTGACACAGACTATGGCAATGATAGTCATGGAAACTATCAGTGCAACTAGGCCAGCTGATACCCCGATGGCTATTGGCGTTGTGTTGAGTCTCACCTCGTTCTTGGTGCATATGTTTCCTGGAACCATCAGGGAATATCCTTTATAGCATAAGAGGCACTGATCTGGATTATTTGTAGAACAGTATAGACAGTACGGCGTGGTACACTTTGTAGAATACATGCATGTTCCCATAACCGGTCGTTTTTGGGTGTCGATACAACTTGTGCACAGCACTGGGGTGCAGGTCTTGCATTCGCTAGGGCATTGTTGGCATGTTCCCTCAAAGAAGGAAAGATATGTGTTAAGTCCGCACACAGAACAACGATTTGAATTTCCTGCTTCACAGACCACGCAGTTAGAGAGTGTACAGTATGTCTGATTGGATACCACACATACTCCATCACTATTTGGGCGCATGTTCCACTTGTTACAACTGACACAGTAGAAGGGGTCTGACGCTTGGCAGAATTGGCAGTTTGTATTGTCGATGCAGAGAGTACTATAGTCGCAATATCCAGAAAGAGGCGGGCTTCTTATATTTTTACATCGTAGGCATTGTGTTGAAGAGCTGCACTCAAAGCAATTTGATGGGCACGCGTCGCATCTGTTGAAAGCCTTGTTGAGCCAGTATCCATTCGTGCAACGGAGGCAGAGAAGCTTTTTGTTGGCACCTTCGTAGCAATGCGTACACTGTTCAATAGAACATGCTCGAAACTTAATGCAGACGCCACTGGTGGTTGTGACGTAAGAGGCATCCGAGCACACTTCACAAATGCTACTGAGCGTGGGACACGCCATACATCCTGACTTACAGGGGGTGCACACAGAGTAGGAGTTGTCCAGGGCTCCAGAACTGCACGCAATGCAACGTTTGTCAGATGCCTCAAGACAGGAGGCGCATAGACCTACACTACATTCATTTATGAAGAACTGCAGGTCAATCATTCCTGTGTTCCTGCCAACAACCCATGTGGTGTTATAGTCCCAGCACAGGGGAGCTGAGCAAGACACCGCTATGAGATCAATGACCTTGTCGGTAATTACAACTGCATATGGAAGTGTGGTGAGTATGGGAAGCGCTGTATTGAAAAAGTTCCACCCGCTGTTTTCATTTAACCACCATCCACGCGCTAGGTATGTCGTGGACAGCGTCAAGAACTCCGGGACAATGCTAAATAAATCTGTTTCATCGATACCCGGGTTTGCGGCGACCAGAATATTTTCACATTTGGTGCAATGGCTTGCATTCAGCCCTGGGCCGAAGGCTTTGATACTGTACGGTTTGTATCCCGGTTCTGTGTAGGTAAATGTGACATTCAACAGAACTCTCGCTGCAGACAGGCCATTCATGTGTCCAAAGTAGACAAAAGATGCCAGTCCATAGTCGGCTTTAAAGCCTGAGCACGACCCTGTAAAGTTAACGGTGCCTGCGCAGTCTGAGATCAGAACATTATCGGTTATGGCGGCCGCAAAGCCTCCGTAGCGTATCGCGGCTGTGTCATTCCAGGTTGAGCACGCAATAGACACGTTCATGAACCACCAGAGGCTCTTCAAGTAATGTACGTTACCAGTTACTGCTCCTGAAGGACCATTGACTGCACCAAGAAAGCTACCAAACGTTAAGTTGTGGCTCGTTCTAAAGTTGTAGAGGAAGGAGCGCACAAACACGAACGAGTTGTCAATCAGTGAGTTGTTAGTCCGTGAGTACAGCTGCCCACAAAAGCCCCCGATAGTTATGGAGCTCGTAGGCGACACTTGCATTGTAACTATCTTAAACCATGCAAAGCAGTTGGCTATTATGCTATCCACGCTAGTCCCCACAAAACCGCCAAAGAGATAAAGCGGTGTATTGAACGTGTAATAGTTAATACGCACATATGAGTCTGCTATGCTAGTATCTGAGTTAGCAATAGCAACGAAACCGCCAGAGCCGGAGCTTTCTATATAGCTTTGAGTTAAGTTTTCCATGACGACAGCACATTGCTCCACAGTAGTGACACTGGCCGTAGAAACAAATCCGCCCACTATGCCAGAAAACAATCCGGTTGTGATATTAACCACTGAGTGTCTCACTAAGACTCCGGCTAGATTAGCAGCAAAGCCACCGATGTACATAATGTCTGTGCCCACAGAGAAGCTATAATAGTTTGCTACACACTTGTCGATGACAACACAATGAATGCAATCGGATTGTAAGTTTCCCAGAAATCCGCCTATGTATGAATATGTACCAAGATTGGTTAGCTCTACAATATTGGCAGTAACGGTGGAAGACCCCACTGACGCGTAGTGTATGCCAACGAGGCCTCCATAAACGCATGGGGACAGCCACTCGCTCCGTACGTAGACCCTGCTGAAGTTTGCACTGCAATTGAGAAGGCTTCTCCCACACTCTCCTGCGACTCCACCCAGGATACAAATACTATTCCTGCACTCTATAGATCCATTGAATGATAGCCCACTGATGATAGACGCATCAACGTTTAGTCCTGGTTTTGCGATGTTGCCTATAACTCCTCCCAGGATAGCTTTGCGGAGCCCGCTGTACCTGATTGTCGCATTGACGGCAACGTTCGATGGCGTAATGTACGACCTGCCTGCCAGTCCCCCGACGGCAAGAGCTTCAGAGTCGCTATTCATTGGCTTGGTTAGTAGTAAACTTCCGTTGATAGTCACTTTGTACAGACTTGTCGAGTTGAGTATCCCTGCTAGGAGTCCTACATTTAGCAGATCCTTTGTGCCTTCGTCTAGAGTAATGTCAAAGACCACGTTCCTAAGTGTTCCATGCACCTCAGTGAAGAGACCCACATTTGTTCCCAGATTCTGGAACCCTTTAACGGATATCTTGTGTGACTGGCCTATTATGATCCCGTAGAAAGGCGGTAAAGGGGTTAATGGTCCCTGTATATCGATATCATTCAACAGCACAAAGAACCCTCGAGGACACTCGCGAATCAGTTCAATATCTGCAGCAGTCCTTAGCTCCAAGCGAAGATTACAGTTCGTAGCTGTACAAAGGGCGCCGGCAAACAGCAACGGCAGAAAGAGCCCCATTTTGATTGCATAAAAGATGATTGCATAAAGGATTAAGAAAAGATATAAATTCGGCTTAAATAGAGGGGGGATACGGTTGGTGTCGGAAACCGTGTTCACTTAGGAGTGGTGTAGGGCAAGGCAGAACCAGGCGTGCCACAAAAGAACCTCTCTATATGCTTTTGAATGCTCTGCGGAGAAATTCTGTTATGGGTTTTGAACGCAGAGGCAGTGATTGGAGAGAATTGGCACACGTTGTAGTACTGTTGGACAACGACTAGCACATTGTTAAGTACGTAGTCTTGGATTTTTCTTTGAAGAGACGCGGAGGGCACAGTGGCTGTGACATGAGCATCCAAAAGAGGGAGAATCAGACCCTCAAATTTTGGTAGGCAAGATGTTAGTGTGGCAGTGATCCTTCTGCTCTTGATGGATGCGTGAGACGCTGGCCTTTGAGTCCCTCCAAGGGTCTCCGTGTCATCTTGGACTTCAGACGCTGTCCAGGACTCTGGCACACATTCCGTCCCTTCTATGCGAGCAGAGACTTCTCGAGCCTGGTCGAGCACCACTGAGAGCTCACTCATTACGACCTTGGTAATTACATGACTATTTCGTTCGTGCCACTTGTCATAGACATGTTGCAAATCACTTATAAGGCGGCGCAGATCAAGCGCAACAAGAGCTGGCTTCCATATCATTTCATAGTACTTGGCAACTAAATTATCTACTTGCTTGCGTATAAATCTCGAATACTCGTGTGAAACAAGGCTACGCAAGGGTCCGTTGTCGGAACTGACAGCTTCAGAAAGGTAGTTCAGGTTGTTGAGCTTAAATAGGTAGCTGTTCACCAGGCCCTTGGGTGGTTGAGTGCGGTACAAAAGAATGCACGACAAATAGTAGAGCTTCTGTTCGAGAACGGCCGTCTTCAGACTCTCAGACCCTGAGGGGAAGAGGTAGTCCTGGAGAACAAATTCTGCCCCACTGTCCACGAATGTGGTGGCTGAAAAGCCTGTAGAAGTGCAGACCTGATTGACATTGCCATTATGCGGGGCAGTATCCTCTATGGATGCATTGGCAAGGAGTGCAGGAGAGAGCGCCTGAGCCACTTTCACGATATCTGAGCAAAGAGAGATGCTCTTCGAGTAGAGACCCTGCTGATTGAGCCAAAGAATGATATTTGGTAATTCTGAGATTATATTAATGCTGTCTGTACGTGTTGGAATGACGAAGAGCGTTTCTTCAAAGGCAGTAAGCACCTCCTTACTCTTGAGAGCGACACAGATCACTAACAGTAGAAAGTCATGTCTGAGGCTATCAAATGTAGAGAGATTAAGGTCTGACTTAGTGTATTGATAGTATAGGAGCTGGTCTAAGAAGTTTCGCTGATTGAGACTACAAGATACGACGCTACTAGAGAGAGGACCAAGCATGTCAATGATGGCTGTGTAGAGCTTTGGCAAAGACGTGAAGAGATCCCCATGAACTATGTTGTTGATGGCATCGAATGGAATGTTCCACGTGAACTTACTAGCAGTAGAACTGTCGGTGTCCACAGTGCCCTGGGAAGTCATCAAGAGAGTACCATTCATTCCCATGCCGTTTATAAATGAGCTCTCACTGTCGTAAACAGTGGTCTCCTTCCCTATAGCCTGAGCAACAAGCTTGCTCGGCGCGTCAGTCATCGGCAAGCCACCAAGAGAAAAGCTGAGTATTTCCGTGTAGTTAGTCAAGAAAACAATAGGTATCATGGCGTGTAATACTTGTAGTATATCAAGAGTCTCGAAGGTTAAGCGCTTAGTGTCAATGTTAGAAATCAGCCCAAGACACACTTGGCAGACATATTGAAGAACTGGCGTGGCAATATACGAATAGCAGACGTCCATTAGCCTACATGCGCTTTCTACTAGAGGCTTGCTATCGGCTATTAGCCCTGAGCTAAAGGGTGTCGCGTCACCGCAGTAGTGGGAAAGCATCAAGTTAATGAACATGACAAGCTGTTCACGCTCGTCCAAAAGCATAGACAAGACGTACACAAAATAGTAGTAAAATGGATGTGATTCCTGCTTATAAAGAGCAGGCGGTGGTGATGAAGCAGGCCCGTCTTCGATGGCCTTGATGTAGTCTGACCTGTTGAAAGAGGCCACACCCTCTTTGAGCTTTGCTCGGTGTAAGTGTGCAAGTAGGCGCAACGGCACAGAGAGTTGTGTGTCCCCACGGATTGGTGAGTCATGAATAGGTGGGATGGGCTGAGTATCGTTGAATAATAGATAGTCCTTTAGATCCCTGCTGTTCTTAATTTTCAAGGTATCAGGAAGCTTCTTCAAGAAGTCAAGGATTGCTATCAGAAGGGTCTCAGTCCTCAGTTTAGAAGTATCCATGGCGGGTACACCTTTTAGTTTGGAGTAGGCTCTTGACTTGAGAACTCCGTAAGATGATACGATACTAGAGCACACACGTAGTAGAAAGTCTATGCGCTGATTCATGAACTCTAAAAAGGCGTCCTTGAAGGTGCCAGGAGATGCCGGAGATGCTATAAGGGCATCAAACAGAGCTAGAAACGAGGAATTTAGTGCTGAAGGTCGTCCATTGTCATAAATGGTGTTTGCAACTTGAGCACTGGGAGAGGCGTCCAGGGATGCTGCAAGGGTTATATGCTTCAGGAGATAATAGAGAGGCGTGTTTGGAAGAAGCCGCTCGACAAAGTCGGCAAACATCTGCACATGGAATCGCAATAACGAGTGGAGTTCTAGGGCTACCTTACCAGCTCCTTGTGTTACAAGAGAAGTTGTCCGCGAAAGGCCTGAATTTGAAAGCAAAACACCGCTTGCTGATCCTTCGACGAACACTAGTATATCTCGGCGCTGAATATAGAACCGGTGTGTCTTTGTGGCTATTAGTCGTTTAATAGCAAATAGACTCTGGTCGATACCTTGCTGGATCTCTCCCAGCAGCTCTGTGCTGCAGTCTGCAAAAGTCTCATGAATAAATTTCCTCCCCTTCAGCATGGCTGCAATATTCTGGCCAAGGTTGGACTGGTCCACCTCTGTGGGATTCTGACTCTGCGAAATAGTTGCAATGAAGTTCAGCGCTTTGCGTATCTCTGCGACGCATGCATTATATGCCTTTGCTTCTTTTTCCAACGCAAGGATGTTAAGCACTTCGTGGCCTGCAGAGTGCGCTGGGTCCTGGTCTGCTCCGGGTGGATCTAAAATGTCCAACTGACTTTCTAATTTGGAAGCAATATCCAGCATTGATGAGAACAGCCCACGCTGTTGTTCAATGGTCGCAGTTATCCAGGACAGGAGGCCTGGAAGACTAGTACTCATTTTTTGGAAATGACATTCACTTGCGTTACGTTCTGAGCATCTTGATGGCTGCTAAAATATTATCTATGCCTTCGCGCACTTCTTTGCCGTCCTTGACATCTCTAAGCAACTTCTCACATTCAGATAGGGCAAACCGTTCGTGTCTTGTCGCTAAAGCCTTGGCGCAATACTCCCCAATCTCATCAAACGGAACGACAACCTGCTCTGTCGTCGATAGATTCTTCACGTTAATGACTCGATTCTCTATCTCATCGCCGCCGATAATAAGGGCGAGGAGAGCATGGCCTGCCACGCCTTCATCAATGTCCTTTTTCAGTAGCTTCTGGCTGCACCCTTCTTTACAACTCATGCCCACAGAGATGCCTAGTCCCCAAAGGATTCCTGCCACTTCTAGGCGGGCCTCTATGGTGCACCCCGGTGCTCCACAAATATAAACATCATATCGCTTGGCAGACGCCAACTTGCATGAGGAACCACCGTCCTCAACGTCCCCAGTCGCTAGGCCATCAAGTGATGCTTGCCGTGCTTCCAGAATGGCAAATATGCGTTCTATCCCTATGCTTCCCCCGACTGCGCAAAGCTCGTCTCCCCGTGCTCTAAACTTACCTAGCAGCTCATCATAACGTCCCCCTCCTGCTATCGATCCTGTGCGCTCTCCGTGGTCAGAGATCAGCTTTGCTTCGAAAACCATTCCGGTGTAGTAGTCAAGTCCTCGCGCTAACGAGAAGTCCAGCACCATATACTCTAGTGACTGCGGACACATGAGTGAGGCATATCTAAAAAGAAGACCTAGTTGCTCAAGCCTTGGGCTGATCGCGTCGATGAATTGAGAGGAGAGCGTGCTGTCCAAAGAAATAGATGCATGCAGCTCCTTAAGAGCCGCGATCGCAGTGGACACGAAGTCAAAGGGAGAGTTGGCAAACATGTGCGGGGATGTAGGAAGCTTAAAGTCAATTAAAGCTAAAACCGTGTCGGCCACAACAGGAGTGAGCCCCTTGGACTTCACGATCTTATCCCTTACTTCCTCCTTGGAGTGCTTATCCAGCTGGTCGATACAGCTGCACACCGCCTTTTTCTGCTCATCTGAAACACCTGCCACTGCCATCGCTGAGTCGAGTATGCCGCGGTGATTTATCAATATTTCGAAGTTACGGATGCTCTTCCTTAGAGCATGCAGAATCTCAAATACAATAACTACGACCTCAGCGTCAGCAGCCATCGGTGCCTGCGTGTTGGGCTCATAGACAATATCCAGATCGCATTGATAAAACTCACGAAAACGCCCCTTTTCCATAACAGGCTTGTCTCGTCTGTAAACGCGCCCGATGGAATAGCGCTTAATCGACTTCTCCCTGTGTGTGGCACAATAGCGCGCAAACGGGACCGTTAAATCATACCGAAGAGATAGAGGTTCCTCCCCATAATCAGAGACATTGTAAATCAGCTTCTGCTCTTCGCCATACTTGCCCATCAGCACAGACCGCGATTCCATGACTGGGGTCTCTATGCAGACGGCGCCATGTTGTTGAAATACGCTCGTTATCAGTGAAAGAGCAGCTTGCCTAAGCACCATCTGTCCAGGGAGCAAGTCACGCATACCGCACGGAGGCTGGGGGATGCGAGCGTTAGAAATAGCAAGGAAGAGGTGGTCAGTCATGGCACGCACGATCCTCGAGATACACCAAAACTGGTGCGCACCGGATGCGGACTGACATTCTCTAAAAAGATCACCATAGGTATCCATAGCTATCAGTACCCCCTGGCCCACTTGTATCTTCCCCTTGGAAAGTCCTGCTTGAGCAATAGATAGCTTGGTAAAGGCAGACAGCAACTCTGTAGAAAGGTCCTTGAGAACACCACATAGCTGCACAGGGAGTAGCAGCGCGTGCAAAACCGGCACTGGCTCCTTCTTTAGTGCGTCTAGCATCTCGCTTTCCGCAACCCCGTATGCATCGTCCGAGGGTGCTTTCCAAATCCCCTTTTCTACCACGACAGCATCGACCAAGTGGCGGCGTGCAATCGACAGTGAACGGATAGTCGCTATCTTCAACTGTACGCCGTGTAGGAGAGAAAGTGTTGTTACATCAGTCAAAGGCCTTGTATCGAGACTAGTGTATGCTGCCGAAGCCGTATCCGGTCGCACGGCGGTTCGCAACTCCGTGGCCAGCTCACGTATCTCCCCAGCCAATGATAGCGACTGTGAGCAGAACAAATTACTCCCTTTCTGAGTTACCTTTTTAGAGCCAGATATAAGACTCATCACGTTTGACATGGCTGCCTTCATCCCAGAGTGCTTTCGCTGAACGGTATAATTGACGAAGTCAAATAACTCTCTAACCCTTGCACACATAAGTTCGAAAGAAAAGGAAAGAGCAGCCTCATGGAGCGTGGCTACAAAGGACAGGAGAATGGACGACGCAAATGACACGGACAGGGTAAAGGCATGAGCATTTAGCTTGAAAATGTTAATATCTTCGTCCGATAGCTCGATGTAGAAAGGGTTATCTGGGCCCTCGGTGAGAATAGAGAGCAGCTGATCCAGCAAGTCTTTTTCAAGTGCAGAGTTCGGAAGGAGCACACACTCTGGTCGCTGAAGGGCGATGTCTTTTGGGCCGTTGAGGATTCTGGTTAGGCCTTGGAGGACAGTTATCGAAACAGAGGCAGGGCTACTGGCCAGGAGCGAAAGCATTGTGAATATGTACGCCCGTGACAGGACGTACGGTACTGAGCGGTACTTTCCCGAAAAAAGGGTGGCATAATGGTAGGGTGCCCGAGGCACTGGGTTCTCGGGAGCAGGGAGGAAAGCAGCGAAAACAGATGCGTCAAGGACAATGGGAGCCCTGCAATAGCAAACGTTGTAAAAGCTTTCGAGAGTCAGTGAGGTACCGCCCAGCTCGACCACCGGTAACATCGCGAGATTTAAAATTATGAAGTGTTTTTGCAGGACACGGCTACACTATGACGCAGATAAGAATATGAGTTTACTTGTAAAGGAAATGGTGGAAGCGATGTACCAAGGCGTTAGCGTAATTTTTGCCAGCCTCGATACGTCCTATGATTCTGTTCTAATTTATATGCTTCAGAATGGCTTTACCCTATTAGATTCTCGTTTCTATACTCAGTTTCAATACATAAGTCTCGCCACATTTGCGGAAGCCACACATCTGGCAGATCCCCTTATGACACTTGATACGTTCTTAGATCACGCTGTAAGGTTAGTCCCCAAGGACACCAAGGATGCACTCATGATTATAGATCACGGGTCCTTCTTGGGGGGACCTTATAGCCTGACAACTATTACAAGTCTAGCTCAACTCATAGTGCATCACTCAGAGAATCACGGTACGCATGGGAATCCTACACATGTGAATCAGGCACACACTGATAAAAAGCATTCGGTGCGGCATAAGTGGCCCGACAGCCTTTCCTTTGTTCTTAGCTTTGATAGTCATGTAATGTCTTCCCAGGAGCTCATTTACCTCCTTCTTAATGTACCGTCCCTCTACATTGATAATAGGGTTATACCTCACGACCATAACAATATCTTGCGGGTTCCCAGCAATGTTGGGATTGAAAGTCTGAGTAGCATTCTGAACCCTCTGTTAGTAGTTATTCTTTCCAAACTACTCAGCAAATCTGAGTCCAATCTCAAATCAGCGTCTTTGCATGCAGACCATAGTGCGTGCTACAAGGAATTGTTAGCTCTGCACTCTCGATGCGAAGCTTTCCAATCATTCATAGAAACGTCGTTGGCAGCAAACCCTAACAGCTTAGTGCTTACTAAGGAGATAGTAGAGCTGCTTGCTAGCAGACCAGCTATGCCGGCATCCTATGATCGCCTTCTTACTGAGCACGCTAAGTCAGGTGAAGAGCACGACCATAGACTTGGGCTACAAAGCATTTCTTCTCAGGTAGACACGGTCTCCCCGGCCCTCAGCGTCAATACAGATCTTAGCTGGATGCTGAGTCCAGACTACAATGCTCATGCTAACAACAAGTCTAGACACTCGCTACCCTCTGAACAGCGGCCTACACACGATGCTCACTCCAAGCTAACTATAGCATATCTGGAGCATGACCAGAAAGCCCAGCAGCCTACAACAGAGGAACTAGAAAAGAAGGGCCCTGAAAGAAGCCCCGATCATTTGCGTCGTTCAAGCAAGGAAAAGTCTCTCCTACTAACTACATCCGTGCCCAATATGGGGCCGTATTTAGAGCAGATCCTTCACCAGAGCGAGTCTAGCACTATAGAGCAGCCGGCAGTCATCCTCCCGGCAGTTGCAAAGCGTCTAACAAGCATTTCGTCATTGGCCTGGTCACAGTCACCGAAGGAAAACAAATCGTCAAGCAACTCACCTAACAATGATACCATCGATGCGAACGTAGAGAAGGTCCCTAACTCTACATCGACTGTGACTATACCCACACATGCACCCGTAACGCCTCCTTCCTTGGTGCAGTCTCCACCGGCGAAAGCACAGGGGCTTCGTATGGTGACAAAAGGAAAAGGTGTTAAGCTTTCCGGCTCGCAGTCAAATGAGGCGCACCGGGCAGAGAAAACATAGCACAAGGTCCGGAGCTGTATGGTTTACTTCGCTGAATAAGCGGCGTCCTATTTCTTGAACATTCCCGAGAGCTTCCCGAAGACAGGAGCCATCTTCTGCCCCACTGATTGCAGATTCTGAGATGACAAATCCACCTTTCCGTTCTTAATCATCATGGCAGCAACTTCCGAGTAAATCGGCTTCAGCTCGTCACTGTTTAGTTCAGCGTATATCTTTTTGACCTTTTCGATCACTTGATTGAAATCTATCTTCCCCTTTTGCTGGGGATTGGGGCCTGTTTCCTCGTCCAGAAAGACGACATCGAGAGGGTTACCATCCAATTGGGCGCCTGTAAGGTCGGCCTTGAGAGCAGCACGGTTGGCTATGACGCGAGCAACTCCAACCCTAGGCTTGTTATCTCCCGGGGTCAATATCTCAACGTTGAGGATCTCCGTAACAGACGCCTGCTGCTGAAGAAACTCCTTGAGACGCTCCTCTGTAGCATCGGGTTTGAGATTTAAGAGCTGAAGGTCGACTGTGCTCATTTAATTTTGGCGGACACACGGGCGAACCGGAACATACGCAAGCGCCGAACTAGCATAGTTTACACGTGGAATCACAGCCTCTGCTTGATCCACTCCTTCATTGCAACGACCTCGCGGGGTCCAGAGTACTCCTCGACAAACTTGCTGTCCTTGTAGAACTTGACCGTCGGGTAGCCCTCGATGCCCTCCGACCCGCACAGCTCGTTAGCCTTGGTGCAGTCGACCTCGGCGATGACCACACCCTCGGGAGCGTCATCAGACAGATCGACATACTTCGGGGCGAGGGCCTTGCAGTGGCCGCACCAGGGCGCGAAGAACTTGACCATCATCGGCTTGCCCTTCGCGAGCTCGGCCTTGAAGCTCGAGGTGACGTCCAGGACGGCGCCGAAGGCAGAGGCGACGAGGAGGAGGCCGGCAATCATTTTTAATTTGCGGGGCGTTTTTTGAATGGCACCATATGACGTGTTGAGATGCACTAGGCAATGCTAATAAAAAATACCAGATAACGTAAACCCTGCGCTTGTACTACCCTCGCAATAGTTTGATAAAATTAGTAGGATTGACTCGGAAAATTAATATGACACCGAATTGTAGCGACCCAACTTTACGCTACACAATCAAGGATGATACTATAATTGAAGAAACCCTTAGGGAGTGCAGCGACTTTAAGACTGCCGAGTATGTTCAAACTAAGAGCATATCACTTGACAAGATTCTACCAAGAGAAAAGTGGCTGTGGACGGACGAACGTTCCCATGTCAGTGCATCAATTGCTAGGATCGGACAATTGTTGGTGATATTTGGCATGCACTGTACAGGGGGCCAGAGCTGCTGTGGACAGGAAGATACTAATGTGACCATAATATTCAACATGGTTGACAATACTAGTCGTGTAACCATATCGGCCGAGGTGCCCCCAAGAGTTGGACAGACAGTTACGCGCATAGGAGATCTCCTTGTCCTGCACGGCGGAGAACATTGTTCTTGCCATCGAGCAAAGTTCCCCGAAAACATCTGCCAATACGAGGTGCCACTTGTAGACAAATATAATGACACATATACGCTGGATGTAGATGAGTGTAGGTGGAAGAAATTGACAACGCACAATCCTCCACCTCCTTCATCTGGCCATGAAGCACGAGAGCTGGGCACATCTCAGCTCCTTATCTGGGGAGCTGATCTGTCTACTCCATACGTCCTTGACCTTGTATCTCTGGAGTGGAGCCCCAAGCCGATGATGTCTCAAGCCTTCAAAAGCTCGATAAGAAGCATCCAGTCCACTGATTACCTACATAAAGATTCGCTGGACGAGTACAAAAACGAAGGCCTGAGATACAGAGAACAGATGCAAACTAAGAGACGCCAACGCAAGCTCATATAAATGAAAGCTCTGCTTGATTGACTACTGCCAAGGAAGAGCCGTAAGTATCCATCATATCCGCACGACCCAACTGATCTTCCAACTCGACCAGTGCATGAGGGAAAATGCTGTACTGCACAATGCGGCCACTAACCGTTAAGACTATTACCTTGCTGTCGTGAAGGATGGCCGACACTATGGCCTCTCCACAATCAGCTTTGCCATGCCACCTATAGTACGGGGAGAAGATAGGCGAGGTCTCATCATCCAGAGCAAGAAGAGGTAGTCCAGTAACTAGATCCTTCGGTTTTATTATCCATCCAGCCAATTGACCACCTAAGCTGCACGCAATCACAATCTCCTCATCTAGAGCAGTCACAGAAGGTATATAGCCGTGAACCAAAGAGATAACGGGCGCCTCGAATACCAAGCAGCGACTCGGCGCAATACTGGCTAAGTGCCTAACAATCTCAGACAGCCCCTGAACAGGGACGGTAGCAGAGCCTCCTGCAGCCAACCGAACAATTATGGTTCCTGCCATATGCCCTGTAATGCACAAGGGAGAGGCATCTGCGAACTCGCACGCAGCAGACGTGGCAGACGAAAACACCGTCTGCTTCTCGTTGGACACGCAAAGCTTGGCTGGCATCTCGATTATAATGGCTGGCTCCAAAAGGGCTCTCTGATTGTATATTCTTTGATCCCTTTTCGAGAGAACAAAGTCCAGTGTGATGGTCATCGTTGCAACACAGTTAGATTCGTAGAGCACGATCAGGGTCATTTGCTTCGTCCTTACAGAGGTACTTTTTGCAGTAACATCCAGTATTATGAGGCCCCGCACCGGAGAAAAATATGAGCGCGATAAAGAAGTTGTTATAAGGGCAGTATGAGATGTCGATATGTGCGAATAAGTAATCTTGACAAGGTCAGGGTTTAATAGTGTTGAGAAGTTGCCTCCAGGTTGCATTATGTGGTGGTTGATTGTATACACAGTGACCTCACCAGTTGCAAATCCTAGCACGATAAAATCTTGATAAGTCTTTATAATTGTTGGCACGTCTGCCAAATTAAATAGACAAACGGCTTCGATAGATGGGTAGCCAGGTACGGTTACAGTGTTCAGAAAATGGGTCTTGGAAAGCTCTCTATAGCTTTGTGCATTGGAAGAAGGAGAACACAGCACAATCATTATAACAACATTGTGCACTTGATAAAGACAGATGAAAAAGTCTAAGTTCAAAAGGGTAACGATCTTGAATGCAATAGGGAACAAGGTTATATCAACGTGTTTGTGAGCTTGAGATAGGATGAGGTCGTGCAAATTTATGGGTCCTTGAGTTACCAAGTTGGATTCCGATGATGCGTCTGCCGTGTCGTCTAGAAGGAGATCGAGGATCGCTTCTGCCTGCATAGAATTAGTAATCATTTCTACCAACACAGAAGCCAAGCGGTGTCCATCATTGGCTAATCTGGCCAAGCGCGCCTTATCCTGCAGAAGTTCATAAACAAGCTGGCGTTCGCTATCATTAATTGGTTGCTCTTGGGTCGCAGACAGCGCAGGTGGAGAGGAGTTCGCACCAGCTGGAGCTATGTCCAGGGTACAACTTGTTTCTGACAGCTGTATGTGGCGGTGGGGCGCTCTTTCTCTTGTGCTCTCACCGACAGCATCTATTGGGCTAGCTGTGAGCTTTGCTTCGTGGATGTTTGCCAACATTGCAGTAATACGCTCTGCTATATCTACATTTGCGCGGAGAGCAGACTGCGAGTCAGCAATCAACTCGGCTACATTATCGGCATCATGTTTCATTAAAATTTCGCCGAGGGGCTCCACGTGTACGATCGGCCACGCCCCAGCCTGTGGGACTTGTTGTAGACGTATACTGCGTACGGAACTCCTGTAAGGGTTTACTACAGCAGTAGCAGTATATATGTAACTGCCTCGCCAAAATAAAAATGCCGTCCATCCACGTCTCCAAATGCGCTGATCCAGCCATAAAGCTTGCCCACCGTATCGCGGAAGTTGTCCGCAGCAAGCCGAATTGCGTTCTGGGCCTGGCGACCGGATCGACCCCCATCCCCGTCTACCAGGAGCTTGCCCGTCTCCACCGCGAGGAAGGCCTAGACTTCTCGCAGGTCAGGACTTTCAACCTGGACGAGTATGCAGGGCTCCCTCCCACGCACGACCAGAGCTACCGCTTCTTCATGGAGGAGCACCTCTTCAGCAAGGTCAATATAAAGCCGGAGAATGTACACTTCCTCAATGGAATGGCTTCGGACTACGAAAAGGAGTGCGAGCGCTATGAGCAGGAGCTCAAGGCGATTGGCCCCTGCGATGTCTGGCTTCTGGGGATCGGGCACAACGGTCACATCGCCTTCAACGAGCCGGGGTCCCCGAGAGACAGCAGGACGCGCGTCGTCTGCCTGACCCAGAGCACGATCGACGCCAACGCGCGCTTCTTCGGAAACGACAAGTCGAAGGTCCCGACCAAGGCCCTCTCTGTGGGGATAGCAACCATCATGGAGAGCCGCGAGATCCTCCTTCTCGCCACCGGTGAGAGCAAGCGCGAGGCTGTTACTAAGAGTGTTAAAGGAAAGTGCGAGACCCATTGCCCGGCCTCCTTCCTCCATGAACATCCTCACTGTCGTTTCTATGTCGACATGGATGCAGGCAAGGAGGTGGATAACACTTGTTGCCAAGCTACAAACCAAGCAAGCTGCTGCGGCTCCACTTCCTGTCACGCTGCAAAAGCTTAAACACGTGAATGGATGCCAATAAGTGAATATCTGTCCATGTCATCTTCAAACCAAGCAAGCGTGGAACTCTGCAGCTTCCTGGCCACAGCAAGGATATCCGCTCATAGATTCTGAATGATGGTAACAGCACCGAGCCAATTCGGCGCAACTAGATAGACAGAGGTGAATTTCGCTGTGAATTTCACATTGCAATTATTTGCACCTGTATTTAAATTTGAATCTCAACAACTAAGCAAGACAAGAGATTGAGCTATGTCCAGCAGTTCGTCTGTCCATTTTGAAGAAAGCAGCGACGACGGAAGGTTTATTCGAGTACACCCCCTCCTTCAGGCAGATGAGAATGAGCCAGAGAAAGTGACGCTTACTGGGTTTCTGGATGACCTCAAAGACGCACTTGCCGACCAAGACATGCTAGCTCTTATGGCCGTGGAGAGGGACAACATATCAACGAAGAGCGCAAACGTTCACGTTAAAGGAGTCACATCCTTCGAGCAGGCAGCAGCAGACCGAGTCCTTGTCCAACGGCAAGTATTCAACGACGTCTTGAAGTGGAAACCTCTTTCAGCAGCGCAAACACGTGCAGATGTTGTCCTTAACTTTGCAGAGGACGGCATATCGGTACAGCCATCTTTTGAGCCAATCAAGCAACCAAAGCGCAAGGACTACGAAAAGAAACTCAGCAAGGATAGTAGCAACATAGCCAAAGAGCTCTGTGGAGATAGCGTTGATGCCACCCTCAAATTGGCTGGCCTTGTGCCTCTTGACGAGAGTGATAGTGAGAACATAAAGTCGAAATTAGCCCAAGAACAAGATTCCCTGGATATAATGACCCAGCAACAAGAGGCCCACCGATCCACTGCAGAGATTGCTCGTCTTCGGTCGCTGCTCTACTACAATGAACAAAAGTTAAAGGCCTGGGCGAAGATTAAGTCCAAGAAGTTTCGTAAAGTGCACAACAGAGATAAACGATTAGCGCGACTTGAAAAGCGGCAGGAAGAGTGGAAGGAAAAGCATCGCTCAGCGGTGATGGAGCAGGCAGAGGACTTTCTAGATTCGCAATACAAGCTCACAAATGCTTCACTTGACACTTTCCAGCAGCAGACACGCAGAAATACTAAGGCAGACGATGAGTTTGAGACCCATAAGGTAGACGTCGACGATGTGCCCGAGTACGGCGAGGCCCCCATCGATAGAAATGCAAAGGGTGTAATGAGACTTGCATTCATGACCAGGGCGCTACAGGAACAAAGGGATGCACGAGATGCTATTGCCAATGTCAGAGACAGTGATTGGGATAGCGCTGGTGACTCTGACGAAGATGGTGGTGTCGTCAAATCTGAATCACAACCCCGGATTCCACGCCCTAATACAACTGAAAATCAGGTCCTGAAGGCCCATATTGATATGAAGGAAGATGACCAGCAACTGGAGCCAGAGCTTGTTGGCGAAAGAGATATTATTCGCAAAGCTCAGCTAGCCAAGGTAAAGGAAGCAAAGACCAAGGGAAAGATAATCATTAAGGGGTGTAACGTAGCAAATAGATCGGCTACTGTCATTGACAACCCGTTTCTTAAGCGTTTCAGCTCATCAATTTCAGCCTCCTTGGCGACATCAAACGAAATACATATCAGCGACCTGCCAGCCATAGCTAATGAGAACGTCCTGCCAAATGTCCCTCGTCCAGGTAATGTTGCGGCCTCTGCACTCACAGCAGATGTAGACCCAGAGCTGGAGTTTGCAGCTCAGAAATACAGCCTTGCCCTCCAGGAATCCCAGCCGGTTGCTCCAGAAAAGGAGCTGATGGGATGGGGAACCTGGTTTGGAGAAGGCATGTCTACCTACGACAAGGAAAAGCTTACGTTTAGACAGGAAGCGCGGCGCGCAGCTGTCACTGCAGAACTAAATAGAAGGATGGGCAGACGGAGAGACATTAGGGTTGCGAATGTCTCTATTAGCGAGGCGTCCAACCCTGCCATTGTAGAGCTATATGCCGCACACGGGATCCAAGGGATAACTGACGATGAATACGCAACATACCTATCAACCGCCGTAGGCCCAGAGTGGCAATCGATGACAGGATATCGCGGAAGCATACAAGCAGGGCGCCGGGTGGAGAAGGGACGCATGATTTTGCCCGCACAGCTTCCACAAGACTACCAAAAGAAGATGGACGCGAGCCTAGAGAAGGAGCAAAAGTTACGGAAGCAGCTGGAGGCACAAATGCAGCTAATTCACAAAACAAAGCTAACCCAGCAGAGACGCAGCCTCAAACTATAACTGTTGCTATTGACCAGGACTCAGCAGCTTACGACTCATCTGCCAGTTCAGGTAGCCATAAGTAAATCTCAAAAAGTGAACGCTGGGCTGGTCATCAGAGAGGATCCCGGGAACCTGGACAAAAAGCGTACCCGCTGCTCCGAATACTTGTCATCGGGACTAAATTTTGCAGGATGTGCGGTGCGAGTCACGACCCCACAGTGCGGACAAGCCTCTTCGAGCGTGTATGCGTCGCATGAGGGACACTTACAAAGAATCATTTTTATAAATGGAAGACATAGAAAAGCCGTCTATCACGATTAAAAACTGGTACGCCGTGGTGGAGTGGTCCTATAACATCGACGAGGCCAATTGCAGCATATGCAAAAGCCCCCTCTCCGAGCTATGCCCCGAATGTGCCGACCTCCTCACTCCTGTTTGCAGATCCGTGCGAGGGAGGTGTGGGCACGAGTATCACACGCACTGTATTCAGCAGTGGGTCGACAGTAACAAGACATGTCCATTATGCATGGCCGATTGGGTTGTTTCGGAGTGCTGAACAAAACAGGCTCCAATCAGATATCACCTAGCGGAGTTCTTCTTACACACGTATTTATGGCATGCTTATAAAGCCTATCTCCTCACACCGTTGATTGATAAATTAGCAGGAACTCTAGCTTTCGAAGATAAGACCCGAACACCTTTTGCTGGATTTACAGCTCTATTAAGATTAGAAAGAAAGAATACTGTGATTCGTGATGAACATAATAGCCACAATCTCTACGCTTAATTGTAAAACTTTTCCAAACAAAGTTTTTGTAAATTATGCTTTCGAGCCTATGTTCAAGTGAAAGAATGTTGAGTTACCTGTTGGCTATCTAGGAGTAGCGTAGCTGAGACGTCTCGGAACCTTTCAATCATAGATTTGTAATTGGCCAAGTCTGACCACCAACCTCTTGGCATACGGACTTCTCTTCGGTGCTGGCTCGCTCTTCAAGCTGTTTCCCTTCTCGAACTACACCCCTTCTCTTAACGCCCTTGTCAGCATCACCTTCGCCCTCATCACCACCGCCTCCGTGCTGCTCCTGCACATGTTCTTCTACAACACGTTGGTGGCAATTGCCTTTGGGACGGTGGCCCTGATTCTGCTCGTGGCGTTCCCCTTCCTGATCCTCCTCGAGCAACCAGACTACCCCATGATCTGGACACAACTTGCTATTCCAACCTGGCTGACAAAGGTCTTCTACGTCCTGTTTCCAACCCGGCCCTGCTTCAAGGTACCCCTGCCTTATCGAATCGACAAGTTATTTGCAGTTTGCAACTGCAGGCGTGGGCTCAGGAGAATGTGCCAACAAATTGCATCACACCGGATAAGAAGATCTTGGATAGGTCAGAGCTCATGCCCACATCAAGCCCGACCACTAAGCCTAAGGAGCATGGGTACCCAGAGCTGGAGGCCTATAGACAAAGACTACAACACAACGCAAACAAGGGGTCTCAGGTGACCCCTTAAGCTTTCAAAAGGGCAGTACGCTGGCCCCTGCATGAGCAAGTGTGCAATTTAGATACCACCTGTGCTGCGATAGCTATCCGGCAAGATTTCATTTCAATTTTCTTAGTAAGTTTTGCTCTGGAAGAAAAGATGTCCAACCCCTTTACTCACAGCTACTACATGGAGAGTCATACCTTAGACCCTGACGACTGGCTGACGGAGCTGTCCGAGCGGCCCTCTGACGGGGGTGGCTGTATGCAGGACGGCCCGAGCGTTCTGCATACCTCCTACCCGTTGGGGGGCTGTTTGGACAGCTCTATTAGTCACTCGTTCGGGGCCTCGGGGGATTCTCCCGGCTGTGGGTCTGCGCTGTCCCTTTTTGAGGCCACTCCGCACCCTAGCGGTGAAACACCCTGGGAGTCCCACCAGGACTTGGATGGGTGCGCCTCTGTGTCCTTTGGGGTTGTGGCCAAGACACTTAATTACACTCCGCAGGAGGCCTATCGCATCCTCAAGGAGACTGCGCTTAAACGGGCTCTACCTCCCCCCGTCCAGCCCTGTGGATCCCAGCAGCGCTTCCGTTGGACCGGCGAGTTCAACGAAACCATCCTTTGTGCGTACAAGTATCTGGGGTCAGAAAGCGCTAGACCTGTGTCTATTCTCACACTCATTAGGGAGGCTCTCCCAAACCTCCCTGTCACCAGGCAGCAGGTAGAGTCTAGGCTTCAAAAGGTGCGTATCTCTTTACGCAGAGCCTATGGGCTTCCCCCCACGGGAGCTCTAAGCAATTGCCACGTCCCGAAGGACATCAACAGGAGACGTTATGAGAATCTCAAAGGACTATGGGATAGAAACAGGGCCAAACGCATGGGCCTTGGATTATCAACTCACTAACCCAAATAGCAGAGGCTATTGGGGCATATTTGTAAACCTTACTAGTTGCCTTCTCTGTGGCCTTCACAGCTGCCGGGCGCCCCGCCCCCGGGACGACCCAAGAGCGCAGACCTGGGCTGTCTGGCCAGGGGCGGGGCGTCTGCTGTTTACTCTATGAGAGGAGAGATATGATGCTGTTCTTGTTATACCTCTTGGCTATGTCGAGGGCAGTATCTCCACGATTATTCTTCATATCTTTCTCTTTCTCTACTAGCAGTCCGACGCAGTCTGTGTGACCATACCTTGTTGCTATCATAAGGGCTGTCCATCCATCACTTTCCTGCATGCCCCTCTCCTTCTCCAGGAGCAGTTTAATACAGGCTGTGTGACCATTTTCCGCTGCCCTCATGAGAGCGGTCCACCCATAACTGTCTTGTACCCCGCCCTCCTTCTTTACTAGTAGTCTGACACAGTCTGTATGGCCATACCTTGCTGCTGTCATGAGAGCTGTCCGGCCGTCACTCCTTTGCATACCACTCTCCTTCTCCAGGAGTATTTCCACTATCTTTGTGTGACCGTTCTCTGCTGCTTTCATAAGGGCTGTCTCGTGAGGGGAACTTTCCGAGCCACTTTTCTTCAAGCGGCTCTCCATCTCCGCGAGTAGCTTGATACACTTTAGGCGACCCTCACACAGCTTCGTTACACACACATCACCGCAGTCGGTACTCATTTGCTCATTAGAGAAATACGCCCGCTGTCCATCGGAACCATCCTCAAAGTTAACAACTGCGCAAATGAGCGCGGTCCTGCCCTCTCCATCCACGCAACCTACCTCCTTCTCTAACAATTCTATCATCTCATGGTATCCAAGCACTGCGGCGATCATCAGTGCTGTCACGCCACGAAACGAGTCCCCATATATTTTGCACGTCGTAACCCCCCTCAGTTGGCCAGGATCCTCGCGAACAAGCCGCCCCACCTCCTCATAATTACGCTTATGAACCGCTTTTATGAGAGCAGTGGAGTCGTCGGGAATTTCAATAGGCAGAACTGGCTTGTTACGATCTCTCTGCGAACTCGTTCCATGCATTTCTTATTTCGCCTCCCACAGAAGGGAATTAAAAATGGCACCTGTAATTCACACTACAATCCACAGCTTAGTCAAATGATGCCCATATATGTACTATTACACAATCCTGATCTTTGCTGATTCTTTCTTTGCAGGTAGTAATTGCGTGTAATGTGTAATATTTTATGCGCCCATGACCCCGGCCACCTAAATAGGCTACATGATGTGGACTACTCCGAGATTGCAAACAAGAATTCACATCCAGTGCTAATTTACCCGGTGCTATCAATGGACCCTGCGACAGTCACGATCTCTGACGCCTTGTGTTTACATCTGTAAGTCTTCTATGGTTGAAGAAAGTGTCTATACAAACAGTATGGGGCTCTCCCATGGTTTGCAGCTATGCCCATTGCAGGACCTTCAGGTCTCCTTGGAAGTGGTCCACTCAAGCCCAGTAGATTGTTATGCAGAAAATGTAGTCGCTCTCCGCCTGCTACACTTTCTCCTGAAGAAGACGCGTTGTGACACAAAGTAAACTATACACGTAACCTGCTGGCTATAAAGGTCAACTAGTAAATGCTACTGTCGTTATATACTGGTTATTTCGTCACAGGTACTCATCTGCCTTTACGGTTCCAAAGCTTTGCCTGCATGTTCAGGCATGTAAAGAAGGACGGATTGATCCCACAACAAGGCTTATACAGGAATTTGCTCCTTTGAAGGAACAGAGAAATCCTTTAAAATGAGGCTTCTGATCCTTCTGATTGCATCCCTAGCCGAGCCCCTTTTGACCCAGGTGGAGTTGAGGCAAATTCAAGCACTTGCTCCTGCATGGAAAGCTGGCATCCCGGAGCGACTGAAGAACCTGACGAAGAACGACTTCAAGAAGATGCTATCAGCAGGCAGTCCACGTACGCAATCATCCATTGTTCGACCTGTTCGTGTCCCTGAAAACGAAGATCCTGTACCAGATCACTTTGACTTCCGGGAAGAGTATCCACAGTGCATAACGGAGGTTATTGACATAGGCCTTTGCTCGTCCAGCTGGGCGTACTCTGCTGTTGATGCCTTTAGCCACAGACGCTGTCTAACCGGCCTGGATCAGGAAGCCACACGTTACTCCGCCCAGTACATCCTGTCTTGTTCTTCAACGAATGGTTGCTTTGGATTTTCAACCCGAGAGAGTATAGCGTGGGACTTTATTGCGACGACGGGTATCCCCTTAGAAAGCTGTGTCAAGTATACAGATTATGACCAAACACAGTCCAGGCCATGCCCGAGTACGTGTGATGACGATTCCTTCCTCGAAGTTTATAAGCCCGACGGTTATGAAGGCGTCGGACTCAATTGTGAAAGGCTGAAGCGTGCAGTTGCTCTCAGAGGACCCATGCAGGCTATGTTCACCGTTTATGAGGATTTCACATACTATTTGGAGGGCATCTACTCCTACACATATGGTAACAGAGTTGGTTTTCTTTCTGTTGAGATAGTCGGCTATGGCACAAGCGACGAAGGGCAAGACTATTGGATTGTAAAGAACTACTGGGGCCCGGGCTGGGGAGAAGATGGCTATTTCCGTATTGTTAGGGGCCAGAATGAATGCCAGATTGAGAACTCTGCCTATGGTGCTATAATAAGCCCTAACAAACCATCCATGGCCACCAAGTGAATAAGTGAATCCTTGAAAACTGCTAGCTCGGTCTATTTATCTGGCATCCATATCTGTAGAGGCTTGACCTGCGTTGCCTCTCCATGTAATGCACTAGTATCACTCCTGATTCCACAAGGCAACTAGCACCAGACAGGCAGGCTTCCTTGAAGCATTTGCAGGTGGAGCACCCGAACGTGGCCTCAGCTGTGTTATACCCGCATTTGTAATGACTACAGTTGCCTACAAAAGAAACCATCTGCGTTTAGGTAGCGCCTAAGTGTTGCTCATTGCGCTTGCTGTGGATAATCAGGAGCCCCAACAGAAAAAAATAAGCACTAGAATTAATGGATCTATCCACATTTAAGGGCTTGAGCTTGCCAAAGAAACTCTCGCTCGTTTTTCAGCGTGATATTCTGCCAGAGAATATTAAGGAGGATGATATGAAGAACGTTCCATCCATGGTAGAAATCTCAAAGAGAAACCGCGAAAGAGTCCAGGATGATGCTAGCGATGAGTTAGCAGAGGAGGCAAGCGATGACTCGGCGCCAGGTTCAAGCCTATCAACCAAGAATGCCTTTGCAGGACCGCGTCATGAGGTAGAGGTCCTGGGCCAGCCCCACTGTCTCTCGGGAGGGCTGCTGAAGTCATATCAACTAGAGTCCCTTCAGTGGCTGGTTTCTATCAACCAGATATGCACTCACTTTCGGGCACAGTTTGTCTCCCTCCCCGACGATTTAACCTCCCTTATCCCCGTGGGGGCAACTCATAGGCGCACCACGCATTACGCTGAGATAAATGCCGCTCAAATAGGCGCTATCCTCGGAGACGAGATGGGGCTCGGAAAAACCATACAGACAATATCACTACTCGCGTTCTCTCATGAAACGCTTAAGGTTAAGATTCCACATCTGGTGATAGTCCCGAAGTCCACTCTACCGCAATGGGAGGCCGAGTTTGCGAAGTGGATACCCAGCTTTCAGGTTCTCACTGTCATCGGGGACAAGTTTCAGAGAGAAGAGATAATCAAGACCAAATTGATTAATGTGGAGACGCGTCCGCATGTGTGTCTGACAACATACGATGTTGTCCGTTTGGAGTTTAAGGAGTTGAGCAGGATACTCTGGTACTACATGATACTTGACGAGGGGCATAAGCTAAAGGATAACATGTCTCAGATATCTCATGTACTACGAGGATTTACAACGCTCCACAAGGTAATTCTTTCTGGGACGCCTCTCCAAAACAACTTACACGAGCTCTGGGCGTTGCTTAACTTTATTTCTCCCCTAATCTTTAATGTACCGGAGGATTTCGTGGGTCTCGTTCGAGGAGAGCTTCCCGACGGATCTGCTATGGAGCCCTCTCTGCGAGGTGAGCAGATTGGTGAAGAGTCTGTGACACTTGAAGTTAACGAAGAACTTTCTGAGATAACCGAGATCGCAACTGATACCACAACGGACACTACAAATACTCAGCCTGTAAGTAGCGTTTTAACCACTGACGAGTCTGTGGCTGCTAAAATGCACGATGTACTCAAGTTGTTCATTTTACGTCGCGAAAAGAAGGATGTAGAGTCTCTCCCTGCTAAGCGGGAATACCTCATTAATTGCGGGATGACCAGTCTTCAGCGTTCGCTATACAAATCCCTTTTGGCTAAGGATCTGGGGTGCTTGGACAAAGTGTTACGTAGTAAGTCTAGCACATCTTCCATAGGCAAGACGTCTCTAATAAATATTGTGATGCAGTTGCGGAAGTGTGCGGATCACCCCTATCTCTTCAACGGGGTGGAGCCCCAGCCCTTTAAAGAGGGAGATCACATCGTCAATGTTAGTGGAAAAATGGTCGTTCTGGACAAGCTCATTACACGGATTAAGGCAATTAACGAGAAGGTCTTGGTGTTTTGTCAGATGACAAGCATGCTTAACATAATAGAGGACTACCTACGATACCGTGAATATTTGTATTGTCGGATAGATGGCAGCACAGACTTGGAGACCCGAGCAAAGTACATGCAAATGTTTAACACCCCCACCAATCCTGCCTTTGTATTTCTTCTTAGTACACGCGCTGGATGTCTCGGCCTCAACTTGACAGCGGCAAATCACGTAATTATTTACCAGCAAGACTTTAACCCTCAGGCTGACCTTCAAGCAGTAGCGCGCGCATACAGATTACTTCAAACAAAGGAGGTCTTTGTGTACCGCCTCCTTGCAGAGAATACAGTCGACACACGCATCTATGAGCGTGCTCAGCTGAAGCTGGGACTAGATAACCTGATAATACAGACAGGAAATTTCGCTAACAACCCACACATTGATAAGCTACTTGGAGACGCGGATCTGAAGTCGAAAACCATGACCCGTAACCAATTGCTGGACATGATTGCAGTTAGCTCTGAGAATCTTTTCACAGAGAGCCAAAAGAACACTGAAGATGCTGAAGAAGCCCACAACTACGACATCCCCGAAATTCAGATTAATGATAGCAAGTTAGACGAGTTGCTTAACACAGCCTTGCGCAGAAAGGATGATGTATCTGGCCAGCTAAACCAGAAGATAAAGAGTGCCAATGAAATCATAAGCAAGTTGGCGTCAGATGGAAAGCTAGAGCATATAAATACTGATGAGCTTTATCAGTTTGAAGGCATGAGCTATACGAAGAGCAATCTCAAGAAGATCACTGACTTCTTGCATCGCGAGAGAACTGAGAAGGAAGAGGCTGAGCGGCTAAAGCGGATAGCGGCAATTTCGCTCATAGCTGATGTGGCAGAGAAGGGTAGCGGGAGAGCAGCAAAGGACAAGCGACAGTACCCTACGATGCGCAAGCTGAAACTAGCGGCAGACGTTTACAAAGCTGATATTCAATTGCTGCCGCCACGATACTACGAGTTGTTGGGGAAAATAGCTAACGAAATATCATCCCAAATCGAACCTACCATGAATGCAAACAAGGAGTTAGAGTACGCCGACTTCGCCAGGGAACGTGGGTATGTCCGGCCAGAGCTTCCGGGACTCAACCAGGAGGAGCTGACTGAGTTCTACTCGTTTCTCGGCGATGGGTGTCCATACCTTGCAGACGGGAAAGAAATTTCACGCCGTGAATTCAACCTACTCCTTACTGCGCTTTGTGATTATGATGTAGAGCTGTATGCTGACATAACGGGTGTGCGGCGCGTTTCATATGACAAAAGTGAAAAGCTCCTCCATGGTGGGCCAAAGGGTCCCGGAGTGCCCCCTGGGACGGAGAACTCGGCACAGAAGGCTCTGCGCATGGCGGTAACGGCTGTTGCTGCACAAACACGAGGGCTAAGTGCCTCTCCTGGCGTGCGCATCCCGCTGGTACTGGATGGTGCCGAGGGAAAGCTGGTCCATATCAACCGAACGGAAAACTTACTCCCTGATGTTATAGAGCAAGTCGGGAGCGACGGGAAGATACGTCGCATTCGGCAAACACTGGGCCCCGGACTTTCTGAAAACGACCGTATCCGCGTCATTGCAGAAATCCCTAACGATTGCCCTGTGATTATTGATAGCGAGTATTGCATTGAAATAAGCGGCCGAGAAAATCTAGACATTGTGTTCCTAGCGTTTGCAGAGAAACTGCGAACTGGTCGTGAATCTGCGCTCCGGTTTTCTAAGGCAGAGGTTGTCAACTATTGTAACGCTCTTTTGCAAAATATAAACTGTCTTGATGAAGCAGATAGAATAAAGGCTCGTATCGATAGAACTCGGAAGAAGCGTCGAGCCTATTTTAAGCGCGTCCTTCTTCTGCGGCGGTGGATAGACAGCTATACCAATCCCTTGTATCAATTACCGGTACCTATCGTCGTCAACCAGAAGCGCTTCTATTCAGATCTAGAGGATCGCTTCATCCTTGTCATGCTAGATCTTTTTGGGTACGGCTGTTGGCACGAGATTGTAATGCAAATCCGATTGAGCCCTCTTTTCGCATTTGATTGGTGGTTCAAGACACGTACTGAGGATGAGATCGCACACCGCGCAGAGCGCTTGGTTCGCTACTTGGAACAGGACTTTAAGCAAGTCTCTGATGATGAAGATGAGTACAGCGACCTGCCATTTGTTCAACAAAAGAGACGCGGGCCCCGCCCAAAAGACGGGTCTGATTATGAGCCAGATGATGCAAAACCTGCGACCGCGCGCAAGCGCAAACAGTGACACATAGCTAACTAAATACTGCACCACAGAAAGTAAAGTGAACCCTTATCATATCATCATCATATCAAAAACATTTACTGGCCAGATTGCGTACTCAATCCATGCAAAGACCAGAGCAAAACATACGTAACTGGAAGCTAAGATCTCCCAGCCACGGAATCCATCCTTTCTGCTACACGTGCAATAGAAAGAAAGACCTCCTCAAGAGTTGTCTGACGAATAGACCATTCGCGGATGAACGCCGACCCCTCTATTTTCTGTAGGAATGTGCACATGGCCTGGCTGTCGCTGGTCTTGGGAACAGCAAGCGTGAGGTGCCCTCCTGCTTTTCCTACCAAAACAGCCTGTGGATAATATGTATTGATCAACTCGTCGCGAACACGCAAAACATCGCCCTCGTCCACATCCATGTCTAGCCGATAACCAGTGCCATATTTCTTTTTCAGATGAGACGAATTGCTTGAACAGCGCAGTACTCCCTTGGCTATTATTCCTATCCTATCTGAGAGGACATCTGTCTCCTCCATGCAATGGGATGTTAGTATAATTAGGCGATTCAACTTATACTTTTGAATCGCATCCCATACCTTACGGCGCGAAATAGGATCCAGCCCAGACGTCGGCTCGTCCATGAATATGACACGAGGGTTTCCTACGCAGGCCAGGGCTATTGTGAGGCGGCGCTTCATACCACCAGAGAGGCTTCTCGACGGAAAATTGGCACTTTCCTGAAGGCTCACATCAATAAGACGCTCAAATATCAACTCCTTTTCGCCAGGTTTCCATTTCTTATGATTCTTCTTCTTAGTTTCTAAAGCAACAGGCTTTCCCCGCTCCAAGGAGCTGACAAGCCCTGCTTTGGAGACAATCTCCCGTGCTCTTTGAAGTTCCTCCAGGTCCTCAGCATAATTGACCCCTCGCATATTGCAAAAGAACTTTATGTGCTCTGCAGGAGTTAGGTCCGGCCACAGAATGTCAAACTGAGGCGCATACCCAATGAGCTGGGACACCTTCTGACGCTGGTGCACAATGCTGTACCCCTCTATGGTGACGTATCCGGAGGTTGGCTTGAGGGTTCCCGTCAGGACCGAGAGAGTCGTCGACTTGCCAGCGCCGTTCGGACCCAGGAGCCCATATATTGTGTTGCGTGGAATGCTGAGACTCAGGTTTTTCACTGCATGCTTAGCCGGAAGCCACTTAATACCGCAGAACTTCGAATATGTGACATTGAGATCATAGATCAGAATCGAGGAGGTGCGGACCTTATTGTACTCAGCCGTTCCCGGAGGAGAAAGCACATACTTATACTGCTTGAGCACGTCCTTATCCCACCCCTCCAAGGGCTGAGGGCGGCGGTACCCCGGCTTATGCGAGTCTGGAGGGGGAGGCGTTCTGATGAAGCCCCAGAAGTTTAAAGTGAAAGGTGCCCAGAGATGCATGCTCGCACCATGTGCAGCCGGGAGAATCAGGTCAATGTACGCTGCCAGGAAGCACTGGGCCACACAGATCGCCAGCTGCATCAGAATTGCAAACAGGACAGTATGGCCGCAATCGTATGCCTCCGGACCGCAGTAGAAGCCTCCTGTTTCGGCAACAACCTTATCCATCTGAACCGATGCTGTGCTAGCAGAGACGCACGCTCCTGTGAACTTTGCAACGTCTCTCAAGGTAAACTTCAGAGGTACAGATGGCATGTTATTTAGGGCAAACGGAACAGTTTTGAGCGAGATAAGAAACATGGCTTGAAAGGCATGCGTAGGGAAGAACAGCCAGAACCCCGAGAACCCGCCGTTTTCGGGGTACATCACCCGGTGCGTGCTTGTCATAAGACCCAGCCCAGCTAATACTATCACCATCAAAAACGCAGTAAAACCCACAGCCTGGGCATGGTGCAGGAGGGACGCCATAACAAACGAAAAGCTAACGGCACCGAAATAAAGCAGCCAGATGATTACAAAGTTTATGATCCACGGACTGTTGATCCAATATGTGGCCTTGCTTAGCAAACCTGCAACGTTGACTAAGACAGACAGGAGGGCGGACAGGGCGACACCAATAACAATGTTACTTAGCCAATAGGCGGAGTCAAGCATTCCAATGGTATGGAGAGACTGGCGGAGTTTCGTCTCCTTCTCCGCAACCAACTGGTACATAAACACATAAAAGAGAACAACTGTAGAGGTCCCCAAAATCGGTGCTGCTAGGGTTGAGATTTTATTTGAGAAGTCGTCGTCTGTGTAGTATTCAAGATCCGGAAGCCACTGTATGGACATGTCGTTATCGTATCTTACCCGCCCATTCTTGATTGCAGTGGCGGCATACTTTAAATCATCGGATGTAAAGCCTTCTATTTTCGAGATAAAGATATTCTCCAAAAGATAGCGTGTAATTGCATGTTCCGTAAGACGCTGTGCACGATACGGATCAAAATACGAAGGATCTAGGGGGTCGGCATAGACCTTCTTGAAATAGTCCGAGACACGCCACACGTAAAACAGTGAGATATTGTCTACTTTTGGATTCCGCAGCTCAAAGGTGAACGAGGCGTGATATTTGTCTGGCTCTGCGCTCACGTTTAAAGCACATGCAAGTTCGTTTTCAAATCCAATGACCTGATCGTCCAGCAAAGGAGGATCAAATGCCTCTTTTAGATACTTTACAAAGGCAGCCATGGTAGGGTCTGCCAGAGGGTAGTAGGCCAGTCTCTTTGTCATATCGAATTGCCCTATGTCCACTGGATCATGCCATACAGTGGGCACCTTAACCTGATAGGAGGGTCCGGTAATGATAAAGACCGAGAGGGGCGGAATCAAAAGGAGGAGCGCCAAGAGGATTGGGTGTCTGATAAGTACGAGGATATTCTTGATGAGAAGGACCTTGATCTGCCGCGAAAAGAGCGTCCGCCAATTGTCCACCCTAATTTGGTTCAGCACACCTTCGTCGCTGAGTTCTACGGCTGAGGACGCGGCATCCTTATGGGGCTTTGGCCCACGCTTACGTCTAGAGAAGGAAACTCGAGGCTTCTTTATCGGCAAAATAACCGCGCCATCTGGTTGCAAGCTAGACGAGCCAGCAGGGACAGTCTTGACGTGTGACTCGACGGGCCCCATCCCCATGTCATCAACTCCGAAATAGGCGCTTGAGTCATGCAGCTCACGCACATCCTTGTGGACACTACTAGCCGCAAAGCTCCCGTTTCCGATGACTTCACTGAAAACCTTGGATGCCGAACTAAAGGATTTGTTTTGGTCTGAGTAAAGCCCGCAAGAGCCAGAATGGCCGTCGTGCCGAAATAGGTCTTGACCCGGCAACGGGTCAAACAAAGTTGTCTTCATTCTACAATTTTAAATCCCAACCGTGCAATGATGACTTGTAATTGTCAAATTTTGAAAGTAAAGGGCATCAAAATTCGTCTGCATGTCAGAGTTTGAACAGCTATACGAGAAGATACACGTCAAGCCGCCGTTCAATGAAGAAAAGGTGGTCCCGGTAGTGCACAGGGAATCCGGCCGCATATGCGCACACATGCGTATCCCATTATCGACCCTGACAGACTCTTCTCGAAGCCTTGTAGATAAGGAGATAATGATAATGGCCAGACTCACACACCCCGCCGTTTCATCTTTCAAGCAAGTAATCTACGCACAAGACGCCATTCACATTGTTATGGATTACCACGGCGTTGAGACCCTTCAGGATTTCATAGATCGCCACCGTGAACTCTCTAAGATAGTGGACGAGGCTACGATATGGTCCATTGCGGCGCAACTCCTGGATTGTGTCGTCTATCTTCATAGTATGTTCAAAGCAAATGCTGATGGAGTTTCACGCGTCTATCATCAACACATCTCTCCCGCTAACATCACTATAGATCCATTGCTAAATCTGCGGCTAATAGACTTTCAGGGGATACGGCTCGCCAGAGACTCCACATACAGACAGACCCTAGCAAGGTATTCAGATGTGGCTCCAGAGATGCGGTCAGGGGCGCCAGGAACTGATCGATCAGATATTTGGGCCATAGGTGCAACCCTGTATTATCTTGCTACCTTGACCCCATTCATGGACTCTGTGGCCTCCACTGGGTACGTTGTGGATACCAGCAACAGCCCTCACGCATTTCAGCTCAATAATTATTCATCAGAACTGGTGAAATTTATTACCCTGCTCTGTGCAGATTCTCCAGCAGACCGGCCGTCTGCCAGTGACCTGATCCAGTATCCTGCAGTGAGGTCCGCACTACAAGACGTTGAAGCGCAAAGACGCCTGGCACAGACACCAGAAAAAGACCCTTACCTTCGTCAGGCGTATGTTGCTTCTAACGTTAAAACGGTCTTAATGCAAGCGGCCGAGTTCAATGACCCTGTGCGATGTATTCATAGGATTAATTATGAGGCTCGCACAAAACTGGCAGAGACAAACGAAACCGCCCTTCAGCTAGCTCTGAATGCTGGGAACTTACAACTTGCGCACCTCTTGACGCCCCTGGAGGGGTACCAATTACCCCTGACCCACGAGATGCTAGTTCGCACCCCGAGAAAGACGGAGCTTATGCTTGCAGCAGAGAGTGGAAACATAATTAAGGCCTGGCATTTTCTTAACGCACAAGCCAACATTTTGGATGTCAATGGAAAGACAGCACTTATGTATGCAGCAGAATGGGGGTACATTTCAATTGTCAGGCTCCTCATCCTTAAGGAATCCCGTCTTTCAATGCGCGACTGTGGTTCAACGGCCTTAATGCTTGCCACACGCAACGGACATAGTCTTGTAGCTAGGATTCTCGCTGATAGAGAGTCGCGGCTTGTCAACAAGCAGGGGATGTCTGCCCTCATATTTGCGGTGTATCGTGGAGATGTTCCACTAGTGCAAACTCTGGTAGACAAGGAAAGTCGGATTACCGACCGCAACGGAGACACCGCTTTGCTGCATGCAGTGCGGCTATTGACTGTGGACGAAACTGTGTACGGTATCCCTCATGCAAGTCTTCTAGAGATCATCAAGCTCTTAGCTCCTCGCGAAGCTCGGTTCATCAGCACTAGAGACAAACGGAGTGCTCTTATGATTGCAGCAGAGCAGAATTGTTACGAAGCTGTGTCCATTCTTGCAGAATATGAAACGCATCTAAGAACATCTAAAGGGTGGACGGCTCTCATGCTTGCTGCTAAGTCAGGCGCTGTACAAGCGGCTCAGATACTCGCAGAAAAGGAAGCGGGAAGCGTAAGCTACAACAATACGTGTGCCTTTAAGATCGCTGCTCTAAACGGCCAGACAGAGATATGTAAAATCCTGTACAATCTGGAAGGCCCGCTCGTGGAAACTACCTTTGGTTTTTCATTCATGAGCCTTGCTGCTACAATCAACAACTATCAGTACATAGAAATGTATAAAGAACACTTTCTCCAGCAACGTGACGCAGATGGGACAACGGCCTTGATGCTCTCTGCCATAGGAAACCATATAGAGACAACTAAAATACTGCTGAATGATGAGGCTGGGCTCACGCGCAAGGACGGAGAGACCGCCCTCAGTCTCGCTCTGAAGGCAGGAAGCTTCGACACAGCGGCTCTTCTTCTTCGAGACGAGAGCGGCACAATTGAAGTGTCGAATATGGAATCAGGCAGGAAGACGGACCTAATGCGGGCGGCCTCTTCTAATGACATCGTAAAGGTTTTCTACCTGAAGGACTCACAGGGCAGACTTACAGATTTGGTTGGCAAGACAGCACTTATGTATGCTGCCGAAGCCGGGCACCTCCCGGCAATCAAGATTCTAGCCCCTATAGAGGCAACAATGACAGTGCAACAGAATAACAAGTTTGTGGGGATGTGTGCCCTCTCGTTTGCTATCGACAAAAAGCACTTGCATGTTGTTAGGTACCTGTTAAAATACGAGAAGGATTGCGTCGATGGCTTCAAGCAAACAGCCCTAATGCGCGCAGCTCGTATAAATAATAGAGAAGCTGTCGAGATGCTTCTCCCTTACCTGGCCAAAAGGAGGAATGACATGCAATGGACGTCCTTGATGCTCGCTGTTTCTGAGAAGTGCGTCGATGCAGTCAGAATCCTAGTTCATAGCGAGGCCACCGAGCGCGATGACAAGGGAATGACGGCCTTGATGCGAGCAGTTCAGCTCAACCACGTTGAAATTGCTGACATTCTAATTCCATATGAGGCCATGCTCACAAAGGATGACGGCACAACAGCCCTGATGATAGCGGCATCCAAGGGATATCTTGACCTAGTGAAGCTTCTGCACTATAGAGAGGGCGGCCGTGTAACGCGGGATGGAACCACAGCCCTAATGCTTGCATCAGAGGTAGGGTGCACGGAGGCTGTCTCCTTGCTACTGGATACTGAAGCAGGACGGAAGTCCAACAAAGGGTGGACCGCGCTCATCATGGCGGCGCAAAATGGGCATGCAGACTGTGTGCGCGTGCTGAAAGCAAAAGAGGCTCGAGAGCGCGACTCAATGGGTTGGTCGGCCCTTATTTGGGCCTCTGCTAAAGGGCATCTCAAAGTCGTTATGGAGCTGCGGGATTTAGAAGCAGGAGGAAAGCGTGCAACAGGTGGGACGGCTATGATGGCTGCTGCCGAGCGAGGCCACGTAGCAGTCGTCAAGGCCCTGATGGACTACGAAGCAGGGATGCAAGACAGCGACGGGAAAACGGCGACCATCTATGCTGCGATTAACGGGCACGCATCCATTGTTCGCCTTCTTGTAGAAAAGGAGGCTAACCTTTGCGATACACTAAAGCAGACGGCGCTTATGTTTGCTGTTCAAAACAAGCATGCTGATTGCATTCGCTTGCTTATAGACTTTGAGCAGAACAGTCGTGACATATATGGGAAGGCTGCTGCAGACATGACCGACGATCCGGCAATAAAGAAGCTGTTTGAGTCCTCCCTCAGTGCATCAACAGCACTGTCTAGGTCGACTACCTGTCAGCTAGGCTCCTCCCGAACGATCACCAGCGGTGCGTCCATTCTGGCAGTGGAGGCTGTTGAGGCTGCCAGCCACGAGAATAGGACGGTCCAAAGCTAAACCTTGCACAGGAGTTTACCCAAATAGCAATCTTATCACAGGGCGACTTAGGATGGCAAAGTAAGTGATTTATGTGTAAGCTTGCTCTTAAGCCAGTAGTAGAAGAACTCTGCATAGAGCACTATTTGAATAATGCCTGTCGCCCAATTGATCCAGCCCATTCTAACGCCCTTCACTGTTCTGTAAATCCAGTTGAGCAGATAGAAGAACCTGTATCCACCTAACGTTGCAACATAGTCTGCTGTAAAGCTTTCCACGTTGCGGCTCAGGTATAGCATAAAGAATTGCGGGACCATTGCAAAGGCTTCCAGAACAAGGGACCCTGTCCAGAAGATCTCGAAGATTGTCCACGGTCGTGCAAATAGAACGCCTGCCACATATGACGGAATTATGACGTAGAGTACAGGCGTTTTGTCCAGTGGAGCGTGATAGGTATCTCTCAATCGGAAAGCTATAAGATAAATGGTGTAGAAGGTAGTGATGAGGTAATATACCTTAAAGATCCAGTTGTATATTGAGGCAAAATTCCAGAATATGTCGAGGTATCGTGTAGAGAAGACAAATGCATAGATGAGCTGTGTCTTAAGAGATATGCCTGCACATGACTGGGACTTGTGGAGCTTCCTGATGAGAAGCCCCCGCGATGTGGCATGGAGGATGTCACCTGTTATCCTAAAAACGTTCATCGATGACATCGGAATCTTTTATTAATTGCCTCATTAATTGCCTCGCACCGGGGCTTTCTACAAGTCGCTAGAGTCTGCAGATCAAGGGCATCACCATGGCCATTCCGCTTGGTCTCCTTAGCCCACTGGAGCAGAGCTGGCTGCGCTTCCTCCATACAGTCCACCTCAGTGACCCAACCTACTCTTTCCAAAAGATATTCACTCACCTCCCCAGCCGACACTTGATCTCTCTCCAGTCGAAGTTTGATAACGCTCCCGGCGGGTGTCTGTCCTGCAGCGAATTTGTTTCTGCTATTGCCTCTTCTCGCGAGATATTCGCCTCCATCAACGAGCGTGGAACTACCGGACTAAAACGTTTGGCACGTGTCCTAAACTCATACATAAGCATTTACAACGATGATGTTCATGGGGGAAACAAGTTTCTTGCAAGATTACGTGCCCTTATACTGATTTTTAATCATATCGATATAACGCGTGTTAATAAGCTTTCCTGGGCAGATTTTTCTAATTTCCTTTCCAGCTTTGTCACTCCAGCGCTTGCGATATCAAATTCGCACGTTGCTACAATCTATAATACGTCAATCTACTCTAAATACTTACTTTCTACCAAAATCTTAGAGCCCATCTATTCGGTAAGCTACTCATCTGAAGCAGATGCATTCTTGGCCTGTTGCCGAGACAACAATGTGCACATTTTAGACAGCAGCACGTTTTTGCGCCAAGCGATTCTGCAGGAGCACAAGGCCCTCCCTGTGGTTGCCACATCTTTTAAGCCTGCGATTGAAGGCTTTAATCACGCAAAAAACAGAAGCCAGCCTGGTAATGGGCGACGAGTAATAGGTGGATTTAATTATATCACCTCTGGAGCTGATCGGAAAATAATAATATGGAATGGAATAGCACATACTCCGGTCTCCATCCTTCCAACAGAAAACATTCACACTGCACTGGCAACCATAGATGAGCTCCACTATCGGAAGTCCTCTCTGTCGCCGGCGATCTTCAGTGGAGATGACCATGGAAACGTACACTTTTGGAAGCTTACTGAGCAGCATATTCCTCAGCAGGCCTCCCCCACACGTACCTATAAGAAATTCAACTCAGAAGAGCCCACCAATGTCTCGCTCATACGAGACATGTACTTTGCCAAAAGATCGAAGGATCCTTCTCAGCAGGTGCAACCAAAAGGTCACCTTAGAACGTCTTCCAAGCAGCCAAGACCAAGTGACTTCTTTCTAAAATCAGATGCACAGGCAGATGAAACTAAGAGAACGACTGATACGCTGGTTGCTGGTATTGATACTAGTGCTATCAATGATGAACTTGAAGATGACAGCCACGGTACTGCCGTGCAGTTTTACAATTCGATGACCAGCGCGAGGCGGAAGCCCAATTCGTCTGTTCTAAAAGAAGATGCAGAGAACTTAATACTCTTTTACGACATGAAGAATTTTAGTGGGCACGTGCCTTTTGCTGAAGGATATAATCTTTCGTTCTTCTTAGAGGACAGCGACGACTGGAAGAAAGCCTCGGGAGAATATCAGCAGGACACCTACAAGTACGATGCTGTCCTGACTCGTCTTTTCAACGACACATTTGAAGCCAGCAACATAGCAGCACCAACTCCTGAGTTCACAGAGCTTGCCAAGAGGATGGCAACGGCAATCCAAGCAAAAGATCCGCCTGATTCGGCAGCTAACAATGGCTTATTCTCTGCTGCATCAAATATGAATGAACAGAAACTGACTCTAGCAGAATCAAATGTGTATACACATAATCAGAGACAGACAGACTCTAGTACCTCTAGTCAAGATAGCGATGAATCGACCGGCTTCAGCGACGATTCGGATGATGACTCTATTAAGCAAGTTCAGCGAAACAAGGCCCTGATACAAAAGCATATGGCGACAAACCGGCGCAGACAGAAGTACATTCAAAACTCCTTTAAATCTATGGGGACACAAGAGCTAGCTCCAATACCTATCTGGACCATCAAAGCCCACAAGGATTGGGTTACGTGCCTTTGCCTTGACACAGTGACAAGCAACAATTCCACGATTTTGGCATCTGGCGGTGCAGACGGACTGATAAATGTCTACGATATCAATAGAGGGGTTGCAAACTCCAATCTGCATTTTCATAAAGACTCTATTACAGGCTTGGCATGGCTTCATCGTAGAGGTCTCCTAGCAGCGTGCTCGCACGACCGCAAGCTCACTCTGTGGAGTCTTGGGACCTCCAATACAAAACCCGTGTCAGTAATATCCACATCTGATGCCCCGTATGTTGGGGTTTTTTCTCACAAGCTCAAGAGTGAGATTGTCTCAGTGGATGCAACGGGGAAGGTGGCAGTCTATGATGTGCGGAGGATGGAGCCAATTCACACAATCGGAAATAATATGGCGAAGACAGGAAGGATCGTCTCTGCAGCATATAACGGGTATACGGGCCTTATCTCAACCGTGGGGAGGACCATAAACTATGTCGTTCCTGTCAACGAGGATGACACTCATCGCTGCTCGCTTTCACCAATTAATGTTTGGTGCTGTTCTCCCACTGCTCCTATCGTCTTGTTTGTTAGTGACGGTTCCCTTCAGTTTTGGGATATGCTTTATGGGAAGCTATTGCGGTCTGTTAGCCACGTTTTTACGCCCTCGTTGTACTTTAGGTCTAAGGAAATAGAACGAAACACGCGGGAAATGCTTGATCTCCCACATCTGGATGTCGAGGAAACTAGGTCTGCCATGAAGACCAGCGCCGCGTCCTACAATTTATTCAACTTCCTTCCTCCTATTGGCAAGGATGATGTAGGTAAGTCTGGGTCGTCCCGAGGGGCTCATAAGCAAAGCTTTTCATACAACTCTAACTATGATAAATTGAAGAAGACCAAAGAAGGGGCACTAGGATATATCGATTCTCGCTTAAATAACAGTGATGAGGCTCAGATGTACCAGAAGAATGTATCGAATCTATTCAACACAGACTTCTTCGGAGAAATTAACCTGAAGCAGTTGTCATTGGACAATATTCGCGAGTTACACAACCAAGAGCAGCAATTTCTAAAGAAGTTAGAGAAGGGCGACTGCGGTACAGTTACGTTCGGGCTCGAGTGCACCGCAATTGCTCTCTCTTCAGACACGAATGTTTATGGTGTGGCTATGACGGATGGACGCGTGACACTTTATGAACGGGTAACAGATAAGGTTCTCATGAAAATTCGGTACACGAGTGCATATCACGATCAGAAGCAGCTCCACATGGAGCAGTACTTTGATGCCATCGGAGTTAAAATGGAGCCCCAGCTTGATAGAGTCGTCAGTAGTGACTCTTTATGTTCAGGAGTTGACTGGTCCGGATCCAAAGCCTCCAAGGGCATGCGGGTGCGTCAACTAGCGGCGGCAGCTAAGGACGACTTCCATAAAGAGGCCTGTGAAGGGGCGTCTTCTGCGGAGGCTAACTTGTATGATGATGAGCCATGCACCAATCTGTTTTTCTCTGAACACCTCACCCCTCTCTGTGTCCATCACCACGGACTCGGAGCAATGAACTCAAACGCCAAGAGTATGGCGAATGAGGCACAGCTTTCTCTGAAGAGTATGGAAGAAGGATCTAGCACGCAACAGGTAGTGGCAAGTGCCACGATAGCCACGCAGGAATCGACCTTTACACCAATGATAGTCTGGCTTTTCTTCAAACAATCTGCACGTGTATACACATACAGGATTGCAAAGGACCAACCATACCTCCTAGGACGGCTTAAGCTGAGATCGTCATGGACAGACATCACGCCGTGTCACGACCTCAATGTGGTACACATCTACATGAACACAGAAGTCTATACTCTGAATGCAGATAGTGTAATGCTTGCCAAAGCAGAAGTTTCATTGGTGGATGCCAAGCAAACAACTCTAGATGCAGCAAGAGCAGCTGCAGCAGCATTTAAATTGGAGATAAAGTTTATTCTCACACCGGGAGAGCGCTTCCAATTGTGGATCCTCTCCTGCGGTCTTATCTTTGTTGTTCACATTAAGACGGGGTTCCTTCTAGCGGCTCTATCTATCCCCAACTTAATATATTGTGCATACGCCTCTTGTATGGAGGAATTCAACAGCCTGGTCGTTCTTGATCATCTGGGACAGCTTCATTTCTACGACATAAGTGAGATAATCAGCCTTGTGACAAAGTTTGAAAAGGTCTTCATGCTTACGATGCCCAAGGGCTCTAGCTATGCTAACTTTGCATCGGCCGTCCACTTTATTAATACGTTGAGCACCCAAAGAACCGGGGAGGGACTCTATGCGCCGTCTGATGACCTGGAGTTTATGACAAAGGCGAGCGAGAACCTTAAAAGAAGCTACCCCGTCACCTCTGATATGCTGTCGATAGAGTCTCCGGCTCCAATTCAGGTGCAGGTGAGCACCAACTTTTTAACAAAGCGACACTACTTCACAGTCTTCGATGTCATGCCTAGGGATAGACACATATTTTCCAGCACGGTTGAACCAATTATCTGGGAGATTGTGGACCTGTGCAACAACAACCTGAACATGAAGCAGATAAACACCAATCTGAAAACCCGCTCCCTACTCCCAGAGGAAAAGGCTTGGTATTCCGGCCATCCTGTCATAGTCTGCCCGAAGCTATTGAACACTATTTCTACGGTACCGTTTCTGATTGATTTAGATAAGGGAAACATAGATGATAAACTGGACTCCGATACTACCAAGTCAACGAAAGTGCTGACTCAGTTGTCTAACTTCGGCATAATATCCATACAAGCTATTCGTGTGATCGGGCTTTATCTCTGCGTGTGTACCACAGGCTATATTCTGGCCTTCGATGCCCGTGAGGCGTGTTACTTGTGCACCCTGGTTCACCGAGGCTGGCCGCAGAAAATCAAAAAGTATCTAAGATACAATCTCACTACCGCTACACCGAACAGAATACAGCGCCAGTTATTAAATAGATTCATTTCCGAAGAGAAAAAATCCGTGTACTTGCATGCTTATGTTTCCGACCAAATAAAGGAGCAGCTCAAGCAGATGGAGCTCGAGAGCCTCAACGCATCAGTATCTAGTTCCACAATGGTTGGCGGACTGTCTTCCATAACGCTGAAGACCCCCCAGGGGTCAAGGCTCAATAAGGTGCAGACACTGTTTCCCACACCGATGCTCGGGGAGGTACAGACTCCGTTGGAGGAGACGTGCAGCGACGAGAGAGACCAATTGAATACGACACGTTCAGTGGCCAATTCAAAGAGGAATCTGACCATTATCACACGAAACAAAGATGGAACCCTGTTGACATCAGCACCTACAGCCTTTACACCCTATAGTTTTGGGAAGCTAATTGGTGCATCTGCCCCGATCAATGATGTCAGATTGCTGACACGCCCTGATGCCCCCTTTCAGCCCAAGGACCTCGGAGTCGGAAAATTCTTGATTCAATCCTGCATATCGGACATCAAGAACACGGCATTCAAGCAACTGAGCCCATCGGAGCGGGCATCAATGGCGAAAGGATACACTAAAAGCATGAACAGGACAAAGAGCGCTATGACCCATCTAGTGGCTCTAGACACATCCCTGAAGGAGCTGTACAAAAATAAGACTGGGGCCAGCCCGATGCGCGTTCCACTTTCATCTTTAGATGGAACTGCGGGGAAGACCTCCAGCATCTTGGGAGCATCATTGAAGGAGAAGAATGTGGACTTAACGAGAAGCATGTTGGACATACCCGATCAGGACACTCAACAGGAAGAAGGAATGCAGGAGTCTGAGGTAAATAAGATCCTTGGAAGGGCGTCCGGAACAATAAAATCTCTAGATAGTACCGGGACGCGGCTTGACCTCACCGCGATAGTCTCTCGAAGAACATCCTCTATTTTCAACAGAGAAAATTCTCCTGTGCGGAAACTGCGTGCAAGTACAGTCGGAGCAACAGAGCAGCTGACCCCGCGGGTTCCTGAAAATATAGTTGAATCAGAAACCAATATGCAGGAGTCTACTGCCGTGCCACCAAGTGCGATATCTGAAACCTATGATATCCTTAGCATGCAGAAGCAAGATATAGCCATGTGCTACAAGAAGAAAATGACAACCATTAACGGGGGGTACGTGAATTACAACGCCATTAAAAAGTAGTCGCTGTTAAGTCCCCTCTGTATGCTATGGGTGACTAATGTGTCCGTTGCCTGATGCATCTCAACACGTCATATGGTGCCATTCAAAAAACGCCCCGCAAATTAAAAATGATTGCCGGCCTCCTCCTCGTCGCCTCTGCCTTCGGCGCCGTCCTGGACGTCACCTCGAGCTTCAAGGCCGAGCTCGCGAAGGGCAAGCCGATGATGGTCAAGTTCTTCGCGCCCTGGTGCGGCCACTGCAAGGCCCTCGCCCCCACCTACGTGGAGCTTGGGGACAATGCCCCCGAGGGCGTGGTCATCGCCGAGGTCGACTGCACTGTTGCCCGTGAGGTCTGCCAGGAGGAGGGTGTCCGTGGATACCCGACTCTACGCTTCTACAAAAATGGCGAGTTCCTCGAGGCTTACTCCGGTGCCCGCGACCTTGAGAGCCTTAAGGCTTTTGTGACTTCTAAGAAGTAAACCTCTGTTTTTAGACTTCTGCATGTTGTTGGGAGTTCTCTCTGCCTGTGCTCTCGCGTTCCAGCTGCGGGCCGAATGTCATGCGTTCCACTTCTCACAAGGAGTGAGGATCTCTGTCTTGCGTCAAGAGCCTCAAGACGTCTCCAAAATCGAACTCCAGTGCATAGTTGTAACAAGGCCTTTAGGCTGTGACTGCCTGATCACTTACGTTGGAGACGCGGGGAAGGAGTCTATCTGGCTCCTAACGCTAGATCCAGTCAAACAGTGCAACGCAACTTCAGAACTCATTGTTAGTGCTGTATACAAACAGACACATGGGGTCTCCAGTCGCGAAGTCCGCTTGCAAATGACGAATGACACCGTTCCAGGTTATTGTGGCATGTACCTGGACTGGATGAGACCCAATTTGACGTTCTTCACTCCATCTCACTCAATGCGAATTCACCTGGACTCTCGGCCCCATAAGTTGACAGCTCTAAATGTTGCTCGGACTCGACCCTCTGTTCTTTGTCCGGGGAACACCCTCCTGCAATTCCACGACCGCGTCAGAGATAGTACGCAAAGGTCGCATGCCGCTCTTGTGCAAGAAATTGAAACAGTTGTCCGGCGAGTCGGAGAGTTGGCGTGCCCAGATGCAAAGCGCATTCTTCTGGCAACCACAAACGAATATATGTCTATCAGAGCTGCCACCCTCAACGCCTTTGCGCGACTTGTCTGCCAGGGCCTTTCGGTTAAGCATCGGCAGAACTCCAGCGTCCTGCTTGTGTCTCTACCTTTAAAGGCCTCTTCTATAAAGGGTCTGACGAGCATGCTTGTGCACCTTCTCGTGAACCTGCTCCACAAGTTATCACTCCATGGTGAATCTGGAGCCGATCGCATATCGGAGGCGCTATTTGGCCTCGCTATTCCAGAGCTAAAGACTCTAGTTGAGCAGCGTGGTGCCACATGCTTTCTTCACGGGATCCGGACGCTCCGTGAATACACTTATCTTGAGCCGGACCTGAGTGGTTTCATGCACTGTCTTCTTCAACCAGACTTTGTACCGTCTGTAGAGCTTGTAGCGGACAAGCGCGGAGTAGATCTGGTTGGAGCTATCAATCTCCTACGCAAGAGACAGACCATTGTCTGCCTTTCTCCCAAAGATCTTGACATTGCATCATCACGAGTGCTCGGCTATTTCTGGAGATGGGGACGCCCTACCTACTTCTTCGCTTGCCTTTGCATGCTTGTCCTGGCCATTGCTGTCTATCTTGTCCGCCTCAAATGGCCAGTTATCAAACACCTAACCTTTGCTAGGCGCACCCGCGTTAAGCTGGAGAAGGTTTCTATGTACACTAAAGTTCATGAGATGGTATAGAAATATTCACTGAACGGTTTCTCGAGTCCACTGACCATTGTCATATCTGTAGCCTTGCTGCTGAAGGCCTGCAGCAGCCAATTGCCGTATTCTATTGTTATCTATATTGGTAACTAGCCATATCAATGCCTGTGAAGGTCGATTAGCAAACCATTTAGTTTCTGCTAAGTCATGATCAGAGGAGAGAGCACAGGGGGCATTTACGAATCTCCTGACGGAATACACCTGCGGGTATACTGATTCTCCCCCGGAAACGCTCTTTGCCGCAGAGTCTTGAACTGCTGGTCCTTCCCCAGTGCCGGAAGCAACATGGAATCCATCCTCTGCAGTGAAATGTGCAGGATCTGAACCACCAGCATCTAGATCAAATGAGGATGTGCTTCCAGTGTCATTGTTATCTGATAGAGAAGGCGTTTGATGGTCCTGCCTTTTAGCGCGACCCTTTGTTCGAAGCTCTGTCATAGCCTTCCTCACATTCGTCAATCTTGTCAGTTGCTGCTTACTCATCATACTAGTTCCAGGATTATATGTATAGTAGGGCTTGGTCTTTCCTCGCTCTGAGTTAAAGGTGCCCATGGTGATCCATATTTTGCTGATGGGACGCTCTGAGTATTTAAATTCAAGCATTATGTTGTGCGCAGCAACGTCATTCAAAGCTTGGTGCTCATTACTAGTCTGCGTCGACAGCAATGATATGGAGCGGGGCAGGTCTGGAACTACATCCTTAAAAGCATGAGGCTTTGTGCAGAGCATCAGGGACTTTGGGAGCTTTAGAGAGTATAGAGCCATGGCTGCTGGCGTTACAGCTGGGACGTAGATTAGTGTGTTTTCCTTGAGCGGAGACGGACGTAGATAGGATAACTGGGAGGCCATCTGGAACACAGGCCGGACAACCCTAGTGCTATTTGTCTGCTCTACACCCTTTATAGGGGGTAGCCCCTGCTGCTGTGTCTGTGTTTGTGAGACTTTGGATCCATCGACATGCTCTGAATTAATTATGTCAAAGGACGACTTACCTTGCTTAGTAGTTTTATTCGCCTGTCTAGGTGCCATTGTTTGTCTTGTATTCGTGGTTTGACCCTCTGTTCTGTCGTTTGATGAAAGGTCTCTCATGGGGACATAGGCCTCGGCATCGCCCTCAGCAGCCACTCTAGAAGCGTCGGAAAACGTGATTTCGTCAAGGTCGTCCTGATCAGGGTTCGGTGATATGCTCCTTGTCCCTTTGTCATTGCCGCTTTGGACCTCTTTGACAATCTTATTTCCAGACCTTGGGGATTTTGCCGAAGAGGGGGTCCAATTTGTGTATTCCGCAGCAGGCTCTTCAAATGATTCTATCGAACCGCACATCCTATTTGTACGGATGAGATCCATAATATCATCGTAAATAACGGTTGTGATGTCAATGTCCGCACCCCCCTTGCAGGCTCGTATGACCTCATCGAGTGACTTCTTTAAGTATAGCTCAATATCAGCATGTGTTACATATCCTTCTTCGTATGCAGCTATAATGTCCTCTAACTGCTCTTTGTGTTCCTCTAGTTTTACGATAAGCTTATCAGCGGCGTTAACCTTAGTTATTTTCATATTTTTCTTTGTCGAACCCTGGAGCTGTACTCCATCTAGCTGCGAGCGTAAGTCCTCTAGCCGATTGTTCAGCTCTGTAAGGCAAAGGTCCAGCCATGCTTGAGTAGAGGCCCGTGGTCCTGCCCGCTTTTCGTTTTCATCATTTAACGCTACGTTGGAAAACTGCTTAGTCTTTGATTCGCGTTCGAGAATGTAATGCCTACGCATATCCGCTTCGATAGCATCTGTGCATCTTTTCAGCTTGTTACGTGTTGTTGCAACCTCAGGGAGGTCCATTAGCGTCTGTATTTGTTTGCGCAGACGTTTCAATTTGTCCAAATCTGCACGAAGAAGATTTTCGGTCTTTTCTCTGTTGGCCGGAGTTCCGTTCTCAAGCTTATCCCAGTGTTGTTGGAACGATGTCCGAAGCTCGTCAACCTTTGAGAGAACCTGCTCTATCTCCACCTGCAATTGCTGCTTGTGCTTCCCTTTGGTAGAAGACATCTGGGTGGATCACTTCTACGCGAGAGTTGTGTGTAAAGATCTTGCAAAAGTGGAAGCTCGTGCAATTGCACTTATAATGGCAAGTTATGCTTCTTTTATATTGAGATTAATTCATTTTAATTTGAATTTCGTCACTGCTTTTTGCCCGCTCCCGAGAGCCATGGGTCGCAACGTCGCTTTCTCGAACATGCGTCGCTACAAGTGCACCAACAAGGGCCCGAACCTGATAAAGAACTGGTTCAACCAGCCCGCCCGTAAGATTCGCCGCCGCCAGACCCGTCTTCAGAAGGCAAAGGCCATATTCCCTTGCCCGCTCCAGAAACTCCGCCCGTCTGTCACGCGCTGCAGCCAAAAGTTCAACCTCACACAGAGGATTGGGCGCGGCTTCACCCTTAGGGAACTCCAAGGCGTGGGCCTAAGTGCAGGCAAGGCCCGTCAGATTGGCATTGCCGTCGACCCTCGTCGCAAGAACAAATCAGAGGAGAGCGTAGCTCGTAATGTGGCTCGCCTGAAGGAGTACCTGTCCAAGGTGACCATCTTCAGCAAGCAGGCCAAGCCCGAAGAGATCCAGCAGGCCATCCAACACCAGGGCGTCGTTATGCCTGTCGTCAATCCGAAACCTGTCATCACCACCGGTTCCATCGCAGAGGCGAAGAAGGAGGTACCCGAGAATCTATTCATGTATCTTAGAAATGCCCGAACGGCCCGCAATCGTGCGCGCCTGGCGAAGCGTGACGCGGAGAGAGAGGCCGCTGCAAAGACCAAGGGCGGAAAGAAGTGAACGACCTCTTGTGGCATTTACTGATGTTGGCTCTCCCCTCGAGAGAAGAGAGCCTAGGGCTCGAGGCCCAGTCGCTCCCCTAGACATGAGAGGAGATTCTTAACAAACCGCAATATAATCTTGGGCGTATGCACCTCCGTGCGCAGAAGCTCCCGAAACGATCTCTGTAGCGTGAGTTCGCGCTCAGGGCCGATCTCTGCAGGAGGGTCTGAAGACAGGGTGATAATAAGCTCCTTGACTAGAAGTTGCAGATTTTCATCCGTCTGCGTCTTTTCTTGATTGAACTTCTCACAGAAAAGAGTCATCACGGGTGGAAGAATCATGCCCAGCCCTTCCAGTAGGGTCACAAAGGAGGTTTCGTCGATCATAAAGGCTGTGTTGAAACTTGACGGGTAAATTTCCTCGTGCGGGATCATCCGTCGACGAAATCCGCTTTGGCTAACACTGCTTAAACGGTCATCGTCATCATCTGCACCATAGAAGCCTGAAGCCCGCGACCGTGTCATGGTTGAGTTTCTCTTCAAACGGGATTCAGTCAAGGCAGTTGAATCGGGGATTCGCATAACAGATGAGGCATTCGCGACAGACATGGGAGTCACGGACTTGGAAAGCATCGGTGACTCTGTTGCCAGTTTCGTCAATAGAGGGTTGCTATCAGTGAGGGCTCCAAATGGCTTGTTTGGTGCCAAAATAGCCTCTTCATCTTTCGTCTTCAGATCAACGACAGGACAATCTGCTGTGCCCTCAACTCCCGGGTCTGCGTTAGCATTTCTCTCGTTCTGAAGGAAGGAGTCATTGTTGTGCGTACTCAGACGTCCTGGGAGGCTGTCATCGTTCCGAAGAACCGATTCATCCTGGATTTGAGTCCATGCCTCTCCACGATTAGTACAGTCGACAATAAACAGAAGAAACTCCCTGCTGTATACAGTGCTATCCATTCCTGCGCTAAGAAACTGATTGTGCCTATCGACGAGAGTGGAAATGAAGGACTGCGTCCTTATCTCACAGTTCAGTATTCTTGATGCTACTTGTATCAATGGCTTTGCCTGCAGCTGGGTGTGGGAGGCTAACACTATCTGCTCTTTGAGCTCATGCTGTAGGATAGTAAAGAATCCCAGAACGTGAGAGGGGGTAAGGGTGGACAGGAGTAGCATAAGGAAGGCAGATACGAAAACAGAGTTTAGCCTGTACTTATTGAGATTGATAATAATCACCCAAATAAGACTGGCCATGTTCGGACCTGTCGAATTTGCTGGAAGAGACCGCTTGTAAATAGCCAAGGAGCGGCTGTGCAGGATAAAGTAAGTAAAGTTGTAGTAACTCTTGTTGGAGCTTGAGATCCTGCCCCTGCCCGATCCGTGGCCTTGGAGCAGGGGAGAACCATCACGCAAGAAGCTAGGCTGCTCCAGGTTGTGAGAGGACCCAACGAATTCGTAATAGTGCTCCTCGTACACATGTGTCATGAACCGTAATAGAGAGGTTATGTCAAGAGTTATATTTGTTTGGGCGATGCTGGGCTTGCAGCCAAGCACTGGCACCAAGGGGCCAAACTCCGCCATGATGGCCTTCATAGAGCCCTTTTCAGATGCGCTGCCCGGGGCTCCAACAGAATTGCTCCTCGCTGCACTCTGATTACTTTGTGACCGTACTTGGGGAGGAGAGACAATTGTGGCTATATACGTATTCGACTTGGGATTGTACGAGAACTTGGTGTCATTCTCGAGGAAGTATTGGTAGAAGACTTCCTTTTGCTGTGGAGAAAGAGCACTGAAAACGGCGACCTTGGGTGGCATTTTTTGTTCTGATAAGTGATTTACTTAAGATGCTAGACTCTCCAGAAGCATTCTGCGAGCATCCTGAATGTCTCGCATAGCGCTAACCAGAGATGTCACACGCTGCTGAATATTCGGTGTGAAAGAATCCAGCGGGGCCTCAGCAAGCTGCTTGCCCAGGCACACAAGTCTATCTTTGAGAGCCTCCGCAAGATAAGCTATGGAGATATCTGTCTCCTCCTTTCGTTCTGCCTGGTCCACAACACCACCCTGTGAATCATCTCCCTTCATGCTCGGCTGGCTGGCAATCAGCTTAACCTTCTGTGCTATCTGATGGGCAAGCTCCTCGCTATTTATCCTGGATTGTGGCTCCGCAAACGCCGCGTCAGAGCTTTGAAACCCACAGGATGCGCAGAGAACCACGCTGTGGTCGGATGGCTTACGAGCTAGAGGAATGTTGCAGCCACGTGGACACGAAAGTGCCGACATTGTGTAACCACGAAGAAGGAGACTTCCAAGTAAGGCCGATGGAGACGATGCTCGCTGCGCCTCCTTACTATCGCAAGATTCGTGTAACAAAGATGTCTTTTGAGTCGCACCTGCATTGTCGACTGGTGGAGACGTGGTCCCTTCGCACAGGGTCACCTTTTCCGCACAGTCAACGCAGTATGTGAACGGGTAGCTTTTGTGCCAGAGCAAGGCTGTACCGCACGTCCTGCAGACAGCCCGAGTGGGCGGCAGGACCCTCCACCCCTCCGCAAGGTAGCAGTCGACCGTCTTACCAGGACTAAAGGCCATGGCGCCCACAACGCCGGAGACTATGTTTACTTTTATTACTATACTATCTTACTATAAATCGCTTATGAAAAAGTTGTCTATGATATCACTGGGGTAGCCAGCGGTCAGCCAGATGGCGAAGAAAGGCCGGGATGTCCTTCGGCTTCGGCAGATGCTCGTTCTTGGGAACCTCAATTCTAGATAGCCCGTGCTGAGCACGAAGCTTACGGCGAAAGTTCTGCCAGTAAGACTCAACGTGCTTCTTCTCAATGCGACGATCTGGGCACTCCATCCTCATGAACTCGAGAATGCTCATCGTCTTAGCATTCCCAATTCCCAAGCTAAGAACGGCCTTCAGGAAGCAGGTCTTCCACTCATCATCCCAGCGGTTGAGCGACTCTGCATGATTTTTCCCATGTCTCTTAAGGCCAAGACCGTCAGCTGGAAGAGCAGCGCGAGTCCCGACCGGCTGGAAACCCGAGGCCTCCTGGCAGATGGGAAGGTTTGCGTGCCACTCGCTAGGAAAGATACGGCCATGCGCCCCAGCGGCAGGCCCAAAGCCCCCATAGCCGGACTCCAAGGAGAAGTAGCCCTGCTCGCAGGTAACACAGGTATCGAGCTTAGACTGCGCGCCATAAGGGCAGGACTGGTTGGAGAAGAAGTTGGCGAGGGCGCTGTGTGGCCCGCTAAGAGCGTGTGCAAACGGCCCAGGTCCACTGGCGAGTACCCCTTGGCCGGAAACAGAGCAACCACCGACAGCTTGGGGCTCGGTATAAGAAGGAAGGTCACTCGCAGCGACGACTGGTTCACAGCGGACAATCTCTTGTTCCGAAGGATGGCCTCGAGCCGAGGAGTCGTAGCCATGGACATCGAAGTCAAGCTGTTCCGGATCAAGAGAATCGGGGCCGTCATGGAGGCCTACGGGATATGGACCTCCCCCAAACTGGTCGCTCGGGTCGGGGAGAGCGAATGGGTCGGAGTTGTCAAACGAAAATCTGAACATATATTTACTTTTTCGGAAAGCCTATAGGGATTAATTTTTTAGGTTAATTACTTTAGTGTACCAAACAGGAATGGCGAAGATTATAGAGACAAGCCTAATTCACTACTTGAGAGCACACTTCAGTTGGAACACAAACATGTTTTTTAGATTCTGGTGAGAAAGCATTTTAATTTCATTTCTAGTTTCATAAAATGGCCCGGGGTGAATGCCAAAGGGCTCATTCTGCAAGGTCAACATCTCGAACCCCGTCACGGGTGCCAACAAGAGCCTCATGATAGAGGACTTCCGTAAATCGCAGACTATACACGGCCTCCGCATGGCGTCGGAGTTCGACGGCGCTGCACTCGGAGAGGAGTACGCTGGATGCACGTTCCGCATCACTGGGGGGAATGATGCCCAGGGATTCCCCATGTACCAGGGTGTCCTGAAGAGCCAGCGCGCACGCCTTCTTCTGAGGCAGGGTGCTAAGTGCTACCTTCACCGCCGCAACGGTGAGCGAAAGCGCAAGTCTATACGCGGTTGCATCGTTGGCCCCGATCTCCACGCCCTCTCTGTCGTTCTTGTCGACGCAGGGGACAAGACTCTTCCGGGCCTCACTGATGTCGTCGTCCCCAAGCGCCTCGTCCCCAAGCGTGCATCCAAGATCAGACGCCTCTTTGGCCTTCCGACCACCAAGGTTGATCCCAAGGACCAGATGCTTGTCTGCGAGCTGATCAAGGAGCTCGGGCACGAAGTGACTCTCAAGAATGGTGAGAAGAAGCTCAAGTACCCAAAGGTCCAGCGTGTTGTAACAGACGAGAAGTATGCTCGCAAGCAGAGGGTCATTGCTGAAAAGAAGGAGATCATGAGGAAGTCTTTGCAGCAGCTTGAGGAGTACAAGGCTCTCCTCAGCAGAATGGGCAAGCAGCACAATATCAGGATATACAAGCCTGCTAAGAGGACGGTTGAGTAAACAGACGTCTTTCTACGCGGGCCTGAATCTGTTCGTTGCAGCGTTGCCTTATTGCTGCGAAGTCAAATTCCTTGGGGTTAGTTGCCATGACTGCAGACTCTGTGTCTCTCTGACTTGAGCAGGGTTCAACTGGGAACTCTGTGGGAGACGCAGGATACAAGTGAAAGTCCCGAGCATTAAGAGCAAGGTTTGGCTGTTCGCAGTGGACACCATAGAATGCAGGAAATTCCTTGGGCACGCCAAGTTCGTTAAAACGGCTAATGCATGACTCAGAACTGGAATCATTCCCAAAAACCCCGGCGTAGTGGCTCCTAATTTCTGTTGGTGTGCAGCTAACAGGCCGTGCATACCGTCGCCGCAAATATTCCTGCACTCTTTCTTGCCATTCTGGAGAGGACTTTAGAGGAGCAGCTGGTGCAACTAGTTCCTCAGAAATGGACCTCCTGGGTGTGCCAGACACGACAGGGTAAGACTGCTCAATCGCTCGGTGTCTCTCAGCTGTTAAAGCTCTGACCTGCATCCGGTGGAGCGTAAAGCCTAATCGACGAAGACGTTCCTCTCGCTGAAGCAGGCCGCGTGCAGACATACCTGGAGGCGGGGGTGGGATCAGCATTCCTCTGAAACCTACCATTGGAGCCATGATTTAAAAAAAGGTACAAGATATGACAACCCGCACCGATTACCTTCGCGACCAGCGAGACATGGGACACACGATAGAGCATTTATCATCTGTACCTGCACACTATGCAGACCCAGTGGACCTAAGCATATTTACGCCCTTCTTTGGAAATGATTTAAACGCTATCCAAGAGGCGTCTGCGAGAATCGTCAACTCCGGTGTGCCGGTCTCCACCATCACCATACCTTCGGGACTAATTGTGCGCCTTATTGAGCTTCTTGATGAAGGGCCGCAATTTTGCCAAGTCGGCCTAACAATGCTCACGTTCATCAGTGCTGGGCTTACATTTAACATAAATGAGTTTATTGCAGGAAACTTTGTGGAGCGCGCCATCAATCTGTTTCTTTCCTCAAAGGAAATGCTCACCATGTCTTCGGTCATTATTATTATAGGTAACCTTATTGGTGACGGCACGCTGCTTATTGATACATTTCTGGAGACCGGGTTTGTGAACGTTCTGAGCGAGTTTGTGGAAGAACACAAGACCAAGTACAACATTCTCCCAGATATTTGCTGGTGCATATGCAATTTGACTAGGCACATTCGCGATAAGGACTTTCCATATACAACGGACCAGCTGCATACAATAGCCGGGGCCATCTCCAAACTCTTGCCCTTGGTCGAGAGTCACGAACAGGCCGGCTACTACTTAGGCTGGGCCCTTACATACTCCCTCGATAGTGCTCAGTGCGCAAATTACTACGATACCACGCATGCATTTTTCTATGCCCTTAAATTCTGTAAGGTGCAGAAGAAGGTGATTGGCTCAACAATGGCCTTCTTCAAGAGCATTGAAGCCTTCCTAAAGCAAAACCTCTCTGGAGAGAAGCTTTCTCTACTAATTAAGGGGCCAATCTATCAACAACTCCTCAGGAGCAATACTAGTAGCATTCCAGCGACTGTGCACTCTATCTTGCTAGACATATGGATCTTGATCCTTCAACTAGACCTCAACGACAAGATGCTGGCGGAGCAAGCAGCACCACTAGACAGAGAACTGGTATCTAGCATCCTCTCCTCGTCGCGTGTTTCGGACCCGCTTGCCTATCTGCACGTTCCACTCACGCGAGACACTGTCTGTGAAGCACTTATGAGCATCTTTCCTTCTTTACTGCAGATTAATAACTCTAACAGCGTGTCTGCGCAGAAGCGCATCATAGAACTTCTTAGCGAGTTTTTGCTGAAGGCATCTGTGGAAGCCTGTCAGCAGATAATTGGGTCCTCGGACTTCATTCGCTTCCTTGAGCGATCGCTGAATCCATGCTATACAGAGCAGCCAGGCTATACAAAGAAGCTTCTCGAGCTTATCCTGGGGGCCCTAGAGATTCCTGGAATCTCCGTAGATACGTTCCGGACTGATCTTTCGGAAGCGAATCTGATAACGGCCATTGCAGACCTGGACCAGGACACTGCTACGTCTATCCTTGTAGGAGACATATTGCATTACCTCGGGGGCTCAGAGGAAGCTTTTCCAGAGTAAACTCTACGCTGTGGGAGTGCTGGAAGTGCGTTCATTGCGGGATACCACGTCGTTTACTGTCCTGGCATGCTAGGTAAATCTAAGATTCGTTGGGACGTGGCTTGCAACAGGGGGCAGAGTAAAGTCTTGAAATGCGCGCCATCCCGATGACCGCAATAACAGGGAAGACAATTATCGGGAAAATGGATTCAACGGGTAAGTGATCCTCTGCCAGAAGAGCGGTTGCCAAGGGGCAGATGGTCAAGCAGAAGAAGACGTAATAGACTAAGGACACGACGATATATAGGATGTTGTGGAAAATACAGAACGCAATAGGGTTGTATCTGCTACGCATCCCTTTATACAGGGGTGCAATCTGGGTGAGAACGAGCGTGCCTACCAACGAGAACATAAAGACCCCAAGCATGATATCCGATTGGCTTATAGATGTCCCGTAAAGGCCTGTAATCAAGTTTGCAAAGAGGACAATGATGCCGTAGCCAAGAAGCATCTGAATGAAGACAAAAATGGTGCTAAGAATGATTGCCATACTGACCTTGTCGATGTAGGTGCTTCCCGGAAGTATGTGCCACATCGCATGGCCACTGAACATATACCCGTTTATCAGTGACTGGACAAACGCCCCCCACGTGCCCCACGAGTCGTTAACGCCTGAAACCATAACGTTGTTGGCAATCTGGCCTGCGAAGAAGGCCCAGAAGAGCCACGAGACACAATACATGCAGATAACCGCGCGAACCGGGCACATCCCCTGCTTCACTAGATTGTTACGGAAGGTGTATCTGTGAAGAGCATTCAGAAAGAAGAATGAAACACACTTCCACTCCAGTAGCACATACTGCTGCTTCGTCTGGCCAATGAACAAAGACGTGGCACCCCCTTCAACAAAAGAGATGAGGAACGCGCACGCTAAGCAGATAAAGAATATTATAGAGAACAAGCCCAAGCCAACAACTCTCCTTTTTTCCAACTGTGCAATCACACTGGGGTGTGCCATGACTCCCTCAGCGAAAATCCACGCTTCATAGATACACATAGCAAGGTACGTTCCGTACGTTATGAAGAGATCCGAGCGCAGGCCCATTAGAATGTAAAGTAGAGGAACTATGAAGAACGGAGTAAATACTATGATCATAAGACTTGCCAGGAAGTTGGCGTTTTCACATCGAAGACACTTCGTCGTCCTCCTGTTAGACTCGGTTCCTGCGTTGGTATTCTCGTCCTCAGTGGCAATCAGAGCCTTCCCCTCCTGGACCTCTTGTGTATCCTGCCCCGTAGAGTGGGACACAGAAAGCTCTGCATTAGGCTCCGTCATACTTTTGCTTCCAACTGAAAACCTTTTACACTAAAACAGTTAGTCACCTTTCTTACTCGACTCTGCCTTTCCCTTAATCATGGTAATCACATCGGACACAGCATTTCGGAACTCTATGTCGCTGTGCATATTGATGGCTTGCCGCAGGTACTTGACGCTGTTAATATCTGCAAAGACCTTTCGGACCTCATTATTGAGGAACAGGCGCCGGAGAAGGTCAATGATGATCTTCTTGATCTCTAGGGGTTTTGTTCTCATGCACTCTATCAACAGAACGGGCAGATTGTATTTCGTAAACATTAGTATATCCAAATGAAGCAGGTACATAAAGTTTAGAGTATTGCATGTTGCAGCAAGAGCTGCAGTGTCGGATAGGCGCATAATGTGTGTGAAATTGGCTAGGAACCCGTTGAGTGACTTTTCTATGGCCGCAATCATCTGAGATAGGTCTTCCGTCATGATAAGCCCTCTGTGTGCATCCTGCATGATTTCCTCCTCTATGCTTTCAGCTGTCTTCTGGTCCTGGGTCTCTTTTTGTTCCTTCTTTCCCTTATTTCTTCCTCGCTCCTTCTCCTTCTTGGGCAGGGAAACTGGGGGGAGATTAAGGACTGGCGGCTGGGGAAGTAGCTGGTCCTGCTTCGCCATGGCTTCAGTGGCTTCGTGAGACCCTGCGGATGACAATGATTTGGCCAAGTTGTCTGAAGAAGGAGCTATGATCAGCTCTGCAATGGATGGTGCAGATGGCACCGGCGCTAGTGCCACCGGTGCTCCGCTGCCTATGGTAGGTCCTCGCAGCACACGAGGACGCTCCTGTGCAGCAGCGGAGCCGCGCATGGTGGCACTGAGCTGTGACCCCCGAATCATGCCTGGGCGTCCAAAGCTGGATGTAGCCGGGTTAAGACTTCCCATAAGAGAAACAGACATCCCCATTGCGCCAGACGCTGCTAAGCTCGAGCCGATAGGGGTTGTGAATGAGGCAGATTGATTGACGGAACTGCCTATGTCAAACATGACAGACTCGGTGCTTGTAAAGATATCCGGCAGGTTATGGGTATAGTCGCCGCTGATCATTCTACTTAGATCTTTCTGAACGTTGCCAGTAATCCGCGAAAGATAGAGAGACGTGGAATCAACCGGCCCCTCCTCGGGCGGTGGCATCTCCTGGGCACCCTCTCCGAGCTCCTCGTCTAGTCGCGTGTGCAAGTGGTCCTTGACCTTCAGATAGATTCCTGCAATCCCAGCGTAAAGGACATCGATGATCAGCATGCGCAACTCGGAGGAATCGATAATCAAGCACTCTCCAAGAAGATTGCCTAGTTCTGTAATGATTTTGTACCCGTAATTCTTACACAGAGGCTTCAGAGGGTACAGGGAGCGGATCAGTATTCGTGAAATGCTGTCTCCGTACTCGGTGGTCACATTATCTCTGTGTGCAAGCATTTGCTTATAGACACGGAGTAAGGGGACCATTTCCGGGTTTATGGATCCACGTTGCAAGGCGTTCCAGAGCAGGGTGGAAATGTCTGTTAGCTCACTGAGCTTGAGGCCACGGGAGAATTCTTCGTCGGTCAACACTGAGATTTCCTCCTTCTGCGCCGTCAACTTTTCGTTGAAATAGTCGTAGAAATAAAGACAGTTACCACAAATGCGGTCAACTATCTGAAGGAAGTTAACATTGACTACCTCTTTCCAAAAGTCCGTACACAAGGACATTTCAGCAAGCAGCATGAGGCTGACTTCTCGTGCTTCTGACTTTAGCTCTATCGATCCGTAGATGACAGAGTCCTTTATTTGTAGGAAGGATGGATAAGGGATGTCGCGTGGTGTTTGTATGTTGAGGTCACCCCTCGTTATCTTCATGGTGGGTCTGCAGCATTCCCTAAGCGCGGTAAGGGCCCACACAAACATCTGAGTAGCAAAGTCTATTCCTCGCAGCCTCCAAACAAACTTAACATACTTCGGATCGAGGATTCTGTAGAGGACCTTCATAAACTGAGGAATTCGGATGTGGCGTAGGAGAGAAACAAGGGAAAGGATGCCGTCGACACCAAATGCATAATGAGCAGTTGTGCTTGTTGCATGAAGAATAATAACTAGACCCTTCTCCAGAAAAGTTTCCAAAGGGACTAACTGGCAAGAAAGGGCGTCGCTCGGTGTACTGTTGTCCTTTCCTAATTTATCTAATTGAAGGTTGATGCGTGCGTTGGAAGGAGAAGCGTGTGGTGCTGCAGAGTCGGCCACTTGGAGCGCAGTTTCACTTTTGGTGGTACGAAAGAAAGATCCAGAGGTCGCACCTTCGTGGAGCAAGGTGTTTGCTGCTTCGTATTCATAGCTGTCTATTAGCTTAGCTCCACATAAATTGGTGACTGAGCGAAATTCTTTGTTGAGTAGAGTAACGCTTGCTGGCTGTGACGTGGACTCCTTTATCGTTTGGCTCGTCGATTCAATGAAATCAGAGACTGCCTCTGTCTCCTCAAATACTAGACAACTCTTCGTTGTAATATGCTCATGGCCTTCTGAGATAGGTTCAGTGAAAATCTTGTCTACAGATATTTGGGACAACAAAGAGGCTTCGTGGGGTTCCGACGGAAGTTGCTTAACGGACGGCTCCTTTTTTTCCTTGTCTTTGATGTTGCTAATTGCAGCGGTATTTTGGGAGTTGGCCAGAGACTCTCCTGTGGTGGTTAGAGACTGCGACATCGTCAATATTTGGCTTTGAGTGGGCTGGGTTTGGTACTGGTGCCGCTGAAACAGCTTCTTCCTCTCAAGGTCATCAATTGCAAACTTCGTGATATTGAAATGTTCACATTGGATGCTATTAATCAGGCTCAAGGCATCGTACTCTGTTTGATATAGTTTCATGAGAAGCTCGAGAAAGTGGAGCAAGTAATCAATGGTTCCCACGTTATTACGAGACATGGGTATGGTTCCCCAAGCAGCGTTGTAGATGGAAAAAGAGTGGGCCCCTGCTAGTATCTCAATGCTCTCAAGCATGTGGCCAGGGAGGGTAGAACAGAGAATGTCAGGAGACATCACCCTATCGAACAGTACGGTAAGTATTTCATTGGGAGGCTTTGTGGAGAACAGATCTTTCTGCTGATTGAGCTTATAGCCCTGGCTATCTATAAGAAGAGATATCTTGTTCTTCACCAAGGCCAGATAGATCCCTAAAAGGACATTGAGCAGCTGCATACAGGTAGAAACAATGGTGAGAGAATTAGCCTCCTCCTTAGCGTCTAGGTAAAGCACGGTGTCTACCAGATTGTTCTCTATGTCTTCGTCTTCGTCCTTGACCCCAATAACAAAATTAACGGAGTCATCGGAATGGCCATCCACTTGTTGCGCGTCCTTCTTAGACTTTATAGTTAGTAGCCCGAAATCAGCCTTATCTATTTTCTCGCTGTCTCTCTCTGCAAGTGCCTGCTTGCTTGCACGAAGCATAATGCTAAATGCTACGTATATGAGGATCTCTGGGTGGAAAATCTTTGTCTGTTGCAATCGGTCGTAAGTCTCCGGAGTGATTAAGCTGATGAGAGCGTGAACCATGGTCGGCTGGAAAAGGTTTATATTGGTGTAATATCGTAGCAGACAGCGAATGAGGATTGTAAGGTACGTGTCATTCTGTGACACTTTGTCAACAGAAATCTGCTCGTCTGCACGGTCAGGCCCTTTGATTTGAGAAATAGTCCCTACGCCAGCGGGGCGTCCAATGCCGGGGAGCATCGGTGCTTTGTTTCCAATAATGGAGCGTCCGTGGACAGCAACAGAGGCGTCCTTTCTGGGGCTAGCAGCATTGTATTGTGTATGTGCTTGATAGTACTTTTTCACTTCTACCTCGATGGACGTGTCAACAGAGTTAGATGTGATGTGGCCCAAAACACCAGAGAGTCCGAATAATAGGCCTGTGTCCTTTCCGGCTACTTCTCCATCATCTGTCCGAGGAAGTTCTGACGGAGAATCCAGCAAGGAAATGAACCTTGCGGGGTTGATTCTACTCTCCACCATAATGGTGCGCATAACATAGAGAACATCCCTATCCTTTGTCGTTATCAAAAAGGGAATCAGGCGCTTATAGAGAGACAAGTAAGCCTCGTAGAAAAGGCGGACCATGAAGGTAAAGGAAAAGTCGTCCGAAAAGAACGATATGCTGCTCTGACACTCTAATCGGAGGAACTCGTTTTCAGCCACACAGTTAGAGCAGAGCTCTATTGACGGGTAGCAGTTACAATAGGGCTTTTGGAATTGCATAAAGAGAGTTATCATGCGTTGCTTATATTCCCGCTTGATGTCTACGCCGCCATACGCCATCTGAGAATAATCAGCTTCGCCGTTGTTTTCGTCGTTTGCAAAGATTGCAGCCTGATAAGAATTGATCAGGGTCTGAAGCTCAACAAAGTCAGTGTACAGCGGGACGTAGTTGTAAAAGGGGATTGGGTTAGCCATTTTCGTCGTCAGGAAAAGCATCGCCTCTGGAGAGAAGATGTTTCTAACGGTAGTAAAGGACAACAGAAGAACGCCGTACTCCAGGGTGCTGGACTGCGAAGCCGTGTTGAGGAGGAGCATGTTGATGCTCAGACATACCATATAAACAGATGCCTGGGAGTATGCCTCTTCTGCAGTGTTGAGGTACGTTGGATCTAACACGCTGCGGAAATTAAACACGTGTGGAAACTTCATCGATGGAATGCGTAGGTTCTTTATCCGTGCAGTGGCATACACGGTACAGATGCTGGCATCCACAAACGAAATAAAGGCCGAGAGAACAGAGATCATTGCTGGAGTCTGACAGTGAACTGTCATTGTGGTGGAGCTAGGGAGCGTGGCCTGCAACGTGCCCATCTCAAAGGGCTTCTGGACATCGAGAGAGTCTGTTGACGCGGGGGTTGGTTGAACCACTTCAAAGGCATACGTTCCCAAGTATCGCATCAGCGCTCGAAGGCACTTCAGAACATCCTGGTCGTTGCTCCTGAAGAGGATGCTCTCCCCCAGATTGCCATTCAGGTTACTCAGCGCAGAGACCATCTCAGGGTTCTGATGAACATACATGAAGAAGATGGAAACTATCTTGCTCAGGAGATTCACACAACGGTCAAAGGAGATCTCTGTTTGCGGAAGAAGAAAGTGAGTTATAAAGATGTTTTCGCTATAGAGCAGAGGATCTATTCCGTTATAACGTATTTCCTTCGTCACAGTCTCACTGAAAGTGTGGGACTTCTGGCTTGTCATTACGGCTCCCTGGGGATAAATGGTCGACGAACTCGTCGGAATAGCCTCCATGCGTTTCCTAAGCAGGTCGTCTTTCTTCTTAAGTAAATCTGCAGGTGGCTCGTCCATGATACCGTCGAAGAGAATGGAATCTCGGAACTTCAGGAGACTCATTGCAGTAATTACGTTGTTTGTCAGGCTAAACAGTGAAAAGTAAAAGAAGCTCCAGTAGAGGCTTATCGCTGGCATAAGTGTTCCATCTCTGATGCAGGTCTGAAATGCTTCAAGGAAAGTTATCCAACGCTCGAAGCCTATTCTGCCAATGAGATATGCAACGTTAGAAACCGCTGGATGAACCGTCAAATCCTCGAAATTAAATGGTATCACGACAGGGATTGCGTTATGCGGAAACTCCACACCTCGTCGAAGATAGAAATGCATTTGCAGATTGATTCCAAAGAGCCGAAGAAGCATTATGAGCTCAATCTTTTGCTCTTCTGTCATGGCTCGCGCGTTCTTCTGAAGAGCTAGAACAAGCTTCTCAGTGGGTTCGTAGGTGGCTTGTATCTTTTTCTTTGTGGTGAATGATTCATAAAACAGATCATACGCTGACTCCACTACTATGACTTCTGAACGATCTGACTGCATGGTCATGGAAGTCCCCATGCGAGTTGTGTCATTTCGGTGCCGCTTATGCTTCTCCTTTGTGCAGATGATCTTTTCAAGACGCGTCTCCGCTTCGGGAGCAGCGTAGGCAACGTTCTCGATGTGATATCTAAGCGTGTCCCTCTTGCGGATCTTGTGGCCGTTCTCTATGCAGATATGAAATCCAGTATGGATGATCAACATTTCTTCTGGAACAGAAACTAGCCGTTCCTTACCAGACTGAAGGGCCAAGCTGTTGTCGGAGACGAAGGTTATAGCCCTGATGACTTCGTTTTCACTCATTGATGTGCTTTTGGAAATCTGCCGGGTCTTGCCTTTGATAAGCTGGGTAACCACCCCATATCCCAGCTCTATTTCAGGTCCCTGATTGATTTTGATAGACATAAACGTTGTTGGCCTGTCTATGGAGAGCAAGGCGGGAGTGGGGAGCACTGTTGCCAGTTGCTCTATATTCTCTTTGCTCTCCTTGAAAACACTGCTTATCTTTTCCAGTTTCAAGATATTCTGCGCGGATATTGTGTGCAGGGCGTTCAGGAGGGACTCAGGATCAAATATCTGAGTGCGCTCGAGCTTATTTAGGATGCGTTGAATCATCTCATTTATGTAGCTTGCAGGTTTTAGAGGATTAAGGTCCGCTGCATCAAGTCTAGTGTTGACATTATTGCTTTGCAGGGCGGTGAGGGACTCCTGCTGTTCTGCTCGTGGAATGTCGATGAGGGACCCATCATCCAACTTTGCAGATGCCTTGCACTCGTCGTCAGCGACTACAGTGCTGCTACGTGTGGTGGTGTCCGTTTTGGAGCTCTCCTTATAGTCGGTGTCACTATCAATGTCATCTACTGACTGGGGAGGGAGAGTGTCCCTAACCGAGGCGTGAGCAACCGGAGAGCTAGTCTCGTTGCCAAAGTAGACATTAAGCTGGTCACTAGATCCGTAGCCCTCCAGCTTAGCAATAGCCTTGTATACCTGCAAGCTCTTTGTGTTTGAGCACTCGCATACCCGAAATTGCTTGTGGACGGTATCCCGGCCGGGAAAGATGGAAAACATGACGATGTATGGACTATTGATGATTGCTGGCCAGTACCTAGTTTGCAGAATGTTGATTATGAAGGAGAAGAGCGTCTCGGATGTGAATTCGTTTTTCATCCCCTCGAGGCCAAGGGCGTAAGCGTCGTAGTCGAATTGAACTGCTTTGCAACGCCGTTCATTGACTAGCATGCAGGAGGACTTTTTAGAGAGAGGAGGCAATCTTTTCGAGTATGTAGTGTAGGATGACGTCGGGAGACAGTATCGCAGAATCATGTCTACAAGGACAAGGAAGTCGTAGTCCTGCTTGTAGCATGTAGTACAGTGGTATTGGAAGAGACTCAGCGCAGAAAGTGCGATGTTATTTTCAGGCATCACTAGCAGGTGCCGCATGGTGAAGTAGCCAACCATGATCTTGAGCTTATGGAGCGCGTAGATGCCCATTGTCGCAGAGTAGATGCAGATATGCAGAAGCTCCTGGTAGAGGCCCGATTCTAAGACCTCAAAGTCAATCACCGTCATCTCCGGCTTCTTGCATATCACTATAAACTCGTTGCCATAGACAAAGAAATCATAGACAGGCTGGACAAAGGGAGGCTGTGCATAGGCGAGAACTAGGGCTCGGAAGACAAGAAACTCTCGGTGGTCCCTCGAAATGATGGGGATCCGATACGCACAAAGGGGGACTGGACACGTTTGCGAGTATAGAGGGATCCACGTGTCATCTGTTGCACGCCTCTGGGAGAGAAAGTAGCAGTCAATGCACATAGCGTGGTGACGTCAGGAGGATAGAGGACGTCTGTTTACTTTATTGAATTGATCATGGACTAAAGCCGCACACGCTTTGCGAACTCTGTAGGCCCGTCATCGTCATCCGTGTCTTCCCTGTGGGCTAGGGCTGCTGCTATGTAAGCACTCTGCCGCTCCTGCTTCACCTTATCCTGACCTCGCCTCTTGTCCTTGACGTCGTGCTCGTCGTCATCGTCATCCCCGTAGTCTTCATCATCGGTACTACGATCAATAGCAAACGTGTCATGACGGACCTCGTAGACGATCTTCTTCCAGCGATTGACGATCTGAGCAGCCTGCTCACTGAGTTGCGCGCTTCCCGACAGCTCTGAAGGATACTTTGCCACAAAATTGACCCACCGTCCTATCTTAGAATCTCTGAAGCACGAGCTTGAAGAGTTGATACACTTACCGATGTCCCTGTCGCTAATGGACCCGATGATATTCATTAGGACGTGCGTGCTCGCTATTGGAGGGAACGGAGGTGTATCTCGAATATCCTTCAGATTCTCTACATTGATGAATGACGAGAAGAGCAGGAATCCACAGGGTCGGAGGAAAGTCACTCGGTTGGGATGGTCGGTTATCAGCTTCATGATCTCGTCGCGCATGGCCTCCAAGGCCATCCCGTTTGGATATGTCGACTCGCTCTTGAATCGGCGAAAGAAAGAATACTCTGTGTTCCGAAGCGCCTCTGCACTATCAGAAGCGATGGACGTCTTCTGTCTTATGCACATGTCTGCATACTTTTCCCACAGCTTCTCTACACCGACCTCTGGAGTTGTGATATCTTTTAGATACGCGACGAGGAAGAGACTGATTAACCGGAGGCTGAACCATAGAGTCACGCTGGCCATTTTCTCTTTGAATTCTTTGGGCCTCAGCCTCTTCTCCCGCTTCTGTTCCATAGTTGCGTTCTTTATCTTTATCGGCCCGAGGATGTCCTCGTCGTACTCGACGGCAAGGACCCTAGTAGTCACAAAGCCTTCGTCAGAGTCAGACATGGAGCTCGACATTTTATTTTTCACAAGGCTGCGGGGACGGGGTAGAAGTAGCAAGGATTGCCAAGATCGTGCGGTCTATATACGGATCTCCTCGGAGAAGGCGTAAGAAAGTGCAATTATCACAATTGATTTTGCAAGTCATAATCAATCTTTACCCGTGTCCTTGTCTGCGATCTCCGCAATGTTAACGAGTAGCTCGTAGAGCTGCCGGAAGCTTTCACGGCGCATGGCATCTGCCAGGGCAGCCTCTCGTTGGCGGTCTCCAGGCCGACTAAGGATACCCTCTATAGTTGCCCGAACCTCAGGATGGGAGACCAGATCCCTCACTCTCTTGCTTTGGCGCAGCTTGGCGCGATGGACATCTGTCAAGCGGGGCTCCTCGATGCTATTCATCCTGATTTTGATTAATTGAGGATCTATGCGAACATTCATTGATTTACAATCGTTACTAATCAATTGATTAGTCTTATCTGCAAAATAAAAATGCCAGCAGACAAGAAGTACACAAACGACTTGCAGAAAGTCATGACTGAAAGCATCCGAGTCAGCCAGCGCCACGGGCACAGCCTTGTCAATCAGTATCACATTGCTGCCGCTCTCTTCGCCGACGACGACTCTATATCGTCGAAGGCAGTGCAAAAGTGTTCAGGGGATGTCTCTGCAATTCGACGAGCCATCGAGACTGGTCTAAAGAAGACGCCCTCTGTCACTCCGGTCCCCGACACCCCGTCCCCTGCAGGAGGATATCTGGGGATAATCAATAAGATGAGCGCATACGCAGAAGAGGGACGCGATGAGTATCTTTCGACGTTTCACCTTGCAAAGGCCGCGGCACAGGACACCGATCTCGCCCGCTGTCTTCGCGAGGGCCGTGTGACATCCAACCGGTTCGTGGAGGAGATTGAGAAGATGAAGAAAGGACGCTCCATGAATTCGGAGTTCGCAGAGGATACGTGTGAAGCTCTCGAGAAATACTGCGTGGAGATGGTTGCTAAGGCTGAGGAAGGCAAGTATGACCCGCTCATTGCCCGCGATAATGAGCTTCGGCGCATCGTCGAGATTCTAAGTAGGAGGACAAAGAACAACCCCGTGTTAACAGGCCCTGCTGGCGTGGGAAAGACGGCTATCCTCGAAGGCCTTGCTCAACGTATTGTTCGCGCAGATGTTCCGCAGAACATCAGAAACGCTCGCATATATGCTCTTGATCTAGGGGCGCTTATTGCAGGGGCGCAGTATCGTGGGCAATTCGAGGAGCGCCTTAAGGCTATTTTAGACGAGCTCAAGAAGTCAGAAGGAAACTCCATCCTCTTCATCGATGAGATCCACACGCTGATTGGAGCGGGTGGTTCTAAGGGGACCTCTGATGCGGCAAACCTACTGAAGCCTGCACTTGCCCGCGGAGAGATACGATGCATCGGGGCAACAACTACTGAAGAGTACAGGAACCACATTGCAAGCGACCGTGCCTTTGAGCGTCGGTTTGCTGAAGTCTTCGTCGCCGAGCCCAACGTGGAAGATACAATTTCCATCTTGCGGGGCCTTTCAGGGCGATACCAATCTCACCACCAAATCCGAATCACGGACGGGGCACTTGTGGCTGCTGCCCAACTTGCTAACAGATATGTGCGAGCCATGGGGCGTCACAACCCAGACGCAGCAATAGATCTTCTGGATGAGGCGGGCGCATCTGTACGTGTGACTCTGGATTCGCAGCCGGCACAGCTTGATGCCCTCAATAGAAAGAAGCTACGCCTCCAAATCGAGGAGGAGGCGCTTCGGCGTGAAAGCGAGGCACGCAACGCAGACTCCAGCATATCAAAGCGTCTTGCCGATATAATAAAGGAGATTTCCAATATCGACATGCAAATTAAGCCATTGGAGGAGCAGTACAACAGAGAGCGCTCCAGCATAGATAAGATCAGCAACATCAAGGCTCGGATTACTGCCCTTGAAGACAAGCTTGAGGTCTACACAACCCGCGGAGAAGTCTCGAAAGCAGCAGATCTACAGTACGGGGCCATTCCTGAGTTACGTGATGAGCTTCGGCGTCTCGAGAAGGAGCAGGAGGCCGCAAGCTATGCACACCACGACGAGAAGGCGATGCTCTCGGCTGTCGTCACAGAGATGGAGGTTGCGAATGTCGTTTCCAAGTGGACTGGGATTCCAGTCAACAAGCTGACGCGCACAGACCGCGAGAAGCTTTTGAGCCTTGAGCAGACGATCTCATCGAAGGTGATCGGCCAGGAACCTGCAGTGAAGGCTGTCTGTAGCTCTATTCTACGTGCTCGTGCAGGGCTTTCGCGTCCCACGCAACCTTTGGGGAGCTTCTTGTTTTTGGGCTCCTCCGGTGTAGGGAAAACGTACCTTGCAAAGACCATCGCAGAAGAGTTATATGACTCTGTAGACTCGATGATCCACATAGATATGTCTGAGTATACGGAGCAACACAGCGTTAGTCGGCTGATAGGTGCACCTCCAGGATATGTCGGCTACGAGCAAGCGGGGCAGCTGACAGAGGCGGTGAGTCGCAAGAGGTATGCAGTTGTTCTCTTTGACGAGATAGAAAAGGCCCATCCGAAGATACTTACGATTCTCTTACAGATTCTTGACGAGGGCCGGCTAACAGATGGAAAGGGGAACTGCGTGGACTTCACAAATACGGTAATCATGTTGACGAGTAACCTAGGTAGCCGTGAGCTCCTACAGTGCTACCACAGCAATGTCTCTGCCAGCCAAGCAAAGCAGGCAAAGGAACACGTCATTGGAGTTGTTCGAAGCACGCTGCCTCCAGAGCTCATCAACCGCCTCGATGATCTCATAGTCTTCAACCCGCTTACAAAAGATGCCCTTGTTAAGATCTTTCGCAGTCTTTGCGGGCAGCTTGAAGAGCGTCTTCAACATGAATCAGGGCTTCGCCTCCGAGTGGACGATGCTGTGGCCGACATTGCTCTCCGCGACAGCGATATGGTCTATGGAGCCCGGCCTCTGAGGCGCTTTATCGAGAGAGAGATTACCACCGCAGTCGCCCGAAAGTTGATCGAGGTCCCGTCAGATGCTCGTTCCAATCGCGAAAAGCGTCGCTGTGTGCACGTTTCTGCCAAGGATGACGGGATATTTGTGACCATCGTCTAGTAAATTAAAAAATGGATCCGGAACGCTATCGCGACGTTACTCTCCTTGGCCAGGGGGCGTTCGGGAGTGTTCACCGGGCGACCAGGGTGCAGGACAATGTGGTCGTTGCTGTGAAGGAGATTGACCTCAACCGAGTGTCTGCGGAGTTTCATAGCACCTTTGAGCGGGAATACCAGATTGGCAAAAGCCTGATTCACAAGAACATCCTTCGCTACCTTGCGTTGCACCAGAGAGGCGATAACGTGCTTCTTATCGAGATGGAGCTGTGTCCGGACGGCTCTCTCGACGATATGATTAAAGAGGCATCACGAGGGAACGAACTGGTAGCCGAGGATACAATCTGGGAAACAGTTGTCCAACTTTGCGATGGACTCGAGTACCTCCATGATAACTCTAATAAGTCGTGTGGCAAGATCATCCATCGGGATCTTAAGCCGGACAATATAATGTACTCGGGCGCAACTCTGAAGATCGGTGATCTGGGCTTGGCGCGCATGATTGAGAAGAATTCGAAGATGACGGTGTACGTCGGCACTCCGCAGTACATGGCGCCAGAGGTAGCCCGCGGACTGGAGTATGACACCTTCGCAGATATCTGGTCCGTTGGGTGCATTATATATGAGATGTGTTGTCTCCGGCGTCCGCCGTGGGACGCAAAGACCCTTGAAGGCGATCCGTCTGTCGACATTCCAGAGGAATACTCAAACGATCTCAAGGAGCTGATTAGAAACTGCCTTCGGTTTACTCCATCTTCCCGCATTGGACTAGCGTCCATCAGTACCAATGGACGAGTGCATAGGGCGCGCGATCGTATAAACAAAAAGACCGACGACTTTCTCGTTGCCGTGCGAGAGAAGAACGTCAAGCACATAAATGGGAACATTGATGTTCTGCAGCTGTGTGCCAAAGAGGCGGTCGAAATTGCCAGGAGGGATAAGCTGTTTGATGTAATGCAGATCTTGGTCCCACAGCTGTACCAAAAGAATATTCTCATCACTCTGGATCCAATCGAGACGACGCAGACAGACAAGCCCACCGCACTAATGACTATGGTTCAGAACAACAAGTGGAAGGCGCCGAAGGCGCAGGAATACAAGGCAAGCCTTCAAAAGAACTACTCTGTATTGCTTACACTTGAGGACGACAATCCTGGCACTCCACGTTATGTCCTGGGCACAACAGCACTTATGGTTGCAGCGCATTACAACAACGTGGAAGCAGTGAAGAATCTTCTAGCAGAGGTCGGGGCACGTGACAGTCAGGGCTTTACAGCCCTAATGTACGCGGCGCGCAGGGGCCACACGCAGGCTGTTTCTCTTTTGCTGATCGAGGCCGGAGCCACGAATAACTTTGGACACACAGCCCTGATGCTCGCTGCTTGGCACGGCCACAAAGACTGCGTCAAGGTTCTCTATGAACTGGAGGAGGGTATCAGTGATCACAATGGCTATAAGGTCATTAGTTACGCTGAAAATCCAATGCCATCCATCCCGTCTGAAGTGCAGAAGGACATAGTCGAGATTATTTCTAGTCACAAGTAACATTTACAAAACACGACCAATCATCTGCGTCGCCTTCCCTTTGTGTGAATTCGTGAAACAGCAGAGACCTCCGTTCTATCTGTGACTGCTCCCTGATGGGTGGCCTTTCCTTTCTGAGCTTTTCCGTGGGCGTTTCGCATGGCCCGCGGCTGCCACTTCTCCGGTAGCGGCTTAGGCTCTCGCTTGCGAACAGGTAGGTCTGGCAAGTACGCGTTATTATATTCATTACTATATGCTTCTAGGGAAAGCTCTTTTCCCTGCTGCTCGTAATCGCTGGTACGCGCTTCATTGTGCCGAACTAGCCTGAGAAAGGCCTCACGCTGAAGAACGCGAAGACAGTCTAAGATCTCATCAGCCCCCTCTGCACATTTGCCGGCTTCTTGATTGCTCGCAGTGTATGCTTGTAAGGTGCTAGTCATGACGTCATACGCAACCCGAAGAAATCCCAGTTCGAGCAGTGCATTACAAAGGCCAGACGCTGAGCCCTTGTTGAACAGCAGCGAGTGATCGAATGCCGGCAAACTGGAGGCACCGCTTGTGTCCCTGAACCGCCGCCGGATGGACACCCGTTGCTGCCTCGTCGACTCTTCACCGGTATAAGGGAGAATGGCTGACCGAGCGATCCACAAGAGCAGCCAGGTCGCAAAGGCAAAGTGTCCACCGGGCCCCTCTGTCAGGCGATCGAGGTAGGCAGGCTTGTCCTCTGTCTCCTGTGGGGGCCTGAGAGTTGCATGCTCCGAGGACAAGTGTAATACTGCATAGAGGAAGTCGGTGAACTCGGAAGTATTGGGCTCTTCGTCAATATACGCCTCCCGCACGTAGACAAGGTGCTTGTGAAGAGCTGCATGGCCGGTCAGGAGGTGGGATACTTGCGTGTCTGTAGAGGCTACTGGCCTGGATTGCTTATTATTGCGTCTCCGTTGGCCTTCAGATGTGTTTGGAGTCTCGTGCAGGGACTGATTCTGTTGACGGGCCCCAAAGTTCAGATCCCGCACGATGATCATGCTCTTGTAAGCCATACGAAGGCCGGTGTAGGGGTCCTTTGGGTCTATGAACGGTATGCCATAAGACTCCGCCAGTCCAATCTCCTTCTTCGACGGATGAAAGTCTTTGAGAGGTTTGATTCTGCGGAGCAAGGGCAAGAGCTCCGTGTCCTGGAGATCGTGGCCTGCGTATATTCTGGCAAAACACTTGAGTAAGCCAACACGGCACCGAGTGGCGTCGAGAATAGACTCGGCATGGGACTGCTGCTCTCCTAGAGCCTCTACAAGCGTGCACTTTACACGAGCCACGTGCCGCTCCAGTGAATCCGCCGCTTTGTTTGCTGCAGCCAAGGCCTCCTCAAAGGAAAGTCTGGAGAGATGGTAGAGTGCACGGTTGTAGTTAAACTGATAAAGGCGTTTGTAGTCACTGTTAGACTCCAATGCGGCACAAGTGGTTCGCTCGGCTTCCTGAAGGCTCGAGGGGTCTAGAGCCACTGTGCACTGAGAAGCCGCAGCATAGAGGTCAAGTGGGCTGCCCAAGGCGTGAGATAGATCCTCGGATCCGCGCCTGAAGAGCTTCATATTCAAGCAAATCTGACCCTTAAGAGCGCTGTAGGCCGGAAGCTGACCTGGGTGTTCAAGAAACCACGAAGCGTCTCTTCCTTCCACAAAGTCAAGATAGGCTCTTTCGAAGGGTAACGCGCGTGCTATGTTCGGTTGCAATTTCACAAATGCTGCGAGCTGCTGAATGTCTCTATCCTTGATTGCACAGTAGCAGACGGCCCGTCCGGCGCGATACTTCAGTTCCCCACCAACAAGGTCCCAGGCTATCGCGCGAGCACGTGAAGTGTCGCTTGCCTCGAGCGCTGCGATAACATCTTGCATACTATTTTTTATCGCCATCCGTGTATTGTTGGGCCCCTGTCTACCAGGACGGCAGACCAAGTAGAGGAGCACTACTCCTAGACTGCAAGGACCTGCGAGAAGGTCTGAGCCTTGAAGCGGCCGACATGCACACCCGGACGGAGCAGACACCGCAAGGAACGGCCGAGGAATGTACCAGACTGTGGATGCACCAATAGAGAGGAGCCCCTAGTATGTAACCTACAACCAATCCTCGTCTCTGCACTGGCCAGGAACTGGTCGAGGCTTACTTGTGGGATTTCCAAGCGCATCTACAGGCAGGGCCCCAGCACAGTATAATATGCTTTATACAGTGACGCGTTTACTATCTAAGTACACAGCTAAGTCTACGCCTTTCCTCTACAGAGGAACCACCAGCAGAGGAAGCCCACAAGACCCCCGACTACAACGATGACTGCGACGGAGATACCAGCTATGGCCCCTGTGCTGAGGCCGCTCTTGTTCGTGCTTCCACCAGTGCCTACTTCTGATTCTAAGCATATGACTGAACTACCAGATGATGACACACATTGCTTGCATCCAGAGATCTTCTCTGAGCACTTCATGCACGGGCCATCAGTGGTATCGTCACCGTTTTCCTTGTAATACCCAGTGGCACAGGTCTTACACGAGCTTGCAGTACTGGGAGCACTGCACGTAGCACAAGTAGGATGACATTCTGCACAGTTGCCATCAGTTGCTGCTAAGCCATTGGCACATGTCTGACACTTACCATTGCCTCCCTGTGCATTACTACACACCTGCTTACCAGGCTGTCTATCTGTCTGATAGCAACCGCCGTCCTTGAGGAAGTAGTTATCTTCACATTGAGTGCACACCCCATTACCCATTTTAGTACAGAAAGTTGCTCGTGAACTGGCCGCACAGTCGCCGTTCAAGGGGGCCTGAGTGGAGGTCTTGCACTTTGAGCAGTATGCAGTTCCTCCTATCTGAGCCCCGCATGTCTCACAGCCAGTGCCATCTGCAGACACCTTGCACGCATCCCCGCAGGTGCCTCCGTTATTAGGATTGCTGTCATCTGTATATGTCAGTTTCTTGCCAGCAGGACAGGAACTACACTGATTGTTGGCCGGCCCAACGCACTCAGCGCACTCAGGGCTGCATGCCTTACACTTCTTGTCATTATCTCCGTAGTATCCGCTGATGGTCGTGCAGTCAGGTACGCATTGGTTTGTAGGGGTGAGGTAGTCGCCGTCATTACATTCAGTGCAGACCTCGTTGTCTGTTTTGGGGTTATCACAGATCTTACAGTTGGGAGTATTACACTGTGTGTTAGAGGCCTTCTCGCAGCCGTCCTTCCCGCTGTTCAGGTTGAATCCCTCGTTGCACTCGCAGATGTCCGGGTTGGCCGCAGAGTTCGACGGGCAGCTGTCTCCGCAGCTTATTCCATTGAGTTGCACCTTCTGGCCGCCGTTACAGGTGAGGCACGTCTGGCCGTTGGGGCCCACAGCAGTGCAGGTCGCACAGCCGGCGCGCTTCAGCTCTTCTCCGCAGTCTGTGTTAGAGGCCTTCTCGCAGCCGTCCTTCCCGCTGTTCAGGTTGAATCCCTCGTTGCACTCGCAGATGTCCGGGTTGGCCGCAGAGTTCGACGGGCAGCTGTCTCCGCAGCTTATTCCATTGAGTTGCACCTTCTGGCCGCCGTTACAGGTGAGGCACGTCTGGCCGTTGGGGCCCACAGCAGTGCAGGTCGCACAGCCGGCGCGCTTCAGCTCTTCTCCGCAGTCTGTGTTAGAGGCCTTCTCGCAGCCGTCCTTCCCGCTGTTCAGGTTGAATCCCTCGTTGCACTCGCAGATGTCCGGGTTGGCCGCAGAGTTCGACGGGCAGCTGTCTCCGCAGCTTATTCCATTGAGTTGCACCTTCTGGCCGCCGTTACAGGTGAGGCACGTCTGGCCGTTGGGGCCCACAGCAGTGCAGGTCGCACAGCCGGCGCGCTTCAGCTCTTCTCCGCAGTCTGTGTTAGAGGCCTTCTCGCAGCCGTCCTTCCCGCTGTTCAGGTTGAATCCCTCGTTGCACTCGCAGATGTCCGGGTTGGCCGCAGAGTTCGACGGGCAGCTGTCTCCGCAGCTTATTCCATTGAGTTGCACCTTCTGGCCGCCGTTACAGGTGAGGCACGTCTGGCCGTTGGGGCCCACAGCAGTGCAGGTCGCACAGCCGGCGCGCTTCAGCTCTTCTCCGCAGTCTGTGTTAGAGGCCTTCTCGCAGCCGTCCTTCCCGCTGTTCAGGTTGAATCCCTCGTTGCACTCGCAGATGTCCGGGTTGGCCGCAGAGTTCGACGGGCAGCTGTCTCCGCAGCTTATTCCATTGAGTTGCACCTTCTGGCCGCCGTTACAGGTGAGGCACGTCTGGCCGTTGGGGCCCACAGCAGTGCAGGTCGCACAGCCGGCGCGCTTCAGCTCTTCTCCGCAGTCTGTGTTAGAGGCCTTCTCGCAGCCGTCCTTCCCGCTGTTCAGGTTGAATCCCTCGTTGCACTCGCAGATGTCCGGGTTGGCCGCAGAGTTCGACGGGCAGCTGTCTCCGCAGCTTATTCCATTGAGTTGCACCTTCTGGCCGCCGTTACAGGTGAGGCACGTCTGGCCGTTGGGGCCCACAGCAGTGCAGGTCGCACAGCCGGCGCGCTTCAGCTCTTCTCCGCAGTCTGTGTTAGAGGCCTTCTCGCAGCCGTCCTTCCCGCTGTTCAGGTTGAATCCCTCGTTGCACTCGCAGATGTCCGGGTTGGCCGCAGAGTTCGACGGGCAGCTGTCTCCGCAGCTTATTCCATTGAGTTGCACCTTCTGGCCGCCGTTACAGGTGAGGCACGTCTGGCCGTTGGGGCCCACAGCAGTGCAGGTCGCACAGCCGGCGCGCTTCAGCTCTTCTCCGCAGTCTGTGTTAGAGGCCTTCTCGCAGCCGTCCTTCCCGCTGTTCAGGTTGAATCCCTCGTTGCACTCGCAGATGTCCGGGTTGGCCGCAGAGTTCGACGGGCAGCTGTCTCCGCAGCTTATTCCATTGAGTTGCACCTTCTGGCCGCCGTTACAGGTGAGGCACGTCTGGCCGTTGGGGCCCACAGCAGTGCAGGTCGCACAGCCGGCGCGCTTCAGCTCTTCTCCGCAGTCTGTGTTAGAGGCCTTCTCGCAGCCGTCCTTCCCGCTGTTCAGGTTGAATCCCTCGTTGCACTCGCAGATGTCCGGGTTGGCCGCAGAGTTCGACGGGCAGCTGTCTCCGCAGCTTATTCCATTGAGTTGCACCTTCTGGCCGCCGTTACAGGTGAGGCACGTCTGGCCGTTGGGGCCCACAGCAGTGCAGGTCGCACAGCCGGCGCGCTTCAGCTCTTCTCCGCAGTCTGTGTTAGAGGCCTTCTCGCAGCCGTCCTTCCCGCTGTTCAGGTTGAATCCCTCGTTGCACTCGCAGATGTCCGGGTTGGCCGCAGAGTTCGACGGGCAGCTGTCTCCGCAGCTTATTCCATTGAGTTGCACCTTCTGGCCGCCGTTACAGGTGAGGCACGTCTGGCCGTTGGGGCCCACAGCAGTGCAGGTCGCACAGCCGGCGCGCTTCAGCTCTTCTCCGCAGTCTGTGTTAGAGGCCTTCTCGCAGCCGTCCTTCCCGCTGTTCAGGTTGAATCCCTCGTTGCACTCGCAGATGTCCGGGTTGGCCGCAGAGTTCGACGGGCAGCTGTCTCCGCAGCTTATTCCATTGAGTTGCACCTTCTGGCCGCCGTTACAGGTGAGGCACGTCTGGCCGTTGGGGCCCACAGCAGTGCAGGTCGCACAGCCGGCGCGCTTCAGCTCTTCTCCGCAGTCTGTGTTAGAGGCCTTCTCGCAGCCGTCCTTCCCGCTGTTCAGGTTGAATCCCTCGTTGCACTCGCAGATGTCCGGGTTGGCCGCAGAGTTCGACGGGCAGCTGTCTCCGCAGCTTATTCCATTGAGTTGCACCTTCTGGCCGCCGTTACAGGTGAGGCACGTCTGGCCGTTGGGGCCCACAGCAGTGCAGGTCGCACAGCCGGCGCGCTTCAGCTCTTCTCCGCAGTCTGTGTTAGAGGCCTTCTCGCAGCCGTCCTTCCCGCTGTTCAGGTTGAATCCCTCGTTGCACTCGCAGATGTCCGGGTTGGCCGCAGAGTTCGACGGGCAGCTGTCTCCGCAGCTTATTCCATTGAGTTGCACCTTCTGGCCGCCGTTACAGGTGAGGCACGTCTGGCCGTTGGGGCCCACAGCAGTGCAGGTCGCACAGCCGGCGCGCTTCAGCTCTTCTCCGCAGTCTGTGTTAGAGGCCTTCTCGCAGCCGTCCTTCCCGCTGTTCAGGTTGAATCCCTCGTTGCACTCGCAGATGTCCGGGTTGGCCGCAGAGTTCGACGGGCAGCTGTCTCCGCAGCTTATTCCATTGAGTTGCACCTTCTGGCCGCCGTTACAGGTGAGGCACGTCTGGCCGTTGGGGCCCACAGCAGTGCAGGTCGCACAGCCGGCGCGCTTCAGCTCTTCTCCGCAGTCTGTGTTAGAGGCCTTCTCGCAGCCGTCCTTCCCGCTGTTCAGGTTGAATCCCTCGTTGCACTCGCAGATGTCCGGGTTGGCCGCAGAGTTCGACGGGCAGCTGTCTCCGCAGCTTATTCCATTGAGTTGCACCTTCTGGCCGCCGTTACAGGTGAGGCACGTCTGGCCGTTGGGGCCCACAGCAGTGCAGGTCGCACAGCCGGCGCGCTTCAGCTCTTCTCCGCAGTCTGTGTTAGAGGCCTTCTCGCAGCCGTCCTTCCCGCTGTTCAGGTTGAATCCCTCGTTGCACTCGCAGATGTCCGGGTTGGCCGCAGAGTTCGACGGGCAGCTGTCTCCGCAGCTTATTCCATTGAGTTGCACCTTCTGGCCGCCGTTACAGGTGAGGCACGTCTGGCCGTTGGGGCCCACAGCAGTGCAGGTCGCACAGCCGGCGCGCTTCAGCTCTTCTCCGCAGTCTGTGTTAGAGGCCTTCTCGCAGCCGTCCTTCCCGCTGTTCAGGTTGAATCCCTCGTTGCACTCGCAGATGTCCGGGTTGGCCGCAGAGTTCGACGGGCAGCTGTCTCCGCAGCTTATTCCATTGAGTTGCACCTTCTGGCCGCCGTTACAGGTGAGGCACGTCTGGCCGTTGGGGCCCACAGCAGTGCAGGTCGCACAGCCGGCGCGCTTCAGCTCTTCTCCGCAGTCTGTGTTAGAGGCCTTCTCGCAGCCGTCCTTCCCGCTGTTCAGGTTGAATCCCTCGTTGCACTCGCAGATGTCCGGGTTGGCCGCAGAGTTCGACGGGCAGCTGTCTCCGCAGCTTATTCCATTGAGTTGCACCTTCTGGCCGCCGTTACAGGTGAGGCACGTCTGGCCGTTGGGGCCCACAGCAGTGCAGGTCGCACAGCCGGCGCGCTTCAGCTCTTCTCCGCAGTCTGTGTTAGAGGCCTTCTCGCAGCCGTCCTTCCCGCTGTTCAGGTTGAATCCCTCGTTGCACTCGCAGATGTCCGGGTTGGCCGCAGAGTTCGACGGGCAGCTGTCTCCGCAGCTTATTCCATTGAGTTGCACCTTCTGGCCGCCGTTACAGGTGAGGCACGTCTGGCCGTTGGGGCCCACAGCAGTGCAGGTCGCACAGCCGGCGCGCTTCAGCTCTTCTCCGCAGTCTGTGTTAGAGGCCTTCTCGCAGCCGTCCTTCCCGCTGTTCAGGTTGAATCCCTCGTTGCACTCGCAGATGTCCGGGTTGGCCGCAGAGTTCGACGGGCAGCTGTCTCCGCAGCTTATTCCATTGAGTTGCACCTTCTGGCCGCCGTTACAGGTGAGGCACGTCTGGCCGTTGGGGCCCACAGCAGTGCAGGTCGCACAGCCGGCGCGCTTCAGCTCTTCTCCGCAGTCTGTGTTAGAGGCCTTCTCGCAGCCGTCCTTCCCGCTGTTCAGGTTGAATCCCTCGTTGCACTCGCAGATGTCCGGGTTGGCCGCAGAGTTCGACGGGCAGCTGTCTCCGCAGCTTATTCCATTGAGTTGCACCTTCTGGCCGCCGTTACAGGTGAGGCACGTCTGGCCGTTGGGGCCCACAGCAGTGCAGGTCGCACAGCCGGCGCGCTTCAGCTCTTCTCCGCAGTCTGTGTTAGAGGCCTTCTCGCAGCCGTCCTTCCCGCTGTCCTTTGCAAGCACTGTTGCACAAACTAGGAGAAATCCTACCAACATTAGCGAGAGTACACGTGCCACTGCTCTTCTGTCAGACTGGTGTGTTGCCGCGAGCAGTGAGAGACAGCCGCTCTTACTCCCTTAACCAGTTGGACTGGAGAAGGACGAGATAGGAGTACGCCCACCGGAGGCCAGCTGATAGTGTAGTTTTCCCTGACTTCAGTAGGAACAGGACCGGTGAGGGCCAGACTCAGATCGCACCTCTCTTGTGGAGTGATTGTTCGGGGTGCACTCCTGTACATTGCTGTGGGGTATTTGTTGGCTTCCTCTGCGGGGGCTGGTGTCTCGGTAGTAAACGCACCGAAGAGTCCTGCTCGTGACTTTCTGGGCACCGATTGCGAGGGAGCCCCTGGTGCGTGATGGGTTCTAGGAATATGGTGAGCACGGGTGATCCTGTAGGGCATGCAGCCTCAGAAGAGAGCACCGACAGGCCAGCGCTGGAGGGGCACTAGACCCTGCATGGCCCGCGTGGATGAGTGGCGGAGGAGGGCAGAGGACGCGGGCGAGTGCTGCTAGATGGCCGTGCACACGTGGAATGGCCATGACTGCACAGTTGGGGGAGCTGGTGCAGAGTACTAGTAATGCGTGATAGTCGCGAACGGGCCAGGACAGACAGGGACGCCATGCCAGCGCATGCAAGGGCGCTCCACAGTGTACGGGACGACGTGTCTGCTGTCATGGACACAGGCTCGGGAAGTGAGGCTGGCAGAGACCTGCGCTTTCTTGTAGCCTCTGAGGGTGCGGCCCAATCACTCGTTCAATCCGATCGCTTGGTCTTATTTTTGGAAACAAACTTCATGGCCGGCGGCAGCAACCACGCAGCCAGCCCCCCAGCGGTGGCCCCCAGCGTCCCACACTTTGTCATTGAGGAGCTCCACGAGTTGCTGGATGGCGTGCTGGGCAGAGGAGTTACAGGTGTAGTCTACGCCCTCAGGGGCTATCCGAGTCTCGCTGTGCAGGAGATCCTCCTCGACGGCCTGGGCAAGAGCAACGTGGACGCCATCAGACTCGAGTTGGCCACCCTCCCCGACCTCTCCCACCCGGGGATCCTCAAGTATCATCAAGTAGTCGAGGATGAGGGCCTCATCTACGTCGTCACGGACCGCCACGACAAGACACTCGAGCAAGTGTTTATCGACTGCAAGCGGAGGAAGACCCCCGTCTCTCCCGAGCTGGTCCTCTCCGTCCTGAGGCAGCTCGCCGCCGCCCTCGCCTATCTTCATGGTCTCAGCGGGGTAGGTGCTAATGGGCTTGTCCACCGCAACCTCAGGCCTGCCAGCATCCTCGTCAGCGCAGATGGTGAACACTTCGTCATTGCTGATTTCGGCCTCTGCAGGGACGCCCTGTGGAGTGAGAGCACTCTCATGGGAATAATGGCATACATGGCCCCCGAGGTGCTCCTCCGTAATGAGACCAGCCCCGCCTCCGATATGTGGAGCCTCGGGGTCATCATTTATGAGCTTACTACTCTGAGGAGACCGGACTTCCTAGAAGGTAAAGACCCAAAAGACGTCTTCGTCGACGGGTGGACACCGGACCTGAGCGGTGTCGCCGATGGCTTTATGAAGAGTGTTCTGGAGAGGATATTCGTGCTGGAGCCAAAGGAAAGACTGACAACTGAGGAGCTGTGCAAGATGCTCACTGCGATTGACGTCCCAGTTGGTGAGCTGGGGGGTCAGTGCGTGATGCTGAAGTACGAATGCGGCTCCCTGAAGACTGCTCTGAACAGTGCTAATGCTAGGATTGCTATTCTTGAGGCGGCCCTCGACGCCAGGTCTGCTGAGACTGCCTCTCTCAAAGACATTCTCGAGACGAAGGCTGCCAAGATCGATGCTCTGGAACAGGAGCTCACAGCTAAGTCCGCTAGGATCGACGCGCTCGAGAACCAGGGTAAAGAGCATCTGGCCACGATGAGAGCGCTAGAGGCCAAGGTCATGCAACTTAGTGACAGGATGGATGCAGCCGACCCCCGCAGTTTTCTCCTGCTTCCCAAGCTGATACGCGCTGCGCACACGAATAACACAGAGACCGTCCGGGTGCTACTTGAAGAAAGAGTCTGCACCGGCCAGCGTGACAAGCAGGGGATGACGGCCTTCATGCACGCGGCCCAGCAGGGACACGGTAGGCCTGTTGAGCTGCTTGTTGAGAAGGAGAAGGGTCTCAAGGATAAAAACGGCTGGACCGCGCTCATGCACGCTGCACACAACGGCCATCCCGAGATAGTTAAGATCATCGCCCCTCACGAGCATGGTCTTCAAGACTTACATGGCCACACTGCTCTGATGATCGCCGCACAGCAGGGGAGCCTTGAAGTGGTAAAGCTCCTTCTTGATCATGAGAAGGGGCTGAGGGACAAGCAACATCACAACGCCCTATACCATGCTCTCGAGAATGGGCACTTAGGGGTTGCCGAGATGATCATCCCCTACGAGGACCCAACCGATGGGAACGGCGTCACGGCACTTATGAGAGCCGCAGCCAGAGGAGACACTGAAATGGTAAGGCTGCTTATACCAGTCCAGAAAGGAATGAAAGACAAGGACGGTAACACAGCCTTCATGCACGCCCTCAAGAACAAGCACATAGACACGGGGGTGGTGCTCGGCAAACATGAAGACTCATCCTGGACCCCGCTCATGCACGCTGCTGCGGACGGAGGCATCGAGGCGGTCAAGAAGCACCTCTCAGACAAGGACAAGAAGAACAACACCGGTGAGACTGCGCTGATGATTGCTGCCAGAGCGAGGCACAGGAACATAGTAGAGCTCCTCGATCCCACAGATGAGAAGGGCGTCACTGCCCTCATGCGAGCTGCCGATAGAAACGACCCAGCAGCTGTGAAGGCACTTGCTCCCCTTCAGACAGGGCAGAAAACGACGGGGAATGTCAGGATAGGCAAGCTGAGTATGCACGGTGGAACGGCGCTGATGAGGGCAGTAGCATATGGCCACGCGAAGATAGTGGAAATACTCCTAGAGGAAGAGGCAGGCATGCAGGATATTTTTGGACGGACAGCCCTCATGCTTGCAGCAGAGAGCAACAATTCAGATTGTGTTAGACTACTAGTAAAGAAGGAGGGCGGGATGCAGACAAGTTATGGTTCGACAGCCCTTACGATAGCAGCACAGCGTGGCCACCTAGAGTGTGTCAAGCTACTATTAGAGAAGGAGGGCGGGATGCAGAATGAGGATGGCGAAACAGCCCTCATGATAGCAGCAGAGGGAAGCCATGCAGACTGTGTTAAGCTCCTACTAGAAAAGGAAGGAAGTATGAGAGATAACAATGGACAAACAGCTCTTGTGACTGCAGCAGAGAAAGGTCACACAAAGATAGTGGAAATACTCCTGGAGAAGGAGGGAGGCCTGAGGGATAATGGTGGATGGACAGCCCTCATGAGTGCAGCAGCGAATGGCCACGCAGAGATAGTGGAGCTTCTCTTAGAGAAAGAGGGGGGCATGAGAGATAGGAATGGTAAGACGGCCCTTATGATAGCAGCAGAGAAGGGTCACCCAGAGTGCATTAAGCTTCTGCTGGAGAAGGAGGGTGGCATGAAAAAGAATGATTTCTTTAGTAATGGTGGGACAGCCCTCATGTGTGCAGCACGTAACGGCCGCCCAGAATGTGTCAGACTATTATTAGATAAGGAGGGAGGAATGAAAGGTAGTAACGGTGGGACCGCCCTTATGATAGCAGCGCAGAACGGCCACTCAGATTGCGTCGAAATATTATTAGAGAAGGAGGGCGGCATGCAAGAAGGTGGTTTCTTTAGTAACGGATGGACCGCCCTCATGTGGGCAGTCTCCTGCAGCCAGATAGAGTGCGCGAGACTCCTTGCAGAGAAGGAGAAGAACATAAACAGGAGGAAACTCTTGGAGATAGTCAACCGGAGAGGCAGTAACGAGATGATGGCCCTCCTCTCAGAATAGTCAGAGTAAACAGCATCATCTCTACTAGCCTCCACGCCTCACAGCCCCGCCACGCAGCAGGACTCCGGGGTCAGCAGCCTCTAGCGCGGGAGCGAACGCGGCTCAGGGAAGTCGGCAAGCCGGCTCCGTAACCTCGGGAAAAGGAGTGGCTCTGACGGCGCGCCGGGTCAGAACTGGAACGGACGCGGGGATCCCGACTGTTTACTAGAAACACAGCGTCGCGAGGGCCGCACCCGGCGCTGGCGCGACGTGATTTCTGCCCAGTGCCACGACCGTCACCGTGAAGCGATCCGCCGAAGCCCTGGTAAACGGCGGGAGTAACTATGACTCTCTTAAGGTAGCCAAATGCCTCGTCGGGCAATTTCCGACGTGCATGAATGGACCAACGAGGATCCCACTGTCCCGAGCCGCGCCTCCGCGAGCCTCCAGCCTCGGGAACGGGCGAGGGCCGGCCAGCGGGGCAAGAAGACCCTTTTGAGCTTGACTCCAGCCCGGGCCTGTGGGGCGGGGCGGCCGGCGCAGCGCACAGGGGAGGCCGCGCCCCTGAGACACCCTGACGGCCGCCGCCGCCCCGCTCACCCGGTCGCGCGGGGACCCGCCCGGGCGGGGAGTTCGGCTGGGGCGGCGCGCCTGCTACACCGGACCGCAGGCGTCCCACGGCGGGCTCAGCGAGGACGGAGACCTCCCGCGGAGCAGAAGGGCACAAGCCCGCCCGACCCGCGCCCCCCGTGCCGGCGCGGGCCGCGAAAGCGGGGCCTACCGATCCTTCGCCGCCCCGGCCGCGGGCGCGGAGGTGGCAGAAAAGTTACCACAGGGATAACTGGCTTGTGGCCGCCGAGCGCCCGCAGCGACGCGGCTTTTTGATCCTTCGATGTCGGCTCTTCCTACCGTCCGCGCGCACCGGCGCGGAAGCGTCGGATTGTTCACCCGTTCAAGGGATCGTGAGCTGGGTTTAGACCGTCGTGAGACAGGTTAGTTTTACCCTACTGGCCCCGGGGCCAGAGCACGGCGGGCCAGTACGAGAGGAACGCCCGCCGCGGGCCGCCAGCCCCGCGGTTGCCCGGCCGGGCAGCGCCGCGCCGCCGCGCCCGGGGGCCCTGCGCTGACCGCCTCTAAGCGCGCACCCCGCCTCGCGCCCCGCCCGGCCGCGCGCCCCAGCCCCGTGCCCCGTCGCCGAGCGGCCCCCGCCCGGGGAGACCACCCGGCGCGGCGCTCCTGTACGGCGCAGAGCCCTGCGATCGCCTGAGGGACGCGCCTGCAGAGCGCGGGGCGGGGCGCGCGGCCCACTTGCTCTGGGGGGGTGCGGGGCAGACAGACAGGCAGAGCGCGGAAAGAGAAGATTGAGGGAGTGCAGGGTGCCCCAAGGGGTGGCCAGGGGGCAGTGCACGCCCACCACCGGGTCTGCCTTGCACAGAGGAGCACCCGTGTGCGCAGGGGGGCGGCGCAGGACCGCAGGGGGCCCGGGGGAGGCGGCCCGGGGGATCCAGACAGAGAGGCCAGCAGGGAGGCCCAGCGCCTCCAGCAGGCCACGCACGACCGGGAGACACGCCCACGTGCGGGGACGGGCGCTGGGGAGGCCCGGTGCAGGAGACCGGGGGACCGCGGGGAGAGCGCGGAAGGACCCCCGGACGGCCCAGAGCAGCCGATCCCCCGGGCCAGTAAACACTCCGGTCTCTCCTGCGGCCTCCTGCGCCCCCGTGGCCCCGCTGCAGCCAGGCGCACGCACAGCACCCGGGGCTGCCCCAGTCGGTCCAGGGCCGGTCGGGGGCCCCTCCTCGGACCGCGCCCTTCCGGGGGGCCGCCCCCCACGCAGTGCCCTCCCGCTGCCAGCAATCATATAGGTTAGAGACGGACCGTATATAGCCACGGCTGCTGAGATCCCCGCGAGAAGCCGTTTCGGGCGGTCTCCCCGGAGAGGGCCCCCAGAGCGCCCGGATGCACAGTCAGCCTCCAATTCGATCGTTTTGCAGTCAAGGGCCTCCCCGGGGCACGGTGGACGGAGAACGAGGGGCGCGGATCTCCCGACCGGCAGAGGAGCCCGGGACACGTGGTCCGCACAGGAGGGTTTGCCGTGATATGCAGTCCTGCAGGGTCCGCCCGGGCTCCCCGGCGCTCCCCGCGGACCGGCCCCCCGGCCCCCCGGACGCCCCCAAGGGATTTCAAAAAATGTGGTGCAGGGGGACTCCAGGGGGTGTGTGGGGGCGGCTTCTGTCACGCACTATATAGGACAAGGTGCTTTATCTCGCGAGGGCCGGTTTTTTGGAGGGGGGCAGAGGGCCCCAAGGGAATCCAAAAAAGTGTGGTGCAGGCGGACCCGGGCCGGGCTGTGGGGGGCGGCCTCCGCCCGGCACTATAGGGGGGACCCCCGACACGGCATGGGCACGGAGGGGGCGGCCCCCGTGCCAGGCGGCGGCCCCCGCGCAGGGAGGCGCCCGGCCCGCGGCGCCCGCGCCCGGCCATCCGGTCGATCCTGCCGGAGCGCGACGCTCTCCCCAAGGACGAAGCCATGCATGCCCGCTCACCCGGGACGCGGCGGACGGCTCAGGACAACGGTTGCACCCCCCGCGGCGGTCCCTGCTAGCCGGACACCGCTGGCAACCCGGCGCCAAGACGTGCGCGCAAGGGCGGGCGCCCGCGGGCGAGCAGCGTGACGCAGCGACGGCCCGCCCGGGCTTCCGGGGCATCACCCGGTCGGCGCGGTCGCGGCGCGCCGAGGGCCCGACGCCTGGCGGAGAATCAGGGTTCGACTCCGGAGAGCGGGCCTGCGAGACGGCCCGCACATCCAAGGACGGCAGCAGGCGCGGAACTTGCCCAATGCGCGGCGCGCGAGGCAGCGACGGGGAGCGCGCGAGCGAGGCGGGCCCACAGCCCCCGCCGCGGAGCCGAGGGCAAGGTCTGGTGCCAGCAGCCGCGGTAATTCCAGCTCGGCGAGCGTCGCGCGGCGCTGCTGCAGTTGAAACGCCCGTAGTTGGCCCCCCGCCGCCACGAGGAAACGGGAGCGCTCCAGGCAGGCCCGTTGGACCCGCCGCGTGGGACCGCGCAGCGGGCGCGGCGCGCCGCGGCAGCCCCGAGGAGAGCGGGCGGGGGCACCGGTACCGGCCGGGGACGGGTGAAACAGGATGATCCCGCCGAGACCGCCGGCCGCGCAGGCGCCTGCCAAGACCGCCTCTGTCAATCAAGGGCGAAGGCCGGGGGCTAGAAGGCGATCAGACACCACCGTATTCCCGGCCGTAAACGGTGCCGCCCCGCGGCCGGCGCGCGCGTCCCGCCGGCCGCCCAGGGAAACCGGGAGGCTCCGGGCTCTGGGGGGAGTATGGCCGCAAGGCTGAAACTTGAAGGCATTGACGGAGGGGTACCACCAGACGTGGAGTCTGCGGCTCAATCTGACTCAACGCGCGCACCTCACCAGGCCCGGACGCGCGGAGGACCGACAGCCGGGCGCGCTTTCGCGATCGCGCGGGCGGTGGTGCATGGCCGCTCCCAGCCCGTGGCGCGAGCCGTCTGCTCCATTGCGACAACGAGCGAGACCCCGGCCGCGGGCGCCGCGGGACGGCCCGCGCGAGCGGGAGGACGGCGGGGCGATAGCAGGTCTGTGATGCCCTCAGACGCCCTGGGCCGCACGCGCGCTACACTGGCGGGGCCAGCCGGCGCCCGCGAGGACGCGCGGAGCCCCCGCCGTGGCCGGGACCGCGGGCTGGAACGCCCCCGCGCACCAGGAATGTCTTGTAGGCGCCCGCCCCCACCGCGCGCCGGACGCGTCCCTGCCCCTTGTACACACCGCCCGTCGCTCCTACCGACTGGGCGCGGCGGCGAGCGCCCCGGACGCGCGAAGGGCCGCGAGCCCCCGCGCCTGGAGGAAGGAGAAGTCGTAACAAGGTATCCGTAGGTGAACCTGCGGATGGATCCCTCGCGCGCCCCGCGCGTCGCCCCCGCGGCCCGGTCGGCCCCCGAACGCCCCGCCGGCGGATGCCTCGGCCCGGGCGGCGACGAAGAGCGCGGCGGAGCGCGAGACGCGGTGCGGACCCGCCCGCCCCGAGAAGCACCGACCCTCGAACGCAGCGCGCCCCGGCGCCGCCGCCTCGGCGCCCGCCGCGTGCCGCGCGCCGCGCCGCAGAGAGCGCCCCGGGGCGGTCCCGCCGGGCTGCGCGGCCCGAGGCGGCGGGGGCGACGGGCGGAACTTAAGCATATCAGTACGCCCCGGAGGAGAAACCAACCGGGATTCCCCGTAGCGGCGAGCGACGCGGGAGGAGCCCGCCCCGAAGGCGCGCTGTGGGGCGCAGGCGCAGGCCCGCCGCGAGGGGGCCCGAGGGCCCCGCCCGAGAGGGTGCAAGCCCCGTACGGCGGCCGCCGGGCCTGCGCGGCGAGTAGCGCTGCTTGAGCGTGCAGCGCGAAGGGAGGCGCGGCCCTTCCAAGGCTAAATACGCCCCGGGACCGATAGCGGACCAAGTAGCGCGAGCGAACGGTGAAAAGGACGCCCTGCGGCCGCTCAAAAGACCTGAACCCGGCCGGCCGCCGGCCCGCCGGCCCCGTCTCGAAACACGGACCGAGGAGCCACGCGCCGCGGCGAGCCCGAGGGAGCCCCCGCGGCGGAGCGAGCGCGAGACGCCCCGGGCCCGCCATGCCCCTGCGGGCGTGCGCGGGCCGAGCCGCGGCGCGTGGGCCCGAAAGGCGGTGATCTATGCCCGGCGAGGGCGAGGCCGGGCGAAAGCCTGGTGGAGGCCCGCCGCGGTGCTGACGCGCAGATCGCTCGTCGGAGCCGGGCATGGGGGCGAAAGACTCATCGAACCGCCTGGTAGCTGGTTGCCTCCGAAATGTCTCCCAGGACAGCCGCCGCCCCGCAGTTGCGGCCCGTAGAGCGCTGGCCGGCGGGAGCGGGGGGCCTGCCCCTCGCCCGCCCCCCAAACTCCGAAGGGCCGCGCCGCCCCGCCGCTGGCCTGGGCGGGGCGGGCGAATGCGGGCGGCGCGTGGGCCCCTCCTGGTAAGCAGGACGGGCGAGGCGGGACGATCCGGACGCCGGGCCAGGGTGCGCCGCCGGGGCCCGCGGAACGGCGTCGGCCGGTCCCGACAGCTGGAAGGTGGCCCCAGAAGTCGGCATCCTCCAGGGAGTGTGTAACAACCCACCAGCCGAATCGGCCGGCCCGGAAAATGGAGCGCGCCGGAGCCCCGGACCCGCGCCCGGCCGCCGCGCGCGGCGGGTAGGAGGCCGCAGAGGCCCCGGGGGCGAAGGCGGCGCGCAGGCCCCGCCGGACCGGCCTCTGGTGCAGATCTCGGCAGCAGTAGCCGCTACTCCGCGCCCCGGAGGACTGAGGGGGAGACGGGTTCCGCGGCGCCTGCATCTGGCCGCGGGTGACTCGGGCCTAAGCGGCGGGTGAAGACCGGGAAGGGGCGTGCCCGCCCGTCGAACGGGGAGCCGGCGGAGACTCCGGCAGGCGCGGCCCCCGCGGAGACGCCCGCCCCCCGGCGACGCGCACGGGGACCGCGGCGGGCGGCGCCCCGGCCCGCGAACGCCCCGCAGCCCCCGGACGCCTTGCGCGGAGAGGGGGGCCCGGGGGCGGACCCCGCGCGTCCCCGGCCGCCCCTGAAAAGCCGGGGGGCGCCGGCCGCGCGCCGTACCGACCGCAGCAGGACTCCGGGGTCAGCAGCCTCTAGCGCGGGAGCGAACGCGGCTCAGGGAAGTCGGCAAGCCGGCTCCGTAACCTCGGGAAAAGGAGTGGCTCTGACGGCGCGCCGGGTCAGAACTGGAACGGACGCGGGGATCCCGACTGTTTACTAGAAACACAGCGTCGCGAGGGCCGCACCCGGCGCTGGCGCGACGTGATTTCTGCCCAGTGCCACGACCGTCACCGTGAAGCGATCCGCCGAAGCCCTGGTAAACGGCGGGAGTAACTATGACTCTCTTAAGGTAGCCAAATGCCTCGTCGGGCAATTTCCGACGTGCATGAATGGACCAACGAGGATCCCACTGTCCCGAGCCGCGCCTCCGCGAGCCTCCAGCCTCGGGAACGGGCGAGGGCCGGCCAGCGGGGCAAGAAGACCCTTTTGAGCTTGACTCCAGCCCGGGCCTGTGGGGCGGGGCGGCCGGCGCAGCGCACAGGGGAGGCCGCGCCCCTGAGACACCCTGACGGCCGCCGCCGCCCCGCTCACCCGGTCGCGCGGGGACCCGCCCGGGCGGGGAGTTCGGCTGGGGCGGCGCGCCTGCTACACCGGACCGCAGGCGTCCCACGGCGGGCTCAGCGAGGACGGAGACCTCCCGCGGAGCAGAAGGGCACAAGCCCGCCCGACCCGCGCCCCCCGTGCCGGCGCGGGCCGCGAAAGCGGGGCCTACCGATCCTTCGCCGCCCCGGCCGCGGGCGCGGAGGTGGCAGAAAAGTTACCACAGGGATAACTGGCTTGTGGCCGCCGAGCGCCCGCAGCGACGCGGCTTTTTGATCCTTCGATGTCGGCTCTTCCTACCGTCCGCGCGCACCGGCGCGGAAGCGTCGGATTGTTCACCCGTTCAAGGGATCGTGAGCTGGGTTTAGACCGTCGTGAGACAGGTTAGTTTTACCCTACTGGCCCCGGGGCCAGAGCACGGCGGGCCAGTACGAGAGGAACGCCCGCCGCGGGCCGCCAGCCCCGCGGTTGCCCGGCCGGGCAGCGCCGCGCCGCCGCGCCCGGGGGCCCTGCGCTGACCGCCTCTAAGCGCGCACCCCGCCTCGCGCCCCGCCCGGCCGCGCGCCCCAGCCCCGTGCCCCGTCGCCGAGCGGCCCCCGCCCGGGGAGACCACCCGGCGCGGCGCTCCTGTACGGCGCAGAGCCCTGCGATCGCCTGAGGGACGCGCCTGCAGAGCGCGGGGCGGGGCGCGCGGCCCACTTGCTCTGGGGGGGTGCGGGGCAGACAGACAGGCAGAGCGCGGAAAGAGAAGATTGAGGGAGTGCAGGGTGCCCCAAGGGTGGCCAGGGGGCAGTGCACGCCCACCACCGGGTCTGCCTTGCACAGAGGAGCCCGTGTGCGCAGGGGGGCGGCGCAGGACCGCAGGGGGCCCGGGGAGGCGGCCCGGGGATCCAGACAGAGAGGCGCAGGGAGGCCCAGCGCCTCCAGCAGGCACGCACGACCGGGAGACACGCCCACGTGCGGGGACGGGCGCTGGGGAGCCCGGTGCAGGAGACCGGGGGACCGCGGGGAGAGCGCGGAAGGACCCCCGGACGGCCCAGAGCAGCCGATCCCCGGGCCAGTAACACTCCGGTCTCTCCTGCGGCCTCCTGCGCCCCCGTGGCCCCGCTGCAGCAGGCGCACGCACCAGCACCCGGGGCTGCCCCAGTCGGTCCAGGGCCGGTCGGGGCCCCTCCTCGGACCGCGCCCTTCCGGGGGGCCGCCCCCACGCAGTGCCCTCCGCTGCCACATCAATAGGTTAGAGACGGACGCGGTTACATAGCCACAGGCTATC